TTTTTCGGTGCGAATTGTGGTAGAGCATCGATGGTTTGCAGCTCTCGGGGGATATTTCGATCTGTGACACTGAAATCTGTCCAAAGAATGTAGGATTTCGAAGGCTAGGCAGTGCCACGTTGCCAATTTCACAGTCAAGCCACGAATAATAGGTGATCGTTATGACCAAGGCCGTGACACTTAACGAGGCAAAAGATTCAGTGTGGAGTGAAATGCCCAAAGTTGCGAGAAACAGGTGTCGAAGCTAATCAATGCAGACGAGGACCTACCTTACAGCTGCTGGCTTGGCTAGTCTAGGTTCACGGTCAGTTTCATGAGACAGTTACATGAGACAGTTACATCTGGGTGGTTTCGATTTTGTGAGAAGAAATTTCTCTCGCTTGTTCTGCCGACGTCTAAATTCTCACCGCCAAGAACTCAGCACTCGTACTGTATTTCTGCGAACGCAAAGATGGCCTAGAACAGTCCGTTATTTGCAGGAGATATGAAGGCCCTTATCTTGGAGAAGTCAAGTCAACGATATAAAAGTTGTATATTTGTCATACGCTAATGTTCCCCTCTTTCAATGCTAATCATAGACTCCGGCCATGGCGATGTTGTCACTCGCGTTATCGCGACTTTCGCCACCGCTGATGCCAACAGTTTGTCCTGAAATGAGGGACGCTCTGCTATGACATGAATGGCATTGTGTGATTCACTCTGAGACGCTAGATAAGGGACCGTGATAGGGGAATATTATTATGACCGGATGGTAAGTAAGGTCAGACGTCGGAGGGAAATGAAACCGATATTGGATTAAATCGCTCACGGTCCCTAAGTTGCCTCTACAGTATAAGTGGATGAAGAAGCGCAGATTTCCTCCCTATCAGTGAGCAGCTAGGAAAACAAGAGATCACGTCAAGCAGTTTTGCCGGATAAGCTTATCGTATTGATGATGATGCTTTGGCCATTGGACTACTATTCATCATGATGTTCCATGGTGTTGATTGATAGGTCATGTCTGTTTCAAGGTTGTCATATTTCGGTCTTCGGCGAAGAGGCTGTCATCAGACAGACCGTCTTGCCAGCAATGTAGACTGGCAATCATACTGCAAAACAATAAGCATTGGATTTCCCCTGGATGGCGTCATACCACAGCCCAACCTTGGGTAGAACCCGGTTGTGAAGAATTTTGACTCTTCCATGTCTTTCTGAGTCATGCGGTCCGTCTTGAAGTGCAGGCTGCCTCAACAATACTCCATATAGTCTTTGTATTATTGATCACGTGACGAATGGTCTTCAGGCAAATATGACAAATCCGTCCAAAAAAGGGAACTTGACCGCAACGCAGGAATTTGTGGGGTTCCCCATGGGGTCACGGAGATCAAGGTAGAGTGGGATTCTTGTCCTGATTTCTTGGTTTCTGACGGCGTCACGATGTCTGCAGCTACTGGTGGACACATTTTCTAGAACAATCTCGGCCCTTTCTCGTTGCCACTATCTTACGTTGATACGGGAACCTATCGTTGGAGTTCGGCAAGCCAACCGAACAGTTTGATATTCCCTTCTGCTATAATCGTATACGGACAAGGATAAGATCTGCAAGCTGGTGAAGTGTCCATTGGCTTCGTTCATTTCCACGTCGCCAAAATCGTTGGGGAGAGCGCTTAACAAGAGTTTGCCATCTGAAAACGCTGTGTTGATCCCTTGGTCCAGCCTCATAAAGTCTTGTACCGTTGCAGTCAAAATCTGTAAGCCTGGCATTCTGTGGAACACCAGCAGACGTTAGGATTTGTTCATGGGGTCTTTTCCAATATGGATAAAATCACAAACGGCCCTATCATTGACTGGCAAATTCCGGCAGTTCAACTCACCATGAGAATACGGCAGTTGGACAAGGAGAACTACCTAAGTGCTCCCACCCATTACAAATCGTTGTGCTTTTATATACCATGTAGCTACCACGCCCCAGGTGCGACGTACTCTTTCTAGCTACAGTTTCATTTCCACGACACTCATTCATTGGAGCTTAGGACAATCCCAGAACTTTCCCGGATTCCTGCACCAACAACCAACAAAATGCTCTGGGCTTCACTCCTCGCCCTTGCGGCGGTCGTCCAAGCACTGCCTTCGGGAGAGCTCGAGCAACGACAGGGTGGTGTCACCATGTTGCGATTTGGATGCGCCCAAGTCGTCATTGACCGACTGGATCCTCTCGTGAACCCTGGTTCCATTCCTTCACCTCATGTGCACCAGATTGTCGGCGGTAACGGTTTCAACGCCTCTATGACGACAGGCGATGTTTCGAACACCGCAAGTTGCACTACTTGTGCATTCTCAGAGGATTTCTCCAACTACTGGACGGCGAACCTATACTTCAAGGCCCGCAATGGCACTTACAAGCGTGTTCCACAACTGGGTGCAGCGTATGTTAACATCATTCTCAGTTTTGAATCATAATCACGCAAACGGAAAATACTGACCCACTCCCCAGACGGCAATTCAACGATGACTACAGCACAAAGATCGGAGGCGGTATCCTTGTCTACTACGTCTCGGCCCAACCAGGCAAGATTACCGCATTCAAGCCAGTAAGAGCCGCTGTCACCTAGTGTGATGTGAACAATTCTGACGGCAGGCACAGGGATTCCGCATGTTGGTCGGTGACCCTACTTCGCGATCGAGAAAGGACTCTACGTTGAAGCGACAAAACTGCTTCCGATGCTACACCGGCCCCAACTTTGGCGGTGACGTTTCTGCTCCATGCCAGGACGCGAAGTTAGTGCCTTTTTCTAAAAGGTTCTGCAGTCGGTGGTGCTGACACACGAAACTAGGATTGACACTGAAGCTCTACCGACTGGCCCTTGCAAGGGCGGAATTCGCTCCAACATTCTGTTCCCAACGTGAGTTCCTCGGCCATAATGCACAGGAAAAAGAAAATCAGAACTGACATCAAATGCAGCTGCTGGGATGGCAAGAACCTCGACAGTCCTAACCACCAGGACCACATTGCCTATCCGACCACAGGGCCAGCAACGTTCCTCAGTCTCGGTGGCAGCTGCCCATCGACGCACCCCGTGCGCATCCCTCAGCTCATGTACGAGGTTGTCTGGGACACGACTGCGTTCAACAACAAGGCTGAGTGGCCGGCGGATGGCTCGCAGCCCTTCTACTTCAGCTACGGTGACAACACTGGCTACGGCCAACACGCCGACTACGTCTTCGGCTGGAAGGGTGACTCCCTCCAGAAGGCCATGGACACCTCGAACTGCATGGGTGCAAAGTGCGGAACCCTCAAGACCCAGGCCATCGATGCCGGCAAGAAGTGCTCTGTGAACCGCGTCGTTCAGGAGGACCACGACGGATGTGAGTTTTGCCTGCTATGATTTCAATATGGGGCTCAGTCTAACAAATTCAACAGGGATCAAGGAGCTGCCGGGTATCAACATGGGCAACATGGGTAACATGCAACAGGCCTAGTTCTGGCGGGATACTCTATTTTCGGCCACGCCGAAGGTGGGGTGCATGGTAGCTTTCAGTTGTGTTTGCTTGTCGTAGACTGTGATTGGCCAGAACCTTTTTGCATTCCATCCCCAAGGCTGTTTTATACTCCCGGACCAGTAGGAATTAGCCTTAATATATCTTACACTCGTTGATTGGCCCAACAAATTTCAAGACAGACTATTTAGATAGCCCCAAGCTTTCTTCCTTTCATGGAACTCTTGTGGATTCGGCAGTTTTCTCTCATAGTCGGGACCAGGTTAGTTTACTTCCAGGTATTCAAGCCGATTTTGTGGAGTCGTTGCATCCGACGTATACGTCGTTGCTAGCGATGCGAAGTAGGTTGTAAACAGTGTATCCAATTTGGAGACGAAAGGCTACAACCCGATCACCTGGCCTCCTGCGACGAAAGGAAGGGCTTTCTACCTTCTCTCAAGTTATATAGTAGCTTGGCCAATTATACCCCGCGACTTTGGTCTTAAAGTAGTACAGGACCCGGGTAACAGACCTCAAAGCCGAAACGTGCAGTAAGGATTGCACGCATGGAAACTTTTGAGTAAAAAAGAAACACCCGAAGCTGGTACACAGAGCGGGGCAAATATCATGCAGACTGGCCGACGGAGCTTTTGGTCAGCTCCAGGGCTATCGGATGCTGATAATTCTTATCTTTTATATTTTCTATTACAAAGTCGTATGCGAGCCCTGGAAGGGCTGTCTGCCAAAGCACACATGTCCGTCGCCGACCGGCACAAGGGCGAAAATTGGCATTCCCTAGCCTTTCCTCATCGTCCAGTGGCCTACCGAAATACTTGCTCCCGTGCCTATTTGACTCATTGGCAGAAAGTAATTAGACCAGCCAACAAGAAGCCTAATACTTTCCGAGACAAGGCCTAGCAATCAGGAACACCAGAATGTCAGGTAGTTCGGCGCTAAGTAGGAGGTAGGGATCTGCCATCTTCGAACGCGGGGCACTCTGCCCCTCCCAATCGCCCGAGTTGAGCTTCACGTAGGGTACGACGTTGGGTAACAGTGTGGCATCCAAGAAATCTCCTTTCTGTGTTCAATCCATTGGTTTGGACTCGCCGCACTGCGCCTTTAGAGACTCTGCACTGAGCTTAGAGTGGTGTCTGGTGATGTTGTATCTGTCAAGGGGATATAGAGCATGTAGCTAGTTGGTGGGGCTGGAGCTGCGGGTGCCTCACCAATCCATGGTCACCAGTATAATGCATGCTGAAGCTGAGCAACCGACTAACCTGTATAGAATGATCATCAAGCCCGAATATGAGAGAGTCACTCCCGACTTTGTGCCCCTTGCCCCTCGTTGTGGCTCGAAGTGTGGAGTTTCCGTTTTCGGGAGCTAACCCGGCCGTCAGTATCCGTGGTTAGCCAGTCGCTGGGGTTGGCTTGGGTTTGCGTTCTTTGGGCCAGACGTCAGGCCGTAAACAGGCCCAGGGCCACGAACGCGAAGACACGCTGAGTTGCCGCGATACCACGGTAGGACAGAAGAGACGGGGCATCCGGATCCTCTCACAACGCCCGCCTCCTTGGCAGCGTGGTCACCTCTGTGCATCAAGGCAAGGCGAGACAAGGCAAGGCTGGCATGGGCCTGGCGCTGCTGTGCATTGATGCGGCATACATACATACCCCTCGATCGGCGACAGGGGTCGCGGAACACCATAGCGGGGGCACACAGAGCGCCACCCAGATTCATTCGGCCATTGCATCCCTGGCGGCGTAGTGGCCCGCCGATCAGCCAAAATTGTGATCTGGTTGCTCGAATCCATCCGGAGGCTCCCATATCGTGAGGAGTCGGCGCAGCGTACGCCCGGGACCAATTCCACTCGCGAGCACGACAGCAGGCCAGATGCCCCCGATGGCCCGCCCATGAGCAGCAGCAATAGCCTCCCCAGGCCAATTGCAATGTCGCAACACCCTCAGTCGGCCAAGCGCATGCGCAGCAACACGTCCAACGTCGACTTCACCCCGCAGACGGCGCCCGCCCTCAGGACACGACCGCACCATCTGACCGCCGGCCACGGCCACGGCCACGGCAACGCCCACGACCACGGCAACGCCCACGACCACGACCACCTGCCCGTTCCCGGCCCCGGCCCCGGCGTGGGCTTGTACACCCCGACCGTCTACAATGCCAGCTTCGCCACCATCCCCTCCACCCGCCAGGACGTCGACTACGCCTCCTACGTCGCCCCGGCCCAGCACAATGGCTACCCCGCCGCCGCCTACCCGGACGCCTACGACCCGCTGCCACACGGCAACAGCTACACCATAGCATACGGCCAGCCTCCCCCGACCAACTACAATCCCTCCCATGGCGGCTACTACAGCCCCGGCCTGGTCGCCGCCGCCCAGAACGGGCCTTACTCGCCCGTGACCGCACGCCAGTCCACCTCGGCAGGTCCCGAAACCTACTCGCCCTCCCCGATCCCCGGAAGCAGCACCGGTGCCTCCTATACCGACTTGCAAGCACACTCCACGACCCCCATGCCGCAGCAGAACCTCCAGCAGCAGTACGAGGATGCCTATGGGTCCCAACCTGTGGTACACAGCTCGGCCAACCACGTACAGAACATGTCGTATGTGGACCCGACTGTGAGTGCTCAGTACAGCCACCCGTCCATCGAGCAGCCAAACGACAACTTGCCCGCGGCATTACAGAGCCCGGAGAGCTCGTCTGAGGAGGAAAGCGAGAGTGACGAAGATGCCCAGGGCGAAACCGCGGACGAGGCCGAATTGAGTGTATGCATCATGTCTGTATCCTCATTGCGTGTTGCGAGTTCTAACATATCATCTTCTTGTAGGCCGAGCTCCCAGCGCTCCCCACTCCAGGTCCTGCCCTGACTCTCAACCCGGCCCCGAAATACAAGAAAACGTCACACAGCGAGCCTGCCAAACCCCCAGACTCGAAATGTGCCTGCAAGAAGGGCCGAGGCAAGAAGAAGGCTTGTACATCGTGCGCTTGCAGTAAATATGGCCGGAAGTGCGGGAAAATGTGCTCCTGCGGCACTGCCTGTGGCAACCCGTTCCAGGACCTGACAGCATTTTTCGGGCCCTCAGCAAGGTTTCCGAAACCCTGCGACGCGAACGCCTGCTTCGCGACTTGGCTCTCGAACCAGCCGAACATCGAAGAGCTCGATGTCGACCTGATGGTGGACATGCTGCTGTATGATGACTCATCGTGGGCGTCGATTCGAGGACACACCCCGGCCTTGAAAGACTGGGAGGACAGGTGGCTCAAGGCGAAGAACTCCAAGTCGAAAAAGCTCAAAGAGGACCGAGAGCGCCTAGAATTTGAGCTGCTGCGCGGGGCCCTGGGCAATTGCAACCCCAATGACTTTCACGGCTACTGGTACAGCTTCTGCAAAGGCCAGTGGGTGCCGATGGACAACTGGGAACACTGCAGGGAGTGCAAGGCGTGCGCTCCAAGCAGCGAGTGGCATTGCGAACAGCATGGCCAGTGTACGGTCAACCGTACCTGCGCCGGATGCACCGGGACCGCGACAACGTCGTATCCCGAGATGGCTGCGTATACAGTGGCGGCATAGACTGGCATTTCTCTCTCACTCACACACACACACTTGTCACGTTGGGGAAACGATAGAGGTATGAATGAGGAGTTCTCAGGAGTTTTTTTGTGTCGTGCTTCTAGCATATATACCAAGCATTTTGGTTGGAGTCTGGAGGTACACGAGTGCGTTTAGAAAAGAGGCAAATATGAGACCACTCGGATTTGATGATTGAGTACATGTCCAAGTGAATTCGCCTTGGGGCCAGTGAATTTCGTGAGCAATTGCTGATGCGTTGACATGAGAATCTAGGTGCATGTCCTGCTGATGACTTATAGATATAATAGAGCCCTAGGGGCTCCGATAAGATGCGGAAGAAACCCCTGAATGTTCCTAGAGTCACTTCAGAGGAAGGATTACGAGACAGCACCAGTCCAAAGTTAGCAACCGGAGTCACCCGGCTGTGAGTCTAAGTTGAAAGCCCTATATTCCCGCAAAGGGTTGTTAAGAAGCACTCTTTAACCGTACTACTATCATACTGATGAGATACTTGCCCAGATTCAGGCTGAAAGCCTTCGAGCCCCAACTCAGTATACTCCAGAGAACTAGTTATTTGAAGCGACTCCTTGCTTTCTCTTAAGCGGCCATCAGCCGCTATGAATGAAACTGAGCATGTTTCACAGATAAGTCCTGCAAAGAGTGTATCTGTGATTTACGTACTACCCATCGAAGACAACCATATCTGCTGCAGGTGAGCGCATGTCTGCTGCGCAATTCTTTAAACTGCATGTCATTCTTATGTGCAAAGTGGGTATCGCGTTTCTGATTCCTCTCTGTCCGGATCTGATTCGGATCTGTCCTTAAGGGAAATAAAAACATTCGGACAGCGGACAGGCTGTATATTCTCGGTTTCATCGACTTTACTAGCTCATGATATGCACAAACAACATTTGGTAATGGGATACTCTCCAGTCCGTCTCAGAAATCAGAGACAAGTCCGGCTTCATTAACCCACCGAATGGACACTCATTGCCATAGTCTGGATAACTAGAGGTCTATATACGTAAACTATTTGAGTTATTATTGGATTGATTTTAATCACGGACGTTGAGTCCAGAAGAAAGAGAAAAGGCGGGTTGAATATGCAGCATCTCCCGGGCGAGCTCGTGGGTGTTTACTTCAATGCTTTACTTCAATGGCAGTGGAGCACATTTGCGAAAAGTGATCCCATGGAATTTATACAAAGTTTGAAACGAGAGACTCCAAATCCAGTTGGCAATATAGATTTTGATAACCGTAGCAGGCTGATCCAGAGGATTATTAAACGGTGTAGGAGGACCATTAGCGTGAGCCAGACACGTTGAATGTTTTGGACGAGATGATAATGCATGCTGGGGATGACGTGGCTTAACCAGTAGAACGGAACTGCACCTCCTCTCTGCCCGACGCTGGTTGGAGAAGTTAAGTAGGTTGTATCTTCGCTAAACCACAGTGGCAGGGGGTGCTACCGGCCACAGTACCCAGGGAGTGGTGAGGGGTTGGTCACAAGTAGTGAACCTCGGGGTAGCATCACGGTAGCATACACAACAGAAGAGGGTCATCAAGGAAAAGTTGAATTTTACATCATTTCATTCATTGCTATGAGTGCTGTTTGGTGACATGCGAGACCAGTAGGCCAAGAGCATTCTACCGCTCAAGTACCAAATCTATCGACGATACCAATTCAAGGGAGACAGAAAAGTCCCGCCCCGAGACCCGAGGTCAGATGTCTTTCAAGTGTATGGTACAAAACAGAAGCCTTTAGTGCTTGGGCTGGAACCGATCCACGCCGTTCTTGATGCGTCTGTCAACGCCCTTGGCCATCTTCTCCAGGGGCAGCCTGTTGTCGACCCTGACGACGGTGTTGTGGACTCGGGGCTCGACCCGTTGGGCGACGCGTTCCGCGGGAGGTGCGAAGTAGGAGATGTTGCGCTCCCACCTCGGAGCCCACTTCAGTGTTTGGGACGCAAGACGCTGGTTGGCGCTGGGAAGCATGAAGTAGAAGGGGGCAAAGCCGACAACGCCAGCTGTTGCAAAGGCAACACCCTCGATGGCACCAGCCTTGGGGATTCTGACGGGCATATTGATGGATTGGTAGAAGTAGTGGTGGTGGTGATGTGGGAGTGGATGGCTGTGTCTGGGTGCTGACAACGACCTTGCTGCTTATGATGTCGAGCAGAAAGGCTGCTCGAGAAGAATGATAGAGTGGAGAGTTTGTAGGAGGCTCTTATGATCGTACGCCTCAAATATAACGAAACGTCTGGGATGAGTGACGCTTCGTCAAAGGTGTGATGGTGAATAATTTGATGGCGGATGCTGTGTTTGGAGATGGAGGGACGGGATGAATCTGGTGTAACAACAGAATGAAGGAGCAGATTGGAGGACAGCGATGCCTTTAATAAGGGGGCGATGCCCCAATGACCCTCCTCTCGCACCCCTTTCACAATCCATCACCCTGACCCTGACCATCCACGCCATCTCGTCCGGGGGAGAGTTGGGAACGGGAGCGGGGTAAACCAATGGTGGCAGGCCATGTTGTTCCAGCATCGCACCACGAGCCAATCATACGATTCCAAGACCAGGGTTATGGCTTATGCTACCTGCGCTTGACTGCAGTGGCCATCCGTCTAAAGCTAGATCTACAGCCCAGCCGCGCTCACATGCGGTGGTAATTTCGCCGTCGCCTGCGTGTCGTCGACGAGCTGGTTTCACCGGCGCCTGGCTCTGACTCGGCGCGTTGGCTGCACTGACGTCGGCCCTGAACTCAAACGCCCGGAGCTGCACCAGGTCACTGGATCATACGATTGGGTTCGAGGTTACAGCGACTGTAGAGAGCCGCTGTCACTCACTAATATCTCCTCCAGGGTCTGCGACATGCAGCTGAAAATTCCAGCCAGGCAAAATCTCCAAGGAACGCTCCCTATCCTGCAACTCTATACGCAACATCTCAGGAGTCAAGATCCTCACGTGCGCCCGAGTCGCCACGACGCCTAGGGGCCTGGCGCTAAGCCCCAGAGCCCCCGCTTCCCCAGATCTTCGCGGGCTTCAGTGGGTCGAACGGGGCACTGTCCCCACTAGGGCACAGAGCCTCCTGGACAGCCGTGCGCTAAAACAGTTCAGCACTGTAATTCGCAGGACTCCATCGCGCGTTCAGGTCTGACTGTTCTGTTGTCGGGCTGCTGCCCGAGTCGCACAACTGCTGATCACCCATTCCATGTCATCACTGTTCTCCTGCAAACTCTCCAGTAAGTACTCAGCGCGCTCATCGCAATTGCGTTCATCTCCCTTTGAGACGGAAGATAAGCTCCTGCCGTTTGGAGGGGTTTTGTTGCATGTGCAGAATTCGTGCATCACCCAGCTATTTGTTCCTTGCGTACCGCAACTGCAGCCGTCGTGGGGCAAAGGCGTGCTATCGTGACCCTTATCACGAAAGTGGCTTTTGGAAGAATCAGCGCGCGGTGCACGGAAGAACTGTTCGACCGCCACGCGCTCCTCAACGCCAACTCCACTCCAGTGCACCGAAATTTTCCAAGATAAAATCACCCATTTGTTTTTCTCGACTTCTTCCAACAGCAACATTCTTCCTCCTCAGAGGATCATGTTGGCCATTCGCGTTTGTTGATTCGGCAAGCAACATGAACCGCAGCCATGCTTCTTTTCCTTATCCGTCACGGCGAGTCCGTTGACAATGTGGCCGGTGTCTAGTAAGCACCTTCGCTCTGCCTGCTCCTCACTGACCGGCTCCCAACACACTTGAAGCGCAGGTGTGCGCGATTCTCCCCTCACAAACCATGGCGTCCTCCAGGCCAAGCGTTTGGGTGCCCACCTTGCCTCGCGTCGAGATGTCACCGGCCCCGTCGTTTCCCTCTTCACTTCGAATCTCCGGCGGGCGTATCTGACAGCTGAAGCTATTGCTGACGCCCAAGGTGCCAATACCCCACGTCCTGATGGCAGTTCCTCTCGGCTTGAGCCTGTACAGCTCACTGAGCTCCGGGAAAAGAATTTTGGGTCAGGCGAAGGCATCAAGTACGGCGCACTGTCGAGTAGGCGCACCGCCGGAGATTTGGAGCAAGACGAGGAAACTCGCGAGCAGATGACGGTTCGAGTGAACCGCTTCATTGATACACACCTACGGGCTATTCTTGAAAAGCACGCACCTGAGAAAGTGTCTGTTGTCATTGTGGCGCATGGGCTCATCCTCGGTTCCCTCTTGAAGGCATTGACGACACACTTTCCCGATGTCAACTCTGCACCGTCACAAGGCCCGCATGAACAGCCCCTGGCTTCGTGGAGCAACACAGGAGTCCTTCAAGCGAAGATCAAGCCTACCTGTGCAGCTGATGCCTCCACTTCGGCATTAGATGGCCAGCGCAGACGCGAGCCTTTGAATCGTCTACGATTGTCAATGATGGTGCAGCTTGTTAACAACGTGGACCACCTCGTGGGTCTGAAGAAGACCAGAGGAGGCATTGGGAGCGCCCGATTCGATACGCGGCAACGTAAAATGACCTCGTTCTTTACGCCAGCAAAGAAGCGCAAAGCTGATGAGGCAGAGTGATGACTTGTCTCAAGTCATCCGGTTGTATTGAGACGCTTAGCAGCTCGCACGCAATCTTGATCACTAAATGGTATGTCTTTATCCTAATCCCGTACCCCAAACTCCTTTACATGATGAAAGCACATTTGTTCACAGACCTGTTCTGAAACTTAATGTGGAAACACTTATGTCCAACCGCTATCTGACACAATCAACTACCCATCTACTGTTTGAGTCCACTTGTTGAATTCTAGCTAACCTTGTGGAAAAGACTACTAGACCCTGTTCCGACGTATCTCGACTTATCAGCGCTGTAAGACGTTGAACATCATCAAGTACTCAATAAAGCACTTCTATGCAGACAAATAAATACTCGATCAAACTGAAGCTTATAAAACAATTAGAAAATGTGCATAATCCTTTCCACCAGCAAAACCTTAGTCTATGATGTGTTTTAAGGACTTCCTTGATCGAATTTTCCTAAGACTTCCCTGCACAAACTACGTAACAATGTAGCATGCAGTCGTTCACGTCGAGTACCCCTTCAACATAGGTCCAGTTTGATGATATCCTGATTACTCTGTATCTTCGTTCTTAATTTCGTCTTCTGAATCATATTCTTCCTCCTCGGATGGCAATGAGCGTGGAAACCAGCCAAATTCGGCAAAATCAACTGTCAGCTCCCCCAGCGATCCCGTAGACACGGTGACGCCCTCCGCCTGAAGTACAGTTGCCTGGTTCCGAGCCCCTGAAGGTTGGGATCTGTCATGTATCAGTATAACAGCACAACCACACACGAGCACTTGAAATTATGCACAGTACCTCGGAGAAATCATGCCCTTGGCGTTGATGACTCTTTGCCAGGGAACAGTACTGTTGTTGAATCGGGCGCCTTGATCATGCGAGAGATGTTTAAGGCAAACGCCTACCTGGCGAGGACGCTGGGCTAGGTGTGCGTCAGTAGTAGTAATCTCGTTGCGTACGAGCAGCCTCTCCAGCGAGTCGGGAGGTAAGGTCACGCACGTGTTCCGACCAGCTTGGCGATGTGCCCGTAGCTGGTCACCTTTCCGGGTGGAATCTCCTGCACCGCGCTGTAGACCGCAGCAAAGAAGGCAGCTGCCTCATCCGTTCGGGCCATTGCAAATCACTGGGCCTGGCACACGTACAGAGCTATCGTTTGGCCAGGGTGGTCCCCAAGCGAAGTCCGGGCTTGATGGAGCGAATGTCTTCGCGAGACCCGAGGTGGCTATCAAGTTGTGGGTGGCATCAAGGCCGTGAGTTCCGCTTGGAGTGGATACTCAACCCTCCAGCAGCCTTTCACAGGAGCACTAAAACGCAGGAAGCGGGGCCCTGAAGCCAGCGCTAGTGTCGGCTTAAGGCGGAACGGTAGAGATCCAGCGCGGTCTATATTCGCACCAGTCAGCTCAGATCGAGGTTAACTTGGGTCAGGCACCACAATTGGTCGCGACGATACTCCCTCAACCAGAGAGAACTATGGCCCTCCGATCATCGCAATTATGAGGTGCATATCCCTCAAAAATGACGACAGAAGCCCTGATCGAGGGTTCTACCCCGCTCCCAACGCAGTATATTAACCACAGTCGGCATCACAAGTGTCCTCACATTTCCTCCTTTGCCCTACTACATTGTCAAGAAATCACAATTGAATCAAGTAAATTCATTCGTACGCATCGTGCTGCTTTCGTGTCGTTCGACTCCAAGCTTCGTGGACTTACTAATCATTATGTCGCAGGAAACCATCCATCCGGTACGCCCGCCACGAGACTGGCCGCGAATGGAAGACATGGCCCGCAATGGATTATCCACCAGAAGTGAAGGTCACTTGACATGATGAAACCTCTCCATCATGTCTATCAGGTAATGCTCAAACGAGAGCCATGAGCCGGTGTTCGGGTCTCCGTGTCTAGTCCTCTCGTGAATCCACCCGTCGCAGTCTGGAGGTGCTACTTCAGACTTGTTGATGGAGATTGGCGAGAGATGGGGCAAAGTCGGAGCTCGATCTGAGATTATACGGCCAAAAAAAACTTGATCTGGATAATACCAGCGAAAGGATCATGCTCCACTAGCTCCCCCCTGAAACTCTGGGACGCAGAGCTGACAAGAACAGATATCATCATATAACGAGCTTCCATAATGTCACCAGCTTTGGACTTCATTGAACCTGTTGCCCTCCCCCACAAGGGTGTAGTCCCTGTCGGAGATGGCAAGGTCAACGGCAAGTCTGCTGTGGACGTTGCTGATGGCAAGTGGAAGGACTTCACCTTCCAGCCCATCCGCGAGTCGCAGATCGCTCGTGCCATGGCTCGCCGCTACTTTGACGACCTCGACAAGTACGCCGAGTCCGACATTGTCATCGTCGGTGCTGGCTCCTGTGGTTTGAGTACGGCTTATACTCTGGCCAAGGCCCGCCCTGACTTGAAGATTGCTATCATCGAGGCCAGTGTTTCGCCCGGTGAGTGCTGCCAAGGCCGACCAAGACCAAGAATAAGCTGTTAATACTTGACCAGGCGGTGGTGCTTGGCTTGGTGGACAACTCTTCAGTGCCATGATCATGCGCAAGCCTGCTGACGCTTTCCTGTCGGAGATTGGCGTGCCTTTCGAGGAGGAGGGCAACTATGTCATTGTCAAGCACGCGGCTCTCTTTACCTCGACTCTCCTCTCGAAGGTTCTGGCCTTCCCGAATGTGAAGCTCTTCAACGCTACCTCCGTTGAGGACTTGATCTCTCGCAAGGATGAGAGTGCTCTCGGCGGTCTACGCATTGCCGGTGTTGTCACCAACTGGACCTTGGTCGCCATGCACCACGACGACCAGTCCTGCATGGATCCTTCGACCATCAACGCCCCAATCATTGTCAGCACCACTGGCCATGACGGGCCCTTTGGTGCATTCTCTGTCAAGCGACTTGTCTCCATGGGTGCCATTGATAAGCTGGGCGGCATGAGAGGTCTCGACATGAACACTGCCGAAGACGCCATCGTGAAGGGTACTCGAGAAATCGTGCCCGGTCTGATTGTTGGAGGTATGGAGCTGAGTGAGGTCGACGGAGCCAACAGAATGGGTCCAACCTTCGGCGCTATGGCACTGTCTGGTGTTAAGGCTGCGGAAGAGGCCTTGGCCGTCTTCGAGCTGCGTAAGAAGCAGAATGCGATCTAAATGAATAGCATTCGGGCCTGGAGAGAGGCTATAGGGAACCTCGTAACATGAATGCAAGGACCCGCAGTCGTTACTGGGGTGGCAGAAACACGAGATTGGGTTCAGGTCTGGCAGAGACCTAATGCCATTCGTTGTCACAGAAGAGCTCAATTTAACACTCATTCACATCCTGCAACAGTCTTTCTTCTCCGTGTGTTTCCATGATAAATACTGAGTTCAGGTTGCTTTTGAAGATGCACTTAGAGACCCGTTCACGTGCCTACTTAACTCAACACTTCTCAAATCAAGAGGATACCCACAAGACTGACCACAATTGTCGACAACCCGACCGAGCCGCGTCTGATTCCCGAAGCTCCAGCAACAGCGGGCTGGCTGTCAGGTGCGGTGTTATCAGCCCGGGCACAAGCTACAGTAACATGGTCCTCCGATAAAGCCCCGTGCAGTTTCCCATCATTCGAGTGGCCCCAGGTGATGATGACGGGGTATGTAATGGTTCCCACTTTGTTATACCATGTCTTGTCATCGGCGCTACCTGCGTAGTCTGATAGGTACACGACTTGATGTGTGTCATTGAACTTCAGCGGAGCTGCAAGCGTCATTGGCATGGGCTTCGCGATATTCCGGATAGTTTGAAACTTACTGCTCTGCTGATCTCCGTTGAAGGGGCAGCCGAAGTCCTTCATGTTGTCCGGCAAAGTTGGACACGCACCGCCATCGACCGAGGTTTGGGCGTTCGCCACGGTCTTCTTGATGCCGTTTATGCATGCCGCGCTGAGCAGGCCGGAACAGGCGCCATCCCCGTGGAAGCCCGCGATCCCGTAAATTCCGTAGACGCTGATGCATGGTGACCAGGTGCCTGAATTACCCGACCCGGCTGTGCTGTTCACGACGGAGGGAGGTGTGGCACTACCTTGAGTCCCGCCGCCGCAACATGGCCCGGGCTGGGTGGATCCTATCCGTTAAGTCCCGGCACGGCGACAGCGGCCGCTACGTCGATTCCTAGCTCCCAGCCGTCTACCATCGTTGCCGGGTAGGCTTCGGAGATGTTCGGCCCATGGATCTTGAAGCTGCCAGTTGCATTCGGCGATAAGAGGACACGGGACAGATCAGCGTATGTAGGTGGTTTGGCGTTGCCACCTATAACTTTATCCCCGTAGGTGTTGGCCTGCGCTGAGATGCAGATAGCGTAGATTAGAGAGCTTATGATGCCGTTACGCAGAGGCATGGTGTACGACAGAAGATAGTATAATATGTGGAAACGCAGTGCTGAAACTTGACTATTACTCGGCGCAACGACAGGTACTGAGGTTTCACAGTCGAGGATTGTTTAACAAATTAACGGATTGATCACCCTGTGGGCAGTAATATATAAATAATCTCATCCGTAAGAGGCACTGTCGGAATACATTTTAGGTGCAGGGCACTGCAAAAAACGAACCAACAGTTCAATTGCATTGCTGTCACCGCCTCCTCATCGATTGGGTGACAATCTGCGAAGGAGCCATGTTATGATGTCTGAGCCACGGCGCAAGAGAAGGCGTTGGGGGCGCACTGGATTCTGGAGATATGTGTCTGTTTCATGCGCCAAGCATCAAATAATCTGTTGTCGACGTATGAAGTCATAAGAGCAGCGATGACATGCCGTCATAGCAGGCTGGGAAAGTTGGCCATCGAGAATACGCCCTGCAGCAACCCAAATTATCCTTTCGTTAAAAGGGTCATTACCATGTTCACATCCTTCTGTGTTTCCTTTTCTGCCGGGGCTGGTGCGGCACAATGCAGCCTCGCATCGTACAAGCAGCAACATTGGCGTCTTGACTCTGTGCGGAGTGCAAAAAAAGCCACCTGGTAAGCCTGCTTGTGTACGCCGTGGAGGTATTGTGTCGCATTTCTGGCGCCGAGTGCTTCCGAGGATACATCGCTGCCTTGAAGGCCGCGCCTTATGCACACGCCTCGAGATGTCGGAAGGCTGTAGATTGCAGTTGGGGGCAAGGGAATAAATGGACCAACATATATCCGCTCTCTGACTTCCAGCTCGACTTGCTCGTTCTAACCCAATAAGGGAGCATAATGGCAAAACCGAAGTGGTCGGCAAGTCTATAGATGCTTTTCGATCTATATCTCTCGCTCATAATTCCTCAGTCGCCCCTATACAATCAAGGTGACTAATCAAAATTCGGAGAGTCATAGGCGGTACAAAATAAGGTTCAGTGATTTATACAAATAAGACACAGACTCTTCCTCCCAGCTACAGAACATGGAACCAAATCTAACAATAAATATAATATTCAATTTCACTAAGCGCTGGTTCCGTTAGGCTGACCATTTCCGACCCTGAACGTCAGTGTCTCAGTGAAATGCCTATCAAAATGACTTGAACCATCTCTCTGGAATGTCAAAGCAAGATCTCATACAGCCACAAGTGCACCACAGAAGAAGTAGTGTAGTCCTGAATATGGCTGTATCCACAAGCAATGTTGCTCTATTGATCTTTTTTGCCACTATTTGGCCTGTTATTGCGTCCTTTGACTGCTTGTCACCGTTATGCTTGTTACCACTCTTGGTTTTGTTTCTATTCCCATCATTGAGTTTACCGAATGTAGACCATTGCCCTTCCAAGGCCATGTTTGCTGTTGAGTGAAGAGCATCCCCGTCAGATACGTGGCTATAGCTGTGACTTGTGCTATTGAGTTTAAAAAAAATTAAAATTTTTTAAAAAACCTTTCAAACCGGTTACATTGCTCCCTGACGACACAAAATATGGGAACCAACTTGACTTTCATTCCAGTCAGGGCCAAACTCGAACGTGGATGAGCTTTTCAGAAACTCTCCAGATACAGTGCCGTTCCGCGTGATTAACTTTTCGGGCTGCTCGGTGTTGTTTCTAGCAATTGGTCTCTTAGTTGAAAATATCCCTCACCAGCTTGGAAATGGTTTTAGCTTCACTTGGAAGGAAGTCCAAATGGGCCATCTAGACGCCGTTCAACTGTAACCTCGTATGTCACCAGGCTGAAATGGCAATCCTGGGTCGCATGGTGAGGTCAGTTCGTCCTCGACTTACACTCCGTAGAACGTTGACCAGTGACTTCCGTCGCCTCCCCAGACTTTGTCATGTTTCCTGCCAGTGCAAGTACTTCAACAGAACCAGTTAGAAGTGTCATGCTCAGCAAAGCACTTTGAATTGACAATTCACAATTTCTCTAACGCGGATCGCATTTGCGGGCCAACTCATCCGCCCTTTTCATAATTTCTGCCGTCCCGGTGCCGATAGAAAAGAAACACACATATCACCTTCACTAACCGCGGTCATTAGACTGATAAATCAAATTATGTGGCAGACTACTAGTCGCTAATTGGGCAACAGTAGAGCGCTGGAAACTCCACTTACTTAGTGTCTATAGTGGGTATACCTGCCTTACCACAAATTACTATGAGTGTGAACGGGAGTGTCACGCCGTAGTGAAGTAAATATCCCAAAGTCAGTCCCAGAGGGTTGACGTGGCTGAACACAGAGTAACCAAGTACAGACTATTCCACAAAACCCCAGTCTATTCCACACAGAATACACCCCCTTGTGCTTACTTGTGTCAGCACGACCAGCCTGGCTAGCTTGTTCGTTCAGCCGCACTCCTCATGTCGATTGGTCCAGGTACTTTTTCGCCCCCAATCCTCAGTATTATGGCCCACCCCGCCTCTCAAAACGCATTCTGCTTACGCCGAAAATTTTGAGCTCGGAAGAAGCATCGCATGGCTTAATCAACAGCCATGGACACGACAAGCGCTTTGAGGCGCGCATGCGTTGACGAGTTCGTCAAATCGCTGACATTGGACGAGAAGCGCCTGTTCCATGCGACCACACTCGCAGAGACGTTATTGCGAAGTCTTGAGGATGCCAACGCTGTACATAAACACAAGTGAGTGGGAGGCGGACATCAGCTTCATTCAAATGAGAACTGACGATATTGTTAGATCTGTCTCGAGAAGGGTGATGGAGGGATTGGTCCCATTCATCTCAGGTGTAGAGCAGTATTCAAAAGCCTTGGATGTCTTCGCAAATAGCAATGACTTGCTCTGTCCAATATGGGGTGGGATAAGAGTCGTTTTGACCGTATGTATGAGAACTAACTTGCTCCGTTCGATCTGACTAAAACCAATGGACTGACAGACCATAGTTGGCCATGGAATTTGGGGAATATTTTGAGAAAATAATGGATATGGCTAGTGACATTGGTGGCCTACTTAACCGCCTTCCTCGATACGCTCATCTCTACCCCAAGAATGACAAGCTGGAGCAGGCGATTAGAACAATATACAGTGCCATTTTCGACTTTTGCTCCCAAGCAAGGAACGTCTTCCGCAAGGGAGGCGAACGCACCTGCAGCATGAAATCCGTCCGGGATGTCGTTACTTTCGCGTCCGTTGTACGAATCCTGTGGAAACCGTTCAGCGTTCAGTTCGGCACCATCAAGAACCGGATCGAGAAGGCCGTTGGGATGATCGACGACGAAGCCGACCTCGCAGAGCGCGAGCTGGCAGCTCAAGAACGGCAGAAGGATGAGTCACGATGGAACAGGCTAGAAATCAGTCAGCGCAAAGTCGAAGATTTCGTCGACTTGGAAGAAATGACCAAGCTTGATGCGTGGCTTGGTTCAGCGAACGTAGCCGCCAACCACAAGGCAGCTTCTGCGCTCCGCCATGCTGAGACAGGGTCATGGTTCCTGGAGGGAGAATCCTTCAAGAGGTGGGTAGACACGCCAAACTCGTTCCTTTGGCTCTCGGCTATTCGTAAGTCAGACGCTGTACCAGATGTAGGATGTCTCTAAAACTCGTTTCACAGCCGGAGCGGGCAAGACAGTCCTTGCCTCAAGTATCATAAATTGCATCAACGAAAAGCTCAAGAACCCGCATGTGGGGTTTGGGTATTTCTATTGCGATTACAGAGATCCACTCAAACAGACTCCTTCCATTGTCCTGGGCACAATTCTTGCAATGCTTGCACGACAGAGCAAGGGTGTTCGTCAAGAGCTGAACCAGTTCTTCCTCAAACAATACCAGGAGTCACTGACTTTCACGGCATCGTTTGACGAACTTCGAAACAATTTCAAGACCTTTGTCGGGCCATATTTTGATTCGATAATCATTGTTGTCGACGGCCTAGATGAGGCTGGCCCTGTCAACAGCGATTGCTTAGCCAAGGTGCTCAAAGCACTACACAGAGAATATCAAGAATTGAACGTTCTCGTAACTAGTAGGAACGAACTGCCCATTGCGCGTGTATTCAAGAATCTTCCCATGACTTCTATCGAAGAGAAAGAAGTCGCAGGAGATATCAGCAGCTTCATCATTTCTGAGCTGGAATCGAGAATGAACTCCGAAGGGCGCGGCGTCCTGCGAATTCGGAGTCCGACATTGAAGGGTACCATCATTACTAGACTTATGGAAGGATCCAAAGGCATGTTTCAGTGGATCAGGTGTCAGATTGACGCACTCTGCGAACTAAGGACCGACAACGATATTCGCGCTGCGTTGAATAGTCTCCCAGAGACGCTTGAAAAGACTTATGAACGGATTCTGGATCGGGTAAACAAGAGAGATTCCAGATTTGTCCGCCGGACTCTGTTCTGGCTCGTCCGCGGCGTTCGCGATATGTCCGGAAACGAGATGACCACCGCGCTAGCGATTCGGCCATTCGACAGTGATACGTGTCTTGACGAAGGCGACATTCCCCATGTTGATGAGGTACTGGAGGCGCTTGGGGGATTGGTAACAACCTCCCCTGAAGGAATCGTCACGTTGGCTCATTACTCCGTCAAAGAATACTTAGAGTCTGAAGAGCTGAGGGCGACAAAACCACAGTTCTGGGTCGACAAAGCCTCTGTAGAGACTATTCTGGCTTCGGCATGCCTCACATATCTACTGTACGATGCATTTGATGAGGCTGTCCTGCCAGACGAAGAGGCTCTCATAGATCGATTGGAGGAACATCACTTCTTGAAATATGCCGCGGAAGCATGGGCACTACACGCTCAAAGGAGCGAGCAAGACGGCCATCAAAATGAGCACGTCGTTGACCTCACCACTCGGCTGCTCAACGCCCGAGAGGACTACTGCCAAAACTTCAACTCCTGGGCTGAAGTCTGCCATCAGCAGCACTTCGGGAAGCATTCAAGTCCAAGCGACTTCACCCCGCTATATTGTGCTGCTTTCTTCGGCCTGACAGAAGCAGCGAACATGTTTCTGAACGGCTCTGAAAACCATGTCATGTCCAATTGTTTCCTCGCGGCGGCTCGGAACGGACACGCCAAGATCGTCAAATTATTTCTCGAGACGACTGGCCCAGACCTTTCTCCTGACCCACCACTGAACTTGGGAAAGGCGCTCTATATTGCAACCTCGAATGGGCATCTCGAAGTAATCAGAACACTCCTAGACCATGGAGTAGATATTGAAGCACGCGCTGGAAAGGACGGAAACGCACTTCAGGCGGCAGCTTTGGCAGGCCAAGCCGACGCGGCGGAACTGCTTTTAAAGAGGGGTGCATCTTCAGCCGTCCCGTGCAAGAGGTACGGTACTCCGCTAGCAGCAGCAGCAGAAAAAGGACACGAGAGGACTTGCACCGTCTTGCTCAACCATAGAGCCAATCCGAATGGCAGAGGGGGCTGGTATTCACTTCCCTTGGTCTCCGCTGTCGTAGGCAAGAATATCAACATCATCCGCCTTCTGATCAAGAAAGGGGCAAAATTGAACTCCACTGGCGGCCACCTAGGGTCTGCCCTCATGGCGGCTGCAAAACAAGGTAATAACGATCTTGTTCGCGAGCTGATCGACAAAGGCGCACGTGTGAACGACGAAGACGACAAGACGAGTGACGCCCTCTATACCGCTTCACTTGCTGGTCATCTGAGCACCGTGGATCTTCTTCTAGAGCTGGGCGCTGATGTCAATGCGAAAGGAGGCAAGCATCGAAATGCACTGGGGGCTGCTAGTTCTGAAGGACACGTCAAAATCGTCAGGCGGCTTCTTGAAGCCAACGCCGATGTTGAATATTTCGACGAGACCAGTGGCAATGCGCTTCAGACAGCAGCTCTCCGTGGCCACAAAGACGTGGTGACGCTCCTCGCCTCTGCTGGCATGGACCCGAGTGCTCCGGGTGGTAACAAGGGCAGTGCTCTGGTGTGCGCTGCGTCAAGTGGCCAGGATGAAGTCATCAAAGCCTTATTCAAACTTGGAGTAGAAGCTGGATCCAATGAAAACACCACCAGCGCATTGGTGGCAGCAGCTATAGGAGGCCACGACAGCACCGTGAAGCTGATGGCGGTCTCGGGTGCAAATACCTCTGATATCAACATCCCATCACAGACCGACGCATACTGCACGCCTATTCAGGCTGCAGCTTCCAGGGGCCACATTGGGATACTTCGAACACTGGTCGAGCTCGGGTGCGATGTCAATGCCACAGATGAAGGGTGGTATGGCACAGCCCTCATCGCCGCCGTCGCGTCAAAATCCAGAACAACAGAGATTGTAACGATGCTTCTCGACCATGGTGCGGACCCGAACCTTACGGCGTCATCCGAGTGCCACTATCACGGGTTCCCACTCGTTCATGCCGTGCAAAGCGGCAGTGTCGAGGTGGTCAAAATCCTTCTTGACAGAGGTGCTGACGTGAATCTGCAGTTCGGGACCGTGCTAAACGCAGTCCAGATGGCTACAATTCACGAAGACCAGGCCATACTGAGTATGCTGATTGATAAAGGTGCAGACATCAACCTGACCACACAGCCCAAGGACCTTGATGGGTCAGACGTGGAGGCTGGGTTGACAGCAGGACCCATAACACCGTTGCAGACCGCGGCATGGTATGGGCACACAGACACTGTGAACAGACTAATCACGCTCGGGGCAAAACTCTCGGTAGACATCGATGGCCCTACCTTCAAGTCAGCATTACAAGTTGCGGCACACAATGGTTACCTCGAAACGGTCAAGGCGCTGCTCGCTGCTGGTGCTGACATCAATGAGCAAGGAGGCCTCATCGGCTCAGCACTGCAATGCGCAATCGCTGAGAGACAAACCGATGTCGCCATCTTTCTACTAGAGGCCGGCGCAGATGCCAACGAGCTTGATGTGGGCTGGTATCGGACTCCTCTTATCAATGCTGTGTGCTGCGGCGATGAAAGGGGGCCGGAACTGATCAGGTTTCTGGTCCAACGTGGTGCCGACGTGAACGCCCGGGCCCAGAATGATGTTCCCTTTGCTCTTCATGCGGCGGCCCAACGTACAGATTTCGACAAAGGCTTTTTAGAGGTCCTCATGGAACTTGGGGCCGATCCCAACGCCCAAGGTGGCCAGTACCACACCGCGCTACAGTGCGCTGCGCAAAGTGGTGACAATCTGACGGTAGAATATCTCCTCAAGCACGGCGCGGATCCAAACATCACAGGAGGCATGTTCCATTCGCCTCTGCAGGCTTCATACAAGTATGGCTACTACTTAGTCTCGGGCACTCTATACAAATACGGTGCCAGGAACGACTTACTGGGTGGTCTGGGAGGGTCTGCAATGGGCCTTGGATTGGGCGTCAGCACGGGAGACGAACATTTTGGTTGCTGTCCGACTCTCATCCAGCAACTCGTGACTGTGAGGAAGTTTGACGTAAACACCCAATATGGTCGCTGGGGAAACGCCCTGCAAAACTGCATCATGTGTGGGCGAGAAGAGGTGCTCTCTTACATGTTGAACGCGGGAGCTGATGTCAACAAGGTTGGTGGCAAAATGGGCACGGCATTGACTGCAGCTGCGTTCCAAGGTGTTATGGACGTTGTGAAGCGTCTCCTTGATCTGCAGGCAGCTGTGAATCTAGGAAACTACCGTTACCCGAACGCGGCATTTGGTGCAATCAGGGGCAGAGAGCCGGGGGTTTTGGAGCTTCTTCTAAAGCACGGTGTTGACGTGATCGAAGCCGTTGGCCAGTTCGGTACTGCACTGCAAGCGGCAGCGGGGATGGGAAGGGACAAAGAGGATTCTAGTCTCTCGATGGTGAAGATGCTCATCGAAGCTGGCGCGCCCGTCAATACCAAACCGTGCGGTCGTTGGGGAAGTCCTCTGCAAGCCGCGGCCGCGAAGGGCGACAAAAAGGTCGTTGAGTATCTTCTCGACCATGGAGGAGATGTCAACGCAAAGGGCGGCAGGTTTGGGAGTGCTTTAAATGCGGCAACGTTACAAGATGACGTCTCAGTCGTCAGCGTTTTGCTGAAGAAGGGGGCCGAAATCACGGTATCTGTCGGGAAGAAGTACTCGGGACCTCTTCAGGCAGCTGCTGCAGGCGGGTGCACAGATACGCTGCTTCAGCTTATCGATGCAGGTGCTGATATCCACAGAAAAGGTGGAAAGTACTGCACTGCGTTGCAAGCGGCGTGTGTCTACGGAAAGCTCCGAAATGTGAGGATCCTGGTCGAACATGGCGCTGAGATGAACGCAGCTGGAGGGTATTACGGCTCAGCGATCCAAGCTGCACTTATCTGCCAGCATGATGATGTTGTGCGGTATCTGTTACGGAAAGGGATAACACTTGACCAAGTAGATCGGAAATTGGTCAACAATATTGCAGAATTTGCTCTTGACGCAGCTGATGAATTATTAATGGAGGTCAAGGAAGGAATCGCAGACGATGAGACATCCGATTCAGGAACAGACCCACAACCTCTCGTTACTCAGAAGAAAACCCAAGACAAGCAGAAGCCTACGCGCTGGGATGCTGTCCGCGGGTTGAGCTTGCCAACACTGACCAAGATAGTCGTTCTGGCTGACGTCAAAGCACCGGCCTATTTCGGAGAAGACATCAAGGAAGTTGCCGCGCCTATCTCGCTCATCAGTGGCGATGAGGGGATATCAATGGGTACACGGGACAGAGATGGCCTGGCTACTCGTCCGAATCTGAATCGTGTGGCCAGGTCCATGCCTATCGTGCCGAAGCCCAAGTTGGATGATAGTCCAGACATAGAGTGGGATGTTCTAACATGCTTGCCGGTTGGAGAGATTGCACCTGTGAATAGTTGGTGATGACGGAAGACGCCTAGGTGAATACAACTTTTATGGGATAAGTTCAGAATGTAGATAGGTTGCGGAGCCTACTATAAAACGCTGCAAAGATCAGCAAATGTTTTAAGTTGGAAGATTTCGAGCTCATCCCTGTATGGGATTTGGAAGGAGCACTAAGGCTCATAGGGTTATCCAACCTCTCGGTTCCTACCTAGGCATTCACTCGGAAGTCCTAGTTAAATATATTCCAAATAATAGACAGTAAACAGCAATTAGACTCAATATTTCATGTCATTTCTATGAAATTCTCCATTTCAAAATTTGCAATCTCCTGAAGAGTATATAAGACCCAGTCTATTTAAAGAGAGCACGGAACTTCTTGGGTCAGCCATAGCCATCGTGAACCACGGCAGAACCTCGCTAAGCAAGAGAGGGGGGAAAGTCGTGTGTTGAATGGGTGTATTTAGGTTGAGTTTGCAATTGCAACAAAGCACACGATCATGTTGCCATCGTGAGAAGGCATCTGGGCTGATGTCTCCGACGGGTAACGGTCCAACTCTTTCGGGGGGTTTCGCTGGTTGAGACCTCAAATGTCCGGATGAAGAAGGAGGGTTGTCGCATGAATTGATCATGCTGTACCGCAAGCATTCTTCGGCACCTGATTGTGTGGTGGTTGTTCGATTCTGAAACAGCCTTATTGAGAATCCCAACAGCTCATTGGCCAGTGCCTGACGATCTCACTTTGCTGGCTCATCCAACGAGAGTCGTGAGTAGTGTGGGGGCCTCAAGCCAAGACTTGTGCGACTTACGCATTGGGAAGAACAAGAAGCACTGGAAACCTTATCTGGTGTTGGGCACCTCATCTAGCATTGATTGAAGAGATGCGCGGGTCTCTCATATGAGTCGGCACGCAGGACAAAGCTTGGCGGTAGCAGTGCGTGGGTTTTAATCTATCAGCTGAGACGGGAAGCCGGGTTTGGTTGCCTAATATTGCAGCATTCCGAGTTTGAGATTTAGCCGCTATATTACCTTGCAAACTCAGGCCCTCCAAACAGATGGAAGAGCAAGGTATAGTAGCATGTCTTGCCTGGTTATGCACTGACATGAGCCTCATTGTATTGGATATCAATATGTAAGGACCCAGCTATCACAATTATACCGTCACAGTGCACCTTCTGCAAATGATAACACCTCCAGCGTTGCAATGTGACCCGAGATCCCGGTTTGGCTTTACTCCTTCGCTGAATCATTGAGGGATTTGCTGAGCCGGTAAAATCTTATGATCTTCAAGATGAGGCACTGGTAATATAGTAGCGACGTAAAGAAGCCTTGCAGGAGTAGTGTGCTCCGTCTGTATGTTCCTGAGTATCAGCCTTGAAGCAGAAGCTCTCCATCCGACGAAGCCATGCGTCTCGTAGGCTGGCTTGCAATCCCGCTTCTCGTACCCCAGGTGCTGGTGGTCCATGGAGAAGTCCCAAATTGTCCTTTCTTGGGACCTGTGTTTCCCAAACCCACGGACTTAGCGTCATCCGACACCATTAAACAGGCAGTAGAGGAGCTGCAGTCGACCTTCGAGAAGTACGATACCAATCCGGCTAACAACCCTAACGGGACATCATGGTCCATTCAAGTCTTCTCAGCATCTCAAGACCAGCCTGTCTGGGAACATTATCATACGGCACCCAATGTCAACACGTCGTACGTCAGCGTGGTGAATGGAGATACAATCTATCGTCTTGGAAGCTTGACAAAGATATTCACCATATTAACCTTCCTCGTAGAGGTTGGCGATAAAGACTGGAATACACCAATCACGGAGTACGTTCCTGAGCTAGGTCAAATTATGAAAGACTCCAAGCATGACCCTGTAATGGATGTAGACTGGAATGAGATCACGATTGGGGCACTGGCAAGTCAGACGGCTGGAATCGTAAGAGACTGTAGGTTAAAAGCATCGCAGATCTCAAATAAATATTAATCTCCATGCAGACGGAATCTTGGGGGAATTGACTCAAGAGCACAATCAAACCGAGCTTCAGTCGCAGGGTTTTCCTCCAGCGCCGCTAGAGCAGACACCAGTCTGTGGCGAGTACTACCTATGCACAAGAGAGCGTGAGTACAACCACAGAAGTGCAACTGCTCGACTTCAAAAGCTGACCGCCTGGGTAGAACTTTTCGAAGGTTTGAGCATTGTGCCACCTTCATGGAGTCCACACACAACCCCGGGCTACAGTAACCTTGGTTACCAGCTCCTGGCATACGCACTAGAAGCGATGACTGGAAAGAACTTCTCGAACATGCTCATCAATGACGTTATCAGCCCTTTGAGCTTAGACCACACGTTCTATGCAAAGCCAAAGGACGATTCACAAGGCATTGTACCAGACGGGAATGAACAGGGATGGGGCTTCTGGCTTGGAGATGCCAGCCCGTAAGTGTCGAGCCCTACGTATGTTCCAGAAGCTCAAGACACTCACTGTGTACCTTCAGCACGGGCAATATGTACTCATCTGCGAATGACCTGGCTACACTCGGACGCGAGATATTCCGCTATACGCTCCTCTCCAAATCTCAGACCCGGCGCTGGTTCCAGCCTGCAGCTTTGACGTCAGATTTCCAAGCAAGCATCGGATATCCGTGGGGCGTGCGGCGGATACAGCTCGGCTCGGGGACGGACGCCAATCGTGTCGTGGACTCGTATGGGAAGGCAGGTAGCATCAATCAGTACCAGGCACTGATGGTTATGATACCCGACTACGACGTGGGGATTGTGGCGCTCCTGGCCGGTCGGTGGCCGGGGAACGCCAACTGGGACATTGCCGACCAGATCGGCAACATCTTGCTGCCCGCACTAGAGACGACGGCACAGCAGCAAGCCGATGCAGCGTATGCCGGGACCTACACCAGCGCAGACCCGGATCTGAACAGCACCATTGTGCTGAGCACCGACTACTCGCGGCCCGGGCTGGGGATCGACCGGTGGATTAGCAACGGGACGGACATGATCCCGGTCGCGGTCCGCTACACGCTCAACTACAACGTCACGAGCCCGATGATCCGGCTCTATCCCACGCTGCTGGAGTCCAACAGCAGCGGGGCGATGCGGAGGGCCTTCAAGGCCGTGGTGGAGAACCTCGACGCGACCGACCAAACGGACAAGATGTTCAGCACTAGCTGTGGGTCTTGGGTCAGCCAGACCACCGCGGTGTACGCTGACATGCCGCTGGACCAGTTTGTCTTCGAGTACGGTGATGATGGCCGGGTCGTCAGCATCGAACCCTTGGCTCTGAGAGTTGCTTTGAAGAAGGCAAGCTAGAGTAGAATGCAACCACACTAGACAGTTGTATATAGTGCGCAATACACGTAGACCGACTATGTTAGTCCATTCATCTGTACAATAGGTATCCTTCCATACGTATATTTGGGCGTTTATCGGTTTCCTTCAACCCGCCTTCTATAGGAGTTAGCCCAAAGTCACAAATAGCAGCATTGTCATCAATTAAAGGGCAGAGTGTAGAGTAAGGTAATGTATTGGGGTTGCAAGTGACGTGCTACGTTGGTATCATCTATCTCAATCTTGACTTTCCAATCCAATCGACATCGACACGCTGGCTGTAAGCAAAATACATAATGGCTCCTCGTATGCTTCATTAACATTGACGTTGTCTTGTCATAGACGTATTGCGCTTATATCATCCACCAACTGTTTCCAATATACCAACCGGTGATCGAATCTGCTGGCTAGAGTTCCATCCGTGCCTCGCCCGAAGGCAACTCAAGAGGACCATCTACCCCAGGGGTGTAGGCTGCCTGCTCAAGAGCGGGCAGTGTGGGCTTGGCAGCCTGCGAGGACTCCGTCATAGTCACAGTAGCCTTGACTCGCATCGTCTCCGTCTCGGTGACAGTTTCAATTCTCAGGGTCTCAGTCTCAGTGACTGTCTCCATAACTCGTACAGTAGTTCTCTGGGTGCTGATCTCCTGCGAAGCCGATCGCGAGACTGCAGGCTCAATAGCTTTCGCAGGAGGCTCAAGGATCCCACTTTGGGTCGAGCAAGGATCCTGGGCGCTGTCGATGCTCTTAGGGGCCACACTCTCGGGTGTAAAGCTTGGCTGCGATGCGTAGCTCTGCGAAGTCGTGGCATAGCTTACAACAGGCTCTGCGATGGGTGCCGAGTCCTGCACAAGCTGAACTGGCTCGGGAACAGTCGAATGCTGGATCTGTGGTGCCATCTTTATCTCAAAGGCAGTCGAATCAACGCGAGGTTGCTGGGGTGTGGTGCGCAAAGCCATAAGAAGCACGAAAATGCTCAGCGCGATGATTACGATATTCTTGCGGTCTTGCATGAGGACCTTGACAGACTGAAGCAGCAGCTCCGATAGTGAATCGGACTGATAGGATCGGCGACGGCTCTCTCTGCGCTCATAGGCCTCCTCTGAAGGGGACCGAGGCGAAGGCGGCGGAATGTACGAATCAGGGTGTGAGTGATGTGCTTCAGAACTGTATTCTGTTGGCAGTTCTGGCGTAGTGCCGTAAATCTCCCGCAACCGCTCTTCATCCTGTCGTCGACGCTCCTCGCCCAGTGATCTGCGTCCAGTGGCAGGCTCTGGTTGCGTGGACGAAATCTCGAGTTGTGCATGGATAAGATCAGGCTGCTCACTCGACGCCGTATCTTGCTGCTCTTCGACTTGTTGCATTATCTCCGATGCGATATCCAGCTGTTGATGCTGTGCTGCCTCGCGCTCTTGTAGAGCAGCTTCAAGGCGAGCCAACTCCTCGTGGAGGCCTGGCTCAACGACTGGCTCAAGTTCGACGTCCACTCGCTCCATCTCCTTCCAACACGCGGCCCAAGCACCCGCCCTCATAAGTCCGTTGCTAGCATAGACCTTGACGCGGAAGATCCTGCCGGCGCCAAGTGAATCATACCGAATATCACTCTTGCAGGTGTTGCACCAATGTCGCTTTGCCTCGGGATGGATAGTTTCATAATCATCCTCTCCTTCAGAGTCGTCACCAACGCTATGCTCATTGGCCGGGCCGAGGTAATGGCCGCATTCCAATATCCGAGCGCGTCTGCGCATGGGCAAGTCTAGTGCTTCCAGGAGGCGCTCCTCGAGAATCTCATAGTCGTTCTGAGGATGGCCAAGAAGGATGCCCCTCTCGAGCACTGTGTCGCCCATCCGGTCTTGCAACATCCTCCACGATTCGCGAAGAGTTTTTGCCTCATCACTCATCTCTGACGGGTCCAGGCTATCAATCACATCGCCCCACATCCATCGGAGCGGCACAAGCGTAACGTGAAGAAGGACAAGAGGTGCCTCCTTGACCTTGAACCGAGATGGCGTTCTGTTCTTGGGCGAGTATTGCGCAGACGCAACCGGGCTCCCAAGACGTGACACAGTTGGGAAAGTCCGTTTGCTTGATCGAGGCGAGCCAAGCACGGATCCAAAGACTGACGGGGCTGGCGAGGACATCTGCATAGCGTGGACATCGGATGGTGTGCGGAAAGGAGGACGAGGCGTGCCCCGTACTGTGGGAATGAAGTCGTCGTCTCTGTCATATTGAGAGATGTCCGAGATGCGGGGCGTTCGGGTAGCTACCGTGACATTGTCAGGTACTGCGGTGCCCTTGCCAGACTCAGACCCTCCATCGTAAGAACCCAAAGAGCTTCTGGGGCTCTTGTCACTAAAGACATCCTCATCTGTGCCTTCGTGATGGGAGCTGCTGTCCGCTGCTTCATCGGCTGGCTGTGGAGAGCTTGACTCCTCATGGAATGAATGCTGTATCTGCGACTCCTCGTGAAGCTCACTGTGATCTTCCACGGATAATTCACTTTGATCGTGTTGCTCGCCGTCAGAGGCAACTGTATGAGAGCTCAGCACAGAGTGATCGCCTTGGTCGCCATCTGTCTGGTAACTCATAACTGAGTCATCGCCATGGTCCTCATGCTCTTGACTGCTTCGGTGTGTCTCCATTTGAGCCACAATATCTCGAGCAGCAGCCTGTATGAGTGCCTCGGTGCGTGCGGAGGCTCTTCGAGGTGAGGGCTTCCGTGACGAGGTCTCCTCGCCCATGTCGTCTACGATTTCGCTCTCTATGCTCGGCATAACGGACTCTTCTTCCGCTTGGACATCGACTCCATGATGACTAGCTTCGTCATCATCGACAATTGAATCCTCAAGGTGTGAGTGGTCTTGGTCCATGTCCGCGTTGTCAACATCGTGAATGGCATCGTCAATCGGTGCGTCCTCCGCGGCGTCTCCGCCTTCGGCCGGGTCTATAACTTCGTTCTCATCGTCGTGCTGTTGGGAAGCGATGCTTGTGTCCAAGGCAGAGTCATCCGCGTCTTCTGTGGCCTCGACTGTCGTCTCGGGTACGTCGACTTGTGGCTCTCCTTCGTGAGTGGTAGCCGGTGCATTTGCCGCGACACCTTCAGCAACCTCAACATCGCCATGCTGGGACTTGACGTCGTCGTCCATCGGTGCGCTCAAGCAAGAAGTGTCAACGTGAATATCAAAGTCAAAATTGGGTTTGTGTCTACGTCGGGGCATTGAAAGCTGTGGTCTGTCGCCAGCGGAACTTTGTTGATTATATCGGTGTTGCTGTGATCCGGGAGCTCTGGCAACCGCCCTGAATTCTGATTCGATGAATGAGGTGTGTTCCACAGTCAATGATCTGGCACGATATGGTTTGCTGCGTCTCTGGTTTGAGACTTTCTAGCGGTGGGCGCTGGTTGGCGAGCTGCCGGGCGGTTGTTTACTTGCGGTTGCCGGGCCAGGAATTACGGGCGCCGTGGGTCGTGGGGAACAACCCGCTTGGCTCTGGCAACGCCCCCCCTATCTTCAACAGAGGATCCACTGCGAGGCCCGGCTTCAATTCATCTGGGGGAGGGAAATCTACGACTGCGATTCAATTAGTTTGCTGTCGTAGAGGTAGTACGTAGATCACAGCATGCGATATCTGTTGGCGGCTGTTATCCTCTGACTGGCCTTCAAGCTGCTCAAACATGTTTGTCTTGGCACCCACATAGCCAGCTTTTGGGCGTTTTGACGTCATCTCTGCGCTTCAACTGCCGCAACGTCGCGGCAAAACAAGGAGAATAAGTTGGCATAGCAGGTCTCCGTTGTCCAAAGGTTTCGGAATGCGAAGTCATGTCTCATTCCCCCAGAGATGAAGGGTCGTGTCTACACGCAGCTCACCGTCTTACTGCACCTCTCAACGTTCTTGGTGGAACCCTAGCGAAGGTGACACGCTACCGGTCGCCGAAGCCGACCTGCAGCTTAGGTACTTGTGGATTTAGTGCAGATGTTAGCGGCCTTGCCCTCTGACGTCATCCCATCGTCGGTCTGCTCCTACGGCTGCGATCCAGCCAGGAGACGGGAAAAGATTGCTAGCCCCTGATTAAGTCTCTGGGAGTCTAGATCTCCGTCTGTCACCAAAAGCACGCATGAGCTCCATAATGCCTGGCGTATCAGCTGATTCACCATGCACGCAGACGGCCCAGGCTGGTATGGCCATCCTAGCATCGTGTCCAACCAGCCGATGGGGGGCGGCGCTTCAGCTGCAGTAGGCTGCGATAAGTGCCGCAATCCGTAATGGCCTGCATGTGCGCGTTCCAAGGCACGTTCAAAGGCTACGGGTATGGGCAAGCTGAACCGAAAAGGGCCCTGTAATCAGTCGCAGTCGTAGTCGTAGTCGTAGAAATATGATTGCAGAGCCACCTCGTGCCTCCCTGTGAATCCCCCTCTGCTCAATCCTCTCTTCACCAGCAGTAGCTCCTCGCATTCAATTCGCTTGCTTAGCCCAAGGTCATTCAGGATGGCAGAGGAACAGAAACCCACCCCGGAGAACATGACCATGCTGCAAGGCTTTGAATGGTATGTGCCGGCAGATCAGAAACATTGGGTGCGCCTAGAGAAGCATGTCCCGCAGCTCAAGCAGTGGGGAGTCGACAACATTTGGATCCCCCCAGCGTATGTTTAGCAGCCCCCATAAGAGCGCCACTGTCTGACATCCAGGTGTGTGTAGATGCAAGGGCTCGTCCACCTCTGGGAACGGGTACGACATTTATGATCTGTACGACTTGGGCGAGTTCGACCAGAAGGGTGGCGTCGCTACCAAGTGGGGAAGCAAAGACGATCTTCTAAAGCTCGCTGAGACGGCAAAGAGCAGTGGCGTTGGACTGTATTTCGACGCCGTCTTGAATCACAAGTTCGCTGCAGATCGCAAGGAGAAGTGCCAAGCCGTGGAAGTTGATGCCGAGGACCGTAACAAGAACATCAGCGATCAATATGAGATCGAGGCTTGGGTTGGCTTCAACTTCCCAGGCCGCAAGGACAAGTACAGCAAGATGAAGTGGCATTGGTATCACTTCAGCGGTGTCGACTATAACGCCGCCAACAACAAGACCGGCATCTTCAAGATCATGGGCGACAAGACGAAGGGCTGGGCAGATGATGGTGACGTCGACAGTGAAAAGGGCAACTAGTAAGTTTTGGCCATGCGAAATCATCGGTGTTCCATGCTCACGTGAACGTAGCGACTTCTTGATGGGCTCAGACATTGACTACGATCACCCAGAGGTTGTAGAGGATACTCTGAACTGGGGCAAGTGGCTGGCAAAGGAACTTCCCCTGAAGGGCATTCGGTTCGATGCTATCAAGCATTACAGCGAAGAATTCCTCCGCCAGTTCATCACAACGTTGGATGAGACCTATGGCCAGGGCTGGTTCTTCGTGGGTGAGTTCTGGAAAGACAGCCTGGACGACATGACCCGCTACCTGGACCGCATGAACAAGAAGTTCTCGCTCTTTGATGCACCGCTGGTCTACAACTTCAGCGAGATCAGCAAGGGCAACGGTGCCGATCTCAGAAAGGTGTTTGACAAGACTCTGGTGTCAGTCATGCCCGTCAACGCTGTTACCCTGGTTATGAACCATGACACACAACCGTACCAGGCGCTCGAAGCCCCTATAGAGGGCTGGTTCAAGCCATTGGCGTATACTCTCATTCTGCTCCGCAACGAGGGCTACCCCTGTTTGTGGTACGGTGATCTCTATGGTATCGACCCCAAGGGTGAACACCCCTTCCCACCCTCGTGCGGCGGTGCCCTCCCAAAGCTTGCCCTTGCCCGGAAGCTGTACGCGTACGGAGAGCAGGCGGATTACTTTGACTATGCGACGTGCTTGGGCTGGGTTCGCTACGGCACCTGGGACAGGCGTTTCGGATGCGCTGTAGTCCTCAGCAATGCAGGTCCTGGTGAGAAGCGGATGCACGTCGGAGAGATGCATGCTGGTGAGGTGTGGACAGATGTTCTCGGCTGGTCAGACAGGGAAGTTACTATCGGCGAGGACGGATTCGGAGTGTTCGTCTGCGGCGGCACGAGCGTCAGCATCTTCGTCAACCGAGAGGCGGAAGGCAGAGAGAAGTTCTCGGAAACATTGTAAGTGATTCACGTCTGATGTTGAATTGCTTAGAGACACTAACAAACGATTACAGTAACGACAAAATTTATGACGAATAGATCTGATTATTACGAAGTAGATGATAGATATACAGGTACTAAGAACAAGGCATTCAGGAACTCAGAAAGCGAGACAACCCGTATCGGCTAATTTGCAGCCGTTCTCTCTGGGGTTCCTGTGATTTCCAGGAAACTGGTCATGATACATGCCCGATGCCCAAGTGACCAGTCCCATTGATATTGGTTCTTACATGCATTGTCACTCGCGCCAGTTTCTCATCGCTTGAAACTAGTTTTTCCACAAGCAGATGGTATCCGACGGCACGACATTAATACAGAGACCTCTGTTAGGTCAGCTCTTGCCTGCACGCATGTTAGTAGTCATCTTGGTATTCAAGAAGCATTCAGCGTTTAAAGGTGGTATGATATACCGTAATTCGTCTGAGACGGTGACCAAGCTGTCCATGATGCTTGGGAAGACTGTATATGGATTGCCCTAGCTCAAGACGAGGTCCATTCTGATATGCGGGTGCCTTTAGCCTGGCCACTGTACTACGATTTTCGATGCTACGATTCATCTCAAGACTATATTGAAGTTTTAAACCAATCAACCTACCTATCAAGTAACCCTGCAATCCCCGTATACCAAGTTTCCTTGGATGGAGATCCTTTGCTTAAGTAGATGTTAGATCATAAGAGACTCGTAATGCATTCCATCCCGCGTGCAGAACGTATAGCTGATATCCACCCTCGCCACAGACTGTACCCAAGACATAGCTTCGATCCTCTGCCACACGGGAATCTGTGCCATGTTCTTTACTATTTCCATCTTGCTAGACCCGCCCTCTTCAATCTCGATTACCCGGTCAACCAGCCTGGCAGCAGAAATGCTATCCCAAACCGCCTCCCGTATCGGTTGCCGTCGCAAGATACTCAAGACCTCGCGTCGGACCATAGGATGCCGGCATTTGACCCCGATTATGTACAACACGGGTATGATCCCGATCTCCGGCGTGAAAGTCGGCGTTAACGACCCCGAATACCGCTCATGCGCCGCCGCTACATCGTCCGCCAAGACCAGGCATTGCTGGAATTGGGGCAGGAAGTTGTCATATTCCATTTCTCTCCCAGGTCCGTAAGCACTGAGCAACGTCCATGCGATAGTATATTGTAGGCGTAGCAGTGATATGAGTGGGTAAGACTTAGGACCTGACCTGCCTTGTTGCAGCGCGTTTCCGAAGAGACTCGACCACGTTTCCAACTGCTGGAGAACGGTAGCCCTAAACGACGAAGGTGACGTTTGAATCCTCTCCGCCGAGGACATTTGCTGCTCCATGTTGTGCAGTCTCATTACCCGGGCGACGATGATCTGGAGGTAGTCGGCGGCTTGGTCAAGAGACCGAAAGGCGCTGTCGGAGGGTGGCAGTTGGGGCCAAAGTGTCTCTTGGATACCGGCGGGAGTCCAGTCAACCAGAAAGACTACAGCCTGCATATCGAGACGGTGGATCTGTTTTGTGACCTGGTAGATAAGCGCGCGAACCTCTGAGGAGTTTGCATTGTCATATGTGTTGTCCAGTATAGTCTTATCGAATTTTCGTGAGAGCTCCACGCCTCCACGTAGGTGCTTCATTGCTTGTACGTAATTGCCTGCCAGATGATCAAAGCAAGTGAAGAGATAGCAGACCAAGAGGGTAATGGCTGTTGTTTCGGTGCTGTCACCAATTTCTCGATTCAGAAGAGATTGAATGGACCGATTATAGTAAAACAAGGGAGACTTATCCGGTGGCAAGTTATGCAGGGGTCGCCGTTGGTGCAATTGGTCGCTAGAATTGCGTTCCAGGTAGTTTCGGTAGATCAAGCCCAGAGCAATGGCAGCATACCGCACTGATGGTACTGTTTGGGAGAAGAACATAAGAGTCTTCCGCCACGACTCGCAGGGGTGATATTCGTTCAGATGCTTGATCGAAATATATTGGAAAAAACACATCGCCTCTGTCTGGTCTGACGCTGTCGCTGGTAACAACATAAAGGGTCTGAGATTCTGCGAAATCAGGCCATGGGTTTTTGCGTGCCATCGTTTAGACTGGTAATCAATGATCGCGGTTTGAAGGTGGCAATTATGGCAATCCTCTGCTCTGTTGACCTTCTCGTTGTGATAATGGCTTGAATTGATCTCGGTCTTAGAAGCCGGGGGCATTTCACTATAGCCGTCACAGGTGCGACCTGTGGACTGGCATTTCAAGCATGAAGGCAGAGATAGATCGCATTTTATTCGTCTGATTCTGTGAAGCGCACCAAGGCTGGGTGTCAGTTTCTGGGTTTCCAACACATTTGATCGTAACGTAGCAATAAACGGATTCCGGACTCACTTGCAAGTCTTACAGCCTAGCCTTGACTTTGGAGCGAAGTTGCGAGGCTTTCTGCGCCAATCTTGGCTGGCTTTCTTCGTGTTCTCGTTCTTAATGCCGTCCATCGTGTTAATGCTAGCTGGCTAAGATTTGCAGGAGGTGTCGTTTCTAGCAGAAGACAATTCTTCGGCGACTACGACGCATAAGCCGCCAGTTGAACGGAGCAATAGTTTCAAAAAGCAAATAAGATCAGGTGATCATTAGATTTCGGGAGGATCGTCTGTTCAGCTGTTCCTGTCAGCAGGCAAATCATCTCTCACATCATGTACAATGGACTCTTCAATTTGAAAAGACGGACGAGGAAATAACAAAAGCCTGAAGAGGGACCGAATACCCCAAAGATAGGCCAGGGACAAATCCTGATCGAGACCTAGTGCTTATGGAAATAGATGCTGATTGGTTGGTTCGTACAAGCGGGGCGCCAAGAAAGCAGAGCCCCACGGCACAGAAGGAGCAGGGGTACCGTAGACACAGATATTGATTGGTCAGTTCGTACCACATACGTCAGGATAGGAGAGTTCTTACCTACGTACCCAGCTGGTATGTAGACAAGGTGAGGAGAGAAGAAAATAGACTTGTGAACCTCGGTGGTGTTGAAATAGGCATTGATTGGCTATTTCGTACAAGCGGAGTGCCACGATAGAGTGCGCAGCAGGGATATGGCGTTGAAGTAGACAATGCGACTCCCAGATCAAATGTTTTCTTGGGCAAGTCAAGTGGTATAAATAGTTCGCTGCTATCAGTGTGTACCAATTAGCACAAACCTATGTTGCCACTTTCCTGCAAGCAACACAACAGAAAAGTCTATGAGAAACCCAGATAACAATGAAACGACTCGTGTATTCGCTCGTTCTATTCACGAGCTTGGGATGCAAAGCCGATAATTGGCATGATCCGCGCATGGTTTATGGTTTTGACAATGTGAGTCTTGGACTTTGCGAAACCACGTTCTCAACCGTTTTGAAGCATTCTGACTAGCCATGAAGATCGAACCCTCGGCCAATCTTACGTGGACTTCATGTTTTGATAACTTTACATGCTCTAGACTGGAAGTTCCTTTAGATTATTCGAACAGAAGTCTTGGTACGACGTCAATCGCCTTCATTAAACTGGCTGGCAAGAATGCCACCGTGAACTCTCCAAGTATTGTACTCGTCCCCGGTAAGATCTCGAGCATATCACTGACATGGAGTAACCTCAATTCCGTGTGACCAGACTGACACTTTGCAGGCGGTCCGGGCGCTTCTGGCGTCGACCTGCTCCTTGGGCAAAGCAGCACCACAGGGCAAATCTTCGGAGAGCAGTACAACGTGATCTCCTTTGACCCTCGCGGTGTCAATAACAGCGGCCCGCGTCTCGACTGCTTCTCGGGGAGCACAGAAGCAAGGTTGACTTTCAATCGTCTGCACCGTACAGGCGCTACCAATATCTCTTCAACCTCGCTTGAGGAGCAGTACTATTCAAGCTCTATCTACGGAGAGTGGTGCAACGACGCTGCTGAAAATCAGTCGCCCCATGGATATTATGTGACTACGCCAGCGGTCGCGCATGATTTACTCACATTTGTAGAGGCAGAGGCCGAGTTGGCGGGTCAGTCACCATCAGACGCCAGACTATGGTGTTATGGAATCAGTTACGGTACCGTCATTGGCACCACTTTCGCTTCCATGTTTCCCGACAGAGTTGGGAGAATGATACTCGATGGTGTCTTGGACGCAGAACAATACTATGATAATGACTGGAGGGACAACGTCGATCAAATGGACGAGACCATGGAAATGTTCTCAAGCTTCTGCCATTCTGCAGGACCTGAGACGTGTTCGTTCTGGGGACCCACGCCAGCGGACATTACAGCCAGGATGGATTGCATCATCGATCAGCTTCAGAACCATCCGGTTGCGCTAAGCGGAGTCCAAAGTCGAAACCTGCCGGAATTAGTCACCTATTCGGACCTAAAGGCCCTTTTCATCAATGCCACCTACGCCCCACTAGCGTCCTTCCCAGACATGGCCGACATCCTACACCAGCTCGAGCATGGGAACGTGTCTTCTCTAAGAGGCAAGTTTGTCGGGCAGGATATTACGTCCGACGCCCGTCTCGTTATTCAGTGTACCGATTCGTACCGGAGAAACAGGCTTACTACCATTAAAGAATTCGGGAGTTACGTCGAGTATACGACTTCCAAGAGCAAGTATATCGGTGATATTTATCCTATCTTCCTGGAGACTATCTTGTGTAGATCATTCCGACCACAATTGCCTGATAGCATGGTGGTCCAAGGTAAGCAACCCTGTTTTCCTCTCTGTCTCTCTCTGTCTCTCTCTCTCTCTCTCTGCAAACGTTCTACAAACTTCATCTTACGAAAAGGTGATTAAATATAACTGCATTGGAAACAAAACCTAACAAGTCTATTTCTCGTGTAGATCCAATAAATGGACCACAAAGGCCTACGTCCTTCCCGATCCTATTCGCGAGTAACACTATCGATCCTATAACGCCTCTGGTATCGTATGTTTCGGCTATGTCTCGTTCTCAGCTATGTCGCTAATCAATTTCCCCTCATCGCAGGGCGCGTAAGATGTCTTCTCGATTTCCCGGGTCGATACTTCTATTACAAGAAGCTGTTGGTGTAAGTTATCTAATCCTCAATCACACATCATCCCAAAAAGGAAGCTCACTGTGGGTTATTCTCCTCGAATGCAGCATACAGTCGTCAATCAGCGGGCATCAGACTGTTACTTTGAACATGTTCAAGCATACCTTCAAGGCACACTTCCGCCGTCCAACATTACATGCCCGCAGCAGCACATACCCTTTATCGACGGCGCTGTCTAAGAAGTGGTCAAGCCGCGGTCACTTACCAAAGTACTAGTCTAGCGGTTAGAAGGCTGTTTTGTATGGGTTTAAGCTATTAATTGAATGTAATTGTGCTTGTAAAAATGAATGGCTACTTGATGTACGACGCATCTTGCTATATATGTATATCCATTGTACCCTTCTAGGGCCGTGGTTTGGGACTCCGCCACCTCCCTCGATGGCTTGTTTACATGCAATGCTCGTGCCACGGAATATCGAAAACGACCTACCGTGTTGGTATAGAAAGCCGCACTGAAGGCTGACATTTGACATGACAACTCAGAAGTACATTAACCGCAATTCCCTCCCCTTTTGCCGATCCCGGCCCCATAGTTACTTTGACAGCGGCTATATCTCCCCGAAAACAACACGCACCACCGCTTTTGGCAGAAATCAAAAGGTCACTAAGCCTACCATGACAACACCCAGCACGAACGCGGCCGGAGAGCCCTTCAATCTCAAGAAAATATGGGTAACCCTCCTCACCAACCGTGCCTATTTCGAGGAATCTTAGTTCTCAACCACAGCTTGCGAAAGACCAACAGCCGCTACCAGCTCAAAGTCATGGCGACGCGCGATGTCGAGGCCGACACCCAGTACATGGACGCCTTTGAGGTTGCCGGAATGCCCGCCATAGCTGTCGACAAGATCTAGCCCGCGCCTCGCGACGGTGAAATCAATAAGGGGACCTGGGGGAAGTTGGCTCCCTGGGGGCTTACCGAGTATGAGAGGGTGGTTCTGCTGGATAGCGATCAGGTTATCTTGCATAATATCGATGACATGATGGAAATCCAGGTTCCCAAGGGCGGGATTGTTAGTACTCATGCTTGTACTTGCAATCCGCGCAAGTCACCGCATTACAGTAAGGATTGGTAAGTAGTACTTTCCTTTATGGAACAGTCAACGAGGTAGGGGAACAATGGAAAGGGAAAGAAAGAGAAGGAGCAGAAACTTGCAAAAGCTTTCGTCTGTTTACTATCAGACTGTCGTTCCAGCTTAACATCTCTTCTCTCTCTCTTTCACAGGATCCCCGAAAACTGCGCCTTCACCGCCGCAAATCAACAAACCGGCGAGCCCGCGTCCATCATCGATGGCTAATTGCCCGAGAATCACCACCTACTCAACAGCGGCACCGTGATCCTCGAGCCTTCGCAGAACATTTCGACAGCCTGATACACACAATGAACACGGGCCCCTCCCTCCCCACCATGCTTTTCTTCGACCAGGACCTGCCGGCTCAATAAACGGCGACCTTTCCCATACTCGTACAATGCCCTGGAGCCCATGCGGTCGTGTCATCCGTTGCGGAAGGATGAGGATGTCAAGATCTTGCATTACATCTTAAAAAACTGTGGAAGAGCAGGGAATATAATATTGAGGATGTGATTGAGTCAACGCATGCGGTTTGGTGGGAGGTTTGAGCGGAGGTGGAGAGTCAGTGGATGGAGAGCGGGGAGGCGAAGAAGAGGGAGGGTTGCCAATCCATTATCAGGCCTTTGGTTGCTTTCTAGTTGGTAGTGATTGTGGTCCGTAGCCCTGAGTAAGGGGTGTTTTTCTTGCGTCAATGCGGATTGGGTGTGAGAAAATGGCGTGACAACTGATAGAAGGAACGGAGGGCTAGCCCAACTCTCTCCATATGGGAGCTTTCGCAATTGAGACGCGACCTTCCCAAGACATGCCTAACCCTTCACCGGCTGGAATAGTCGGCCACCGTCCGCCGGCGAACCCCCTTGAAGTTCGTGCAAAGGAACAGACACTTCGTGTACTGCACATTTGTACAAGACTGGGTTACCCTTCATGCGGACTTGCTAGCAAGGGCAGATCATACACCGAAGAGTTTCTTAACTTCATCTCCAGTCTACCTTAGCAGATATGGCTCGAGGCCAAGCCATTCTGTTCAACACTTATGGTAAACTATGCCACCCATTCGTATCCTCATTATCCAGCTCCTGCAAGGTTGCTACACGTCTCTAAAGCAACTTCCATCATCGGGAGAACAGTGATCGCATAGGGCTATGACTTTAGCCATGATAAAAACCCACGTCACTCTAGGTCCACCTCAAGGCGCAGTCCACCTTTCAAGACCTCGAAGGAGCTGTCTGTTGCTTCCCCGGTCTTCTCATTTCTTGGCAAGACACCATTCTATAGCTTTAGAATCCAGGAGCTCAACCAGATGGTGGATTATGTCCCGGCTGTTGGCGTCTTGGTGCAGAGGTCTGACGCCGGAAGTTGGGTGCTCGCCGTACCTAGTAGTGGTTGAGAAAGTTGCTCGTCCTGCACCTGGGCTGGTTGATTCCCCAATTTCACTTCGGGGATAGTCTCATGGGCAGTCCCAAGAAGATCAACTGAATTCAGGGCTCACGTGGCAAGTAATGCACGTGGTCGCAGTGTCACCGTGTACGCGTTGGATGGGCGACGCCCTATCCTAATCGTTGATAATCGCTCCGCTCCATGCTCGAACCTCAGACAGGAGTTCAGTCCAGCCACTGAAGACGACGCAGGAAGGCGTCGGGTATGTCGATGTCTTTAGTGCAAGCCACAGCTGCGACTTTTCCGTCCGTTAAACGCCCTATGACACTTCTGCGCCAAGCAAGCCAGCCACGTTTCTAAATAACACATCATGATTAGTCGTGAGCATCCCGGCTATGGGGATAACTTACCTCTACTCAGAGCATCTCTACCTAATGTAGCAGAGTGTTGTCGATGAAGTGATCATTGCTCTCAAAGGACCACTTGTGCTAACGGTTACGAGCCGTCTCGTCTGCCGGGTTACCCATCTGCATGATGGGCCCCCCCGCCGTTGAAAGGTTGCCGATGGTTTCCCTGGTGCCTGAGAGTTTGGGCAAGCTGACTCTCACTCCCTCCCCAGTCAAGAAGAGGCGGGTTGCTCTTGAGCCATTTCAAATACCACGGATTTTGGAACATAGCTGCATCGCCTCTCAATTCTTCCATGAACCTGTTGCCCATCTCGTCGATGGCTTTTGTCCAGGCAGAACGGATGCTCAAGAGGATTCTCTGGCGCTCAATGGTCTCAGCTCGGCTTTCCGCTGGGCATGCATTCAGTTCCATCTCTGCCAGCTCATGCGCTTTTGCCACGTCGCTCATCAGGCCCAGCTTGACGGTGGTTGCCGCATGGGCTGCTCTCAGCTCATGCATCTGACTTCCGTATCTCATCTGGTCATGATGATCGACGGGCACGCTTGGTGGCGGCGGTGGTGAGTCTTCCATTCGCTGCCGCTTGGTGGGAGAAAATCCGGGGCTCGGGGCTCTCCGCTTAGTGCCGTTTGCCCCACCTGAGAAGATGTGGCCGTTTTCCGAAAAGCCTGAAGCCATCTCCAGGGTTCGAAACTCCAGGTTCGAGGACTTCTTTGGCTGGCTTGAGGCAGAGTGACGGAGATGGGCACACATGAGCTTGAGGCGGCAGCTCTGAGGAACAAATCTAGGCGGTCATGAACTCATGCACGCGCGGACCGGCCAACGCCCCACTGCTTAGCTTCGTTGCGGGCTGCAACCAAGGATTTCCCTGATTCCGCACCAGTGCTTTTTTAGACTTTCCAGGGATTATGGAGGATCTAGAACACGTTGCAGACAAATGCCTAGCTCTGGGAATCGTTTTCATATTCGATATCGCAAAGGATTGACCGCGATCTCAGTGTGTCGTGGAGCGCTGGCGTCAAAATGCAATCATGGTATCGATCGAACCACATTCGCTCCTGTCCTGCCCTGGCTGGTTGCATTGATGTATCCCCGTCTCCTCCATGAAACGGAACCCCCCAGGGCCTGGTTTGATATCATCCTGATTCCTCTGAACCAAGAGCGCTTGGTTTCTCGTAGATGAGCCGCCATTCTATCAATTGAACTTGGCCTTCATGCGACATCCGTTTCGAGAGTTTCCAGTCCCGCAGATTCAGGGCGGGAAAATCGTGCGGTAAACAGTTGTTCCCTCCCCACACATGCATGCACTGCGCTTAAGGCCATGCCTCCTTCGTATGATCCCTGTGCAGAGACAGAGCCACCAACATACATATGGATATTATCCTGCTCTCGAATCACAAAGAACCGCCTGAATCGAACATATTTAGCCCTTGCCTTAGACTGGGCTGTCAGAACGAAGGACCATTGAAGTGCAACATGAAAAACATAGTCACGATTGAACGGCTTCCACTTGTCTCTCTTAATGCAAGTCTACTCCAAGCATAATGAAGCGGCTTTGTTGAGACTATTGAAATACGATGCGTGGTGCACTCACACTTATTGATAGAACCTCCAAAGCCTTATAAGATTGGTTTGGTTTGAAAATACGACAAAAGACCATACAGATTGATGCCAGTGTACCTCCTTTGCCTAAGGTTCTCGAACCTTAGACCACTTCATTACTAAGCGCGGTCATGCTACCTGCATCAAAGATCAACCATGCTTTCCTAGGCATTGTGAACTTTATGCACGGAAAGGACTTTGATGCTTCGTACCTACGATGATCCTACTTTCAAGTTCACCTATTCGCATGTCTCAGTTGATGATTTTGGACTTCATCCCCGTCGTGTCTTTGATCACAGCGAGCTCCAAGCCAAAGTCAACATAGATGAAAGCTTATACCCGCAGACATTTGCGAGTCTCATCATTAATATTTGTTGCTTCTACCAAATTTCGCTCCACACGTAAACAGTTCATATCAGATCGCTTAAGCCCTGGGGCAAGCGCAACGCGAACTGAACAACCAATACGATCGGTCACAACATAACTTGATAACTGTCACTAGTTTCATCACAGCTATGAGTAGAGATCCTCGGCTCGGACCTTTTCAATTCGTAGACAGATCTATTACAAGTTATTTCACCGTTGGAAATCAACCATCAAGTGCCATCTTCCTAGGCGAAACCCATACGATAGTCTAACCCGGGTTTCAAAAGTAATACTGGTCCTTCTGGACTTCGTCTGTCCCTAAGGGAGACACAATATACAAGGCTTGAGTGTGACTTTGTTATGGATAGAGATTGCGTCCAAATTGGACCACATTGGTGTTCCAATACATGCAGTGAACACCCCCATAAGGTATAAAGAGCGTATTGAACGCTACAATCATGTGGAGAGACGACTGAAATGAGGAATCCAGTCAGCCTTTACAAAAGAATCATTTCCATACATGATTTGACCTGGACCTAGGTCTTTTGGGGTAACATTGCAGCTGGATTGTGACAAGATCGTAATATCTGTTATGACATAAAACGCAAATCGACCCTTGTACCAAATGACACTTCCAAGTTTCTGCTGAAATCGCACTCCAGTCACATTACAGGTCTATCGTTCCTGTTGTTCATAGTAACCTAATTCTCTGTACATTACTGTGAAGAGATAAGCGAGGCTGTCAGCTGAAAGGTGATGTGCTTTTGGTGTGGCTAGAGTTCATGGTTCGGTTCACAGTTTTGTTAAGCAGTCAGTACCGAAAACAGCGACTGAGAAGAAATGGTGTTATCCCCTTCATTCAGAAAGCAAGTGTCTCCCGGAAGGTGTATGAAGCCCATAAGACAATAAGTTCAACAATACACTCTGCTTCTCGACGTTAGCCAACGAGCACAGGAGGCCCAACACTGAAGCGCCTATATTTTCTTCTACTGCAATGTATTCTTTGACTTTGTTCGGGTAAAGTCCCAAGTCTCACAAGCCTTTTCAACTTGGGGGCCAAACACCTGCAGACTTGTCAGCCGGCAGCGGGTTGCGAGTTGACCGTGCCGATTCTCTGGACCAGACAGCTCTTCCGGGACCCGTTCATGTAGTCAATACTTGAGACGAAATGGTGGCGCGGCATGGAGAGCGGCACAAGACTCGGGGTTTTACTTGGACAATGATCTTGGCGTGCATTATAGAATTGCACCCTGGTAGTTGCTGCCACTGAATCACATTGCGTGACATCTTCACCGTATATCAAATTTTCTGCGAGAGTTCGCTGTGGCTGCCATCAAGATCACTGTTTCCAATGATCAATCTTTATACGACAACGAAGGTCTTCCAGGAATTAATTTCGATCCAAGCCGACACAACTAAGAAATTATAGGCGAGCAGTATAGCAGCAAATCCAGTAGGCTTCACAATTCCCAGTAGCAGGGCTTTCAAAATTTTTCATAATATACGCAGTGGTAAACCGAGTTTTTATAGCTAACTTCTAGCCGTTCACAATAGATGCTGCATCTGGTAGGATAGTAAACTGTGGCGACTAATTCTAGTTCTGATATCGCCGACGAATGAGTTTTGAAAGCAGTCCATGTGCCTTTCTATCACTGTAGGGAAGAATGTTGCAGAATACGCATATGTCCGTAGAGTGAAGGTGCTTTCAGGCCAGATACTATCTCTCTAGTGGTGCGCTCGTTATGTGATATTTAGCTCTAATACGTCGGGACGGAGGTTACGAATCGGCGACTGGCAAGCAGCGAAAGTCAACACAGAGTTGACTCCATCCACGGAAGCCGAATGGCGTGACCAAATAAGAATACCAACTTCTTTGTATTGCTAGAAACCCTAAGCTGTTCTCTGAGCGTCTGCCATCAGCGCAGGGGAGAGAGGTGGTACTATTGCAGGGTATGACTACCTAAAACGGCAAGCTGACTGTGGCGCTAGAACTTAGCTTCAGTCGTTGGGTAGTTTAAATCTGACATCACCGATACAGCCAGTGATATACAAAGACACTCCGGCTGCGACGGCTTGATGTCGGTGCCCATTGTACGCCGATATTCCGTGGTGCCGTCACACACAAGGTTCGGGTGATGTTGCCCATCAATCGACGATGGTTCGAAGCCAAGTTCATTGGTCTCGGTCGGCAGATGCTTGGCCCATTGCCACAACACACAGCCACAAGCCCACCTCGGCAGTTGGGAAGATCATTTTGGGCCACTCGCGCCTCTGGGTGTTAGCCTCATCTCGCCAGCTCCACAGGCGTTGACAGGAGTGCAGGGACGGGAAGATCTACCACAGTAGTCCATGATGAAATCACAAGTCCTGTCTTTCGGTCAATTACGAACTTAGAATCGAGTAAGGCTATCTCCAGGTTGTTTCATCTCTTCTTGCTTGTAGTATGCCTTGCATGAATCGTGAATCGAGTACGCAACCATATCCATAGACTGCTGGCGTATGCCAACAGGGACGTCCAGCTACATGCATACCATAATACATAGTTGATAGTATTATGGGTAGGTCAAGGTCTTTGGGCAATGTTACAAGAAACATACTAGTCCTGATCTGTCTTTTTAGTCCGCAGGTACATATTACTTGTATGGTAATCCGCTGAGCCTCTGGAGTCCTTGTCCAGCTGAGGAAGGGATTCTAAGCCCCTGCACAGACCAGAATTTGTGGGTTTGGTTATTGATTATTTGGGGGCGCGAATGAAAACTGTGCTGGGGAGAATTCGTAGCCCCCTTGATGTGGCGTCCTGCATAACGGTAATAACCCCTGAACACCATTGCTGAGTATGGTGTCGGGGAACACACACTGAAGTGGGGTGAACGAGCCTCGTTCATGCCCGAGTATGCTCACGATACTCATATGACAACACCCTCGCCCTGTCTATAAACAGTAGGCACTAAGCCAGAAGCCTCGGCCTGCGACCCTAGGAGTAGATCCCAAAGAGAAACCAGACGAATTCTGGATCTGTCGTTCCAGAATAGGGCAGTTGGACACGACGGGAAAGTGGGCGGCGTCCCTATCTAGTGTTACCGCCGCGAACTTGAAACTCGAGACTCCTCGGGACCTGTCTCCCACATCGGAACCAAAATAACCCCAGCGTCTAGACCTTTTTAGCTACTAGCCGGGGAAATGCCGATCTACAGTCACTTCCAAACGCTCTGACATTGGCTCGAGAGGACCCATCTATAGGGTCTCAACTGTTGTTCAGGCGATGGGTACGGGCTCGGGGGCTAAAGTGATCTGAGCCTAGCATATACCGAGTCAATGTTTGAACGTCGACATGCGATGATGTCGATGAAACACGCCCAACTGGGTTGCTTGGCTATTTTTGACCATCCAACGACGCGGACCACCAATGACCTCTCTCCCAACTCTTCCAAGGACATGGTGACCGGGCAGCCGGGTTACGTATACTCTCGAGGCGCCTTGGGGTCTTGTAAAGACGACGTGAATTTGATGGTATAACTTTCCAGTCTATTGTCGCAGATCTCCATGGCTTCATTTGTACCCTGGCGAGCTTCGGCCATTCCTGCGGGATACCTGCTGTATCTATTGCTTGACTTTTATTAGTGGAGGCTTGTCTTTGAGTTAGGTCAACCCAGGCGCGGCAAGTCGGCAGGCATCTTGGAAGGTTTGGAAGGGCGCCAGAATCACGCCAAAGCCGTTGGCCAATTTAGGAAAAGCGGAGTTTCGTAGGGGCCGAGGCGCCGATCCACACATGCCGGAGTGAAGTGGGGGCGGAGAGATGACAGGAGATGGTCTGTACGATTGTGTCTCTCCCAAACTGCTGTTAGATTGGTGTGATTTTAATGATGAACCACCAGCCTGATGCAATCACAAAATGTGTCGAGCAGCGCATGAGATGATAAACCCGAGGACAATGAGTCCTCCACAACAATCGCTCTCGGATACTTACCTAATGCTGGATTGATGGTGATAACATACAGTGACAAGCCACGATGACGGAGCTGAAGGACAGCGATCGGCTCAACCGGGCGAACTACGCCGTGGCACCGGTCACTTCAGGGCGTACAGCAGTTAGTTTCTGCCGGTCTGGGTCTGAGCCATCGGCCTAAGTGGGCGTAAATGGCCGCTGGCTCATTGGGGCGAGTACCTTATTGGCCAATGCGGTACGACCAAGCCCACTAGAGTGGTGGCAGTGTTTGAGGTGTCTCTCGTGTCAAGCTTGTCCTCCCTGTTTGTGGAATGTCAGGGCTTGCAGGAGAAAGGGCCAACTACGAGCCAATGGTACAAACTCCCAGTCGCCGCCCACTGTCCCAACTCACCCACATTCCCGAGCTCAGGGAATCGAGACAAGCACTTTTCTCCAAACAAATGATGGGTCTACTCTTGTGAACAGTGGGACGGTTTCCACAGGCCATAGCCAGACCTCGACTGTTGTTTTGGTATACCAGGGAAGAAAACCGCTTGGATTGTCCGGGGATAGGGATGATGGAAGCTGAGTCTATTGTATTGCCTAGGTACACAGCACCATCTGGGCAGTGCATCACGCGGAAATTATAGCCCTGTGTTCCTTCTCCCGTACCGTAACGGGTACCGTGCCAGGACCGCCCAGACCATCCGCTGTTGGCCACCTGGCCCAGGTATTCACACTACTGGGGATAGTCCCAAGAAGTGCTGTACCATAGTATTCACTACGTTCATGCGCATGGTAAGGAGGTCGTGGTATCTCGTTTTTTTTCCAATATCCAGAGCTGAAGCCTATTCCTGGAGAGACGGAGGGGAACAGAGCTTGTCAGCAAATAGTAAAGAATTCTGCTGCCTGTCCGGCAAGCCAGGCCGAGAGAGAGCGAGATTGGCTCATGGTGATGTGATCTGACCAGTACAGTAGCTAGCTAACTTATCGACGGCGTTTCATCGTGTTCTGTCGTCGGGCCCTGGGCAGGCAGGGCATTGTCCCCTGGCCGCTGGGAAGCCACCATTCTCTCACCCTACTTTTGGCTACGTACTGTGCATGATGATGCTATGCTCGTGAGTACGCAGGCAGACAGACAGACAGACAGATAGACAGACCGTGGCAGCGGCTGCATGCCCATGGTCGCCAGAGTCCCAGATTGTGAGCAGCATCGTAAGCCTCAGGCCGCAGGCATCACTATTCTTCTGGCGAGCATTCGCTGTGCTGCGCCGGCGCCCGCGCAGGTAGCACAGCTCGCACCATGGCACCCGAAGTCCCCTGCTCTGGTAGGCTCGGACTTGGCCCAGTCGGGCGGGCAGCAGGGCAGCCCATTGGCCGACGGCCGACGGCGCTGGCTGATGGAGCATGGTCAGTCTCGAGAGCTTACGCGTCCCTCCCCCCCCGGTCAGGCCAAGCAGAGGCGCAACCTATGGACCCCCCCGGTCGACCTACCGAACAGGGCCAAGTCCATCAAGTCAATGCTCGGCCCCTGTGCCGCCCACTTCTGGACACCCAGTCCACTTGGTCCCAGGCATCCGCATCCATAACCGCCAAATCCCCCATCGCTCTCCGTCTCCCCCATTTCCATCGTGTGCAAACTTGATATATCGAAACCAACCTCCGACACGACACCCCAATCTATCAGATACCGTTACTATTCTCAGCACCGCGAACACCCCAGCAGTCACTCGTCATCACGTCAAGGAGCATCAGGGCATCGCCGTTGGTCGCCACCACACATACAAAGACATGTCGGCTTCCAGCCAGTCCCAGTCGTCGAGTAGTCCGGCGAATACCCAACCCGCCGGTTGCGTAGTTGACCCTCTCGACCTGCTCGACTTCTCCGAGTACGACGGCCTCTCATACCAGTCGTCCTCAGTATCACCCGCTTCCAGCTCCAAACCCCAGTTCAACCGCCAGTCCGCAGCACCAACGCCGACGACGATGCCGTCTGGCCCAGTCATGCAAGGCCCTAGCCACCGCTACGACCAGTACAAGCAGCAGACTCCGTTCGTCCCCGGAGCCTTGGCAACGACGATGGCCATCAACCAGAGCAACCCTCAGATCACAGGCTACACCCTCGACTACATGCAGTCCATGGGCCAGAACGAGGACGTCTTCGACTTCAACGCCGGCCCCTCCCAGCCGTCGCCAAACATGGACCTCGACTTTGACTCGCAACCCGAGCCCTTCTTCTTCCCGGAGCAGACCATCAACCCCAATGCTATCGGTGGTCGCGACACCCTGCCGTCGCCGCCCGCCGTGCAGAGCAACATCGGGAGGATGTACCCCGGCATGCACCAGCAACAGGCTCTCGCCAAGGCACAGGCCCAGCAGAGACAACAACAGCAGATCATCCAGCAACAGCAGCAGCAGAGACAGCAGATGAAGCAGAAGGGCGTCCAGCCTTCCGACCCTATGGTTGAGCAGAAGATTACCCAGTTGCTGAACTCGATGAGGGCCAAGTCCGGTCATGACGACTCTCTGGACTCGCCTCTGCTCAACATGCCTAGGCCAAAGAAGGATGAGGAGGACATGGACGAGGACGAGAGATTACTGAACAGCGAGGAAGGAAAGAAGCTCAGCAGCAAGGAGCGCCGTCAGTTGCGCAACAAGGTCTCCGCTCGCGCCTTCCGCTCGAGGAGAAAGGGTAAGCGTCTTGGTCCTCTTCGCGGGAACAACTTGCTAATTGTCATACAGAATACATCGGTCAGCTCGAGAGCGAGATTGCTTCCAAGGTCACTGAGAACGGCGAATTGCGCACACAGAACAGGGCTCTCCTGGAGGAGAACAAGCGTCTCTCCGACCTCACCCGCATGCTCCTGTCTTCGCCATCGTTCTCCAATTTTCTTGACCACCTCAGTTCCAACCCCAATGCCGCACCTCAGCAGCAACAGGCCGCCCCTCAGATGGAGCAGAGACAGCAGGAACAGCGCCAGGCCCCCAAGGATGTCAACCCGTACGCTGCCGCCCGCCAGTCACAACAGCAGCAGATCGGGATGGTCATGATTCCCGAGCAGACTATGGACTTCTCCATGCTCAACATTGCTGAGTCCAACGACATGTACAGTTACCAGCCTCAGGTCTTCTCTGTTCTCGAGACCCCCGAGATGCCCGAGATTGATACTGCTCTGCTGTCGGGCAAGGACCATGGTCTCATGAGCGAAATCACCGAGTCCATCGAGAAGGTCGAGATCACTCTCCCGGAGGCACCGGTCCTCCTCGAGGACGCCAAAGCTCAGGCCCCTGCGGCACCCATTGCCGCCGTGGATCTGGTGAAGACTGTAGCCAACCTCGATGGCGATATCTTCGATGATGAGACCTCTACTACAAGCGTCGTTCAGAGCGTCGTTGATAACATGTCCACGATCACCATCCCATCCGAGAAAGCATCACGTTACGAACTCATCAGTGCTTCGGAAGAGGATGCTACCGCTTCGAGAGCCCTGGCACGCGTGCAACGCCTAACATCCAGCATAGAAGCTACCATGGCTAGGCTGGAGCGCCTCACCATGGATTTATAGTTTCCTATGATACTTCTCGGATTGGCGTTTTGCTTGCATCAACGGGTATACCGGACTTGGTAAGGCGTTGGGTTCGGAGCATTGCTACAGGGTTCTTGGAGTTGGCCTGAATTGGGCCTTTGCTATCTATTTATTTTCACTGTCATATGTGTATGTACTTGTGGTCCTGACATGGGCCGTTCCTATGTGTCTAGAAAATTTGGAGGAAGTCGGCTTCGAATGCCACGTCTTGTTATGATGAATGAGATCAGTCAGGGAATCGTGGGGGAACAGCGTGATACCATATCCGCTGTAATAGATAGCCGGCAAGACGCCGCTCAATGAGAAACCAAAATTGTAAAACACCTGTTCATTAGTTATCTCGCATGTTGGCGAAGTGTGTGTCCAACAATTTGGTGATTGACATGCGAACCAAGCTCAGCAGAGGAGGTAGGCAACCTACGTCGCTCACACGCGAGAACGAAATGCTTCGCTGAATCCTTTCGACTTGGCTGACACATTCCAAGTGCAGTGTAGCCAACAGACACGGGGGTCCAAATAAGGTGTGCGATCAGAGTTTCTCCAATTGTTGTCCCGGTGGCTTCCCAAAAGGCTGATTTGCTTTGGCAATGCGGTGAAACTCTGAGCTCCCCGTCCCGGCCGATCGCGGCCCTACCGGGAATGGCACACCTCGGCCGGAGGCTTAAGTCGCTGTTTCTGTGATGTGCGCCGGGCAACTATATGACGGCGTTCATGAGGAAGCTAGGAGCTCTCGTGGTGTCGCGGCCCAAGCGTTGGTGTGCAAGTTGGCTGGTTTGGACCACATTCCAGTCATGACGTTGGTTACGGTTCCGACAAGGGAAGTAATTGTAAGAAATTCTGCAATTTTAGCAACCGTAAACTTATGCGCAAACACGTCCAGGGGATATCATTCTTGAGATCCTGCACCAGAAGTGTTGGGTATTGTGGCCGTTAGTTGCTTGTTACTTTTCTCGCCGAGGTTGAGTTTCGCCGGAAGTAACATAAATGTGTTGGGCGCCTGAAGACCGCAATCTGACTAGAATGAAGTCTCCGGGCATTCTTCTCAACTACGAGAGCTATAGATTTCAAAATGACCATAGTGCACCATGAACCAGTGATTCATAATCTGTCAATGGCTTCGGGAAGGTAGGCTCGCGTTTTGTATCATGGCGAGCGATCCGCTGGGTCCGGTGTGGAGCACGGGGATGTGACATCACCATTCTGCCATTTTGCCGGTCTCATCTCTGTCCCTGTGTCCCTTCATCGCCCTTTTCTCGCGATCGCCCCGAGGGTCGAGCAATTATCATTAATAAGCTATGTAGAGCCCTGAAGGCTGTGGGCGTCATTATTTTTGAAATCGTAAGGTGGATTCATATTCGGCCGAACTGTTGATAAAACCGTAGCGCTTTTCATATATGCAAAGATGTCGCCTGGTAATGATCACATTCCAGACGCATCGTACCTGGTCTTTGCTGCGCGTGCCAGTGACACCGCAAGGTCTTCGGAGGAAAATATGACAAACGACAACAGTGAATCTGGCCCGGAAGGCTCTGATAGGACTCTTCGCGACTACGATGCTGAGAACGGCATATCCCACTCGGACCGGCACTATACCCAGCCGCATCAGTCTGTCGGGTTCTGGGATCATCGCATGAGTAAAGTTCGAGCACATGTCCTGCGATTATGGGCCCAAACAGGTAGGCTTTTATATGATACCATGTTAAGAACCCAAATACTAAGCCTGGGCTAATGTGCGTAATAGTCGTCATTATTCTCTGCTTCATCATGGCCGTCCTGGCGCTATATTGGGCTGTTCTTTTCAGCGTGCAAGACAACATGCGCTCCTTGACCGTCCAAGTCGTGGACTTTGACGGCCAAGTCGCCCCTTACGAGAATGTGGAACCTCTCATAGGCCCGATGATAACCAGGTTGGCCCAGCAGACAGTAGACAAGATTGAAGAGCCCTCACTCGGCTACACCGTGGTCCCGCCCGCGGACTTCGACTACGATCCTATCGCAGTCAGGCAGTCAGTGTACGACTACCACAGCTACGCGGCCATCATCATCAATCCTAATGCGACGGCGTTACTGACCGAGGCCATCGCGAGTGGGAACACCACTTACGATCCCACGGGGGCGATTCAGATGATCCTCTTGTCGGCACGCCAGGAGACGACATACTCCAACTACATCGTCCCCCAGTTTGAAACATTCACCAAGATGTTCATGTCCCAGTTCGGGCCCATGTGGGCGCAGCGCCTCGCGAGCAACGACTCGATCACCAAGGCGATGCTGGGCGCGGCGCCGAGCGCCGTGAACCCGGGCGTGTCGCCGCTGACGATCGACCTGCGGCCGTTCCAGCCGGCGGCGGCGACGCCGTCCGTCACCATCGGGCTCATCTACCTGATCATCCTGGCCTTCTTCTCCTTCTCCTTCTTCCTGCCCATCCACCAGAAGTACATCACGCCGCAGGGCCACCCGCCGCTGCACTTCTGGCAGTTCATCGTCTGGCGCTGGTTCGCCACCGTCGCGGCCTACGTGCTCATCTCGCTGGCCTACTCGCTCGTGTCGCTCGCCTTCCAGATCCCCTTCTGGACGCCGCCGGGCTCGCCCGTCGACGTGGCCTTCAACGCCACGGCCTACGGCCGCGCCTCGTTCGTCGTCTACTGGCTGGTGAACTTTGTCGGCATGATCGCGCTGGGGCTGGCCTGCGAGAACGTGGCCATGATCGTCGGCCAGCCATGGACGGCGCTGTGGCTGATCTTCTGGGTCATCAGCAACGTGGCGACGGCTTTCTACTCGCTCGACCTGGCGCCTGGCTTCTTCAGGTGGGGCTACGCCTGGCCGCTGCATAACATTGTCGAGGCCAGCCGCTCGATCATCTTTGACCTACATTCGAGGATAGGATTGAATGTTGGCATACTGTTTGCTTGGGTGGCAGTCAATACCGCTCTGTTCCCCCTGTGTTGCTACTTCCAGCGCTGGAAGATGGAGCATGATAAGAGGGCGGCTGAGAAGGACAAGGACCGATATGTCGTGCAGACAGATGAAGGCGAGAAAGAATTCTCAAAGAAGCAAGGAACCAAAGCGCCCTTGATGAAGAGAGGTTTCATGAGAGGATTATAGAATCATGAACAGGAATAGGCTGATACAGAGATTTTTTAATAGAAATCTAAATATACTTCTGCCGTGATAAAGGGTACGATGAAAGTAACCCAATTTGCAAAATGGCCCTTGACACCCGAATGCCCGTGGAATAGCCGATAGCAGGCGCAAATAGACGTCCCGTCCGAGTCCTGAGGGGCTTTAGCAGTGCTTCTGTTAACACTGACCTCTATAACGTAGGCTTCTTGCTGTACGAATTCTAAGTGAAATCAATCTTGATCGATCCAACAGGCGCGCCAACGTAGGTGTAGCGCAACTCATTAAGCGGCACCCCTTCCACCTCCACAAGGACATCTTCTCCTGGAACGATGTCGAAATTGTTGTCGTTCAGTCTCATGACTCTCGTCTCCTCGAATACAAGCCCTTTTACTGGTTTATCTGCGGTAATGATCACCTGGGTAGCCTTGTCTCCCGACTTTTTGAACTTCAGTCCTCGATCCGCGAAATCGAGAAACTTGAAAGGTTCTGGCCATGCTGTGTCTGTTGAGGTTCTTATACCCTGGAGATACAAGGTGGCGTGGATAACGTAAGGGTCATATTTGTCCAGGTCGAATGGTTTCGTCGGATCGCAAAGGTCCGCATTCAGGGGTCCGACCTGATCCTTCCACACGTCTGTGGTCGAGTTTGTGTCCATTTGAACCGTACGGCCTTGAGTAGGCAACACGCTGCTTCCTGTTTTGATCGAGACAAAGCGTACTTCGACTCTGACCTCACTGGCAGCTACAACACCCGTGCTGTTGGCAATCCATACGTTGTAAACAGTGCCTTCTCTAGCCTCCGTGGTAGGGTCAACTTGGCCCAGCTCTAGCATCTCATTCATCTTCTTCTTTGACCAGTCTCGAACGGTCCGCGAGACAGCTATGGTAATCGGTTTCAACGCCCTCGAGATAGAGTAGTATGCTGGCTTTCTTATACCATAATAGTCCTAAAACAATTAGCATTTGGAGTCTTCACTGGACGGGAGATAGAGATATATGCAGGAGAAGAGCTGAACTCACGACAATAGCCCATGACATAGTAGGCCAGCAATCATTGAATTGCCAGACCAAGATGCCGCCGCACTTGCGCTCTATCGGTTGGCCTTGGGTTCCTGTATGTGTGCCCCAAGCTCTCCGCCAATGCTTGTAAGCGTATGACATTGCTTCTGCCTGGACCATCTGAGTCAGGTGTGTAAAGGACGGAAGGTCGGTCTTGAGCTGGAAGTTCTCGGCTACGTAGCTGACCAGACGTCTTTCGTGACCAATAGCTTTGTTGTGGAAGTCCATCGTCATTGAACCTGGGTATTGTTGTTCAGGTTTGGTAACAGCCGACAGGATGGTCTCCAAATGAGGATATGCTTCCATACCAAACTCGCTGACGAACCGACCACCGAGGCTGTCTGCATATTGGTACTTCTCCATCGTCCCATGCCATACTAGTCGTTCAGGATCAGTATTGCTTTCCGAAAGGAATGACATGGCGACTCACTGTTCCACTGGTGTATATCCCCCACTGTCGGATCGGCTGTATCTTTGCCGTCACCCCAGGGACTTGTCGGATGATATGCCGCCCCCGGATGCTCTTCCTGAACAACCTTGGGCAGAAGATATTCGTAATAGTACCTGGCGGGGAAGTTGGACTTCAACCAAGATTGTGGGTCCTTGTCCGAGTAGTCATAGTGCAGCTTGTATCTCTCTTGAACCTGATAATCCTCGTTACTCCCAGCCCATATCACGAGAGAAGGGTGGCTTCTCAGACGTTGAATGTTCTGGCGAGCTTCAAGCTCGAACGATCGCATGAAGGAAGGATACGCTGGGTAGTTGCCACAGGCAAAGCAGAAGTCTTGCCAGACAAGTACGCCAAGTTCGTCGCAGGCGTCGTAAAACGCATCATCCTCGTAAATTCCACCTGAATATCGTATCAGCGTAATTCTTGCCAATTACTTATTAATGACAGTTACTACTCACCACCCCAGACTCGGACCATGTTCTGGTTACCTCTTTGAAGTAGCTCGATCCAGTCGTAGTACTTTTCCTTAGACAGTTCTGACAGGTAACTCGAGCCAGGGATCCAGCACGATCCACCAGCGAAGATGTCGGTCCCGTTGATACGGAAGTAAAATGACTTTCCGGAAGCATCTGGCGTCTGCACCAATTCAACCTTTCGAAAACCAATCATCTTGGACTTCTCATCCACAACCGTTCCGTCTCGGTAAAGAGCCGCATCGAGTCTGTAACGTAGCGGGGCACCATACGGCTGAGGCCACCAAAGCTTCACGGATGAGATAGCAAATGGGCATTTGATGGACCCATCTGTGCCAACAACACATTCCGTTCGAAACACTTGCTCGCCCCCATATGTCAGGCTTATAGATACCTTAGCGCCGTTCAAATCGCCTGCGGTATTGCCATGTATGTACCCGGAACAATCTTTCAAGTCGTCGCTGAACTGGCTTTCGACCCAGATGTCGTCAATCCGTGCCACGTAGCAGTCGATGTATACCGGTTTCCACGGGCCGGACGTACCGACCAATATTGGACCCCAGTCCCAGCCCCAGTGGTACTGCGCTTTACGTACGGGAATTCTACCGTCTTCAGTCTGGCGTGCAATGAACCGATGCTCATGGCTGTGTTCTTCAAGTAGTTTCTGGCCTCGGAGCCGGGCAGAATCGAAAACAATCTCGAGGACATTGTCGCTTCTGCAGTGATCATTGACGTTGACACGATGGGACAAGAACATGTTTTCCGACGTGAGTATCTCTTTTCCGTTCAAGTAGACTGTGGCAAATGTGTCTAGGCCTTCAAAGACGAGGTCCAACCTAGCCCCTGGGCTCACGGCCTGGAGATCGACTCCGAAGTGCTTTTTGTACACCCAGTCTTGATCCGCAACCCATCTAACCGAGAGTTCGTTTAAGTCCTCGAAGGGATCCGCGATCCTATCATCGTGGTAAGCTGCGGCACCCGCTGCGGCCATTTTTTGACTTACTTCTTGTTTGCCAAGAGCTCTCTATAAACATCTGTGGGCACCGCTTGAACTGGTAGCCAGGCATTTTCGGATTCATCGCCCGCTTGCTTGAGCATCCAGCCATCTTTGAGTTCCACTCGCGTGGAAGCGCGAGAGCCATTCATGAACTCTCCCATGTTGTCGTTTTGGTGTTTGCAACAGCTGTCCAGGAGGGATAGTTGAGTGTGAGGGGTTAGGCCAAGTTGAGGTACCCATTTCCCCAAGAAACCAAGGAAGCTCCGATCGTGAGGCCGGGGGAATGGGCCTTTCCCCACGTTCCACGATCGCATCCACTCAGAAACGGCTGCAATTGCCTTTGCGCTGCTAACCACTTTTCCCCAGTATTGGCAGCCGGATTAATTCTTAGAGGTGTCTGGCTTGGGCGGTGTTTACGTGTTCTGGATATCTACAATGGGAATCATCCTTACGACCGTATCAATAACACCGACTGTATAAATAGATCTTGCGAAAGCACGAGACGACACTGTCCGTATCGTGACGGATCCTAGCTATAATGCAGCATCGAGTTTAGCTTGGTTACTATCTAGCGGAATCTGGAGTCGTTCAAGACGTTTATCGTGGTCAAGCGACTCTAGGACTGCATTATACATTACACCTCTCTTATCCATGTAAGATGAATAATGGGAAGATACAAAAGGGATGAGGCCATCGTGGTACCGCGCAATAGCTACTGCCTGACGAGGGGAGCGACTATGATATCGAGAATGCGATAGAGTTTGCAAGGGTGCCACTCAAAACATTCTGGTATTTCGGTACTCCTGGGTATCTATAGGGGTTTGAAGTCGAGGGCCAATGTCCAAGTTACCTAAACTCCTTCAAATGCACTACGAGGTAAGCAGCCAATGCCCTTGACGATTCGCATGAGTGTACAAGGAGGCAACCTCAGTCCTTTGCGCTTCCAGGGGCACTTTCATCACCCCAAACATCTCGGCTCTCCTGCTCAACAGCTCTCATAGCGATGGCGACCTCCTCGAGTTTCGCAACGACATCGCGCACGCCTTGGTCCACTCTGCTGAAGTAACGATCATTCGCCTCTCGCCTCTTCCGCGCCAGCAGGATGTCGGACTCGGTCTCCTGTTCCAAGGCGGCCCCTAGTCTTTCTCCGCCGCGTCCGCTACTTGGTGGTCTTGCACTCCCCGATCCTACTGTGCTTTTCCCAGGGTCAGTGCCCTCGGCGCCCATCTTGCCGGCAAGCCCGGGTCCGGCGCCTGAAGCAGCCGCAAGGCCGACCGTACTCAGTGCGCCCTTCAAATCGCGGACCTCCTCCGTGCCGGTCCCAGCCGTTGTCTCTATTGCGTCGTCCGCCTCGCTCTTAGCCCACGCCTGCGCCAGGGCGATCTGGGCGGCCCGCAGATCCGTCAATTTCCGGTCATGTTCAGGCCCAAAGACGTGCGTCCCTCCCGAGGCCGAAAGCTCCACCTCTTCAAGCGTGGCTTGCATCTCTGCCCACAGGGCATCGGTCCTATCGACAGTTCGCGAGGAGTCGCCAGTCTGCAGCCTCGGAACCGGCCCCGGGACGGCGCCCCGGCCGCGCGGGTTCAGGAGAGAGCCTTGTCGCGCCAGACTCGGAGGACCACCAGCTTGGGCCGTGCCGGTGGAGGTCTGGGAGGCGAGATGGTGCGCATTCGACGATGGGCCCGTAGAAGACGACGTTGGCCCGAACATTCCTGTCAGGGAGACATGAGAGGCCGCTGGTGAAGGGTGGAGGAACAGAGACGGCGGCGGGTCGCGCGCCTTGGCGGAGGAGCCATTGGAGTGTGCCTTCAGCTGAGACATGGCTCACTACATCTTGGTGATACGTCTAGGGTGTGGAGGGAGTGTCTGGCACGCAGTGTCAATCCAGTCCCAGGGTAATGAGGCTGGCCGGCACAGACACAAGGCTGGCCCAGGAGCGCTTCCAGGGCGGGCTGCACTGGCTGGCGGGACTGGGCGGCTGGTGGAGGGGGAAGGGGGAAGGGGGAGGAGGGGGACCCGCTTCGCTATGATTGGGTTGCGGCAGACGTGGCGCTGAGCGCACTTTTGCGTGGGGCAGCTGAGGCGCACCGAGCGCCGGGCCGGCTCAAGCCACACCACAAATTCAATAGGGTGCGAAAACCCCAAAATTCATTTTTCCTGGAGGAAAATAACCGAGCCCATCCATCACTCAGCGAATCGTGCCATCCAGCAACCAACGACACCAGAACCCATCTCCAGCGATCACACAGTCAAGTCGGTACGTCTTCTCCCCCTTCACACACCAGCGCAATCGGGTCGTCTCGCATCAACCAAACGACTTTTTGTTCGACAATCGTCATCGCACGAGCTCCCCGCCGCGATCAAACTCTCCCCCTCCGACGTCGACTGACTTCTTTCGTCAATAGCAATCATGGGTAAGGGCAAGCCGAGAGGACTCAACGCCGCGCGCAAGCTGCGCCTTCACCGCAAGGACCAGCGCTGGGCCGATCTGGGATACAAGAAGCGTGCCCTCGGAACCGCCTTCAAGTCCTCGCCGTTCGGTGGTTCGTCCCACGCCAAGGGCATCGTCCTCGAGAAGGTCGGTGTCGAGGCCAAGCAGCCCAACTCCGCCATCCGAAAGTGCGTTCGTGTACAGCTCATCAAGAACGGCAAGAAGGTCACCGCTTTCGGTATGTGACACCTTTTCATTCCAATCGTTTAGAGGGGGCAGAATAGCAGTGAAGGCTGTTCCGAGGGGAAATTACCGGTCACGCTCAGGCGGGCAACGGCATGCGTGCGCTGTTTGGGGTGGATTCATCACGCTCAAGAACGTCTGCTAACTTACATTTGCTTGTTAGTCCCCAACGACGGTTGCTTGAACTTCGTCGACGAGAACGACGAGGTCCTCCTCGCCGGTTTCGGTCGCAAGGGCAAGGCTAAGGGTGATATTCCCGGTGTTCGTTTCAAGGTCGTCAAGGTGTCTGGTGTCGGTCTTTTGGCTCTGTGGAAGGAGAAGAAGGAGAAGCCCAGATCATAGACGATCGGCTACGACAACTGCATTGGGGGACGAGGAAACGAATGGACAAAAGGGACTGAACTTGATTTGGGCAATGTGGAGTCAAAATGGCTTGCTTTATTTTCCCCATCAGCATCCGAGGTTCGGGCCTTGATACGCATCCATAGGTGAACGGGATCCGAGAATAGAGATCATCGTCGCCGTACCACAAACATGTGGGGTTCATGCCACTTTTTCGAAGTGAAAGCTCGCGTTCAAGTTCCGCAAACTGTCTTGGTCTCATTGAGTGCCTTACGGAAACACATCTCTCGTTTGCAAGCGATGATGCCCAGCAGGTCGTTCCCCTCATCCATTTGTTGCAGATGTATCTTGTTGTGGGCAAGGGATTAGCCAGATCTGGCTCATGACAAGAAAGGCGATGTGTGTGCCTTAAAGACTCAGCTATGTAGCCCGGTAGAACAATCCGCAACGGGGACATAAGAGAAGGGGGCAAGGATCGTCCGATGCAGACATCGTTCCAAACAGGGTTGCACTTTACCTTGTTCAAGTCGATTAAATATCGCGGTTCTATTCCTGACATGGCGTCTGGCCTTGTGACATTGTAGCCCACGTGGGGTCGCGTCTCACGTTAGCCGTCACTTGTATCGAGTACTCGAACGGTCCGCTTTTGGTGTCTGCTGGTCTCCATGTACTGCGAGAAAAAAAGCAGCAAGCTCCATCCCATGGAAGCGTGCCAAACCTGTAAGAAAGCAGGAGCTGGACAATTACCCTAGGGACCAAGATATCCTTCGAAAAGACGATGCAGCAAGAAAAAGTATGGCCAAACTTCTCAACCCAAGTCCGTTGCTGTCCAAAGTATGTTTCTACGTCTTTTGCAGTGCGAAATTATCTGCGGAATACAGCAAAGCAAGATCGGAAGAGGGCATGTAGATAAGCATCCTGAAGTCGCCGTGTAGCACACTTATTACTTGAGATCTCAGCTCGGAATCCAAGAAGTAAAGATATCAGTTCGTTGCCAACTCTCACTTTGAGTTTACCCCTTCAAAGTGGAAGGTAGTCTGGGCAGAAAGATAGATGCCATTAGAGCTTGGCATGTGACTGAAGGTACGCCGCTCCATGAGATCCGGCAGGTCTCATACCATGCCTTGTGCTGAGCAAAGGAAGACGGATTTGAAGTTCGCCATGGAAGCGAGATTGCCTGATCACGACGAATACTTGAAGTTTGCGTAGCCTTGAAAGAACAAAGACTTTCCCAGGATCATGTCCTTTGTGCTGGTGACTGTATGCCCATGTTACTAACAACCCCAGCGACTGACGACCTCGGTATAAAAGGCCAACGAAGTCGGCAATGAGCCAAAGTCAAAGGGCATTTACTTCTGTGACCAACCGCAGATATACTCAGGATCGTGAGCTGCTTGGCCCAGCATTCGATCCGACAAGTTCCATTATGAATTCAAGGTACCCTTGTCCAGAGATCCAGCAAGGAAACTGCCGCTTCGGGTATTTCACCACTGCGGAAGTCAGTGGCTTGCCAAAAACAAGGAGATATTGTACCATGCACGAGAATGTATGTCCTCACCATGGACCAGAGCCTTTCCTCAAGAGCCAGCCTTGTAGGGGCTGTGAAGCTGGCACAAAGGGAGTCGACAATGGTGTTGTTGAGAAAGACGTAGGCGCAACAAGGAAGGAGACAGTCCGCAAAGATGCCGATTCGGTAAGCGGGCCATCTTGGTTGTATAATTCATAGTGACCCCCAAAAAGTGCCTTGCCAGAGCTTGTAGATAGTGGACAGCGCGGATAAATTTATCAGCTTGGTATGGTTGGAGTCCGAATGGACTTGATTCGAATTATTATACAGTATTGTCACATAGAGATACAGTTGTGATTGTGACACCAAAACACAGAATTCCCCTCTTTTACGCCTCGGTTCCGGTAGCGGTCTGTTCCCCCTTCGTATATCTCACGACGTAGTCAGCCCCGAGACCTAAGGTGATTACACCGCCAGTGATCCAACATCCATTGACAAACCACCACCAGCAGTCCTTGACGCTCTTGAGATTCACCTTCTTGATCATGTACCCCAACGTAAGCGCAGCTCCTCCACAGCTCCCTGCGAAGAAAAGCGGCCCGGCACCCGCGGCCCACCCGGCGGCGCCCAGGAGTCCGAGCTGCACGGCGGCAAGGCCGGTGAGGACCTGTTTCGTCTCGGCATCATGCTTGAGCGCAATGCTCTTGATGCCCGCCTTGACGTCGTCCTTGATGTCCATGTGTGCGTAGATCATGTCGTACAGCACAGTCCAGGCGACATTGCTGGCGTAGAGGAACCCAGCTGCGGTCAACGCTGCGCTGTTCGACAGTAGATCTACGCCCAGAGCCGGGAAGCCCATGATGGCTCCCCAGGAGAAGGTGAGACCTAGGACGGCCTGTGGGTAGTAGGTCACTCGCTTGGCTAGCGGATAGCAGGCCACCAGTATCAGACTTGGAATCCCGTAGAAGAGGCAGCTGGTGGGAAACTGCAGCAGTATCCCAAGCCCTGCTAGCAGCTGAAAGCCCGTATAGGTCAAGGCCTTGAAAGGAGTGATTGCGCCTCGCGCGATGGGTCGCAGGCGCGTCCTCGTGACGTGAGGATCCAAGTTCCTATCCCAGAGATCGTTGATGCTGCAGCCTGCACCGCGCATGATGAGGGCTCCAGAGAAGAACAGGGCAGTAGTGCCTATGACTGAGAGGGGAGAGGCCATGGGCGTGGCCAGGGGTGCCGCCAAGAGAGTGCTGAACAGGCATGGGAAGAAGAGGTAGTAGGTGCCCGTCGGCTTGTCGAGACGGATCAACTCAGCGTAGGGAACCCATGACGAGGGAAGGCGTGCCAGGATCCCCGAGGTTGGCGGCGAGTACGGCTGCGGCGTCTCGGGGGACGATGGTGACTCGACCGTCGCTGCAAGATGCCGCGTCGAACCATGGAACCGGACAACACGGCGAGGTGCCAGGAGTGCCAGATGTGTCCCCTTCGACAAGCGCGCCCGCGATACTGTTCGGATATACCGGGAAGTATAGGATGCCTGATGCAGACATTGCAAGGGCGTCTTCTGAAGAGCCCTGGCGGTGGGCCATCTGCTGGCCAACATCATGGCGCGACTACACTGTTCTTATGACCCCTGAGTGAGAGAGCACGGCATTCTGTATGGGAGTCAGCAAAAACTGCTCTGACACTGTTGACACTGAACGTGAGCTCAGAACAATCTCCTGGTCCCAAAAAAAAAAAAAAAGAGGCAAAATCTCATATTCCGCGACTGATTAACTGTCCATTGTGCAATTGGTGCTTCCCATCCTTGTTCGAGTCGACCACCTGCTTGTTGGATGGCCAGCTGCGAATATGGACGGCCCTGAGAGACAGAGAGATCTTGCGCTGGGCTGGGTTCAACTCACAATACATAGCAGCTATCAGAGATGCAATCTAACGGCCTCAACCACGTCTATCAGAGCCCCAGCCAAGAAGGGGTGTTGTCCTACCGTCTGTTGAACACTGATAACTCTGGCAAATCCGTGCCAAAGTTTGATGTGTGGCCCGTGCTGCGATGCTTAGGTTGTGGCAGCTCAGGGTCTTCTTAGTTCCATTGGGAGCGTACAGGCGGGACTGGGGTACTGGTACCAATTGATGGAGCATTCCCAACCTCACGCCCTTGTCGTTGCTTTTCTGCAGCATCCCACCGGGGTTCCATTGTTCCCAAAGGTTCCAAGTGCTGCGATAATCATATCGCAGGGCTGTCCAAGCACAATGCTCTCGCCGACCATCCATATTGGAGCGTCCTCGCTGTGAAATACCTACACAAGTACTTGCTTGCCTTAGCTACCTGTACTACATACATCTCCATCTCCATCTCCATCTCCCCCGCGACGCGACAGCTCGTCTTCAGGCGCGTTACAACTTGCGCCTCGATACCAGTCCAAATGACAGCTTGATGAATATACAAGCGTGACACCTGCGAGCTCTGGCCTAGCAGCCGGAGCATATTGCGACCAAGATGCCGACCGCGCTGCATCCCCAAGCCAAGTTCGATCCCATCCCGCCGGATCTCGACCTGCACTCCCTCGTCGACCAAACCCCGAACTTTGACTGGGTGGTCCGGATCTCCATCTCCCAGATCAGAAGGCTCGGTTCGTCTGGCTTTGAGAAGCTCGTGCAGCTCCATGTCATCGAAGGAGGGCGCCCTCTAGTGATTGAGGGCTGGAATAAGGTCCTTCCTGACTCGCTGTTCAGCGCAAAATGGCTGGAGCAAGCCTACGACAAGAAGCGTACGTGCCAGTGGCCCTCCCTGCCTTTGGACGCCCCCTCCAGACTTGACCGCATACTGACATGATGCCTACGCAGAGGAGAATGTGCGCGACCTCGGCTCACAGGCCGACGTTCCCATGACAATGGGACACTATCTGCGATCCATGCGACAGCTCTCGAACCAGTGGAGTCCGACCAACTACCGTGACGAAAGGCGCCAGCGACTTTATCTGAAGGATATCGATTGCCCTCCGGAGTGGTACGACCACTTGCGCAAGGTCATCCCACCAAACGTCTTCTACATGAATGACAACGTGAGCGACAATGTCGGCGTCGATGCTCGCCATGACGATGACATATTTGGTGCACCCGAACCCACCGCTGCCGTTGCCGGAGACCTGATGAGTTGCTTGCCCGAAGACATGCGTGCTCAGAACCTCATGTGCTACATCGGCCACGAGGGCACCTACACTCCGGCACACAGGGAAATGTGTGGCAGTCTGGGACAGAACATCATGGTAGAGGCGTCGGGGGATGCGAATGGCGAGAAGCCCGGCAGCTCCATCTGGTTCATGACGGAAACCAAGGATCGCGAGGTCGTTCGCGAGTACTTCCTTTCCATGCTGGGACATGACGTTGAGATCGAAAAGCATTTTGCCCAGATCAACGCATGGAAGAAGGCCAATTTCCCAGTCTATATAGTAGAGCAGAAAGTGGGAGATTTCATCCTTGTCCCGCCATTGGCACCTCATCAGGTGTGGAACAGGGGCACTCGGACCATGAAGGTGGCATGGAACAGGACCACCGTCGAAACCCTCGGTCTCGCTTTGCATGAGGCGCTCCCCAGGACGAGGCTGGTTTGCCGTGACGAGCAATACAAGAACAAGTCGATGATCTACTTCGCTTTGGATAAGTACCATAAAGAGCTGCAGATTGCCGAGGACTCTGCAGACTCTGGCCTGCTCGGTCTTGGCCGCGAATTGACAAATTCACCTCGGATAAAGCAGATAGCTGCCGATTTCCGACAGCTTTTCGAGCTTTTCACCGAGGTTTTGATCGACGAAATGTTCGGTCACAAGCAGATGGACATCGAGTTCATCGAATTCGATTCAAACATTACGTGCTCTTATTGTCGGTCCAACATTTTCAACAGGTTCCTGACCTGCAAGTGTTGTGTCCGGACACTGGTTAATGGCGACGAGGACACCTACGATATTTGCATGGAGTGCTATGTCATGGGCCGATCCTGCGTTTGCATTTCTGGACTTCAGTGGTGCGAACAGTGGCGCTGGTCACACCTGGTGGACAAGCATGAGACCTGGCGAGCCATGGTCATCAAACAGGACGGTTTCGTTGATATCGACTCATCGCCACAGCCAATAGAAATAGCACGCAAGAAATCCAGAAAGAGGTCGGTTGCTGAGTTGTGCCAAGAGCAACTACGGCGTCGGCCGTGGAACGATATTACTAAACCGCCAGAGGAAGCAGCCCCTTATGAGTCGGAACCTGAGCCCGAGGTGGACGACGAAGGGCGTGTTAAGAAAAAGCCCAAGCCAAAACGCAAGGTCAAGAAAGGTGATACATATCGTTGCCATGTGTGCTGTCATAAGGATTACAGATATAGACTGAGCTTCTGCAAAACTTGTCAGGAAGCATATTGTTACGGCGTTCTCTTCAGAGCGTTCGACACTATGCCTCAGGCCGCCATGGAGCAAGAACACTGGCAGTGTCCGAGATGTCTCGGCATCTGCAACTGCGGGTCATGTAGAAGGGCAGGAAACACCAAGCCCTATGTGCCCAAATCCACCCTCTTGGGACATGACACACGCAAGGTTGCAGACGACCGTAGCGTTGAGTCGGTAGTCGACTTCCGCATTCACAACTTAAACTGGCTCAAGGGCACGGGAGAAGAAACACGCAGCAAGAACTCGAAGAGGATGCAGCGATTGATGGAGCAAGCTGAAGCGGAGAAGGCGAAAGATCCCTTAGCGGCATTAGACGCTGCGGAGGACGCTCCTCACGAGGTCCTACCGGAGTCCTATGGCCAAGACGGTATGGCATCCGGTGCTGCTGGCGAAACACAGATCGGCGAAACCGCTGAAAACCGGGCCTCAGTGGCTGATATGACGGGCATTGAAAATGACGAGGGCGACTCGGCATACCCGGATCCAACCGCATATCCCAGTCCTCAAACAGGCGGCCGCATGATGGGTATGGGCTTCTACGAGCAGGATGATAGTGCAGATCGAATTCTATTTGATGCTTTCCAGATCCCTTCTGCCGACGCTTTGAACAACGAGCCAGAAGTATCGGAGTTCGTCAAGAAAACACTACGGATGGCAAAGCGGAGAGCAAGACTGGAGACAGATGATGACCCCGACTTCCAAGGACCCAAGAGTCATCATCGCAAGAAGCCCAAGACTGGTAACATCGATCAACTTGTGAACCTTGATCCAGCTTTGCTAGGAAATCTCGGTAATCCTAGCGACAGCACCACCGGCACACCAATTCGTGCAGATGCGCAGCCGAGATCTAGCGAGGGTTCGGCCGCCCCTGAGGGTGTCACTGAGCAATCAGATGCCGATACAAACCAACCAAAGACGAGACCGATCAGAGCACCGCTGCCCATAGATCCTCTCCGGCCACAATTACGCCACGCCAAGCCGGCACAGTCATATGTGGAGGCGGAGGAGCCTGGAGAGGAGCCTGAGGATCTACTTGCTGTCGATTCGATCAAGCTTTTCGGAACGGAGAAAGAAGTTGAGATGACGAAAGACCCCATTGACTTGGCTGCTGACGCCATTCGTGCACTCACGGGGCAAGGGACTCCGCCAGATGCAAACTCTACTCCCAAAGAAGGGGTCAAGAAACGTGGTAGGCCCCCGGGGCGGCCTCCAAGGTCGTCTCTGCCAGGCAACACACCCGCCTCGGCCACTAAGGGAGGCAAGAAGCGCGGCCGTCCACCTGGCAAAGGCAAGCCCCGGCAGCCAGCCACAGATGATGTCGACGGCAGCGAAGATGTAGTCATGGCTGATGCTGTTCAAGAGGACACCGCCGACTCGCTACTTGACGAGCTCGAGGCTCAATTAGAGGCAGATATGGCTAAGGAAGGTGACAGCGAACCCGCAAGTCGGCTTCCCCTGTTGCGCGAGCCTGCACCAAAACGCCGGGGTCGTCCTCCGGGTAGGAAATCCATGCCTGCCTCGCTCCCAGAGCCAGAACCTGTACAGACGCCGGCCCCTGTTCATAGCTTTATGTCAATGGCTGAGCGTATGGCGGCCCGCGGCAAGAAGTTCAAGATCCGTGCAAGAACTTCGTCTGGCACTGCCAGCAGTCCAGCACTTGCGTCCACCCCGAAAAGTGTGGCCAAGAAGCAGGACACGACGCAGAAGCCCTCCAAAGAGGAAACTCGTAGGGCTGTTTCGGACACCGCCCCCAAGCGCGGCAGGCAGGAGCTTGTGGACGATGAATTCAATGATCCACAGGCAGAAGCTTCAGACTCGGTGTCTTCGGACGATGACAGCGCAGTCCGGAGGCAGACCCTAGACCCCAAGCCAAGAGGGAGACCGCCTGGAAGACCGGCAATGAGACCAGCAGTGGAAACGTCAGGGCCAACGGTCGTGCGCTTGGATCTATCCGATGGCTTTGGCTCATCCGATAGTGACAGCGATTCGGACGACGATGATGAAGAAGGGATTCCGGCGACGCCGAAGTACACTGCAGTCAGAGGCGGCCGAGGCAGAGGTCGACCCGGCAGGCCTGCGGGTCTCGGTCGAGGCCGCGGCGGACGCGGACGTGGACGCGGACGTGGCTGATAATGCTGTTAGGGCCTTCCTTCGACATGTTGGGCAATGCGAAGGCGTTCTGGCTATTGCTTTGTTAGGAATTACCTATAGGAGTCTGAATATTAGCGAGCGAATGAAGCATGGCCTGCAGTTACTTCAAGAGTGTAAAGGCAAGTTTGTAACTCCATAGCATTAGGGAGAAGGAAGGCTGCCCTTTCACATTGCTCTAAATCCAACCGCTCTGTCAGAAGGAGCAATCATTCACCACTTTCCAAACTTTCTCGTGACTTCGTAGTATTACGGAAGGAAAGGTTGCCCTTTTACTGTATTTGTCTAAGTTTATCTACTCTCTTTCGAGTACTAATCATCTAACAAGTCGAAAGACCTTTCCAGTCCCCTTTTCACGACAGCAACTTCTCCTTTCCAAGCAAATAAGAGGTCTCCCAGCTCAGAGACCCGGATCAAAAAGTCTCTGCTGGTTTTCATCCAGTCAGACGGCGGCATGAAATGCTGAGATATACTATCAGGTGCCCCGAAGCCTTGTATTTTGACAGAACAAATCCAGCCGTTGACGTTTAGGAAAACCAACCTCTTATGGAACGTGCCAATAATGTGCTCTATCTTCTCGCAGAGTGTCTGAAGCGATTCAAGGTGAGAAACACTCGTCGAGTCCTCGCCGAAGGATTCGCTCTCGTAGCAAAACAGATAGGGCTTGGCGGCGAACGTGGCGGCGCCAGAATAGCTAAGGGCCAATATTGAGCCGTCAAGGATGCTGAGAGCACTTTGGATAGTCAACTCCGGCAGGAGAGAGGTCGTCAAAAGGATACCGTCCTCAAGACCAGTTTTTATCAGGTCGCGCCAGCTGTAGAGAAATGCGGTATCTCGGGATATGAGCAGTAGGAGCTCAGGTCGCGATGGATGTTGTGCCCAGCAGTACGGCCCAAGGTCCCCGCAATTGACCGGCCTCGATACAGTGGAAGGGTTTAAGACCGAGTGGACATTAGCTTGGTCATTGGCGCAGACGAGAATCCGCGTTGAATCGGAGTTGCACAGGAAGTGCTGGATCCCCGTGCCTGTTGTTTGATGGGTGAAGATTGTGTTTACATCCCATTGTAGGCCGACTCGATCAATCCGACTAGCCATGAGACAGCCAGCTGTATCAACGCTTGTCAGCGTCCGGTTTGCGGGGGTATAAACAAGTTTGAGAATACTGGTGCCATGAGTGAGAAGTTGCTTGATCAGAACGCCGTTGGAAGCACTGTACACAGAAACAGTGTTATCATCCTTGCCGACAAAGAAGAAGTCTCCTGTCTCATCGCACACAACTGCCGTGACCAATGCTGCGTCCTGGGTGGTATTGGTCTCGGCATAGTCGCTATCTCCACTGTAGCTCGAGGGTGTGCGGGTGCTCTCTTTTGGAATCTCACGACGATACAGAGCAGGTGGATCCCAAACACGACAGCTGCGGCCTCTGCCTCTTGTGTCGAGGAGACGCGTGTTGTCGGCACTAAACGTCAAGCCGGTGATGCCGGGCTCTACCATCCTGATTCTGTATAGCCAACGAAGTGTCTCAAAGTCGAATAATGCGATGGTGCCGTCATGTCCTGCCCCCGCCAACGTTCGGCCATCGGGGGATGACGTTAACAGGCTAAGAGCTCCAACATTAGACACCCTGGCTTTTATTTTTCCGTCAAGAGTGTCGAAAAGAACAAGGTCAGCGACGTTGTAGCTGGCAGCGAGCAGAGACGATTGTGGAAGACGGCTGAATGCCATGCCCATGACGGCTGCGAAAGGCTCTCCAAGCGCCTGAACTAGTCCCCGATCAAAGTTGTAGATGCGGTATATGTCTTCCTCTTCGTAATTCCAGATGATGATGTCTGAGCCCCTGTATACGACTGCCAGAAGATCCATTTCAGGATGGAAGGCAACAGAGAGCGGGTCTTTGCCCAGCAGTTTTCTTCCGTACTCTTCTGCTAGGCCAACAGCCCAGCCGGTCTGATCTTTGACGTTCATGTCGACTAGGTTGATGGTCAATAACTTGTTGTCCTTTAAAGCGGCCAGAAGCAGCTGATCGTTATCAATGAAGGTTATACCAAGACAGCGTTTCCCAACTGGAACGGTCAAAAGACACTCCCAAGTCTCGGTGTTCCAAAGCTGTATAGAACGATTGTTGACACACGCCAGATAGGACTTCACGCTTGCGAACTGAAGAATCTGGATTGGAATCGTGGCACTAGATTCTATCATCCGTTCTTCAAGGCATGTCTTCTCGTTAAAGATAACGACCCGCCCATCAGAAGTTCCTAGCGCAAAGGCTTTGTCGGATGCAGCAAGCGCCGAGACTCGAGGCACCCGTGGTTGGGGCACGTTCTTGGACGATTGAACTGTGCCACTGCTATTCTCATTCACATGCCCTGTTGTTGTCATCTTGTTGCGAATAGTGACGGAGGTTAAGCAGTCATCCCAAGTCGTCGCAGAGATACCACAAACCGAGAGTATATTGGGACCTGTTGCGAACTGCTTGTACGGCATTGTGTTCGAAGGGCAAAATGCAGGTATATACCTGAAAATGGACTCAGGGTGTTGCAGCAACTGACGGCCAAATTTTGTCGCTAGCTTCACCAGGTCGATGACCCAATCATTGACCACAACAACATCCTCACCCAAGAGCAGATCCCTTTTGGACTTCCTACGGATGAAACTTCGAAGGGACTGGGCCGTATCCAAAATGACCTCCAGTCTCTTCTGCTGCGAAAGATATTCAATCCAGGCGAGGAGATTCGTTGACCTAAGGAACGTTGCCAATGCGTGAAGTACCTCCTCGTCTTGAGCCGAAGTAGAGTTCAAGTGTCCGTAGAGGGCGATTGATGCGTAAGACACGAAAGCAGAGCGCGGCTTGGTATTGACACTCATCTTTCTCTTCTGTTTTCCTTTCATTTCGGGGCCTGTCAGATACCGTAAACAAGCTAGGGTTAGCATTTTATGACCCTGTTTGCTGTCAATTGTGAAACCCGGCTGTTCGTTATTTATGTCGTTCCTCAGAAGAAACTCTCTGGCACTTGAGTGTCTCATCCGTATTTGGCCTTTCGCATTGATGTAGACCAGATCGTAACAGTTTCTAGTGATGATGGCCCGGATGGATTCTCTGTCCTCTTCCGTATGCAGACTCACTGCATATTCCATTTCCTCAAGCGTCAAAGGGCGGATTGCGCAAGCGACCCAGGTAAGAATATGCTCAGCAACATCGCGGTTAGACATGGTTTGGACGATTCTGGCGTAAAGCTGGTCCATACCTTCGGGGTCCTCATGCACAGTACGTAGGATCGCTTGTCTGGTTTTACAACCCATCAAACGTCCGACGACCAGAACAGCCCACAGAAAGCACCCATTCGTCTTATACATTATAACCCTGCGAACCGTTTCGTCCACTGTATCAGTGTACTGGTCAAGATATAGAGATATGTCTCGTTGAGTGTCTTCCATGTTGATATCAAGCTGCGAGATGAACCTCGAAGAAATGTGGTAGTAGTCTGGGTCATGTCTGGAAGTCAGGAAAACTTTGGCAGTGCCGCTTTCGACCACTTTCAATAATAGCTGTACGAGATCCTGGTCCAATCGACACTCATCAACAGCGTCAACAATGATGAATGGCAGTTTCTTTGAATCGGTCCCTGCCATGAGGATGCCCTGTGACCATAACTTCCGCCAGATTGTTCTGAAGTCACTGGCTTTTGGTAACGTTGGATTGTTGGTAAGGATGTCAAGCACCTTGCGTTCAACTTCGGGATATAGAACGGCGATCTGCCAAGCGATTGACAATAAGAATGTCGAGATCATCGATTTCGAGGTGTCACCGTATACATAAAAGAAAAAGGGAACCTTGTGACCAGAACCCCTCAATTCTTCGATGATGCTGCCACTGACGAATGATTTTCCCGCCGCTGGTGGCCCTCGTAACCACAGAATATGGGGTTCTTCTTCAACGACCCAGTTTCTGTAAGACTCCTTGCCGTGTAGCCAAGAGCATGTACCAGGAACTCGTTCAGATGCTACTCGATACAGATCGTCTTCAGGTGGCTCGTATATATTGAAGATCTCGCTAAGCAGCTTGCGGTGCTGCATAGTGTTCTCTTCTTGCAGCTTCTGCGTGGAGCTGCTAACGTCAGAGATAGCGTGTGCCAGTGCCTGATGCAAGATTTTGAAGTTGGGATCGTCTGCCGAGTCGAACTTGCATATGCTCCTGTGATCTCCGTGAAGAGGTTCTGATCTTTCATTTTCGTAACCGAGGACGGCATTATCCTTCTCTACGATCAAAATCTTTCCCACTCCAGTAATGCTAAGTGGCTTTGTTTCGTAGAATGAGTGAAGCTGGATGTCGCCGGCAAAGCGCACGAATTCTTCAATAATTGTGATTATAACTGCGGACCCCCGCTCGAGGTCTTTCAAGAACAGTCGTGGCCCGGACACGAGATGGAGTATGTTAGATAGGATTTGCGCATGATTTGAACCACGATGAGGTGTTGCTATGAAAAACATAGACTTGATGCGGTAGGCCAGATCTTCATAGCCACTCATCCGCCGGGCTATCGTATAAGCCTTCTTGATGACTAGACCACCCATGCTGTGAGCAACCAAGATGATGGGACTCTGTAAGGTGTTAGCCGGTCTCCTACTGGGGGGTAAAGCCAGAAATCAACCCAAGCCCTTCAGATGATGAGAGATTTTAGAATGTCGAGCAACATACCTTATTTTCAAGGACGCTTGGACTGTCCTTCAGACTCCCAAGAAGTGACTTAGAGAAGTCATGGATATCCAAAATGCTCCTTTTCTTGAAGTCCGAGTCATACCCGAAGGTGTGAATTGTTACGCTTTGGAATGGATCTTGAACTGGTAACAGATCCCGCGGCCACATCATGTTTCCCTTCGACCACGTATGCTCCGAGCCGCCCCCGAGGCCGTGAACGAATACGATATGAGCCGTCGGCTCCTTAAGCAGAGGTTGATGGAGTGTGGTGAGGCCAAATGGCCCTTTGGCTGCATGGGGTATCGAAGGAGCCGCCGATGCCGCGGAAGGTCTGCGGGTTATATGACTACCGAACGTCCATCGACTAAGCAAAGCTCGACCAGGCGCAACTTCGGAAGGTGCATCACCGTCTTGATCGGCCTTTGACGGAATCCTCTTGAGTCGTCGCATAATGAATGATTAATGAGATGCTATCTCATGATGCACAACAGCCCACACAGGACCATGCCAACACTGGCGAGTCCAGTCTGTGGGAGATACCCGGACGGCTGAACGCAGCCAGCTACGGATGGGAGAAAACTTATGCGAGAGTAGGTGCGGTCAAACAAGGATGACATTGGCTGCCTGGTGGCTGCCATGTAGGAGAAATGAGCTTTGCGGCTGCGTGAGACAGCCTGCTGCGATTTGGGGTTGCCGATTGCCCCAGCTCGGGCGGCAGAAGCAGGCTGTGAGAGCTAATGCATTGCAACTAACTTGGCGACAACAGGGCACCCTACCAGCGCGTACAGACGACTGCAATCATAACTTCATTGGCTCGGATTGGCACCAACCGCGGGGAAGCTCGACAACTGCGCATGGGAATAGTCTCACAATCTGATCCCCATTCCCGGGATGAATCACTTCCCGCCTTTCGTGAGTAAGACGCTTCGCAGAGGTATATAACGTATCGAGGTACTCCAGCCAACCCATCCTCCACCCGGGAGGCTTTGACTATTTCTTTCACCGCTGCGCGTCAAACGCCTTGAGAGCCTCACTATGGCGGCTGTGCTACAGAAACCTACGCAACTTGTGGTACCGAGCTTCACCGCCGGTGACATCGAGGCTGACGATGAATGGAATGCGCAAAGCTCATGGGACATGAAAGTTGAGGTCCCCGCAGAACTCACAGGATATGTTGATGCGAACATACTAGCTTGTGGGGCTCCCACATATATGGGTGTCGCAAGTGTAGAAAGCTGACCCTTCTTCGAAAGGCATGCCTCCGGGAACGATTATTGACTCCATTCGGCCACACGGCTCGAGCTATTGGTCCGCAACCGCAGAGATCCAGGCCACACTGGAAGGCGAGCCCAGGTCCTACTTCGTCAAGGCTACCCAAAATAAGTTTGGCAAGAAGATGTTCAGAGGCGAATATGAATCTGCCAAGGCAATACACGATGCCTGCCCTGATTTCTGTCCGCCGCCCATTGCGTGTGGAACTTACCAGTCGGTGCCAAACACTTATTTCTTCCTCAGTGGGTTTATCGACATGTTAGATGATCTTCCAGACCTGGGGCTTTTCCCCCAAAAGTTGGCCGAAATGCACATGAAAGCCATAGCCCCCGATGGCATGTATGGCTTTCATGTTCAGACCATGACAGCATTGCTGCCCCAGTATGTGACCAAATCGGCTTCATGGGAGGAGTTCTTTACAGGTTATATGCGTCACCTTATGATGGCAGAGACTTTTGCCCAAGGTCCGCTCAGCGACGAACTCAACAGACTCGAGACCGTCTTTCTGGAGCACATTATCCCTCGCCTGTGTAGACCGCTCGAAACAGGCGGGAGAAGTATAGAGCCAAGGCTTTTGCACAGTGACCTATGGGATGGAAATGCGGCCATTGAGGCGGAGACAGAGAATCCCATTATTTTTGATCCTTCATGCTTCTATGGCCACAACGAATGTAAGTCATGGTGTACCCAACCACACCTATCTCCTGCCTACCGACTGACACCTGAGATAGTCGAAATCGGCGTATGGCGCTGTCCTCGACATAAGACAGGCAAGCCTTATATAGAAAACTACCACCGATATTTCGCCAAGTCGAACCCGGAGGAGGATTATGATGGGCGAAATCTTATGTACCTTCTGTGGGTTATGCTTTTATTTACCACATAAGGCATGTTGCTGATGGAGTTAGGTCCTTTGAAACCCGGGCATCTGCATGTTGGGTTGGGAGGGGGATGTTCCGAGAATCGTGAGTATCATACACAATACTGAGTCCCTGAAAGAACCACGACTAATAATTATTATTATCCAGAATGATTTGTTTGCTCAAGGAGCTAGAGCAGAAGTTTCCTGAAAGCTACGAGGAGTGGGCGAAGGCAAGAGGGGAATCCGTGTGTGAGCGTAAGGCTTCCACACCTCCATCGTAGCAAAGTTCGTAGCAACGGCAGGTTTATACAAGCAGATTCAAAAACATGGAGTGCTTCGTAAGATAAGCAATGATAAATGTCCGGAAACCGCGCCATAAGAAGGATGAAGACTTCCTCTGCACTGTAGACTAACCTGATGGGCATTCCGCTCTCGTCACTGTGCCCTCCGTTCTCCACTGAAAACCCTTTGACCTGAGAATCCATAGGCCAAGACCCTGACTGCCGCCGATGACTATCGCGAATAGTGTAAACAACCAGCCTCTCCCTATAGCAGATCTGAGAGGTTCTAGTATCGCCACTCCGCCCGCTGCGAGACCACATCGCACCACTGTTGCGGCTGCAGCCGCAGCGCTCGGCCTCTTCGATTCGATATCGATGAGAAGTGTATTGAAACAGAAGAACATGAACGTTCCTGAGAAGCCGATGACTGCCTGTAGCGAAAGCGATGCGGCGGGATGCGCAGCGATCTGCCAGGTCCAGCCCATTCCCACCAGTGCTATGTTATATATTACCCAAACGAGGGTGAGGCTTCTCGTTCTTGCCTTCTCGATCGGAAAATTCCTGAGATCGTCACCTTTAATCTTGTCAACTGTAAAGCCGATCTCAGTTGCAGTTTTTCTGTACTTCTGGTCCATCCATCGACCGTTGATGATGCCAGCTATTATCACAGCTGCCGCCCCGGGCAGATACGCGAGGCCGATCTCCAGTTCGTTCCAACCATGTTGCTCTTGATAGACAGCCGGAATAGATGCCGTGATGCAATACCACAGGGCGTAGTTGACGCCTCCCAGCCACAGAATGAGTGCATTCTCTTTGGATAGCACGACAGCCGAGCAGCCACGATCTTTGGGAAGAATCCCTGAGAGCAGGCCAGATTCTCGAGATGGATTCGGCCTGGTCGGTGCCGCTTCCGTGTTGGGCAGGGCCGTTATAACTTGACCATCGTCCTCAGTGACGCGGGGGCCTAGACGGGGACCTAGGCGTACCCACGCCAGGGCCGAGTGGCCAGTCCGCTGCCGTAGACCCTGCCCTCCATTTCCCACCAAGGCACGGGCCGTTTCGGGGAGGAATAGACTAAGGGTGATGCTATTCACAGCACCAAAGATGAGAAGTCCCCAAAAGACCCACTGCTGGCCTTGACTCCGCCAGGCAATGACCCCGCCCAAGACAGGTCCTATAAAGGTGCCGAGGTTGGTGGCGCTCATCACAGGGCCGATCATGCTGCCCCTCTCACTGGGGGTCGACACGTCCGCGATAACTCCATAAGCAATAGACACACAGGCGCTTGCTCCGAATGCCTGTAGACCTCGGAGGAGGAGTAGCGCTACGTAATGAGACTGGTCAAGGGCGAGAGCAAGAGATGCAATGGTGTAAATGATGTACGTAAGCAGGGAGATAGGTCGCCGCCCGAAGGAGTCTGACAGTGGCGCGAAGATAGCGGGGGTGACGGATTGGACCACCGTATAGAATGTGAGTGTCAGGTTGATCGCCTGCGCCGATGTATGATAGCTATGCTGTAGTAGAGGCAGCAAAGGAAGGTAAATCGTAGCAGTGAGCGGCGAGGCAAGCGATGCCAATGCCAGTAACGCCGTGATTATAGTTTTGTGCGTTCCTGTAAAGATGGTGTAAGGCTGTGCAACAGGAGTTATCGCTTCTTTGCTAGCTGGTGATTTCAAGTTCTGTGGAGGAGGCGGGGCTACAGTGCGCAGGGCATCGTCGCTGATAGGACTCTTTGTCTTTGGCATTTTCCTAGAATTGAATGGCGTACCTGATTAAATGCGCTGGAATTGATGTGATGGGTAGAACCAGGCCGCAATGCTTTGCTGCCAGACCTGTATCTGGGAACAACGCGGGCCGCGTTCGGCTGTGATTCACCTTGCGGACAGCCTTGCCGGTGCAATCTTGCACAACAGTAGTTGAGTTAGTGAGTTATAGAGCTAGTCACTACAGTACAAGACCTGACAATAAGATTCTTGCACAATGAATCATTGTTTCCCAAACGGCTCCAGGTGGACGCCATTATCCTCTCTCCGGAGTATGTAACTATTAGGTAGCCTTTCAACTAAAACCAGCATTGCGTAAAGAAGGCCTTGATAGCCATATTTGCTAAATCAACAGGAAACTTTTATTTAACTTTGTCGACGCTACTGATCACTGAAGACAGTCTTTTCTTCAGCTGTTGTACTAGATGAAATATAGTGCCGCAGCCTACACGTTAGACACACAATTCCTCGGCCCGGCACTGGACGTGGAGATGCATCTTTATGTGACATAAGATTTTATAGTTCTAAGCTATTTCGCTATAGAGCTGACCTCCGTGGCACGTCAACTTCAACAATAGGTTTTTTCCCCCGTGATTTAAAATGTATTCATGAATATAAGGTAGATATCGGCAGTATCAATGCCGCAGTTCAGTTGTAGGTGCATGGCGCAGGCCAGTTCGAGCCGACGGGAACACCTTGCCCGATGGCGCCACAGAAGTAGATATCGTTCTTGGTGTGATCAACTGCGAAGGTAAACGAATACAGTTGATTGTTCCCAATCTATGGGTGACTACCGTTAGTTTTGTCTATAAAATTTGGAACTTCGCACACGATGTATATTTTAAGCCCTAGGGGAGAAAGAGGCAAAGAAATTATAGGCAAATGCAGCTTGATATATCCCGCATAAGAAGCGAGACATTGGTCACTGACCCAGTAGAAAGGCACGCCAGCTAGCCACGTGCACTTCCCTGATGCAACGTTGGCCGCAGACGGGTCATATGGTTCGACGTCTTTGAACTCGTAGGCTAGCTGCTCCATTTCAAGCGTAGTGAAGTTGGTGTAGGTCTCTAGTGCAGGATCCGGGTTAGGGTCGTAAAGGCATGACATGCCGTTTGCTGGGAACTGTAGGTACTCGTAGTCCTCGAACGTCTGAGCCGTCGCCCGACCCAGTAGACCACCGATGAATAGCAACGTAGACTTCATGGCTTCAGGTGCAGGTTGGTTACAAATTATAAGACGCAAGATGCAGATTGTTACAGTGTATTGACAAGCCCAATCGTGACGATGCGATGACAACTTTGTGCTTCGGTAAATGTCCAGATCAATTTCTAATCGATGTGGAATAGGTTAAGCTTTATATCTTCCCCTCCTCCCTTTGATAGAATCTGTCGACCGGGACTCTGCTGCAACTTGATTCGCTTACATTATACTTTGCTAGTATTGCTCAGACCAGTGTCTGCCCTACCCTGGTTTGCATTCGTTCATAAGGCTGTAGAGAGTGGGAGATGCACGTCTCAAGTGCCGTGTGCCAAAGAAAACTTGCTAAATTGGTAGATCAAGTTCGACTCGGGAAGGTAGTAGTGCTGAGTTACTTTCAGTGAATCGGGATAAGCGAAGTTCCCGTCTCTAGTCAACCCGGGCGATGATGCTCTGTCTTCTTGGTATTTGGTCCGAAAATTCCGAAACGGACACATTAAGAGATAGTACGATACCAATTCAGTCATTCTGTTGAAGTGATGTTAATAATTTAATCAAAACGGCTGGCATTGCATAAGAGAGGTCTGCAAGACGGCTGGGTTATGTATTCCATCATGGAGAATACAGTTCGTCTCAAGCAGAACATTGTAAGCGTTGGTGAATCATACGAGGCATTTGTCCTCCCATTTGAAAGCTGGTAGCCTTTAAACTAGAAGAAATAAGTCTTGTCGACACAGATGAGCCCAGAATTGTGCCGGTAACTGCGGGGTTCACCTTGGGACCTGCATCTGCAACTGCTGTTACATTACTACCCAGCCAAGGTCCCTGCAGTTGAAACAGGCTTGGTGATTGATCTCGCGACCCCGTGTTATCATTTTCTCCGCCTCAGTTATCAGCAATACGAGCTATTCATGCAATTCTGGTAACGTTGCCTGCATGCTCGCTTCCTGAGCCTTCATGAGCACTGGTCGGGATGGCGAGATTGCAGACGGTGTCATGTTACAACAGCTACCATGGGGTTTTCTGGGCACGTTCCGATGTGACCCGCAACCGTATTGACTCGAGACCATGTTCTCGGCATTTTGTATACACTGGGCTTTTATCGAAACCACTGTCCATTTACTCAACCCAATAGTGTAAGAATGCAAGCCATCACCTAATGTCTCTTTCATTTGGCATTTGAGACTATCAGAGTTCATAGACTGCAACAAGTCTAAACTCTCAAACAGTACGCACATTCAGTCGGTAGTAGGCTAATAGCTTAGGTAGGCTGACTACGAGGTGCTAAGGCCATCACGGTAACATCGTTGTTGCACAATGTCAGGCGACTCAGGCGTGATGCACGAGACACAGATACTGCCGACGCCAAGGATACCTATTTGCTTCGGGAGCCCGGTGGGTCCAAAGATGATCACACCTTCTTCTTCTGTGTTTAGACTGGCAATGAGGGGTGCAGCCTGCACATAATTACACAGATGAGTGAAGTGGATATTACTAATCAAATTATTCAGAAATGTTAGGGAAAGAGAAGTTGATTCGTGACATGCAACAGCCCGGGCTTATCTGTTGCACGCTGGCCTAGTACAGTGCACAAAGATATGCCTAATTCACTACTGCTATTGACATAGGAGCGATCTTGGCGGGGACTCTACCGATCTGTAGAATGAACTCAATTCACATAGTGTCAAGTACTATATAGATGAATCTGTATAGACATGAGTCATTAAAGTTTTGCTCAAAACATCCTTAAAGATATTTGATTTCTAGGAACCTCGGCCACCAGGCACTTCGCTGGACAGGAGAAAGGCTGTACAAAGGATCGCTGTTGGAACTACCGTAATTACAGTTTCGATATCACAGGTTCAGTCTTCTGCGTTAGACGGCCATTCATAGATTATTAGCCTGCTGTCTTGTCGAATCGTGGCTCTTTTCCAAGTATGAAATGGCCAAAACCACGGTGGCTTCTCGAGAGCTGTAATTAGGGTATAGTATCACATATTCTGCTGTTCTGATCCGATCTACTGAGACGATGTCTGACACTAAACCATGAATGCCAGCGATATAAAAGCGAAGCAAGATCGCAAGTGAGGGTCGCATCCTACTTTCCATTCCTTTATGCTAGAATTGCGATATCCCAACAAGAATCGAATTTTTTAGCTAGTATAGCGCTTCAATCTTGTTTCATCCACATACTTGACTATTTTGGTCTAAAAATTCACCTTTACCGCTTAATAACGAACAGTATTGCAATCCTGTTCTTCAAGCGACAGCTCTACAGGATGCAGTAGGCCTCAGCCCTGAGTGTGATGAGTGCCGGTGCCTGGATCTCGGTCTTACATTACTACCTAACTAGATCAGCCCTCCGAAAGAAGCTGGTACTATCAATGGAGCGATGAAAGCGGATTCAACTCGATAGATCCGGTGTCAGTCTCCACTTCTGAGCATAGCGAAGCATACGTTACGAACCACTGTCAAACGATGTTTCTCTAAGTACTTACTTCTCCATATCATCTCCATTGGCTGTATGCTCAAGGTGGCACGAAAATCGGACTGGCGAGAGGTCCCTACCCGCCTGACTTAATACAAAGTCTCAACTCCTGATCTCTTGGTTGCCAATGGCTTGACGTATCAACGAAATAAGCTCCCTTTCACTGGAGACCCCTGTCTACTATGGCAATGCAATTTGCATGTCATCTCAAGCGGTGACAGCCGTGCCACCATCACGAATGTCCACAATATCTTACCTGCTCAACTATTCTTTTACAACCCCTCTTTTCGGGGTCATTGTTATTAAGTATTCTGATAAGGATCGAATAGAGCAAATTCACGTATAGCCAAAGTCACTTACGAAAAACTTGCACGTTCCTTCAAGGCAATGAAGCAACAGGGGATTCAGCGTTTATTTCTCTGGATTGGCGTAAGTTTTCAACATACTCTATATAATCTAGTATTTGTTTGTAATATAAAACCCAACATTGCCCCATGGTTATCGAGATTGATGGACTGCATCCAACTCATACCTATTATCTCTTGGCTGCCCTGAAAGCTCTGCCATATTCCCGGTGTGTGGATACATTCCCTCGAAAGTAGTTGCTTCAGCCAGTACATGGTGCGGTCCCTTATAAACCGTATTTTGATAATATTCAGGTGGCGGAGGTTCGGTCTGAGTTCGTCCGTACATGTTCTTTTGCCGACGACGGAGGAGATAGTATACCAACGCGCCCACAGCACCGATCAGTGCAACCACACCAACGACTAATCCAGCAATGGCTCCACCCGAGAATGACGGCGAAACAATAATATCTGGGGCGGGAGTAGCCTGCGCCGGTGCTGAAGTTGCTACTACTGGAGTCGAAGTGGAAGTAATCGATGATGCTGTCGTGGTCGAGTTGGGTGCTAAAGTAGCTGATGTGACCTTGGTAGATGAAGTTGACGTCGACGAGGAAACGGTGCTGGAAACGGCAAGTGCTGCAAGATCCTGTTCATTATTAGCATCATCACCGAACCGACCTTGATAGCCCAGGTGATGTCTTTACAGCTCCCCAAATATCTCTAACACCGGCAGATTGCTTTGGGAACCAAGCCATTCTTTCATCTCAGGACAACTCACAGTGTATAATATCTGGCATCGTACTCCTTTGCTGCTTGCATAGCCTGCCACGCAGCTGGTTAGCCGCGGGCAGCAAGCCTCTTCTGTGCCGTTCGGAAGGTTTGTGCACGGCACAGAGTTCGCGTCATCGCAAACCGACTCTTGATCAACGTAGCAGCTATCAGTCGCGTTGCTGTTGTCTAATTAGAATCATCTATGGAAATTGTCGTACTTCAGAATAAAGTCTTACTTGCCAACGCAGCACCATCCTTTACCCAGAAATTGCTGACATGATGGATAGAAGGAATTTGACTGTGTACCTTGAGCCTAATCAGTGCACTGTAGTCAATGTCGTACAAGAAAACGTACAGCAGAGTGTTTGATTCGGTGCACATATCGAATTACTCCGCGAAGACCCAAACGCATCGGAGCAAGAGTCTCTCTTCGAGAAAAATATGTCTTCTCCTACGAGATCTGACATAGTCGCAGCTTGTGGGTGGACGTTGCTTGATTTTTGTTGATTCTGCAGAGGTCGCCTGGCATTAATCGTTCAACGATAGAGTAATTATTATAATAATATATGAAGTGAAATCGATGTGTAGAATATATGCAGGAAAGCTTCCAGAACTATAAGCTTGCCATTCAGAGCGAGCAGGTCATTCAAGACATGGAAGTCAGACCAAAGGTCGAAATTAAGTCTGGGTCAAGGTAATGGGTAACAGCAGGAGAAACACGAGAGCAGTTGGACCACATTTCAAATGCAACTGTAGGCGCTATCTGATGTCCAGGCTGTCCTGCATGTTGGTCCATATGTTGACTTTCGGGCCGGGCCTGGACGCTGGGGCCGAATTACCGGGACCCGTTGGCGGTTATTCCTGCTTGACCGTTCTCTTATTGGCCAAGATTAGGCGCCCCGAAATTATTGCCACAGCTGGATGGCCTGACCCAAGTAATAATGGTACCGATCTCATCGGCACGATTGGCCAGAATTGGTCAAGACCCCACAAAAATCTGCGTGTACCAGGGTATCGAAAGCGGCCAGGAAGCAAAGGGGCAGCATAATTTGTGGGCGGCAATCCATGTTTTGGCCGCAAGGACTGTAGTTTTGCCGTGCGCTCCCCTGCCGTGATTCTGCCCGAATTTCTGGGTTTTGCAATCCAACTCTTAAAGACAGCGCAAACCCAGCGGTACTATGCTGTATAGCGCGTTTAAGAATGACAAGGTAATGTGGATGGGCATTCCCACGATACAACTCTAACATGCTCGCACGTCGTGGGCGTCTCTTTGCACCATGTTTTGCGTTTGTCTTATTGCTCGTTGTTTTACTTTGGTATCATGACCAACTCGTCAGTTGGACTGAGCGTAGCGAGTCCTTTGCTGCGCCTCCTCCCTCTTCAGAGCAGGATACCTCCTCGAATGCATCCTCAGATGCGTCTTCGGATGTTGAGATAGTCGTGGCCAGTCTCAGGCATGAAGATACGTCATGGCTGCCGACCTACCTGCCTGAATGGAAGGCAAACGTCTACGTTGTCGACGACCCAGAAGCGCCCCTCACGGTCTCAGTGAATAGAGGCCGAGAGAGTATGGTGTACCTGACCTACATCATTGACCATTACGATCGGCTTCCGAATAACATCATATTCATGCACGCATCGCGCTTTGCCTGGCATAATGATGACCCCGATTACGATGCCATACCCACGCTACGCAACCTTCAGATTCCCTACCTACAGGAAACTGGATATGTCAATCTCAGATGTGTTTGGGTAATCGGATGCCCAAGTGAAATACGCCCCGTCGAGGACGAACTGAACAAGGATGACTCTCGCCCCATGACCAAAGATATATACAAGCAGGCATTCGAAGAGTTATTACCAGAGTTACCGATGCCAGCGATTGTCGCTGTGAGCTGCTGTTCACAGTTTGCGGTCACACGCGAGGCCGTTCAAAAGCGACCGCGGGAAGATTATCTGAGGTTTCGACAGTGGCTATTAGAAACGCCGTTAGGGGATGACAGAAGTGGGAGAGTGTTTGAATTTGCATGGCATAGTGAGTTCAGCTGCCCTTATTATCAGAAAATCCCCCTCTAACGTACCATGCCAGTAATATTCGGCAAAGAGGGAGTTTTCTGTCCATCCGCAGCAGATTGTTACTGCAAGGTCTTTGGGATATGTGGGCTGAGCTGCTCTGAAAGTTCCTGCGAGGATAGATATATTTTGCCCACTTTCTCAAGCTTACCGGCTGGATGGCCCAGGATTGGCTGGGATGGTGAAGCTCGAAACTTTACAGGGCCTCTGGCTTAATTATGTACGATACAGTTCCCAAAGTTTTGTGAGAAGTGTGTTCGCATTCATCCTCAAGTGTTGATCTGTCTCAGCGTGGGAAGTCCACTACGTTAGTCCTATGCTAAGACTAGTCATTCGCGAGAACTAGTCAGGGGGATAACCCAGGCTGCATTCTTCCGTAATGAGACAGCACAGACAGAAGATACTGCATTGCGCTAAAGGAAAAAAAAAAAAACCGTAGCCCAAGACCATAACCTTTACTTCGCCGCGCAGCTTTGTCAGGATTGGTTTCGAACGTGTTCACTTTGTAGGTTTTCAGCCGCCCGAATAATAATGATGAAGCGGCTATCTGTCAATCAAAGTCCGTCCTTGACCTTGTTTCCTGAGTTTATGTTCGTCATCCTGCCACTTCACTGCGAGCAGCTTCTCAAGACCTTGGCCAACCATGACACTCTAGCACTTTCGAACAACTAGGGTTGATAGGAGGAAGACACGACAATCAGCGACGTGGCGAGACTAGACCATTGGCCAGATCCGCGGAACTTATACCAGCTCTGGCCCTGCTGACTGACAACGAAATGATCCACGATAGTCAAAGGGGTAGTGCCCCGTGATGTCATCAGTACGTTTTGATTATATGCAGACATGAAGCTAGACTCATAGGCGCGGTTGGCTAATTGAAATCGCTCGCCCCCCATAGGCCGGAGATGCAATTACCGCAGCTGCAGGAAGACTTTGCACCCATGAGGGCCAGCTCTATCCGGATGCAGACTTGCCGCCGGAGACAGGTCTATCCGGGGTGGGGAATGGAGAATCTGGGGCCAACTAGACTAGCTTGGTGGCTGCCCTATGTCACCGGATGCTCTAGTTCAGGTAAGACCTATTGGAAAACGCAGCGCGGTGATTGGCTCAATACTAGTGCCTGGCAGTAGTCAGTCTGCTTGCGGATGCGCTAGCATAGTCGGTTTAAGCTTAGTCAAAGACATCTCTTGACCTTGACAGTGACAGCGAAAGTCTATGGTAGGTGACTGTATTCTTCCAAGAGAGCTGTTCAATAATTGTTCCGCATGCCATCGCAAGGCTCACTCATGTGAAAAGTCATGTTTAGAACCTCAGGGAGGCTTTTGTCTTTGACCTCACTGCCCGCAGGCGAGTCAGCACATTCCTCCTGGACATAGTATCAGCATTCCTAGTCTATCTGCTAGAGACATGAAGCTCATGGCGGAAATTGGAAAGTCAAAACACATGAGTACCCTTGCGAGAACACACCAGATCTAGCGCCAACAAGCATATCATTGCCTACCTCGACCTGCGGATTCCAGTCGTTCCGGGCTAGCGATACCAGATAAGTGCTTGAGTGTACACTAGCTTACACGAGTCACCTTTGTTTTGGGGCATCTACTCGCTCTTTGAAGATTCTAGTCCGAATGGGGGTCTTCCCTAGCTGCGCGCGAGACTGCGCCGAGTATCAGCATAAACGCCTATTAAGAACGTGATTCCCCCCTTCGCTCAGTTGTTTCTGCTTTGATTCCAGTTGACTACCGCACTCCCAATTCACTACTCCTTTCCAATAACTCCTTCTACTCCATCCAAAATGCGCGTATCTAAGGCCGTCATTGCCGCCGCAGCTGCAAGCACTGCGAGTGCGCAGCGCCCCAGCAACACTTCTATTTGCGACTACTATACCACCGCGTTGTTGAAGGAGAACACGGCTGACAACCAGTACACTCTCTTGACTCTTGTGGTCAACACTGTAGTCATTGGAAACTGTAAGTTTTCAAGGCAGAAGTAATCATGATGAACTGGTATGACTGACAACTACCTCTACTATCAGACACCATGCCCAACGTTGGCATCAAGGTTCCCGGTATCCTGGCACCAGGAATGGTGAACGGAACCGAAGTCAACCTCCTCCCATACTTCGACGGAGAGCTCGCATCGAGCAACCGTGGTGGCGACAAGGGTGTTGCTATCAACTTCCTTGACGGTGGCGGTGCTGCGCCTCTGATGAAGAACATGCCTGCCGAAGACAACACCTCTATGCAGTAGTATGTTATAAATCCCGAATTTATGGCGAGAAGCAATGCTAACAAGTGTCAAAAAGCTTCCTCCTCACCCATCTTTACCAGTTCTTCGGCTCTCTGCTGGGCTGCTCCCAGCAGGGTATGCCTGGATTCGACGCCTTCACTGGTCACGGATCCATGTACGAGGTTCACAAGTTCATGGCCCTCAACCCTTACGAGTTGACGTACTTCATCCAGCAGGTCGGCATGGCCGCCGCCTCCTTTGGAGTTGCTGATGCCGATGTCACTGCTGTTGGCGCGGCTCTTACCTCCCTGTTCACTTACCGGTGCGCACCGCCGACCACTGTCATCCCCGCCCAGGGCCCTCTGTTGCAGTCAATCTGCATCGACGGCGCTTGCCCCATCTCCCCCAACGCGACTTGCGATCAGTACCAGCCCGTCATGGTTCCCACCAATGCCACCACCAACGCCACTGCTACTTCTCCGGGCTCGATCGGCACTGCTACCTCTTCAGGCTCATCGATGACTGGTACTTCGACGTCCAGCCCCTCGACTATGCCCACCGCTGGCGCCGTTGCCAACGGCTTGAGCTTGGCCGCCGTTGTTGGTGGTATTGCCGCCTTCCTGATTTAAGAGGACTACTTGAGCTTTCAGTTAAACTACTATTATGAGGCTATGCCTCAAGCACGGCTAGTGTCAACTAGTCTATACTCATGTACATAAATTAATTCGATAATATTGAGACCCTCCCATTATGGCCTTCGCATTGTATATTTGCATGAATGGATATTCTGAATTTCTACACGCACATCAGTGATAAAGTCGTACCCTAGCTACAAAAGATGAAGCACAAATCTTCCTTCACTGGAAGCTGCTGATGGCCGCTGACGGTTCAGTTGTGCGAACATCCACTCCGTTGGTTGGTTCACATCTTGCGGTGGGTCTGCTATTGTAGAGAATGGCTTTGTGAACTCCAGAGCATTCAATTCAACTCTGAGTCATCAAATACGCTCGCCTATTTCCAGCAAGGATCTGAGTAACAAGCTTACGTGAGCCGTCAGGCTATCGAACCAAATAGTTTTATTGATTTTGACGCTATGAGCTGTCTGCGGGTTCTGAGGTCTGAGGTCTCAGCTCAAGCTGGACGACGACGATTTACCTTGAGATCTGAGATCTCCCCTCTAAACCGTTATGGAGAGAGAGCCGAATGTTGTATTGGTGAATTGCCAACCCGCATGTACAGTCTCCACACTGTTCCAGTGTATCACGGTTTCAAACAATACAGCACTTGTGTACATTCGCGCAAACGCACAATTCTCAATTGCATCCCGTCAGGCTCTTCTCAAATGGGCCTTGGACGCCTGTCTATCGCTGTTCGACGTCGTCTTGAGGGGTCATCAATAAATCAAGCCTGGGCTCGGGTGAGTAAAAGCGATACTCAGCCGAGAAGACGATGCTTGGTGGCAAGTGCCTGTTGCAGCCCTTGTGCACCGAAGAAGTATTGAGGCTTGCATGGGGCTTACAGGGGTGTGCTGTTTTCCGATCGATCTCGAACAGTTTTGTGTCGCCGAAATGTTGCGGAAGGGCAGCCTTCTCCGGCCCGAAGCGACAGCGGTTGGTGATGGTGAGAGGGGTTTGGTTGCTTCTTCCTATCAGGCGGGGGTGGGTGTTGGACGACAGATGCAGCGTGATTATGCAAGGCGCAGGCTGCCTGTCGAGGATGACAGCAATGTAACCACCCGCCTACCCGAAAGAGAGTATATTGGGGGCGTTTTTGTCTCGACTGCATCTATTGAAAGCCGCCCATTGGTGGGTTGGCTCGAAGTGCATATCGTAACAGGCTCATCCCTGTCAGCGTGCCCGAGTTCAGAAGGCAGAGTAAGGCTCCGCCACGCCAGGATTAGCATTGCACCACCTGTCAGGGAGGCTATTCCCGTATAGTCCATGTGCATAACTGCGCCTGTCCGTTGCATTCTGCCGGAGTGTCACAATGAATACTTGTGGAGGTCCTTCGGGTTCGCGCATCGTCGTCGTCGTCGATCACCTCTGGGCTCAGTGGATGTCAACTCGTAAACCCGTTGCTATGGAACATCGCCGGTAGCTCGCCGGAGCGCGGAGCGGATAGTTGCACAAGATGTACGGTGCGCTGACACAACACCGGGGGACCCGCGGGGTCACTTTTGCTCCCTTGGCGCAGGCGGAGGCGACCGACGCGAATGCCTTGGATGACTCGAGCGAGGAAGTGCAACAACGGTGGGAGAACTTGACGGCAAAGGAACGATTCCGCAACCAGATTCAAGATATACTGCGGCATTCGTCGACGATCGAGGACTACGAGGATGAGAATGATTTGCATCAAGTCCAAGAGGTGCGCAGTGGGCACGCGGCTGCATACGTCCCAGTCGGCGACCTCATCCCGAACCCTGGGTTTGAAGAGCTAGACATCGCGGAACTCTCTGGTTCGTACGGGGGATACTATGCACCCACTTACGAAAGGCCGCCCTACGAAAAGAGGTCGCCTTACGACAGGGCGCCATCTTCGCTCAGCAAGGCAAGTGACTCTCGTACGGAAACAACGTACATGGGGTCAGAGCCTGGAGACAAATTCCTCCACTACGCACCCAAGATCACAAGTGTCGAGGTGGACGGTCAGAGCGACGAAAGTCAGCCTCCGACTGAGCGCCCGAACTATAAGCCATTCGTGCTTAAGGGCCCATTTCTTGCCGTGCTGTTCTTGGTTATAGTAATATTAATGGCCTTGACAGAGGCAGCTGTTCACGTTTTGCCAGATGCAACGAAAGGGTCTGAGGCATTGCTGAGCACGCGCAACTCAACGAGGGTGAAAGTTCGTGATCTCTGGGCGGAGCGACAGTCCTCCCACTTGCTCCACGGTCTGCATTATCCTCGCGACGACGATATCACAGGAGATGGCGTATCCGACGGAGATAAAGGCAGCGGAGACACCAAGCCCAACCCCGTTAGAACCACATCAAGCACTATTACGACTGAAGAGAAAAGCTCGACAACTAGTTCCACGAGCACGACGTCGTTAGATAGTGTGGCAAGCACGTCTACGAAGTCCGATCCCAAGCAGCCGCAAGTGACATCAACAGCAGAAGATACAGCGCCAACAACCACGAATACTCAACAATCACTGACTTCTACTACCACGTCACAAGTACTTTCCTCAGAAAATGGCCCAAAACCCTCTGACAATGACAGTCCGAAGCCTACGAACGACCCGAGGCCTTCTGACGTTACACTGACAACCAATAACCCCCTCCCAACCACAACCCAGCCCAACCCTCAGCAACCAGGTGGTCCAACCGGCGGAGAGTCTGGTCCTACAAATGAGAAGTCGCACTCTACTGGAGGCAAAACTAACCCGCCTGGAGGCGGCCCGGATCGGACCAGTACCTCAAGCCAACCGGATAAGCAACCTCATCCGACAGAGGCCAACCCAAGTACCACCGGTACTGATCCAACCCCCCCTGACAACGGGCCAACACCTCCCCAGACCCATCCACTTCCCGGTGAGATTACCACAGCTCCGCCTCCATTTCCACCAATCCTCTCAACGACATCAACTTCTGAGAAGGAACCAACTCATACAGAGGGTGGGCATGGGGATATTCCGGGGCCGAGTTCCACGACGACGACGACTTCACAGCAAGCTCCCGGGCCACCGCAGCAAAGCACAGAAAGGACTCTTCGTACTTGTTTTGTTTCTGTTACACAGATCTTCACGCAGTGGACCACAGTGCCTGCAGTCACCGTAAATGTAGGAGTCCTGGAAATAGGGGTGAACAAGAGGAGCGTATCGCCTACGCAGGTAAAACTGGTGCCTCGACAAGACCCTAATTGTGACGTTGTGGTTACTGCCACTGTATATTCCACGATTGTTCTCACTACGACGAGCACTATCCTGAGTGTCGGCATTCCAGACAAGCCTTCAACGACCCCACCTGTCCCGGACCCAGGGGGTTCCACCGAGAGACAGACAACATCCTCAGACACAGGAGGCCCCTCAATCACGAACAGTATTACTGTGACAACTTCAACGCCAACTTCAGTCTCTCAGCCATCTGAACCTGCTAGCCAGCCCAACGGTCCGACGGAGAAGCCCTCTACCGTCACATCTTCGGCTCAAGTCACCACCTCGGATCCGCCCAACCCTGGTGGCGTCAGTTCAATTAGCAGCACGTCGAAAGCGTCTGACCCAGTAGTGCCACCCAGCAGTAGTAGCACAGCATCTCTGACTCAATCCTCGGACACCACAATCCACCCTCCATTGCCACCAGGGTCGTCGACAGACCAGATCAGCGCTACGAACTCTGAAGTCTCATCGGATGTATCACTTACCACTACTCGGGCTACGCAGACGAACGTGCCATCGCAGGTGGCCGAAACGACTACTATCAAGCCACCCCAGGAAGACGGTGTGACTCGTTCGACGCAAGAACGCCTGACGATAACTACAATCCCGCAGATGCCTAAGTCTACTGTAATCACCACGGTCGAGATCTCTACGGTGGTTCAGATTGTGACGTCGACAATATCAACCTCGGCTACGGACAGGGACGCTCCCGGGGGTATATTCATCATGACGCGATCAATGACATCCAAGTTCTATAACACAAAGGTGAAGACTGTTGAGCTCACGACGACCGATGGCGTTGCAACAACATTGGTCTTGACCCAGACAGATGAGAACGGAGTTCTTACCACAGCAACAGAGACAATGTTTGCATATTTAACGACAAGCACTGGCACTGATAGTAATGGGCGTCCGGAAACCAAAGTACTCGAGGTCTTAAAAAGGCCTTCGAGGTCAACTTTCATAGACTCTCAAGGGAGGCTCACCACCAAAACGTATCAAACGACTTTGTCGACCACAACTCGTACCGACAGGTACGGCAGACCAACCTTGACCGAGATTCTGGATATTACGGAAACACCCAGTGTGATGACGCTGTATGACGAGAACCACATAGCAACCGCAACCATCACCAAGATGGTAGGAGACGGCACTTCAACAAGTACGGTTATTGCCGTTGCCACGAGCACGATGACCGGCAATGCGTCGTCGGCATCAGCAGGGCACAAGGAGCCTATAAAGCTTCCGATGACGTCGAGCCAATACTTCTCGAGTGTGCTGCTGCCTATCTTCCTGGCGATCGCGCTGTCAATAGCGGTCCGGATCCTGGACCAGAACGCCAAGCTCTACCAGCCCTTCTTCGCCCTGACGCTGCCCTACGGCGCACGCACAGCCGACTCGCTGTGTCTGAACACGACCGGGATGTGGGGCTTGATATCCGGCATCCTGTCGCCGTTGACGGGAAACGTGTTGCTGGTGGTAACGGGACTACTCGTGCTGACCAGCTCGTTGTTGATAGCCCTGAGCACAGAGGCAGTGCGCGTGGTATCAGACTGCTCGGGCGGCAGTGATGTGCCCTGCCCCGCGGCCTTGAGCGTGGTCCCAGGAACGGCACAGGCAATAGTTGGCCTCTTTTGCTTCATGGCCTTGCTCCTTGCCATCGCCGGCTTTGCTCTCTGGGGACGTCAGACAGGGATCTGGAACAACCGGCCATGGAGCATGTTCGACATTGGTCGACTGGCCCTGAACGGCAGCACTCTTGCACTGCTAAAGCGTATGCGGCCCAAGAACGGCAAAATCAAGAACGGAGATGCCATCAGAGCGTTTGGCAATCGACGTTTCGGGTTGGGGTACTGGAAAGCCGGTAACGACTGGCAATACGGCATTATGATCATGAACGATGCAGGCAGCCTGCTAGACAAGAACCGTGGGATTGAATTCAAGGAGGGGGGCAAGTGGAGCGTCAGGAAGAAGTCGATGCCCTTCTTCACCTTGAGCCTGGCCGGGCGGTCTCTTTTCCTACTCCTACTAATGAGCCTGGTCCTGATAATACTCCTGAACAACAATACCGGCGTCAATTACCAGACGTTTATGGATGATGCCTCCTTTGGTGGGCGGTTCTTACTCACCGCAGTCGGAGTGGTGATTTCCCTGTCTTGGTGGACCTTTTTCTCATGTGAGTCAACCAACTACACTGGTACAGAAGAAGGCTGATATATTGCTCTAGGCATTGCATACCTCAGCCCCTACAGGCTACTCTACCGAAACCGTGGGGCGAAGGAGGCAATATACCTCAGCGCCCCGACCAATCCGTATGCGGGGTTCTGGAGGGTTACTACGAGGCAGCACCCAGACACTTACCTCGGCGTCGTCGCCTTCACGGCGATACTCTCCGATATCCTGCCCATACTGCTCGCCAACATCCCGTCGATTGGCCTGTCTGATGGTGGCGCGTCCACGGCCAGCACTTGGTCCTCGGTCAGCATCTTGTGCATCATGATCGTGGTCATCATCTGGTCGTTCCTGCTGAGCTGGCCGCCCATGCCCATAGACCCGAGCACGATCGCGGGCGCAATGTACTATGCGACCGATCCTTCCAAGTTCCTTAATGGCGTGCGTACGAGCGGGAGATCGAGTCCGGTATAAAAAAAAAATGGATATGGAGAATCCCAGGGTAGCAAATATCACAGTTATGAATATAGATTTCCAAGTAATGACATAATTTACAACCAAGTCCTATTACAAGCACATGCCTACCCAGCTGTCGTGATCTAACTGGGCCACGCCAATGCTCCTACTTTTGGAACCAAGGCTGACTAGCTCCTCTATTGGCGCTCTGAAGCGTAATCGGCATATTCTTGCCCAGATCCTCAGGTGAGGGTGCACTCTGCTTGGACAACTTCAAGCTTAGGCTTTGTTGAGACTTTGCGTGCTTGAGCTGTCGTCTGATAGTTATATGAAATGCACACTTTTGATATGTCAACTTCCTTTGGCAGTCGAATGGGGTCACTACTGATAAATTTTTTGCTGCCATGGTATATCCTCCTAACATGACCAACCAACAGACCTCGCTACATGACTTCGTGCGCAAACATGTCTCCGTAATCACCTGATACCAACCGATCAGTCTCGCCGCCACCCTTCTGTCCTCGAATCTCTCTCTGCGATATATCTTCGTCGCCAATTGTCGTCACTCATATGATGATAAGCTGTCGGCAGTGTCAGTTTCTTGATTGGCACAAACCATGCTTCAAAAGCTTTGGTGACTTACCTCAATAAGCTTCTCAGTCAGACCAAAGCACTGCTTCTCCGGCTCCTGGGTCTGACTGAACGAACAAGAACGCCACAGGCCGCCAAAGCCCATGTCCTCCAGGATCTCGTTCAGGATACCGGTTGACTCCAGCGCGTTCGAGAACTTGGGATTTGAAGTCATGGTACGGAACAATGCATGGGCAGCCTCCAAGGTTGACGGATTCTGGCAATGCAATAGAACGTCATCTAGAATCTGCGCAACTGGGGAGCATCTGGTTTCTGGGTCAGCAAGATGGCAGAGGCCAAAGGAATTTTGTCTAACTTACAGATGTAGGACGACTGCCGGACGGTTGTTGGCAAGTTCGTTGAGCCACAGCAGGGTACGATTCTGCACAGCATCTTCTAGGTATTGGAAATCAACAAGCTCGATGGCAGTGCTCAGGAGCAGGTCCTTGTCCTTCACAGACGAAAGATCGCGCAAAGCCCGCTTGCGTCCAAGACTGGTAACGCTGGCGGGATGTAGACCTGACAGATAGAGAACGTCCTTCAGCTCATCTGGTTCAACCGCCCTGGCTTGGATCAGGGCCAGGTACGGTGAGGTCAACACATCTCGAGTCAGTTTGTCCGCGTCAAACGAGGAACTTGTCGTCATCTCGAGGAATGTCGAAAGAACGCGCAAAGCAGTCGGCTTTGTCATAGTGTCAGTGAGGCCACGAGTCAGGCAGGCACACACAGCGAAATGGAAGTTTTCCGGGGTGAAATTGATGCCATAGACGTCGTCAAGTGCGAGTGCAGCATCCTCGAGCTGAACGCGGCCTTGCAGCAGAACCTGAGCCATCTTCTCATTCCTCATATCGCCTGCAGTGCCAATGTTTGTGAGCACTGCCTCTAGAAAGTTTGCCGCGCAGTTGAAGAGTGACGATGGGACTAGCCGCAGAAGTGAGATGGCGAGCCAGAACAGCTGCAAGCCATAACGGGACGCTGTCAGCAGCTTGCCCATCATCTTTGATAACGAGGTTACAATTGCAACAAGCATCTCATTGTTGCTGTCCTCCGAGAAGCGACCAACAGCATTGCGCAAAGCGACCAAAACCTGGTATAGCAAATCGTCGTCGACTTCTTCTCTTGCCAAACAGCCCATGACAGTAAACGCCCTGGGTTGAATGGCGGGGTTGTTCTGGAATGCAGTGCTGGCCACCAAACTCATCCATCTAGACCGCCAAGCATTGGCCATGTCAACTGAGGGAGCAGCAATGGAGCAGGTTTCGAACAGGAGAGCAGCCAGATGCTCAGTTGTTGCAAGCGTTTGGCCAGTCTCCTGGTTTGTGGATATGGACGCTCCATCTCGCAGGGAGGTCGGCGGTGCCGCAAAGATATCGTTCCTAGGTTCTGACAATATTTCCAGCGTGGTGCGAAGCTTTGCTAATTTGGCGTCGTCAATCCTGAAGGAAGTGCAGGCGGCGTGAATAGAGTTGATAAGGAGCCTGTGGACAAGAACCCGGAAGTCTGCCGGACCAGTATTCGCAAGCATAGTAACTACGTGGAAGAGCTCAGGCAGGTACAATTGCGACTGAACACCGCAATCAAATGACAAAGACAAGCAGAACTGGAGCAGAACGCATATCTCTGGCCAGACGCTGTTGTCTGGCAGGAATTTAGTAGGCCGCTGGGAGGACCTGTTCAAAGCCTTCCGGAGACGGGATATGATCTTCCCGCGAAGCGTTATTGTTCCCATGGCTGTGACGATGGTAGTCAAGGACTGCGTTTGCTCATCGTACATCCCGAGACTAAGAGCTGCTTTGAGGATCTCCTCGAGGAAGATGTCCAGCAAGGTCTCATCCTTGTAGATCGCAGGCCAGACCGCATGCTCAAGGGTAAGGTTGAGTGTAGGATCTGTAATTGCAACGTCAATGAGCTTCCGGAATATGGCTGCAATCTTCTCCTTGCCCTTCTCGCTATCCGTCTCATCACCGAGAAGCGAAGTACGAAGGCCGGGTAGCCAAGGAGCCATGTAGGCGAGGCTGAGCGGTTTTTGTTCCTCTGAAAAGCTCTCCCAGCCGACAAAGAATTCATTCAAGAAGTCGGAAGTCAATTGTGGCTCTTCGTTGGCGAGTGATCTGCTGATGTTGACGATGAATTGGGTAGGGTCCAGTGGCACTGCGATATCTGTAGGGGGTGTCAGTAATCATGTAAACACCAACTTCGGTATGGCACATACCTCGGATCAAGATAAATTTGGCTGCTGCCTTGAACTTGAAAGTGCGACACAGTGCTCCCAATAGGTTGTATGAGGACAAGCGAAGAATCGGATCCGGAGCCGCCAGGTTCGTCAGTGCAAGGTTCAGTAATGTACCTGGCACATCTTGCGGCCGGATAAGTCTCTCGAACGACTTTTGTGCTCTTGTATCCTTGCCGTACTTGACTTTCGCGCCACGCACAGCCTGGAGAACATCGAGTTTCTTCGGGCTCTGGAAATACATGACGATCTTGCCATTGTCAGCTCGCAGGCCAAACGCAGAATCATCTTCCGTGGGAATCGATGTTGGCGCCTCCTCTACTTCTCCAAGTCTGAAGATGTCGTTCACAGTCGCGCTGAGACGGAAGCCCGGGTGGACCTCCTGCTTCTTGACTGTTGTCACTTGGACGAACTGGCTGCCAACCTTGATGATGACCTCAATCTTCCCTCTAGTTTTCGACAACCTAGTGATTGGTTGGAAGACAAATCTGGTGTCAGTCACGACGCTGATAGTATCCTTAGGAAGATGAAGCTGGCTCAGGTGGAAATGAGCTTGCAGATCCTGCAAACTGCCAATCAGATGGTAGTCGACGTTGGTAGGGTTGAAGACACTGGCGTCGTTCTTGGTGGCTACACGGAGGACACGGCGAAGGCATTTCCTGGGCTCGGTTAGAAAACTCGCAATAAAGCCTGGCGTTCACATACCTGAATGAACTGTTCATGTTGTAGACATATATTCTCGATAGTTGACGTGACAGCTCGACAGGACTGAGAAGGTCAAGTTTCTTGAAGAAGTCATCCGGAGCCTCGTTTTGGCCATTATAACATGTGGCGTCAACAAGGATACCGAAAGGTTTATGCCACAAGCGACTTGCGATCTAGACAACAGTTAATATTGCAAGCTCGGACAGGAAATGTGGCGTGTACGGCGAGGTTGACATGTGGTATTTGACGAGCGGCAGTAGAAACCAACTTACCTTTAAATAACAGTAGAGAAGGGTATCATAGTCTATGGAGTCTGAGTCGATGTGTCGAAGAATAATGCATATAATGGACAGGCCATCCTACGTGATATTTGTCAAAACTTGCAGATATTTCGCCTGGATTTGGCCAACATACCTTGCTTTCGCCACCATCATAGACGGCTCTGGATGTCATGAATGATTCGGTGCTTCGGAAAGCGTTACGAAGCATGAAGTGTTGGAAACGAGAATAGGCTGGTGGGCTGTTGGCTGATATTTGAGGTCTGTTCCAAGTAACCGCCAGCGGCGGTGGACCGAGATTCGTGATCAGCGCCCTCAGAGGCTCTAAAACAGGAGAACGACCACGAGCGAGCTCTCCCGGAGAGCGTACAAATTCTCTCCTCTCTTGGGACATCAGTCTCTGGCGTACATGGTCCCAGTGATCATATAGGAACCTATGCAAAGCCACACACGACCCAAAATCAAAGGACTCCGGGTCTGGTGATGCTATCGCGCTCACTTCCGGTGGCACCTGGAGGGAGTTAGTAGGGGTTTCTGTCCGAGTAAGTCTAGTTGGCTTACAGAAATTTCCCGAAGGAAAGTGGTGACGCGATAGATGTTTTGGGTAAGGAAATCGTTCAGGGGGAACATGTAAGGCTCTTTGGCTCCAAACAAGACATTGTTCGCCAGATTTTGGACGACCTTGGCGATGAGAAGCAGGCCTCGACGCATTTCCTTCGACGGAGGGGCATTGACCAGGCCCTCTACCTCGGGGGCGACGATGGCAGGGCAGAAGAAGCGCAGGAAGATGAATGCACCGACTGCCGTATATTTTGCCTCCGGAAATCTTGGCATGACCGCAGCGGATATTATACTGCATATCTTGCGGAAAGATGCTGGTATTTCCCCTGTCGAGTTGACGATGTCGTCGATGAAGACCTTTGTAACAACCTTGAGCTGCATCGAATTTTTGTTGATTTCTTCCTGCGTTACAATTCCTCTCGCAGGGTCGAGCTCAAGATCAAGGTCTTGGGAGGTCAACATGAGTCTCTCGACAACTTTTTGGAGAGTTTCGCGCAGGTACGGAGCGCCTTTCCACTTCGCGTAGATTGATAAGACCTTGGTGGCAACACAGTTCCGACGCAAGATCTCGGATTCGTTCTCGGTCTCTTCGATCTCTTGCTTGATCAAGGCCTCCATAAGGTCGAAGGCAAGTCCGCGGGCCTCAAAGATGTTGAGCAATGAGATGGTGAGTTCATCGACTTCGCTGCTGGGGCAGACGGTGGCTATAGCGACTGCGAGTTGAGTATCGTGTGTGAGAAGCCTCAGCAGCTCATCATACTTCTCGCTGACCGCTGCGTCCGATAGATTGCTAAATTCAGTACCTTGGACCAGGATGTTATAGAGAACCTTCAGGAAGGCTGTGCGAATCTCTACATTCTCGTGGTAACCGATGCTGAGCGAATGTTTCAGGCCTACATCAATGTTCGCACTGAGTAGATTGGACAAGATGGTGATTGCGAGGTCAGCAGCCGAGGTTGACTCGTCACGGGTTGTAGGCGGCACTAGATGATCGCTCCTGAAGCCCTCCTGTGACTCGTAATTGAGAAGAGATAGGAAGCGGTTGAAGTAGGTGTGGAACATCTGGGACTTTAGCTCGCTGGTCCCAGCATCGTTGTGGCCCTCGCCAGGCTGCAGAGGCAACCGGAAAGTCAACTCTGCAAGCGAGCGGAGGCAGGCCTTATCAAGGTCCTTCTGGACACGGATGACTTCATCTTGACGACCTGGTCCGTAGGTGCCATCACCGCGCGGCGAACGAGGACGAGCAATCCAGCCGAAGATAAACTCAAGCAGTTGATTTCGGATTCGCACATCGTCTCGCAGGTTCAAGTGCTCTTTCTTCCTGGTGACAACCTCGCACAGCTGACAAACCTTGATCCTGACCCGCAAACAGTTGGTGTTGTCTACAGCAGACTCCAGGAACTTGGCGAAGTTCAGAGCTAGAGCACCAAGGTGGACCGAAGACGCTGCTCCTAGATCGGAAGGCGTCTGAAGGCGTTCAACCAGAACTTTCAATAGCGAAGCCGCTTGCTCAGCAAAGACGATTTCACCGTCCGAGTTCTTCCCGGACGTCTCCAGTGCACCAGTGAACAGTACCTCAAGCTCGGTCTCCAGCGCTTTGAACAAGGGCTGATACAGGTTGGGTGAGATCTCAGTGGAAAGGACATCCCGTATTGTTTCTCTCACCCGCACGTTCCCACAAGCCAGCAGCTGTACGCTGAGTCGAAGATAGCGATTGAGAAGGGGTTCCTCGAAGTTTTCCGATGACAACCTATCGATCCATCTCAGGCCGCTTATGGCAGGCTCGTCGAGAACGTAAGCCTGGTCAGCGGTGCAGATACCGCCCAAGGATGCGAGGAATCCAGAATAGTTGCGCCACTCCGACAACGTTCTATCGTCCACGTTGTCGACTGGAGTTGTCGACACATCCTTTGACAGGTGCAGCCACCTATCAAACGCAAACTCCCATGCGTCAAGTATACCGGCACTGGGATACTGCATTCGTCTCAGCAGGTTGCGAACGCGCTTTTGAAACGCTACGACACCGGTGAATCGGAATGCGCGGGATCCAATCTCGCCAAAGACGTCGCTGTTCCGCAGCAAAGGCGAGGCACCCTTCGTCGTATCGCGTGCGTCAATGAGGGCGCATTCCTCCTTGAACAAGGCAATACATGATGTGACCAGCTGGCAAGTCTCAATATCCGGGGAACATAAGGATACCAAGAACATAGTCTCGAGCTTGGTCGCCGTAGCCATCCTCTCAGGAATCTCGTGCGGGGTCTCCGTTAATCCCTAGTCTTAGATCAGCAAAAGTGTAGAGGGGATTTATGGTCATCACTCACGTCAATAGACTTCAATAGCAGAAGTCTCGACTCCAGGTAGCTCTGTATGGACTTAAGGGTTGTCTCGTTTCGGTTTTGTGCATGTTCCTGACACATGCCCGTGAGGATGGCCGAGCTACGTCGAGAAATCTAGTCAGCAAGTCGTTCTTCATAAGGGGGTGTTGTGACTCACGTCATTTTCCAGAAATTCAGACATAGTGTCTCTTGGTCGTAACGTTTTGTATTGCGCAAAGCAGTCATGACCCCCTCTTGAGGGAATAGTTGCTTGGCAACCACTCCTGCCAGGCTCCTGACTTGATCGTCCGCAGACACCAAGCAAGCGATCAAGCCCTGGAACACATCTTCGAGCATGGTGTCAGAGCCTTCTGCTGGCCCATTCTCCAGTAGAGTCTCTGGAGCGGACGCGAGAAACCGGAGAATGTTGCACGTCATGACAAGGTTTGCCGCATTCGACTCGGATGCTTTGCGCTGAGATGTCGCATTCCCGATTATCATGTCTGATTGTACCGCAGTCACAGCCTTACACGGTGAGCTTCAAGCCATAAGAACAACAGTGCCGAGGGACCTTACCTTAAGGTGACTTTGAATGAAGCCGGCGGTTTCAATGAGCAGCGGGCGATAGTCCAGGTGATTCGCCTGTCGTGCGAAATAAGAGCATGCTTGTATCATAGCGGTCTTGAAAGTAACTGGTGCTGAAGGGTGTAAGCATGTCTGGGGAAGAGACTCGACGCTGCTGTCAAAGTTCAAGTGGGTAAGACTGATAAACGCAGCCGTCGTTAGGTCCTGATCAAAGGGAGCCCCTTCTGAATTTGAGGCGCGACGGAAAGCGGCATCGCGGATTTCGTCCTGGATGTCCATGACGTAACTGACAATTGCTGCATCGCTGTCTAGGTCGAGATACCTGACAACACGGAGGAGCATGACTAGACAATACGCTGCAGATTCGCTCTTATTCTTCAGGCCCTTGCGTAGTCCATCCAGAAACTGCATCTTCTTGTTCATACCACCGCTCTTGGCATCTCTCAGGCCACTGGCGACTTCAAAGACATCAGGCAGCAGGAACAGGAGAGCCATCTGCATGGGAGACATGATGGCTCTTCTCCGGGTGTTGTCCACAATGGTCTGCGACATGTCGAAGAGCGTATCAGCACCACCATCGAGTCTCCTACGCTGATTGTGTAACTTGATGAAGTCGTCTGGGTACCGGTCGATCCATCTCGTGATCATGAAGGGTAGCACAGTTGCTACCGTGTTTTGGAACGATTTCTTGAAGTGGAGAAAACTCGAACACAGTTCCTGAAGGATAAGACCCAGCCTCTGTGCGTCGACCCATGTGTAGGACAGGAGGCGTAACAGGGTCAAAGAGACCCTTTCCTCCTCACCCAAGGTTGTGGGTTGCGGTATGCCAGTTTGAACAGTAGCAGCGGTGCGAATTCCAAAAACGGTACTCCTGAGGTATTCGAACGTTGCATTCCAGTTGCTTGCACTTGTGTACTCTAAGATGGTCTTGATATGTGGCTCGAGTTGCGAAGCTCGCTCTTTGTTGGTCTGGCTGATCTCGGGGAAGTCATCCGATCCGTTCGAGGAGGAGACCCTGGAAGATGGCTCCCCCGACCCCATAACTTCGCGCCCTGCAGAGTCATCCAGTAAGGTATTTGAGGACAGAATCATCCCTTCCGGTATAGGATCGAGCAAAATCTTGTAAAGTTCCACGGTCCTCCCTACCAACACATCGTCCAGTGGTTCCGGGAGGATCTGCTTCGGGTAGGAACCTCCATTTCGTGCAGCACTACCGCGGCGTCCATTGGCAGCCTTGTCCCGTACAGACTTCCAGTGCGCAGCGCAGCAGTCGGCCGTCAAGGCAAATACATAGATCTCCGAGGAGACGACGTGCTGGGGTTGCGCCGCTAAGCTCGTGTACGGGCGGACCAGCTCCTCTAGTAATGTAATAAGGGAATCGAGAACGACTGCTATCGAGGAAGTGCTGATGTTCAGCAGGGAGTCGCGGGTGATGACGGCTATATCGTCTTGTTGGAAGTCTAGGGCTTGAGTGCCGGTGCGATGTGGGAGCTAGATATGATGGTGCACGATCAGTATCATGCACACAAACAAGGCAGGAGGGAGAAGAACAGCAGAACGACCGACGGGGCAAGTACCCTAGTAGTGAGTCTCTCGACCAGGCAGCCCACGAGGCCCGGGTCGCCGTTCATCTTGAATTCCGTCGTCTGGTTATTGCGCAGCCATTCATCATTGTGACGGTGCCGAGGACCGCATGCGATGGCCTGGTTTCGGGCGCGGGCGTGAACGAGTCGCCGAGCTCAGGTGCCTCGTGTCAGGGTCTCAACGGGTTGGCTGGCCGCGATGTCTAAGTAATTTCTCTACTGCAAGCCTGGGAGGGTTGCCTTCTTGCTGTAGTGTCCCGTGTGCGGGAACGTCTCGACGGGAGCGGTGCCGACGAAAGTCGATGTGTGGTCGCGAGGCGCAAAGCTGCCGCGTCTCGCTAAGGGGAGTCTAGGCGAGACAGGAGGGGGGTTAGAAGCGGCCGGCTCGCGATTTGCGCTTTTGCGATTCTGCAACGGCACGATGTAGTAGAAGACGGAGAAGCGAACAGGGTCACTTGTTGCTCGGTATGCGCAGCACAGCTCGGCAGCTCTACGATAAGCAACAGCGCGGGCAGCGTGCAGTTACTCGACTCGTGAAGGACGTCGTCGGCGTGAGGGACGACCGGGACTAGGCAATGTGGCCAAAGTTCGGTGCGGTGCGGCCCAACACTTACAGCACACCTGAGCGCCGTTGAAGACAAGATGCACGCAATCTAGCAGGGAGGAGCTGGTGCGGGGGTCGCCGGAGATAATATCACTACCATGGCGCAATGCCGGCCGAGTGTCCACTGCCCACTGCCCACTGCCCACAATAACTGGCTGGAGGTTACCCTTCAGGCTTCAGGGAGGCCAACCAAGAACGACCCTGGCGGCCCTCATTTCTGCGAGCCGAAGTCAATTGATTTTCCACGAGGCCAAAAGTGTGAGCAGCAAATGTGGGCTTTCGGCTGAAGATCAGAGTTTCGTGCAACGTGAACTGAGCCATATCTGGCGGGGTAGTCCCTGCTATAGGGGTCAAGGCCGGCCACTGGCGTCCCTCCAAGGGGAGTCGAGAGGAGGTCCCTGGCCGAGCTAGCACAATAGACAGTTCGGAGCGACTCAGAAGAGGTTAGCATCCATGCTAAAGTATGCACCTCATAGCGGAAAGCTCCCACGCAAATCTTGGGGACGGAGCATTCGTAGAGCGACTCGCATGAAAACGCTGACAGTTCGTCGAGAGGTGCTAGAATTCACTGCCCTGGCACTGTTGACGTCCATACTGAAACCATAAAACGAGATGGCGCAAGGTCCTGTTCGCAGGATGCAACTGGCCATACGCGGTTGACTAGCTATCTTGGCCTGTCTTGGTGTTCTTGGCTTCCTTTCACTCTTCATGTTCCTGTCCCGATGGATGCGAACCAATATAGGCCAGGTTGTCACACGGTATTAATTGGGTGGATGTGCCTCGGGTTTCGGGTCGGCTCGACTCACACAACCCTTGCAACAACTGCCGTTTGATTGATTACCAGCACTCGTGCGCAGTATGGAAGACGCAGACAGCCCTTTGAGTTTATACCTCGAGAGCAGTCCCGACAGGTTGGGTCAGCCAGCACAGGGTTGCGTCCAAGGTGGCTCAAGGAAACCACACCTGCAGTGAGGAATCGCCGCGCGCGTCATCGTACGGGGTTTCAGATAAGGGGGTCATTGGAGGCCATCCACACATGTTGCGTCAGCACAGCGCCATTGGATAGTTATATATATTCAGAACGTGACGGTCACTTCGCATGTGTTTAGATCGCCCAGGCGGGAGCCACCAAATTAAGGCTCTCTCGATATTAGCTTTGCAGTAATCAGATGCTGAGCTGATTATGGCACTACGAACAAGAGTGCAACGGCCGCCTTATTTGCGACCGGACTCATGCGGCTAGCTCCCTATCTGTGATTCCGACCACCGTTGTAACCACGGTTATCGTCGTAAGGACGGCGGTTTTGATTGCGATTATACTGATCCCTTCCCGGGGGGCCTGAGTTCGAGTGGCCATTGTATCCGCCATAACCTCCTTGTGACCCCGGAGGCGGGGGTGGAGGTCGATAGCCTTGGTTTCCGAAGTTGCCATGCCCGCCATTATAATGGACGGGGGGAGGCGGCGGTAAGCCAGCACCGAAACCTGGGTAGCCCGGTGGCGGTGGCACCCAGCCAGGGGGCGGCACCGGTGGAAATCCGTTGGGTGCTGGGTAGTGGTTCTGGTTGCCATTGTAAGACGGCGGCCCGTTCTGTCGTCCACCCCGTCCACCTGAATCTGGCCCATAGTTGATTCTTCCTCTGCGATTGTCTCCGTAACCGCCACGGCCTAGAGGAGCGCCACCGTAGCTCCTCCCAGCATTTCTTAACTTGCCCCGAAGCTCATCCTTATCACTGGGAGTCAAGGCTGGCGTGGGAAGTTCAACGCCCCTCAGGAGCATGGACTTGTGAGTATGGGTAGTAGTCGGCATCTCGTAGTTCACCCTAAGATATTGTTAGTCTTCCGCTGGCGAGTTGCACGAGTCAGTCTGGAATCATGGAAGAACTTACGTCAATGAACGATCATCGTCGACATTTGGCATGCTATCACTGCCCAGAGGATACTCCAAAGCCCCATGTGGGAGATACTCATCCAGCTTCTCCACCCTGCCGGATAGGCCCTGAGCCAGGCGCGGGTCGATCTTGTACTTCGGCGCACCTTGCTTCTTCGAATAGAAATTGGTAATGATAACATCATACAACTCCTGGTTAGCCTCGGACAGAAGAAGTGCCTCCTTTCCAACGCCGTTGCGTAAAGCATCCTCAGGACTCAACAGGGGATACTTCTTCTCCGCGGCGGCTAAGAGACGCGGCATGTCGATGAAAGGCAATAAAGCCACACCTTGCCAAGCCATCTTCTTCCCATTGAGGTCGACCTCAAAGTCTTCTGGGTAAAAGTCGATGATCTCGCTGTCGGGGTTGGTCATGAGATCGTGGAACTCCGAAGGTAGGACGTGCTTCGACGCTGCAGGCTGTACGCTGAGCAACTGCTCAAACGGTCTCGATATCCTGCCCTTCTCGAAGTTGATCTCCATTTTCCCAAGGTCTACAAAGTCCTGGGCGAACGGCGCATAATGATAGGGGTAGAACCACTCCCAGGACGGGCAGCCCTGAAAGTAGTACCTGAGGACCCAAGCAAGTCCTTCCGTGTAGGCTCGGGCGACCTTGTGCCGGAACTCGATGTCCTTGGGGTCGACATGAAACTTTTGCTCATAATACCTATCAGCATAGCCATCCTCCCAAAGCCTCACGGTATCCTCGGCGGGCTCGTTCTTGGGCGTTGAAGGGGTGGCGGCACCCGAGGCGCTTCCGTCCTGCTCGAGTACGTCTGCCTTGCGCTTTGCCGCTGCTGAAGGGGAAGTTTCCGCATTCGCTCCGTCGGCCGAGCCTGCCTTGCCCATGAGACCTTGGATTTGGCTCTTCAAGATTGCTGCGGCACTCTTGTTTGCCAGATTCGCATCCTCAACGGGAGGCCTATTGATAATCATATCATGAGTCAGAGCTTTCGGCGGGCCTGGGGGAAACCCATTCCCGCCTCCATTACGGTTATCGTTTCGGCCGTTTCTCTGCTCGTTTAGCTTGCGGCGCTTGAAACTAGCCTCCCTTCGCTCTTCAACCTCTTTTCTCTTGCGGAAGATTGCATCCTCCTGTTTGGCCAACCCCTCAAAGATGTACTGTACTCGAGCTAGGTCAACGTGCCCATCCTGGGTAAGGTAGCCCCCCATGGTAGGGAGGTTGTCTCTCCATATAGCTGTCAGGGTGTCGATCCCGTTCTCGCGGATCTCAAGAGCCGGAAGATGGGGCAAGAAGTCATTTCCAACGAAAAAGCACATAAACACCCAGTCATCAATGGCTCTCTCAAGGTCAAAGCGGAAGGGCAAACCAGGGACCTCAAGCTCGACCGCGAGGTACTCGCGCAGCGCTGACACATGCAACCAGATGAAAGGCTTGAGCGGCATGGGCTTCTTGTCTACTTGATCGCCATCTTTCGGCGCGGCTTGACCACGGCAGTCCTTGGCTTCATGGCCCGGTTGACCGCACATTCTACACGTCCTGACCTTTCCCTCTTGGAAGAAAACATCTTCGCGCAGAACGCGGAAGTGGGGCTCGTGAGTTGCCAGGCCCAACATGATCAAGTCGGCATCCAAGCCGTAGATTACATGGCGCGTGTTGGGGTCATGCTCGGGGGAAGTCCGCTGAGACCGGACAAAGTTCATGATCTTGTGCTCACCTTCGCCAGGGACAGTAGCGTCGGAGATGATGATCTTCATTTTTGCCCAACCAGGGTCGGTGTTGAGCTTATAAGCACACCAGTATCTCAGACTAGCAGCAAGGATATCCATGAAGGGAGTTCCGGGCGTGATCGAGTTGGAGTCAAAAGCCTTCTTGGTCATGGCCTCGAGCGTCTCCTGGGGGAGAACGCCACCGTTCTGCTGCTTGATCATCTTATACAGTTCCTGCTTGTCAAGCTCCTTCTCCTTGGCTTCTTGGGCGGAGCGGAAACGTCGAGATCGCTGCTGGTTCATCTTGGCACGGGGGGCAACACCATCTGGATGCGAAGTCAGACAAGGAGCAGAAGGAAACGGGGCAGTGGTAGTTCTGGCTTACCAATTGCAATCATGAGGAGCTTCCTGGGGCGAACCATATTTACAACACGGTCTGTGTACTTGAAGACTTCCAACATCATCTCCTCCTCGTCCTTGGGGGCAGGTCTGTCCTCGGGATGAGAACACGGATGAACAATACCGTTCATATCCAGGTAGAGATTGTCAAACTCCTCGCCATTGGGGTTAGGTCTAGTAGTATCAACTGGAATCGTGGAGCCATCATCCATGACTATAGGGTTGTCCTCGATCACTGGCGAGATGATCTTGGGGTATTTGTTGGAGAGCCATCGGAAAGCCGCGGGGATACCCATCTTTGCGGTGCTGGTGGCTGGTGACGACGGGAGAAGACAAGTGCAGGGACTACCTGGTCTAGTTCAGGTGTACAGGTATCGAGCGCGAGTATGACAGCCGCCGAGGGGGGGATGGTCGTGCCGTAGACCGAAAGTGTGGGATCGGGAAGAGCGAGGTTTCCAAGTTCGAGCGCATGGGTGGCTCTGGGGTCAGCGAGGTGCCTGGATGCTTTCGCAAAGCACGGCCAAAGACGTGAAGCGTGGAGGCAGGTCGAGTATCAGGGCCGGACGATGGCGACTGTGCGCGCCAGTCGAGGGATTACGATAGATGGATAGATAGCACCTAGTCGTCGGCCTGCATCGAGACCAGCGCGATCAAGGGATGGACGCAGCTGCGAAGGGAATAATCAATCTACACTCCGGTCAGATCAAGAACTCGGTGCCGCGCTTCCACAGGAGCAAAAATCGAGTCGGCGCCGATGGGGTCTTGGAGAGGAACGGCAGGTCCAGGGAATGCCGCGTGCCAGTAACCAGCTGCGATGATGGATGCAGGATGCAAGTTGCAGGCTGCTGCTGGATGGTGGATGCTGAACCTGAAAGCGATGCGAAATGTCGAATGCGGCTCTGAGCGCGCGCGCTGAGTGGCCGGACGCCAGCGCGGGCCCCACCCGAAAATCGGCGCGCCGACGTGTCGCCTGCCGACTTTTCAGGGTCTGGGGGGGCCATGCTAAGCGCATGTTTTCCGCTACTCGCATAGTTAGGTATGGCCTTCACCTTAGCCTTAGCCCTGGCCTTGGCCTTGGCCTTGCTGGCATTTTAGGGGTGGTGCTAGGTAGGGTGCAGGGGAGCTTTGGAGCAAGCTGGCCAAAAAGTTCCCAGCGAACAGACAGCTCGCAACTAAAGCCACGATCCCCCCCAATTGTATATCTTACACACAAGTAAACGAGTCCGGGCATGATGGGGGCCAGATAATGGACACAGTGACGTACTCGGTCAGCTTCGAACTCGCCTCCTCGCCGCAAACCTCTCCCTGACCCTCGCGAAATGACCCTGCCCCCCTAACACGCTACACCGTTGGCAGTCATGGCAACTGCTCCTCCTCAGCAGTCCGCAGGCCGGGCCATCACCGTCCTCAGCGGCCGCTTGAACACGGCCACCCTGCTCCAGGACCGCCGCGCCGCCGTCCTGAGTCTGCGAGGCCTTGCGAAAGACTATCCCGCATCAGTCGCTTCCGAGTGTCTCAAGAACCTGATCACCAGCCTGTCCAACGATGGCGAGGACGTCGACACCGTCCAGGCCGTCCTGCAGACCATCCTGAACTTCCTGCAGCCCAATCAGAACAGCCTCGAGGCCCCGGAAGCCGCCGAAGACATCACGCTATGGGTTGCCGACGAGTTCGCCTTGCGGCCCGAGAACATGGCCCTGCTGCTGAGCTTCTTGGAGCAGGAGGATTTGTTCTCCCGCCTCTACACCCTGCAGCTCCTGCACATGATACTGTCAGTGCGGACCGCCAGGACCGAGGAGGCCATACTTGCCGCTCCTCTGGGCCTGCACAGACTCGTGGCCGTGCTCGGCGACAAGCGCGATGTGGTTCGGAACGAGGGCATCGCGCTGTTGACAGCTCTCACCCAGGACTCATCCGAGTTGCAAAAGATCGCTGTCTTCAACGATGCCTTCGATTGGATCTTCTCCATCATATTCGGCGAGGGAGGACTGTCCGATGGCGATAGAGTCATCGAAGACTGCCTCATCCTACTGGGCAACCTTTTGCGGAACAACGACCCCAACGCCATAACATTCCGGGAAGCCGGGTGTGTTCCACACCTGGCCAAGCTACTCAAGAGTGCTCACGGGCTCGGAAACGAGACCGAAGAGCTCGCTACCTGGGCCCTGGAGCAACAAGAGAGGAACACGTATGCTCTGCTCGCCATCACGCGCCTCTTCCTACGTTCCGCCTCTCAACGCCAACTGAACCAGCAAGCATTCTATGCGTCTGACGGTCTGTATCACGCCTTGCAGCTAGCGTTCAGCCAGGCTGCCGATACATCAATACGGGCACAAGCTCTCATAACCTGTGCTGACACCATTGCGGACAACCCTCGGCTCCAGGAGAGGTTTCCCCAGCTGCAGGTGCCTTCCGTAACTGTTACCAACACAGATGTGTCAAACGGAAAGCTAAGTGGCAAGTCGGTCACGCTCGTTTATGTTATTGATGCGCTGCTCGAGTTTGCTCTCAACGTCCAGTCTCCTGCCATGTTCCCTCTCCGCATGGCTGCCTGTCAGTGCTTGAAGGCTTACTTCAACCATCACGATGAGATCAGGCGGCACTTTGTGCAACAAGCCGTTGAGGGATATAGGCTTGGGAATCCCGCAACCGACAATGTGCTGGCTATTCTAGCGGAAGACTGGTTTGACCCAGACTCGGAAGCAAGCAGCGATCCATACCACTACTGGTTTGCTGCTGTACTCCTGCTGAATCTCATGGGAGAATCGTGGAACTCCGATATCCTTGAAAGTGCTGCGACCAACGGGGACAGCCGTGGTGCCAAATCATCACCTCCCAGGATACGCAGCATCATGATGAATTGGCGTCAGACCTTGGGTCTCTCAAACAACCGTCCAGCGCTCGGGTACTCGATGCTGATCACGACGTGGCTCTTCAAGAACCAAGTTGGAATAAATATGTTTCTCGAAGAGCCGGAGAATCTGGACAGTCTGATTGCAGCCGTCCTCTCGGGTGACCAGGGCGATATCCTAGTCCAAGGTGTTTGTGCTGTGATGCTAGGCATTATATACGATTTCTCCACGCAAGAATCACCAGTCACGCGACATGAGCTTTACCAAATCATACAAGCCAAAGTGACCCCCAAGCGGTTCTTAGACGCGGTTTGGTCGCTGCGATCTCACCCATCCATCAGAGACTTTGACGATACTCCCCACAAAGCAGGTGATGCAGGGGAACTTCCGCAAGTGTACTTTGATGAGCTCTACGTTGCCTTCTTCCAGACGTACGGCGACATGGTAAATGTCGCTATCGATAGGGGTCCAGACTCAGAAGTGGAGATTACCGAGAGTGGGGAGATTATATATGTGAATCGCCCCTTGGTTGAGGCTCTACGCAAGACCATCGACGAGAAGCACTCTCAATGGCAGGATGCAGAATCCAGATGGGGCTCGATCAAGCAGCAGCTTGAGTCGGAACGAGCCGAGCATCAGCGCCATGCAGCAGAACTAGGTAGGATTAGCGGAGTCAATGATGCTCTCCAGCGGCACCATGAGGATGAGGTCAAGTCTTTACAGCGTAAACAGGAAGAGGAGATACGGTCCCTGCAACGACAGATTGAGGATGCCGCACGTCAAAATAAAGATTTGACAAAGAATCTGGAGAATCGCAGGAAAGATATCGATGAGCTCCAGCGAAAGTACGAGGAGAGCACCCGAGGACTGCAGCGAAAAGACGATGAGATCAAGTCGACCAGGGCAGCAAATCAAAAGCAAATCGAATCCATGCGTCAGGAAGCCCAGAAAACTGCCGAGGCTGCTCATGCGGAGGCGGCCGAAAAAGCGGCTGAGATACAGAGACAACTCGACTACCTGAAGAAGTCATCGGAAGCCGAAGCAAAACGGATCCAGAGACGCACGGAAGCAGAAGTAGCGGATCTACGTGCAACAATTAGCCGCCAAGAAGTCGAAATCATGAAAACTAGCAAGGCGCATTCGCAAGAGCTTCAGTCTGCAACGCAAGAGCTTCAGACTACAAAGCAAGAACTCCAGACTGTAAAGCAAGAACTCCAGACGGCCAAGCAAGAGCTCAAGACTGCAAAGCAAGAACTCCAGACGGCCAAGCAGGAATCTACGACCAAAGACAAGAAGATCAAGGAAGTCGAACAGAAGCTTCGCCAGCTACAAGACAAGCTTGATGAGGCTCAAAAAGCAGGCAAACAGTCTCGGCAACAGCAGGACAAGAAGGCTGAGGACAAGATTCGGGAATTAGAATCCAAGCTCAAAGATGCCGAGAAGCGCAAGGCGCAGAATGAAGACCAGGTCTCGAAACTGACATCTCAACTCAAAGAGAAGGACACAGAAAAGGCAGCTACGCAGACGGAATTGGACGATCTACTCATGGTCTTCGGAGACCTCGAAGAGAAGGCTGAGAAGTACAAAGTAAGTTTTATTCACCGACTCACTGCCGGGTATCTCTTCCAGATATGCTAATAGCGTGCTCCTAGAAACAAGTCAAAGACCTCGGTGGCACTGTATCAGATGCAGAAGACGATGACGATGATGACGAAGACGAAGAGGACGATGATGTTGACTAGCTGGCAACGCAATCTGATATGCCAAATTAGATTCATTGGCAAGCAGCCTGTTGATACCCAACTATTGCACACCACCCTCCTGCATAATGTGAGCACAGTCACCTTCTGGCATGAATCATACTTGGAACCAGGCTAGGGGTGGCCGGTTATCTGCTCTTATGAGGTGCTATTGTATTACTCCTGCCTGATTGTTCCACCCTACAAAGATGCACCCGCTGGGTTGGGGCCTATTCCAGCGGTCCGCCCCGGTAACGCCAAAAGCCCCCAAAATTCATGCACTTATCGCGTAGACTTGCAATTGGCGTGCTTTCGAGTTTTCGCTTTGGGAAATCCTCTATTCAACCACAAATTTGCATATTGCCCAACCAGTGCAAAAACCCAGCATAACTGCAACCCTCCTCCCGCTCCTTGTCATTCACTCGACCGGGACAAATTGCGAAAATGGCCTCATTGAGGCCCAGAAGGTCTGCGGACCCAATCAGTGACTCTGAGTCGTCCGATTCGAGAGAAGGCGATGAGGGTTGGGATGATGTCGAGCAGGACGAGGAAGAGACCACCGAGGTGATTTCACTCCTCGACGACAAGGTCTTCCCGGGCGTCTTGTCCATGCTGGCGTACTGCAAGGAAAGCCACGGCTTCGACTTCCTGGCCGTCCGACAAAAGTTGCAGCTTGATTTCCACGGCAGTGTCAAGCTGGTCAATTACAGTAGGTCACATTTTGCCTCTTTACCTGAGGCCAGTAACTTGCATGCTGTTATGCAAACTCAAGGAGATGGCCTGCAAGATGCGCTATAATTTTAGAAATACTCTTGCGCATGCCTACAACGTTCTCTTATGTATCTGCAAATAATAGCACATGTACTAATGGTGCCCAGTTCGACACCGGGTCCACGAAGGTAGCCCTGTGACTGAAGATATCTCCAAAGCAGATTTCGACCAGGATCAGTTTCTGAAGCCAGTCCTGGACGATGACGCTGTTATCATTGGCCTGTTTGACCTCCCAGACGTCGTGCCAGAGGGTGCCCCAGCAGCGGAGGGACAAGGCGCATCCGTGGTTGACGACCTGTTGCAGCGGAACACGCAACTGCAGGAGGAACTCGCACGGGTCACTGCGCAGTTCGAAAGCTACCGCGCCACCGTCGCGGAGACGCTGGACCAGAGATGGGGTGATGTGGACGCCGCCGAGGCCGAGGCCAAAGCCGCGGGCGACAAAGGCAAGACCAAGGCCGGCGAGAAGCCCGTAGATGCGTCCAAGTATTACTGGGAATCGTACGCTGGCAACGGTATGAATTTCGAGCCCAAAGTGAAAGCGCTCCCTACTAACTCTCCATCAGACATCCATGAGACAATGCTCAAGGACACCGTCCGCACGGAGGGGTACCGCGATTTCATCTACAACAACAAGCACCTGTTCGCGGGCAAGACGGTGCTGGACATCGGCTGCGGCACGGGCATCCTGAGCATGTTCTGCGCCAAGGCCGGCGCGGCACGGGTTATCTCGGTCGACGCCAGCGACATCATCGACAAGGCACGCGAGAACGTGATCCACGCGGGCCTGGCGTCGACGGTGACGCTCATCAAGGGCAAGATGGAGGAGGTGACGCTGCCGGTGGACGCGGTCGACATCATTGTCAGCGAGTGGATGGGCTACTGCCTGCTGTACGAGGCCATGCTGCCGTCGGTGCTGTACGCGCGCGACCGCTACCTCAAGCCCGACGGCCTGCTGATCCCCGGCGCCTGCAACATGTGGATCGCCCCCGTGGCCGACGGCGAGTACGTCATGGACAACGTGCAGTTCTGGCGCGACGTCTACGGCTTCGACATGAAGGCCATGCAGTCGGGCATCTGGGACGAGGTGCGCGTGCTGCACTGGCCCAAGGACCGCGTGTGCGGGTCGCCGGCCGGCTTCAAGCTGCTCGACCTGTACACGATCAAGACCGAGGACCTGACGTTCTCGTCGAGCTGGAAGTCGGAGCTGACGGCCGACGTCGACGGCGGCCTGGACGGCCTGCTGGTCTGGTTCGACAACTTCTTCGCGCCGTCGCGCGAGAGCCAGGGCGTCGGGCTGCAGTCGGTGGCCGACGAGTGGGCCAAGGAGGACAAGGACCGCGTGGCGTTCACGACGGGGCCGTTCAACGACGAGACGCACTGGCGGCAGGGCCTGCTGCTCTTCAAGCACAAGGACGGCGAGGCGTCTTCGGCGGCCCTCAAGAAGGGCACCGTCATCGAGGGCGAGGTCACGTTCGCGCCACCCGAGGACATGCCCCGCGGGCTCATCATCAAGACCGAGTGGAGCGTGGCGGGCGAGGCCAAGAAGCACTCGCAGTCCTGGGACATGCGATGATCATGATGTCACGATGGGAAATGGAAAAGGGGTTCCGATGAGAATTGTTCCGGGTGGAACATTATATCCAAAAAAGGGGGTTGGTCTCAACCATGAAGAGGTAGACCGGGAGATATAGAGAAGAGAGACATCTGGCTGAACGACACCAAACTAGACATTCCTGGCTTTATAGGACGGTAGAGGCTTTACGAAAATTGCATGACTTATCTACGAACTCGATTGTAGTCGTACAATATTGCGTGCGGCAACGTTGTGCATAGATCCACAAGAAGGCGAGACCGTCTTTGCAGCTTATTGCGAGCGTGAAGGAATACGATAGGAAAATCACGTGGGCCAATTAATGAACAGTGCTGCTCTGTTTAATTCTCTTCTTTATTTTCATATATATTTGTTTTATTTAAACCATAAGACAAACAGCACGATTCATGTGTCTGGAAATGTCATGGTCTACAACTATTGCGGGTGTACCATAGCTCTCTGGTAACCTCGCACACCGATATCACTTACCAATATACCCAAAACGTAGCCAAATATTTCAGGGTAGGACACGCCTCAGGCCGGGCTAACCAGAAGCCCAAACCAAGGACGGGCCAACCGATCGCAGTCGGGCAGGAAGTTGTATTACAAAGTCATCTTCGTCGTTGTAGACAAAGCTGAGCGCTTGTCCGACACATTCGACCAGAAACCTGAGTCCATACCGTTAGCAAGGGGCTCTTGGTTATGAACTTCTGAGGGGTGTTGATTGCAAGAATCCAAAAGAGGAAAAACAAGATCAGAAATAGAACCAATATCCACAAAAATGTTCAGATAGGGATAACTGTTACAAAATATTCTAGGTCATCATGATAGAGGGGGAAGATTCGCAGCGTAAATGCTGGGTAGAGAGAAGAAAGAAGTTGCTTACCATATTGTGAGCCTTGTGGTGATGTCGAGCTCCAGACGGCTGCTCGCCAGGCTGGAGCTCTACGCGTCCAGCCCAGGCCCAGCATCGTCAGCGTCGGCCATTGGAACACGGAACCAGGATCAGCACGACAGCACATACGACAGGCCGATCCGACAGCTCACAGCATGAACGCAGCCGTGGCCGAACTGCTCTCCATGTGCTTGCTGGACGAGATCAAAGTATTGTGTGCGTAGCAGGAGAGGAAGAGATCGAAGAAAAAAAGTCGGCGGCCGCAATTTAAACCCCGACGATTCAGAAAATTTAGTGGGGGTCTGTGGAGAGCTATACGCCCGGACAGTGCAGCGGCCCAGGGGTCCGTCTGCAGCTGCCGGGGGGAAGACAAGCTCAAGTCCAGCCAGCCAGCGCAATTACTCGAGTCCCCTGGGTCCTGGGCGCTGGGCCCTGGCGTCCCGTGGGCCCGAACTGGCGGTGCGCGGCGCGACAGGCTCTAGCTCCGACGAAGGGGGGAGGGGACCGGGAAGAGGCAGAGAGAGAAAAAAAATTCGAGGTCGACATCGCGCGAGCTCTGCGTCCACCCGGCTCCGAGTCCGCAGTTTGCTAACCAGCCAGCCCGTCATACCAGCATCTTTGCCTGTTTCGTCTTCTCCCATAGTCGGTCCTTCACTGTGCACCAGCCGCGAGTAGCAGTTCCCTGCGTCTTCAATTGCCCGGTCCTTGTTATAGCCTCTTTTTCTTTTATTTTTCTAGATCAAGCAATTGACACAAAGAGCCCATCATGTCTCCCCCAATGGTCGCTGGCAAGGAGAAGGAGTCAAACGTCGCCCGACTCCTGGGATCCGGTATGTTCAACGAGACGGACTGCGCTCCCTTGCATTGCACATGATAGTACAGTTGAGCTGACGTGCGCTTTCTTCCTCTCTCGACAGGCACTGCCGGTATCTCTGAGCTGGCCGTCTTCCATCCCGTCGACACCATCGCCAAGCGTCTGATGAGCAACCAGACCAGGATAACCAACGCCTCGGAGCTGAACACGGTCATCTTCAAGGACAAGGCCACCGCCCCCGTCAGCCGCAAGTTCTTCTCCCTCTTCCCCGGCCTGGGCTACGCCGCCGGCTACAAGGTCCTGCAGCGCATATACAAGTATGGCGGTCAGCCCGTCGCCAGGGACTACCTGACCGTCCACTTCGGCAAGGACTTTGAGAACGCATTCGGCAAGAAGACGGGCAAGGCCATCCTGCACTCGACTGCCGGAAGGTGAGTTTCCCGCTGTCATTTGTCGTGACTATTCGATCACCTGGTAATGTACGTAATACTAATGCTGCGCTAGTTTGATCGGTATCGGAGAGATCGTCCTCCTCCCCCTGGACGTCCTCAAGATCAAGCGTCAGACAAACCCCGAGGCCTTCCGCGGCCGTGGCGTCATGAAGATCATCGCCGACGAGGGCTTCGGTCTGTACCGTGGATGGGGCTGGACTGCCGCCCGCAACGCCCCCGGATCCTTTGCTCTCTTCGGAGGTTCCGCCTTCACCAAGGAGTACGTCTTCGGCCTCAGCGACTACAACAAGGCCTCGTGGTTCCAGAACTTCATCGCCTCCATCGGCGGTGCCACCGCCTCGCTCGTTGTCTCCGCCCCGCTCGATGTCATCAAGACCCGTATCCAGAACCGCAACTTCGACAACCCCGAGAGCGGCTTCCGCATCCTGTCCAACATGGCCAAGAACGAGGGCTTCGGAAGTTTCTTCAAGGGCCTGGTGCCCAAGCTGCTCATGACCGGTCCCAAGCTCGTCTTCTCCTTCTGGCTCGCACAGACCCTGATCCCGGCGTTCGACGGCATGCTCAAGAAATAGAGAGACAAGGACCGTGTCGTCCGGTTGAAAGCAGTAAAATGTGAAGAATAAAAAATCCAGCGGGTTCCAAAGACTTGAGCTACGTGTATAAAAGGTTATATCTGGCGTTGAGGAGCGGGCACCAGGGGCAGGTGCTGGCAATTGCTAAGGCGGCTGGTTTTCTTGGGGATCTAGACAAGACTCGACTCATAAAAGGCACCGCGTCTATACAGAATTTTTAATACGAATTTAGTTTTCGAAAGCATCTGACTTCACTGTGTGGCGTGTGAGCATCAATTAATGGTTGTTGGTTGTCATGTAATCTATGGCTGCCATGGGAATCATACCAAATATGTCCGTCTCTCGGGTATTTATCTGGAAAACAATTACGTCGTTTCCTAACTCCTTGCCCAATCATTCGGTTCTGTATCTCGCTTATCAAACTCAACACCTCACCACATAGCAACGTGAGCCCTTCTCGATAGTTCCCGGACAGCCCTCGCGATATCCCCCTCCAGCCCCGTGGCAGAGATCTCGGGAGGCTCCTCGAACATCTCGTAGTCCTGCGCACACCGCGTGTCCGGGTCCGGCAGGACGCCGTGCTGGAAGTAGTCCCGGATGGCCCTGGCCGTGCACGTCGACGGCGCCGCGAGGCTGCAGTGGCCGTACGACTCCTGGACCAGGACGACGGCGCCGGGGAAGGCGGCCGCGTTGCTGCGCGCGCTGCGCAGCGGCGTCACGTTGTCGGCGATGTTGCCGACGAACAGGACCGGGAAACTGGTCTGGATCCCGCCGAACGGGCCCGCGAACCGCCACCGCGGCCGCGCCCGCCGCCCCGCGCACGACAGCTTCGAGTGCACGTTGGACGCCCCCGCGTACCGGCTGATGCGCTGCAGCGCCTTGGCGTAGGCCAGGATCGAGTCCGGGCTGGCGTCGATGGGCTCGCCGTCCGCGCACATGATGGCCGGGAACGCGTCGTCCGAGTGCCGGGGGATCTCCGGGACCGTCGGCAGGGTCTCGTTCACGGCGCAGAAGTCGAGCATCGGCGGCCCGTCGTCCTCGTTGGCCATCTGGTAGTACGGGACTCCATCCTTGCGCTCGAGGGCCGCCATGACCGCGGCCAGCTGTGGCAGCTTCTCGATCGGCTTGTAGAGACAGCCCCTGAGGAGGCTCTGTAGCTTTGAATAAGTGACCAGCTCGGGCATCTCGAGCTGGGTTCCGTTGGTGTAGGGCGGTATCAGCACGGGGCTCTTCTTCAGGCTGCCGAGCAGTTTGAAGAATCTCTCTTCAATGCTGGCAGCGCTGGCTTCATGGAAAGCGCACTTCTCGGGCCCGGCTTTGGCGCAGGACTCGAAAAAGTACTCCATGATCTTATCGGCATCTTGGAGGTAGTTGAGTTGTACATTTGCGAACCAGTCGCCATAATCCACATTGCCTAGACCACAAGCAATCCTGTTAGTAAACCCAAATTCGCTAACATAGGGTTTGTACGGTGTGCTCACCATCGCTTACAAGCCTCTCTACTCTGTCAGGGTAAAGCGCAGCAAAGGTTCCCCCAAGTATGGTACCGTAGCTGACGCCCCAATATTTGACCTTCTCGAAGCCTAGCTTGTCAGATATCTCCAACATGTCCCGAGCGTGGGAAGCTGTTGAAATGTGATGCAGCAATCCGGGCGTGGTCGTGTTCATATAGCTCTCGCACTGCTTAGAAACAGCGTCGAACTGGGCTAGAGCATCAAAGAGCATTCCTGGGTGCGAGTCGACAACACCCGTGTTCTGCATGGCCCAATCGTGTCTCTTCCGCGAAGATCCCCAGCAATCTATACGAGGCACTGAAGCGCCGACTAGGCAGTTGCCCTTCGTTAGTATCGTCTCATAGAACATCTTGTGAGGCTACTTACCACCTCGGGGGTCCCAGCTGATGATGTCCTGTAGATGGTTAGACTGGGCCTGAGTTCCTAATTATATCACTTACATGATTATCTCCGATGATGGTCTGTAAGTAATCGGCGATACCCTCAGCCAACCAAGCAACCCCTGAGCCTCCAGGACCCTGTACAATGACCTTAGTTAGTCGAGCATCGACAGTAAACCAAGGAAGATACTTGCCCCTGGGTTTACGAAGACTGGGCCTCTGTAGTCTTCCCGGCTCTTGGCCGGGGCACGTATGACGGCGAGCACCACGCGTGCTTCTTCCGAGGGTTCAAGCCAATCGAGGGGGACCTTTGAACGTATGATCAGCCTAACTATGTATACCGTCACAGAAGCTTCGCTTCCTTACATCGAGCCGCGCACAATCAAACTGGCCACCGTAGCATCTCTCCCACACCAGTTCCTTACTTGGCTCCAATGCTGCCCAATCCCAAACAGCGGTCTTCTCTTCACTTGTGCCGAGGGGGCTGACGGAGCTCGTCACCGTGAGAAACGCACGATGCAGCTGCAGAAGGGCCGCCAGGACGGTGATGCTTATGAGAAACGAAGTTGTCCATTGGCGCCCTGGTGGCTTGGATGTATTGCTGGACACTCGCGCATGATACTGGCGCTTGTCTGGGTCACTCAACGAAACCATCTGAGTTGTCATGGAGATCGCTGCTATGGGGGCTGCTCAGCTGGAATATAGCTTCCCCTGATTTTGTTATAGCAGACTGGCTGTGTCGGAAAAGGCGCAGAGAGGACTTAGGAGGATAACTGTCGCAAGTAACCAGCATCCAACTCTCTTCTGCGTTGTTCTTCTCCCAATATGATTGAAAGTCGTCGATACTTTATCCTTGTCGGAGTTTACTTGCGGTCGACAATTCGGTAGATGAGTACCAAAGCGACTGCCTTTCCGCCGCGATCCCGAGCCGAGGGCAGATTACAGGTCGAGTCAGGAACGCATAGCCAGATTATCGGATCCTAGTGTAGATAATAAGTTGCCGTGTATTAGCGCTCCTGATAAGTCTCATCACTTAGAAGAGAACGGTACCCCACGGAGAAATGGTCTAGTAGGAGGCACCTTTGTCTATACTGTTGTTTCATGGACGGTCAACTTCACGGGATCTCTCAGGGGAATGAACATGTCGCCAGCAGATATACACGCGGGAAATGGTGCTAGCCACCAGGTGCGCCTGCCCAGCTTTCGCTGGCCCGTCAGAGTCGGTGTGATATGTGAGACAAGCATGAATTGCGCGACGAGTGACTGGCTGGCCTGACTCGGATCACCCAGCTTATAGTGGGGTTGGGGAACCGCGATGATCAGCCCCCAAGGCGTCTGATAGATAGGGTTCCCCGACAGCCAAGGCATGCCGTTCAGGGGTCCATGCCCCACTTGGAAGTTGTAAGTAGGGGTCCTTATCTATGGCCACGCGCATCTGAAAGAGCTGAAGAGCTGGAAAAGGATGTGTGTACTGTAGGTTCACCAGTAAGAGATTGCCGCATGACCGTACCTGCAGGGTCTAGCTATCTCATCACAGGCATCTGGGGACAAAGAGGCTGGAGATTTCGTCCTATAGCACGCAGGAGCGGCGGCAATGTTTGTTGACATCCTTGAAAGCATGTATTTTTATTTAGAAAATTACCAAAGCTGTCCGTAGGCGTTTTCACCGTATGTGATTCAACCTTTTTTAAGGAATGCCATCCTTTTTTTACCATGTCTCATAACGGCACAACAGCCGGCAGGTGTACTTTACAAGTAGGACGCGCAGCATGTAGGCTTGCGGAACTACGTCTATATCCCAACGCCACACCGGATCCTATAGGCCCCAAAAGAAATCTGCTCCCCTTCTAGATGCTTTGTGATGTTTGCTTATCGTTGCGCATAGGGATTGTTGTCCTGCGATTTGGATACGCTAGCCCCTCTCGCTCTGGCGCCCGACAACGGTGTTGAGGTTTGCAGTGTGCCAGACGCTTGCGGGCCAGCCGCACTACTGGAACCTTGGTTATAAGTGCGAGTTTGCAACCCGGGCTGCTGGTATGCCGAATATGCGGTTTGTCCCTGTGAGGTAGTGTTGTACAGGCCCCCCGCATACGGATTGGCACCGCCAATTTGGGCTTCCTCATCAAAGCCAGGCATGGGAGTGTGCTGCGTCACTTGTATACCGGGCGCGTTTCCATCACCATAATGACCCGGTGGAAGGGTGTCACCAGCCTTTCTCCGCCCACTACGTTGACTCTCGGTCTTATGGAGATCCGAGCGTAATCTCTCGATGTCGTTCGAGCGAATCTTTTCCAAGCGCTCATTGGATGGGTCGCGCGAGTTGAGAGTGTCGTCGTCGCGGTTGAAGCCCCAATCATCGCCAGCTGCAAGAGCTGCGGCACTCAAAGTGTTAAGGTTTTGTGCTGCTTCCATCTCCGATGAGTCGGCAATACCCGCCTTCGAAGCGTTTGAAGGATTTCTCTCGGGTTTCGGCGCAGGCACCATGCGCTTGGCATCCTTGTCGTCGTCTGCCTTGGCGCGTGCTCGAGCTGCTTCTTGGTCACTGACGGTGACCGAGTACGAAGGGTTCGTAGGTCCACCCAAAGCCTCGCCGCCGCCACCTGGCGCATAGATCGGCACCTTCTTCAGAGCGAGTGCGAGTGCGCACATGAACTTGCTGCGCCTGGTGGCCCGTACCGCCTCGTTGTGCCAGTTCGACTTGTGCTTCATGGCAATCTTAAGCTGAAGTTTGTCCAAGTCCCCAATGCCTCCAACACCGATGACGAGATCGGGCTGGAAGTCGCGTGAGTTGTCGGGGTGTCTAACAAAGTTCTCCATTTCCTGGCGAAGAAGTTCAATATCCTCAAAGGACGTGTCGTAAGAGACATTGACGTCGATAACCTCTTTCATGGCATTACTCCGGGTGACGTTTTCGATCCAGAGGTTGTTTAGCGCGATGTTTGGCACTTGAACCACCTGCATCTTGTCGATTCTGTTGAAGACGGTGTAGAGCAAAGAGATTCTCTCAACGACCATCGGCATCTTTTCCGGACCAACAATATCAACACGGTCACCCACATCATATGGGTGCTTCACGAAGAGGAAAATGCAGGAGCCCAAGAACTCCTGGGTGGTGACGGCGAAGACGAATGACAGGGAAAGAAGTGCTGTTCCGGCTGTCGCCAAAGTGGTGATGAATGAACTCTGGAAGAAGGCCACTGCGATGAAATTAGCTTGCGTGTGCGATAACAGCTCCTAATAGACTTACGGAAGATGAAGATGACGATGAGCAGGACAACGAAAAGCAGGACCTTATCGAAGACAGCCAGAGCCTGACTAATGTCTTTCATGCTGTTACCGATGGCCTTTCTTTCCTTACTGATCTCGACGACCTTGCGAATCATCTCATCGAGACTGATGTCGCCATTGATATCCGAATCAATAGCAGCGAAACACTCCTCAGCTTCCTCGCGGTGGGCTTCTCCAAGAACTTCGATCAGGTCGTCAACATAGAGAGCGTCGTTGCCCTCGACAACGAAAGACAACCAGACACGCTTGGCCAGAGCTTCCGAAGTCCGAACCTTCTCCAAAGCTTCGACAACGATGGAATGAGCCGAGTTGGGGTTGAAGAGCTGTTTGCCGCTGATTTCTGACGCAATGTTACCAAAGACCGACGTGACCTTGTCACCAAATCGACCGACATTTCCAATCAGTCTCATTGGCGTGGCAGCGCCACCTTTGCGACCTTTCTTGCCGCCGAGCATCAGCTCGATACTATCGTTGATGATGTAATCCTCTTCGGCAAATTCCTGGCAGTACATGGGAAACAAAGTACGAGAGGCGTCGTACATGAGTCCAAGCAGGTAGACTTCGCGTTTCGAGTCCTTGATGCGGTTGGCAAATGACCGTTGGTGGTAGGTCACACTGATCAGCTGGACTATGGCCCTTTCTCCCAGAAAGACAGCTGACGACACGAAGAGGGCGCCAAGGACTTTCTTCATAGCGTCAACCCAGCCGACGGTATCAAACTGGCCACCAAACAAGTTCTTGAAGGTCAACCAGGTAGCCAGCGCCCAGAAGAACAGTGACAAGGGAATTTCCAATGCCTTCAGCACAGCGGCGTACTTGCGAGTTCCAGAGCTGACAACTCCACACACAAACATAAAGACGGGAGGCAGAAGGTGGGCTACAGTCTTTCCAGCCCACAAAGTCAGCCATGCGAGCTCGATCCAGAGGAAAAGATTGAACATAGTTGGACCAGGAGCAAATATGTCGTTGCCCTTCTCATCTTTCCCTGTCGAAGCGCCTCTTCCAACTTGATCTTTATCATGCCCAGTGAGCGGCAGTACGATCAGAGGAACAGCCAGGAGGAGTGCAACAGGCACAATGTAAACCAGATACCGCGTGACTACGGAAAATCCAATAATTTTGTTGTAGATCCTTCCCATGGCGTTCAGAGAGAAGTCGTCGGAGCCCGCAGTGCCACTCCGGCTAGGCTTCTTGGATCGTCTACCACGGTGGAACATGCCTTGCTTCTCATTAGTAGGCGGCGAGGCGGCCCCGTCCAAGGCCGAAGTCAAGCCCTGGTTGGCCTTGCGAGCTCCGGTAGAGCTGGCATTGCTCCTCATTTTTGTGAGGGGGATGTCATTCATCCCGTCCATGTTGGAGGTGTTTGAATTCGAGGTTCCCAACGGTAAGAACCCTCTTTCTCTCGGCGAATTAAGCGGGGATATCGGCATTGCAGGAAGGGGCCGTCGCCAGCACCCTAGGGCGTGTTCGTTGCAACGACGGGGTTTGTATGCCTACGACCGAGGCGAGGAAGGCTTGCGCTTCCGAACGAGGGGTTTGCTCGAGTTCTAGGGATGTTTTGAAAAGAAATATGAGTCGAGGATGCACCAGGCGGCCCGCAGGAGTCTATCAAGGAAATATGCCAACGTGATGATGCCGAAAGAGCGACGCTTTCCTCCCAGACTAAGATGATCTGGGTAGGACAAAGAAAGATGCGTCGTGAACCGCCCCCAGTGTCGAGCTATACTAGAGGAGCCCGCTCGAACAGGAAGAGCTGGGAGGAGTGAGTGAACAGAAAACGAGGGTCGGTAGGCGGAGAAGTAGGGTTGGGGGCTGGGAGGTATGTAAAAAGAGAGAGTGAGGGTTGACGCAAGAAGACTTTAGAGCAAGCAGATCATCGAGGTTCTGTAGCTAGGCTGGTGGGTATTCCATTATTCGTGGTGGAGATGGGTCCTGCCAGCGCCTGACAAAAGCGGCCACAAAGCGCTTGTACGGATGGGACTCTCTTTTTTTATTTTAGTCATTCGTTCGGTCCCCTGGAGCTAGGTTTGCTAGGGCCTACGTTTCCCTGCACCGTATTCCCATCGAGGTACGAGTTGCCTACATACCATGGCGATGCTGCTTGTGGTTGGATCGCAAAAAGCAGTGGCCCAAGAGAGGCGCAAGCCGCCTGGATGTTGGCCGCGCCGCCGGGTTCGCCAGTGGATGGATCAGGGGGATCGATCAGAGGATGGATCTGGTTCGCCCGGGACATGCTGGACCCCGGTTTTGCGAGCCCCTCAATTGACCGCTCACAGGCGGCGCAGGGAAGAAGTTGGCCTGCTTGGCCTGCTTTGGGGGGGCCGCTGCAGTTGTCTGCAAGCCACTGACAGCATCTTAAAACAGCCCAGGGGCAAGCCTCTTTGGGATTTCCGCGTTTCAAGTGAAAATCTGGTCGTACTTGGGGAGGCAAGCCGAGATCCGTGGTAGCCAAGTGGTGCCGGTCTTCCCGCCCATTGGCTCCTAGGGACACACGCTAGACCCGATCTCCAATGGCAGCTTCAGAGCTCGTGAATCGACCTGTGGACACTGATGGCGCGTTTGTTGCAAACGCCAGCAAGAGCGTAAGCCCTTTCCAACGGACAGCTAGGACGGACTACAATCGTCTGATTTCCTCGAGGAGGAATACGACGGGTGTGTAAGACACGATGGCGTGAGCCATGGGGATCCCAGGTTATCACCACGTTCCAGAACATTGCAATATCAGGCGGCCCATGACGATACCAGCAACCCCTGCAGCGGCAGTGTTTTGGCTCCATTGAGGCCACTCCGCCTTTCCGTTATGTTAGCTCAACGGGCAGCGGCAGTAACAGTCTCCCGTCACGCGGAATGCTGGCTTGCTTTTTGTTTCGCGTTTCAATCAGGACTTTGGCCAGCGTCGCCTTGCTTGCGCCTCGATGTTGCAATTTACGTTGGGTTACATGGCGCTCCTGCTTTGGTCCTGCTGTCAGCCAAGAACAGTGAGAGATCTGCGTGCCCACATGTTGCTCCATTTTGGATCATAGATCAGAGATGCTGCTGGTGGGGGAGCTGAAAGATCCAAAATGATCTGATCGGGGGGATCAACTTGCAGTGACCACAAGCTGTCACGACGGCCTCCGCAAATTTCTTTCAGCTCGAATTCTTACAGGTTTCCGGCCATTACGAACGTCCCACTGCAAATCCATACGTGGACTTGGCTAGCAAACTCTGATCACTGGACCAGGCGGGGGTCGTTTGCCAGTGAAAATCAAAGCCGACGGCCAACCCATGCTCCACCAGCCCACATGCCAAACGCACCGGCGCAAGCCACCAGGGAAGATCCTCATCCACTCTGACGTTATACTATGTATACCCGTAGGCACGCGAACACTTCTGGTACCCGACAGCATTTGACAACGCCGAGTGTCTAACACGGGACAGACAGAATATTTCTGGTCAGGAGTTTGCACATCTGCACCACCGCGAGGGAATTTGCAAACTATAGTAGCCCCGACAGCAGTACATATCATAAAAACTCTCCATTCTTCTGCCCTTGATATAAACAAGCGTTTCGTGCACCCGGACAAAGCTGAACATCTATACTATATATGTATACATAAGTAGCTTAGTTCGTCGGCAGCAGGCGCCATCCGAGGCAATTACACCCGTGGACCACATACCCTCCTTTAGTATACAGCTCGCTTGGCTCATATCCACCAACGGACGGTTAGCGACCCCCGCGGTAACACGCCGATCTCAAGATAGGGATTCAGTCGGTGATAATTGGAAAGGGGTCCATTGCGTCACAGCTCGGGCACTCATGCTGTATGAACACGTTCATGGAGGGCATGAGCAGGCTGGCATCATGTGTCGTCTCCTGGCTCGGAAAAACCACCGATACTCGAGGGGATCATGTCAGCCGAGGTGCGGATGATCGTGTAGCGGCCGTTGACGCTATCGTGACTTACCCCAGCTTGGCATCTCGTGCATGAAACATCCTAGCAAAGTGTATTCTGATGTATTAGTCAACTAACATTTAGATCTCAACGTTTCACTACCAACCTTGGGGCCACGTTTGTCCCCGGATCGTTCAAGACCCTTAATATCTGACAAACATTGGTCCAGAGCGTTCTTCAGGGAATGAAATCTCTTAGAAAGTTCCCGCTCAGCCTTGTTTGTGGATAACCGCTGCTTATGACTCCGACTAAGCTATCGCGTAGCGAAGTGCCGCGTAAGTAGCGCAAGTAGTTCTGATATGTCAGCTCGATGAACTCTTCGCAAACGTCAAGAATTGCCGACGCCATTACTCCGCATGGATCTTCTCCTTTCTTTCTACAGATCGGTCCAAACAATCAGATGTTGCGCCAAGTGCGAGTCCAGTTTGACCCCGCCTGGGTCGACGCAGTCGGCAGACGCATCAGATCACCGATTGCTCCTAGGATACACACTAATGATGCTTGACTACATCACACCACGGTGATCAACTTCCCCTATTGCGTATTCGCCGTTCTGCTATAATGTATTTGGCCGGTGTGACTTGTCCTGATACTAGTCATAGTTTACCCAACTTTTCTCAACACCGGCCATTTGCTCATACCTATTCTTATTGTAGAATGTGGTTGCCTTTGGGACTACTGATTATGTATCAAGAGCTCTGCACATCAAGTGTACGTACTAGGCAGTGATGGAGCAAGGCATATTTTATTGACTATACGTGTAAGTCAAGAGGGTATATTAACTGAAAGACGGTATTAGAATGGAATTTCAACGTGAGTAAGCCACGTCAGCCACAGTGCGTAATTTCTTGACTTTGACCGGCTTTTATCATCAAGGCCTCTTCATCTCTTGACACCGTTTGAGACGTCATTCGACCATGGTAACCATTAGCGCTGCGACTAACGGGCATTACAAAGCCTTGGTATCACCAGCAGCCGGGTGGGTTTCTGCCCCAGTGGCTGAGGTCGACTTGTCACCAACTTCAGTTGGCTCTTTCGTCTCGGCATATTCGGTGTGGCCCTGGTCGCTCTTGACAATAGCTTCCGCCGAGCTGGTGTGGCCGGACTCGAAGTGGTACAGGGGCTTGAGGACCGCGTTCTTGCGGAAGAAGACCCAGCGTTGGATGAACCACGGCAGCCAAACCTCAACGTTGTACTTGATGAACTTCGAAGTGGGCAGACCAAAGACATAGTCGAGCTCCTCGAGGGTGCGCTGTTTGCGGATTAGTATGGTTTTAAAGCAGAGATACTGACACGCCTGCTTACCTGTTTCGTCTCCGGAAGCCAGAGCCAGATCATGAAGAACGCTACTACGTTGAAACCTGCGTACAGACAGAAGGCGCCCTAGAAGCAGTCAGTTTGTGTCAAGTTGCGCAGCCGACAGTAGACCGGACGTACAATAACGTGCAGAGATGCCAAGATCTTGGGGAAGGTGATTGAGAGCACAGCCGCCCAGAACAGACAGGTAGAAACAGCCCAAGCCATGCCGACTTCTCTGTGAGACAGCGGGAAGACCTCGGCACTGTAGGTGAACGGAACTGGACCCTCTCCTGGAGAGTAGAACGCAGCGAACAAGTAGACAAACAGTGCTACCAAGCCCACGTGAGCACCACCTTGTCCGGGAATGAGCGTGCAAAGACCGGCGGCCAGTAGGGTCCAGGCCATGTTGGGGAAAGTGAATAGCAGCAAAGAGCGACGGCCGAAGGTATCGATAGTCCAGATGGCTGGCCAAGCAAAGATGAAGTTGACCAGACCGAATCCGAAAGAAGCCAGCAGAGCGTTGAAGTCATCAGTTCCGGCCTCCTTGAAGACGGTACTGGAGTAGAATGCAATGATGTTGATACCACACATTTGTTGCGCGATCATGACGACGAACGAGGCGAGAGTTGCTCGGCGTACACGCGGGATGGTGAAGAGCTCGATGAATCGTCTGATATAAGTTGAGCCTCCAATAGCTTCCCTCTCAAGTTGCAGCTGCGCATCGATGGCAATCAAGTCACGGGTGGCCTGTATCTTGTGGTTTCTGAGCCTGACAAGAGAGTGGAGGGCCTCCTTGTATCGGTTCTTCTTCATGTACCATCGCGGGGATTCGGGACAGAAGAGGATGAGGAGGGTAAGTGGAATGGCGGGGATGAAGGCGGAGCCAACTTGCACTGCATAAGCACCGAGGAGTCAGTTCAACGTTCTTCTGTCTGTCCGGAAGCTGAGGCACTTACGTCTCCAGGCAATATCTCCAACCTTGCCAACAACCAGGTTAGCAGTAACTCCCAGAAGAATTCCAAAGGCCGTCCACATCTGCCAGGTCATCACCAGTGCTCCACGAATTGCCGCTGGACTGTTCTCGGCGGCAAAAATAGGAACAGTCGAAGCCTTGATACCCATACCGATGCCAAGGAGTAGTCTCGTGGCGAGTAGCTGTTCCCAGTTTTGGGTGAGGGCACCACCAATTGGGGTCAGTAGACAGAAGATAGCAGAGATGAAGATCGTGCCTGGTACCGTCAGCTCTCTTCTCTGCGGCAATCTTGGCCCAAGATTCACTTACCTCGACGACCAAAGTAGTTGTTGAGCGGGTCGGAACACCAGCAACCAATCAAGGCCGAACCGATATAAGGAGCAGAATTGATCAATCCGACGAGGAACGTATCGCGATCCGCATTCGGATCCCCAATGCCGAATTGCTTGGGGAAAGACAGGTTCGCGCCGTTGCTTCCCTCCTGATCCCAACCTTGCACCGCAGCTCCGATGGAACAGGTAATGATGGTCATGTATAACATCTTTGGGACTCTCCATTTGTGGGTGACCTCGAGTTCGAGCCATTCAGTCTCCGTGGCATCCAGCGCGTATTCTCCTTGGATGGCCTTGTAATTCTCGGGGTCCTGTGCAACTAACGCACCCTTCTTGAGAAGCTCGCGGTCTTCCTGCATGCCCTGGGAGTCGACGAGCTCGTCTACTCGTTTGAAAAGCTCCTCCCGAGTTAGGCCCTTCAAAGGATTCGAAATTCTGGCCCGTAGGTAAGCAACACGACCAATTCACTTCGCCCTCGTTCAAGGCCCACTTACCGAGCATTGATGTTCGCGTTGATGCCTTCAAGTGCTGCCGAGTCACGACGGCCCTTCTCGGATATGTGGGCAGTCTGGTACTCCGGCGATGCCCTGTATTCTGGTGTAAGTACGAGTTGCGTTCGCCAATCCACAGATAGAGAATCAACACTCACGCCGCAGGCTTTACTTCGTCGGACATCGTGACGTGCTTGCCAGAGTTACCCCAGTGGCGATCACAGTGAGGGAGGAAAACAAACGATTGGCTTGTTCAACTCGAGGCTCGAAGATGCAGGAGGGCCCTCTGTACAGCAGATGGCAGCCTCTTTTCAACTCAAGCGCTACCAGAAACCCAGCGCGAGGGGACAGTAATGGAGGGGAACAAGTTATCAAATTAACTGCGGGGAGGCACGGGAGTATTTTGTAGTTTGGGCGACTGGGTGAGGCTTGGCGCAAGGCAAGGTAGTTTACCAGCTCGCAGGAGGAAGCTGCTGGGGGGCCATCTGGCACCCCAGACCGGCCTATGAGAACTACATCACGGTCCGGGGGTCATCCTGTTACTTTGTGACTGGTGAATGATCTACTAGGATCATGGCGCCAGTGTGAAGAATTCGCAAGGGATCAGCACGACATTGTAATATCGCCCCATGCAGGTTGCCAACCTTCCAGCTGGAAGGTATGGTCGGGTACATGCTCGATACTTGGGGCTGGGACACAGAGCTTGGACACATTTGACAGGCAGCCTGAGAGGTTAGGTATTCACAATCCCCAGCGAGCCGAATGTAAGCTTTGCATAAGACAGCGCTTGCTTCTGATTCATCTAGAGAAGTCACTGGTGACTTTGAGGGTCCACAAGATTGTACGAGGCAGACTGACCAAAATCCCAAACGACCGGACCGAGATTTGGTATGTATGATCAGTGTCCTGCTCTGGTAGGGATCTACGTCATATGGATTCTCCACGGGCAGGAATGCCACCCTGTCTACATACATTCGCTAATTATCTGGCAAGTCCTGGTATCCTGTCGTCCTGAACAGACCTATGCATCCTCTACCAGCAGTGTGTACTCTGCCCTGTACTCCGACAATGTCTTACCCTTCTTTTTTTTGCCCACACTCGCTCCCCATTGCAGCAAGCTTGCAGTAGATAGCGATGACGTTGTTTGGATTAACATGGGCAAAGCCATCCGGACGCCACTCATTACGGCAGTCGATCCCGTTCATCAAGTCCGACCATCTAGGGAGAGCTTCGCGAGCTAGGAAATGCGGGCAACCCCAGCTAGCGCTTATGTGAAGCCGGCCATGTCTCCTAGGGGCCGATTTCCGCTTAGCAATTGCCAAAACGTCCTTGGGAATCTGCTAGTTACAGCGAGGTTCAGTCGCACGGTCCCGGAGGAAGCCAGGTACACTGCTCGTGATAGAGGAGTACTTGCAATATGGCCCGTTGCCAAGGTTTGCAACGGCCGTTTGATAGCCCGATCCCACAGAAATCACCGAGGAGCGAGTACAAGATGCTATTCAATCGAACTCACCGTATGTCCGTGTAGCTGGAATACACACAGCTCTGAGGCCGCACACAGGTGACACACAGTTGACACTCGTGAAATCTTGTTTAGGACCTCGAGGAGCACCAAAAAAGACTGTTTGCCTACTCGTGCCGAGACGGCGACTTCCGAGGAACGATACCATACATGTGCTTTTCAGTGGAAACCTGGAGAGATGATTCCCCCGCAGGTTCTCCACCAAGAAGTCCCGCACTAACAGAGAGCGGGCACCGACCTGAAGTGCAAAGCTCCATCCAGGGTATCCAGGGCTGGGGAAGACTCCAATTATCCCCAAGTTTTTCCCATGGGGTTTCTCCATTTTATGCTTATGAAAGCGCCAGCTAGAGGTCGGCGCTGCCTCTAAAATCAAGCAGAAACTTGTCAGATCATGTTCTGAATCCAATGCGACTCTCAGAGCGAAGGTATTTCCCAATATGTAAGATGTGCTCCCATGTCCTTGTTGGCCCACAGCCAAGATCTTGGGCTGCTGGACAAGCACGACAAGCCTCCTTGGTAATCGCACCGTTCGTCTTGGAGAAGCTTGATGCAGCGACATGCCGCCAAGGCTCTGGGGGCTAGGGTAAGCTGGCATGCCAGCAATTCCCACCACCTCTGCTTGTCGCGTGATTATTCCCGAGTACTCAAGAGGTACCTCGATAGCTGTGGGCTGCTAGGAGGGAAAGAAAACGTCGCTGGCGCCAGCTACCCCTCGGCGCCCACATCACAATAGTACGCGTTGATTCTCAAGGAGTGGTCATTAGTTACCTAGGCAGATGCTAGGTCTCCATAACCACTCGCTCGGTTCGATGCGGGCCAAGAAAGGCATTCCGCTTGCGATCCTCCCACCATTGGCCGCTTGATGAGTTACGCTGCAGCATTTTAGGATTACTGGGATTCCAAGCCTGGTCGCTGACGGTGAGAGTTCCCCGCCTTTGCCAGGTTTGGCTGCTGTATGGAGTGGAATGCGCCGGTGCGGCCGACTCCTGCCTTGGGCACCTCGGTGACCAGCTTTGACCAGTCATACGTGTAGGATTGATACGTTGCCAGGGGCCTTTCAGCACCGCGGTGCTCTTCTAGACGGGTGGCTACACTGACCATTGGCACACATTGTGCCCGGCACCCTAACACTAAAACACATGACTGTGGCCCCGGCAAGGCCCCATAATTCGTCTTATTAGCCTACGCCATGGAGTGATGAACTTGGATAGGTAGCCCCGTAGCTAGTCAGTTGTTGTATCGTTTGGAGCCGTCAGGTACTGCGTTTCCCGTAGTTCATCCTTCGCAACAGCCTAGTGCATGTATACTTGCGGAGGCGAACCTAATCACAAGTTGCAAACGATCCGGTGCGTACTATAATTATCTATTGTCACATGGAGTGGGTTCTACAATGACAGTGCCGTCTGTTGAGCGAGATCAGCAGGCAACGCACAACCGTAGCAGTGTCACGACTTCCACAGAACTTCAGTTCTCAGATATCTAGAAACTCAAGCGCGTAACCAGCTTGTCAACTGCCTTTAGCCAGTAACTTAAATACCAACGTAGCTCATACCTGAATGTTTGCGTGCGTATTTCGCCAAATATTGAAATAAAGAGGGGAGGTTGAAGAAGAAAAATATACCATCCTCTCAAACATTGAAGCCAATTGGAGCTCTATGGACAACGGTGTAATATGAACTCGATATCATAAGTGCACCACCAGGCAGGTCCAATCAGAGACTTATCACACCATGGTCAATATTGACTTTGTGCATTGGCCGCACAATGTATTTAGGAAAGATGGTTCGTGAATTCTCAGAGACAGTGTACTTACACCGCAGGTGAATCTGAGAAGGGGATATACGTACGACACGACAGGCCGGATGCAACATTGTTAGTTGAGGCTCTTACGCCACCCGTACTACCTATTACAGCAGATCTATTAGGCATCATGAAGGCGCAGCGTCGGGAAGACGTCGATCTCCCGCAGTTGATGCTGTTGAACCACCCACATGAAGTCACCCAGGTACATCGATCGGGGTCGACGCTTACGTACCAATGGCTAGGGCTCGCCCGGCTAACCTCTGATTGGCTTTACATTGTATTCCTTCTTGGAGGAGAGCAGATCGCAAACATGTAGAACCACGTGAAGCACGGTTCCATGTTTACCGAACTGGTCACACGAGTTACCGCCTGGTGGAAAATCTCTCAAAGCTACGGTTCATATTTGGGTATCTAATTGATATGAAAACGCCGAAGCCCATGCAAATGATCTCCAGCAGGAGAGGCATCTCCGAGAGGAACACGTCAGGCCAACATGGCTACAGTGACCTAGTTCATTTATACAGTTCTTATCTTTTGATGTCACCAGCAGGCACCGAGTTCTTGAGCGACTCCAAGACGCTGATCTTCAGCTCCGTAGCCTGCTCGTGGTTAGTCTTGACCAGGTGCAGCAGATCCTCGTATTTCTTCTTCCAGTGCTGGGACGTCGCATCACCCGTCGCGTCGGACTCGGGCGTCTCCGAGTCCCTCTGCTGCGCTGCGCCCGGCGGCTTCTTCCACAGCTCGTGGGGCACCGTCTCCGTCAACGACAGGTTGCCCCTGAGCTTACCGTAGCGTAGCGTCCACTTGCAGCTGTACCTGCTGTACGTAAGGCCCTCCTCGACGCGGGTGATGGATGCCTTGACACCCCGCTGGAGGATGCTGCCGCTGGCCAGTGCTGCCAGGTTCATGAGGAACACCTCTGGCGTCAGCGCTTGCTTCTGCATGTTCCCGATATACGTCCGAGCTATGGCGGCTGCTTCGTCGAGGCCGCAAGGGTCGATCTTGTCGCCGCTGGAGTTGTACCAATCGGCGACAAGGATCTCTGATATGAAAAGGCTTTCGACTTCGCGTACATTTGTTGTATCATCATCGCCATCTGTGGCAGAAACTGCTGGTTGTGGCAGCTGCGCAAGCCCGGCCGATGCAGACATAGCAGCCAAGTTTGCGTGCTGGCTCGGAAAAGCCAGAGATGAGGTTGCTGATAGAAAGCCATTCGAAGACTGCGCTTGATTTTGCTCATCAACGTTGGGTGTGTTCTCACCATTAATCATGACCACCGGCGGAGGCGGCGTCGCTAACCTCACATTTCCACCAGCTCTCTCAGGGACCTGTAAAGAGAGGCGCCCTGGTCGGCCTGGTCGTGATGACGGGCCTGCAGACGTTGGCGTGGACGCCGATGTGGGCATGAACGTGGGTGCCGCGCCAACAGGCGTCACCGAGGTGTCAATGGGCAGAACTGGCTGAGGAGCAGGCGTACCATTTCCCAGCGTCGGTGTCTGAAACCCCCTGTGCGCGTCTGTGATTGCTGAGAGTGGACTGTCGACGTTTCGATTGATCGGCGGTCTGCCACGTGTCTTCCCCGTTCCGCCAGAACCTCCGCTACGCCACGCCGATGATACAACTTTGGCGCCGTGTCTTCGGCCCAGCAGCTTTGCTTTCGAAGGCGTGATTGCAGACCGTGGCTCTGAGGGATCCGCCCAAAAGGCCCGTCCGTTTATTGGAGTCATTGCAGACTGTGGGTAAGCCGTCATAGGCGTCTGACTGAGCTCTGAAGGCCACTGGTACACGGGCTCGGAGCCAGGAAGCACGCTGGACCTGGTCTGGTCGGCTGGTGGGAATAGGAAGGTCCGCTGGCCATCTGGGTGTGCTGTCCACGGCTCAGAGACATCTAAGCGTGGCTGCCTTCCATCGCCGTTGAATGTTGGTGAGCCTAGCCTCGGTCGCTGTGAAGGAGACTTATTCAAATCATCTTCCGGCTTTCGCCGACCACGTCGTGGTCTGATCTGTGGAAGTAACGCCCTGAGGGCCATATCGTCCTCTGCCGCAACCCCATCTCGACCTTCTTCGCAGATGGGGTTAGGATCTGTCGGAATCTGCATCCAGTATGGGTGCTCGTTCTCAAGGAGGTAGTCGAAAAAGGCATCAAGGTGCATTGAATGCATCCATCGCTGTATCTAATTTTAGCAAGAACCGTTTCAGCCGTCTTGAGCGTTCTCAAATTACCTTTAATCTCACAGCATACTGCTGAATCTTTTGCGAGCTCTGGCCCTTCTCAATATCCGGTGGCGTGACCCCCAGTTTTAATGCTAGATCCGCCCATGTCTTGAGCTCTTTGTTGTTGAGTTGCTTGATGAGCACAAATAAGGTATGCGTGCTGAAAGCCTTCCCATCACTCCTTGGCGGCACGCGGAATGCCTCCCGTAAAGCGTTGGTGTCATTCTCCAGCGGCACCGCAGGGTTGCAATGCAGTATGAAATCGACATATGCGTCTTCTATCGAGGATTCGGTGACGCTCCTATCTGGCAACTCTGCTCTAGCCCCTGGTGGCCTTGTGGTGATGTTGGCTGCCGAGGTTGGAGGCGTCAAGTGATTGCCACTCATAGCTGGCATTGGCACTGCCATAGCAAAGGCTGATCAGAACGCAGCCCTCTGTGCGCCCTCATTGATGTACGCCGAATCTTGAGAGGGTTCCAGTGCCAGGTTGTATCCACGTGACGTGGTGTCCTAGTCAGGTCCTAGTTTAGAAATTCGCCAACGATAGGCAAGCACTCTTGTTGTTGACTTTAGTATAGTGGAGACGAGTATAGAGTCTGAGTCAGAGCATGGGAAAGCTTATGGTAGCATACGTCCCGGGTGCTCAATGGATACTGGTGTCTGAAGAATGAAGTTGGCAAGTGCCATGCATGGCTGTTGGACTAGTCCTCGCACTGGGATAGCCTAACAGAGGCAATCCATTGGGCCCTGTGTAGTCGACAAATAGTAATCAGACACCTTGGGCATGATCTCAAGAGCCAGGTCAGTTTTGCGAGAATATGCGCTGTCACTTGGGGTCCTAAGAGGAAGGGAACCGAAGTCGTGTCGTGAAAGCATTCGTGATACAGGGGTGCTTATTTTTGGAACAGTAAAGATGGGGGTTGGATCGGCACAGCCATTTAAGCGGGCGACCTCAAATTGCACCTGCAGTCGCTATTTATATCTCGTCACGTGACGGTATACTGTCTTCGTTGACTGGTGGTGAGCAGTCGCACACTTGGTTGAGAAAAGACTATGATCTGTGAGTATTCCCTGCCTTCCAGAGTCGTGATGGATAGGAACTTTGCTGCGCGAGTCGTCATGCTCCATCATAGCCTGTCTGTCCGAGTGGTCTTCTTGGATTGCATGGAAGAGACTCGATGGGCTCACATCAATGCCGACACGGCCCAATATTGTCGTCAAATGTATCTTCCGGGCACAAGGCTCAGGATTAACCTGTCTAGAAACCAATATCTTCAACTATGGCGACGGCAATTGTCAATGGAGGAACATATACAATTGGGCACATGCCCACTGCTCGGTATGGTTATCTGCTTCACAAGCACAAATGCGCTAAGTCAGTAAGTAAGGGTGTGACTCGGGGTACCTGGGTAGCTACTGCAGATGCAGTGTGCATTCTTGGAGCATAACCACTTATATTACGCATATCGAGAGCCGATATGCTTATACCCACGAATGTCATACCATCAAAAGGAAAAGGCAAGTTGCTGTAATTCCAGTGTTACTAGATCGGATGAAGTCGAACGCAGCTATTGTATGCTCATCCTGACGGCCGGCACTGCAACGAGGGGCAGAATACCACGCATATGGAATAGCCTCAGGGCGACCTTTGACTATCGTACCTTGCATGTCTCCTGTTCGAAACATTTCGCTCTGCCAAGCCAAGGACTGCGACACTCACCTAGTAGTCATGAATGTGCGAACCGCGTTCGCCTTTGGACCTCGTTGTCTACCGGAGACATGTGAAAGAGTGGCCCCGTCTCCTCCACCCCATGAATTGGACTTTAAAATGAGCGCCCCCCCGAGACACTGCATGTCAGGCCAATGCGGGGGACAGGGGGCGTCCATCGCTACGGGCTGCCTATCAGGCATATCAGGCCTATCAGCGGCGCCGCTAGAGCCCGGCCCAGGGAAGCGCAGTGATGTCAGTCGGACCTCGGCTTCAACTTTAAGCAGCGTTCCCGCAAAACCGAAAGTGATCATCTGAGGTCTTGTCCAGCGCGTTTTGCTCAAGACTAGGACATGAGCGCGGCATTGTCTATTCTTCTGCTCACTTATCACAGCTCTCTTGCCCCCGACTGACTGAAGCCATCAGTCCATCACTTCCCTCCCCGCTAGACCGGCGACAGACCAAAGCAAGCAAGGCATCGCAACCATGGCGCCCGCAGCCTCCAAGCCCGTGATCCCCCAGAACGACAATGTCGCCCACGCCCTCGCCGGCGCGGGAGGCGGCGTCCTGTCCATGATCCTCACGTAGGTTTCTCCCTTGCGTATTGAAATGTGAATGTCCATGCCGTTGTAGTCTTGCCGCCGGAGCTGCCGTCTGGGATCTCCACGGCGCACTTGCGAACGCCATCCGCTAACATCGCCGTCTCTCCCCCAGCTACCCCCTGATTACCCTCTCGACGCGAGCCCAAGTCGAGTCCACCCGGGCCGAGACGGCCTTCCTGACGGCCGTGAAGCGCATCATCGCGCGCGAGGGCATCTCGGGCCTGTACGCGGGGCTGGACAGCGCCGTCTTCGGCATCAGCGTGACCAACTTCGTCTACTACTACTGGTACGAGTGGACCCGGGCCTTCTTCGAGACGGCGGCGCGCAAGGCCGGGCGCGCGTCGGTCAAGCTGACGACGGTCGAGTCCATGATCGCGGGCGCGCTGGCCGGGTCCGCCACCGTCATCATCACGAACCCGATCTGGGTGGTCAACACACGCATGACGACACGGCAGCAGAACCTGGAGGAGGAGAAGGGCGCGGGCGAGCCGGGCGCCGACAAGAAACGCAAGCCCACGACGATCGGCACGCTGCTGGCCCTGCTGCGCGACGAGGGCCCGCAGGCCCTGTTCCGCGGCGTCGTGCCCGCCCTCGTCCTCGTCATCAACCCCATCCTGCAGTACACGCTGTTCGAGCAGATGAAGAACGCCTACGAGCGCAGCCGCAAGCGCAACATCACCCCCGGCGTCGCCTTCATGCTCGGCGCCCTCGGCAAGCTGTTCGCCACCAGCATCACCTACCCCTACATCACCGTCAAGAGCCAGATGCACGTCGCCGGCAACGGGCAGCGCGAGGGCATGAGCCAGGCCATCAGCCGCGTCATCCGGGAGGAGGGATACAAGGGACTGTACAAGGGTGAGTGTGGATGCTATTCCTATTTTTCCATGTCCGCGTCGAATGTTGGCAAATAAGATACTCGGTGCTAACAGGCTTGCGTACAGGTATTGCACCCAAGGTCACTCAGAGCGTGCTGACTGCCGCTTTCCTCTTCGCATTCAAGGACGTCTTGTACGAGCAGACCGTCCGATTAAGAAGCACAGTTGCCAAGAAATAAGCCGGTGTAGCGGATTGTATTGGCCCACCGGGTGCAAGTAATGATCGAGCTCCGGATTGCTGCCCGTCGCGCCGCGGGCATATGGCAGAGCCTCTGTTTACAGTGTCTGCCATGTTTGTATCATTTTTGGCATAGGATACCTTGGAATCATTACGATGGGTGGACGGTTCAGCAGCATCAACGGTGGGGAGCCATGTAAGATGGAATGGCATGGTGTAGTAAGAATAGATGTCATTCGATAGTCCCGCATAATAAGATTTTGTAAAACTATCTGTTGCGTTGTAATGTCGTAAATTGGCGAGGCAAACGTAGTACTCAGAGTAAGCAGCTCTATCTTCCGCTCAAGACGCCCGGCTCGACATTGTTTCGGTCCAGATTGAAGTTTTTTAATCAACGGGTCAACTCCTCTAGATAACAACTAGATTTTCTCCGGGTGTGCGCTGCCGTGAACTTGACCCTTCCGCCGACTCCCCGAGAGCATTATAGTACCAGAAAGCCTAGCCCGGGAGCAGTGCCTCCGAGCGTTCTATCACCATCACGACGACGAAGACACTATCTTCGGGACGATCCACCAATCATGATAACCCTTCCCTTCCTCAGGCATCTCAACCTTCAAGCCCATAGCCTCGCCTCCATCCTCGCCATGCGTCTCGACCGCCTTCTGCAGCGCCGCGACGGCGAGGCCCGCGAAGATGGTGGCCTTCTGGCAGTTCTTGATGTTGGCCAGCCAGCGCTCGTGGCAGCCGACGGAGAAGGTCTGCGTGTCCTGCATGCGGCTCAGGGCCTCGTAGCCCTTCTTGGCGCCGCCGACGGCGCCGTCCGCGTAGCGCAGCAGCTCGGCGATCGAGGTCTCGGGCTGGGCGGTGGCGCGGCTGAAGTCCTCGAAGGACGGCAGCTGCGGTAGGGCGATGGTGGTGAAGGGCTTCATGCGGATCTCGTAGCGGAGCAGGTCGTCGCTGTACGGGCGCGGCAGCGGCTTGATGAGCCCCAGCCGCTGCAGCACCGTGTACAGGCAGCAGAGGCCATCGGCGAACTCCCACGTGCAGGCGGCGTCGAGCATGGTCACGCGGATGTAGGCCATCGAGCGCATGTACTTCTCCTCCTTGGCCGAGCTGTACGACTTGGTGGCCCTGGCGTCAAACATGCTGCGCATGACAAAGGTCTTGATCCGGTCGCCGTGCTGCGCGCGCGTCTTTGCGAGATAATTCAGGTACCAGTACATGCCCGCAAGCTCGTCCGTCTGGTAGGTGGACAACTCGAAGCCGAGTTGAACGATCCATTCCATCTGACGGAGCTTGTACAAGTAGGCCCAAGATGAAAGGGGTAGTGAGTATCCCACTTGCCCCTGAGCTGTCGTGTGTGGTTGTTCATCCAGGTTTACCTGAAGCAGATTGTCTATCTCCTCCACATCAACTTGGAGAAGATCCCACTCCTGTATGCTGTGGCATAGAGTCCGCCTAACTCGGCAGCGGTTCTGACAAAATATCCTGTAAATATCGAGGTAGCACTCTGCGACCCGCTGGCGAAATATCTCCATTTGAGCGGCTGTCTGATGGCGTGGGTCAGTTGGAACTTCGATCGTATCGTTGGCAGGATCTATCTGCGGTGCACATGGCAAGCAAACGATAGAAAGGTCATGATCCAGAATCTGCCGAATGCTGTAGGAGCCCAGGACAACCATCTCTTTGAATAGGAGACCTTGCATTATCGTTCGAATGACCACCAGAGGCTGAGGTTTCCTCGTCTGGAAAGTGGCGACAAAATTCTAACACAGGTCAGTTGCCGGTCTGGAGAGGAACTCGTTCAAAGACGACGACATACCAGAAGACTTTGCGGGTCGGAGTACTTCAATATATCCATGGCATCTTTGCCATCTTGGGCCATTCGCTTGAAATGGCTATATGTGTCATCAAACGTCAGCTGGACGATGGGTCGCGGCGGCATAGTGCTGGCCAAGCTCCGTTGTATTTTGGTGCTGAAAGCTTCGGGAACCGGTGTGCCTAATGGATGCTGTTTCTTCAGATGTTCCAAAAGGCCATCCATCATGATCCACGGAGTCTTTAGTGATTCTGGGTTCGCCTTCCGCAGGCTAACCAGCTCCATGGCTCGGAGAAAAGCTACGCGGAACTCTAGCCGGAGATCCAGAGCCTCGCGAACCTCCTTGGACAGCTCGTTGCCCATGGCGCGAAGGTCATCCCGTGCGGTCCGAAGCATATCGGTGATGGCATCTAGGGGGATATCAGACAAGAGGCCGCGGTCGTACGTGTTGGTTACGAAATCCTCTTCCTGTAATGCCTCGTTAAGGTCCATGTATGTAGATGTTGGAGCATACATGCCTACCTCGTAGTACAGTTCTTCCTTGACCAGTTCATTAACGAAATAACACCCTTTCAAAAGGGACACGCAGTACGCTCTCAGGACGAACAGGAACGGTGACTTGTTCCCCGATACATCACGATCGCTGGTAAACAGAGCGTCCTCTAGGTTTGTGGGGTGCGGCTTCATGAGTGCCTCCAGGTAGACACTCGTGAAGAGAGTCTGGGAGAGAGGGTACCCAAGGTGCCAAGCCATCTAGAAACCAGGCCATCAGTCCCCTGTGCCTGCACACAAACGGCGGGTTCTCACGTACCTCAAGGCAGAGAAGTTGGTCTATAATACCGAGAACCTCTTGTGGTAGGAGGTTACGGGTGACGTCGTACTCCTCTTCCAGTGACTCTCCTTCCGCAAGACAGCCACTGTCCATCTTCGGGTCCATGATCTGCGAGCGCATGAGCACCAGCCTCGCGACGAAGGTCTCAACAGTGCAGAGACGGGATACTCACCTCAAGAGCCGAGACGGTCTCGAACAAAGTGAAGTGGCCATCTTTGACGAGTTCGCCGGGCGCCAGTTCTGTCGCACGAGGTCAGCGCAGGCTTTGCCAGAGGCGGATTGGGAGCGCCAGATCGGACGCATACTTTTGGCGGCCGCAGAGAACTTGTCCGTGATATCGATGGCCATGATGCCTGGGTGAGAGGCAATCTGCGGCAGATGCGGGACGGGAGGGCGTTGCTGCTCCATCTTAAACTTTGGATCGCCGGACCCACGGCTGCTGTTTTCAAGGTGACTTTGCCCGCGCCGAGTGCCGTTGCAGGAAGTTGTTTTCCCGCGTTGGAAAGCGCTGAAAACCGAGGCCGCCCGTTGAGGCTCCTAATTCGCCTTGGCCATCGGCTCAAGATTCCCAAGCGAGGAGAAAAGGCCTGCCAGATTCAGTATCCGTGGTGAGTTTGGATCTGTCGGGCTTGGTTTGCTGAGAGACGCTCGCCCCCGCGGAAGGCTGCAGAGTCAAAGGCGATGGCTGGCGGGTAACTCCGCTATGCACGTCTATAAACAGGTCCAAAACTTTGGGTATTAGAAAAGCGGTTCGACCTCTTGAGGCTCTGAGTACGAGAACAAGGCATGTATGTCAACTGAGCACGATGTTGCGTGTGGGATTTGGTTGGTCAGAGGCATGAGATTGCACGCCAGTGCCAGCCCAGTCCAATGGTCGCCGGTCTAGTGTGCAAATTGCAGCGTCGCCCAAGAGCGCAACCGTGAACATTGGAGACACTGCTCACACAGTAAAGTTGTAATTATAGGCGTTGACCAAGTCTATTGATTGCTTGATTTTTATACAGCTGTACAAGAGGGTAGTTATGCGATGCAGCGCCCCATCCCTCGCTCAACCACCATGCTCTGGGGCCCTTGGCCGACCCTGTCTTCCATCACCGTCACGGCCGGTACAAGTCCATCTCCCGATGATCTCTACGAATCTTTATCCTGTTTATGCGGAGGGGGCGCCGGCAGCCTCGGTCGCCGCAGCAGCGTTGGCCTCGTTCAAGTTCTTGACCTCGCCCTGCTTGCCGTTCTGTTCATGAGGGATAATCTTGTCAGCGTCCGTCCCTGGTTCTCGGGTGCCGCTCCTCAATTGCACTTACCGACCACTTGGCAAATCGCAGGTCCGACTCTCCACGACGCTCGGCGGCTATTCTCTTGTCGTCCTTCAAGCTTCGGCGGACGACGCGGGAGGCGACCGCGAGGTAGCGGTTGTAGCTGTTCGCAGAAGCCCCATTAGCCCACAGCTCCGCATCTCAGTTGCGCGGCAGGGACGGAGCGGATCGTAGGTGCGGCAGAGCAATTGACTCACCTGAGGCCAGCGGATTTCCAGGCGAACACCATTGTGACTGTCGTTCGAGTTGTCCGGGGTAATTGGTTGGGTGATGTTGTTGCTGGAGGTAGAATGCCGGTCGCAAGAAAATCGGCCCCTGCGAAATCGAAGGCCGAGCTCCAGATCACGTGACGCCAATATCAACCCGACAACCTCCGTGTCACAACGTAACTACGAGTAACTCACCTCGACTACGGAGCATAAACCGCCTTGAACTCAATGAGTGCGCAATCGGTGTTCTTTGCAAATGCTTTCTGGCACCATAGTAAATAGAGCGCTGTAATTACCCTAGTGATGCGCGAATTGACCTGACACGGCTCAACCTCTCATGAGGACTTCCATAGACGCGCTTTTGATGTTGGGACCAAGAAAATTCTAATGGATTTACTATATGCACAGGTACTAGTCTCTGTTTACAGCAGTGAGCTGAACTGTTGGTACACGTCCACCTTCCCCTTCTCCATCTATACCTTAAGACCAAGCTCCTCAGCATACGGCAAAGCGTGTAAGTCACCGACGGCGGCAACGGAAGCCTTTCCGTCGACAAGAGCCTTTGCAGCCTGTGTTCATGGTCAATACGGTGGACATCATGTGGCAGGAATAGATCATCACTTACAGCCTTCAGCTTGTCTGCGGTGACGCCCTCGATGCTCGTGATGGTCTCAGCAATCTGGAAGGGCTTGCCGGTGTGAACCAGTCCAGAGCCAGCCGCCAGGAGGGTGTTGATGCCGGATTCGCTTCCAGCCAGAGCATCGAACTTGGCCTTGGCAACAGCCTTGGTCAAATCCTCCTTGCTGACGGTACCCTCAGCAATAGCCTTCAGGGCCTTGACGGCCTCCTGGGACGTGGCGCGAACGGCACCCGCGGCACCGGAAATCTGGATGGTGAACAGACCAGCATCGGAGTAGGCGAGGTTGGTGGCAGAAGCGACGGCGCCCGGGTTGGCAGCGGCAATCTTGGACAGCAGGGTGAAGCCGGGAGCCCACTTGACGTTGGACTGGCCACCAAGCAGAGCGGACAGAACGGCGACCTCAGGCTTGAAGGTGCCGAAGCTGGAACCAGGGAAAGCAATGACCAGAGAGTTTCCACCCTTGTGGGCAGTGCGCGATTCACCACCGTAGTAAGTCGTAGATGCCGAGTTCACGGAGCCAGCGGAGGCCGGGACGGACTTGAAGAACTGCTCGGTCCACTTCGACAGGGCGGTGGTGGTTGCACCATCACCAACCAATGCGATGTTGGACTTGGCGTACACGGACTCGGCGAAGGAGGCAACCTTGTGCTCATCCACGTAGCCCTTCAAGGGTGTGGAGGGAGAGGGGTATAGGGGAGCACCGAGACCAGTGTGGAAGGCGACCGAGTGGGCGGAGTCGAGGGCAAGAGCGGCGACGTTGGCTGCCAGCCTGGCCTGCTTGATCTGGAGGACTCGCTCGACATCCTCGTTGAACTCGTAGGCTGGGTCACGGGGGTTAGCACGCGTGTCCATGCGACCGGCCTGGAGACGAGGTAGACTCACTGGTGTACTTGGTCTGCGAGATGACCTCAGCCAGCAGCTCGGTGAAGTAGGGGATGTCCTCGCGCAGGAAGCTGGCCTCGAGGACGAGGGCTTCCCGGGTGTGGTATGCGGTCAATTGGCCTCCGAGCAGCTCGCTCTCTCTGGTTATGCGCAGGGCGGATCGCTTCTCGGTGTTCTGTTGTCGTAGCATCTAATTAGCTCACTGCGGGTCTCGGGGGGCCAGGCGGGAAGTGTCTCGCTCGCGGGCACGCACCTTGAAGGCAAACTCCTCCAGAGCAGCGGTCAGGCCGGGTGCGGGCTGGTATCTCGTTCCGGCTTTGGCGACGATGGCCAGCTTGGTGGTCGGGCCGTGGGAATCGCGAGTCGCAACCTTGACGCCGGCCACGTCGGTGGTGTCGTAGATGAAGGAGGAAGGGGCAGAGGCGGCGGCCGCGTAGCCGCGTCGCTGGGCGAGCTTGCTAGAAGCTTGCCCGCGAGCGGCCAGCTGGGTACCTCTCGAGAGAGCCGTCCGAGAGAACATGTTGAAGGGGGTTGTCGTCGGCAATTGACGATCGTATGACTGCGTCGACACGGGTGATGGGTTCGTGAGCTCAGCAAAAAGCTGCTCAGCCAGATTCCGGTAGCCGAAAATCTGCCGCCACGGGATTGGCTCGTGAGCTTGGGCCACTCAGAAGGCAGGAAATCCTAAGCACACTTGCGGCAGAGATGAACGGCCGTAGAATTCCGCAGCCAGTGTGATTTCAGCCGTCCAACATCCGTTCTATCGTTGTTTATTTGCCAGTCAATGTTGGTATTCATCTGCTGGCGTAAGTGAATGCTGCGTCCTCATACGTGGAGTTCAATCGTTGACATCCAATGCCTGTACGTACTGTGCAGCCGCGGGCCTGCCAGCTGCCCATCACCTGCTCTGCTGCAGTCGGAGGTTCTCTTCAATGTAAGTCTAGATGAAGCATACACTCATGGTCTATACCTCGGAGACATGGACTTATAATGTGAGATGCATGCTCTGTTACTGCTTGCCCATTTCTGTGCCACATTTACCTCAACAACTTACGACGTCTTGTCTTGGGCTGTTTCGAGAGAACTGTGCAGCTGACATATACAGCAAAGCAGTCGTCGTGTTTCACGTTGCAGGTTATTGACATGGCTTTCCGAGCGCACTCCACATGGCAATATGTCAGAAACTCATGCAACGACGGCTAGATAGGTTCGGCAGAGCCAGATATGCAAAGAAGGCAGCACTCTTCATGGCTGACCAGAACCTTGGGTCGGCGCCCTGGACGCCCATTTCCAGGGTTAGGGGTCATGCTTCCGGCTGCATCCTTGCGGCTCTGTCTACTCGCCTGACCTGACGACTTGATGAATGTACAATACTCAAAATCCAGTCAAAATCAGAGCAACCAGATGAACATATGTATGGGAATGCTTGAAATCCCTTGACCATCATCGGCTACTCCCGGTCTCAGACATAGTTGTTTTGATAAAGCACTGTAAGGCGTTAAGAGCGTACTACATTGGTGAAGATATATCACGTCTGAGTAGAATGCCGGTGATGGTGTCATACAGAGAGGAAAGGCAGGATCTTATACCACAGAGTCAACAGGGGGTCAATTACTTCCTGCACTCATCCACGGTTTACATGTAGTCGTTCAATCACTCGGTGCAGCAGATGAGGCTCTATCGGCACTCCCACAGTGGGGCCCGGCCAAGCAAGCCAGGTCCGCTGCAAGGAAAAAGAAAAAAAGTTTCAGCGCTTGCTACAGCGTCCCCCAGGGAAGTTGTGCAGCTGTTCTTTAGTGCAGTAAAGCTCATCGTTCCCCGCCATTGAAAATCTGCCCGCATTGAATTTTATTCTGTAGAGCGCATCCGACGGCCAAGTGACTCTTCCGCACACCAGAACTACAATCACAGTCAAGACTCGACGCCAACGTCGAACCTCTGGGGACTTTCTTTCTCCGCCTACTAATGACTCGGAGGTAGCAATTGCGGCTCTAGAGTTCGTGAGAGGTTCTCTAGACGCCGGCTCGACGACCTGAACCCATACGCCCAACCTGATCGCGGCCGCCCGTCGCAAACAGCGCCATGTTAGTGGTGAGTCAACCTCGTGCCAGTCCCCTCTGTCGCATCGCAGTCTCTTTGATGCTCCGTCGACAGAGCTTCGGATCACGGAGATGATGTTAAAACTCATGATCGCAGACCAAGAATGCCGCAGAACTCTGCGTTCTGCTCATCTGCGAGCTGTATGGACAGCTGCCATCCGTAGGTGCACCCTGACCAGCAAGCAAGCCAGCAAGCTGCTCGTGAACCGCCCCCGGCTGACCTGTTGTGCAGCGCATCTTCGAGGTCCTCCTGTCGAAAGGCCGAGCGAACATCGCCCGCCTGGCGCGAGATACGTCTATGAACCAGCGCCTGATCCGCCATGGCCTCGTCGTCTTGATCCAGCAGAACCTCATCTTTCACCAGACCGATCTCGACACCGGCGTCAGTGTCTACGAAGCGAACGCTGATGCCGCCTACAATATCGTGCGAACGGGCAAGATCCTCGATGTCGTCCATCGCAATTACGGCGATGAGGCAAAATTACTAGTCCATCATGTCATTCTGAATGGCTACATGACCATGTCAGATCTTATGCAACGCAGACCTCAAGCTGCGACGAATGGGGTGCCCAAGACCAATGGCCATGTGAACGGGGCTTCCTCCCCCACGTCGGCCAAGTTGGAGGATGAGGGCGACCAAACACAGCAGACCTTCGACCTGATTGCGCACCTCATCGCTGTTGGCATACTGGAGCCCATGAGTATGACCATGCTTCAGACTCCCGACGACGTGCGAGCCGAGATAGACCGCGATATCATGAAGGATTACCCCACCGGTCTACGTGGTACGAAGCAGAAAAACGAGTTTAACCAGAGATCAGTGGCTGGTTGGAAGAGCTACCTGGATGAGAGCAAGTACCTGAAGCGCAACCTGGAGCGTGATTACCTCAACTTCTCGGGCGCGAAACGCCGCAAGCTCGCCAATGGTTCAAGAGCAAACGGCTTTTCGGCCATCAATCGGGATGAATTGATCGAGGTGGGTTGACACTGGAAGACTACGCTGTGCCAGGTTTTGACTAATCTTTGTTCTCTAGCCGCACACCGTCCTTCGCGTCAACTACCAAAAGTGCCTGGTCGAACTTCGGAACCACAGGCTCGTCCATTACGCCGAAGATGCCTTCAGCCCCGTCACTGCCCAGGTATACGGCGCCATGCTGTCTGCTTTGGGCAAAAAGATAGCACAATGCCAACTGGACACAGAAGCTGACGATGATGCTTTGGCCAAGGCTCCCACGGTCACGACCTTGGATATATATGAGCATCTCAGGCCGTCTGTGGATGTCTTCACTGGCATTGGAAGAACCGACCCGGATTCCATCAACGTGAACAGCGCTGAAAGAATACAAGTTGACCCTCCTGGCTATGAGGTCGGAGGGGAAGAGAATAATGGTCATATGTCTGAGGACGAGGCTCAGACGCAGGTAGATGTATCCATGTCCAACGGCTTCGGCGAGGACAGGTTCCCTGGAGAGGACGATAGCAACGCCAATCATGGCCAGAACGGCACAAGAGAGACCAAGGTCAAGTTCGCGGACAGGGGGCCATCGAGAGCCGAGAGAATAGCCCAGATGCGTCAACACTTATTGGTGTTGGCCGAAAGCACTCAGCAATTCCTGAGGCACACAGGCACACGCGACCAAGGAGAATGGACAGTGGACTTCGAGTTGCTGATGCCGAAGCTCCAACTCATCGAGATCGATACATTGATCGAAGAAGCATTTGGCCGGCCGGGTTTGCGCCTCGTCAAAATACTTCGAGCCAAGGGCAAGCTCGATGACAGAACCTTGCCCAGCCTCGCACTGATGAAGAAACAAGACGTATATACCAAGATGACCGAGATGGAGTTGCAGGGCTTCTTGGACGTTCAAGAAGTGCCACGAGACACCAACCGGACTGCCAGCCGCACGTTATTTTTGTGGTTCTTTGACCAGACAAGGACTTTGACCAGAGTCCTCGATGACACCTACAAGGCAATGGCGCGGCATCTTCAGCGGCTCGAGGTCGAGCGACGCAAGAAGAAGAACGTCCTCTCGGTTGTGGAACGCAAGGACGTGCAGGGCATGGAGGAGGAGAAGCTCAGAGGCGACATCTATAATGAGTATCGCGAGTTCCTTGACATCGAGAGTAAACTTCTCGGTCAGGTTGGTAGACTGGACGACCTCGTGGGTGTTCTGCGAGATTTCTGAGGCCATTCATGCATTCCCTCTTTAGGAGCGCAGTTCTGGCAAACAAAAGTGCATCGCATGGCGGCGTTTGGTTCATGGCCTGGGATGGCCTTTGGCGGGTGATGTATTCCTTGCATTGTTTGGCGTTGACCTTTTGGAAAAGGTTTCAACGAGACAATGATCTGCGCAAGAAGCTGGACAAATGTATACCTGTAAACGTACCATAGATCCCAAAAAGTTGTAATGGACTGCACGATAATGCCACCCGCGCGCGCTCACCACAGTGACTACACACAGGAGATAAGTCCCTGTGAGGGAGGGTCCCATAGTGGAAATTTTGGAAATTGTAAGGCTAGAACTACCTCTCATAGAGGCAAGTGATCTGCTGTGTCCACATCAACACGACGCCGGAACCCTGCAGCACTGTTTCGCTGTGATATTAAGCTTTTTCCCGAGCTACTGGAGCGCAGGCGGGCTTGTGCTGTATCCAATGTTTCTTGGCACGTCGGCAAGAAGTCGAAACATTCGGATCCCACCGTACGCCGACAAGACCACAGCACATCGAGATGCCAAGATGCGGCTGCCCCACCGCGCCGTGCTTGGGTACGAAGACCCCGATCTCAGCCCAGCGACCTGGAGTGACGTAGGTGAAGAATGCCGTACAGGAGAATACGAAGTTGTCTTTCATTAGCCTGACCCGTAGTGGGCAACATGACTGGTCCATAGGCGCTGGCGTGTTACTAATCCTGGACCAACTTACGGCTGGTGCATGGCGAGGTTAATTTCACCACAACGGCTATCCCGGCCATCCCTGTCCACCACGCGAAATGCCGGACGGCTGGTCCCCTCTCTGTGCGCCATCGACATCACGAAAGGTGCATGCCGCAGTGTTTTGCCCTGTCATGTTTTCCCCGTATCGAAATTTGACCATCGGGGCGCTCGGGGCGGAGCCTGGTTTCACGAGAACGCGGTGTTCCGAGACATTGACTTAAAAGATGGCATGCGCCCCTTCCCAATTGTTTTGATGGGATCGTGATACCTACTCTCAATCCCTATAATAATCTCTAATACTCGGACCAGTCGAGGCTGAAGCCACGCCACGATGAAGTCGTCCATCTTGTATGCTGCGGTCGGTCTCCTCGGCCTCCCGTGCCATGCTTCACCCATTCAGGGAAGACAGCCATGCAGAAGAAGCGATTGGTCAACAGAGGAGTGGGACGCCATTGTCGTTGGTGCTGGCACAGCTGGTATTGTTGTCGCAGACAAGCTGAGTGAGGCTGGCAAGAAGACATTGCTGCTCGAGCTTGGGGGTCCTTCTTATGGTATCACCGGAGGCACGGAGCGGCCAAGCTGGCTAGACGGAACCAATCTCAGCAGAGTCGATGTCCCCGGACTGTGTATGTAATTTGCCAAGGAGACTCGATTCGTATCTTGCTAACAAGTTATCCAGACAAGAGTATTTTCTCCGGCGGCTCTGACTTGCTGTGTCCGTCCGATGTCGTGAACGGCTTCCAGGCCTGCACGATCGGTGGAAACAGCGCCATCAACGCAGGACTCTACTTCCAGCCCCCGGATTCCGACTGGGATCTGTACCACCCGGAAGGCTGGAAGAGCGGCGATGTCCAGGCGGCGACGCAGAGGTTGCTGGAAAGGCAACCTTCGGTTACCACGTACTCTTCTGACGGGCAGTTCTATGCTCAGACGGGATACGACGCAGCAAAGAGCTGGATCGTAGGTGCAGCTGGATTCACTGAGGTCGGATTCAACGATGAACCTAGCAACAAGGACAGAGTCTTCGGTCGACCCGTATACGACTACAAGAACGGCCAACGCGGAGGTCCCGCGACAACTTACCTCCAGAGCGCCAGCGGCCGCTCGAACTTCCACCTCCAAACCGGAGTTCGAGTCAAGTACATCAACCAGGTCAACGGCACGGCCTCCAGTGTGGTCGCAGAGTTCGGAGGCTCGCTACTTGAGATCCAACTTAGCCCCGCAGGCAGAGTCGTTCTCAGCGCCGGTGCACTCGTATCCCCGGGGCTCCTGATGTACTCGGGCATCGGACCGTCTGAATCCCTGAGTAACCTCGCGGCAGCCTCTTACACCCCGTACAACTCCTCGAACTGGGTTGTGAACGATGCGGTGGGAGCGGGCCTATTTGACAACCCGAACACTTTCATTGAGCTGTCGGCGCCTACGGTCGAGTCGTACACCCAAGTCTACGACGACCCCATCGCGGCCGACCGCGACCTGTACCTCTCGTCCCGCAGCGGCCCGTACTCGTTCGCCTCGCAGACCTCGGCGTTCTGGGGCTACGTGCACAACGAGGACGGCACCCAGGCCGGCATCCAGGGGACGATCGACTCCTCGGGCCACGGCGCCTTCACCGCCAACAACACCATCACGCTCAACATCTACGGCACATCCGGCATGCAGTCGGCCGGGCGCGTCGTGCTGTCCACCGACGGCAAGTTCACGCCGGGCCCGGACTCCAACGTCTACTACTCGGACCCGCGCGACGCCGACGCCATCGCCAGCTTCGTCCACGACATCTTCCAGGCGCTCCCGCCGTCGACGCCCGACGCGCCGGCCGCCGAGGGCCTGACGCCGCTCAACATCGCGCAGGGCGCCAGCGTCGACGAGATCCGCACCTACATCACGACGCCGTCCGACTACGCCGTCGGGTCCGTGCAGCACTGGTCCAGCTCGTGCCGCATCGGCAGCTGCGTCGACGCCGACACCAAGGTCGTCGGCACCGAGAACATCCACGTCATCGACGCGTCCATCCTCTCGCCGCTGACTGTCAACCCGCAGTTCGGCGTCATGGTCGCCGCCGAGAAGGGCGCTGAGAGGATCCTGGCGCTGGGAGCCGGCTTGAGCCTGAAGATAACGTAGAGGCTGTTGACTTTATTCCAAATTTTCTCCTATATCTTGGCGGCATGTTGAGCTGCAGAATATCGGCGCATTGGCGTTTCGGACTCAAAAGGGAATTGTCGAGGATTTTGGATCTCTGAATCATAAAGATATATAATTTCTCCTTATTAAGATAGATACCATTTTGCTTTTAACCTTTATTACTTAAGAGATTGAAGGGTTTGGTTTTCCAAGACATACCAGATACAGCCAGTGATCAATATGCGCATGATAGCCAAGATTATTCCTACGGATAGTTTTCAGGAGTCGCTCAGGGATTCATAGTCGTGTGTCTAGTTGGTCAGATGGAGATTCATGATTTTAAGTGTTATGAGTGGGCGACCTGACTGGGTACGTGGCGAACGATCAGAGCTATACCACAGATGGCCATCTTGTCATTACGAGGTAGTTTAGAGTGCTCTCACGCAGATCACTATCCATAGCATAGAAATTAATCACTATGATCCACGTACTTCATTATTAAAATAACTCACTACAGGATCCGACATAATAAGTGAACTTCAACGCTCTTATTATGTCGGATCTTGTAGTATGACTGCTGACGAGGCGTCATTCTCTGCGTTCTTTCTTGGACGGCCAGGTTTTGTTGACCAACATGACTCAATGTGTTCCTGAAATTCCTCCTTAGAAGCACTTCCATAACCGCAATGACATTGGTACTGCTTCTCCACCATTGGTCGTGTACAACTCCTGAGGTGGCGACGAAAATTGTCTTTCCGTACACCTCCATATCCACACGCACAGCTGTATTGCGCCCGGTCATAGCCAGTGTGCACTGAGCTGAGATGTCGACTTAAGTCTTTGCTCCTCATGAATGATTTGTCGCAGCTGCGGCAAGGGTAGCGCGTTGTCTCCTTCCTGTGAGGTTCGGTATTGCTTGTGGCAATGCCCGACACAGAAGAAGCTGGGTATGAAGTTACTTCATTCAACACCGGGGAAGATAAGCCGGGTGTGTACATATGGTAGGCATTTCCCTGATAATTTCCCTGGTAGAGATCTCCACCTGATTCGGGTTGTGACCCATAGCTAGGTACAAACCCCAAGGAACCATACTGCTGCATCCCCCAGTAGTCGCCCTCGCAGACGTCTTCTAGCTCAGTTCTTAGGTGGGTGATGAACCCGGGCAGCAGCTGTGGTATGTGATACGGCTGTTCGCTTGGTGCAGACGTATGGTCATTGATATCAAACTGTAGTATATTCTCAGGATTGAACCCCTCAACTGCGTTGATTACTTCGGAAATTTCCACGACCTTTGGGTTGACGAACTCTGGACAAAAGTTAGCAGGTTTCCCCCAGGACTAGAAAGAGAACACCCTGTACCAGGTGAGGGGATGTGCGTGTCATTGGGGAATAAGACTTTCCAAAGGCCTTCCCAGGAATTAACCTTGAGGCCACTCTTGCGTTCGGCGAGTAGCATGTCAACCTCGTCGGTGATGCCGTCTTCAGGGTTTTCCGACGACTGATAATCCACGATGCTGCAAATCTGATCCGGGGGTGCTCGCATGTGGTCGACAAGCTCATTTTGGTTCTCAAAGCCCTTAGCACACCGGAAACACTTGAAGGGAAGCTGTTGACGTCGATGGTAGACCCTTATATGGCGCCTGTTCATGATTATTAGAATTCAGTCACGCAGTCTCTCCCTGTTCCTCCCACGTACTTGAGTGTTGCTAGATCACTAAAGCCACTTGATGCACAATTTTGATACTGTCGAATATTGAATCTTGCCGGATCACGTTTGCGAAACGGACAAGAAAGTTTGTCGTTCTCTGGCTCACGTCTTGCCGACGCCCTAGTTCCCCGATGGGCTGCTTCCGACACAGTGGTCGAACTTCTGTCAAAAGCGGTGCCTACACCTGCCAGATCATGATGTGCACTCCGATAGTGTGGTATATCATGATATACACTGAAATAGGGGGTCAGTAAGTCGGCATCACGGTATGGCCGTGTTGGGCAGAACATCGAATACCTTGGTTCATCGTAGGCTGCGGGCTCCTCCGAGATGAGATCGGCTCGTGACTGTCTCAGGCCGTAGCGACCATCCATTTCCCATAATGTTTTCGGCTCGCCGGTCGTCGCTGGTTTCTTATCACGTTGGCTCCGTACACACGTGCATATACACCAAACCCTTGCTCCAGGCAATGGTGACAGCTCTTGAGGCGAAACATAAAGGGCCTCACAAAGCCCAAATGGCCTCAGAGGCGGATTCCGAGATTGAATTCCTGAGGCATCAACTTGACGGTAGAACCTCGGGCTGACTCACCTCGGGCGCAAAGTAGTGCAGGCAAGCGGGTAAACAGGGAAGCAGGCAGCAAACAGGGAGGAAACAGGGAAGCAAAGTTTCTGCGGGGGCGAGGGGATTACGTGGATTTATTCCCTCAGCTTACCTCCCCAAACCTCACATTCTAAACAATACCCTCAGCTTCTCGAAGCCTCCTCGCATCAAAAGCAACGCCTCAACCATCTGTAATCATGAACTGTAAGCCAAAGTCAACTATAGCAGCGATTGGTCATCTGATCACTAACACGCCGGCGTCTCTAGTCAACGACGTCGCCGCCACCGCCGCCGCCGCTGCCAACCCTGCCGGTCTGGCCGCTCCACCTGTCCCCGAGACCGAGAACATTCACGGTGAAGGTACAGCCCAGCCGTTTATCAAATCCTATATCATATTAGCTCGCATGCATCAGCTCACATTGCGGGAGTAGGGCCGAGCCCGGCAAACCCGGAAATCGCACTCCCCCCGCCTGCTGTGCTTCCACCACAGCAGCTCGCCGACCATGACCTAGCCGTGCAACCCCCCGCTGGTGCCAACCCTCCGGCCCAGAACGGCAACCTCGAGGCCAACAAGCAGCTCGACGGTCGAGCCGTCGCTCGCAAGCACTGTATGCACCACCGTTCTCTTTAAAAATCAAACCGTCCTTGCCCTGGATATCTTCTACGTAGAAAAAGCTGTCACCCATGCTTATATCTATCTAGTCCTTTCTATTGCCAGCGCTGGGATTGTCTGCATCTTGCTAACCGGAGGAGCAATGAAGGCGGCCGGCTGCACTTACGATGATATTAAGTGGCCCGTTACTATCGAGGTCACGCTCGTTACGGCGCTCTTGAGCCCCCTTATCCCCAAGTGCATCATTGCCGCCTAGCGAGCTGCAGCAGCAAGGATGATTGTGGTGCTATCAGTGTTAGAACGTGACGAGCAATCGCCTTGGTGGGACGGGAACGAGTGGGTGTATAGCGTTCAAGTCTTGTGGCACAGTGGAGCGTTGCCTGATGTCACCTTTTGTCTGCTTTCATCTCATTTACAGAGCTACTATAAACGAACACAGCAAATTCAAATCAAAACATATTAACCTATTCAATCAATCCCATCTAATATTAGTATGTGAATATGTGGTGTGCACGAGTGAGAGGTCCCTAAACCAAGCCGTGATCCCTGCCATGGTTCCACAGAGGAACCCCACTGGCTCATGTTCACCTTCTCCAAGGGCACGCACCACTACTTTAGGCTGCCAGAAAAGCCCAGAATAGTTCATATCACTATACCAGGACCCTTCTACAGCGCCGCCGGTCGAAGCATAAAAGTACGTTCTGACAGCCAAAGGGAGGTCATTCGTGTTGCTACGCTACGCTAGACGAGTGCGGATACATTAGAGCGAGCTGCGCGGGTTTGGTCTATTTGAAAGGGCATAGTGTAGCTTATTTATATGCGGACAGGGTTGACAGGAATTTTGGATACTGATAGCAGCCAAGGCTGAACCATTATAGCAATCATGGTCTAGAAGTCAAACCTACCTGAAGCGGATGAGCTCTATCCACATATCCAGGAACATATGCATACTGTCATCCTCGTCCTCTACGTCCATGGCTCGGCAGGCAATCATGTTTATCATCGACAGGTGAGTCGCCACGCGCGTGATTTCGAGCTCGCCTTCGTGGACCTGGTCGAGCAAGGACCTCAGCCGGCTCGGCGCCGCCCCGGCCTCCATCTGGGCGACCTCGACGTAGCACATCAGCATCTGCAGGTCGTCCTCGATCTCCTCCAGATCCTGACGTATCCGCGTGGTGTGCCCACCGATGCGCTCGTCCGAGGCGGGAGGGACCAGCTGGACCAGCACCTTCATCGTGTCCCTGCGCTGCTGCTCCACCTCGGGGATGCGGCTCAGCTGTTTCTGGATCTCGCGGCGGACTTGTCGCAGCGCCTCGGGGTACCAGCTGGACGATGGGAAATGCATCGGAGCGGCCTGCTCCTCGTATGATGGAGGCCTGTCGTATGAGGGCCTGGAGTACGAGGGTCTTGAATACGAGGGCCTCGAATATGATGGCGGCTCCTCGTGACGCTCTCCGTAGCTGTTGCTACTACCGGGTTCAGGGCGTCGACGCCTGTTCTCAGCTGGCTCCAGCTTACCTGTGAGGACCTCGTATGCCTCTCTGATCTTTGCGAACTTTGCGTTGGCTCCGGGATCGTTGCGAGCCTTGTCTGGATCTACAGATATAAAAGTTAGTAATCGTCTTGAGTAACCAGATAAGTGTGCTGGGGATAGGTTGGTAAACTGTGCTGGGTTGCGAGGATGTGGCTATTGAGACGGTGTTCGACCCATGCTCAAAACATGACTGAAAAGGTGGAAACGACTTTGGATGGTACTTACGATGCTTCAAACATAATTTGCGGTAGGCGGCTTTGACAGCAGCCGGCGTGGCGCCAGGTTCGAGTCCTAGAGTCTTGAAAGAATCAGCTGTGGTCAGCGTAGAGTAAGACACGTCTTCCATGTTGCGTATAGCTTGATTGACTTGAGTATGAAGGTGTCTTATGGTTTGGTTTTATCGTTGCAAGACAGTGGATATTTCGAGGGTACTGATGTTAATCGGCCCTGGTTATGTATGCAGCCTCTGAGTACAATGCTTTGGTCCAAATTAGGACCCTTGACTTGAGACAATGCGACTTGATTCCATTTAAAGCCATGCTATAAGACCGGTCAAAGCAGCTGTATCTAGGAACAAAGGAGCATTGAGGATATGAACTTGCCCTAGACCTGATCGTGTCATCTCAATAGGAATAAGAGCAGCCAATAAACAATCAAAGGGTGATATTATTGCCCAACAAAGTCATTCGCCGTAGCGCGAAGTTCCTTGTCCGGTATAGTCTTCCATGATGCCTGGAAGTTGCTGCTTCTAAGCATGGGCCTTACTAATCTCTCCAGCCATCTTTGCTACGTTACACACACGAACCCCGTCAACCTGAAGTAGGTTCTAATATTCTTTATACTCGGCTTGTTATTATTCACACTACGAAATTCTCTGCGTGGCTTACCGTACGCTTACAATAACCCTGAAAGCTCCCATGAGGGCGTTGAATCCAGGCAACCCTTGATTCTAGCCACCATACATACGAAATCCTCCGTCAAGACCTCCTTCACCTTTCCATCCGCGTGGGCGATGAGGTTCATTATGCGCACAGCGGCATCGACAAAGTTGCCTACCATGTTGACCGACGATCTCACCATGTTGGTTCGCCGCAGGGACGAGGACACTAGATCAATCAGCTTCTTCTCCGCCTGGCTGTCCTGGACAGACAGGCCCTCCTCGATGTCAGCCCGGATGTTGCCCACCTCGCGCTCAAAGTCAGACAGGACCCACACCGCATCAGTGGCGGCGTGGTCGTATGCCTGGCGTTGGGCGCCGCGGAGCTCCGAGACGGCATGGGCATCAAGCTTGACGCAGATGAGGCTCGTTTCCTGGATGTTATCGAGCACCAGATCGAGGTGTTGGCGCACCTGATCGAGCTCGTAATCCCGCCACAGCCTTTGGGGATTGATGTCGCAAATCTCGGTGTCATCGCGCTTTATGGCCTCGTCAGGTCTTCCTAGCACACGTGCGCATTCCGCCCATGTGAGCGACATGTAGTAAGGCATGTTGACTATGACTATTTTTTTTCTGGTTTAAGAGTCCAAAATCAGTGACACCTTGCAATATTTTACAGATGGTATTGCCGGCGATGGAGACATTCTCTGAAACCCCGAGACTTCAGCATGCCGCTGGATATAAGTATATTTCAGTATAGCCTAGCTTCAATACAGTTGTTCCGTAACAAGAAGATTGTAGTGGGTTGCTAGAGACAAAGGGTTGAGTATCCTAGGCTTTTGTCCCACCTGGACAAAGACAACTACAGACTGACCACCATGTCTCGTTTGAACAATTATACCTGAAGCACATGGGGGCCAGAAAGCAGTTGATAAGAATACTTTTCACGTCTTTGAATTCAGTTTCTCATTTATCGCAAGCCAGTACACCCAGTGCAAGGTGTTCAAAGTGATATTCTAACATCCACACTGTAGTATGTCCACAGTAGAGGTGCGTACCCAAGGCTTTGATAGACCCAAGGATATCTTTGTTCCGGAGGCCACTCTGACAGTAATATGCTCCACCAATAAGCCGTGCTCGTTGGCATGGCATTTAATCTTGACTCAGACATGTAGCATCCAGATCGGACTCGTCGCAGGCTCTTCATGTTTCCTTGCCATGAGCAGAACCCTTGCCGGACGTAGTTCTTGGCTTGGATTCCCCCGACTCTTGCAGCTTGGTATATGCCGATCAATGTCAGAGGCATTGCCAAAGGGCAACGGCACTTGGGCACCCATGATCAGCCTATTGGCAGTCGGCCTGCGATGATGACACGCAGTTGTGTTGGATAAGTTTCCAACAATGCTGCCGTCAGACGGTGCCAATTTGACAGCCAGCAGCGGCGAGTGAAAGCTCGCAGTCAGACCTGCGGCCCTCAAGATTGCGTCATTCTCAACTATCATTTCCACAGATTGCGACGTGGCGCAACTCAGTCCTCGTCACTATCCTCGAAATGCTTTCTGGGCCAATCGGCCGCTGTATCGATTTGGTCTCTTGGCCACCACCACTCGCAAAACAGGAATATCAAATAATCAATGACAACGCAGAGACAGAACAGCTTACCGGCCCAGATACCGCAGCCGTAGTAGCGCTTCAGACGATCAATGAGCGCGAAACTGCGAACCCCCGAGCGACTGGTAGCACCCCAGGCTGCAGAGTCGGCCGTCTCATAACCATAGAACTCGGTCTCACTGATATCACCGGATATGCCTTGGTATACACGCTCCGTACGTTTGGCGATGTTGCTCCAGGAATACATGACCTTGACCTGGTCATGGAACTTCTCGGTGCGGACCCTATTGGCGCGAAGTGCGGCGATGGCCTTGCCTGTCGCGAGGACCAGGTCATCCTCTTCGGGTTTGGCAAAGACAGTCATGTGGCTGGGGAGGACTTCGGGAATACCACCAACCGCCGTGCACACAACGTAAAGGCCACAACTAGCCGCTTCAACAATGACTGTGCCAAAAGCTTCCGTCAAACTGGGATGCAGGTAGATGTGCCCGCGTACCATGACATCGCGGACCTGCTCATGGCGGACCGCGCCAAGCATTTCAACTTTGTCTTGCAGCACATTCTGTTCGATCATCTGCTCTAGATCAATAGCCTTGGGCCCTGATCCAGCGATTATGAACCTGGTGTTGGGGTGGTTCATTATGATCCGGGGAATGGATGCGGTCAGAAGGTCTATGCCCTTGTTGTAGAATAGCCGAGATATGACAACGATGGTAACGGGATCATTAGGCCCAAGGTGATGAGCGGTTGGCGGGTTATGCCCGAAACCGGCGCCTGGAGCAGATGGCTCCGTAGGATAGTTGAGAGGACGGAAGTTCTCCGAAACCAGCGCGTTTGGAATGACAGACACCATCAGAGGGTCCAAGGCAGCGCGCAGGACAGTATTTTCTTTACTGGGGTATTGTTAGTTTACGCGCTCTGTACTCTGATAGATATAACGAGGCATACCTTGTGTGGCTGACACAAATGATGTGATCTACATCGCTGAGGATGAACTTCAACAGCTTGTTGGTGAGAATGCTGCCGGCCTCGGCGAAGCCAAATAGAGAGTGATCCGTGAAGACAGTCCTCAAGCCCATGGTTCTGGCGTGCAGCAGTCCTTCATTGCACAGACTGCTCAAACTGCCATGTCCGTGAACGATCTCGATCTGTTCCCTGAGCATGATGTTTCTGAACATGGGAAAGAAGGAGAAGACGGTCGGGAAGGAGGCTGATCGGTATATGATGGCAAATGGCACATGGTAGACTTTGATCCCATTCGTCAGGTACCGGATGCCCTTTCGGTCGTCGTAGGCATGGGTAACAACCACCACCTTGTGGCCTCGGTCTATAAGCTTGGACGCAACCTGGTAGATGTGGCTTTCGACTCCTCCTGGCTGCGGAAAGAAGAAGTCGCACACCATGGCGATGTTGTAAGTTCGACGCGGCATCTTGGACGAGCCAACGGTGTGGCAGGCGGTCGCAGATCTTGGGTTCGTTGGTGAAGGCGCGAACGTCGCGATGTTGTGGCGCTATTCCGGGCTGAGACGGTATACTTGGTCTTTCTAGCGAGAGTCGCTGCGGGTCGGGTTCGGAGACTGGAATGGCACGGATATCGCAATCGAGGCTCCCATGGTTCCGATTACCTCCTCAAACCCTCTGACCACGGGGTCATCGTCGGTGCGGGCGAGTTGGGCAGAGGCAAGAATCGGAACAGGTCTGGGTGCACTCCTCAAGGTCGGAGACTCCAGGGGAATGGTTACAGTAACGTAACTCGACAAAGACCGGCGCCAATTGAACCTCTGCCAATGCCAAGGCCCAATGCCGCCAGAGGCTCTGAGCGCCGGCCCAGGGGCAGCCAGGGGTGTGACGCGCGCCGATAAGCGATAAGTGGTGGGCTGGCCCGGCCGGCAGGGGTTCAAGCTGGAGCTCCAATTAATTTTTTGGTTATCGTGGGGAGATAGAAGAAGAAAGTTCGCAGCGCTTCAAGCAATCGCTGCAAATCCTCGAGGCTCGGCTGCAACGAGACTCGAAGCCCGCCCCTACTTGCGAAGCCTGCCACAGCGGACGAGGCTGTATGGAGGCAAGCTGAAGCCTTGGGCAATCCAATTCTTTTCCTCGAGCCGCATCTCCCATCCCGAACCGAGACTCCAAGATGTATGCGCGCTACGTACCGCCGTCCAAGACGGATGCGAAGACGGAGACCAAGGTCAACGCCAGCACCCAAGATGAGCCCCCACGGCCAGGCGCATACAACCGCTATGTCCCGCCTGCAAAGCCGGCCGCCGAGCCGAGGCAACATAAGCACTTTGGTGACGAGACAGAGCTTGCAGTGCCCAAACAGCCGCCTACAAAGCGGGTGAAACTGGCTTCAGACGACTCGGCCAACGATGCGAGACCCAGCGCTGGCCGCCAGGAACCTGAGGATACAGATATGGGCGTGGAGTCGGTCCATGGAGAGCCAGAGGCGGCGTCCGAAAAGACCGATAAGAAGGCCAACAAGACAAAGGAGAAGAAGTCCAAGGAAAAGAAAGATACCAAGCGGTCCCAGGATGTAGCCACCACCGACGAGCCAGTAGAGGAAGAACCCATTGCTTCGGAATCAGCACTAGCCGATGCGCATGATGAGAACCCAGAGACTCCAGCGCCTGCGAAGCCCAAAAAGGAGAAGAAAAAGAAGAAGCCCAAGGACTCTGCTTCGGGTGAGCACGACGCCCCTTCAGATGACGACGAGATAAAAAGACGGCATAAATCGGTATTGGAAAGGAAGCAAAAGTCAATGAAAGCCCCCCAGCCACCGCCCACGGATTCAGCAGTCCCTAACGGCACCAACGATCAGGATGTTGTTATGGGGGATGCGCCAGAGGCATTAGAGGCACACGGCCTTGAGCCGTTGCCGCAGCCTGCACTTATTCCCGAGGATACGTCAGAACCAACTTACCAGACACTCCCCCCTTGGTTAGCTGAGCCGATAAGAGTCTCTGGCCAGGCGAGAGCCCCCTTTACCGACTTTGGTCTCACCCCCGAATTAGGCATCACACCTGAAACTTCCGAGCGACTGGCACAGAAGGGCTACAAAGAGGCATTCGCTATCCAGACAGCAGTCATACCCCAGCTCCTGCCTCACCACTGCAGGACTATGCACAGCGATATCCTGGTGTCGGCAGCTACCGGTTCAGGAAAGACGCTTGCTTATGCCCTTCCTATGATACGCGATCTCGGCCACGGAAGCCGCCATGTCACCCGGTTACGTGCCCTCGTGGTTCTGCCTACCAGAGAGCTGGTCAGACAGGCTCACAAGATCTGCGAAGAGTGTGCTGGAGTTTTTGGCGCAGATGCGGATCGGCGCCGGGTGAAGATTGGGACTGCCACCGGAAACCAGACTATCCAGGAAGAACGCAAGGCTCTGCTTGAAAGAGAGGACCGATACGACCCTGACGCCTACGCGGAGCGACAGAAGAGGTTAGAATCCCGTAGGAAAGGCTACTACGACGACGAAGTTGAAGGCGCAGAGGACGATGAAGAACTAGCTGAGATCCGACGAAAGGAAGACAAGAAGGAAACATTGCCTGACTATGTCATTGGCTACAAGTCAAGGGTTGACATACTGATCTGCACACCTGGTCGACTTGTCGAGCACATCAAATACACTCCAGGTTTCCGCCTAGATTACGTACGATGGCTTGTTGCCGACGAGGCTGACAAGCTGCTCGGCCAAGGCTTTCAGCAGTGGCTGGATCTGGTGATCCCAAAACTACAAGATGACGCGGCGCAGGCTCGCCAACACAAGCAAACCCACTTTTCTGGTGTGCGAAAGGTGATCCTAAGTGCTACGATGACCCGGGATCTAGATCTTCTCGAGGGCCTGAAACTCAGACGACCAAAATTGGTCGTTCTTGAGGGCTCGGGAGCCGGAGTGGAATACGCATTGCCTGAGCTCCTCCGCGAGACGGCCCTGAAGGCTGACAACAACCTCAAGCCACTGTTCCTGCTTGATCTTCTGCAGAGCTCTCATCTGACTGCAAGCAAGCCAGCAGAGGCAATCTCCGATATCACTTCATCTTCTGGGTCAGACTCGGAATCCGACTCTGGTTCAGATTCGGAGTCGGATTCAGACTCCGATACCGACTCGAGCTCCGACTCAGATTCAGAATCGGCAGCAGGCAAGCCTAGCAGACCAAGCTCCAAGCCTGCGCTGCCAAGCAAGAGCATACTGATCTTCACTAACTCGAATCAGTCTGCTCTTCGTCTTTCTCGCTTGCTGTGCATTCTGTCTCCACCACTCGAGCCCATAGTGGGACTCCTCACTTCAGACACGGCTTACTCAACTCGCAAGCAGACTCTTCAAGCTTTCTCAACGGGCAAGATCCGTATCATCGTTGCCTCGGACCTGGTGGCCCGTGGTATCGACTTGCCGCACCTTGAGCATGTCGTCAACTATGACATGCCGTCGAGCGTCGCGTCCTACGTCCACCGTGTCGGTCGAACAGCACGTGCGGGTAGGAGCGGCCACGCCTGGACATTCTTCACAGATGCCGAGGCCAGATGGTTCTGGAAGGATGTTGCGAGCGATAGGGTCATCCGTAGGAGCAGCAAGGTTGAGAGGCTACGTGTCACGGAGGAGAAGGAAGCAGCGTATGAGGACAAGAAGGCCAGATACGAAGAGGCCCTGGAAGCGCTGGGGAACGAGGCAGCTGACAAAAGGCGAGCGCGGTAATAATAATATTTATGTTCTGGTTAAATGAAAGTTAAGTCACTTTTATTTAATAATATAAATGTTATAATTTACAATGTCGTACCCCAAAAGTTTTTACACTACTTTTTCGTCTGTTCTCAGATGATCCTTTAGAAGACACCGATATCTGGGTTGAATCTCATTTCAGAAACATGACGATATAGCATAGCTAATGAATGTTTGGGACTGCTCTGAAACACGCTTGAATATCTAAATACTTAAGGAGATACTAGGATGGGAAGAATCCAGCCCTTATGCCGGCGATATTCTCCATAACCTCAGCTTTGGACTCTGCTTGCCGTGGCTTGATCTGAAACCTCGGATACTTCTTTTCAAAGGCCTAAGAATTCCCCTCCAGCAATATGAGCATACCATGAAGCCGATACGTGCGTGGAAATGTGAGCTCGATGTTGAATCGATGCTGACAACTTGGGCCTTAGAAGAAGGAATTATGCGGTGATGGCGCGCAAGAGCATGTTGAATCTGGTGCGCAACGGACTCATCAGCGTCATGAGGCGGTTGCCGGATGAGTGGTTCTGCGGGCGTCCGATGTCCGATAAATGGACGGCATTGATCGCGAGCAGATCTTTGACAGGCAAGATGGAGTTGTTTGCAGCACATGCCTCTTTCCTATCCAGCAGCCGCCGGGTGGTATCCTCCATCGCACGGTACGAAAGGTGCTCCGCATCACTCAGGAATGCGATCAGATTGGGCTGGAGCCGGCCCTCCGGAGCGCCGGCTCGAAGTTTCTGCAGCATCTGAAGGACGTACCCGAAATTGCGAGCAGTGAGAGCGTGAGAGATGTTGGCAGGACAGATATGATCTATCAGGATGGCTCCTGAATCTACATATTCTCCAATTGCCCTTATCTTTGCTCGCATCAGGTGGTTTGCGTAGATGATGACATTGGCCCCTGCATCGTACAGCGTATCCTCATGCGTAGACCCATAGGTCGTCGGCACTACTACCACTATTCACGATCCGATCAGCGAAAGTTCCCAAACACTGGGAAAGTATAACCGTATAATTGTGACAATATATGGCACATCACTTCAATCTACTGAGATGAAGATGGTAACTCACGAGGTGTGCTGCTGTCCTTTGCGCGGAACTGTCTCAGGAAGCCTAGGACTTCATCGGGTGCTTTACTCTTGCTGTGTATCATGATGGCATCTGCGCCTGCATTGCGATATATTGAAGCGCGTTTCAGAGCCTCGCGTAATGCTTCTTGCACGGAAGCTCTCTCGGCGGCAGGGTCCGAAGAGATGACTTTACGGCATGTGAAGCTTTCGATGCGTGCCGTTATACACATGTGTTCCAGGCCGTGGCGATCTTTGGCGCGCTTGAAGGCGGCCATGACATTTGCAAACTCCTGAGGGTCTGCTTGCCCCTACCACGACGAGCGAATATTTCAGCACTGTGCTAAAGCTTGGATTGTGCGAGAGATGAGAACACACCTGCGAGGCCGATGAAGCAGCCAATGAGTTGACCTTCTTCCCCGGCTCGAACACCTCCTTGTCCTCGATGATGATCATGGATACACCCTTCCGCGCCAATGTGGCAACTAAGGTAGGGATTTCCACAAGTGGTCCTCCACTATCAGCATCAAAAGCCGTACATAGTTTACGTTGGTCAGCTGCGTTTCCAACACTCTCCGTATCCACGGATATGAGATTAGCCCGGGTAAGCGGGGTGATGAGTTCGGTATCCGGGACGCCAAGTATGGTCGTTTGGGTCAACCCGCTAACCCATTGCCCGTGGAACTGGGAGGAACTGTCACTGCTTGTGACAGATCGAATGATCTGAGTGGAAGAAACATCGTGAGTCTCTAGTAAACGTATGCGGTTTCCAAATTGATGGAGGCTCTCGTTCACGGAGCAAGACATGGTAGCTACAAATGGGGAGTGGATATAAGAGGAGCAAATTAATAGATGCTTGAAAGAAAATGTTGTGGTTGAATGTGGGTAGTGAGAGGTGCAGGGCTTGCAATCGACGGGACGTGAATAGCTTTGCTCGGAAGATGGGTCAATGGAATTTATATTCAGACTGCGGGACCTCAGCACGGTTAAAATAGCCGATGACTGGTATTGATATCATACCAGGCTTCATGCTCGCTGTGCGTCTTCTCTCACCTGAGTATGAGATCAGTACTTTGACCGCTCCTGTCTGTGACAAAATCTGGGGATTGACGCCGCGAGGGAGGACATGGGAAGAAAATGAAACGTTTCACTCCACATAGTACTACGATTGCATGCAATGAGTTGGTAAATCAGGATCTTTGCATGAGCTCGAGTCAGAGGGAGTTGTGTCTGGGTACATTTTCTGCTTGTATGTCAGGTCACTTCCTTCGTAGTCGTGTCTCCAGTTGTTGTAGATATGTCACATACTCCTTATCAAGACTATACCAGCTATCATTGTACTATCGATGTATACACACGTTGTAGTTGGAATATCTATAAACCTTAGGCACGTCGCTTCATAGCCTGCCTCACTACTACGACAAGAACGGCAAAGAGTCGCGTGCCTCGTTGTCAAACGAAGATGAAGACCCACTACCAAAACTACCATCAGATTACGCAACCCATATATTGGCCATTCAAAGAGGAAATCCGACGCGCGCAATGACTTATATCGTCTCGCGAATGCAAGCTTGAACTTTAAGTCTTCCGCATAATGAATTTGATGTCCAAAGCTTGTCATTCCGGCCGAAGCTGCACCTTGTGACCCTTGAGAATGCAAATCATACTTGTCTTTATGACAAGCCATACTGGATAACCGGCACGTAGATTAACATCGATGTACTTGGTACGTCAATCATACTTTTGGAAGTTTTCAGAAAATGGTCGGGGCGGGAATAGTTCCCGATCATGAAGTGGCAGTAAATTGATATATCTGTGTGGCGTCTACCTGCTCTCAACCTTCTACCTAATATCTTGAACTACCAAAGAAACTGTTATTCTTGTTCGAAAAATATGGCTCTACCTTTTGATCCAAATGATTTCTTTACGCAGGTTCTGCAACCGAACAGTGTCGAAGCTGTTTTCGGTGTGCCAGACTCCAGCCTAAGCGGTTTACTCAGCTTTTTTGCAGCCACCATGCCCGCCCCTCGACATATTGTCACGGCCAACGAGGGAGGCGCGGTTGCTCTTGCTAGCGGCTATCACCTAGCTACGGGGAAACTGGCGCTCTGCTACCTCCAGAACTCTGGTTTATCCAACGCCTTGAACCCTCTGCAGTCCTTGGCTTCAAACGCAGTGGCGGCCGTGCCCATGCTACTCATGATTGGGTGGCGTGGGAAACCCGGTATCAAGGATGAGCCTCAGCACGCACTCATCGGTCCCCAACTTCTCGAAAATCTTGATGCCAACAGGATCCCCTACGAGCATATCCCTGAGACATTGCAGGAAGCTCGGACTGTTGTGTCTCGTCTTTTTGCGAAGGCTTTGAGCGAAAAGAGGCCCGTCGCTCTTGTTGTACCTCCAGGCGCTTTCAAGCCTTTCAAGGGCCATGAGCTGGATCAATCTGCTAAGCTCCTTGGCCGCCTCGATATAGGATCTCATTCTATCGTAAGGAATGAGCCAAGGACCTGGTTATTCAAGTACCCGGACCAGCCGTTGCCACTCACTAGGGAAGCGGTGGTTCGAGGCGTTCTCGGCCGTATCCAGAAGAAAGATATCCTTGTCTCATCTCTCGGAGGGACTAGCCGCGAGGTATACATGGTCCTGAAAGAGCAGGAGAGGCCCATATCACGCGTGTTCTTCGTGCTGGGAGCCATGGGTCATGCTTACGGCGTCGCCTGCGGCGTCCGCCTGGGCTGCACCCAGTTGAAGGCGCCCATGGTGTACTGCCTCGACGGCGACGGGTCATTCCTGATGCACGCGGGCAACAACGCCGTGCTCGCGGATGTGGGCCCTCGGGGTATGGTGCATGTCGTCGTCCACAACGGGGTGCATAGCTCCACCGGGGACCAGCCCCTGTCCATCCGCCTTGACGCCTACCTCGAACTGGCCAAAGGGCTGGCTTACACCCATAAGTTTTTTGTGGATACAGCACAGGCCCTGGACAGGGCCCTAGACTTAGCTGCAGCTGCAGCAACGGCTACTCCCGCCCGAACGGCGGAAGCGGAGAACAAGGGGGTCGCAGTTCTCATTCTTGTCCTGGTGGGACCTGGTCAATCGGCCAACCTCCCGCGACCGACTGAGACTGCTGAGTGCTTGAAGGATCTCTTCATACAGAGCCTTGAGTAGATGATTATTGGGCATATCTTGGTACAATCTGGTACGTTCATATAGCTATAGGATCCATGAAGTCCAATATATCAAGGTTGTTATACACACATGTCTGGTTATGATGGTGAAATAAGCAAGCCTCGGTGTTACTAGTAAAAGATGCCGCAAGTATGACTCAACTATAATGTCTATTGCTTCTCTTAGGTCGAGGCGGAATAACTCAACACTGCTGATCCTCCAGACGAAACAGTGGTAGGAATGTACAACCTCTGTTGTGCGTTCCACAATAGGAATTTGTGATCTAACACGCATGTGACTGACGTTCACACTACTCAACATCAACTGTGCCGGATGTGACATATGGCCGGCATAAGTTTCACCAGTTTCCTGTTTGGCATAGGACTCATCGGGATAGAAATCGAACCGTATCCATACAACGAATGAGGTCCCAGGTTGTTCTGATCGCTCAGAGGATGGCGCATAGAAGTAGCAGATACACCTCCGTCGTATCAGCAGTTCGGTGGAGGCAACAAGGAATAGTTTCACACATGGAGCTTACATGCATTCTCTGATGTAACTTCTCGATGCAGTAAACTGTCACGCGCTCAATTGCCACATCTCAGTGATGAACATCATGGGTCCACATTCTGATACTTGTTCAATCTCGGCGATTTTAAACGACGTGCAAACTTTGTACGATGTCGGCTCCCGCGGCTTGCCCAATTTGTGCTTGATAACAATCCGGTTTTTCTTTCTTGGCCATCCCCTCTAGATCAAGAAACTCCGTATACGAAGCCGGGTAGGCTGTCTGATGGCATCACTGGTACGGATCTGCAGCTGATATCGAATGACTGGGCGTATAAAGTACAGTTTTGATGCGAAGAAAACTTCTCTCTCTGATACAGCTCTCAATCACTCAACACATCACTCGTACTGAAACATCACTTATTCATCAACGACCATCAGGATGACTGCGCTCCAGAAAGGCGACAATTTCCCCAGTGGTGTTACCTTTGACTACATACCGCATACCAACGACAAGACCAGTATTAATACCTGTGGTGTTCCAATTAAATATGATGCTTCGAAAGGTAACACAGTTTACATGCTGGCCGAGCACTGCTAGGAACGTTTAGTATAGAGACTGACTGCCCCGTGGTAGAGTTCGCGAGCAAGAAGATTATTCTGGTCTCTGTACCGGGTGCCTTCACCGGAACCTGTTCTGAAAAGCATCTTCCGGGCTACATTACCAACCTGACCAGATTCAAAGAAAAGGGCGTCGACCAGATTGCCGTTATTGCCTACAACGATGCCTACGTAATGAGCGCGTGGGGCAAAGCCCAAGGAGTGCAAAACGACGACATTGTGAGTAGACGGTCCCGTCTCCCCCGGCTATGGTTGCCGTTGAAGGCACACGATGAATGGTGCTTGAGCACTTGATGTCCATTAACACGGCATAACGGGCAGATTTTTCTTTCCGATACAAATGTCAGCTTCTCCAAGAACCTGGGTTGGCTGAAGGGGGAGCGGACTGCCCGATACGCTCTCATTGTTGATCATGGCAAAGTCGTGTATGCCGAGAAGGAGCCTGCCCGTGAGGTGACAGTCTCCTCGGCCGACGCAGTGTTGGCAGAGCTCGCATAACGCGTGCAGCAGGACATGGCGGGTGTGACGGGCAAGGCCCTGACTCCTGCACTTGGACAGAGTCGATTCCTGCCGTGTAGCCCGAATTTGTATAGATCGTCAGCCAATGACAGGCAGATTAGCAATCTATCATATCTGTACAGAGCATGTACGGAGTATTGATAAGAAAAATCAAGTTCGTTTGACGCTATGAGAAGTCGATAGAGAAGGCTCGTCCTCAACCCAAGATCCGAGTCCGGTGCCGAAAGCCCCTAGATCCCATGCAGACATTCCTGCATCGAGTGCGTAATGACAAACTGTACCTTGTTTGCCCACGGCATCTTAGCCGGTGTTACGGACTGGCTGATGCAGGTGGTTGTTGGGGTGGGGTACGAGGGGTCAGGGGTGGTACGTTTACAAGCACACTCAAAGAATATAATGTTGAGGCTCAAGGTGGTATTGTCACGGTGTACCTACGAATGCGATGCGTAGTGACTGACACAACCCTGAGGCGGGTCTGGCGTACGTGCCGTCCCGTAGCGACCTATTGTAAGCGGGCGATCTCGCAGCGGCCGCCCGTCATTTCCTCGACAGCCCTGCCTGGAAAATAGTCAGCGTGCGCGGTCGGGTTGCTTTGTTACGTTACCTAGTCCCAAGTTAGAGCCTCCAACGCATGTGGGTTCTTGAGAGCTTAACCTCAACTTACCTCCCGGCGACGTATACCCCTGGCCGCAATAGTGCTACAAGGATTGGGCAGGCCGATCACGCAACGAAGCTCATGGCTCGAGCCGCTCCGCAATCGCGGCGAGGTCGCCGGTCATGGGCATTAAATCTCGGAGTGGCGCCGGTGTGCAGGGTTCGCATCTATATAATGCGCCGAAAATCTCGGAGACACGCCGGTCCATCGAGTGTCCAGCCTGTGCACCGTATTGCTTTCAACTCGTTCAAGCCTGCTTGCTGCAGTGGTCCCGGTAGAAACCACTGGTTCTGCTCTGCCGCCGTACAGTAGACATGAGCAGCTCCGATCCTTCGACCCGGCCGTGCAATGGCCCAGGGGTTGCCCCAACACAACCGACACCACCAGAAGCCAATCGCAAGACCATTGCTTGTGAAGCTTGCCGCAAACAGAAGGTAGCTCAATACCCAATGTCTCATGTCCTTAGCGGTCGTAGTTCTGATGATTTTGCAGGTCCGCTGTGACATGACCGACGCCAGACCCCCGTGTGGGCGTTGTAAGAAAAAGCGCCTACCTTGTACGATAAATCGCAACATACAGATGTTCATGGAAGATGATATTTCGTATGTGGCCAACCCGGAATCTAATATTGGTCGCCATCGCCTTATTGATGCCTTTCCAGGTGGAAACAGACCGTAGAGCGAAAATTACAAAGCATCGAGGCCAATTTTGCAACTCTCATCACGAGCCATTCCGCCAGCAGCCCCGTCCTACAAAGACCAGAGAATGTATTGGCAGTAAGCGAGACTACCCCCGAAGGCTACGAATACACTGCCTCGTGCACAGCGACTACCGAAGCCACCCGCTGGAGGCTGGTAATAGACCTTGAATCAAGTCCGAGTAGCCTCCCAGGCCTCTGTTTCGATCCCGCTGCCCATTTACGCCCGAACTCTTTCCCCGATATGATATCTCGTGGCATTATTACTCTTGAAAACGCCCGAAAGTACCAAGCCGTGTACCAGGATCGACTTGATCACTTCTTATACGGTGTTCTGGGAAACCACAGCGATGCCACATTCGAGCACCTCCAGCAGGTATCTCCCATCCTGAGCACAGTCGTTTGTGCGGTCGGCGCACTCCATGCGGCGTCGACCGACTACGAGACGCTACGCGCCGAATTCGTTACCCTGAGTGGTGCCCTAACGTTCTCAAGGAGAAATAATATCGACGATGTCCGAGCACTCTGCATAGGTGCTTTCTGGATAAGCGATCTTTCTTCTTCACTGGTTACCATGGCGGTCCGCATTGCCACGGAGCTGCAACTACATAGAAGTTTTGCGAAGGCTCTCCAGGGTGACCGTGAGAGTTACCTCCGCGCACGATTGCACTATCTAGTATACGCCTGTGACCATCACCTCTCAATACCCTACGGCCGACCCCCTCTTACCCGAGAATGCGAGGCCGTGCAGAACGTGCGCGACTTCCTCGATTGCAGGCATGCCAATCATGATGATGCGAGGCTGGTGAGTCACGTCTTACGCTGGAGAGTCTGGACGGAGATCTTTGATACCCTGGGACCGAACGTTGACCGGCCTCTTTCTGATGTTGAGATACTGCTGGTGAGACGGTTCGGCAACGCTCTCGACAGCCTCCGAGTGGAGTGGACGGATAAGCTTGGTCCAGATATCCACGTTGGTAATTACCCATGGAAAGGCGTGGGCATGCAGCATCATTTCGCCAAATTGTACCTCTATTCCCACGTTTTTCGGGGTCACGGCTCTGGCCAAGCCCAGCACAGAGTTTGCAACATGGAGGTAGAGGTGTATGAATTAGCCAGTTCGGCTGTTCTATCCGCCATGTGCATATTGCGGACTGTGACTTCAGACCCCGAGATGCAGTCCTACCTCAATGGGCTGCCGACTTATTTCCACGTCATGATAGCTTTCGCCGTCGTGTTCTTGCTCAAGGTTTCGACACGGTTCTGTACCTTTTGGGGGATGGACACCCACGAGCTGAAGAGTCTGATAACTAAGTTGATTACCGTGCTGCAAGAAGTGTCGAGAACGATGCATTCGCAGCATCTCCTGGTCACCATTACAGAATGCGCCAGAGATGCCCTACAACGAAGCTACCCCGTAGATGTTCTCGCAACGGGGGGTGGCTTGGACACCCTCGCCCAGGTCTCACATGACGACGGAATGAATCACAACGACATGTTTGAAAATGGGACTGTGGGCCAATTCTTTAACGAGTACGATTTTCTCATAGATCATGTTCAATAACCGAGTGTGCAGTAATTTTGACTTCTAAGTGCATAAAGCCTCGCAACGTCAAGGCGCATGTTCTACCATAAGCCGGTCTATATTAATCTAGTTTACTCTACTATCCAAACCACGACAGTGTAATAGTTTGAAGATGGTCAAGCAGACCGACTGTGGATTTTCGGGCAGCAACCAGTCAGTAATCACCGTGACTCGGAGCACGCCCGGTGAGGGAAAGGAGGTAAGTCCCATCCGGGATCGCCTTAGTGGTATGATGAGTGGGAGGATGAAAAGCACATGTATCTGTACAGTAGAAAGCATGAATACGACAGACAATAAGTGAGGTCAAGCATATCTTATTCCATGGCAACTATCCACTTCGTGGCGTACAGACTAGGCCTGAAGAGGCAATAAAATTATTAACGTGAGGAGAGTTCGAAAAAAAGGACCTAACGGAGCCTCACGCCCAGCCTTCCCGAATTCTTGAACCAATTTCACCCGCAGCCTCGTGTCGCAAACCTTGCTGCACCACGTACATTCCGCTGTTCACCTCACATCTCACGGGCAGACGCAGTTCGCAGTCGCCGACGCCTACGCAGCCATGGACGACTCCGAGAGACGCACCGCGAAACGGTCGCGCTTCGACCAGACCGAGCCCGAGCCTCGCCGATCCCGCTTCGATCGTCGCTCCCGCTCGCCGCCCGCCAGGAAGTCCGACGCAGGTCGCGATCGCAGCCCCCTCAAGGACGACGGCAACGGCGCCTCGGAAGCGAAGCGACCCTCGCCCGTCGACGCTGCTGCAGCCGCAGGTACGTCCCGTCCCTCCCCTCCCCTCCGCGCCGCGCCGCGCGCCGCATACAACACGACACAACACGACACAATACAATACATGAGTTGCAAGACAAGCATGCGCTAACTCGCCGACAGCTGCCGCCGCCGCCAAGATCAACGCCCAGATCCAGGCAAAGAAGGGCATCCAGCATGTCGACGTCCCGCCCATCCGGTCGACCTCGACCGACTCGCCCGGCCCCAGCGCCTCGGGCGAGGCCGCCAACATCAACGGCGAGATGTACGTCGCCGATGGCGACTACATCAAGGACATCGAGGTCAACGACTTGCGCAACCGATATCTCCTCACCAAGGGATCGACTCAGAAGATGGTAAATACTCCTTGTGAATTCCTACTGATTTACTTCAGACTCGGCCTCTCCCGGCTGCTCTCTCTAGTCTCTGTTTTCCTATCCGCAAAACATCACTCCAGTCCCATGTACTCACCCAAACCCCGTGTGCGGACAGTCCTGCTTACCAAGAAGCATGCTAGCTCGCACGCGAATCCCCTCTGTGGCATCTGCTGACCTCAACTCCCTGATCTAGATTAAAGAAGAAACCGGTGCCGGTACGATACACCCCCGACGCTCCATTGCTTTTACTTTTGTGTAGAGAACTCAAGTTGACTTTGAAAGATGTCACGACCCGCGGAAGCTACTATCCCGACAAGAGCATGGCCACGGCTGCGGTGAGTGCTATATCATCCCTCCCCTGCTGTTCAGCCAGCATTCAGGCCGAGTGAACTGACATCAACCTCCCAGAACCCCCCGCTATACCTCCATGTCACGAGCACCTCGAAGCTCGGACTTGAACAGGCTGTCGCCAAGATTGAGGAGATGATGAAGCAGGAACTGCCCAACCTTGTCGACGAACGACGATTCAAGCGCCGAGACCAGGAGCAAGTTGAGAGGGACGAGTTCGGGCGACGAAAGTGGCCCGAGGCCAGAATCCCCATTAGCTTGGAGCCCGTTCAGGGCTTCAACCTGCGTGCCCAGGTGGTAGGACACGGCGGTTCTTACGTGAAGCACATTCAGCAGGAAACAGGATGTCGCGTTCAGATTAAAGGTCGCGGTTCCGGCTATCTCGAGGCATCGACCAACCGCGAGAGCGATGATGATATGTACCTGCACGTAGCGTATGTCTCCCTCCCCATCGCTCAATCTTTCTTTTTCCCTACTGACTCTTTGTGTCCTAGAGGACCCGATCCGAACATGGTCGAAAAGGCGCAGCAGCTTTGTGAGGACCTTCTCGGGAGTGTCAAGGAACAGTACGAGGAATTCAAGGCCCGACCTCCGCGACAGTCGTATGGAGGCCATGGTGGACACGGCGGCTATGGCGGCCACCACGACCGCCACAACAGAGACGACAGATCCGGCAGCGGCCAAGGATACGGAGGCTACGGCAGCGGTTACAGCAACTCTCCTGCCCCTGGCGCCAACTCTGCCTCGCCTGCCCCTGGTGCTGGTAGCCCGGCTAATGCTAATGATCAGTATGCTCAGGCTTACGCACAGTACTACGGCGGCCAGGATCCCTATGCCGCATACGGAGGCTATGCAGCGTAAGTGATTTCCACTGAGAGCCCCGTTTCTCATGTTTCGCGGTGCTGACATGAGTTCCACAGGTATATGCAGTACTACCAGCAGTACTACGCTGCTGCCCAGGCGCAGCAAGGGTCACCGGCGCCCCCGGGAGCCTCGGCAGGCTCGCCTCCTCCACCGCCGCCGAGCGAGGCCCCCCCGCCGCCTCCTCCCGGTGGTGCTGCACATCCGCCTCCGCCTCCATCTGGCTCGCCCCCTGGCGCAGCCGGTGGGTACGGTGCTGTATGTCTGAACCTCGTCCCGAGCCGGATTTGGTATCAAGCCTTGCTGACACATTAAACCAGGTTCCGCCCCCTCCCGGTCTCTGAGAGCAGGCAGAGGAAGTCGTGTTCTGGAAGGCAGACTTCGCCCCGGAGAAACCAGGGGAAGCGGGTTCGCAGACGCCGAACAGCGGGAGAGCGTGCCCAGCGGAACACAAACATCTATATACTTATGACGGATGGGAAAAGCTTTGTGGATATGGGGTCAGCTTGGACTCGGGCAATATCCAATCCAGCACGCCAACAGGAAGACGAGAGTCACGCCAGAGTGGTCGCGCCAGACAGCAAATTGTGGCCAACCGCTCTGGATGATGATGCCAAGCCGGAAGTGACTTTTCCCACCTGTGCTGCTCATCTTCCCGGCCTGGCGATGTGGTTCATATGATCATCTTGAGCGTTCGGAGGGTCTGGGCTTTATTATAGTTATTGTGCTTTTCGGCCAACAAAGGGGCCAATCTCTCAGGCCTCTCTAGCTCTGGAGTAATAAAGCGATCAAGTTTCTCGACTATTGCCCGTCATTTTGCCGAGATCCCAAGAGCCAATGGACGACTCGTCATGCACCTGGGCATTCTCCATGGACGTACAGTTCAATGGACGCATCCATACCCAGAGGCTACCTGGGTATTTAGGTAAAACCCATGAGGACCCTGGGGACCCCCTAAGTTAGCTTCAGCACTTGGATGTACCCCACCATAACCGTGGACCTTATCGACCTCGCGACGTCAGCCCTCCGGCTATCGATAAAGCTGCTCCGTCTCGCAGGAATGCGGCCTGGGAACACGAACACCGGACACCCTTGCGATTGGCATGCCTTCACAGTACTGACACCATTCATATCACCCCCAGTCTGCGGCTAGACGGGCGCTTTGCATCCTGGAAAGATGAGCCATCAACGCTACCCGTCCATGGACCCTGTGAAGGAGCCGCACTCTGTCTCTCTCAAGGTGCTGCGGTATGTACAACAGAGGCCACCCGCGCCCGTTCCTGTATTCCGTTGCTGACGTGCCGACCATCGCATACACAGCCTGTCTAGACCATCCCTCGTCACCCAGCACCCCCTGACCGACCCCCTCAGCACCGCGGCCGGCGCGCGGGCCCAGACGGTCGCCGCCTCCCTGGCCTACCAGTCCAGGAACACCACCTCGAACCCGGACCCCTTCCTCCTGACCCCGGTCCTCAACCTCCCGCCCTCGTTCGGCTCCGCCTACGTCGGCGAGACCTTCAGCTGCACGCTATGCGCCAACCACGAGGTCCCCCCCGACGCCCCCGCCGCGCCGGAGCAGGCGGACGCCGCCCGGCGGCCGAAGAAGTACATCCGCGACGTGCGCATCGAGGCCGAGATGAAGACGCCCGGCTCGAGCACCGTGCAGAAGCTAGCGCTCGGCCCGGGCCCGGGACCTGCCGCAGCCCCTGCTGCTAGTGCAGGCGACGCAGAGGCGGGCGGGAGCAAGGGCACGGATCTGGAGCCGGCCGCGACGCTGCAGCGCATCGTCAACTTCGACCTCAAGGAGGAGGGCAACCACGTGCTGGCCGTGACCGTGAGCTACTACGAGGCCACCGAGACGAGCGGCCGCACCCGCACCTTCCGCAAGCTGTACCAGTTCATCTGCAAGGGCAGCCTGATCGTGCGGACCAAGGTCGGGGTCTTGCCCGCCGCGGCGGCCGAGGGGTCTGGCGACGAGGACAAGGAGAACCGCGGGGACGCGAGCGAGGCGGAGGCCAAGGCCAAACCCAGTGACACGACGAAACCGCGGCCCGCCTGGATCCTCGAGGCCCAGCTCGAGAACTGCTCCGAGGACGCCATGCAGCTGGACCGCGTCGGCCTGGACCTCGAGCCCGGCCTGCGGTACCGCGACGCCAACTGGATGGTCAGCGGCAGCGCCAAGCCCGTGCTGCACCCGGGCGAGGTCGAGCAGGTGTGCTTCGTGGTGGAGCTGGAGGACGACGACGGGCAAGGCGGCGCCGCCGCGGTCGAGGAGTCCGAGGACGGCAGGGTCATCTTCGGCGTGCTGGGCATCGCCTGGCGCACCGAGATGGGCAACCGGGGCTTCTTGTCGACGGGCAAGCTGGGCGCGAGGATCACGAGGTGATCTGGATGGTGGTGATGGGATGATGAGGGTTTATTGTGCAGACCATGGCGGGTCATTGCTATAAGCTAAGGTGCTTTTCGCATACTACAGAGGAAGGACAAGCCGTGTTGATTTGATATATTGCTACGTGGGACCTTGGCTACGTGTATATGCGGAAATCAAGGAAGGTGGTGTAGGCCGCTCGGGATGTGTTCCCAGCGGTCACATGGGATGATATGGTCATGAAGTTGAAGTCAGCATTTGGGATTCATTGTCGATGGATGGCAGCGCGGTGGCTTGTTCTAGATGCGGTGGCCTTGGACACAGTCTGACGATGTCATCACTTCTATAGTCGTCAGAGCTCAAGGTCAAGAACCATTGCCAGGCCCTGGGCAACTGGGGTAGCTCCCCCCAAGGCGCAAGACTCTTACATAGAGGACGAACAAGGAAAATCAAAGCTAGTACCCCACATGATATAGCACATGGTCTGCTCACATTCAAGGGAGCCGGCAGATACGGCAGACCCCAGGAACGGGAATCCTCTTGAAGAGAGGGAGAGAGCACGTGGCGTCCCTAGCCCCATGATCAGCGCAACGGTTATTGTCAAAAGCAAGCCACAGCCGCGCTGGTGGAAGTTTCCATAGCGCAGACCTGTGTACGACAGGTCCCGAGTTCCGCTATCTGAAAGAATATCTGCGCTCGGCACGACAGCCGAGCGATCTGCCAGCCAAGGACCAGCTGAACGAGCTTGTGTGCCTGTGCGTGTCCGTGTGCACGCCCTGGACGCGTGTGCCCTCCCGTGCTTACCAAGGTATCTAAGATATACAGTACTGTAGATCGTCCCGGACTTGGAAGAAAGCCGCGGCATGTACAGTATGTAGCAGCAGGGCCCGGCAAGGCTTGCGGTGTACGGCATGACGACAGAGTCAGACGCAGCTTCTCTGCGGAAGCCTTGCGCGATAGTATCCAAGGATTCGTGGGGGGTTCCTTCACTAGCGAGAACCTAAGGGTTGACAGGCGTATGACCTGCCAACCCGGGAGTTTGATATCTGCAGCGGCGTTGAGAATAACTATAAACTACGGCTTGTACCTGCAGATACGAGACGACGCCGCCTATGAACCGGTGCGTGCAGTAGGGTCGATTGAACTGCGGAGATCCCTGCTTTTGGTTTCATTTTCCATTAATCTGGTTGTTCAGCTGGCTTACTACATAGTAGACTCCTTGGCCTCGTCAGACCAGCGCGGTAGCATGAACTGGTCGCGAACCAAGTGGTGCTTCTTCTCTTCTCTTCCATTGATTAGTGAACGCGCGAGACAGGTTTGGATTGACCCTGGGGTTCCTGACTTGCGCGCGGGAGAGCTAGGTCGGGAGTAGCTTGGGGGGCGATCTTGACTCAATGTGCTGCTAGCTGCTAGCTGATGGACTCAAGGGGCACACGCTGAGTGTTTTACGCTCAGGTGATACTGCGTGACTAGTCAGGTCGCGTGTGACCGCCAGCTAACTGATCAAGGGCAAAGCCGAGTGCCGTCCAGCTCATACGTCACCTATGCAGGTACGCACAACTCTAGGAAACAAGCTTTCTCGAACATTAGCGCGCAGGGACAGGAAGCAAGGCCTGGAGCGGTCCTCCCTCGTGTGGCACTTGCCCTGGGCTGAGAGTATAGTGCCACAAAGTGTACCCGACGTAAGACCGTTGGCTAAACTGAGAGATAGTCTGGGACGCATGGGATGGGACACAGGTTGGATCGCTCAACCAGCAACCGGCGACCCAGGCCCTTGGGTCGAGGGCCTCGGGCAGGCCAAGATTCGAAAGGTGTCCTGGGCTCTCATTGGAGGTGCCCGAGGTGTAAGTCAGCAAGGGAGGCACTGGGGATTCGAGTATCGCTCGGGCCAGTATAGCGTGGATGGCTGCAGTGTCTCTGACAAGGTGCTAAATCCTGGCCCGCGGCCTCCCAGGTAAGCAAGGTTGGGTATGCTTCAATCTGGCTACATGTTAAGATGGACCGAGTGGCCGAGTGACCGATGTCTGAAACACATAACAGCCTGTCTCTCGCATGGCTATCTGCAGTGGCGTTGCTGGCTAATCCAATTAAATTGGTCCGCCAATCTCTTTATTGATTTCAAACGAGACCGTATGGTATCATCTGGTATCTTCTGTTCAAGTTGGAAGATTAGTCGAAGATCTTGCTTCATACATGTCTTCATCCGACGCACCAAACTCGAATCAGGGACATTCCGCCCGAGGCCGGATACGTAAGTCATATACCCTGGAAATGTGCATGGAGACGTTTATTTGACAGTGTATCTATTTGAAGACCAGGTCGTTGAAGAGGCCTGGTGTGCATGACGTGAACTGATAATGTGCATGGATTGCCGTATAACGGCCAGGATGCTGGGATGGCACGCTGCACGTGAAGAACTTCGACAGCCTCAAAAATTTTGGGTTTCCCGTGTAGAGATACATCCCGAAGGACTGTTAATAGAAAACGCGATGTGACCTCTTCCCGGCGGCTCAATGCCTCAATGGTTCCTGGTTGCGAGCATGGATTCCGGAAGAACGGAAGGGCCCTGGAGCTAATTACCGGCTAGGTTGAACACCGTAGCGAAGAGGCAAGCGGATATGAGACCGGGAATCTCGTCTAAACCTGTGATATTGAATGCAGGAACAAACACGGTTGGGGAGGTCTACTCAGTTAAGTGTCCTCTGAAGAGCCCTTGGATCCGCCAATAAAGACGGGGAGGGAGCGTCAAATTGAATGGCTTCACCGTGCAATAGCATACAGGAGCACGTTGGCAGATCAGGGGAGGCTGCTGCAAGGAGCCAACGACTAACTCACAACAGTAACCGCTGCGGCTTGCGGCTCCGAAGGAGATTTTCCATGGACTACAATTGGCCCCCCCGTAAATCTGCGCACAGCGGCGCCCGATGCGTCCAGGCTAAGGAGAAGCGGTCGGCAGGAGGTGGAGGTGAGGCATCTTAGTGCAGATCTATATGTCACCACATTTCCTAGCGGGCGGCCAGTCTTGCCATTCTCAAAATCGCGATGGACATTCGGCGCTGATATCGTCCGTGATCTTCGTGCGGTGGGTTCATCCTCGGTTTGTGCTTGACAAAAAGGGCATATCGTTGGTGATTGAGCTGGACTGGGTTCGTGTGCAAGGGAGGCGTTAACGGCCAAGCAACCAAGACCCTGGATCGGAGGTGGGTGTGAACCAGGGACCACGGCCTTGAGGATTGCCCTGGACGCCCATCCCCGCTCCCAGGGTGCCGCCAATCGTGTCCAAAGTGCGACGCAGCCCAACGTGATATTCCCAAACGGCACTGTCAGGGCAACGGCTCCCTTGGGCGCACGTCGTGTTCGGATGCATATGTTTTCTGACTGATGCCTGCCATATTGTGGATGTCAGCGTGATAGGCTGTTCCAAACCTGCCACTGCCCGGCTGAACCACCACACTGCCCGTGGTGTACGTGCGGGTCGTCGTAGCACCACATCTGGACAGTTAGTGGAGAAGGAGAGAAAGAGCCACATATGGTCAGGGATCCCCCCGAACAACTTACCAACGCGGCCACGCCGCGCCGTGGCCCTGGTCTTGGGCAGTCCAGGACAGGCCACTTAGACTGAGGGTTAGCCGTATCGCTGAAGCAGGCCTAGAGGAAGGTAGGGGTCGGCAGGGTCGACAGGGGCCGGATTGGGGATTCGAAGCTGCAGGTCGCATGCGACTACGATTCTGTTTCGCCGCGCATCACCGCCTCCCACAAGCCCATTGATCCAAGATCGGCTTGAGAGGGGGATATACAAAGTCGGGCGAGACCCAACGTTGACACGGCTGCACAAGTGACAGGACTCGAATCGACGCCAGCCCGCCCGCGAACCACTGGAGCAACGGGCTGCAAGCGGGAGACGAGGCCAACCGGGAAACGGCCTGGACACTGACGGACGCTGCATGCGACCCCGACCCCGACCATCTGCATCTGCCTGCATCTGCCATCTGGGCTGGACGTGATCCATTGGCCAGGGGAACTCGAATCGCGTGGTGCCTTTCCAGCAGCCGAAAAAAAAAAGAAAAAAGCGAGAAAAGAAAAAGCAGTCCTCGTCTTTTAACTGCGGCCCAGAACCCCAGGGGATTCAGAGTTGAGCCTAGCAGCAGACGAGACCAGGAAAAGTGCAACTTGTTAGCCAGGTGGAAGCACCGCACTGCTTTTCGCCAGCTCCCACGGCCACAGCTGGAGCACTGGAGCAGCACTGGAGCAGCACTGGAGCAGTGGAGCACTGTACCACAGTGACAACGCCGCGGGGGTCACCACCGCACGCACTTGAGGTCTCACAAGTCAACCCACCCAACTGACTGACTAACCCACACTCAGCCAACCCAACCCCGAGTTGGACCGACACAGGCGCCCGTCTGTCTGTCTGTCTGTCTGTCTGTCTGTCTGTCACTATACTCCTGCCCTTCTGCTTACTGCATTGCATTGCATTCGGTTTCTTGGGCCCGGCATAAGCATAGCACACACTTGCATAGTACTGGATTGAGCACCCTTCCTCCACTTCCCGACGCTCTTCACCACCTCGACGATTGCTGCCGCTGCTGCTCCTCTGTTGGCGTTTCGGTCGGTGCTATATTTCAACGATTGCCGGCAGCTGAACCGACGAACACCACGAAAAAGGGGAGGGGGAAAAAGAAATAAAAAGGAAAGCACGATAGCAGCGATCCGCGACCGACCAGCCAACAGCCCGCATTCCTGAAACGAGCACAGCCTGTGGGAGCGACTGCGACCTCGGCCAAGCATCTTGCCAATACTCTAATTCGTGCAACCAGACCTTCGCGACCTCTGTTTCGCCCCCAGCAAATCCCCTCGATCCTCGTGTGGCCTTGCGGCGGAGGGGCAAGGACAGCCCTCATCCTGATATGAGATGGACAACGCCTCGGCTCCGCTCGCCGACTATTTCTGGGTCGCGGGCATAGAAACAATCTCCTACCAGGACTTCCCTCTGCCCTCGACGACGACCCAGGTCGATACAACCATTGAGGAAGATGGCGAGCCCGAAGAAGAGACCGACAAACGCGATTCCGTCTCCAGCCTGCCGCCCAAAAATGTTGCTCGCCACTCTCGCCAGAACTCGGGCAACCGCCTCTCCAAGGCGTCTATACACACCCTGGAGGAGATGGACGGCAATACTAGGAGTAATAGGAGCAGTGCTACCATCCGTCCCAATCCTCCCCCCGGTGGAAATGTGCAAGAGGGTATGATGGGAGGTGTCCCCTCCTTCCTGGAGGGCTTCGATTTCGACAAGGCACTCCTCAAGTTTGCGGCAGAGCGGGAGAACTTCCTGGAGGATCTGAGCTTTACTGCGGGTGCCAAGACACAGGCAAGACCGCCCATGGTCAACCCGCGGACAGAACGTATCAAGGCAGACGAGGCAGCGAGCGGGAGAATGAGCCCCTTAAAGAACCTCAGGGGCAGCATCCGGGGCAGTATACGAAGGAAGATCAGCTTCAGAGACATGAACAGTGTGCGGAAAGCACCGACGCCTTCTAAAGCTGGTAAGTCCTCTGTTGATCTCTCACATATCCCGAGCGCTGGGAGACATGTCATATGAGAAACATGCTCCTTGCGAAATTGCGAGTCGGACCCTCTGCTAATCAGTGCAATGCAGCATCAATTCGGACGGCAAAGCGGCTCAGTAACTATAACTCAGTTATTCCGCCCCCTGAGCCTCTTAATCTCGACCCTGACATGCATCCCCTGAAGCGACGCTTCGAACCCGAACTCCTTGACCGGTATCCTCCACGGGACGCTACCGACGACCTAGCCCGCCGAGGCAAGTTCCCGGACTATGTTCCCATGTTCGCTTTTCCAAACGACATCCAGATCGTATCGTCCGATGAGCGGCCGAGATCTACATGGCATGGCTTCACCATGACTTCTGACGACAACTCTAAGATTTATGGCGTCACCATCATTGTCTGGACTGCGCTTGCAGCAGATGTAGCAGAGAACATCGAGAGAAGATGTGAGCGTTGGAGGCAGAGTCATATGACCGAGGAAGAGCGAGAACTTGCGACCAGCCTGGGCTCCAGGCTCGCTGCCCAGCGGGCGCACTTATCGCAGCTGCTAGCAAAGCTGCCAACAGTCCCCTCGGGATCTGCCGCGCGCGACACCCTAGATGACCAGATCAGCACTGTGGAGGAGAAGATCAGCCTGATGACGGAAATGCTCAGACCATTGAGACACGGCGCAGCATCCAAGATTGACGGGCTGACGGCTGGTGAGAGTGGACTGTGGATTCCGCGGGCATTTGGTATTCTCGGAAGAGATCCTACCCGCTTGACCTTCTGGAAGGACTGGCTGAGGGCTGTTGTTGTCCCCATGACCGATGGTGGTATTCTACGTGTTCCCCCGACCTCTCCTCGGGTCGGGCGGTGGCAGCCACTGGAGCGTTATGTCGTCAACCTCTGCGCTGAAGCATTCAGTCCTCTTAGCTCGAAGACGCAGGTTGAGATTGGTGTTCGAGAACTACGCTTATACGCTCGGAAAGAGGCTGAAAATGAGCTTCCAGGTGCCCGCAACACGGACATCTTTGCCCTCTTCAGGTCATTGTCGTTGGAGAACATTGTCGCCTTGTTTGAGTACACACTCGCTGAGTCGCGCATCATCTTCTTGTCTTCCCATACGGCTATGCTTCACCTTGCGTGCCATGCTTTGGTCAGCCTCTTGTACCCGCTGAAGTGGGCGAGCATCTTTATCCCTGTTCTGCCCGCAAGACTACTTTCCGCACTGGACGCACCATGCCCATACATTGTCGGCATTGAGCGAAGATACGACAACATTGAGTTGCCAGAGGACGACTACGTGTTGGTCGATCTCGATAAGGATACCATTGACGCGACGGCCCAGCCTGTCCGTCTTCCGAAGCAGCATCGACGCAAGCTCATGTCGTTGCTACAAATCGCTGCACCTCATGCGTTACGCTACGGTGTCCCTACTGGACCCCCTCCACATGCAATGGAGTCTTTCCCATACGACTCATTTTCTGTCGAAAACCCGGCCATCTTCACGGAGCGGACTATGCCCAGCGCATTGGGAAAGTGGGTGGCCCAGAATTCTTCAACATTTGGGGAGCCCGATACGGCAGAGACGCCGAAATCCCCTATTTTCAACGCTTTCGCCCATGCAAAGCCTGGTACGGCAGAGCGTCCCACTACCAGCAAGTCGAACAAGACCAGCCCTCCAGGCTCTGTCTCCCCGACCTCAATCAACTTTCCGTCCATGCCTGCTACGCCAATCTCTCGAAGTGACTCCGGCTTTGCATTGAATGCCACACTTCGTGAGAAACGTTCGGCCAATTTCGAGACAAAGGAACGGAGGAGCTCGTCGTTCGGTCAAGGGCCGGTACACCGACCCAATATGCCTTTCCTCAACGGACATCAGGCCAACCTATCTATCTCGGCTATATCGATCGATTCAAAGTCGTCTTACGGTGGATATGCTCCTTCAACGTACGCGCAGTCTACTATAGCCGCGTCAACGATTATGCCGAACATGCTTATCCAGCCCGTGAAAAATACCGAAACTACGGTTTGGGTAGAGGGACACTGCTTCAACTTCAGTACCAATGACAACATCTCACTATGCTCGATTTGTGACGAGCGAGCTGAGGGTGACGGCATCTACAAGTGCTCCGGCTGTAGTGCAGTCTCGCACGGACGCTGCCTAGGCTGTGTTTGCCTATTGTGTCCTGCTTCCTTCAGTGGCGAGAAGGTACGGGCCTCGTTTGTTCGATTTTTCGCCAGTATGCTTTATACATACCGGAAGTACATGGGACGCCCAACCAAGAACCAGAAGAGCAATGGTCAGATGTACGCATTTGACATGAATGGGTTCATCAAAAGCTTGCCGTACGATCAGCAGGAGTATGCTACCCTGTTGAGGGACACGCAAGGTACGTGACATTCTTACACGCCAAAATGACTACAACAGCTAACGCCGAACAGCTTTCAATGAGTTCATTCATGAGAGGGAAACGCAACCTGCATCCACGCCGTCAATTCGACTCTTTGACGAGATCATACTTGCCAAGCGAGCCCGTGGGAAGACTGGATTTTCCGGGTTATCCCGGCTGTCTACCATCCGAGCATCACATGGAGTCTCGGCTGGGAGCCAGTATCCTTCCAAACCCGTCAAACCTCAGGGCTATCTCAACGACACAAGTGATCACATCTGGAGAACAGCCTCTGTACCAGTACCAAATGCGAAATTTGCCGGAGACTATCGAGAAGTCACAACGCGAATTCCTTTGAAGCTGGATACATCATTAATGAAGGAGCCTCGGGCGATTGCAGGAGTGCCCCGGCCTGAGCAACGCAAGAAAGGCTTCTTGAGAAAACAAGTACCCAGCATGATGTTGGGGTCGCCCGTCTCACCCGTCTCGCCCGGCGGCTCCGGTTGAAACCAAACTCGAGAGGCAATCCAACTTTCGAGAGCCCATTCTCTCACAGACTTCGCCGAGGAGTTCCGCGAAACCCTCGAGTTTTAGAATGTATGATTAGAGAGGCACCATCTTCACAAGACAGCAAGCGACTGTATTTTAGCAAGTATTTCCAAGGCGAAGTTGCCCAAGCGAAGAGGTCGCCTTTTCGCGGGGAAAGTAAAAAGGGGTGATTGGGAAAAGGGAAGATGCTCTTTGGACGTGGGATGTTGGTAGTCAGATCCAACTTGACCATTCGTCCTGAGGGGGATTAAAACGCACAGCGTATGCATCTCTCCAAGTTTGGCATTGCCGTCTGGTCAGCAGGCGGAACAGATGAATATGGGCAGAAGAACTTCGGGAAAGGATTTGAATATGTGGCCGAAGGTAGTATAGAGAGGCATATGGGTTGCCAAAAGATCTTAGCGAAGCGTTCGATATGACGCAAATTGTCACAAGTTGCGTACTGCATTGTAAATGTTTGTTTTTCTTTAACCATAAGACGTGATCTGTATCCCGCTGCTTTCTTGCGGAAAGGGTATAATATGCTCCTCGGCCGTCCGCCACACACACGCTGATGCCTATGCCCTGTCTGTCTATCTTCCCATCCTCACTAATCCTGAGTTCCAGATCGGGCGCTTGGCCTTGGCAATAGTAATGTAGTCGCTGGCCACTGTCAATACACAATAGATGCAATGCCTCCGTTTTGGTAGTGCTTCATGAGAACCCCTAAGCGTTGTTTGTTCAACGTCTTTCATACGCCGTCCAAAGAACACACCCTACGCCGCCCGCGATCCGCCAGGCCCGGAGCTCCCTCCCCCGTCCTTCGGCCGTGGCTTCGGTTGCTTCTCGTAAGCATTCGGGCTGGGTCTCCTCCTCCGCCGGCCGCCCGAGCCGTCTCCGTTCCTCTTACTTGCGCGACCGCCACCGCCACCACCACCATGCCCGTGATGCGAGCAGCCCTCGCCGTGCTCGTGTCCGTGTCCGTGTCCGTCGCCGACCCTCCTCCGCCCGGTGCCCCGCGCGCGGTCGGACTCCGAGTCCGACGAGCTGCTGTCGTCCGAGTCTGACGACGACGACTCGGAGCTCGACTCGCCCACGGCCCGCGGCGCGTGGTAGATGCAGCACACCTTGCTGCTCTTGCGGCCCAGGCCCTCGTTGTCCACGACGTTCTCGGCCCACTGCACGCGCGGGCCGGCCGAGGACGCGTGCGCGCCCCGGAGCCGCAGGATCGGCTGGGCGGCCGCCGCCGGCGTCTCGGTCTGCGTCTGGGTCGCCGAGGGCTGAGCGGTCGAGGGCTGTGGCGTTTGCACCATGGTCCGCGAGGACGAGGACGGCGGGCCGCCGCTACGGTTGGCTTGTTGCGATGGGGCGGCCATGGCTGTGGTTCGCCGGTTCTGCTGGGTTATCGAGAGGATTCGAGGTCGTGTGCGCTTCGCCGGCCAGCAGGTGTGAGGGCTGGTCACGATGGCGGGGCACTTTTTTTGAGATGGGTGAGAGAAGGTGAGGTGGGCTCGTTGAAACGGAAATACAGTCCGGTAAACGGCAAGTCTGGAGGCTCCTTTCTGATTGATTGCCTGAAGAAGGCGGGCCGGTGCAAGCAGAGATCAAGCGAGGACGAGGAGTGCTGGGCGTAGTAAAAGTCCGCGGGGCCCTCGTATGCAGAGAAATTCCCGGCTGGATGATGCGATATTGGATGTTCCCGCTGTCGGCCGGTCACTCTTGCCCCGCGTTATCGGGCGGCGGGCCAAGTTGTTAGTGGATTTAGCAGCCCGGCACTGGACCCCTGTGTGCTGATTAGTGGGAGAACCTATACCCAGGCCTTGGGCTGGGCAGGGGGCAGGATTCACAATGGATATCATACTTGCTCGATATCATTCAACAGCTTGTAATCCTGGCCGGCATCGCAGAGGATACCTTACTTGAGCTTGGTAACTTACCATATGCCTGGGATTTTGCATCAAATCAGCACATTCACTTGCTATGCTGTACGCGGAAGGCTTGATAGAAACAACAGTTTCTCCCTGGGTCTTGCACTGGGTGGACATGCTTTGCACCTTTCGTAGTCTCATCACATTTTCGAGTCGCCCGTTTCTTTCTAGGCACCGCTATCTTGGCACTCACGGCATTTCCAACCACCGTTCCAGTTCAGATTGAGGAGCAATCAATGCCCATTGCAGAAATATGAGCTCATGAAAACATCCGTCTGCCAAACAAGTACCAAGGGCTCCCCGTATGGCGAGCTGACATGGAAGCCGCACCGGCCACACCACATCTCATGACCCCCTTTCTTCTCCCGGCAGAGTGCCCAGACCTGCTGCTATTTAACCACGCTTTGCCTGAAGCTCCCAATGGCGCTCCATGGCTGGGCAGTTCTCGGTTCCTGGAATCCGAAAGTCTGGAGACATCCCGCGTGGACACGAAACGGGACTGTTTTCATGTGAGACCCGTGTGTTAAGCTCTTCCACACCCCGGTGTAGTTCCCACGATGGCGTCGAGCAACCGGGGGGTTCTGCGTATGAAACAGAGGTCGATGAAATGGTTTACGAATGATTTTGTCGCTGGACTCCTCACAGTGAGCGGGGTGTCTGCAGTGCAAGAAGTGGGTTGCAAGGTACAAATCAATGCTTTGTTGTGGATATCCCCATTTGTACAGATCTTGCGCAACTGCGCTTTTGTCTACAATGCCTTCCGGGCATGCCGTAATAATACACAGCTCGTACAGCCACAACGCCCGCGGTCTCGCAGTCCCATAGACCGTCCGCCCGCTTACTGGTTGGCCATCTTGATGGCCGCGGCCTCCTCCATGGCGCGGGCCATGATGCGCTCCTCCCTCCTCTTCTCGTCGAGGAATCTCTTGTTGATGGCCCGGTCGGCCACCGCCCTCTCGCTCAGCTCCTCGAGCTGCACCATCTCGGACCTCTCGTCGGCTGTGGGGTGGATCAGCGTGGCGCCCGTCTTCTGCAGGAAGTCGGCCAGGATAGCGTCCGAGTGCTGGTTCTTCATCTCAATCGTGACCACCTTCTCGCCCTCCTCAGGCGCCGGGGCGGGCGTCTCGTTGGTCGTACTCGAGTGTGGCTGCCGTTGTATGGGTAACGCGGCGGCCTTGGAGGCGGTCGCGGCGCTCTGTCGGAAGTAGATGGACATGGTCGCCGGGCCGGATTGGTTGGTATGGCGATTTATTAACATGGGGATTGACGGATTCCAGAATTTCAGGCGTGGAAGGCATAGTTTCCAGAATTTCCTGTCTTCTCTTAGTACTTGGATTGCTGCAAGCCCCCAAAGGAGGTCTGTCACGCACCTCGGGCCAAAGTGTCCCTCGTTCCATCTCAGAGCAAAGTCCATGTGTATTCTCGTGACCTCGGGCGGCAGAATCGCTGCGCCAGGGCCATGCCGTAGGTTTAGTAACTATGTCGACGGTCAGCATGGGACTCGGGAATAGTGGCCGGTTCGTCGAGCATTTACCCTCTGGAAGAGATAAGTTAGCGATTGGTTTTGCAGTCGGGGGTCGGAAGACTTACGGCTTTCAAAACGTTCATACGCTTCCCTGGGTTCACCATCTTGACTGCCGACGAGCTCCAATTGCTCGTGTCTGTGGATAGGGATGGCAGTGAGTTCGGCAGCTTCTTCCTGTCGCGCCTAGGGGACTTGGCCGCGTGATCGAGCCCGTCCGTAAATTTCCAGGCTTGAGGACGGGCGTTGATACGGCCCGAGGATTGTTCCTTATCGGCAGCAGAACCCCCTGCTAGCGTTGCGTTTAGCGCCCATCAGGGGCCTTATCGCTAGAATATTCTTAAAAAGTTCCAGGAAGCTCTATCCGAGCTGCAAATAAGTAGACTGGCGTCGATCAAGCTGCATGTCATGTCGCGTGCGCCTGGTAGAGTCTTCAACGCAGCCAAGACGTAGCCATGCATCGCGCGTTTTCCTCCTCCAAATGGCTCTCGTCTGCGCTCCGTACCGCGGAGCAGACGCCGAGTCTGGAGCTACCACTTTTCTTATGTCCTAATCTGGCTCATCGGCAGCTGGGCTCGCAACTTATAAGGAGTCAAGCCGCTCGTGCGCCATCGACATGGAGAGCTCAACATCGCAGCTTGCACGTCGACACTACTGCTCGTCAGGCACAAGCTGCTACAACGACACAACCCACTGGTATGCCAGACACTACCGATGTTGCTAAGCCCATTCGGAAACTCCCAGCCCAGTGTACTGGTTGCGGCGCATTATCCCAGACCTCCCACTCAGACCAACCTGGGTATTATGACCTGGGCAGGAAAGCGGTGCGCACGTATGTTGGCCTGGAGCAACCAAAAGTGAGAGACCGCCGTCAGGAGGAACGCGAAGAGGATGAGGTGTTCCGGAAGTCGATCCGCTCAGTTGATCTGGCCGAACTAGAGAAGCTGGGCGTGGACGTGGATGATATCGCGCCAACCTTGGCCCCAGCCTTGGCTGGCGAGCCGGAGACCAAGCAGCAGCCTGCACCCGTCAAGGCGCCTCTGTGCGACAGATGTCATATGCTGGTACACCATCAGACTGGCGTCTCCATCTACCATCCGACCATTGACTCCATACGGGATACACTCTCGGAGTCACCTTACAAGTACAATCATGTGTACCACATCCTTGATGCTGCTGACTTTCCCATGTCCATCCTTCCTCAGATTCACTCGCTGTTGGATCTCATGCCTCTGAGGTCCAAGAACAGGCGATCACGAGCAGGCAAGTACTTCCACGGCCAGAAGACGGAGATGAGCTTTATCATCACCCGCTCCGACTTGCTCGCCCCAACAAAACCGCAGGTGGATCGCCTGGTGCCTTACTTGAGAGAAGTCCTGCGCGACGCTCTGGGTCGCTCGGGCTCAGACTTACGCCTGGGCAACATCAGGTGTGTAAGTGCCAGGCGGAGCTGGTGGACCAAGGAGCTCAAGGAGGACATCTGGAAACGAGGCGGTGCTGGTTGGATGGTTGGAAAAGTCAATGTTGGAAAAAGCCAGCTTTTCGAGGCCGTCTTCCCCAAAGGTCGTATGGACTGGGACCCGTCTGGCCATCAAATCAAAATCGACATGCATTCCAAGGACGAACAGAGTGCAGCACCAGAAAAGGATTCCGCTCCCCCGACAGAGGATGTGGATGACGGTTTGATTGCCAAGCTTGAGGCGGATGGCGTGGACGAATTATCTCTGCTTCCCCCGGCGCCTGCAGAGACGCAGTACCCGGAGATGCCTATCGTCTCCGACCTGCCTGGAACAACGGCATCTCCAATCCGCGTTCCATTCGGTAATGGCAAAGGAGAACTCATCGACCTTCCGGGCGTAGAGCGGACAGGCCTCGAGAAGTATGTGCAGGAGGAACATCAAAAGTCCCTGGTCATGCGCTCGCGTATCGTCCCAGAGCAGATGGTTTTGAAGCAGGGACAGTCGCTTCTCCTAGGTGGCCTTATCCGCCTCACGCCGCGTGTCCCGGGCCCGATCGTCTTGACCTATGCCTTCACCCCGATCAAGCCCCACGCTACCAACACGGAAAAGGCTATCGCAATCCAGGCTCAGACGAGCGAACTCAATGTTGAGAGTATAGCAGCCCCGGGCACCGGGGAGACGATAAAGCATGCTGGCTCCTTTGAGCTGAAGTGGGATGTGACTAGAGAGCGTGCTGGTCCGATCACTGCCAAGGCCGCCGTTGGTATCAAGGTTGACCGCCTACCCTACCGCGTGCTCGCTACCGATATCCTGATCGAGGGCGTGGGATGGGTCGAGGTGGTTGCCCAGGTCCGTACCAGGGAGCTGTACGAGCAGCGGCCGGTCGCCGCCGACCCGGCTCCCGACTCCAATCCCAAGGAGGAGCTGTCTGCGTTGGAGCAGCTCGAGGCCGTGTCTGACGGCCCCAAGAAGCGGCCCGCACCCAGGCGCGAGCACCAGAACCAGCAGCCGCAGGGAGAGCCCAACTGGCCCGTCATCGACGTCTTCAGCCCCGAGGGCAAGTTCATCGCCAGCCGCCGGCCCATGAACGGGTGGCTGCTGAACAAGCCGAAGGTCACGGCCGCGTCGCAGAAGTCGAGGCCGCGGAAGAGCATGAAGGGCGCGAAGAAGCTGGAGAAGAAGAGGAAGCGGGAGCAGGCCGCGGCTGGCGCTGCGTGATTGCGATAGCGGTCCAAATCATGTACTTTATACTGTATTAATTTTATGATTAGCGGGTGTCGTATTTAGACGGATCATGCTTAGATCTCACCACTCTCAGTAGGAAGGATGTGGCACCGGAGACCTTAGACTACAATGTCTCTGTACATTTTCCCGTGACTATTGCAGCGGGTTGTCATACTGTGTTATATATGATAGTTATTCTATGTAGATCACAATTAGTATATACACCACGGGAGCCAGAGCATTGTAAAGTATTCTCATTTATTCATGCTGCGTTTACGACATATTTGTACATTACAATATCACCAACCCCTACGCCATCGTAACGATCGAACGTAATTATGTCATTGCCCGTTTCCTTGTGGATGCATTTTCTTTCTTTGGCCAGGGTCACCCCGTCGCTCCCCTTTCCCCTCCCTCGATACTGGTTATCCCCTCCTCCTGCAATCTAAACCTCAGTCTCGACGTCCGGCTGTCTGCCGTCTAGGGCGCCCAGCTTGGTGACACGGCGCACCGCGTACTTGGCCTCATCCTTAGCGAACTGGATGTTGCGCATGGGCCGCCACTGCATCAGGCCACGGTGCTGGCGGTGCAGGTCGCGGCTCTTGGACTTGTACTCCTTGTACTGCTTGATGGGGTTCTTGCTGCTCTTGCTGGCCTGCGAGTTGGCGCTGCCCGACGTGGCGTGCGTCACGCCCGTGTCGGCGCTCTTGCGCGGCTCGCTGGGCCCGCTGCTGCTCGTGGCTCCGTCCACAATGCCCAGGTCCGTATCCGGGTGCCGCAGTCGGTTGGGCGAACCCATGCTGCTGAGCTCCTCCGAGTCATCGTCCGACTCGTACTGGTCCTCGGAGTCCCCGTCGGCCTGGTGGACGCTGCCGTTCATGATGGCGGCGGGGTCCTTGCCGAACGCACCGCTCCAGTCGGTGCCGTCCTTGGCCAGCCACTTCTCCTTCTCCTCGGGGGAAGCACTAGCCAGGATATCGCGACCCTGAGTCAACGAGTCGTCGTGCAGCTTCTGGATCACGGGAGGAACCTCTTTGGTTACTTCTTCCTGCCGAACACCCTCGGAGAAGCAAGCTTCCCAAGTTTCAATCGTCTCTCGCGAGTCGTTGTCGGACACAAAGCGCAGGTGATCACGGTCAGTTCCGGCCTTGAAGCGGCCGCGGAAGCGAAGCCGACCAATTTCTTGCACATCAATATCAGGGATGCTCTTGAAGTTCTCCTCAGTGATGTAGTTCTGCGACAGGCGCGTGTCGTTGTTGCAACGCCAGATGGGTATGTCGAAGTCCTTCTCCTCGCCATCAACGAGTTCCAGCAGCCAAAGAGCGGCGTAGGCTTCCGCATTTCGCTTTTGACTTGCGTGGAACTCGAAGAAGATGGGAGATCTGTATCGGTACCGCACCGGTAGACGAGGCCGGATTTGCTTTTCTTTCCCACTGATGTTCCATACAAGTTGACCTGCCTCGGCTGTGCATTGCTCGCGCTTAACGACGCCAGAACTACCGCCGGTTCGCAACTTCAACTTAAGCTTGTTCTTATCCGCATAAGTTGATGTGATCGTGTCAGAGGTGAATTCGAAGGTGCCAACATCCCATCCAAGCTGCTGAGGGGGCAGTTTCAACTCGACAGATCTGAAGAGTAGGGAGATGCGGACGCGACCAAAGCCGATGCCACCATCAAGAGGGTACCATCTGGTTGACTGAGATTATGAATTAGACATGATACACAGTAATAAAGGGGATAACTTACCTGACTTGAGGTCTGGAGAATATCGGACAGCTTCAGGGGTACGACACCAATAATGGGGTCGTGTTGTCTGTGTTTAGAATCACGCACTGTAACAGTGACGATAGCTGACCTCCAGTCCCGAACAAATCGCTCAGTTCCAGCATTGAAGATAGGCTTTGACGAGACCACCTTGGTTCTGGTCTTGTACACCAGCTCGTCATTGAGCAACATGGTGCAGTACGCACTTGGCAATCTCTTGCTGGACTCCTCCTTGATCTCACCAGCGTCACGAGCAGGCTCATACTCTTTACCGCCCTTCCTTTTGCCGCCCTCACTGCCTTGTGTATTCGCCATCTCAAGGTTGACAATTTGGTGGACAATAATAGAGAGGATGCCAGTTGGCCAGAGGGGATCAGGTGGAGTGTGGGTCACAGCATCTTCCTCGGCGTTGTCGATGGCACCCTTGTTGTCTTGCAGCTCCTTCTTATCACGGAGCTCCTTTGGAAGGTTGAGGTCCTTACCGTCAGTTCGAAGTGCCGCACGGAACTGAGTCTTGCCAAAGAAGCCAACTTCCCAGTGGAGTTCGCCCGGCATCTCAGATTCAGCCTTGACACCAGCAAGCTTTGAGATCTGCTGGTACATCTTGCCAGGGTGCTGGATGAGCTTCTGCATCGAAAGTTCGACCTTGCCAACAACGTCATCCGCACTGGAACGATCACTATCCCACAGTTCCATGGAAAGCTGCTCGTCGGCCTTGATGAGGTCTGCAGTGACCATAAGGGCACAGGTCTCCTCAAAGACGGGGTTGAGGTCATCCTGGATAACACGCGTGCAGTACATGGGCTTTCCAAATTTGGAGAAACTGACTGTGATGTACGGGTCGCTGCCACCGCCTTCGGAGCCACGGCGGTCCTGCTTTGACAGTCCGGTCGCCTTGTGAATGCGAATAAAGATAATGCCCAGAGCTTCTGTCTCTTTCTGGATATCGTCTCCTTGGAGCATCTTGCCAAGATCCAGAGTCATGCTCTTGGGAGCAACGTACATGTTCGCAGCCGTCTTGATAGCCCAGTTGACGAAGTTCGAGATCACCGGCAGGTTCAAGATGTTGACACCCCGCTCAATCATTGGAGTGCAACCAGCTTGGACTTTGGGAACACCCATGAGTGTGAATGTGACTGCCTTCAAGAAAGGAGGCTCCGGGGTCATCTGCAATCGTATGCGGACAGTTCCAACCAGGCCAATGAGCTCGACCCCTATTTCTCATTAGTCAAGACCTCAGTTTTCTACTTGCCAGCTGGATACTCACAGATAGGAAGTGGGACGCCGAAAAGTCCTTTGATACCAAGATAGAAGATCAATTGCATGCCCATGTTTGCGGCCTTGGCAGAGACACTCTCTCCATTAGGCTTGGCGTGGTAGGCGAAGGAAACCTCCAGGTTGTAGTAATCGCCTCCCTCTTCATCGGCTGCGAGTTCTTGCGGATCCTTGACCTTCTCGTTGTTCTTGTGCATCTCTTCTTTGAGATCCTTCATATGCTCGTCAGGTAGCGCGCGCATACTCAGAATCCGAATGGGGTTGTTTCCTTGTGAGATGTCGGCTACCTTGACGTTCTCAATAACACCAGGAACTGAAGCTTGCATGACATCTTCGAGCGTGTCAGCCACAGCCGCGAACATATCGGGGTTTATTAGACCCCAAATAATGCCCAGCAAGGTATTCATCCACTCTACTGATTCCGGAATTAGGTTCACAGTGGCCATCTCGCCGCGCTTCTGTTCGCTGGACCATTCGATATCTCGACCTTGTCTAACGAGGTCTTTCATCCATAGGAATACTCCAGAAGCGACGCAGATAGCAAGAGGAATCAGCCCGAGTAGCCTCCCGCCAAAGAACTTGCCAACAAGGATGATACCAAAGAAAATGCCGGCGCAAAGGATTGTCGCTTTCTGTTCGATAACAGCGAACATGGGCTCGTAGCTGACAGATGGCGTCTGTCATATGCATTAGCAACCTGGAAATATAGAAGTCTTGCGTTCCAAACATACCGGATGGAACAGGACATTGGTTTTCTCGCCCTGCAAGCATTTTCTTATTAGCAACTGCAACCACTAGATAATACATGCAGATGCGCTGTCATCCTTCCTCTGGATTTACAGCATCACTGCAAGGGGACTCACATGAATAGGAACATCTGAGGTAGACCCCGTAGCAACTGGATCTGGCGGTGCAGTCACATCCTGGTTGTACCTGTATTCCTCGCCAGACTGTGTGGCCTCCGTCTTGACGGTCGTGTCCTTGCCGAGGTTGGCATTGGGCACAGATAGGAGAGGATTCTCGACAGCATCCTTGGAATCGAGGTTGACGTCCGTGATTTCAACCTCCTTCCCAGTGACCGGGTCGGTCACAATGCGGCCCTTCTTCTTCGGCTCGACCTTGTGCTCTTTGACGCCACCGTTCTGCCCATTTGGCTGTACTCCGGCGTCAATCTGAGCATCTCGTTCCTTCTTGTCGCGGTCGAGGCTTTCGACGAATTGTTGAATGTTCGGGATTCGATTGCGCCCGGAGTAGTGCCCCCCGGGGGCATGCTGCTCGTTCTGCGACATGACTGTTTGGAGTGCGGGACCTCACGGCCAGCTGCCTGAGACCTCTGAATACTGTAAGTGATACTGGTCACCAAAACAATTAAGACCGCACTGGTTGTGCGCTCTTTGACGGAGAGTCGTGGCTGGCACTCACAGGTATTCCAAGTCGAGTAGGGTATCGCTCTGCCGCACCAAGATCGCAGAGTCGGGTTTCGTAGTAATGGAGGTTCCAATACTGCTGCTACTACTACTGTCCACAGCAGCTACAAAGTGTATTGAGTCCCTCCAACACGACTTTGAATCGCAAGCAAGGTTGCGGAAAAGATACCGGAGGAATTCTACAAAGTGGAATTGGGCTACTGGTGCTGCTATATTGTACCACCCCCTGTCCGAGAGTTGCATCATTCCAGTCAGTAAGCGCGTCCTTTCACGGGAACCATGTATGACGTAGGTGTGTCAGTGAATGAGACCAAGCTATCCATCGAGCGGGCATGCGACAGACGAAGAATAGCGCCATGTGCAATCCTTGGCAGATTCGACGCTGCTCTTGGGACTATTTGCTGCACTGATCCTTGACCGAGCCTGTACGGCCGGAAGTATGGCACGCACCCAGCCTCGGCGAGCTTTTCAGCAATTGGCTGAGTTTGTCCTCTTGCGACGATGAAGCTCATGCCTGTTCGCGATTGACTTTCTCTGCCCGCCCTCTGTCTCTATCTCTGCAGCTCCATTTTTTTTTACTGAAACTATCCAGGTCGCCAGGGCCCAAGCTCGGCAGCCAACCTTGAAATCAGCTTCCGGGGCGGGGGATACCCCAGGGCCTAGGCCTACCGCCAGCCTCCCACCCAGTAAGACAAGTGGGTGGTTGTGGTGCCTTAGCTTCAATCTGGCGAGATGGCTTCAACCCTAGATAAACCGGTTTCTGTAACTTCCCGCGCGCGAACAACCTATCGACGTGAGCATCACGGCTACACAGAGAGAGCCATTGAGACACGTGAGCCCCATATTGCTGTTGTGGAAAAGCAGTCCAGATAGATCGGGCACCTATGGAGACGGTCTTTTTCAGCTGAGAGTGATCCCTGTGGTCCGGCAATTCGCCAGCGTTAATCACTGTCGCTTTGGTCTTGGAGCAGACCCAGCTAAACCCTCAGATCTACAACAAGGATGTAGATTTGCGTCATGGATTTTCTTTGGTCCAGCTGAGCTGCGTGGTGCTTGGCGGTGCTAAAGCAATACTCACGACGATTCCTACTACGATCTGAGATTCTTAGCTTGCAACGAGGACAGATGCAATCCCCTCGCTGTTATCTAGTGTGTCTGGCTCATTTGCATGGCGCGTCTGGCTGACAGCACGCAGCCGACGCTGTGGGAGCCGAGAGCTAGCGAAGATCCAGGCTGGCCTGGCGATGCGGCTCTACGAAAGCTGGCAGACATCCTGGTTCTGGTGGTACTGTGCCTCCCGTATGCATGCACGCACGATCCTTGCGGAATGGCCAGGACAAATGAACAGTTGGCTCAATTTCAATACTCTTGTTCGGTTTGTTCGTGATCTTCATGGCTCATGTAACCTCCCCTTTCCCGTGACGGTACAAATACAGTAAAGACAATGCAATGGTATAGTGCGCCCCACTCCAATGCTAACCGGCTAATGCTCCTCATGCCTCGCGGTATGCGTTTAAGTCATAATATGTCCACTAGTTGCTTCACTTGACACCGCTGACAATCTTGGTGTCCAGTCTCCCATTCTGAAAATGACGGTATTTTCCCCTGACGTCTACCTTGTAACAAGATCGGGTGGAATGGGTGTGTCCCTGCGGCTTCCCGTCTCGGGGTTGATCAAATCCACAGACCCAAGTCGATCTGTTTGAGGTGCTGAACCAGCGGCAGCAGTCATAACAGGGGTCTTCGGGTCTATCTCGACACTGAATGGTGTTGTGCCCCGGCTGCTTGAGGGAATACTGCTTACGTCCGACATCTCGACATCCTGGGTCTCTACCTCGGAATCGACTGGTTCAACACTTGTTTGTACAGCAGTCACAGGCTCCGGTGTAGCAGCTTTGATCGGCACAGATGTCCGCGGCGTCGATGCTTCTGCTGCGGCCTTCAGTGCCAACAATGCACCACTTTCACTCTCCTCTCCGTCTTGTCCGATGGTCCATACCCACTTGCGCTTCTTTTCTCTCTTTTTCTTCCTTATGCCCCCTGGTCGGGGAGAAGTAATGGGTGTCTCCGATTGCAAGCCAGCCATTCTCCTCCTCATTTCCTCAAACGGCCCAGGGGTCTGTCCCCCGTCACGAGTCTCCGCTCTGGAGTAGGCCATGGTAAGGTCGAGTACCATGTCCGAGTCTTCGGCGGTCGGCGTTGCGGAGTAGGGCGACGCATCTTCGGAGAGCAAGTCGATGTGTGATCTGGTGTACTTCTCGGTCGTAATGGTCTGGGTCAAAGGGCTTTCGTATCCGACACGCCGTGCTGCTTTCTCTTGCAACCGCAGAGACTGTCGTCTCGGGGAAATTGGAGACTTGGCACTTGAAGGGGGCAGTGGGGAGTTCCTCAGAATGCTATGAAGAGAACGAGGATGCGAATATGGTGCTCTGAGACTCGCGCCAATACTCCGTCGGCTCTGGGCCGGTGAGGCAGGGATCACATGGCTAAGTGTATCTTTCGGGGCGAAAGAGAAAACCTTTGCTCCAATCTGCTCTGTCGGCCCTGCTGACAAGGGCGGAGTAGCGGTCATAGTGCTCGGGAAGTTGATCTCGACTTGCATGGGTGACTTTGGATTGGCAGAGAGGGGTGTATCGGGGTACGTTGCAGTGTAAGGGGTTTGGGTTCTTTGCTGCCCCCTGAGTGCTTCTGGGTTGGTCTGAAGTTTGAGACTCTGAAAGAGATTAATCGCTGTCAACGGCGTAGACTGGACCGGCGTCGACTGGACTGGTGTCGACCTCTCGATAGCCGTGACATAGACATTTGAGAGAGTATTAAAGGTAGTTGGTGACTTGGGGTCACTTCTTGCTAGAGCGTTCCTGGTTCTCGTACTGGGAACCGTTGCTGTCTTCGTCTGAAGAGACAACCTTGGTCTCTTGGTGGAACTCGAGGTCGACATGACTGATTCTCGGCAGCGTACCCGTACGGTTGGGAGAACAGAAAGTAACGTGTGCCGGCAAGAAGACGACCTCCAAGCAATTTCCCAGCCGGCCGGGACCAGAGTAATAAGGTCAGAGTCGGGCTGGTTGTATTCAAACAGCGGGATAAGCGGCGGCAAGAGTATATAACACCAGCCAAAGCCTGATAAGCGACAGACTCCGAGACTAATGCAATGTGAAGAACTTCAGACGCGAGGAGATAGGTGGAAGAAGCAACTAAGGGAGGAAAGAGCGAAGTGCGAAGGATCTGGGCAGCAGTGATTATTGAGGCTAATGCACCTGGTCATACCTGGTCAAGAGAATCACGAAGTTGGTTGGCTATAAAAAGGTTGTGGAAGCAGGGATCAGTGAGTCGGCGCTTGTCACATCCCTTCTACTGCCACCCCTGGTGGCGACCAGCCAATCATGAAGAGCCCGAAGTCGCCTGTCGCATACGACACACCACGTCCACGGCGTCTAATCTGGGCAATTAGCGACCAACTTCAAGGTTTCCATGCGGGGAGAAGAGTCTCACGTTGTCAAGTGACCATGTGCCAGCGGTCAAGAGAGACGAAGTAAGGGCTTTCGGAAGCGACCTCACATTTCTGCCTCTTCGGAGCAGTCCCAAACGAAGGATTAGCCGCGTGCTCTCGAGATCCCAGGCGTCCACTAGGGCAGGATTAAAGAGGGACTGTGGCTAAGGGATGGGTATTCAGGCGACCAGGGCTGCGGCGGCTTGAACCACGCAATCGGGACCGATGGTGGCATCACTGTGCCTGTAAATGGCATTGATGGCCAAAATCAGCTGAAAAGTCAGAAAAGATTTAATTCATTAGCAATCTGTCAACTTCTTTACTCAGCGCCTCGACGTAATTAAATTATTTATTCTGTTGATCAGTCCCTGGAAACATCGTGGCTCAAGTGACGTTGGTGGGCGGCCATGACTAGATGTCGTCTACAAGGCTATTTTTACATCAGGACACATCGGCGGTTGTAATCAAGGCACTGCGGAGGCACCGAGTAGCCCGACCCGCAAAGTCCGAGAGAGCCCAATATTCGGGCAATAGCGCATTCAACGGTCCCCTGTTACCAAAGAGTGTCCAGAAGCGCAACAAAGGGGATAATTTACGCATTTGTTTGTATAGTAATAAACTAGTAAGCACTTTGAATACCTAGACGAGGCCTGGAGTGCGTGTCCAGAGAACACCCCACAGCAATCCATGGATGTCTTGCCTGGGCCCATGCCTGAAAACCGCAAGCGGCTGAGGGTCGCCGACAAGGTCCACTGGCCTAGCCCAGTGTTAATCTCCGCTTTTGCACTGCCTAAGCTTTCGTCTGCCTGTCTGCCTCAGTTCCCAACGGGCAGATTGTTGGCAACCACAGTGCTGACGGCCATGGCCACATTGATCACCGTATTGAGCCACTGTGAATGGTAGATCTTCACTGCCAGTGTCACCGCCACGGAGCAGAGTCCAAACTGGCGGGGACTGAACATCATGATGACAGCTTCGCTGTCCACGCCACACAGAGCACGGGATCACAAGCCCTATGAGAGCCAGGATCGTGTCATCCTGCATTTTGTGAGACCGCCCGAACTTGTAGCGCAATAGCATGGCTGGCGGGGCTGAACTAATCATCTCCAGGATTACGACTGCTTCTACGCAAGTGTATTCGAAAATGAAAATCCTTCGCTGAAATCACTCCCAGTCGGGGTAAAACAGAAAAGCATCCTGGCAACCTGTAACTACGTTGCCAGGGGGAAAGGTGTCAAGAAGTTGATGCTCATCTCTGAGGCTCAGAAGCTGTGCCCAGACCTAGTTCTGGTCAACGGTGAGGACCTGACCAAATTCCGGGACGCATCCAAAAAGCTCTGGGGTTTCCTGCGGTCACACTCATGGAATAAGAGAGTCGAACGTCTCGGGCTCGATGAAGTTTTCATGGACGTTTCTGACATCATCTCATACAACGAACAACTACTCAATCCGAACTCCTTGGCCGAGTCTTTTTTCCAGCTTTCCGACCAGGACCCCGAGAAAGGTTTCACGTTTGACGCAACCTCCTTGTTCGGATGCACTTATCCAAGTCAGCCAAGCATACAGGAGGAGACTTGGGGTAGCCCGCTCTATGTACGCCTATTGCTGTCTTCCCACCTGGCCGGCTATCTGCGACATAAGCTGGAAGAGGACTTTGGGTACACGTCGACATGTGGTGTGTCAACCAATAAAACCCTAGCCAAGTTGGCCGGGACTAAGAATAAACCTAAGAACCAGACAACGCTCATGAGTCTGACAGGTGAGGTCGTACAGCGTTTCATGGACGAGCACCAAATCAAAAAGATCCCCGGTATGGGCTTCAGAACTTCACATCTCGTTGAGAACCATGTCTTGTCCAGGACATCAGAAGCCATCCCCCATGATGACGAGCACTCGGCCAAGATTACCACACGCGAAGTCCTTGAGCATCCCTCTATGTCCTCTGCAGTGCTTGAAAAGGTTCTTGGAGGGCCTGGCACAGAACATGGTATCGGATTGAAAGTGTGGAATCTCCTTCATGGTATTGACAACGCTGCGGTGAAAGAGGCCAGTGATGTGCCGAGCCAGATCAGTATTGAAGATACGTACATGTCTAAACCAATAAATACACAAGCCGAACTGTTGAGAGAGCTGTGTTCTCTTTCCGCTTCACTCATGCGGAGGATGCACGTGGACTTGATGGATGAGGATTCCACGGCTGAGTCTCCTGAGAGTCGGAAATGGCTTGCACATCCAAAGACATTGCGGTTATCTACTCGTACGAGGTCGAAGCTAAATACCGAGAGTCAATCACGAGAAAACTTCAGTAGAAGTTCACGCAGTCAGCCTCTTCCCACGTTCGTTTTCAGCCTCAAAGAAGGGCCAGAGATGATAGCAGAGCGCCTAGTCAATGATTCCATACTGCCTCTATTTAGGCGTTTGCACAACGAACGACAGGGCTGGAACCTTGCTCTCATCAATATTTGCGTCACGAATATGGTCTTGACTGGCAACGAAGATGGGATAGGTGGGGGGCGAGACATCTCAGTAATGTTCCGAACCCAAGACGCGAAGCTCAAGGAGTTTACCGTCTATGACAATTCTCCACAAGCCAATCCATATGTTGCAGACGCAAGTGGCCTCGAATGCATGAAGCAAACCCCACAAGAACAGAGCAAACAGGACAGCGATATCGAATCGGTCGGGTGGGAAGAAGAGGATGGGTACACACACGTCTGCCCTCTTTGTGGTAACACCATTCCGCAGTTCGCCCTACCAGCCCATGAACGGTTTCACGCCTTGGGCGAATGAGAGCTATCTTCACAGGCGTCCAAAGTGACACATTCCGAGTTCCTCACTTCATAATTTTTGCTGGAATGCCCTTCTCCGCACATCGAAGGATTTTGGGGGCATGTAAGCACAATATTGCACGAGAAGTACGCCTCGGGATAGATCTGACCGTCTTTTTGACCGTAATCGACAGCATGACCGCTGCAATAAATACCTCACCATATCAGACTATTGAAAAGTCGATCCGTAAGGGGCTAACAGAATCCGGAAGACTGATCAGGAATACAAACTGGACGAATAAACACCCCGGAGTGATTGAGACTGATGTGCATTCACACATTGTGGTCTGACCAAGACTCGGCATGCTAAGAATAGCTATGCGTAGGTGGAAGAAGTAGGAAGCCATAGAATAACTATAAAACTTTCGATAGCATCTCCAATCGTCGAGGTGATACAAAAATAGGTTGCTGATGCTTCAGGCTTCTCCTGGCATCTCTCACAACCTAACTGTGGAACTAACAGTAAGCGTTGGTCTCGTACGAAGTACGCCCAACTTGCACTTCCACTATGTTAGACGTCGTCAGATTGAGATGGCAATAATGTGCAAGCTTTCCATGACGCAACGCCGGTTGAGAAGTACATGTTCTTGTGATCCTGTGAGGTACGACGATCGTGGCTTGCCATAGATGGAAACAATGCCTCAGTCAGCCGGGTGCAGGACATGCGATCTCAAAATGGAGCTATGACGTAGGCTGTGAGAGAAAATTACACATTAGCAGCTGTACAGACTTGAGTTGGCATTACTCGCTGAAGTAACTCTATTGATGGGACAAGAAGGTCAGAATCCATCTGTCCTTGGCGCACATGTGAAGTATTCTCGCTGTGTCTGTCCAAATCGGCAGCGAACACGGAGGCAAGCCGGCTTACTCAGCCCCACTTTACCACATCGGAGGCTTCCGGACTCGGGTCACAGATTGCGGGCGCGGGGTACTGACGGGCCTGCGGCTTTCCAGTGCTTCCAAGCGTTCAGGACCTTGTCAGGGGTCACACAAACAGAAGCCGAGATGTTGATCAAGGAAACCCATGCCGATGTCCAGACCAAGGTGGATGGGAAGGAGACCTCGATGAGTACGCGCGGAACATGATTGCAGAGTGCCAACAGGTGACTGACCGTGCCTAGGGATCTTCCTCTTCCACCCAACAATTCCGCAATACCCAAATGCGTAGGATATTTCCCAGTTGGCTTATTCTTTTATACGAATATTAAGTTTGCGGTAGGCGATTCCCCGGTGTGGCCCTATTCAGCGAGATCTACCAAGGTATGGCTACGCTTTATCCAGGCTTTAGCCAGGTCATGGCAATCATATCAATTTCCCCCCCAGAGAGAGGCTGATTTCAGAAAAGTGACCGGCCCTGTGGCTCGCTTTGCCCGCCAGATAGCAGGACAAGGCTACATCGTTGCCGCACCTTCGTCGTACCATGATTTCACAGGCCCGGAGGCCCTGGCATATGATGTGCCTGGAACTGATCAGGGCAACGAATGGAAAGTGAAGAAGGCAAGATGGATCGAGCTTGTTTGTTGAAGCGGACTCTGATGCTGACAACCAACAGACCCTTCCGTCCTACGATGAAGATTCGTACAAGACTGTGGACTACCTGCTCAGCCTTCCCACCTGCACAGGGCTAGTCGGCACGACGGGAATGTGTTTGGGCGGACACCTGGCTCTACGGGCAGCTGTGAGTACTGTCCCACGTTCACATCATTTCGAAGCTAATGTGATGATAGCTCGACCCTCGTGTGAGCGCTTGTACTGCCTATTTCGCGACCGATGTTCACAGCCGCACGTTGGGCCCCAACGACGGGGCCAACACTGCAGCTGAGGCGCCGGCCGACAGCATCCATACCTTGGACAAGCTGAACGAGGTCAAGGGAGAGGTCGCCATGATATTCGGCATCAAGGACACGCACGTGCCTGATGGAGGACGAGACCTCATCCGCCAGAAGCTACGGGATGCCGGTGTGGTCTTCAGCTTCTACGAGTTCGCCTGGGCACAGCACGCTTTCATCAGGGACGAACTGAGCAAAGGCCGGTACGACCCGGCCATCACAAAGATCTGCTTTGAGGTCCTGCTCGAGCTGTTCGGGCGCACGCTGAAAACGGACCTGGGGCCCAAGGATGGAAAGCCCGAGAAGGTTGAGCATGTTTGTTAGATGACCGACAGAGCTTGGTTTCCGTAGTGCAAAGACAGCATTCTCAACGGGTTGTATTCTGCAATCAGGAACACCCCGATGGTGGTGGTTCAAACGGATGCGGAAAGTAAGACAGTTCCAGCATGCCTCGGAAAGTTCGAATAATCAACATGCGAGTAGTATAATGATTAACGGCATTGCTGTGCAACTGTCTTCTGCTGATGGGGAGACTAGAATCACCGCCTCTGATGAGATGTGAGCTTCCAGTAGCCGCTCAAGGCCCGCCCGAATAAGCTAGTATAACGCAATTATTCCAGTAGACCCAAGCGTTTTCCGGGTAGTTCATCTGTGTCCATCGAGTGGAATAGTATGGTAATTCTACTACTATTACCCACCGAAAGTCTCTGCCCCTCTCTGGTAGTTTCAAGGCTATTCCAGTCGGCAGAGTCAGTGGCGACAGTGATGTGACCCCCGGCCAAGCCTACGGTTGCCATGGAAAAATTTCCTAGCTTTGGGCGACTAAGGTGCCCACTTTTCGTCCCTGGCGATGCCCACCAAGTGACCTCATTGCTTCCATCATAGGCGGGGTTGGAGAATGCCCCGTTGAAGACTTCACCTCAGATGCCGCACACAGGACGCCGACGCAACGGGAATCAGTCCAATGGGGCAATGATAATCATCGAATCTGAAAATTCAAAAGTAGTTTGATCTGAATCGCTGCGTCGGATTAGGGGACTGGAAGTCTCTAGCTGAAAGTGGAAGCCTCGAGAGGGTTACCCAGCCTTGCAACCGGGAGCTTCCAGCAGTTTCCATTGCAAAACGTTGCCCCACCATTTTGGGCTGCAGCCTCTGGACCCGACTCTCTTAAACAGCTGCTCCTCGAGCTGTGAATTTTCTCTTTTCCCATTCTTCATTCACATCCCTCTCACAGGTCGCACTGTTTCCTTTTCACATTCATCTGTCCTCTGTCACAAGGACTTCTCCCACGACTTTTCTGCACCTGCAAACCACCAACCCATCTTCACACAACACCCCGCATCAGATACCCATCACACATCCGTCACAATGGTCGCTGCCGTCGGTATCGATCTGGGTACTACCTACTCTTGCGTAGGTGTATTCCGTGATGACCGCATTGAGATCATCGCCAATGGTAAGTCCAGAACTCGGCGACGCCCGCTTTTTAACGTTGAGCATCTGCTAACTGCCGTCCAGACCAGGGTAACCGCACCACTCCCTCGTTCGTCGCTTTCACCGACACCGAGCGATTGATCGGAGATGCCGCCAAGAACCAGGTCGCCATGAACCCCCACAACACCGTCTTTGACGCCAAGCGTCTGATCGGTCGCAAGTTCAGCGATTCCGAGGTTCAGGCCGACATGAAGCACTTCCCCTTTAAGGTCATCGACAAGGCTGGCAAGCCCGTCGTCGAGGTCGAGTACAAGGGCGAGAGCAAGACATTCACACCCGAGGAGATCTCCTCCATGATCCTCATCAAGATGAGGGAGACCGCTGAGGCCTACCTTGGTGGCACCGTCAACAACGCTGTCATCACCGTCCCTGCCTACTTCAACGACTCTCAGCGTCAGGCCACCAAGGACGCCGGTCTCATCTCGGGCCTCAACGTCCTCCGTATTATCAACGAGCCCACCGCCGCTGCCATTGCCTATGGTCTCGACAAGAAGACCGAGGGTGAGCGCAACGTCCTCATCTTCGACTTGGGTGGTGGTACTTTCGATGTTTCGCTCCTGACCATCGAGGAGGGTATCTTCGAGGTCAAGTCCACCGCCGGTGATACTCACCTGGGTGGTGAGGACTTCGACAACCGTCTCGTTAACCACTTCGTTAACGAATTCAAAAGAAAGCATAAGAAAGGTCCGGGAAACCTGATTACCCCTTCAAAAGTTAATCAAGATATGCTAACTGAAAATTCAGATCTGTCCACCAACGCCCGTGCTCTCCGCCGTCTCCGTACTGCTTGCGAGCGTGCCAAGCGTACCCTCTCTTCTTCTGCACAGACTTCCATTGAGATCGACTCTCTCTTCGAGGGTATCGACTTCTACACCTCGATCACTCGTGCCCGTTTCGAGGAGCTGTGCCAGGATCTCTTCCGATCCACCCTCCAGCCCGTCGACCGTGTCTTGGCCGACGCCAAGATCGACAAGTCCCAGGTCCACGAGATCGTCCTTGTCGGTGGTTCGACCCGTATCCCCCGTGTCCAGAAGCTCATCACCGACTACTTCAACGGAAAGGAGCCCAACAAGTCGATCAACCCCGATGAGGCTGTCGCCTACGGTGCTGCCGTCCAGGCTGCTATCCTCAGCGGTGACACCAGCTCCAAGTCGACCAACGAGATCCTGCTTCTCGACGTCGCGCCGCTGTCTCTCGGTATCGAGACTGCTGGTGGTATGATGACCAAGCTCATTCCCCGTAACACCACCATCCCCACCAAGAAGTCTGAGGTCTTCTCGACCTTCTCCGACAACCAGCCTGGTGTCCTTATCCAGGTCTACGAGGGTGAGCGTCAGCGCACCAAGGACAACAACCTGATGGGCAAGTTTGAGCTCACTGGTATTCCCCCTGCCCCCCGTGGTGTTCCCCAGATTGAGGTCACCTTCGACCTTGATGCCAACGGTATCATGAACGTCTCTGCCGTTGAGAAGGGTACTGGCAAGTCCAACAAGATTGTCATCACCAACGACAAGGGTCGTCTCTCCAAGGAGGAGATCGAGCGCATGCTCTCGGAGGCCGAGAAGTATAAGGAGGAGGATGAGGCTGAGGGCCGCCGTGTTGCAGCCAAGAACGGCCTTGAGTCTTACGCCTACTCTCTCCGCAACACTCTCCAGGACTCCAAGGTCGAGGAGAAGCTTGAGGCTGGTGACAAGGAGACTCTCACCGCCGAGATCGACAAGGTCGTTGCTTGGCTCGACGAGAGCCAGCAGGCCAGCCGCGAGGAGTACGAGGAGAAGCAGAAGGAGCTGGAGGGCATTGCCAACCCCATCATGATGAAGTTCTACGGTGGTGCTGGCGGTGCTGGTGGCATGCCCGGCGGTATGCCCGGCGGTCCCGGCGGCTTCCCTGGCGCTGGCGGTGCCGCCCCTGGCGCTGGTGGTGATGACGGCCCTACCGTCGAGGAGGTTGACTAAACGCCTTCACCCAATATACCCTGTTCTTTCCTTTCGGCGTTTACTCGAGGCGGTATGGGATCAATGGTTTAGAGCTCATGTCATGACGATACAGGACCAAAAGTTGAGGATTTCACGACGCATGGATGTACTTTAGAGAAGACCATCCTATGGATCAATGATAATAGTTCATAAAAACTTACCGTGTCTTGCAATGCAATGTGAATGGATTACATTAACACGAAATATTCATCAAACTACAAGTTGTCCTGGCCATGGAGTTCAGAAGGACTGCAAAATAGCGACGCGAGAGCTCTTTTTCGAGAGGGCCTCCTGCTAGGGGAGGTTTATTAAGATGTGGTGTATGGCGTTGCCAGGCTGGTTCTCGTAGGCGGTTCCAGGCACCGGCCTCCCTAGGGGCGCCACAGATACATGGGTGTTGAGAAGGATTGCTTTGACCTATTTCCACTCACACCCTCCGTAGTCTCTGTCATGTAACTCTTTCTAACCAAAAATAAAGAAGGATACGAGCTGGAAATCATTGGAGGGAGGGTTCATAATAGTTGGAGTGATGATTACTTCTTTCATTTTGATATTTTCAGGCTACCCCCAATCATCTACCCTTCTCTTCAGCTGCTAATGCCTCTTGAATCGCCTTCCTCCTCTGGATCTCCAATACTCTCCACTCCTCATCGCTGATATCGGGCTTCTCGTACTTCTCGCGGAAGGCACTCCCAACGGGCACCTTCTCCTGCCGCGGCTCCCAGACGTCGGCGCTGCTCGGGCGCCCAGGCCCGTACTTGGCCAGCTCCTTCTGGCGGTAGTGGTCCCGGACGGCCTCCTCCTTGACGGGGCCGCCCATGGTCCGCGTCCGCATGCAGAAGAATAGGTCGTCCCAATGGGACGAACACGACCGCACGTTGCCCTCGCGGTACACAGCGTTCCACTGCCCACCCGGCGACTGGCAGTAGAAGGCCGCGTCCAGCGCCTGCCGGCACGACATGGTCGTCGGCAGGAGCGACTCAGAGATCGGGTCGAGGCGCTGCGGTGTCCCGGCGGGCGGCGACGGCGGCTGCTGATGCTGCGGCGTTGCGGCGGGCTCTTGGCTGGGGTTAGTAGACGGCGCGAGGGCAGGCTCTGGGGGGAGAGTATCGGCGGACTGTGCGGATGCGCCCCAGAATGACCCCCACGATGATGACGACGGTTTCGACGGCTCGGCGGAGGTCTGTGTCGTCGGCTTCGTCGAAAGCGGCGGCGCTACTGCTGTTGGCTCTGAGGGCTTGCTCCCGAATTCGGTCTGCAGCTGTGACATGAACTTGGCGATCTCGGGGTCGCTGTAGCCGGCCTCGGGTTGCGCAGCTGGTTTCGACGCTGGCGTCGGCGCTCCGGCCAGGGTCTTGTCGGTGTTGTTGGTGCCCTTGGCGGAGTCTGACCACAACCAACCCATCGTGTCCGTAGTGTATGTGGTGTGTATGTTGTAGTAGAAGCGGATGGGGGTGATGTAGAAGTTCAATCCCGAGAAGAGAGAGAAGGGTATGGGGAACGCGTGTTCAAGCCCAATTGACGTCCCAATTCAGGTGGGGAGATCGGGCGAGGGGTAACGGATGATCAAATGCGACCTCTCCAGGGCTCCCAGTCTCGCAGTCTCGTGATCTTATGCAGCGATGCTGTAGCGAGTCGGCTCTGGGCCAATGGTATCGAGTGGCTCTGCGAGGCTTGCAGATTCCGAGGCAGCTGAGTCCTTGTGTGGGAAATGTCGACAGTGCAAACGAACGTTGTTGTACAGGGTGTATAGTACAGTCTTCTGAGAACGAAGAAGGGCGCTGAAGCAGGCAATGAGCTCGTCCTATCTTCACCGTCGCTCCCATCCATTCGAAGTCGACTCTCAGCGAAGATACTGCTGTGGCGGTTTCATCTGTGGCGCATAATCATGTGGCGCAGCTTGGATCTTGGGTCGTGGTGAAATCATCTGGAGATGGCCTGAACTGTTCGAGGAACTTATAATCAGTCTATTCTAGTAATTTTGTAGCCTTTAAGAAGATAAAATACAATACAATAAAGCGCAAGCAAGGTATCGTATACTGCTATTTTCCCTCGGTGTCCGCTGCAACTGATATGGGGTTCTCCTGGGCACCGAGGACACTGCTCGTCGCTCGATCTGACCATTCTGTTTGCGGTCTAGCTTGATCACGCTGAGAGCTGAGTGGTTGATGACCTCATCGCGTGAGACTACAGCTCGCGAAGCTAAGTCCTGGCTAAGCTGTTGTTTTGAGGCTTCTTGGCCTTGGTCTATGAACCCGTGCGACTTCTCCGAGCAATGTGCTAGCAGGACGTCTCGCGATGCTTTCAAGACGTCTCGCGGACCTCAGAAGTCCAGCCGGGCTTCGAAGAAGCGTGGGACTTCACGCACGTCCCATCCTTGCACTGAGGACCCATCCAGCGATCAGTCAGCCAAGGCGGAATGAGACCACCACCACCGGGGATGAGCAGAGCGGTCACATTGCGAAGACCTCGAACGAGTCCATCTTATGGATTGACAGTGAGTTGCTTCCGAAGTTTCTTGCGGGCAGACGCCTCCATCCCTCGGTTTTCTTCCCAACTTTTCTTATAGCATACTGGTGGCACGGGAGGCTGACATTTTGCCAGATCTATTCCCGCTCAAGTTAACAGGCCTGTTTCGAGCACCATGGCAAAGTCCAGATCGAGATGTCTCGGAGCTGCTCAAACGGTTCCACAGCTCCAGTCTGGGCATCATGGACCCTATTAACATGGTCAAGCGAGCTTTGCCTGAAAGTCTACCTGTGAAAGTCACAGAGATTCTGCCCAGACTCAAAGATGGCGGCGCGTTCGTCAAATTCTCTCACCCCTCGGAACTACCTGCCAAGGATATCGAAGGTGTAATCTCAGAACATCTACGGAATAGCCCCGTCAAGCCATTCTTCAGCCCGTTCAGGGGAGTCCAGACCGGCCTCGTGAAGGGTGTGCCGTGGCTTGAAGATCTCCATCGATTCCCGTACGGGCGGCTTAGAATCGAGTTTGTTCCTCCTAACCCAGGTGAGGAAGCGGTCGAACTATCGCAGGAGGACCTGTACTCCATATTTCGCAAATACGGCAAGATCGCCGAGATTTCTTCACAGCCTTTTGATTCCAAAGTGGTCCCGAAATACGCCTACGTGGATTTCGCCTTTGTCAGGGATGCCATCATGGCCAGGAATTGTCTACATGGATTTGTCGTCTCCCAAGAGCTCGGCGGAGGCAAGACAGGCACGAAACTACGCATGTCGTACGAGGAAAAGGTGAAAGCCCACAACATCTGGAACTGGATGACGAATCACCCCAGGATCGTCATTCCTATCCTCGTCGCTCTCCTCACCGGTATCACTGTCGTCGTCTTCGATCCAATTCGATCGTTTTTCGTCAAGGCGCACGTTCAGCGAAAGTTCCGTCTGAGCAACAGCAGACTCTACAGGTGGCTCAGACGCCAAACATCCGACATCTTCACCTTCAGCCGGCACAAGGCGGAACAAGCTGGGCTTAATGCCATATTTAGCCATCGGAAAGATGTGATTGACCAAATCCAAAAATGGCTGATGGAGACTGCCGAGACCTTCATTGTTGTTCAAGGGCCTCGTGGCTCTGGCAAGAAGGAGGTCGTTATCGAGCAAGCACTAAAAGGTCGACGAAATGTCTTGGTCCTTGACTGCAAACCTATCGTAGAAGCCCGTGGTGAGTCAGCGACGATCAAGAAGATGGCTGCCGAGGTTGGATATCGACCCATCTTCTCGTGGGCCAACAGCATGAGCAGCATGGCCGACTTGGCTGTCCAATCCACGACTGGCGTCAAGGCTGGTTTCTCTGAGACCTTGGAGTCTCAACTTCAGAAGATTTTGCAAACCACTGCTGAGGCGTTGAGCGAAATCGATATTGCAGGCCGCAAGAAGGAGGATGTCGACGCGTCACTTCCCGTCGATGCCTGGTTGGAAGGCCACCCCGAGAAACGATCTGTTGTTGTCATTGATAACTTCCTCCACAAGAACGCGGAAGGCAACACTATTGTGTACGACAAGATTGCAGAGTGGGCTGCCACACTTGTGCAGTCGAATGTGGCTCATGTAATTTTCCTCACCAACGACTCGTCTTACTCAAAGTCTCTCTCGAAATCGCTTCCCGACCGCGTCTTTCGTCAAGTTGCCCTGGGAGATCTCTCTCCTGACGTGGCCAAGCGATTCGTGATAAGTCATCTGGAGGGTGATGATGAGCCAATCGAGGAAATTGAGACGGATGACAACGACGAGAAGTTACCTCCCAAGATCAAGAAACATCCTCAACTGAAGGGTCTTGAAGCATGCATTGGTACCCTTGGCGGACGTCTGACCGATTTGGAGTTCCTTGCCCGCCGTTTGAAGGCAGGGCAGACACCAAAGGAAGCCGTTGCCGAGATAACAGATCAATCGGCTTCGGAGTTGCTGAAGATGTTTCTACTGGCTGGAGGCGGCAAGACTGAAGGCACCGGAAAGTACTGGTCTGTTGAGCAGGTTTGGTATCTGATCAAGGAGCTAGCAAAGAACGACAACCTCCGCTACAACGAAATTGTCCTGTCAAACACTTTCGCATCCTCGCTGACTGCTCCTGATGGCGAATCTGCCCTTGAGGGACTTGCCAACGCTGAACTCATTACCGTCAAGAGCCACAATGGCCGCCCCCAGAAGATCATACCCGGCAAACCTGTTTATAAGGCTGCTTTCAAACAGCTGACAGAAGACCCGGTTTTGACAGCCAAGATGGATCTTGCCGTTCTGACCGAGCTGGCTAAGATCGAAGCCAAGAACATCGACAAGGCCGAGAACGAGCTGGCGCTGCTTGGTGGGCTGCCCAGACACCCGCCCCAGACTGCTGGCCGCATCAACTACTTGTTGACCAAGCTGGAAACGGCCCAGAAGAAGGTGGAAGGATACGAAAAGGATATGGCAGTGCTTAAGAAAACACTGGGTACCCAGTACTAGTATTAGAGAGCGTTGAAGCATTGTATATATACGAAACAGGGACGGTGGTACATTCGGGCCTATATACCCATCTCATTTTCTAGTTGTAGGCATCCACTCGAATTGAATCTGTAAAGCATAAAGTAGACTTCATCGGTTGATAAGGTGGTGGCACCAAGACCAACGTATCACGGCTCACTGTGCTCGTGAGGGTTAAAATTGCAGTGAAAAATCAAGGATCGCGCCAGAGTTCTGAGCCGACCATTCACAATCTAGTAATCGTCGAACATGAATAACTCTACGTAGAATGTAAACATTTAATTTTGGCCAACACAACCGGGATCAGCGTGTTGAGGGCTTTCAGCTGATACCAATCTTGATGATAGTAGCCCTAGGTTTGCAAACCTCGAAACTGCTGTCTTGTTCTTTCTGAACATAATAGATGGGCACTAGTACCTGTAATAGGTCTACCATCAGTCTTGGCAAGGTATGACAACCATGGCAACGAAGTCAAGTCTATGAATCCAGCGGTTACTGAAATTCAGTACTGACTTTGCTGCTCGTCCTGAGATCGGAAGCACCTGACCTGCGCAGTGGTGAGTCGACGACTTTTGATAAAACTGTTTCGCCACTCTAGACTGTATTGATATCAAGTAGTCCTCGGGCTGATGAGGGAAAACGACATGGGTCTATGGATAGCCACATGTAGAGTCCGTCCGTCTTTGCAAGGCAATCGTGGGGGCCAAACGCCCAAGGCAGCACAGTAGTAAGCGAGCCAATAAGGTCGACTTGAGTTACAGCTATCGTTCTGCGCATTTGCGCATAACTCGAAGATCTGACCAAAGCTGCCTCTACAGCCTTATATCTCGCGGTCCTGGTCCCGACAAGGCTCTGGCTCGCATCTGCACCATCAAGGTCCTCCTAACTTATCCCGTTAAAGAGTTCGTGCGTACGACATTGACGTCTCATACTGATTGGCTTGTACGCCAGGCCGGATCTAGCCAACTGAGTTCTCGCTTCAAGGTGGAGTGGGCTCCGCCGACCTGGGACATTGCTGTTAATCAGCCATGTCCTACCAAGATGTCTTGGTAGCCGACGAGGGACTCGAAGGTGTTGTGCCTGACTTTATCGAGCAGGATAACAAGTTGGAAGCACTGCCATTAGAGCGTTGGTCACATGACTCTATCTATTCACGGCCCAAATCTATCTCAGATACTTCTGTTTCTCCATTGACATCTGGGAGTCCAGTCGACTATAACTACTATAACTTGATCGATTCGACTGGGCTGTCAGAAATCAACACACCAGATCATTTCAGCTACTACAGGGATGATAACGATGGAGAAAGCTATAGACTGATAAGTCATTCTGATGGTTTCAAATCTAGCGATACACGGTTCGAAGTAGTGCAAGCGCCAAGTGCCACGTATTCGGATAGTTACGCAGTCATTGGGGATGAAATACCCCTCCCTCTGACAGAACAAATGGGAAAGGATGAGGCCGAAGAAGACTCGGATGCCTTCGTCGAGAACGACGGCCTTGGTGGCAGCAGCGACGAAGACTACCAACCGCGTGGAAGAAGACGAGTTTCAGCAAAACGACGACTTCAGATCCTGCCAAGTAAATCACGATTATCTCATACGGTTTCAAAAATTTCATCTCCTGCAAACAACACAGAAATGTCAGAATCACACAGAAGATTTTCCTGCAATTCTTGTCCCGATAGGATATTTAAGGACGAGAGCGGTCTCCAGAAGCATATCAAGCAACAACACACACGCCCTTTTGTCTGCGTTTTCAATTTCGCCGGCTGTGATTCGACATTCGCAAGCAAGAACGAATGGAAACGTCATGTAACCAGTCAACATCTCTTACTTAACTACTGGCTATGTCAAGAGGACGCCTGCTCGAAGTTACCGAACAGTGTACCCTCGTTAGATCATCATGCCTCTTTGCCCAACGGTGCCATCTTCAACCGCAAAGATCTCTATACGCAGCATTATCGGCGCATGCATATTCCACAGCCCATCAAGAAACAAGTCAAAGAGAAGAAAACGATTCCTGAATGGGAAGATCGCGTTCGTTCGCGTCAAGAAAAGGCACACAGATTACGATGTCATTTACCTGACTACATGCGATGTCCAGCAATCGGTTGTGTTGCTGAGTTCAGCGGCCCCAATTCTTGGGATGAGCGGATGGAACACGTCTCGAAGCACTTGGCAAAGGCCGCTCAGGGACTCGAGCCTTCAATACTTTTTGGGGGTGAAAATGACCCTACGTTAACGACGTGGGCGTTTCTGAACGGCGTTATCAAGCAGCGAGAAGACACGACAGGCATGTGGTGCTTGCATAATCCTCTCTGGCCTAAAAGAGCCGAGAATGTCGAAATCGAGCCGGGAGTTGAGTCCAGCAAATCCCAGTCTGTACCTGCGCCATCGACAGCGACAGAGAGTGCCACTGAGCTGAGAAAATCAGAACGTTATTCGCCCACGGATATTATGGATTCGCCTGAGCAGGACACCAACATAACGGCTTCCAGTTCCTCTCAGCCTGGTGGTACTGGCACCACAGAGACACCAGCCAATTGCAGGGAGGATGAGTCAAGTGAATTGAAAGAACGAAATCATCAAAAGAACAAAAAGGCTCTAGAAAGGTTCATGATATGGTTCAATTCCCGGCTGCAAGCCAAGGTCTCGTTGATTCTGGCTCAAGCTGATCAGAGTAACGGCTCATCCCAGCAGCAAGCCTCGGGGCAATCAGGCCATACAAGGAGTACCATGTCTAATGGTGGCTCTTCACAACAGAACTCCAACAGCAATCGCAAGCGCAAAGACAGGCAGGGTGACGACTCTGGTGATGGAGCCAATGGAGAAGGGGACGGGGACGGGGACGGGGACGGGGACGATGAGGATAGATTGGGCCATCCTAGCAAGAGAAGCAAAACAGGCCATCGAGAGCAGAGGTTTGCATGTCCATTCTTCAAGCACGACGCACGGTGGTATGTAACCGCACGTGGATGCTCTGGCCCGGGTTGGGTAACTGTCCATAGAGTCAAGTATGGCCTCCTGTTCTGTCTAGCATCGTCTCACCGTACTAACGTATTCGGCAGGGAACATATATATCGTCGCCACAAGGCACCGGATCATCGATGCAACCGGTGTCAAAGTGTTTTCGACTCGAACCAGTCGCTGTGTGATCATGAGAGAAACGAGGAGGCGTGCACACTCCGTGATGTTGCGACACGCGACGAAGTCAATAAGGACACGCTCAAGAAGCTCAAATCAAGGGCCCGAGTATCAGACGCATCCGAGGAGGCACGATGGCGCACCATGTATCAGACAATCTTCCCTGAGGATATCATAGTCCCTAGCCCTTGTGAGTCTTTCTGTCGCCTGCGAATTAGCCTATTCTCTAATCAGGTGAGGTATGTAGATTACGAACGAACCGATACTCAGCACCACGACCTACAAGACTTCTGCCGCCACATCTCTCAGACGCTACCTGGCCGACTATACGGCGAGCTGGACTCGCTGCTTGGAACCGACAGACCAGCAAATCTTCGTAATCGCCTCCCAAATATCGTGCAATCCCTAGTTCGTCAACTGTACCGCGATTTCCAGTCACCTAATAACTCAACAAACATGCCAACCACGATCTCTGAGCCAACAGACGTCGAGCTGGTGTCGGGGCCAGTGAGGACCACCAACGAGCAGCAAAGCTCCTTGGTGCAGGCGGTGGAGAACGAGCCAAATGACCAGGACCCTATGCTCTCTTCTTTGCAGCCACCCTTTTTACTTGACTTCGACTTTCCTATGGAAAGCTTGACGGATGTCACTTGGGATCTTGACCCTACGGTCCCCGGATATGATGTCCCACTCGCAGAGAAGTGGTCGGACTCTGGATACGGGTCCTGGCTTGGGTCCGGCTCGACGGATCAAAGCTCGTCGAAGCCGTGGTCATAGACCGATATCAAATTGATCTTCCAGATTCAACGGCAATGGTGCGTTCATGTATAAAGCTCTCGGGTTGGTCAACTGCGTTCGTGGTATTATCATCTTCATAGGGAGGAATGTTCCCCTGCCGTTGCCAACTACAGCCCTGCATTCGATAATGCCTGTATTTGGCCAACCTTGATATAATATGTGTCAGCCCTTCGCTTCCGGGCCCATGATCAAAAACTGGGTTCTGTGGATATACTGCCGACTTCGAAGTAAATTAGAAAACCTCGAACGAGAGCCCACGGGACCGGTACCCTTCTGCTGAAATACGAGGCACTGAACATAGCTTGTTTGTTTGAAAACGCCGGAAACATCAAATAAAAAGATCCCGTGTTCAAGGCCATCGACACTTAAACCATCTTCAGCGTTGCGGGACAACGTCTATGCGACATGTTGGAGGGCTGCGGAGAGTGGCAAGGCAGGAGTGTTCCTTGGCGACCAGGCCCCTTGTGGGGGTTAAATTTGCAGTGAAGTGACCCTTAATGCTGACCATGCAGGCAGGTTGTATCTGTACTGGGTCAATGGACAAATAGATGCAAGGATGATGGAAGCAGCGCCAACTCGTGGGCGTATCGAGTCAAGAAACCGGGTTCCGACCACGCCCTCTGGACTACGTCCTGATGCAGGCAGGGACTGCGGTTGGCCACCATCAACGAGCAGGCTCCAAGCTGGTCTTTATTGGACTTTCATCTACCCTGCGATTGTGTAGTCCCATCGCCTATACAGGTCTGCAGCACAGGGTACCCAACCCAGCCCAAGCAGCTGTATCAAAAGTTGCAACACGAAAATACGCACGAGCGGCAGAGGCTCTTGGCTCTCATAACGTGAATACGTAAGCCAACATAGCATCATAATACTAAAAGAACATTTCCATATCGCTGCAAGCCAGAAACCCTGGCCAACGAGTGGTATCATTGCTAAAAACAAAAACCGACGAGAACCCGAAAACGCCGGGTTTGGGAAAACCCCCCCTTTGGACCGTCAGAAAAAGATCAAGCACTGTACTCATACTCTGCGTAACTCTGCCCTTTATATCTCTGTACTACTTTGCTTTGGACAAAAAGTACTCCCCTCCACGTGGAACCCCTGAACCCCCCGAGCCCGCAAAGAGTGGGACTATACAGATAGGTATGGGTTTATAACTCCTGGCTCTCAGCCGCCGAGACCAGGACCTCGCAGCCCTGGCAGAAGAACATGCGCGCTGGTCTGTCTGTGTCGTTTACTATGCTGTAGTGATTACCTAAAGGGAGAAAATGTCAGTATTCGTGTCTTTCCGTCCCAAGAATGGGCAGATTCTGCAGAACATACCTCGTGGCACAAACCACATGCCGCCCTTGGTGATCCGGAACACAGTGGACGCGACCGTGACCTCGACGTTGCCGTAGTGCACGAAGAAGACCATCTGCATCTTCCTCGCGTTCTTGGTGCGCTTCTCCGAGTGCGGGGGCAGGTCGACGATGCCGGACCCGAAGAAGGGCGTCGTCATGGTCTTGGCGAAGCGGAACGTGGCGTCCTTGATGTCCTTCATCTGGATGGCCGACTCCGAGATGGCCAGCTCCTCCTCCATCACCTCGACCTGGTCCTCGTCCGCCGGCGGGTTGAACTCGAACTGTGGGTACCAGTATATGCACTCGCCGGTCATGCGGCCGGGGTCCATTTCCCATTCTTCGCGCTCGATCTCCTCCTCGATGTCGGAGACCCGGCGCCTGGGCCGGCCAACCGCACCAGATGCCGGTCTGCCTCGACGTCGTTTCGGCTTATCCGCGTCGTCATCGTACTCAACGCGAACCACACCCTTGACCTGTTTGCCGATCTTGATACGCCGACCGCCCTTGTCTTCGATGCAATCCTCCTCTTCTTCGTCATAGTCGTAGTGCTCACCGCGCCAGAATTCCAGCGGCTTTGTCGACACTCGGCCGGAACGGGTAGTCCGGATCTCGAGGTCGTCGCGCCTCATGCTCACGAGGCTTCGCCTCTTGGGCATGGGGGGCCGCGAGGGTGCAACAGGGGAATCAGCACCACCCGTTGATGACTTTCGCTTGCGGCCGGGCTTGCCTTTTGTCGTTGGGATCTTGGGGGCTTCTGTCTTCGGCCTCTTAGCCAGGCGCTCCTCGGCCACGGCATCGTCAGGCTCGTTATCCTTATTAAGTGAGGGACGGCCTCGACCGCGTTTCACAGGTTGAACGGCCGGCTCGGCATCCTGAAGCGAATCTCTCTTCCCTGGGCGGCCTCGCTTCTTTTTGACGGGTTCGTCGCTGACTTCCTCCGGCTCGGGTTCAGACTCCGAGGCTTCTTCCACTGGCGGAGACGGCAAAGTCTTAGGTTTGCGGCCACGCTTCTTGGGCTCTTCGACAACAGGCTCGAGCTCCTCGTCCTCCTCATCTTCTTCCTCAGGCTCTTCTTCGTCTTCTACTGGCGGCTCCAAATCGTCCCCACCGGTTTCGAGAAAGTCCATGGGTTCCGCCTCGTCCTCCTCTTCTTCTTCCTCTTCCTCTTGCTCTTCCTCCTGGTCCTCTTCCGAATCTTCTTCGTCTTCTTGTTCGAACACGGGTGCCTTCTGCTTGCGCGCTCGTGAAGCAGCGTGCTCCTCCTCCGAGTCGTGGTCCCCGTACCCGTTCGGCCTAGAGGGCTTGGAGGCCCGTGACGCTTGCGATGCCTGGCTGGAGCCGTTCGGTTTGGGGTGCCCGTTGGCGACTGGCCTCATCTTGGGGTCCTTGGAGAAGTCCAGGCGCCGCTTTGCGGATTTTGTCTGGCTGCTGCCGGGCTCCTCGTCGGCGATATAACTCCCCCTCGTGGGCGACGACAGGCGGTTTATGTGTGGGTTATGGCGTGCGGGCGAGTTCAGGTGTGTCTTGCCGGGGGACCGGGCCTTGGGTAGCGATAGCCTCTCCCTCCTCATGCGCGCGACGGTTGCCGGACCCAGGGTCGAGACTGTTTGTTATAAGTGTAAGCCGAGTGCCTATCTTCTGCCTCGGACCAGCGCATACCTTCATCAATATCCATGTCCTCCTCGTCATCCGACAGGGTATTCATGTTGCCATTGGCCTCCTTCTCGGGCGACGAAAACAGGTTGTCCACGGGCTCCATGCCATACTCGTCGCGCTCGCCGGTATCTTCCAGGACGACACCCGTCTTTCTACTCCCGCATTAGCATTGTGGATGCCATGTGAACAGGGGGAGTGTAGGCAAGCCGCATACCTGCCCCGAACGCCCAGTGCGTAGACATGCTCGCTCGGCGCTGCCTGGGTGTTGCGCCGCTGCGCCTGCTGTCGTGGCGCCATGATGTATGGAGCTTTAGCTCTCTCTCTGTGTCCCTGCCGTGAAGACGCGCCGGGCGGGTGTGGATTTGCCGGGTGCCAAGAAGTGGTGCGAGCGGACTCAATCGGGCAATGCGACCACGATGCTGCCGGGGCGCCGCAGATGCGAGTGCGATAATCCGACGATGGCCTCGAAAACGCGTGCGAGGATAACCACAGGCGCGGCGGCGAGGTGGGGATGTCTCGATGTTTATTTCAACGGGGACCCTACGGCCCTGCACGCCTGGCAAGCCTGGGGGGCCCCCTGGCCCGTTGGTTGACGGGACCAAAGAGGCCTAAACAGCTGCTGTCCTGGGGCTCTGATTGGCCGCCAGGCTGCCCGGCCCATGGGGCGCACCCTCTAAGTCACTATGTACATACACAGTAAATGGCCGACGCGTGAAGAAACGGCCGAGACGCGTCCCATTTCCAGGCCATCACCAGGGCTAACTCGGCCTTGCATGAACCTGTCTCACCAATCCAGCCTGCTCAGCTGTGCCTTCGTCTTGTTGCCAAAGCTGGAAGTCTTCCAGACACCTTTTGAAGATTTTGCTGCATTTCCTTTACCCGAGACACTGCAAAAACAACTGCATACAAGTCGGGCTTGTCATCCCACTTACACCATCACCGAGGCAGCCAGCCCATCCCACCCCTCGGGAATCCATACTCTGTACAGCAACTCTTGACGCAAAAGTTCAGGCCCCAAAACACATCATTTGCATGCCCGAGAAACACACACAGAGCCGTCCACAATGGAAGACACGCAAATGACCGACGATGCCCCCAACCTCGCCCTCGAGACCCCGACTTCCAACGTCTTCATCCCACCCTCGGTCCACCGAGACGCCCTCCTGCGCGGCGAGACCTTCTCCCACTACTCGCCCGTCCCACCGTCGCTGCTGCCCTCGACAACCTCCCCGTCGTCAGACACAGCGGCCTCGGCCGCCGCCCCGCCCCAAGGCCCGCCCTGCTGCCTGGGCGTCGACGAGGCCGGCCGCGGGCCCGTCCTGGGGCCCATGGTCTACGGGGTCTTCTACCTGCCGCTGCCGCTGTCGGACCCGCTGCTGAAGACGGCGCACCACTTCGACGACAGCAAGGTGCTGACGCCGGCGGTGCGGTCGGGGCTGATGCGCTCGCTGTGCACGGCGGGGACGGACCTGCACTCGGCGTGCGGGTGGGCGACGGCGAGCCTGAGCGCGCGCGACATCGGGGCGCACATGCTGCGGCCCTCGACGGCGGCGGCGTACAATCTCAACGCGCAGGCCATGGACGCGACGGCCGAGCTGATCCGCGGGGTGCTGGCGCGCGGCGTCAACGTGCGCGAGATCTACGTCGACACCATCGGCCAGCCCGCCGCCTACCAGAAGCGCCTCGAGCGCCTCTTCCCCACCCTCCACATCACCGTCGCCAAGAAGGCCGACAGCCTGTACCCGTGCGTCAGTGCCGCCAGCGTGTGCGCCAAGGTCACGCGCGACGCCGCGCTCGAGTGCCTGTACGAGGCGCGGGCCGCGCAGCTCGGCGACGGCGGCGAGGGGGAGGGCCAGGAGGACGGGGCCGAGAAGGACGGCATGGCCTGGGGCTCGGGGTACCCCTCGGATGCGCGATGTGTTGGCTGGATGAGGCAGAACATGCACCCCGTCTTTGGCTGGGGTCCCGAATGCAGGTTCAGTTGGGGCACGGCAAAGGACATGCTGGAGGGTAAGGGGGGTGTCAAGGTGGACTGGCCCATGGACGAGGAGGAGGGCACGAGCCGGGTGACAGACTTCTTCGTCGACAGTGGAAGTAGGGAGAAGGACGCCGACGAGCTGGGTACCTGGTTTGGGACGCCTGTAGGGCTGGAGGCCTTCTAGGGAGGCCAAGTGGATTGGTACTTCATATTTACTATACCCGGTGTCGACGATTGGCATCATTGGGGCGGCGCAAAGGCGTTTCACGGGGTCTCATGTCGATTGGGTTCAGGGACTTGGCGGCGTAATCTTGTAGAATGAACGAATGCATCTTATTATCCTGCACCCTGCCGCATTTCTAGGCCCTGCTTTTCTTTCTATGCTATTATTAAAAATCATCATCGTCATCAGCAGCAGCGCGCTGGGAGGCTCGCTTCCCGCGGCTGTCCAGGGTGTCCATGCTAATGTTGTCCGTGTCGCGCCGCGCGGGCATAGCAATGGCCTGTCGAGCCGTCTCGTTGTTCTCGAGGAACTCGCGCAGCTTCTGCTTTCCGATCTCGATGGCCTGGCCCCAGGCCGCGTTGCTCATCTGCATCATCGGGCCGAGCAGGTTGAGGCTGTAGGCGACATAGGTGCCGCCCAGAACCAGGAGAAGGAGCACGAAAAGCATGGGGTTGCGGAGGACTGTACAGAACGGGGTCAGTGGACTGGCCAGCCATGCGCATGAAAAGTAGGGAACTTACCTGTGAGCAACTCATTCCAGCCAAGTGCCAAGAGTATCCCATAGAAATAAAATGGCACCTGTGCGACTCCTCCAATGGCACTGCGCTTGGCCTCGACGTAGACGCCATCTGCCATCTTCTTGAACCGGACGACGAGGTCTTGGCGCTTGCTCTCGCTCAAGACTGTCATCTCCTCTTCCAGGCTCTTGCCGTCCTCTTCGTCGACGCCACCGATGGGCGTGAGATCATCCTCGTCCTCAGGCTCCGCGCCCGAAGGTTGGTGCCCGATGAAATCAGGAAGGTCAGGGGGTCCATAGGTTGCGGCCAGCCTGAACCTCGACAAGAGGGGAATGAGCCCGAGGGTCGATTCCCGTGCCTTGGTGTAGATGCCCTCGATGTCGTCGGTTGGACGCCAGATCCGCGGAACTCCCGCCTCGTCGTATCGGAACTTGTCTTCAAAGTTCTCGCGGAGCTTGAGCAGGATGTTGCCTTCCATGACCTCCTCTTCGATTCTCTCGCGGAGAGCAACCCAACTCTTGCGCCGCAGACGCCAAAGCCCGACGTCCACCTCATCCTGGCTCGCCTCGAAGCTTTTCGCGCGGTCCGCAAAGCGGCTTTCGGCCTCCTTGACGATGTCCACGAAAGCGCTCCAGATACGGTCCCAGAGATCCTTCTCTGTCGGCGGTTTCTCTCCCTCCTCGGGAGCACCCGAGCCACCTCGGCCGGAACCCAGCTTGTTGAACTCCAGGCCGATGGCATCCCCGAGACGAGACTTTACCCATCGCTCAACTCTTGTCGCCAGTCTTCGCATCTCCTCTTTTCTCAGCTTGGCGCTGACCTCATCCAGCTCCTTTTCGAACAGGAGATACTGCGACTTGAAGTTCGTCCAAGGCACACCCTGGATTGCCAAGCTCTGAGCCTCTGTTTTGAAGAACTCCAGAGTCTTTGTCTTCTCTGCGTCGACAATCTCGGCGAACTCATATGCGCCGCCCGACTTCTGCCCGGCCTTGACAGCACTTGAGACAGCTTCGCTAAACGTGGCAACTCCGGACTTGTGGATTGCTGAGACCTGGGCCTGGTAGAGAGCCTTCAGACGCTGGTCGATCTTGTTCTCAAGCTCTTGGTGCTTCCGCTTGAAGACGGCCTTGTGATATCTGCTGGCAGAAACTTCAAATAATTTCAAGCACTTTTCGCGTGCCGCACTGCCCGTCTTGCCCAGGCCCGGTAGTACGAACGGCTTCCCGATGCGCACAGCCTCAGTCTGCTTATCCTCGAGAGGGGTGACGACCTCATCAAAGGCAATAAGGGACTCTCTCGAAATTTCGTCGCATCGGAATTGGGCCAACAGCTCCTGTTGCGTCGGCAGGTCCAGATCCTTGTTGTTGACAATCTGGTCCCAGACCCCCTCGGCGTAGACAGAAAATCCATCGGCAGGGATTCTGCGGTGGTACTCGGGAAGGAAAACACCACCATCGAGCTCTTGGTCGCCATGTTGGCCAAGGACCTTGCCACTTCGGCTGCCAGCCACGAAGCGCCGGCCCAGCTTATCAACCTCGGTCACGAACTTATCGGGCTGGAGGATCTTGTGGGGCAGGGCGGAGAAGGCAAAGTCGAAGTAGTCCTCTATGCGCGAGTTCTCCAGTCCGGGCGGCTTGGAGATGGACGACCACAGCTTCCCAAGATCTTGCAGCAAGGTGTTCTGCAGGTTCGACAGGGGGGTATTGCCGATGTGGTCGCGGATGACGAAGAACAGCAGCGATCGTGGGTTCGACCTGGCAGCAGGGTTAGTCCGAGAATGTGGTTTGTAATCTGGCAGGGGCGCAACACGTACTGCTTGTCCTTCAGGAAGAGCTGGAGGTTGACCTCGAAGACGGTCTTGAGGAGGCCCATGTTGGCTCCCTGATACAGACCGACCTGGTGTTCCCAGATGTTGACGATCAGGACCTCACTGGTGGCCAGGGCAAAGAGGGCGCTCTTTCTCTCGAAGTCCTGGTCCTCGCCTCGCTCGCGACCGTCGGTGCCCTCGACGTCCATGACCAGGATGTTGTCGGCCATGGAGCCCTTCTTGTTCTTGGACATCCATATTCCCTTGGTGGTCTGGCGGCGTTCCGACTCGGACATGACATTGAACTCGGTGCCGAAGAGGTGGTTGAGGAGGGTCGACTTGCCGGTGGACTGGGAGCCGAAGACGGATATCAGGTGGTAGTTGAAGCCGGACTCGGCGACATCTGTGACCCGGAGGTAGGCATTGATTTTGGAGCTGGGGGCAAGCTTCAGTTAGCGACGGCAGAGAAGCGCAGTCGTGGGACGAACGCGAGGGTGGGCTGGAGGCTGCGAGGGAGCTACGCACTTGAACTCCTTGTCCTCGTCGATGACCTGGACGCCGTGTTCATACTGAGCCTTGGTGGGCTCATCGCCGACGGAGGCGAAGTGTCCGTTCATGGTTGCGGGTTGCGCTGGCACGGGCAAGAAGCAAGCTGTACGTCGGTCATGAAAGCAAACATGCAAAATGCCATGCCCCGGGGGGTTCGTCGTGGTTGGCTCGGTAGTGTATGCTGCTGGTGCTGGCGCTGGTGCTGCTGGTGCTACTGCTGCTGCTCCTGTTGGTGACGACGAGTGGCAGCTTGGCGGCGGGCGCACACAATGGGACGGATGAGCAGTGCGAATGTGGGTTCGTTATTTTAATGGCCAGGAGACCAGATCACTCGATCAACCGAACCCTGGCTTGGCTTCTGACTTCTGGCTTGCTGGCTTGCTGGCCCCCCGTCCTTGGCCTGCTTGGGTTTGTGTAGAAATGACATCGGCAAGGGACACCCTTGTCACCTCCCGCCGGCCAATGGGAGCCCGGCGTCTGCGCTGGATCCGGTCCCCGCCCCAAGGTCCGCCCGCTGCCACTTGATCGGTCCGTCACATGCGCTCTGGCCACGAGGGGGACCCTTTCTTTTTGGCGCTGTTTACTGTAGGTACCGTACCTCTTACTGTAGATATGGAGCGGAGCTATGGTGGATGGAGATCAGATGGAGTTGCTATGGGACTGGGGATGGTGGCTTGGACTCGATCAGTCTGTGGACCCTTGTGGTTGACGTTTTATGAGTTGTCATGTCTTGCTTCCTCTGCAACTCGGCTTCTTTGTCGAGTCCAACCTGGGGAATGTTGCAAGACCTTGTTTGCAGACGCCGCATTGCTCAACTGCCGCGAAGTCTAATTGCTCTACAGAGCCCCCATAGCTACATAGGTAGGTTCGAGATTCCTAGCAGTTCCTCCGTCAGGCTGCATATGTGCTTGCGTCATTCGAGAGGGCTTTGTATCTCACACAACTCAGACTTACCTGATAATGGTCCTGTCGACATTCACCGTCCAAACACAGTGGTGGCCCCCATCGACGCATCCAGGCAGTTGTGACATTCCAACACGGCAGCCACACATTTTCGGTGCCCAAGGCGGTTGTCGTTCCGTTTTATCCACAAAGGGAAGTACGCTTCTATTGCGCAGGACCATCAATATATCTAGTCCACTACTTGTACCATCTTCCACCTCTGTAGAGCTTGAGCTTGCAGGTATATGTTATTCCAATGAAATCGTGTAGCCTGCGACAGGAAATACAGGTGCGTGTAGTAGACGGCAGCCCAGCCTTCGGTTAAAGAATGGCGTACTGAATTGGTACTCCTTCCGAATCCTTTTCTGTCGCCCAAAGTCTCCCATCTATCCGATAGAATGGCCGTGCCGGGTGCAGTGTCCATTGCTTGTAATGTCATCGACATGGTAGAACGAAGAACAAGTCCAAGTCTACTACATATGGCTCACATAATCAAGCAATATATAAGATTGACTTGGTTGGATGTTTCAGACAAATAGTTGATTGGTGATACCCGCGCGGGCCCCCAATGTAGCGTAGCCTAGGGGAGTGCTGAATAATGGGCTGCCATGCAAACCCTCTTCACATCGCAGAAGCCTCAAGCTGTCCAGTCACAGCCTCGTCTTACGTGCAGCCTCGTTGTCCGCGGGGGCGAAACAAAGGTCTTCGGCCTCTCGGATGAGAACCAGTGCCGGGCAGTGCCAATCATATGTCATCGGGCCTGTGTGGGATACGACCTACAAGACTCTGAAAACGTTCGATCGGGCCAGCCTGCTGTCGAGTCTAATACGCAATTGTTGTGAATGGCACGCCGATTTGTAAGCCTAACCCAAGGCGTAAGCGAAGATACGCGGTCTGCCAACTACCGTAATACTCCCCGCCGTCGCTGATTGGCCTATCGTATTCCGCTCCATGCTAGAGTATGCAGCCTGGATGGTGCTCATTCCTGTGAATCAGAGTTATCCATGGAAGTTTCACAACTCCTTGTCGGTTATACTAATGATGCAGGGTTATAACATTTGTAATGTGTTGTCTTGCTGCGTGGGCTATGGGTATATAACGCCGCCAGCCTCGTTGCAAGCAGGACACTCCATTCCACATGATCATAGGCTCCATCAGTCGCAGAACACGCCTGACTCCTTCGATATTCATCTTCCACAATTCATTCCATTTCACTCATAAGGCCATAATGTCGACTGTTCTCATTCTCGGTGCTGGGCCAAACATCGGCCTTGCGACAGCCAAGGTCTTTGCGACGGCTGGCTATAGGGTAGCCGTCGCATCGCGGAGCAAGCCAGCAGACTTGGACTCTTCCTACAAGCACTTCAAATTCGATGCCTCCAAGCCAGAAAGTGTTCCCAGTCTGTTCGGTGAAGTACGGGCTACGCTTGGTGATCCCTCAGTGGTAATTTATAACAGTAAGACATCCTCCGCTTTAATTTCTTGCAGCTGCAACAAGAACCAAAAACTAATACGGAGGGGAAAATAGCCGCTCAAGCCACCTCCACTCCTGATGGTGCATTCACACTCGGCCTAGAACAATTCCGCAATGATATGGACGTCAACACCACAAGCCCGTACATCACGGCGCAGGAAGCGATCAAGGGGTTCGCCAAGACCGGCCCTGGCAGTACATTCATCTACACCGGTAACAAGCTCAATGTTCTGGGCTGGCCGTCATTGCTCTCATGCGGTATGGGCAAGTCGGCTGTGGCGCATATGATTCGGACTGCCAACATAGCATTTCCAGACAAGGGCTATAAGTCAGTAACCCCCCTCGTTTCTTCTAGCCACCCCTACGTCTCTCCTGCCACCATACGAATGGAGCCAGACCATGCCTGTTTACTTCGATCCACTAACCCAACGGCTCTAGGTTTTACTACGTCGATCAGCGCCAGAAGGATGGGAACGTAACGATCCCCGTCGGCGGCCCTGCACATGCAAACGAGTTCTTAGAGCTGGCAAAGGACGCGAAGCAGAGGCCTTGGCACTACACGTTTGTTGAGGGACAGGGCTACGTGGACTTTCACGAGCGATAGATACCGTCCGTTCTTCCATCGTTTTCCCAAGCCTATAAATATATGAAACGTCAGGAAAGGGGCAGATTGGTCGCGCAAAATACTAGGATGTATGCTCCCTTGATTGCTTTGAAACAGCTGAACTTTGTGAAAAAAAATAAAATAAAAGAATTTCCATAAATGTAAATCCCGTCGGCTCAGTGGATTGAAAGGTCACTGACCCGGAGCCTAACTGAGTAGGGGAAATCGGTGTCTCCGCTAGTCATTGAATCACGACTAAAGCTCAATATGCTTTCATGGAAGGTGATCCTGGTAGTCGATTATCCCATAGGTCTCCTGCAGCAATGAGGTAGACTCCACAACTTTTCTTTCAGACAAAAGTGAAGGTACAGTTAGAAATGTGATGACATCGCAACTCTTGGACCTGTAGAAGACGAAACTTCAGGCTACGACTACCTTCATTCCAAATTGAATGGAGCGTATCCTAGACCTCAGGTTCATTGCGCGTACAAACAAAAGTGTCCAATCTTCTCGTCAAGTGAAAGCTTACAAGCGGCCTCTGTCAAATGCGCTACAGCGTGAATCAGCTAACTGATTGATCGACAAAAATTACGAAGAGATGACATCCTAGCACAGTGTGATCCCGCCAAGCGGCCCTACTTTAGATATGCGTGCGGTTTGTCCCCCAAGGAGGGCTATATACGGTATGCAGTGCTGGAACAGTATATCCAAGCTACAGATCACACTGCTTTCTCGGTCTACGAGCGCGGAGGCAATGGTGAATCCTTGGCCACCGGCAAGAGCACCACCGCCATGGACTTCATGGGTCGACTACGTTTACTCCTAGTTGAAGGTATTGATATAACATCACAAGCCACAATTGCGTCGTGTGCTAGCTATCACATTTCCTGACTCTTTTCTAATCCACGAGGCGTGAGGATTTGGGCATGCGATACAAAATCTTGCGAGGATGACGCTGGGCTGGCCAAGATGCTGACCGACGGGATGTTCAAACATTGTAGTATCACAAATGCTGTTTTCACCGAACGCAGTGATGTTATAACATGCGTATGGAGGCACAAGAGGAATTTTGGGATGCTAGAACGCATTTGTACGGAACGGCTCTACAAATCATTCAATATCAACCTGAACTTTAGTCCGGCACACTGGTACGAGTACCGTTATTGACTGCGACGAAATATCCACGATATTCCATGATCGACATTTTAGCTCCTGGGTCGTCTTACCCGCTTCTGGGCAGCGTGAACCTCCCTCTTGTGTCGAAGTAGCCTATCCTTGCGCGAAAATGTTTGTTGGCACTCGTCGCACACAGCGCCTTGAGGAGGATACCCGGTTTCCTGGGCCCACGCCTTGTGGCTGCTCCAAACATGTCGGTCCTTTTGGTTTTGGTCCTTTGCCTTGGCCCAGCCGCAGTCTTCCTTAGGGCACTGTCGATGGGCCAAGGCGTGCTTTCTGAGGGACCTTAAGTAGAATACCTTCAAAATACTTGAGGATGTGAACTTACTCCTTTTCGTCGGTAGTATATCCGCGATACTGGCAATCTTTCCAGGTGCAGCGAGAGCGAGCCCTGGACTTTGTATTGAGCGGAAGAGAGAGCATGGAGTCCAAGGACGCCTCGCTAAACTCTCCCCAGGACTGGTCGCCTTCATAGACTTGAGACGCTGCTTGTGCTGCCCCACCTACGTCAAATGCCCCTGCGTGGGATAGTGATTGCATGCCAACATCTCAGGACGGTTGCATGTGCGCGGCGTCAAATGGAGAGTTTTCCAGATCTTGATGCTGGGTCAGCAGCAGTGCCGGATCGATCGTAGCATCGACTTCTCGACCAGGAGCAAGGGCGGATGGTAACACTCCAGATTGAAGCATTGTCGAGTCCGCTTCAGAGATGGACCATGCTATGGTATCATCGTAGTCTGCAGAAGCTCCGTAAATCTCCTCGAAATGTGACAAAGCTGGGCTTCGTGAAAAAGCCATGGCATAAGACCAGACTGTAGCTAGCCTCAGAGTAAAAGGTGTGAACGGCAAAACAACAGTGAAAACTCTTTGAGCAGCGTGGGGCAGCTTCAAATATTGGGATGATGAACGAGCGCTAGGGAGACCGTGCTTGGCTGATAGGCGTATCCTTGGTCCTTTCGATCTCTCTCTCTCGTCCTCGTTGCTTTTTTTTCTCTTGGGTGGCATTGTAATTGGCCAAGATGCCGCTAGCTGCAGACTGCATAGGAAATGCTGCAACTCCTATTACGTGGTCCAACGAGATGTGTACTGCCCCCCACGAGATGTGTATCGTCCCCAATGAGATGTGTGCTGCCACCCATAAGATAAGTACTGCCTTACGTGACATCAGCAGGAGATGGTTAAGGCTGACTTCGCGGTGCTGTGGAAGACCCGTGGCTCATGCAGAGCCGAGAGCTTTGTTATCCTGCCTGTTCTCAACTGTCTTCCGTCAAGTCACACTGGATGCTTTTCGTTCACGGTCTTATTGCAAGTTCAGAATCTCCAGATGGTCACAGAGAAGATAGTGCCGACCCGAGAATGTGGCGAGGCTCACAAGCGCTTGGTGGTCAACTCGGCTTTGCTGAGTCTAATCGACCCGGTTCGAGGAGCACCTACGAAAAGCCTCCTTGACGGACATCCCGATGACGATTTTCTGAAAAGTCATCAACTCAAGGAGAGATTCCTCGACTCATTCGCACTTATCTGCTCAACATCAGGTTGCGGCAAGGAGACGGCCTCGGCCGTCTGCATGGAACAGAATCAGTCGTCTGAAACCATTTTACGCGTCGCTCGCAATCGCGGCCTATCACAGCAAGACCGCAATGGACTTGAAAGGATGTTACAAATCCTTGTCTCAACTGCCAAAGGAGGTATGTAATCATGAAATATGACTACCACGTTGCGGTTGCTCACACTTCACTTAATGCAGAGAAGTTATCAAAGCAAGCCGAAACAGAAGTCCTAGAAGAAGTGGTTGATTTAGACAGAAGCCGCATTTTGTCGCTTGTACAGAAGCTCGAGAAAGGTGGGATTCGACGTGTGTTCCAGCTGGCAATCTCCCGGCTCTTCGACAACGGTTGTTATGAAGAAATATCGGAAGACCCACGTTTTGGGTGTTGGATAAAGACGTGCCCTTTCACAGGCACATATCTAAGCTCCTCTGGGTCGTCTCAATTGTTCTCTCTTATCAAGTGGGCAGCGCAGGCTAGATGGGTCTACCCTAAGCATTTGCAGGTCTTGCTCGCCTTCGGCCCAACGTCGACTCCCCCATGGATTGAAACCCTTTACAAACTTGCTCGCTATTGGGCAGCGATCAAGTCGATGATCAAATTTGCCATGAAACAGCCTGCGGTCTTCGCGAGCATCCGCATTCAGGATGTTAAGGCCCCTCAGCAACAAACATTCTCGCTTTTCCAGGAGCAAACACCTCTCCGGAAAGCTCTCAAGAGATTAGTCAAAACAGACTACGCGGTGACGATAACGAAATTAGCCCAGCGCTGGAAGACAGACGACGTAGAGGCCACGTTGCGTAGAGCATGCCGTTTGAAGCTCACACTCCACGCCGAAATGCAGCTTCTGGATTTCTACGACCGCAACCCAGCTTTGGTGCCTCAACTACGTTTGATGGGCACCAGTAAGAAAGCTTGCTATCTTTGTTACGAATATCTAGTTCGGCATCCGCTTCGCATCCGGGTATCGGCTTGCCATCAAAAGGTCTACCCTACATGGATGCCGCCGTCCAGTCGTGATATTCCTGGAGTAGCTAGGAATAAGCTTTTCTGGAGTTTTAGTAAGCATATTGAACATGTGACCGTGAGAGAGCTGAGGACAGGACTGGCGGCTTCCCAGCGACCGAGGAACAAGGATTCAACGGCAGGTCCGTCCCTGACAGTAACAGCAACTGTCCCTACGAGGTCTGGGTGTGGCACATAGCATTACAACATCTGCCAATTCAATGCGATAGCATGGCGGGAGATGAAATTAGAGGACGTCTGCAGAACTCTGAAATTACTCAACCCCTGAAATAATAGAATCGGGTGAAATGGCCGTATACACAGATTAACGTGACATGGATAAGTAGAAAATGATACGAGGCCTCCTAGTTTCGAGCGTCCACTAGACGTGTTCCATTTACTAGCATCGGCCTCATGGATCAGCTATGAGACCTAGATGCAAGTGGCAACTTCAGGCACAACAGCTGAGAATAATGTATCTAAGTTGGGTTTTGATGCATGACTTATCAAAAGAAAGGGATCCCCATCATCAAGTGAATGCCTGCCAAAGACGCACTTTAGACGGGCGAACACAGCCTGCCTGCTTGAATCTGCACCTAGAACGTCCAGAACCAACCGAATTAGAAGAGCGCCGCAATGCCTTGCTGCCCAAGCATGCGGGGGGCCGTCCACATACCTACCATCCAGCCTTGCTGAGTCTTGAGATCACGCCGGCTCTGAGTTGAAGTTAAAAGGGGGACTTATCGCCAAAGCTCCCACGTATAGACTATCACTTACACCATCACTCAAATCATCACTCAAATCATCACTCAAATCATCACTCAAATCATCACTCAAATCATCACTCAAATCATCACTCAAATCATCACTCAAATCACTAAAAATGACAGCCGCTGAAATCCCGATGGGGGACCATCGAAACCTCTTAGATATCATTGACAGCCTCCGCGCGCAGGGATTTAGCCGATATGTCAACCTTCCCGAGATCATAGTATGTGGAGATCAGTCTGCGGGCAAGAGCTCCGTCCTCGAGGCTATCTCTGGTATGCAATTTCCTACCAAAGACGGCCTCTGTACTCGTTTCGCAACAGAGCTGGTCCTTCGTCGAGGCCACGAGAAGAGCACAAATGTCCTCATTACACCGGGCCAGGGTCGATATGACAAAGAGAAAGAAGATCTCGAGCGTTGGCAGCCCAAGGCCAATATAGAGAAGGACGGTCTCGAAGCAGTGACAGAGGAAGCAATGGAAGCTATGTGGGTTCCGGTGGCTCGCAAATTCTATGACGATATCCTCCGCATCGAGCTCACCGGGCCAAACCAGCCGCATCTAACTATGGTAGACCTACCTGGTCTGTTCAGGGCAGGCAACAAGGAGCAATCTGACGCGGATGTCGACACGGTACGTTGCATGGTTGAGAAGTATATGGCTCGGCCGAGGAGCATCATCCTAGCCGTAGTGTCGGCCAAGAACGAGTATGTCCTCCAAGAAGTGACGTCAATGGCCAAACAAGCAGACCCAGAGGGGCTGCGTACCATGGGGCTCGTCACAAAACCAGACACTCTAGATATTGGTTCCGATTCCGAGGGATACTGGGTGCGCCTCGTCCAGAACACTGAGGTAGAGCTCCGTCTCGGATGGCATGCTCTGAGGAACCGCAACTTCGAGCAGCGGGGCTCGACATCGGCCCAACGCGACGCCATCGAGGAGGACTTCTTCTCCAGTGGCATCTGGACTGGTGTCGACTCCTCACACTGTGGCGTCGCAGCTCTGAGGACCAGACTCAGTTCTGTTCTAAAGGACCAAATTTTGACTCAACTACCAGGCTTAGTTCGAGACGTGGAGAATAACGTCCGCGAATGCACCGACAAGCTGGACCGGCTTGGTCCTGTCCGCACAACTCGAGAGGAACAGCTGCAGTACCTGCTGCATTTGAGCGAGGATTATACGTCCCTGATGAAGCAGGCGATTGATGGCGCGTACCATGCCCGCTTCTTCGGCAGTCTAAAGAAGCACGAAGGGTATCCTACGAGGCTTAGGGCGGTGGTGCAGAATCGGCTGCTTGCGTTCAGAGAGGAGATGCTCTTGAATGGACAGAGTCAGAGAATCATCGACTCAGAAAGCGAAGGCGGGGACGAAGACGAATTCAGCGAGTCGCCCCGTATCTCTAGGTCTAAATACGTTGAGGACGTTGCGCATCGCCTGAAATATAGTAGGGGACGAGAACTCCTGGGCCTCTTCAACCCGCTTATTGTTGGCGATCTCTTCGTAGATCAATGCGAGCCATGGCGAGATATCACAAGAGCCCTTGTCGAGGATATCATGGAAGCTGTATATCGAATGACTCAGCTCGTGATCAAGCACATTGCTGCTAGTGATGTCTTCCCCGAATTACTTAAGGTTGCCCACAAAAAGATAGAAGAGCTGAAGGTTGAACTGGATGCCAAGGTTGATGAGTTACTAACCTCAGCTACGCAGCACCCCATTACATACAATCCCCAGCTTACAGAGAATGTTCAGAAGGCTCAACAGGCACGGTACAAGCGCTCGATTAAGCAGCTAATAGGCAATGCTTTTGGCTCAAAACATTTCGAAGACCCGGAGAGCAGGATTAATCTCAATCCGGTACAGTTAGTAGACATCCTGGCACAGGGTCTCGAACCTGACATGGAGCTATTCGGAAGCTCTATGGCAGTTGAATACATGGAAGCATATTACAAGGCAGGCCTCACTTAAGTCAACGACATGTTCATATGCTGACGATAGTCTTACGTTTATAGGTGGCACTGAACAGATTTATTGACGATGTCAGCGTGCTGGCCATTGAGGACTGCCTCATCGACAAACTCTCCAAGCTTTTCAGGTCGAGCACGATCCTAAAAATGAGCCCTGAAGACATTTATCGCCTCGCAGGTGAGACCACAGAGTCTTTTGTCGAAAGAAACCGCCTATCAGAGAAGCGTAAGATCCTCGAGGCAGGTTTACGGGGTCTTAACGGCCTACAGAAGCAAAGGCAATTGGCCCGCCCTGCTAGATGGAATCCTGTGTCATCAGAAGATGTGGAGAGCGAGCCTGAGAAGATTACGCTTAGTTTGGAGGGAGCATCAATCGCTAGCTCCGCCAAGGGGCCAACCCCCGTGATGAATTATCAAGACGAAGCAAACCCTCCACCTGACGGAGACTTCGAGTTACCTGACGCGCCACGAACTGAGTCATGGACAGCCCAGGAATCACACGGGACACGGGACGAGGAATGGGATTTCGCGACCCCGTCAACCCAAGTGGCGAAGAAGGGGAAGGGAAAGAAGAAGGGGCCTAGGTATCTTTTCGAAGAGCTTGATGATGAACCGAAGCCAGAGCAAATTTGAGTTATAAGACTCGATCAGTGTCTCATTCATTATGAAGCAAAAGAAAGCTAGGGTAGGGTTCACATATCGCTATGTCAATTTTGGGCAATACATTATGAAAAGTAATCCTTGGAAGTGACTCTTCAGTCTACTAATTGGGAAGAAATCCTGGCCTTCTAAAATGGAGCATTATTAGTAAAGTGCGTGTAGTGAAACCGCGAAGTACATATCCCCCGCCACGTATGGCACGTCTGGACTGTCATATTCGGACGGCCAGAGATCGACACGGCATTTAAGCGTGTAGTTTTGGGGCTTTCAACTTTGGCGTTTAAGAAAACACACTCAGCGAACCTAGGGTCCCATGGATACGCTATTTACACCACGAGCGATGTCGTCCAACAATAATTCTCACTTGGGAGCATTTCGAAAATGTAGAACTCTGATCGTACGAGTTCACATTGCCGAGATTAGACTGCATCTGGTGAAGTCAGACCATATCAGGCCTCCCCTGACCTTGAACTGTACTATCTCAGGCTGTTGTTGGGCTCGGTAAAACAAATCTACGTTATTCAACGGAAATGCCGAAAACCATAATGATCAAGATCCTCTTGGCTATAGGTGAGGGGCCATCCTTTCTTTTCTCGTGACTTCAGATCTCGGTATGTACTGCGTTCGGGCCGGGTTGTGGGTGATCCGATACGGGTTATCCCTGCTGGTCAGGGGTAGTCCAGTTTTCGTTGAGCCACCGATCAGGCCACAACATAAACATTTATCTTGAACGCCCTATGGTCATTCCTTTCTTGGAACAACAAAATTGTAAAAGTTTGGTCGAACCATTGCAGCTGCTCAATGCACACCAACGGGCTTCGAAGATGCATTGGTTTGCTAAAGGTTCCCAAACCGAATTACCGCCACATCAGCACGCAATCTGCCAAAGTAACAAAGTGGCATGTTTTATCTGGGTCAAGACCGCGGTCCGCCCTAAGCGTGCCAGACCTTGGGGTTGCGAACGGTATTCACCAGCTCAGACGCCAACATAGACTACCCGCTGGCTGGTCATTGGTGCCGTTCGAGGAAGACGCGAAGGACCTTGACCACATTAAGGAGACGATGACTTGCCCGGAGTTTCGATATAGTGTCTGGGGCTGGACTGTAAGTATATATTCGAAGTCTGCCAGGTTATGAAACTGAGTGGATCGCGTACAGATCTACCGCTGCACCGAAAGAAACGACGCAGGTTGGAGCCGGATTTTGGAGTCTCTTCGCGGGGAGGTCCTTGAGACATTGAGGTGCCACAACCGGGAAGAACTGCTACTCTATCATGATTTACACATCATTGATGATCCGGAACTCTAGGTAGGTACGGAAATCCGCTCACTACCTAGGAAACCCTGTTGACCCGTTTATGTGGTAGTATGCATACCAGAACTTGCCGCTTGCGAGTGCTTTGCTTGAGTAGTATATTCGCTGACCAGATCGTAACTTTCAGTGGGGCAACAAGTCATGAAGTTCGCGACCACTTTTCAGCATGGACTCAACGAGAACTGCAGTCAAGGCTCTCCCCCGATTCTGGAATTACCGATGCCAGGAAGTTGGTGTGTGCGGCCGAAACAGCTAGATATAACTTCTGCTTCATGGTTGACGATCTCTGCCTTGAACAACTTAAAGATTCGTCCGGACCAATCGTCAAGTTGGTCGATAAGAACTGGGGATACTTGGACATCAGAAAGACAATACACGATCCACCCGGACTACCATGATGGGGACTCTGACGACGACCAGGAAGATGTGGGTTGGGCTTATGTGCCAGCCGGGGATTATACATGCGCATATGGTTTTCTCAAGGATCAATATGATTGGGAGTCAGTTTATGTGCGGCCACCTGGTATCGCCCCCTGTTTTAGTTCCGGGTAGCTAGAGCAAAACGAGTCGGGTGTTGCTGAGAGTTATCTGCAGCCAGACAGAAAGTGTATTATTGAACAAGCTAGTGAAGAAACCCATATGTTAGTTGTTATTTGGAGAACGTACAAGTTGTAATCTTCATCGCAATTCAGCATGCGTATAGGTGATATAGTTTTTGCTGCACACCCGCCGTGTGCTATCCTAGGTCGGTACAGAGACAGCTGAGTTACCATGAATGGTTGTGCAGTGCCTATGCACAGCCTTATCGATAAGCCAAGGACCGAAATATGGAAGGCCACTGGGGCGACCACAAGCTCCCTCCCGGCCAATACAGAAGCGCAACGTCATTGCTATCTCCCACCTCCAACCCCGAAAAACGTCCAGCGGAAGCAGAAACAACACCGCCTCGGCAAGCATCCACACATATCGACGTGTTCCCTCGTCAGGACCGTCAAGTAGCGGCGAAGCAACCATGACCGAATCAGCCCCAGCACCGGAGGACGCCGCGGCCGCCCGCGCAGCCGAGCAGGCGCGCCTGCGCAAGGAGCGCCGCGAGGCCAAGATCAAGGCCGGCGGAGCGGCGCGCCTCAACAAGATTACGGGCCTAGGCGGCCGAGGTGAGCAGGCCCTCATACACATTGTGCCCCATCGCCATCGAGTGCCATAGGTTCAAGCTGACACCGCACGCTCCCACAGAGCCAGAGCCCACAGCCGCAGCCCAGCCGGCATCGCAAACACCCCCACCCCAAGCTACACCACGGCCCCCCAAGCCCGCCAGCAGCAGCCACGATGACCCGGAGGAGGTCGACATATCACAGCACTACTACGCCCCGCGCACGGCAGCAGGCCGACCCCAGGGCGGCGCCGGCGAGCCCGCGCTCTCGGAGGCCCAGCTGCGGCAGATGATGCTCGGCCTCGACCGACCAGGTGCCACGCCCCCCGGCCGGAACCCCTTCTTCGACCCCAGCGCCGGCGGCGGCGGTGCCCCCGGCGACGCCGCCATGCCGCCCGGGATGGAGGGCCTGGCGAACGACCCGATGATGCAGATGATGCAGCAGATGATGGGCGGCGGCGCGGGCGGCGGGCCGGGGGCCAACCCGTTCGCAGGCACGGGCATGGAGAGCCTGTTCGCCGGGATGGCGGGCGGCGCCGGGCCCGAGGGCGCGCAGGCGCAGACGCAGGCGGCCGTGACGGACAAGTCGGCCAACGTGTGGCGGATCCTGCACGCCGTGTTCGCGCTGGGGCTGGGGCTGTACATCGCGCTGTCGACGACGTTCGCGGGGACGCGGGCGGAGCGGGACTTTGGGTCGTCGCTGACCAAGGGCGGGGACGCCGGGGCCGAGGACCCGGCGGCCATGATCAGCCTGGAGCGGAAGCGCGCCTACTTCTTCTACGTCTTCACGTCCATCGAGGCCGTGCTGCTGACGACGCGGTACTTCCTCGACAAGCGCCGCGCCCCGCCCACGGGCATCGTCTGGACCGTCAGCGGGTTCCTGCCGGGCCGCCTCGGCAGCGGCGTCCGCCACGCCCTGCGCTACGGCGAGATCTTCAGCACGGTGCGCAGCGACGCCCTGGTGTGCGTGTTCGTGCTGGGCGTGTGCTGCTGGCTGAGGTCATGATCGGAAGAGAAGCCACGATGAACGCGCGGATGAAAGGGGAAAATGGGAATGTGCAAAGGGGGAGTCCTGGACAGCGGACAGGCGGATGGAGTGTAGGCGGACGGATGAGGACACGAAAAGGGGCCGGTCATGATGAGGCTGCGGCATTGCTACGGCGTTGATGGTCATGTTGCTTTTGCGAAATACAAGCAGGACACCACTGTCCCAATTGAGGTCATGCTCTCTACATAATAATGAAGACAAAACTTGTTCCGATGAGTTCGATGAACGAAATTATTTGCACGTCGCGATAGTGACATAGTGGGAGCGCCTCTTGTGGGTTCCTCTGAAACAGACTTCAAAATCAGTTGCTATAGGTGCTAAAAAGCAAGTAACGCCATCCAGATGTACACGTATTTTTGGTTTCCCTTTTTAGCCCATTTTAGATCCAAGTATCTTGACCAACGATATCTGCTGAGGTATATCATCAATTGTCTCGTCTCTCACCCAGAAAAGGCACCTCGTCGGGGAGAATGGCTGCTGTCATTCGAAGTCATAGGGTTGATGGAGAATCAACTCTCATCCCCGTGGATGTTCCGCCTGCCCTCGACAGTCAAATTTGTCGGTTTACGAAATGATCTCATCAATTCTCTGCCTCTTGGCAGATGGCTCGTCGGCGCCCGTCTCCTGCTGCAGCTCCTTGTCCTGAGCCTTGAGAGCCTTGACCTCGGTGTCGTTCAGACCCTTCATGACCGATTCCAAAGGCTTGTTAAGCTTCTGTGCTTGGTGGAAAGCACGGATGATGCTGTCCGTGTCGTCGACGGTGATCTTGCGCACATCAGCCAAGGCCTTGATCTTGGCCGTGCACTCCTTGTACTGCGCATCGCTCATGGCAATCTGGAGCTGCTCTGCTCTCGACTTGATGGCATTCCAACCAGTCAAGCGAGAGGCAAAGTGGACATATCGGCTCATGCCGAAATCAGCAGGGTTGATGATCTCGTAGGTCGAGGGGTTGTTGAGGATGGCCTTGGCGTGGATACCAGCCTTGTGGGTGAAGGCGCAGAAACCGGTAATGTAGTTGTTGAAGGGAACGTTGATCTGAACGGCCTCGGCAACCAGCTCCTCAATATCCTTGAGCTTCTTAAGGTTGTACTTGTTAATAACGTAGTCGCGGTCCGCAACAATCATACGAGCCATCAAGCCACCCAGAGGGGTGATGCCGTTACGCTCGCCAATACCGATAACAGAGGTATCGATGTGAGTGGCGCCAGCCTCCAAAGCGCAGTAAGCGTTGGCAATAGCACAGCCAGTATCGTTGTGGAAGTGAGTCTCGATGTCACACGAAACGACGCCACGAAGAGTTCGGACAAGGTCGTAGACCTGTCTGGGGCTGGCACAGCCGACAGTGTCGGCAATACCAACACGGTTGACACCGATCTTGTCGACAGCCTGGTAGATCGAGAGCAGGTCGACGAGATCGGAACGGAAGCTGTCTTCCGAAGAGAATCTAATCTCAATTCCCTTGGACTTGACGTACTCGATGACCTCGATGGCGGTGTTCTTGATGTAGGACATATCCTTGCCGTGGGAGTGCTCCATGAGGTATGCCGATGTTCCAATAACAACATCGCTAGACGGCATGTTAGCCAAGCTGCCCAGACTTGGGATATTGGAAGGCTGTATACTTACACACCATCTACACCAGTCTCAACAGCGATTCTGGCGTCGTCCATGTGGCATCGGATATGTGTGAGAATCTTGATCTCAGGTCAGCATATTATGACTCACGTGACCAGCGTTGCCGTCACTTACCTTGGCCTTGAGGTTGAGCTTGCAGATCGCCTCGCAGTCGGCGCGTGATTGCTCACTGGCAGCCGGCGATGTCAGTTCTATCTGTGAAAAGGTTAGATTCTAAGCCGCGAGATAGGGGCACCCACTGCGGCGGATGCCGTGGGTAGGTAGACATACGTAGTCAACGCCTACACTCATGAGTTAGTCTGAGGATCCTAAATGATCAATGCTGAGAAGAAGGCGTGAAACATGGACTCACCGAACTCATCTAGAGCCTTGGCAATCTCGATCTTCTTCTCGGTGTCGAAGAAGGCATTGGCGAATTGCTCACCCTGGGCAGGATGTAAGTATTGGGCTTCACGGCCGAGGCCACGTTGACGTCTTGAGACTGAAGCTTACCTCACGGAGGGTGGACTCGATGATCTTGAAATTTGAGACGTTGCCTGAATGGGAGTCAGTAAAGCCCTCGTGCAGGACGATGTGCTGCTGAGCCGCTGGCACTCACTCAAGAAATCGCCCACGGGAGCGTAGGGGTTGTGGCCCTTGGTCTCGAACTTGGTGTAGCCAGGGTGGCTCGAGGAGCCATTGGAGCCGTTGGCGCCGTTGGCGGCGGCGGCGGTCGATTGTCCATTCATATTGGGCAGAGTTGCGGCGGTTTGCTCGGGTTCACAGGTTGGACACATGGTGGTTGAGTTGAGTCTTGAAGAGGTGACGTCTGAAAAATATTTATGGGCGCCGGCGCAAGGTCTTGTGGGGCCAGGTCTGGGAGCTGGGGTAGCGGTAGGGAAGTACAGCCAAGATGGATCCAGGCCTGTCTGATCCTGCAGCGTTTCCGTGCTAGCTGTGTCTGTAATTGGGTCGGTTCTGGCGGATCAATTGCAGTCGGCGAATGGGCGAAGGCAGTTGAGTGTTTATGTATCGAGCAGTTGACTCAGTCTGCAGGCTGTGGAGTTATGGTGAAAGAGATGCTCAGTGTGGGGAAAAATCGGTGTCCTAGCTTGACTGCAAGGCTTGGAAAGATTTTTTTCCCTCCTGATCCCGGTTGCCCAGCAAACGCAGCCCGCTAACGGACTTCTCTCCAGCCTCGATGAATCAGACACCTCCGATTACTTAGTTCGTAGTCCTTGCAATTAGGCGCCCCAGTTCGATAGAGCGGCATATCCTGCCGGCTGCACTGCTCCGTGCCACCGTAGGGGGCGTGGCCCCGGCGAGGAGTGAAGACGGGCGGTCGTCGCCGATCATGTACACAAACGCCCCGACGTCATAGTTGCCCTGGGCAATTCCCCGGATTTGGTAGGGATCCTTGGAAGGATGGAGGACACGCATCGCGGAACGGACCAGCCAGGCCATGGGATGTCTTGTCAGGTAAGCAAAGAGTTATTTCAGGACGCGGCGGTGCTCGTCCTCACGCAGCTGGCCCACGAACCACATACTATTACAGCACGATCCAAGGATTGCAGTAGTTCAGCAGCCCAGATCCAGCACTTGCATGCATGCACACAGCACACACGACAGCCCACCAAAAGCCTTGCTAGGGAGTTACATCTAAACGTCAGTGCAGCCGGCACGTTGCCTCTTTTGGCAAGGCTAGAGACCTGCCTCCATCCGGTAGCGCTTCGCTACCACCCATTCTTGGCCGGCATCGGCAGACACGTATGAATCATTGGCCAATCCGACTCAACCTCGAGTGACTGAGTTTCGTGCATCAGTGCAGTATACGGTTTCTGATGTCTCACTTAGATGCGCACCCACTGTGATTGGCTCTGGTAGGCCTCAATCAGCTATAGCCCGTTTATATTCAAGACTCATGCGTTGATTATATGGTACACTGTCGACGGCAGCGGGCTGCTGTGCCTCGCCATCTAGATGCAGTAGTTACAGTAGCTACAGTACATTACACATCAGATCGTACATCTTTTCTAACCTATGGTCGGAGCACTCTTCCCAAAACGCTGCCCAACACCCCCCGAACCCGCTTGTGGTTCTCTAGTACACAGGTAAATACAACAGCAGTGCTGGCGGCAAAGACGAAAGTTTCTCGCCACTGCTTGTCCAGAGAGTACCGTCGAGGAAGAAGGGTCGCCATTGCACGCGGCGCAACGAACAGTCCTATGTCCTTTCTTCTCCCAGGCACCTCAAGGAAAATGCTCCACCCACAAAGGGAGCAGCCTGTCCCGACGCAGAGTCCCCCATCGATCTTATTCCGGGATTCAGTGTCCTTCCCGATCAGATGGGGGCCCACTCGCGTCCTTGTCAGGCAGACACCGTAGAAGAACAACGTGATGAACGCTGCCAGGAACGCCGAAGACCGAGCTGCAGAGACCAGGGCTCTTTTCAGCGCCTTCAGCCTCGGTGTCCGGGCTACGAGTAGCAGGTTGAGTGGCAAGTACGTGGTCATTGACCACTTGAAGGAGCCCAAGAACCGTGACAAGAAATGCCACTCACATGACGGGCCACAGCCCATATGCACCATTTCGCATGGGTATGGCACCGACTTGGCCGGATCACCCCAGTCGAGCGGCCACCCGTACTCTTTAGCCATGGCTTGGAGGAGAGGGGCCTGGCCCGTCTCCTCGCCATAACGAAGCTCACGCTTTCTACAACGTCGCAATGCCTCGATCAGACGAGGGTCCACGGCCGCCGCCGTGGAAATCCACTGCGAGTATGCTCGAGGCAGTTTCGATGGGTAGTAGAACCAAGACCACATGACAAGCCCACTGGAAATGGCAAAGATGGTTGGATCGGTCAACTTGGATACCGTGGATTCAAGCTGTCGCAGATTTAGTACGGGTCACACCTCCACCTCGCGAGCAGACTCACCTGAGTCCATCGAGGACCCGATCTGCGGTGTCGTTGGGCCCATGCCTCGCCAACAACCACGTCGAGAGCCCGTGTCAGGGCAAAAAGGGTCAAGTCCAGCGTCCGTCCGGCATACCTAATCGTCTGATACTGGCCCTGGGGTGGCTGTGCATCCTCAGGTTCGACGAGAACCCTTTCCGTGAATGCGTCACTCTGTTTCGACTGAAGTAATATGAGACTGAGCCAGGCGGCACAGAATGTTGAGAAGAATCGCGATAATCTGATATAGTCAGATCGGGTCTGATGTTTTATTTCAAATTATGAAACTGGGACCAAGCCGTCAACGAGCTGCCAACTTACCTTCGTCGGGCCAGGGGTGGTAAACGAGATGCAAGTCGAGAAACGAGAGCAAAGAGAGGAATCTGGGGTTTCAGGTCAGCGTCTGAAGCCAATGGCCGGCGGCGGCGCTCAGGAGATAAGATACGAATGAATACCTACTTCTAAAAGCGTTGAGCCGCCAACTAGGAGGGCACAAAACGCCGGGAAACGTCGCACGTCCAGACCCTCGCGAAAGATGTGCAGCAGGGATGGCAAGAAGGAGGGTTGTGTGACGCTCCTGTCCAGACTAGGCTTCCTCTTCGTAACATACTGCCGTAGGACCAGAGTGAGCAGTCGTGGAGCGACAGCAGTTGCATACCCAAGTACGTAAGCCCGGACTAGAGGCCTCAAGGACGGTGGTATACCCTGGCCCCACTCGCGCCTTACGGTCGCAGAGTGAGGTCGTACTGAGGATGTCATTACTGCAACCCTCTTGTCGCCGGGCGCCACCAGCGTCTGCGTCTCGAGATAAGATCCGGCCGATTCGGGCAGAGTTTATCAGTCGGGACGGGAGTTCTGGTATACTACGCTGATTACAAGGTGGCCGTGGGACGGTGGGAGCGTGGGCCCATGGACAACCTCCTGCCTTGCCTGCAAGGTACAAAGAGATGCGGGATCGCCAATCTGTCGTGGTTCGGCGATCGCCCAGAAGGGTAAACACTGAGCCCCGACTTGACAGATCGGCGGGCGCCTCGAGATCGACTATCTCGGGATGGGCAGAGGGTTCGTTTGAACAGGCACTCAGGTAGATTAGAGGTTGTGTCAAGTTTTGGAATCTCTACTCGGGCTCGTTTCGCGCAGAAACGGGCCTGCACCCCGGATATCGAATCTCCGCTGCTGACGAGATGCTGCTGCGAAGGGCCGGCAGGCTGGTTGCGTTTGTGGACAGAAACAGGCAGTTGCCGAAGGGGGTGATGCGTCGGTTTGATGCGCGCGCAACGTGCAGTAAATTCAGGAACAGAGGACGGAAGACTCCGAGACCGAGCGACAACAAAAGGGTGGTGTGTAGCAATGTGGGCATCAGGCCGAGAGGCTCAGCTCCCAGAGAAACAAAACGGCTTCGAGATTTGTTCCAGAACATCCAAGAGAGTAAGGAGACCCGAACTGCAATCATAACGAGCGCCCGGAAAACGCCATGCACACCGTGGGAAATGGCCTTGGCTTGGAGACCCCTGGAAAAAGCCTTGGGCTTGGTCCTGGCGCGCTACGGGCTGTACACACGTCGTACGGTAGAGGCTAGATCCCCAGGTAACTACCGGCCGGGACAGTTAGGCGACAGGCCGGACGGCGGTGCGAATGGCCACAAGGTCCGGAGGCGAGGTCAGCGAGATGGGGACGACAGTCTCGGACGAACCTCGACCAGTCTGGCTGGCTGGCTAATGGCACTGAGAGTTCGGGTCGAGATTCGCTTGTCGAGTCGATGGCGGGAGGGATGGTTTGGTGGAAAACGTGGCAGTTGGCCGCCTTCCCTTCTAGTCATAAGGCAATGCAACCCGGCCACGCATAAATCATGCTGCGACAACCCTTTAAGCTCCGACGAACCCAGAAACGAGAAAATGAAAGAATGGGATTCGCAGCGTTATCAGCGTAGGTGTGGGTAGCGACAGCGGTGCTGCAGCCCAACGATTAGGGAAGCTAGCTGGGAGAAACGGGAAGTTGTCGAGCTGGCGCGATGAAACATGCGGTTGCGAGCCAGACAGTCGCAAAAAGCGAGGTGATGTCAAATACTCCCATGACACGAGCTGGACCACGAGCGACAAGCCCTTTGATCCGTGCCACGGCTCGGCTTCAGATCTAGCGCTCGACTAGCCTCGTGTGGGACGGAGAGGGGAGGGAAGGGAAGGGAGAGAGCGCGCGCGAGAGCTCCACGCGGAGAAAGAGGGGACCTCAAGTTGGCGTTCTGCCTTCAGGTCCTTCTGACATGTGAATGAGGCACGCCGCTCGCTGCAGAACTGGACGAGTTGCCAGTCAGCCTTCAAGTGTCAGTCAGCCAGGTCGGCTGGTCGCACACACTACCCATAGTACAAGAGTAATCGACAAAGTGGCATGAGTGGCCGACCTGCATCTGCGGAGAACGCTAGGGGACAAAGGGAGTATATGCAGATCTGGGGTTCTCCGTTGTATTGGTGATAACTGCAACAGGACGGCTCGTAACACCCAAAGTTCGCTATTACTACGATGGTATGTGCAGAACCCTCCCTACCTACGAGACCCTGGCCCGGGGCCCGACTGTACCGGAGGTGGAGAGCGACAGGCTAAGCGAGAGAGAATCCACACGCCAATCACCATCTGCCGTCGTCCGCGATCCCTGGGGGTTTCGATCAAAGTCTATGCCTCATCCAGGAACCCGCTTCGCTGTGATCTTCACGAATCTCATATGGCGGGTTTATGCTCCCAGCAACCGGGTTGGCAGCTCGGGTGACGGGCTGAGAGGAAGAATCGGGGGGGCGGTGGTGGTATAGTCAACATTAACCGAGCCCAAGCAGCCTTTCTCCCTCTGGCCAAGGTGCGTGCGTGAAGGCCGCCGTGTCTCGTACATTAGGGCCCCCTAGTCCCCGGGTCCCCTGGAGGGTCTTTGCTTTGGGTCTGTGGTAACTAAGTGACAAACAAGATGGTACAGTACGGCCAAAGTAAGCGTCGGCTTCGTTAGGTGAAAGTGTCCTGATTAGTGGAATACCCCAGGCCCACTACGGGCTATGGACCGGGGGGGTGTTTAAAGCACACAAAGTAGAGTTGTGGCTTGTCTTGTTGAGAGGCCTGCGGAAGCGTGTGCGTGTGCGTATGAGTGTGAGTGAGAGCCTGCAGGTGACCGCCAACTCTGTGTGGATTACTTGGCGGCGCGGAGTGACCAGGATGCTCGGTCGTTTTCTCCAGGGAAGCGAATGGCCTCCAGTCCTGTTTAGTCCCGGTCCAGTCCTGTCTCCTCCCCGTCGACCGTCGACCGTGGCCCTCACCACTCCACACACACCCTTCCCGCGGTCCCCATTGCCAGGTGCAGCGTCGGGAGTCTTCACGCAACTCCAACTTCCGCTTGAGGACCCCGTACCTGGGATGGGCTGTCCCATCTCCATGCTGCCCGTCCTCCTACCATAGTACTCCTGTGCTCCAACCCTGTCTGCGTCTGCCGGGCCATCTGACTTGACGCGCGAGCTGCTCGCCGTTGACAGATGTCGTCCTCGCCCTCGCCCTCCTCCTCAGAGCTATAACACGCCGACTATTATGCTTGAGCCCAACGGCGTGCAGTAGTTTCTAACCCGCACTCCGTTCCCTTCCTAATCCGGGCAACACCCGTGATGCGGCTTCGACGACGAGATACCGCCCCAGCATCTGTCCAGGAGCTGTCGACTTAAATAAAAGACACCTGCTCGCCGACCCGCGAGCCGCACATGCGACTCGGCCAGGACGACACCAAACAGTCACCACAGTCACCACAGTCATAACCGTCACCACCACCGAGACACGCCATATAAACCCCCCCGACCAACCCTCAGCACCTCACACCGTCATCCTGTGATCGAGCGCCTGTTGTTATACACACTGTTGCCGGGTGCCCCAACGCCGACACTCACTCCCATACCAAAGGACTTCCCCTGCTACAGACCTCGACCTCGACCTCGACCTTACCCACGCGAATACCACGAGCGTATTGCTCCCTGTCCTTTCCGGTGCCTCGCCTCCAACCCACGCTCTTCTACCCGAGCCATACACCACACTCTCCACGCAAGAAGCACCCATGCTTGCTATACAGCGTCCCAGAATGGGGTCGTCACAGCCATATAATGGCGCTGGCCCGTTCGGTTGTACGTGTCTGAACAATGCCCTGACAACGTAGGTGGGCTGTATGGTTAACTTCTTCACAGATTCGATCAATAGAGACGATCTCTTCTTCGAAGCGCCCGAGCCAGCGCCAGGACCACCGCTACTTTCTCTGGAAGAGAACAACAACCTCAACAACATCCTCGAGCAACTTGCCTCTAGCCCCTTCAACGGTGTGTCGTTCGGGGAGGGCCTCAACTTTAGCGATGCCTGGCAGCAGCTCCCACCGCAGTTCATGGGCACTGCCACCGCATACGGACACCATCCCGCGCAACCATTCTCCCCTTCGGTCTTCGACTTCTCAGACAGCAATATCTTCGATGCCTTCCAATTCCAGCCGAGCCATGTCCCTACCCCTCACCTGATGCAGCCTCCTAGGCATCATCAACGAGCGCCTATGCGCTCGTCCCACGGGCAGAGCTCTGGTGCAGACGCTGCTGCTGTTTTGACAGCACTCCAGAGCGGCCAGGCTGCTCGTTCCAATGGCATCGGCCGCAGTGCTGTCCTGCCCTCTCAGCCAGGGCGACCTACCGGTCATCCCATTCCCCAGCCACAGAATCACTACATTGGCCGAAGCAGCCCCATGCGGCCCGCCACCATCCAGTCTCCGGTGGCACCCATGACTGAACATCGCGATGAGAACCTCTTTGCTGATATGGCCTTTGGCAATCCCCATGGGCAAAGCAGTCACAGAGTAGCCCAGCAGGTTCCAGAGGACGTGAGATGGGGAACAGACAGGAGCTTTGCGGGACCTCAGTCCTTCATCCCTTCTTCTCAAAGAGAGACCTCGGACGTCCTCGTGAACGACCGCATCAAGTACCTAGACTGCTTCCAGCTCAGCAACAGCACCACCAACACCCGACCTCCGAGCCCCTTAGGCAATGGCAACGACTCCCCGGTGGGTGGACGCAACGGCAAGCTGAACGGGCATTCCGTGCTGCCGCATGACGTAGACGGTCCGCCAAAGAAGCGGAGGAAGAGCCAGGTGAAGGAGGAGGCAGATGACGAAGAGGATGCGGGACCTTCGTCCAAGGCCGCTGCCAGGAAACGGAAGTCAAAGGACAACCTCAACGCAAGCAGCGAAGCGTCATCCTCAGCCAGCGCCCCTGGTAAGAGGCGGCGCAAGTCAAACGTCAACGGGCCTAAACCACCTAGGGAGAATCTCAGCGACGAAGCAAAGGTATGTGACAAATGCATTACAATCCTCTTCGTTCCATCGCTTACAACGGCTACAGAGACGGAACCATATCAAATCCGAGCAGAGGAGAAGGACGATCATCAAGACAGGGTTTGACGACCTTGCCGAGATCGTCCCGAATCTTAAAAATGGAGGTTACAGCAAGAGCACAATGCTTCAGATGGGTGCAGAGTACCTGGTGGAGTTGATGAAGGGAAACGAAACGTTGCGGTTATAGCCATAGGAGCAAAGCCATGTGCCCTCTGTCCCCGGATTTTGTATCTAGTGGTTCGGAGGGGCTGTTTACACAAAAGGGGTCAAGCGTGGGTCGAAACGGGAGTTAGCAGGGGCTGTTACGATCAGGCGAATGGGATGTTATATATGGGGGGGCCGTTTTTTCTTTTTGGGAATCAAGGCGCATTCCTGGTCAGATACCTTGGGTACTTTGTTTGTTTTGGGATATCGGCGGCGGTACAGAACGTCGCTTAGACTAGGTCTGCTGTTGCTCATACGCAGTTTGATCACTGCCGTAAAAACTATTCACTAATACATACTGCTGTATCGTATCATATCTTTGTCTCAAATGGTTCATGCCGCCTCGTCTACCCCGACATTTTGCTTAGGCTCCTGGTTCAGGTATGCCAACCACTCCAGTGCTTCCAGACTTTGTACAATATCGTCAACATCTTCTGTCTGAAGGCTCCCATGAAGGGACAATTCTACTACAGGTGGCAACTTCAGACCGCGATGAGTAACTTTGTTCGCTGTTTCGCGTGTGCAATGGACCATGAAAAAATTGTGATCTCAAGACCGGGTGATCTACACCACCAATATCCGCGTACTTGTTACAGGTGACGGCGTTTCACTGCGTAGGACTGGCATACTGCTATAGGACTAGTGAGGAGGCACTGTGCCGAGAGACGGGGAGCCTGGCCGGCGGGAAGGCTGGGTCTGGGGCGATGACTCACTCTCGACTCCATCAGCGCCCATAGGAGATACGACTATCCCGATTCCTTATCATGCAGATTACAAAGGCCTTTTTTTTTCTTCAACGAGGAACATTGTCTTAGTGTTCAATTAGCCAAAAAGCTTCTATCACAACGGCTGATTCTTAATCACTTCCGCGAGAATATTGGGCACGCCCAGGTGGCCCCTGTGCTTACACTTCCTTAACATAGCTTCTGTGCATTTGTGGAGGTCGGTTGGCGATTAGCATATAAAATAAAGCCCAATGTCTGCTTAGAGATCCGGACATGTGTCAAGCAAAGGCTTCTAGGACAGCGTCAGGTGATGACATTAGTAATGGCTAACATAGGCTAGAGTCTAGATGGTCAACTTTGAAGATGAGGCACACGCGCGCTCTGCAAAATCAAGTTTACAATACTCAGGAACCCTTCTCCCAAGACGAAACCCTAGTCAGACTGAGTGTTAGTAAGTGGGTGAGGTGGGGAGTAAACTCGAAATTCTTACCGAGGCTAGAACAATGAGAGGTGTATCTTCCCTCTTGAGATGCTGCCTCCAGTACCAGCTCACTAAGCCGCCAATCGTTCTGGCCAAAGTGAATGATGGGACATTATACATGCCTAGACACAGTCAGCTATTGAGCTAGGAACAACACGGATGAGATATGACAAACCGATAGCAACTGCTATGCCGCCAGGAATGTAAGCATGCCAATTTTTGCCCATGGCTCTAGTGCGCACGACAGTCAGGACCGCAAACAGTACAGCGGCTCCGATGGACCACTCTCGAGCCATAGCAGGCAAGCCTTTTCCAGTGACAAGTCTGGCAGTAAAAATCCACACATAGGCTGTGGGCACTTGAAAGAGGTCACCCGGCACCTGGTACACGGCAGTGTAAAGCCGATATATCAGGGCGCTCACGACAGCCCCAACGGTCGCACCGATGACCTGGCCCCAGAATTGCGCATTTGGCGCGGCACCAAGAAGATGGCCAGTCTTGAGATCCTGCATGAGGTCGCCCGCTTGGAGTGCTCCAGCTTCCGAGACCGCACCGGCGACCAGATTGATCAAGACACTGGACTTATTGGACTGCGGGATGATCAGGGCGAAGAAGAGTTGCGCTAACTTGCTGATGCCAGACACTGGGTTGAGATCTGTTTCACCCAAAGCTCTCACGCCCATGATGCTGAGTACCAACGCCATGAGTATGGCAATGATATTCGCATAAAGGGGGACCAGATCACCAAAAGTAATGTGAATGCTTGCCACGCAGACGAGCACCGAGGTGACCATACCAATGCTCACAGTCTTACTGCCGACAAGCTGCTCCGGAGGCGCATCGTCATGATCCCAGACTCGACGCTCATGGCCATCTTGCTGCTGGAAAGCCTGGCTCGGAAGAAGCTCGGATATCGAGGTTCGCTGATCAGTAGAGTTCCTCGGATCATCATCATCGGTGCCAACGGCGGTATATCCGGAGGGCTGTGACTGAAGGAGCCCCTTAATGCCACCGCTGCTGTATTTCTCCTTGATGGACGTGAGGTAGGCCGGTCCGTTCTGGACGAGAGGTCGGAAGGCGATGTACCCCAAGCTGATGACTGAGTCTGCCAGCATGATTGCAAGCGATATCCATACAATCCAGCCTTTGCTTCCGGATTCCCAATCGTTGACCGGGCCAGGTGCCCACCCCATGTGCTTCGCGAGAGGTGACAGTATGCCCCAGCCGACAACTGCACCGAGTAACATGTGCAGAGTTGTAGCTGGTCCCATAATAATGCCCTGTCCCACGTATGCAAGACTGGGATTCAGCTCCCAAAGCCAAACACTTGCGGCATAGGTGCCAAATACCGGTAGACCGCGCAGTGTGGGCAAGAAATAAGTACATAGCGTATAGAAACCCGAGATCCCGAATGTGATCAACAGCAGCCGAATGTTTGCTCCCCAGCTGTACTTTTGAGAGGGCTGTCTTAGCGATTCATCGTCAACATCCGCCTCGCCTTCATCATTAACGTCCTCGCTTTCCAGAAGAGGGCGATTCTCTAAAGCTAGGCTTCCAAAGGTTGCTGCTTTCGAGGGATCAAGAACCATACCAGCCTCAGGTTGATTCTTCCCATGAAGAACACCGATGAGGACTGCGGTACTGAAGCCGCTCGGAAACTTGAGCTGCTCCCTGATGATGACTTGCCGGCGACTTTTGAAGGTCAGTAAATCTTCTACCATGGATAAAACTTAGCATCACGTACAGTGGGACGGCAAATACAACCCCGAAGTAGCATAGTCCCAAAGACCATATGATCAGTTTCCATGTGCTTAGGAATAAGGGACCTTGCTCCTCGGTCTTGAGTAAGTAGTTCATCGCCGGCATCTTTTACCCAATTAGATTCTGTAGTGCCAAGAGACGGAGTACGAACTCACAACACCAACGAACCCACACCCCAATGGCATGATGGCCATCCCACCAGCCACAGACTGCACCAGGACATTCTCCACGGGCGAGAAAGGGAACTGCAGGTGCGGCGCAAGCACGCGGAAGATGCCGAAGCCCAGCAGACTCGCCGGCATGGTCATCATGGAGACCCAGCCGGTCTGCAGCCCGAAGTACATGTTGGAGAAGCAGATCACTAGGCCGACCAGCAGGCCGACCGCGACGCCTCGGAAGGTGAAGTGGCGGCCCTCGGGGAGCAGGCGAGCCGCGCGCGGACCGTCCCCATGGTCCGGCGGCGCCTCCACGGCGTCGCCTCCTCTATCTGGCGACATGAGTCTGGACGGCTTGAGTACACTTTTGGCCGATTCTGTCAGCGATGATCAGGTCACTAGCAGGTCCTTAGGTCTGTCGACGCCCACCTGCACCGTGTCCGACAAAGTTGTCGGCAGCTCGAGTTGTTGGAGTTGGGAGTCAGTGCCCGGAATGCTGATGGCGTGATGGATGGCCGTCGGCTAACGGTCCGAGATTAAGCGGGACACAGCGCCAAGCGCCGTTTCCTATCCACCTCACGTACCAAAGCCAAGGTCCCGGATCGGATTCCCCAGAGGAATCTGCCCAGAGAATGATTACAAATTAATCTCTACATAATTCATGCATGCGTTTCCGCGCAAATATGTCAAATACAATATGGAGAGAGAGATATATATAGTGCAATTAATGACCCTGCAGATAAAAGCCAACACAATTAGGCGCCCGTGCGAAGGTGATCTTAGGAGTCCGGTCAACTGCGGCGATAGCAAGCGACCGTTCTCGGACTGCGCCGAATGTAGATGTGGCCCTCCTAGCATGAGTATAAGGGCTATACTGCTATAGAAAGACTTAGAACGATTTTTCAACACACTAGAGATATTCTTGCCCCGTTACTCCCTGAGAGCAAAGTGATAGGCGCAGCATGGCCGGAAGTTGCTCGTCCTCATTATGTCCATTAAACCACTAACAAATCACTATAAACAATGATGACGGGGGAATTTTTCTGCGTCTGTTTGTATTCATTGTGACACTCAATGAAGACCCTGTATAGAAAATGTTCCGTGAGGTATACAACTTTGTGTACCTTTCATTGGCTGGCCTCCTGTGCGATCTCCTTACCCAATTGTTCCACATATCCCACACCCTTGATGATCTGGTCGACAAGGCCCCCAATCGCCTGCTCCCTCTCCTTCTCGTACTCGTCCTTTCCGCCGCCCTGCCCGTCGACGCCGAACCTGCGCCCAAACTCGCCGGCAAGGGTGTCGAACGAGGCCTCGGTGCGGTCGCGGCACAGACCGCACATGGTGGCTTTAGTGTTGGCGACTCCGAGCTCGACCACGGGGAAGACCCGCACGACCTCCTTGTACTCGTCCAGGGTGATGAGGCCGCCGCCCTGGAAGTTGGGCCCCGAGAGGTCCGCCATGGTCGCCATGAGCATCAGCGCGACCTCGGGCTGCTTGTGGAGCGCGATCGAGGGCGTCGTGTGCAGCGCAATGGCGTCCCACAGGAGCTGGACACGATGGGCGTCCCAGCCACCACCCTCCTCCGCCAGCTGGCCCGTCAGCCAGGTCCGGGCGATGTTGGCGCCGTCGACCTCGAACCGCAGCTCCTTCTTCAGCATGCCCTTGTCTGTAGCCATGCCGACATCGTGTAAGATGGACGACACGACCACAACCTCGACGTCGATGCTCGCGAACTGCGGCAGTTTCTTTGCGAGTATCAGAGCCCAGTAGGCGGTGCGTGCTGTATGGTTGTACAATATCTCACTCGTGTGCTCTTTGGTGTACTCGAAGGCTTTGACAGCGAGTGGGACAAGTGGAAAGGAAAGATTGATCTTGGGAATATCGGGTAATCCTGAAGGAGACATTGTGTAAGCAAAAGAGGAAAGTTTCAGCAACTTAATGGCGATCGAAAATGGTGATTATTGTTTTGACTTGATGAATCCAGAGTCTTGTTCAAGTATACACGACGTTATATGTATAGACCAAGCCCGTTGGCCGTTTATCGCACCATTGTACTCCGAATCGCTACGGAGCCATGGCGAGAATCCCTTGTTAACCCAGGCCGATATCAGAGTGTCAAATCAAACGAAAACGATTCGGCTTGTTGGTGGAATTATCCCTGATTATTGCAGCTCGTTGACCCCGAGACCTCACGGAGCTAGTGTCTTTGTAACAATGGTAAATCGCCGCGGCTTCGAGGTCCGGCCGCCACCTGTGTTATCTACAGTCCCGGGACCACCCCTCCAAATCAAGCCTGCAAATATGCCGCCAAGACAAGTTCAGTCACAAGGAAATAGGGAGCGGTTCCTGACTGTCTTATTAAAGTAGTGGCTCGAGAGGTGAATAGTGGGACTATATTTTGTGCCAGCGAAATCGCGTCCCAATAAATATATGTTGTTAGAAGTGTACTCCGACTCCGCGCTTTGCTAAATCATCAGTCACTGGTATCTCGTGCCCTCCCACCGGTCTGTGCGATTTTGACAGAGGGCTTCGGGTGCTTTTTCTAGCAGCTCTGCCACGTGTAGGGCGGAAAGTAGCCCATTCCCATGTTTTACTTGTATCCAGGATCACCCAAACGGGACTCTTTAAGCCCGGCTGTGCCCTCTGCTCCTAGCTCGCTTCCGTGCCACCCGCCCTCCATCTCTCGTAACTGGGAGGTCGGACCTTGCGGGGTCTCCATTTCGACATATTGTGCTGCGGGTAATTCAGCTACCCCATACTGGTGGTACTGCGGCGGCGCGTGGCTATACGGCGTCGCATGGCTATACGGTGTTGCATGGCTATACGGTGTCGCAGGGCTGTCATTGGCGCCCGGGGGGATCTCAGGAAGCTCCTTGTTGGTTTGTTGGTCATATGCGCCCGTTTCAGGGTAGGGTTGGCTTTGGCTGTTGCGCCGCCGGCGGAACAGAAAGAACACGGCTAAAAGAATGAGGGCGAGCCCGGCTACAGAGCCGACTACAGCTCCAGCAATGGCGCCGCCACTGAGTCGACTCGTCGAGTCCGAGGTATCCTCGGTGGCATCTGCCGATGAGGTAGCAGTGACACCAGCAGCGGACGGTGTGCTCGTCGAAGTGGCCTGCTGATGCATGAGTTGAGTGGATCAGGGATATTGGCGCGTCCGCATCATCGGATGTGTGACTCATGATGACTTACTGTAATGCTGGCTTTCTTCCCGTCTATTGGGTGGGCGTACGCCTGGTCTGTGGCTTTGAAAGCAAGTGCTACTGTCCCCGTGAAGCCTTCATCATCGAAGCCACTGAGTGTGAGGGTTTTCCCACCCGTGAACTGGCTGAAACACGTAGCGCCATAAGCGGGTCGGTTACTGTCAACTGGCGAGTCTGGAAGATGGATGCCAAAGCCCCTAAAGTGATACAACGCGTCAGCTTCCTGTGATAGGCTCAATCACGCGTAAGATTAGAACCATCGCCGATGCAAAGTCCAGATCCGCCGATAGTTCCGGTCCGTATGTTTGAGAGGAAAGGACCACCTACGAGGGACATAATGCAATGTAGCCATTGTCCAACTCTTGCACTGTGACCCAATTGACCGGAGCCACCAGCGGGCTCATCAACGGCGCAATCGAGCTGGTCTTGTTAAACTCGCTGGTGTAGTCTTTTAGAAACTCGGACGGGTAGCAGTTGGGGTATCGGGTCCCCGGGACCGGTTGTGGTTCATTAAGCCATACTTGATAGTATGGGGAGGACATGACCGACAGTTGCATCTCGTTACATGTCGCCGGTGGTGTAAAGGTCGTCGTCAACGCCTCGACAGTAACGACGGCTTGCGTCGACGTCGGGCTTGATGGTGGTGTTGCCGACATAGTGATTTGCTAGATCGGTTACTTGAGTCGAGGTTCTGGTCCGGGTTATGACACCCTCGAAATCCAATCACAGCATGCCCAAGGCAAAGGGCATTGTTGCGACGGGAAAGGCTCGAGATTAGCTTAAGCGGGAGCAGGCCTGGGGATAACAACTTGATATATGGAGACAGTACCGGAGTTAGATCCCTGTCAAGCGTATGCGCCTCTGCGGCACATGCGACTCAGCCAACTTACGATACCCTGCTATCCCGGGCGAGTGCCTGGGCACAATGATGACCAAGCTGGGTCCCTACATATGATGTGGGAGCGCGTATGGGTCTGCCCACTTACACCCAGGAATAGAAATGGCGTGAGCCGCTGTGGGCGTAGGATCACTGGCGGCGGGATTCCTTTAGGAACGCCACTTACTAGTATACCTCCCGCACTCATTATACGCTACCCCATGGGATTTTTTTCTAGATCTAGGTTCAGCCATGTTCGGGGCTTTGTGATGAGCTGGCCTGGCCAATCTGTGGGACATGTGAGAAAGGGTCTCCCCGGGATACCGCAACCTCGTTTTCGCTTGCTCCACCCAAGACCTCGCTTTGCTTACCGACGTTGATTGCAATAGGTAGGGCTGTGGCTATTGAAGAGTTGATCCTTGCGGTTCCAGAGGTCTTCATTGGGCGACGGCGTACTTGGTGCTGGAGGGGTCCCATTGTTTGTGGATCATACTATCGGCACTCGCCAGCCGGAGAGGCTGGGGGCCAAGGTTTAGCATTGCGAAGGGGCCCACTGCTGTCATTGCTGATGTTTGCGGTCTAGCACTGACTCTCGATTCCCGAAGAAAGTGCGTTCTTCAAGTCATGTGGTGGGTGGCCAGGCGCGAGTCCATGAACGTGTTACGAGTGCGTATGTGAATGCCAGTCATGCAGGTATAACATCTTGGAGCTTATAGTAGCTTGGCTTTCCCGGTCTGTTAGTGGCCGCGCGATTATGGTCTGATACCTTCTGCGAGCTTCCCACCAATGAATGTGTGTTGGCAGTGAGCTATAGGCGATGCTATCTACGGAGGATATCTGCCGTAGACATTGATCCCTATTCAAGATTCTCGCTAACAGTAGAAGATGGCCTGCTTGAATGAGAAACCTGTTATGCCAACTTAGTGTTGACAGGCACTTTGGGCATTCCCTCAATAGGGAGGTGTTGATAGAGCTACAGGGCCTCCATGTAGAGGCCTATCTAAGTATTTAACCTGAGCACCCGGATTGGTCCCAGCTTCAGCTCAAGACGAGATCCACGAATTATAGGTTGCAGATCTACGGTACACCTGAAGGCAACTCCCACATCATTCTAGGCCCGTCCCCTCCGCTGGAGCTCGCCAAAGGGCAAGTTGCATACAGTGTCAATTGACCAATCCCTCTACTGCTGCGAGGTCGAGTCACACTGCATAAGCGACGATCCGGAGCCGTGGCCCCAATCCTGTTGTGCGCTCCCATAGTCTGATGCACAAATTACACCGTAGACTTCAGAAGGCGAATCCAGCTTGTCGGCGACTGCAAGGAAATTCAAATACCGCACCACGCCCAGATGATGCTGCGCCGCAGCGTGGCAAGCATGGGTACGTGTTGACGTCGTTCAATTGCGTGCAGGATTCACTGTGACCTACTACTGCCGTAGCCTGGAATATTGGCCGACGATCTCCCCACGAGTGCACGGGCGCTCAAACGATTGTTCCTCCCGTGCGACGCTGGGGGCCTTTATTGCCGGGGTTAGCGAATCCTTCGAACGGCGGGCGCGTGGCACACGGCAGGATCATTGAGAATGTGTCTCGAACACGGTTGTTGCATCTCCCTTGGCGATCCTGTGAACCATAAACTTGATTGACGTGAACAGGACTAGCAAAGTTGTGGTCAACCCACGCCCATCGCGAGGGCTGCGGGCCGGAGGGCCGTTCTTCTGCGCATGTTCAACCAAAGGCCCTCCGTGGTTACAGATACAGGGCCAAACCACGCTCTAAAACCATAGCTGACGCCACTATATTCTGCCGGTTGGGCTCAGATTGGGGGCTACGATAAGCTCTTACTGTAGTTGAAGGGGGTGCTCCGTTGGATAATCCAATAGCCTGTCCAATCGGAATGGCAGCGAGATTCAGGGGTTAACGAGCACAACGGATTGTAGTCATGTAGAGGGCACTGGCCATGCGTGTCCTTGGCACATGACGACTACTCCGTTCTAGTTGTGTACTAGGCCGAAGCGCACCTTGATCAAATGGAAGTATTATCATAGCAATCCAATGGTATTCGACTCTCCTTGGGAACGCCCGGATGTTCTCATTTAGTCCTCTCGACCATATCCGTTATTACCATCCGTCCAACGCGTTCCTATACTCCCTGTCCTTAAAACCCGAAGCTATCCAACAGACTACCGGCATCGGGCTCCTCAAATACAGTTGGCTCCTTCTTGGGCTTCTCCTTGCCGCCCGTCTTCATTTCCCCGGTGATGGGGCTGACAGGAAGGTCCGCCACGACGAGCGAGCTCCGCCGGCGCAGCATCTTCCGCGGGTCCACGATGTCACCTCCGAGCCCGCTCTCCGCCGTGCTGGGCGGGCGGAGGAACTCCCAGTTCCGCACCAGGTCCAGCCCCAGCAGGTCGCAGCCCATGCGGTCGTACAGCCGGGCGTTGTGGAGCACGAACTCGGTCTCCGTCTTGGGCGTGACCTTTGCGGCGCCACGCAGGGTTTGTAGCGTCTTCTGCCGCAGTTGCGCGTAGAGCACCACTAGGGCTGGGTCGTCAGTCAAGAATAGCTTCGCCTTGAGGTCGGGCGAGACAGGCGTTTCGAGGAGTGTGTATACTGGGGTCTATGAGTTGTTAGTAATATGTTCCGAGAACAGTGCCAGCCGGAAGTACGTCAAGTAGGTAAAGAACTTACGATCAAGGCGCGCACTGCCATATCACGGCGCCTCAGCATCCAGAACGCCCATGAGGCCAGCCAACGATTACCCTCCTGTGCAGCGATGGCAAGGACCTCGTTCTCGAGGAGTTTTCGTAGAATCGGCCCATTATCCCCCTCGTAGACCCGAGTAATCGCTATAGCAAGTTGGAGGTCTTTGATCTGGTTCAGGCACACGTTTACAGCATCCTGCAAGTGATCTGCAAGGAGGAAGAAGGCGGCGGCATATTCTACAGGGATTGATTAGTATCACTGTTCCCTAAGACACGTGTGAAGCTCTGCTTACCGAAACGTCGCTTGCTGAGCAAGGCGTATGCGTTCTTGAGAGCGGTAGTCTTCCACTTGTGATCTTCGAAATTATTCGCCAACAACTTCTGTGTAGCGCCCTGCTCTCTGTTCCAGGTTGCCATGCGCCACAAGCCCTGAAGAACGGTTTTCTTCTTGAGTGCAAGGTAGAACAGACTGCAGTCAACTGGGTTTTTCATCTCGCTCTTGGTGTACTCATTCCGGGCGACAATCTCAAACTGGGCTTTCTGTATGGGACGTTAGCTAGCTGATTTTGCTTCTCGGGGGGACTGGTCTTACCACTGCAGCAGTGTCGGCAAGCCACATGAAGATGCCGCTTTCCCGAGCATTCTCCCATAACATCGTCCCGTGATATTGGCGGGAAACGAAATCTGTCAAGATGTCCTGACTCGTTGAATGATATGCCCAGTTGATCTCCCGCCAGGACATGTGCATCTCATTGGTCCTGCGCTTATGTAAAGCATGCTGTCGGAAGAAAAGCATGAAACGCGCGCCATTCTCGTCCATGGAGCGCCGTTGCTTTTCCACCATGCCGACACACTCAACTATATCGATCAATTGGATCTGTTCATGCCCAGATAGTTGGGGCAAGGCAATCTTTTGTAGCCTTTCGCCGATGGATACTGCGGTATCCTCGGTGAAGGCCTCCTCACTGTCGTCGAGTGATACACGACGCATAAGGTACCCGGGTTCGCCTCCATTGGTCCTTGATGAAGTCTAAAAATTATGTTAGCCAAATCCGTGGATAGCATTATATACCACTCACGTCACCGTCCGAATAGAACTCAGCCACATCAAGGCCCAAATAGTCATCTATCGGGTCGCCTTCGACATGATATTTCAAAGTGTGATTGAGGGCCAACAATAACCGCTTTACTTGATAATGTTTCCCAGAAAGCATACATTGACTGAGAAATTGCGGGTGGAAGACCGGCAAGGGGCCGTTGAGTCGCTGTACAACCTCAAAGACGTCCCTAAGCCGGTCTTTGCGCGGCGGCAAGCGAGAGGCTGTAACCGAGGAGGTTTGCGCCTCGAACATGCGATCGTACATGAACAACTGATTTCCGGCGCCGATCACGAGATTGCCGCCGCTTAACCAGGTCGAGTCGCCTATAGGGTGGGGCGTAAAGTCTCGAATGCTGATTTCCCGGATCTGTGCCCACGCGGGGCCTTTGTTGAGATAGTCGAAGCGCATCTGCGAAAGCAGAACTACCCTATACGGGAAGCCAACTGCTAGTATAGACTGCGAGTCCGGTGTTGACGTCCAGTCCAGGTCCTGCACAGTGTTGTGGCTCTCGAATTCCTGGGCATATTCAAGTTGGGCGCCTCTAATGTCCCAGATGGTCACCTCTGACCTGTTCGCGTTGACGAGAGCCGCCTTCTTCATGGTACTACCGCTAACTAGCGCTGGCTTGGAGACGCCTGTCTCCATCGACGATGTCGATAGCCACTCCACACGCTGGCGTTCTTTGTCTACTCGGGCTGTCCAGAACTCTACTCTACCTTCATGGGTGTAAGAGACAGCGACATCCCGAGCAAACACATCAAGGAACCCGGATATCACCGGCGAGGCACCGGCCGGGTCCACCGGCAGCACATAGGCAAGATCACCGGCGCCCTCCAAGTCAAACGTACAGAACTCTTGTATAGCGGCGAAGTCCCCGGTATGACCGTTGACCTGTGGCGCTTTCTTCTGATGGGATTGGATAGGTAGGTTCAACTCCCACACGATACCTTGGTGCTCCGAAGTAACCGTGGCAATATGGGCCACCGAAACCTCGTTCACACTATGGCGTGGTAGGACGAGAATGCAGAGAGGTTTTCCAGATAGTTTATACTTGCTCTCCGCTAGCAGCTTTGGGGTCGAATGCCGACAGTCCCACAAGCAAATGGTGTCATGGTGCAGAAAGACAACAAAGCTGCCGCCCCTCAGAAGACATATTCTGTGGATATGCCTCTTCTCGGGAATAATGCTCTGACGGAGAAGTCTGGTTTCCTTCGGATTTGCGGCGTGTTTCCAGACTATACTCTCGCTCTCCTCGGTCCTCGAGACGATGGCGCGGCCACTGAAGTTGCGCACAATCTTCTTGATGGAAGCGGAATGACCGGACCATGTAGCCTTGTGGTTCAGGCGCCCGGGTTTTGACGTGGGATCGAGCAAATCCGCTATATTGCTCTCGAACACCTCCACCTTCCCGTCAAAATGGTGAAACAGCACGTGCAAGTGACCAGAGCCTCGATTGCAATAATTGACGATCTCAACATGCTGCAACTCGCCATCAGAACCAGAGGTGAAGTCGAAGTCTTTGGATTTCGCGAGGGCGACATTGTCAATGTGGTTGGCACTCTTTGACTTGCTGCTGACGTCCTCCAGAGCATACGCTGCCATGTTGCCCCGGCCGTCCAGCACCATGCATATCTCAGTATCTCTGTTGGCGATGGAGATGAGGTACTGGAGTGCAACATCCTTTTCCTGGCCATCCCCCTTTTCTTGTACGGCCTTCTCCGTGGCCGTAGCAAGATCTCGTTGACTGATGATGAAGGCCCATCGCAGATCCGAGCCGGGCTTCCGAGCCAGAGTTTCATCCTGAATGGCGGTCGTCAGGTTTACTTTGCCCCAGAGGCGGAGCGTTTCGCAACCGTGCCCGTCCGCACCAGTCCATACGCGCATGTAGTTGTCCACGCAAAAGGTGTAGAGAACGTTCTCGATTGTCTGGTCCACGTGGAAGGGTTTACGCCATTGCATACTCGTGACAGCACGCGGGTGCGGCAGGTAGCCAAAGTCGAAGTGTACCTCGTCGGAACCGAACTGCAGCCTGCGCCAGACCTTGACCAGTCGGTCATTGTATCCTACCGAGGCTATATAGGCGGAATCGTACGACAAGGCCGCTATCTTCGCCGGTGCAGCTAGCTCTTTTCGCCAGTGACACAAGGGGGTTGTGGATGCTGTGTTGTAAAGCCACAGAGAGCCTCGGCCGATGAGGAGCTCCTCGGAGCTCCCCCAGGAGAGCGTCGCCGGCGTTGAGGCATCGTCGATCTCTAGCGATGATTGCAGTGCCCACTAAGGCCAATAAGTGAGCAGCTAGGCCTCAAATCCACAGCGTGTTCAGATCCAGGGACTGCTTACCCTTTGCTCGCCGTCAAACGGCTTGTATATCCTCACCGTAGACCCGGTCGAGGCGGCTATCTTTCCCGAGAACTCGTCAAAGGCCACGGCCTCCAGCTTGCGCTCGTCGTCATCGTAGATGGTCTGCAAGATGGTCTCGGGGTCGGAGAGGATGGTGAGGGCGTTGCCACTGATGTACACCACGACGCGCTTCCCATCCCAGTAGCCCGTCGACAGACCTTGGAGGCTGGCTTCGGGCTTTCCCGGTAGGACCGCCTTCATTCTAGGCTACCTGTTCAGGTCGCGCAGGCCGGACATCGCTGGGTGGTAGTCTAAGGAGGTGCTGGAGCCCACAGAGGCAGCGTTCTTTTGGCCGGCGGCCTGGGAAGAGGGTGTCGCTGGCGGCGCACGGCGGATACGTGATATCTCGTCGTACGGTTCGGGTCTCTTGTTCAGACCATGCGGAGGCGTTGTGCGCTTTATGGAAATCAGCATCGGCATGCGATCGACATGAGGTCTTGGGAGTGAAGTAGCTAGAGGGCGTACGAACAGCTGGAGGCAAGCTCGGTCGGGTTGGCAGGGGCGCGAACGTGTTATGAAATTGGCTCCGAGAAGATGTAGCAATACTGCCAAGCAATCGAAGGCGCGAAGCTTCTGCTGATTGAATTGGTCTCTGCTGGTTCGCGCGGAGCTTCGAAGCCGGGCGGTCCTCTACGTTGGTGTCGGCTATCGTGGGCAGCAGTGCTACCTGCAAGTGTGCACCTGGTGCTTGACGCTGTCGTGTCAGCTGCCCCATCGCGCGACATGGGAGCTGCAGCGGATGACGTGGGGGCTAGAGCAGCACCTTGGTACCAGGTGGATGCGCTAGAACGCTAGCTCCAGCCACTGCCGAGCATCTACGGTCGGTTGTATTATAGGGTTGCCCAAATAGCTGACACTTGGCCAGAGCCAACACATGGACTTTGTTATAGCAGTTGTACTATTGCCATTTAGATATTGAACTGCACTTTAGAGCTTGAGATGGTAGACCGGCGTGTCCAGTGCTACAGCGAGCGCCGGTGTCAACATCCACGTGCATCCAGAAAATGTTTAGTATTGCTTCGTAAGATCTTCGCATTGCTATCAAATCCATTGGGTATCATATTCAACGCCGTAACCATGCACATGCATTCCCCATTCACGAGACTCAGACACCTCTTCCAAACACTTACTCTACAGCTTCAAGCTACATCCCGGAGTGCCTACTGAGCCCAGGAGACCCGGAGATTCCGCCGAGAGCGAGCAGAACGTAGTGTTGTCCCCCCAGGAGCTGACCGCCCCAAGACCGAGTCACTCGGGCCCCCTCCTAGGCCATGCCATGGCTGCCGTTGCGGAATCGGTGCCAAGGGTGTGGTGGTCTGCCCTGATGTGAACGAGCCCGGGAATAAATGTGGTCTTCCTGGCGTTCCCGCAAATACCTCCTCCTCCACATCCGCTTCATGTCTTGGGATCCATGGTGAAGACTGCCCCGTCGCAGCTGCCCTCCATGTTGACAAGAGCCCCTTAGATGGTGTCTGGATGGTTTGGTTCTGTATGTCTTCGTTCAAGTGACCAATACTCGCGTGAGGCCCGTCAAACAATTGACTCGGCACCAGTTTGTCAGCAGCGCGCCCATACCACGTCTCGAAGCCTTGTTTCATCAGCTTTCTGTCTTTGTTGAGGTGCTTGCTGGCGGTATTTCGGCGGCCCTCTATTTGTAGCGAGCTCAGCTTCCACTCTTTCAAGGCCTTAGACTCGGCTTTCTCTTGCCAGTGTTGGTCCGCTTCGGCGCGCAGCTGCCGATGCGCGGCTGTTTGCTCTCGCCAAATGCTGAGTACCTTTTGCTTGGCCACTGCGCCACTCATTGTGTCCGAGTCCGCCTTCTCCTGGGCACGCACACGCCAGGTCTCGAGTGCCCGCCCCGCGGCGGCTAGTTCTCGATCCAGAGCCATCTCTTCCAGATATGTGTTCATCCGTTCGTAGCGGGTGTAGCTAGCCTCCAGTGCATGCCGCCACTGAATCACACAATGGGATCCCATTCCCTTCTTTACCCTCCGGCGGACCTCCAGGTGAGCCTCTCGAAGCTTGGCCTTGCGCTTTTGCTTGGCTAATGTTCGCCAGGTCCGCGCGGCTTCTCGCGCGAGGGCATCAAAGTCAGCCTGCTCACTGACTTCGTGGAGCTCTTGTTTCCTCTCAAGAGCTTGACGTGTCTTGTCTCGCCATATTGGCACTAACAATCTCGCCGTATAGTAGAGATTGACCCGCCTGACGCGATGTTGCATTTCTTGCCCCAGAGAGGCGTCGGTCTCGAGTCTACCACGCCATAGCTGGATGGCATCTCTTTTCATCCTCGTGTCAACTGCATTTTCTCGAGCTCGAGCCTTCCACTCCTGTAGTGTACCATACTTGAGGCGGAACTCATTGGCTTTCTCAGCTCGGCGCTTTAGTTCCTGTGTCTGCGGATGGTCGCTGTTGACAGAAAATCGCCATTTGGATAAGGTACTTCTCATCCGCGCTTCTCTGCAATAGGTTGCTGCTACTAGCGCAAAATCGTCGTACTGATCTTGCGAGAAATACCATTGTCGGAGAGCCTGTCGCTGAGCCTCGTAGCGTTTGCGTCTTGATCGAGCCGCAGCTATCCATGGTTTTAATGTTCTTCTTATCCGGTTTTTCTTCCGTGACTCTGTAGCCAGGGCGTCCAGAGCATCTTGATGTGAGAAAGCGTTTCTCCAGCCATCCCAGACGTCTTTTACCAAGCCTTTTTCATAGCCATTTGAGAACTTGGAGACTTTTTGAGTAAGCTCACTAGATCTCTCCAACCAGGGGTCCACGGCTTTCTGAAGCGCAAAATCCTTTGCTCTCGTCGTGTGTACTGTTGTATAGTCTTCCCAGGCTTTGAAGAATCTCATGCGGAGTATATGTCTTCGTGCGAGCATAGTGCGTTCATCCCTCACTTCGTCTTCTTCTTCTGCCGAAAATCCTGTTTTACTTACAGGCTGTACTGAAACTACTAGCTGCGGTGTAGCCTCGGCAGCTGGGTGAGTCGCCTGCGCCGGTACTTCAGATGCTGTCTTGGATGACTCTGGGCCCGTTGGCGCTGGTGCTGCAGGTGGTTCTGATACGTGTGTGGGTGAGATAATTGGCATCTTTGGCTTTGCATGGACCTCCGCCGTCTCATCCAGCGGCTGACCGGCTTTGAGTTGCATGCGCTCACGGAGAGCCGCGGCCAACGCCTCTATCTTAGGTCGTAGACCGAAAGCTCGGGACTTTAGGCCCATTTGATGAGCCATATCAGCGATCCGAGCTTTGTTCTCCTCCTCCGATGCTCTGTTGAACCATTGGGTGAACGCCCGTGACTTCATAAGATTATCGTGAGCACGGGAGGCCAGCCTTGACAAGCGTAGCTCAACCTCGGGGCTAGCGCTGTAGTCCTCGTCGTGATCGGGTGGTGTGGCACATCTTTCTAGTCGTTCTCTCGTACTTTGGCGCCATCGAGTCAGAGTATTTTTAGTTGCAAGGATTTCGTGGGTCCGGGCTGCGATCTGCTCAATGCGCTTGGAATAAACGTTGGCAGGAAGGTCCTCCAGTGGCATCTCATCAACTTCTACTGCGATCTCGTTCCACGCCACAACCACATGGTGAAATCCATTCTGAAAGTCCGCATCTTGAGCCTCGAGGAAGAGGTTCAACTGCTTGCTCAAAAGAGAGGACCTCTCCTGCCATCTCTCCAGAAGCCTAACAGAACGGACCCGATTCTGGTGTCGTTCAAATCCAAGGAGGCTCTTTTCAAGGACGGCCTCGTTCTGCTCATGTGAGATAGCTTTGTCCTGTTCATTACCCTCTGGATGGCCAACTTCGAGAACTTGCTGAGGGCCAGGGGTTTCAGGACCGTCATATACATAATCATGGGTGCCGAGATCCAGCGTCTGCTCGTCATCGGAAAGTTCGGGAGGCTCCCTGCCATTGTCATATTCATAATGATCGGACTGAGAAGAGAAGTCATCTTCTGTTGAATCGTCCACCAAATCGGCTGCGTTTGCATCAAATTTAATGGTGATGTTCATCCGGGCCATGGTAGCATGGAATTTGTCGAGAAGCGTCTCTCCATCGCGCGAGCCTCCTATCTTGAACAGCAATTTGTCAAGTTTCTGGCGGTCGGGAGGTTCATAGCCTGTCGCGTCCAGGAGCTTGTCATAGGCGAGAAAAAGGGCGCTCGTAGGGATACGGCCGGCAGGATGGAGCTTGGGTAGTTCGCCCTGCGCTTCCCGGACCGTGTCGAATATCAGCTGGAGTTCGTCTTGATTATAGTCTTCGCCGTCTCCAGCAAGCGAGGAGCCGACCGAAGCATAGTAACCCGCGGCTGAGGACTGCTCAGACATCGGCACGCTTGCGGCGCTCGAGCCCGAGGTCGATGGCCGGTCATCGTAGCCGGTTGCCATTGGAAAAGCGGCGAGGCGCTGCTCGGAGCATCTCTTTCTGTAGCCCCCGATGGCGTTCGCGCTGGAGGGTTTTCTATATTTCGCGTAATGTCGCGTACTCGAGTAACATTGCGGCCGGGCGAGAAACGGTAGAGGCGTGGCACTCAGACAGTGTATCCCACAGCCGAAAGCGCGATAGCAACAGAAGCCGAATGGTCTTTTAAATCAAAGCGTCGCGAAGTGCCAAATGCCAGTTGAGACGATGTTCGTCAAGACGCGAACCCCGACGCGGTCAAAGACCCGGACAGGGTGGAGAATCGCGGGGTCCACTGGAGCTCCGAAGATTCGCGCAGTAGCAGCAGCAGGGGCGGTACTTTCACTTGAGCCTCGAACTAACAGATTTGCCGGACAACATACGCAGCCACTGTTTAATGGGCTGCACACTTCCCGTACCCCACTCTAAAGCAAAGCCAACGTCAACACTTGGGAACTGGTTTTCACTTCCGCACGATTGACACCACCTTCATCAGACTGTTGTACAACTCAGATGACCACGACCCGTGACCCATGAGTTGAGGACACGACGTGCATTACTGGGCGATCCATTGACAGGAGCTGCGGCGGATCATCGTCGCCAGAATGCCAGCCCCGACTCGGACAAGGCCGATTCAAAAGTTTGCTGCCGCCGCCTCGCAGTGTTCTGCTGAGGTATGTACTCGAGTTCTCCCGTAACAGCCTCAATGCTCAGCCCGGCCCAGGCCGCCGTATACGGCAAGTGTATTGTGGCCGACTACAACTCGGTCCACAAGGACAAGTGTGTGAATGAGTTTATGAAGCTCAAGAACTGCTACCTGGTATGTGCAACGTCACCGATCTAAGTATTCGTGCTCCGAGTTCTAATGGCATCCTAGAAAGCCTCGAAGAAGGCATGAAGCGCACCTAGGCGTTTTCCTGTTCAATAGAAATCATTCCTCATTTTCTGTGTCAGCTTGATCATTCGTACATCGTCCCGTAGCGTCACGTTTCCCCATCAACTATGCAGTGCTTCTCAAGTTTTTGATCTCTCTAGGCAAGTGCTTCTAATACGGTAGCATCTACAGCTTGAGTAATCTCAGGAGGAACGTTGCCTTCTGGACTTCCTGCTCCTCCTCTACGATAACGCCCTCTTCCTTCTCCTTGGGGATCTCACCCTCCAAGTGGGTAACCTCGTGGTGGTCAATGGGGCGCCGCAACGCCTTCTCAATGGCCTTGGTCTGGGTGGTGAACACCTCGCTGATTCCAATGTTCTCGGGATCCGATAGTACCTTGTACTCCATCTTGACATCATCGGTCTGTTGCAGGCCGGCCTTCTTGCGCAGACGTTGTACGCGAGTGATGATCTCACGTGCAATGCCTTCCTGTGCAAGCTCGGCGTGCAGCTCGGTGTCGAGAATGGTCAAGACATCCTGATCCGTGTTGGTCTCCAGGTTCTTGGATGTGGCATCCTCCTTCAATCCTCGCCGGACCACCAGGTCTCCTTCCTCGAGACGAATTCCGTCGACCACGATGAACTTGTCTTCCGTGTATTTGCGGACCTGGTCGCTGGTCACGCTGGGCAGTGCCTTCTTGACTTTGCCCATGTCTTTCTTGAGCTTCTTACCAAGCACCGGCCAGTCAGCAGTAACACTGTACTGAACGTTGTACTTGGTTTCATCAGAAGATAGGACGAGATCCCGGACATTCAGTTCTTCTGTGATATATGTCTCCAAAGACTTGACGTCGTCGAGGAACTGTTGGTCGCGGTGAAGGACAATGAGGGTCTTGAGTGGTGTCTTGACAGCGATGGTTCGGCGTTCGCGGGATACTCTGACCAGTTCAATGACCTTTTGCATGCGGCCAACCCGCCTCTCGATGACAGGGTCAAACAGCTCTTGCCGCACGTCAGGGAAGGCAAGGAAATGCACACTTCGGGGGTCTTCGGCTTGCAACTCCTTGGGAATGTGAGGCAACAGTTTGGAGTAGATGGTGTCGGTGATGAAGGGCGTGAACGGGGCAAGGCCTCTGCACAGAGTGTAGAGAACTTCAAACAAACTGTTCAAGGCATGCTTGGTGTCTTCGACACCGTATTCGCCCTTGAGACGTCTTCGGTTGAATCTAATGTACCAGTTTGTGGTGTTGTCAATCAACTCCAGCAGGCGAGGAACCACCGTGTACAGACGATAAGCTAAATATAGGTTAGCATTGGGCGAATAGCGACAGAGGAGAGGGTAGACTCACCAGCCATCTCCTGGTTGACATATTGGATCAAGCTCTGACAACTGGCCAGGATCCAGCGATCCATAACGTTCTCGTTCGTGCTCTCCATCTTCGGGTCGAAGACGTAATCGATATTTTCAACCTTCTTCAGAAGCGCGACTTGTCCCTCGAAGAACTTGTAGCTGTTCCAAAGAGGAAGGAGGACCTTTTGCACGATCTCCTTGACACCCGACTCCTTGAAGCGAAGGGGCTCTGCTCTCACTGCCGGACCTGTGATCATGTAGAGACGCAGGGCATCTGAACCATACTTCTCAAAAATGAGGCTGGGGTCGGGGTAGTTCTTCAAGCGCTTCGACATCTTCTTGCCGTCCTCGGCCAGGACCATGCCGTTGACAACGCAGTTCTTGAATGGCGAGACATCGAAGAGATGCGTTCCCAAAACCACCAACGTATAGAACCAACCACGGGTTTGGTCGAGGCCCTCTGCGATGAAATCACCGGGGAACCCTTGGGCAAACGCCTCCTTATTCTCGAATGGATAATGCCGGCTAGCGTAAGGCATGCTTCCCGACTCGAACCAACAGTCGAAGACATCTTCAACACGCCTCAGGGTACCCTTTCCTTGCTTACTGGGGATAGTGATGTGATCAATCTTATCTCGGTGAAGGTCCGTAATCTCGCCTTCATAGCCGCTCAGCTCCTTCAGCTCAGCAATGCTTCCAATGCAAATCTTTTCCTCCAGGTCATCGCTGGCCCAGATGGGAAGAGGGGTACCCCAGTACCGCTTTCGGGACACGTTCCAGTCACGGGCACCGGCGATCCAGTTGGCAAACCGGTTCTCCTTTACATGGCTTGGGACCCAGTGGGTATTCTCAATGTTCTTCAACATCTGCGGGACAATCTCCGGGATGCGAATAAACCACGATGGCACGGCACGGTAGATGAGAGGTGTGTCAGAGCGGTAGCACATGGGGTACGAGTGCTTCAGCTGTGAGTCGACGACGAGTCTGCCGGTGCCCTTGAGGTGCTTGATGATGTGCTTGTCGGCCTCTTTGACGTGCATGCCGGCAAAGTCGCGAACCTTTTCTAAGAAGACACCACGATCGTCTAGGGGGTCAGGAGGCGGCCTCTTTTCGTTGATGATTCCAGCGGCGAGCGCAACATTGTAATCGTCCTCACCGAACGCCGGGGCCTGGTGGACAATACCCGTACCACTATCGTCAGTGACGTAAGTGGCATTGAGGACCTTGAAGGCGACGTCTCCAAACTCTTCCACGAGGTAGTCAAACAAGGGCTCATATTTCCAGCCCAGCATGTCCTTGCCCTTGATCTTCTCCACGATCTTGAACTTGGCCTTCTTGGGGTCCTTGTAAAGGGTGGTGAGAAGCTTCTCGAGCAGGATGTAATGATTTCCGGACTTGTCGTCGAGGATCTTGACGTACTCAAAATCCGGGTGGACAGCCAGACCCAGATGCGAAGGCAAGGTCCAGGGGGTTGTTGTCCATGCCAGCAGATGGGTCTTGGGGTCGTCCTTCAGGGGAAACGAAACTACCACAGCAGGGTCGCTGACGTCCTGGTAATTTTGGTTGGCCTCGAAATTTGAAAGGGCGGTCGTGAGCGAAGTCGAGTACGGCATGACCTTGTGGCCCTGGTAGACGGAGTTCTTCTCCCACAGCTGCTTGAAGATCCACCATTCCGACTCCATGAAGTTGGTATCCATAGTCTGCGGGGACACTTTTAGTAGGAGTCTTTCAGGAGAAGCTGATGTTCTCGGCATCGTGTTACCTTGTAGTCATTCTCAAAGTCGATCCAGCGACCAAGTCGCTCAATGGTCTTGCCCCATTCTTCGCGATATCTCATGACAATGCCTCGGCACTCTGCGTTGTACTTGGCCAGACCCATCTCCATGACGGCGGCCTTGCCGGTGATGCCAAACTTCTTATCGATCTCGTGCTCAATGGGAAGGCCGTGGGTGTCCCAACCGAAGCGTCTCGGCACATGGTAACCCTTCATGGACCAGTATCTCGGGATGATGTCCTTGATGGTCGAGGCCAGCATGTGACCGTAGTGCGGCAAGCCGGTCGCGAAGGGGGGGCCGTCGAAGAAGACATATTGCGGCTTGCCTTCGGAGAGTTCAACCTAGGGCAGAGAAGGTCAGACTGCTGTCGCCAGAAGACAGAAGCGTGGTGTTTTTCTCGCGTGACTTACTTGGCGCTCAAATGCCTTGATCTCCCGCCATTTTTCAATGACGGCCAGCTCCTCCTTGGGGAAGTCGATGGACATGGTGATGAAGCTTCGGCCGCTCAGATCGAAGAGGGGCAGTTGCTATTCTGCGCCGAACAACGCAGCTTTTGATCGCCTGGTACTCGTAGTCGGGGAGAGGAGCCGAGATGATGTCTCGAGACCCGAATCGCCGTGTATAGACAAAATTATGGCGGGGTGAGTCAAGCACAGACTTGAGTCAACCCCCCCAAAACTCGCCCGCGCAGCCAATAACACTGCTGGCCCCAGGGACGGGGACTGCGCCACATTTGGAGGGGTAAAATCAATTCAACAGAGAGAGGGAGTCCACTGCCACAGCCCGATGCCGCCCACAAGATCCCAGCCTGGAAGCGTCCCCGCGCCGTCCTGGCCTCCAGCCTCCAGCCTCCAGCCTCCAGGCCGCTACGCTAACTAATAACTAGTTACAGCACAGTACACCACCTGGGCACCACCACCTGGGCGCCGGGCACCACCACCAATCCACGAGCTCGGGCGCCGGTAATTAGGTAGCGATTAGCGAGCGGCGCTTACAGGGGACCGGCTCCCTGCAAGATAAACATTGGGCGCCCGCATTGACGGCCCTCGATGACCGGGTTGCCATCGTATGTAAATAGCAACCAAGTCCATCAACACTTGGCTCTTCATCCACACCCATGCACGAGACCACGCCGCGCAGCCAGCCTTCCAGAAGACTTCTTTTTCTGGTCAAGGTTCCAAGAAACTTTGGCTGCCCACGAGCTGCCTGACCACGTCGCTGCCAACGCATCCTGCCTTGAGCTTCCCCGCAGGTTGTTCTCCTGGCTACTGGTGCTAGTGCTGCTACTACTACTACTATTAATCTATCGTCATCTGCCATCGTCCCACCATCGTTGCGCCAACGGTCGCCTTCCCCAGGCCGCCTCTCCTCCCATTGCCCCTGGGATCGGACGATCCCAATCCATGCACCCGCCTTGATCGGAAGCCCATGGTAGTAGAGCGTGATCATGTCGTTCCTATTTGGTAGGGCGCGGACGAGGACGAACACCATAGACCTCTCCAAGCAGGCAAAGGAGAACATAACCAAGTTGGACGTGGTGGGAAAGGTACTTGAGCCCCCCCATGCCCATTACCCTCGTGCCTCACCGCATGTTCGACTAACTGATGATTGCAGGCAGAAGAGCTCGCCAAGGTCCTCAGCCAAATCAAACTCATACTGCAAGGAACACCCGGTAAGCCCCCAAACAAAACACACAGAGGAGCATGGCCTGATCCCATAAACTGACCGCTACCCCCAGAGTCCGACAGCACGCCCGACCAAGTCTACCAACTCGTCCAAGGTCTCATTGAGGAGGATCTGCTCCTGCTCCTCGCCCAGAACCTGTGGCGCCTCCCGTTCGAGTCACGAAAAGATACCCAAGTCATATTCTCATATGTTTTCCGATTCCGACCCCCGACCGCCTCGCCCAAGACAGATCCCGTAGCACTGAGCTATGTCGTCAACAACCGGCCGCAGGTTCTGCTTGAACTATGCCGCGGATATGAACACAAGGAGAGCGCAACACCAGCGGGCACTGTCCTGAGGGAGGTCCTGAAGAGTGAGGCTGCCGCCGCCATCATCCTGTTCGACGATGGGGAGGAGTCAGGCTCGAGTGCTAAGGGGGTGACCGCCATTGAGAGGGAACGTTTACAGAGCGGAAGCGGCGTGTTCTGGAGATTCTTCGACTGGATCGACAAGAGCTCATTCGAGGTTGCAGCAGATGCGTTCACTACGTTCCGGGTAAGCTCTTTGTTTACACACAGCCAATTGTGCCATATTCTGCATGAGACACCAGCGGGTACTAACTTCACCGATAGGAGCTCTTAACTAAGCATAAGGAGCTTGTACCGCGGTACTTGTCCGTGAACTTTGAGCTCTTCTTCGACAAGTATAACCACATACTCGTCCAGTCCAACAGCTATGTCACAAAGCGTCAGTCGATAAAGTTGCTCGGCGAAATATTACTCGACCGCTCAAACTACAACGTCATGACCGCATACGTCGACCGCGGTGAACACCTCAAGATATGCATGAACCTCCTGCGCGACGACAGGAAGATGGTGCAGTACGAGGGCTTCCACGTCTTCAAGGTCTTCGTCGCAAACCCGCACAAGTCCGTAGCCGTGCAGAAGATCCTGATTATGAACCGGGACAAGCTCCTCAACTTCCTGAGCCATTTCCTGGAAGATCGCACGGATGATGAACAGTTCATTGACGAGCGCGAGTTCCTGATCAAGCAGATCCGCAACCTCCCACCAACGCCCATTCCGCCAACGAGACAGATGTCTCAGGGCGTTTAGAGGGGGGTTTGTGCCCTTTGAGATATGTCTATACGGTCCTGTCTTGGGACGAAGTGTCAAACTTTAATGGAAAGGGGGTCCCTAGGAACCTAGATGGCACCATCTATAACCCTTTCCTCATATGCATATGGCTAGGCGTTCGGTCATGTCGGCAAGATTGAGATGAGTCTTGGGCATCCGTGTCAATATGCGCGTCAGCGGTGCCTCCGTGCTATCATAGACGAGCACAGAGGCCAGATTTCGAGATCCGGTGGTCATGGAGCCTGAACGAGGGTCGGAGCTCAGCGTTTGCGCGGCAATGAATATTACGAGAAGCATATGGAACAGATAATTCATGAGGAGGACTGCAGTCAATTGATATTGTTTATACCCCCAAGAGCCTTCTCCCTGCACTTATACGCAAACATCATGATTTCGTTTGGTTCGAGCCTGACCTTTATACCTCCGTCCGTGTGAAGAAATGTATAATATCTAGAAAACCCCTCCTAAGGACCTCTAAGTAGCCTGCGAACAACGACCTTGATGGAGCTCATCTCGCACGGCTTTGACTTCCGGCATTTGCTTCACGCCCATTGCATATCCGGCCAGAACCTTGCCGCCTTCCGTGTAAAACATTTGGCCCCCTTTTGTTTGAACCTTCCACCCCTCCACCCCATTCCCTCCCTCCATCATTGCTTCATCCACTCGGCCACCTCGTCCTTGTACTCGTCGCGCCAGCGGCTCAGCGGCTTGCGGCCCTCGACGGCGTCGCCCGCGGACCACAGCATGCGGCGGCGGTCGAGCGGCTCCGAGACCTCGTTGTCCGGGCACAGGACCCAGAACTGGCCCGCGGCCATCTTGGCCTCGAGGAACTCGACCACCTGCTCCGGCCACCAGGCGGCCGCGGGCTTGGCGCTCCCAGCGGCGCCGCCGTCGCGCAGCACCCCCGCCGCCCCGCCCCCGAGTCCCGTCCACGTCCACCCCGGCACCAGCAGGTGCACGCCCACGGGCGTGTCGCGCAGGTCGTAGGCCAGGTGCTCGGCCAGCGCCTTGACGGCGGCCTTGGACGCGTTGTAGGCCGGGTTGCCGGGCGGGTTGGTGATGCCCTGCTTGGACCCGGTGACGACGACGGCGGCGGGGCGGTCCGGGCCGGCCGCGGTCTCGCGGACGATGGGCAGCAGGGCGGCGAGGCCGTTGACGACGCCCATGAGGTTGGTGTCGAGGACGCGGCGGAAGGCGTCGGGGGCCTCGGGGGAGGCGAGCGACAGGGCGCGGACGCCGCCGACGCCGGCGTTGAGCGCCAGCAGCGTCACGCGGCCGCCCAGGTCCGCGGCCACGGCGGCCTTGAGCCGCTCCCAGTCGGCCGCGCTGCCGACGTCCATCTCGAAGGGGACGGCGGCGGGGCCGACGACGGCCGGCACGGCGGCCAGCAGCGCGGCGTTCCGATCCGCCACCAGCACCTTCATGCCGGCGGCGGCGCAGCGCTTGGCGAGCGCCAGGCCGATGCCCGATGCGCCGCCGGTGATGACGGCCGTGTTGCCCGACTTGAAGATGGCAGACATGGTTCCGTGGTGGCTCGTGCCAAGTTTGCTTTGCCTGTTGTATAAGCTACCTGGGAGGTGTAAGTCAGGGAGTCAACGATCGGCTGAGTTAGGGAGGCGGATATGCAATTCAGCTTACAATCTTGCTGGCTTGATGAATGCTACCACTCAAATGAGCGAGCTGTGCAGATACACAGTCGAATGGGTGATACCTGTTCTGAGGTTAGATAGGTATATGGCCAGAAAGGTATCTATAGTGAAGGTGGGTTGCTGTTGTCGGCGTTAAGTTTAACACCGGCAGTTGATCATGCAACCAGACTGGCCATGACGTATCAATGCAACCTTCGGCAATTGTTGAGTTGATTGGGTCAAAAGTTTGACCATTGTCCAACACAAGAGAACGCGATATTTCGACTTGACTCACGATGTAATGGTACTATACACTTTCTCCACGAAGGAATGCAGCAGCAGATTCCATCCAGACCCAGTGCTCTATAACTACATGAAAACTAGCAAAAGCACACCGTAAGTTACTCCTTTCCATCCTGGATATCTAGCACGCGGTTCGTTGCGCCAAAAACGCCTTCTGACCTTGGTTGATGCGGGTAAGAGGGGGACGGGATTAGCGGGTCGGATGCATCTAGATAATACCATCATCCCAACCCTGCTGATGATGATGAGATCCGCACAGCAGTAAGCTTCGCGGGAGCCACATCATGCACCCGTCGGTGCTTAGGTCTTTTTCGTTTCCCGTCTGTCCCTAGTCAGTGTACCCGTCCAAATCCCTTGTCGATCGTTGTTGTGGTAGTACAGCAGCTAGTCAACCTCCGATGCGAGCTGATCCAGCTTGACACGCACTTTACTTCTGTGGCCGTGAATTTCAACCCTGTTGATGATTTATCGTTGCACGTGTTGAGGTTGCTTTGCCAGCAACATGCTGACGCTCTCCTTTGCGTTGACGGTGCCCCAGACACTATCTATGCCACCTTTCCTCCATTCATCCCCAGTGGCTTCTTCGGCGCCACCCCTCATGGCCTCGCCCATGACAACGTCGAGATCGCGCTTCTGTGAGCTCAGCCAGTTCTTGACAAAGGTGGCCGGGTCCTCGCTCAGGGAGTTCAAGAAACCGTGCTTGGCCTTGGAGACGTGAATGGCCTGTACGATGGTGGCCAACTGGTCATCCATGGTCGCGACCTCTTTGAGCATGCTAGCGTATCCGGCATTGCTCAAGAAGGCCGACATCTTCTCTCTTAGTGGGTCGTCAACGACCACCCGGACATCGTACACGGTGGGCTGAGGATCTTTGTGGAAATCTTCGTCGACACGAATTGTGTAGGGAAGCTGGACAGGAGGGAGGGGCTTCAGGGCTGGTGTGATGTAGTTGTGCAACAAAGGGATGTTGCCTGAGTCGATACCGCCGAGTGCCTGTTGCAATATTAGTATGGGCAACCCCCCCAAATGGCAGATCTAAGAGAAGCCTACCTTCTTGAGAAGCTCGTCGCATCGGAAGTTACGCTTCTCCTCATCCTCCTGCAGGCCCGTGAACTTGATGTAGTCCCAAATGGCCATGACGACCTCCTGGCGCGTAGCCTCGGGCTTGTCCACCACATCCTGCATCTCGGGGGTCAGAGCATATCTCTCTGGGTCCTCGTGTCGGAACAGGTTGATGGTGATGTTGAGGTTCTCGTCGCCACTTCGCTTGAAGGTGAACTCGTCGAAATCTGCGGCGGCAGGGAGGTTCGACGAGTTGCCGGCGCGCTCCGGCTTCTTCCACTCGACAGCCTGGTCCGCGCCTTTCCGGTTGGCAGGGAAGTCGACACTTAACGACTTGAAGAAGTGCGAAAACCTGTATCTCGGGGACTTGGTGGCGGGCTTGGCCTTGGAGTCGCCGTCCTCGTCCATCTTGTCGGCGTCGGTCTCGGTCTTGGTCTCGTCATCCTCCTTGTCCTGCTCATCGTTGTCATCGTCCAGCAGGCGGCCTTCGATCTTGACACGGTAAGTGGGCTCCAAGTTGGACGTGAAGTCGAAAGAGTCGACGCCGAGGCCGCTGGACTGCCAGACCTGGTCCTCGGCCGTGTTGGTGACCCAGATGCGAAGCGTCTTCCACCGCTAGGAGGCCATGGCCGTCAGCGCTTTGATCTCTGGGATCCTCCAGGGCTGCATACATACCTTGACGCTGCGGTTGACCGAGTCTACAATGTCCAGCCTCTTCCTCGTCATGGTCGCGTCGAGCCTCCTCTCGAAGTCGCGGAGGTCTCTGTACTTGGCGGCGCCATCGCCGATGGTGCAGTCGTCGAGGTTGTCGGGCAGGTTCTTGTCGGTGGGCTTCTTGCTCCGGCGCTTGGCCATCTCGACCTGCATGGCCTGCTGCTGCTGCTGCTGGGCGATCTGGGCCTGGGTCATGGGGACCTGGTGATGGGGGCCGTGAGGACCGGAGGACATCATGGGCCCTGGAGGAGGTAGCGTCTGTCAGCGGGGAGCACGTCGAGGGTCGTGGGAGGAGGAGGAGGAGGAGGAGGAGGCCAGGGTGTGGTGGTACAGGGCTGAGTCGGGCACGGCGCGACAGAAGGAGTAGGTAGAGGCTGTGGTAGACGGCACTGGGAGCTAGGAAAAAGAAGGAGCCATCGTCACAGCTAACGCTCGGTGGATCCGTCATTTGATGTGTGGGGTATTGGCGGGCATGGCGGGCATAGCGGGCATGGCGGGTGGTGGTCGACGGCCGCGTTGGGCTTCGCGAGCAAATCCACGGGCTTATAGACAGGCACTAGCAGCCCGGGCCCGAACACTTGTTGCCCCGGGGGGCCTCTGTCGCGTCGTCGCAGGATGCAAAAGCCATCAATCACGTATGGGCCTGGTGGCTCTCCATGCACTTACCAATGCCGCCTCGTCGTTGGCCAGCGGCATGCGGCGTGCGCTGGGCGACCTGCTGCTGCTGCGGCGGGTACGGGGGACGGTAGGCGGGCTGCATCGTGGCCGGTGATGCGCGGGTGCGATGCGATGCGATGCGATGCGAGGCGCGGTCAGGGTGCGACGGGGGAGGGGCGAGGCGACACTGTTTGCTGGTGAGACAGGAGTCACAGTTACGATGGAGCGCGTGGGTCGCGTGCGACGATGCGTTGGCGGCGGCTGCTGCTGCTCCTGGAGATTGGGATATCGAGGGAATCGGGCAAATCTCTCGTGAAGGCGCGCGACTCGCGTTGGCTGGCTGCACTTATTGGAGAGATGGCAGGAGGTTTTGCACACGCCCTTTGGCTTGGCCCGGTCTGGTCTTGGTCTTGGTCTGGTCTGGTCGCTACGCACAGAGCCAAGCCATCCCGCAAGTGGACGCTGTGGCCCGTGCGCCACGGCTTCTGGGGGGGAGATCAGTACCTTGGACGGGTATTGGAGACAACTACACGTACATAGCGCAGTTCTCAGCTGAGCGGCATCTTAACCACCTCCCACTTCATATGGAGACTATAGAAATCGTGATACAATCCACTTGCCTGCACTCGTGTGCCCTTTTTTCGAGACACGCCACTTGTCCACAATTACAGGCAGGCATTCTGTCTCTCTGGTTCATCCTACTGTAGCTGTGAACAAACACCTTTGCTGGATGCGATGTCTACATCAGGAATGCATACAAAGGACTAGTATCGCCATGTCTGCAAGCGAGTGGGTAGGTCTCTCCAGTAGGTGCGACAACCACCCATCCTGATTCTGTCAATGGACTTGCACGTATGGCGCCGTCGATTGATGCTTTTCACCGTGACCGCGTCACGGTCAAATCTCTGTTTTCTCTTCCCTACAGGTCTGTCGCTAGTCTGGCCAAGGCACTCACAGGTCCCCGGCCCTACGGCGAGTTTTTATTACTGGCTCTTGGTACCGAGCCGTCCCGGCTTGGTCAAGCCTTCCACCGGCATTGTATCTAATGCTTCTGACTGATATCGGGGGAGCAATCCTCTGGCAGCCTCCGACTGCCCCGTGATCGTGCCACGGGCTCTCCGTCCCCGCCATCATGCAAAATTTATCAACCCGCGACGCCACGCTTCGATATGCGACAAAGAAAAGGAGGTATATGGATGTACTTCTTGGGGCTGCATCCACCACGCCGCTCACGAGCAGCCCCGTTGTTTCTGGGGCGGAAAGACCTTGCACTAGAAGGCTGAGCCAAGTCCTTGCTTGGACTGCCGCTTGCTGAACCGATTCCTCTTCGTCGTGTTGGACGTGTCTTCGAGGCTGAGCTGGCTCTTGCTCAGGTGATGTCTCTGCGACCGGTCGCTGATCCCAAAGCCTTCCGAGTAGGCGTTGTTACCGCCAAAGGTGCTGGCCGGGCTAGACATGGAGGACGACATCTCACTAAACCCATTGTCGCCATTGTAGGCTCCGGCCATGTTTTGGGACATGGCCATATCCTTGGCTTGTTCCAAACACTCGAGCCAGTCGTCGGCCGTCGGCCGCGAAGAGTCCAGCGAGTTGGCTGCTTTGGGCTCTTCAAACGTGTAGTGGACTCCGTACTGCGTCAGGTCAGCCAAAAGGGGAGCTACTGTACCGAGTGGTTCCCTCCACTTACCGAGTCTACACACCACACTGTCTGCCCCTTGGCGTCTATCTGTGTTCGCCAAGCGCTGTCGGGCGCCAGGAGTGAGATCTCCTGCTTCGCCTTCTTTTCTTCTCCCCCCGCGGGTGCCAGCACTATCCTACCGCTCGACGTGATCATAACCAATCGCTGTCTCTTCTTAGTCGTGCTCCCACCGAAGAACCGTGCAAACTTTCTATGGCCCTCGTCGCCGCCGTTCTTGGCGTGCGGGCTGTTGGGTATCGGTGCTGATAGAATTAACAAATCACCGAGCCTCAGTATCCTCTCATTCGTCTTGGTCAAAACTGGCGACCATTCGATGTCCAGTTGTGACGGAGGTGGGATGTCTGTAATGATTCTGCCGGGTGTGCGCGATGCGCCGTTGCTCGAACTCGGGGCCAGTCTGGACATGGCCTGGGCCGCATTGGATTGTCCGTTCAACTGGATGATCTTGGCCTCCGGCGTAGGCGGGACGTAGGGGCGGAGACGAGGCGCTTTCGTCCGCCAGAGGCCTTTGCCGAAGGTTTGCCCATCGAAAAACTCATGGTTCTTGATGTGCTCGATCGTCAGCCTTCGTGACGGGTCGCGGACGAGCAGCCGCTCGACCAGATCGCGCGCTGCCGGTGGGAATCCCTGGGGAAATTCGTAATCGAGGTTGATGATCTTTTCGAAAGTCAACCACTCCGTGCCCCCCTTAAATGGCGGTCGGCCAGCCAGCATCTGATATATCATGCATCCGAAAGCCCACAAGTCACTAGCCTTACAAGCGTTCCTATCCTTGAGAAGTTCAGGGCTGACGTATTCGGCTGTACCGACGAACGAGTCCGCCCTGTTGTCATCTGACGCCTTGTTCTTCCCGCTCGGGTCGTCCAGCCTGGGGGGTTGTTGTGGCTTTGGCGACCTCGGGTCTGTCAATAGTCGTGCCGTGCCAAAATCAGTAATCTTGACATGCAATTGCTCATCGAGGAGCACGTTCTCGGGCTTGAGGTCGCGGTGTATCACGCCACGAGAGTGCATGTACTCAATAGCGTCCAAAATCTGAGCACCGAAATACCTCGTGCATTCTTCGTCAAACGTCCCCGTCTTCTTCAATACGCCAAGAAGTTCTCCACCGGTGCACAGGTCCAGAACGTAATACAGGGAGCTCTCGTCTTGAAAGGTGTAGTATAGACGGACAATACCAGGGTGTTCCGTCAGGCGGTTGAGCGTATCCTTCTCAATGTTGACGTACTTGATCTTCTTTTCCTTGATGATATGCCTCTTCTCAAGGACTTTGACGGCGTACTCTTTCAGGGTTTGGCGATCGGTTGCGAGGTAGACGGTACTGTAAGAACCCTCACCAAGGATTCTGCCAAAAGAGAAATCCCGAACGCCCTTCTTTACCGGCTTCATCACGGTCTTTCCGTTTGCATCCACCTCCTTGCGCATGCTGACCGCCGCGCCCCTGTCCTTCCACTCCTCGCTGCTTTGTGACACTGGGACTTTGATGCCTCCAGTAGGTTCCGGGGCAATGGGAATGCCAGGGATGGACGCATAGCCTCCGCCCATACCTTTCGAGCTCCTCCTAGGAGGGAGGGGCCCGCTTCCTGCTGGCAAGGGCACCTGCCGGTTCGGATTGTATGATCGTTCGCGGTGGCTTGTCTCCCGCGTGGGAATACTGCCGGGGTCTGCGGAGTAGGAGGGCCCAGATCTCGAATCGGTCCGGGTGGGGATGTTGAACATGGAAGACCTCGATGGTTCCGTCCGCAGGAGGTTGTATGAGTTGGCAGCCTGGTCTCGCTCCGCGGAGGTGTAGAGAGCAGAGCCGGGGCGGGAGGTGGAATTCGGATAGGCAGGGGCGCCGTTTTGTGGATAGGCGTGGAGTTGGCTCGATGGTTCAGGACTTAGGCCGGGGGTGGGCATCACCGACGATTCAGCTGTCTGGCTTCTGCTCGGTCTGGTGTGAGACTCGAGCTGGGGTGCAGAATCGATGGCGGCCGAGGACTCGTCAGGTTCGGTCGAGGGCTCTCTCGAAGGACCGGGGTCGGCATCGTCTGGATTGGCTATCCGCAGGCCGCCAAGGGCTCGGGAGAGACTCAGGTCGTTGTTCATAGCTGCTGCGGTCGCAGGTAGCGCTGATGAGTGTGAAAGTCTAATGTGCTAGGACGCAGTTTGGGTTGGGCGGGCGTGCCAACAACATCCAGGGTCCCGTTCACTGAGCAGCGGCCGATCGACCGGGAACGAAGGGACTCAATAGCGGTCAAATGCAGAGCTCTCCTCATGAGTGCTGGCCGGGGCCTGTCATGCGTGCTCGCAGCAGGAGAAATTGCCGGCAGCAGGAGGCCGCGATGCTGCGTGGGATGTTGGGTTGCGGCTAGGATCCGATGGCGTGTCACGCTCAATGGGCAGCGGGATAAGGTGCAGTTGCGTTGCGTTGCGTTGCGGGCGGCGTCAGGCAAGGAGGGTCGCGACACGGATCATGTCCAGCTGGAGATGAATGGCGGGCCCGTTAGAGTTCACAGTTGAGCCAACTCAGAGGCCGAGCCACTGCAGGGAAAAGGGCGCGCGGGACGGGGTATGGAGATGGCTTGCACAGGATCCAAGCCGTTCCTGAGTGAGGACATCAGGGCAATTGGGATGGGCCGTGTCGGTGGATGAGGTGTTGGAGAACCCGTGCAATTTCACGTTTGACAGGTACGTATTACTGCGGATCGCACTTCGGTGGTGAAGCGGAGTGGACGCCCGGCCGTCGTTGGGCCGTGCTGAGCGCTGCCCTCTGTGTCTGTCGACAAGGCTTGTACGGACGAAGTAGGGATCCCAGATTGAGTTAGGTTGAGTTTTTGGGTGCCTGGACGAGCGAAGCCTGAGGGAGAGCAGGAGGAAGAGGGAACAGGAGAGCCGTATTCGAGATTGCTGGACGATTACTGTCTACACGGGAGCCACTGTAATGACCGCCCTCCTTTCCGCCTCTGTGTCCAGCTGCACCACGGGATTGATTGACTTTGGAGACCAGGCCACAATGGCGTTGTTTCAAGCAAAGAATATCATTACGAGCGTCCAATCTCGGCCGTGCAGCGCCCCTCGCCGCTTAGCACTGACTGTAGTTACAGTAACTAACCTAGTGCTCTGTAGGATCAATCTGACAATTCCAATTACGATGGGCCGAGCCCAGAGGTCTTCTGGAAAACAGGGATGGTGTGTACTATGGTACACAGGAGGCGGTCCGTAGCACGCATAGTGAAGTCCGCTCTTCTACCATAGTACCTAGACTTCGGCGGATCATGCAGCGGGACCAGCAGCTGCACTTCGATACGTTGCTTGTAAGCTGGTATTCTCTTACTCTGAAGCACCGGTAATCCTCCGGCGAAGCCTGTCTATTACATCGGTCCAGATCGATCGTTCTCCCTTCTTCTCAAATCCGGACGGGGTCACGTGACATGCGTATCTGGCGGCGGCGTCGTGTCGTTGTCCCAGTATCAAACCACACCTAAGCAGCAAGTTATCCGCAGTCAAGTGCATATGAATGTTATGCGTTAGTATCTAAGCATCTAGCTATCCAGTTACCTAGGTATACTCCGAAACACAGTCGCTCTTCAGCGTTACTAGAGACTGTCCCTGCGCGGGAGTTGTGCCTTCGTTACCAGTTGTGACTTCCTGTTTATGAACTCCAGAGCGCTCTAGCGGCAATGATGCAGGTGAGGTAGAAAGGAGGAAGCAGCAGGTGGGCTTTAATACCGCCTCAGTCAGCGACTGGTGCCACAGGCATGTTGAGCCATCACAAAGTCGGATGTTAGATATGGCCTACATTGGACAGGAGCAGTCCGGTTTCCCTCTCAATTCGTTCCGTTGCCGCAGAGCAGAACCTAGCTAGAACGAAATCAACTCCATTGCCAAGATGCTACGATACCCAGCTACCACAATCTCCTTGACGATGGCCGAGATCAAGGACTTCGAGCAGAAGCGTCGTTTCAGAAGATATCTGGTGATGGAAGATGCTCGGGCAGCTCGGGCAGCTCGGGTGCAGAGCCGGGCGCCGCCCGATTCCGTGAAACCGGCCGAGTCTGTAGCCCTTGAAGTTATCGCCTCCAAGAACCCGGGCCACGATGTCGAACAAGCCACAAAGCTCGTGGTTGAAACTGGCCCTACTGACACGGACGTGACTGTAGACGACACAGCATCGCGCATGAAGCTTCCCTGTCAACGTTCTCGCAGTTCGCCGATTGTTGAACCGTCAGAAGACGCAGTCTCGCCACGCCCGTCAACTGCATCAAGTGCCAGTCACACGCCGTCCTATTCAGGCGTACCACAAAGAGATAATACTAAATCTTACTCGATAATGTTGCCCCCACCATTCTCGCTAGGTACAAGGGTGGTATCAGATGAGCATTCCTTGCCTTCAGTTCGTGCTCTGGGCCCAATGAGACTTTACTGATCTGACAAGAGTAGACTCAACGATCGCCGACCATATCGTCATTGGCGGCGCGAAGGGACTTGGAACACATGCCGCCCATAACACCGCAGCGAGTCTCTTCGCTCGCCGCAACTGTGGATGCGCACTTCACTAGGCCTGTCAGTCAAAGCTCGACCAAATTGATTCCGAATTGTAGACTAACAGAACTCGACAGTCCACGGACGGCGAAACAGAGTTGGACCAGTCTACTGTAAGATATATAGAGGCCTACACCAGGTCACCCACTCGCCCGCTGCCGTCGACGGGTAACGCTCCAAATTCGAATACGTCCTCGCGTGAAAGGCGGTCTGAGGGACGAATCGTGGATACACCACGTCCAAGCTCCAGGCTTGAGGTTTACAACGACTCCTTACCATCATCTGTGCAGCCTCGAACTCCTCGTAACTTGGCAGAGACACGCCATCAGAGCCGGCTGCATGGCTCCTATACGGCGCCTATCACCCGATCCATGCGGCAATCTGGCTACAGTTCCAGTACCGCGCGTGGACGCTCCAGCAGAGCCCATAGTCCCTCTGGGATGGAAACACCAGGCTTCCGTGGGCTGTACGGTGGCGTAGAGAACTCGGATGACTTGACGCTCTTTCAGGAGGCTTCTAGGCTCCATGCGGGTCAGGAAGACGACGACGCAGGCCAAGGCTAGAATGAGCGTGTAGGCGTGACAAACACTAAGGACCTTGGGCCGCATTTGCTTCTAAGAGATATGAAATGGCAAATGACATTGATAGAGCATTCAGTCGCAACACGTACACATACGGCGCATTCTACTTTTGGGTCGAGAAGCAAGAGGAGAAGCAAAACAAAAAGAAAAGATACATCCCCGCCGCGCGCTCTGTTTGCATTCGTTGACCGTATTGAGCATGCAGAACTACATAAAGTTCTGGTCATGAAATCGTGGAGGGCATTGGGAGGAGGACAAGCAATCGTGAAACACTGAGCATGGAAGCGACTGGTATGCAAACCAGTCGAATGTCACTGACCAACAAAGGGCGGACGGCGTCTCGTTTCCCATCGGCAGTTTGGGAGCTGGAGGTTGCCATCACCTGGGCAGTCCACCAAGCACAAAGGAACAAATGGTTCCGAAGTTCCGGCAATCGCGCCCTGACCACTTTGGCCACTCTGGTTAGACTTTTTGGTTTCGGGGTGTCACGGAGAGGATCACGAGCGACGCTGCTGCAGGTTACATGTCTCTCGGGTGACGGCGCACTTTAGGACCCTACCCTCCCCTGCCGGCGGTGTCTGCCTTCCTTCTTGCACGCCTCTTGAATCAAGGGACCGCCGATCTAAACCCGATTCTGACGAGCAGGACTCCGGCCTATCAGAGGCCGACTCTCGTCAGAAAAGTTCCGTCCCTGTCGTTGCCCCAGGTCTCCACCCTCAAGGATGTCCAGGGTCGCAGCCAGAAAGCAGCCAATCATGGCGGCGCAGGGTGCTCTGAGAAGGCCAACCCTGGTCGCCTGGGGCGCTGGGGTCGGTGGCCCTGCAAGGTCTCCACCCTGAACCGTGCGAGGCAAAGCGACCGCGAGCCAAAGAGAGAGCACTGGCGGAAAAGGGAAAAGGCTGGCCGTCTGGTCAGCCAGATCTGACGTGCCGCTGCTGCTCGGTCTCAGCCGTCCAGACAGGGAAAGCGTTGGCTGGGTACCGGGGTACCAGCGAGCCCAGCAGGGACTCCGCGGAGGGCAAGGTACCGGCAGCGTAGGCCCATACATGCGTCCAGCTCGCGGCTTTGTCGCACACCACTCATCGCGGGCTCGCAGCAAACTGACTCTGGCGATCCATCCATCAGCCAGCCCCCGAGCCTCCATCCATGCCTCTGCACTCTGCAGAGCAACCGCGCCCATCCTTGCACGCTCTCGTCTCTCTCGTCTCTCTGGTCCTGTCTGCGCATCGGGAGCTCTGCATCTCTTCTCTTCCCATCCTCACAAGTACATCTATCTGCCACCACCCAACCACACCTCACCTCTCTTGTCTACCCTTCCCATCCCATTCCATACACATCCTCGTCCTTAGCCCTCCCGCTCACATATTAATGCATAGCCATTGCCCATACCGCCTCTTCTTATCTTGACCACCCACTCCCTTCCCATCCCATAGCCAGACCACCGTACACAGGCTCGCCCGTCTGACCTTCGACGCACTCTATCGTCGGCTGCCTGCATCGTACCCTACCACCCACTGGCCCTTCGACCGCCATCATCCTGGTGTCCCGTGGACTAGTACTTATTCTTCCAGATCCCCAACTCACTTCTCCCAGCTCAATTCGTCTTGAATCCCATCTTCCACATATCATTCCAGCCTCCGGTTCACTGCCGCCACGCCATCTAGTGAACCGCCTTCGACCCTGCCCACACGACCGGTCGTCCACCCTCGCCAACAGAGCCCTTCGGGTCGTCTAACAAAAACTTGCTGTCTATCTCATCTGACATCTAGTACTCACAGGTCACAATGGGTTCCTTCTCACGTACTCAGTCCCCAGTCCTTGCCATGCCGCCGAGTGCTGCCCACCAGCCCGCGTTCGGTATGCCCATGTACTCGCTCCAGTCATCTCCTCTAAGCCGTCCTGGGCCCTTTTGTCCTTCTGCTCGGCCCCAACCGCCTGTGCAGCCGTCATTTCCACGCAGTGCCGGCCGCAAGCGCTCAAGAGATGAGGCAGCCATCAACCTCGATGTCGAAGAGGCCAAGCTTGAAACCATTGAGCCTGTCAAAGAAGCAGAAGACGAATGGGTCTATGGCGAGGGCATGGTCCTCATCAAGAAGTCTCAGGCCTATGTCGCCGACGCTGGCAGCCAGTCCGGAACTTGGCTCGAGGAAAAGGCAGCTGCAGAAGAGAAGCGCAGAAACGAAGAAGCCCGTGCAATCCATCAGCAAGAACGCCCTTCTCTTCGAAGCAACAAATCTCAGCGCCTTGACATGAGCTCTGTTTCCATCCCCGCTCTTGGCTCTCATCTCAATCGTTCCAGTCCCGTCCGCGACGTCAACGACACTGTCGCGGCAGCTCCTGCCCTGGCTGTGGACGGCAGCTCACAACCTGTCATCGACAACTTCACACTTCATCTGGGCATCGGCTGGAGTCGCATCAACACCGACGAACACAGACAAGCCGCCGCCCGGGGTTGGGCGCGTTACATTGAGAATCACTTCCCCATCAACAACGTCCAAATACAGCTTGAGAGCAAGGGTCTGCAATCCTATCTCGTCGAGGCTTCTGAGGGGTTCTTCCTCTTTGCCGAAGACTTGCAAAAGGGTCAGTTTATCAGCAGCGACCTCAACCAGACTTTCCAAAACCTCAAGGCCTCCCCGCCTGTCTTTGAGGGCCTAGAAGTCATGACTGCTGCCGGCACACCCCAGCCAACACCATCCCAAGATGTCGAAATGATGATGACTTGAGCGACTTATTGAGACCTGGCGCGAGGCACATGAGGCATATAGGACAGGGTTTCCTGGGTTGGTATCTTCGGTTAACTGGTGGGACTGGAGTTTGGGACGTGCTTTAGGAACTTCATTAGTTATTTCCTTACCTGCGACGGGTGTCGCGGTGATCAAAAGTCATGGAGCCTGTATTTTTAACTGTACGAATAAAGCCATTTCAGCCATTTGCCGTTTGAGACATGTCGTGAGACCCCAGATTTACTGTGTTCAATTCATAAACTGTTCTATCCTACCTAGGTAGATTCTATCTGCTGCGAAGCTTTGCCCAACGCGACGGCCTTGGGCGGCAATCGGTAGATCCCTGGAGAAATTGACGGACGCGTTGGCAGGCAGGTTCAGCATCTGTCTACTTGCTTACTGCTTGCCGTACCTCCTTCTATCAATGAGTTAGTGAATTTCGCGCTCGCTGAGTCGTATAGCTGCGATGTAGTGAGATCTTCACTGCTGTAATAACCATGACCACAAACGCGACCAGTCCAAGTGGTCGATGGACTGGTGACCCCCAGCAGCCAATGCCTCACTGCTCATGGCTCCCTCGATGACGGTCCAACGGTAGCCTTGCCCAGGTACGAAAATGGGCCTCGACTTTCAGATAGCTCAGATAGAGACGGTCCATAGAAAGGCGATGATCTACCTAGAGCGTGAGGTCATGCTGCGAGCCCGTGCGTTTCCGCAGTGCACCACCTGCTCGTCGCGGGCCCGGGCGTTGGGGCAGGCGTGCCGGACGGAAAAAAAAAAATATTGATCACCAAGGCCCCATCGCCCATGACGGATTGGACCTGCACGTAATGAAATCGTCCCTCCAGCAAGTGTCTCCTAGCAAGCAGTCTCTGCGGCCGGGGATGCCTCGCGGCGCATAGCGTGGGAGGTACCGCAGTCGAGCGTGGTTCGGATAGTGGACTACGGAGGGATTCCGCAGCAAGGTGGGCGGATGTAGCGGCGTCGTCTGGGAATACTGTCCGTCAAGCATTTTCGTTCGATGTGTGACTCTCTCTGCATAGTGGTCAATATCGGGCTGGCTTGCATGGTCGTCCTTTCATGACTTTGAAGCCAACTCCTAGCTGTAGCATGTCTACCAATTTTTGGTTAGTCTGACAGGCCTGGTAGGCTCTGTACTTGAGGGCAGTGCTTCACTCTGTCGAATTAACGCATATGACTCTATTTCTACCTAGGTATATCATCACGTATATTATCACCCGATGGACAGCTGTTTAAAATCGATCTGTGGTGGGAGTATCCCATCAAAGGATGGCTGTGCGCCAGTAGGAGCTGACCAGACACGATTGCCATTGATGAGATTAGACCTCGAACTGTAGGGATAAACCAACCTAGATCCTCTGAGAGCTCGAACCGCTATTATAGGCAGACCTATATCGCAGTCACCAGCATAAGTAACAGCAGGATCGTGTGGTCAAAGTCATGCATTCAAGCATCAAGTCTCTGGTGGCGCGTCAATTGCATCTGTGAGGTGATACCACTCTCCAGACGATGACTATTTAACATCTCATCATGCTACTCTCTGTTCTCCACCTCGGGCAGTCTTGGCCCATGAAACCCACGAGAGATGGACTTTACTGTACTCTACGGTGTATTAGTCTGGACAAAGCTACGGATCCGGGCACAGCTCACATGCCATCGAGAACAGTCCAAGTAATCGTTGGTGCACGCGATGAGTCCTATCCAGAATCCGGGTTTGGTGCGGCCCCAGTGGCTAGTGAATGACTGGCCAACATGTCCCGGCAGACCCTCCAACTCGACCCTACCCAGCTGAGCGGACGTGGAGCTTTGGCCGCAACGATAGGCTGGCGATGGCGCCGGCGGCCGATCGCCTGCAAGCGGCAGCATTACTGAAGCTGTCTGGTGTTGCATCGGGAGCAAGTCACTCGACTGCTGCCGTGCGCCGTCAAACAATAAACAGGCAAAGAACGCGGGAAAGGGGTTTCTGGTGGTGGATAGGCGCGACTTGGCCGTTTTCGCTCGCGTCTTCGGAAGGGTGGCCCTGGACCTGGTGTGACTAGCGTATCGTTAACGGGGCTCGTGGTGATGTTCTATCATCCAGCCTCCTCCATCTCCATGACTGCAGACACTTCCCTACATCTGCTGCTTTTCCTTTCTTCGCTATTTTCATTAGAATAATACGTCAGGACCCCGGACTGCGGCTGCCATCGGCCAGAAAGTGAGGCGACCGCCCTGTGAGTTTTGGCGACTTGAACCCTGGTTTTACCTGCCCGGCACCGACCTCCTGTGGCGAAATCACGGGCACAGCCTCAGAAAGTCAATCAACCCGTCAATCACGAGCTTCGGCACTGGACCGCTTGCTGGACTTGCACAGCGCTTCTGGCGTCCTGGGAAATAGCGGTGTCCTTACAGGCCGTTGCGGAGAGCGACACGGCTTCGAAACCAGGATTGCAGAAACTCTCGAGGCATCCAACTTCATGACATTGTGCGCAGAAAAGCATAGCGCATCCATCTCCAGCAGACCTTGCTTTCCGCTCCTCGTCCTGTCATGAGCTTCAGCCACACCACCTGCCCCTCATCAACTCGCCGTCTCACCACCGGCTCCAAGTCGCAATCGGAAGCTTGTCGCGCGGCCTGGCACTAGGAGCACATGCGGGCTCCTATGTCTCACGGCGCCCAGCACATTCGCGAACAAGAAAGCATATCGTAGGACAGGCGGCGAAGCTGGCCCTCCGTCTTCATGGTTTCGCAACGCGATCCCGAACCTCCATCCCACTCGCTCGCCGTCCGGGGAGCTCAGTCCGTAGTCGGCACGCGATCCTCCCGGCCCCACGGCTCGTCGCGCAGCAAGCGATACAACCGCTCCCACGCCGGCGGCGCCTCCTACATACCCCAGAATGAGTTCCCGGTCTTCAGCGCCTCGGGCGACGTCGAGATCCTGATCAAGGCGGGCGGGAGGGTCAACAGATACCTGCTGCACAGGCACACTCTCACGCGATGTTCGGGCTTCTTTGAGGCCTCGACCAGCCAGCAATGGTCCAAGGCCAGCATCCTCCCAGCCCTCCCGGAACCCCCGAGTACAGACGTAGCGCGGATAGCAGAGGACAGTGGTGTCAGTCTAGGAAGTGGCAGCTCTACGGGGAGCGGCTATGAAATCACACGGCCAGGCGCAGGATCGCCGGGCCCAAGAAGGCGGTGGAGGTACGAGCTAGACCCAGGGACTGGCCGGGACGATATACCGATGCTGGTGCAGAAAGAGGCGGATACCAACGGCGCCTTGACGGGCTCAGGCGCGACACAGCAAACCAACTCGATATTCGGCGGAGGGCCTAGCGCACATACGTCGTCGAGTCGTCACAAACACTCGCAATCGGCGACACACACGACCTCTTCGTTCTTCCGCTCCGTGGCAAACCTGTCTTTGACTGGCCACCACTCACCAAACAACCCACCGCCCGATGATGGCCCGCCTCTTTCGCAAGCGGATAACGATCTTCTTCGCGACTACGACAACCTCTTTCGCATATTTTACAATTACCCACCCGTGCTAGATGGTATCAACATAGCGGACGCATACGTTCAGTGCAAATCGCTGTTGACACTGGCAGACCAATACGATGCGCTTGCAGTCTGTGGTCCACGGGTCGACCATCACCTCTTGCAATTTCAGTCCCGTCTATGGAAACAGATAGCGAAATACCCCGTATCCTACCTCAAGCTGGGCTATCTGAGCAGATCCAAGGTCATATTCCAGGAGGCCCTTATCCATGTCGTAGGGCAGTGGCCGGCCGGCGAGCGAAGTATCAGGAGCGCATTACCAGAGATAGTATTGGACATCATCGAGGACAAGGTCGACGAGTTGGAAGAGACGGTATCGCGCATAGAAGGGCGTCTGTTCCGACTCAATCTGACCAACTCCCGCGGTGAGAGGGTGACGCCTGCCACGTCGTATCTCGACTGGCTCGCTGTGAGCTTCTTCCGGCAATGGCTCGCGGACAATACTGCCCCGGCTCCTCCGCCGCCGCCAGCTCCCTCAGGCTCAGATCGCCGAGGCGGTTCCGCGAACCGGCCAGCTCCTCCTCCCCCACCCCCGGCTGCTATGCCCAGTCTCGCGACCGTTGGCCGGACATACCGCGCATTAGGCTCCGCCAACAGCGCGGCCTACCTGACCCACGAAGAATGCAAGCGTTTCCTGAAGCTCACGCCGGATCTTTACAGCCGAGACAACCTCCGGAGGTTCGAGAAGCGCGTGGACGAGATGAAGACCGCCGCAAGGGAACTCGTGCGGCCGCTCATGGGCAGCGGCCTGGAGCTCGAGCTGAGCAACCCGGGCAAGGACGGCGCTGTAGCTGCGCCGGTCGGGTATCTAACCTGTGTTCGGGTCGTGGAGAGAGATTTGCCCTGGGCTGCTGAGGATTGATGAATTGTGCTCGATGCAAGAATGAAAGAAGAAGAAGAACGAGATGACGGGGGAGCATGCATAATGGATCATTTTATGACGAATCATGATATACGGATGGCGGATATTGCGTCGTTTACTTTGGGGGCTCGCTTTGTATATCGCAAGAGGCCGAGCTGGTTGTATGTTTTTTCTGCAGGATACCCATCATGATGAATAGGCTGATGACAATTTATAATCACAAGCTACTACTTCGTACGGAAACGTGACTTATAGGCTATGCGAGAAGGTTATATGTTCCAAGGTTGTCTGCAATTAACGCCATGAACGACCCAATGGCGAATTAAGTGCTTGGGTGTTTCGGTTGCACGCCGCTGGTTCGAGCTGCAAATCCGGAGGTAGTGTTAACCCAACGATCAGGTGGCATCTGGGCATGGATAGCCGCCCAAGTGCTCGTTTTAACTACAGTATTACCTACCTCCGGGCCTATGTAAGGTAGCTGGGTCCCTAACCAACTTAATAGCATATCGTAGCTTCTGCTCCCTGTGATCCCAGCCAACGACCAACGACATAGGCTCTGGCGCTGATCGGTTTCCATCAGTCGCCGGCTTGACTGATTGTCACTGCCTACAGCTACATCAGATTACAAACAGAGTAAATCAGCTCGCGGACTGAAATTTCTCATGGAATCCTTGTCAAAACTCCTCAAAGATGGCCGCAGCTATCTGTAAGATTGGCGAGTCTTTCACAGGAAGGCTAGGGATTTATACGCTCACGAAGCAGCTGCAGGAATGTGTCTGGCTTGGAAGGTAATGCAACTTGACTGAGAATATGCAATGACCCCAAGTGATTATGCTTATTCTAGCAGCAACCAGAACCAAGAACCCATCATTTTCAACGCTGTTCGGCACTTCCGTCTCCAGAACGAGCGCGACGTACTACTACGTTTCCAACACCGCACCCCATCTATACGACCTCTACTTGATGAGATTGAAAACCCCCAAGCGCTCATCCTCAAGTATTTGGACGACGATTTACTCCACGCTTCGCACACCAAGGGACTTAACAGACTGGAACTCAAATATGTTGCTAGACACGTTCTGGAGGCATTGGACCGGCTTCATTCCGATGGTTTCGTTCACACAGGTGGTACCACCTTCTCGATTCCAAGTGTTACTCCCAACTAAGGCCCAGCAGATATCAAGCCGAGCAATGTGCTAGTAAATAATGTGAAGGATGGGACGATCCGCTTCAAAGACGTGCAAGTTGGCGACTTTGGGAGCACAGTCTCGCAAGACTCCCCATATGCCCTTAATGGAGACCCCATTGGGACGCCGATGTTTCGAAGCCCCGAGGCACACATACAAATGAGGTGGGGCACGGCGACTGATATTTGGTCATTTGGAGCGATGGTGAGGATTCAATTCGCTTAAGCATGGCATGCGTTTGCTAATCTACTATTAAAATATACAGTTGATAAGCCTCATGTACGGTGGAGGTTTTCACATATTCAAACCTGATGTGCCTGCTGATCATGACGAATACGACATTAAGATCCTTATGAAACACCATCAGTGCTTCGGGCCATTCCCTATATCGTACGAGGAGATTGCCAATCAGGATCAACTGGCGGCTTTGACGTGGGTAATGGACAACTGCCCCAAAACAACCTTGAAGCCTTTCCGTTTCACTACCGAACGGGAAATTTCCAGGGAGGACAGAATGTTCATTTACAAGATTATGAAAATGGATCCAAGAGATAGACCAAGCGCAAGAGAGCTTTTGACGGACGCTTGGTTGTCCGAAGACTATCTAGTAGACTTTTCCCTCCCCAGTGTATACTGTCCCCTGCCAATAAGCCCACCACCAACTCAACATCGAAAACCAAAGTAACCAGTTGTTTTACCATGCACCAATGCTAAATGAGAGTTGGGGCCCATTCGGGGGGCCTGGTTTCTGGCGCCAACGTATTTTTCAGGCACGAGATAAGGCTCACTTCAGCGAAGCAGTAAAAGACCTTGGGTGATAACTCACGCCGGCTTCTTCGAAATCAGGGCTCTCAGGAGGTATACGAGGCGCTTTGAAATGATCAGACGAGGGGAGGATGGTTCAAATGCTTCAAGACAAGTGGAAGACATCTGGTCGTGAAAATCTCGAGACCAACAACCACCCCTACACCTTAGAGATGCTGTGTAGATCGTGCGTCGTTCATTGTTCTTCCGTGTCGTAATGGCTGGGGTATTTCCTCCAAAAGTGTGACCCATTCTCGCTACATGAGGGAGCATGTAGCACGAATATTGTTAATAATATTGGAAGTCGAAAAACACACTCCATTTTACACTATCCATAACCGAGTTTGCCTTGAAGAGTATTTAATCAATTACATAACGCCGACGCCATGGTATGCATATCCTTTTACCCTTCCGATTTGGTCGTAAAATATAATTCATGATGCAACTCTGCGCCGTTCTTTTCACTGACCAGTCAGATCAATGATACTGACATCGCTCATCCTCCATTTCCGCCCGCCCTCTCTCCCAATCCGGTCCGCCTCGGCCACCGTGACCTCGATCTCCTTGAAGAAGCCCGGCTCGCTCTTGCGCGGTGCGTAGATCTTGGTGGTGCGCATGCCGAAGGCATCGTTCAGTTTGCTCTGCCTGCGGTTCCCCGTCTTGGCTGTTACAGGCGAGGCTGCCGCCGTAGTTGTAGGAGGACAACACACTGCTGGTATAGAGCGAGGTGGTGCAGGTTTGGACAATGGTGAACTATCTATGTCTATCACGGGATGCAGGATTGTGTCGGGAGGGGTGAGTGAGGGCGGAATTGGTGAAACACGACTTGGGATCTTGCCCGCGAACGTGCTAAGCGGTGGGAGATCCAGATCATCATCGCTGTCAACGCCATCATACTCGGCACCGGCCGCAGAGGTTTCTACAGCGATCGTGCGGGCTCTCGTCAGGGCACTGCGTTGAGTACTGAACATGTCTTGGCTCTTCTCTCCTCTGGGGGAATTCGCTGGCATCGACTCTGTCCTGGCTAGTTTCCGACGTGTTCTCCCATCCTGTTGTGGCGAGGGACTGGAAGCTCTCGAGGTGGCCTGCAGTTTTAAGCTTTGATCTGGAGTTGTCTCTAAAGGCGTCCTGGATCGCCGCTTTTGAGGGCTCGTTATAAAACTGTCAAGCCCACTTTCGGCGGGAGGAGGACTTGATGTCTGCCTCACACGCGAGCGAGAAGACTTGGTAGGCGACGAAGGGGGGCTAGATGATATAAAAATGGCTTCCGAAGACTTGGGAGCGGTCGATACGGTCTTGCTGGCCCTGGGACTACACCGTGAGCCAGCGATCGTCCACGGGTTTACGCTAGAGTCCGCTTTGGGGTCCCGAGACGTTCCAGGGGCCTTCTTGAGATTGGGCTTCGTTGATTGCTTACTGGATCTCATAGGCCTGGAGGTTTTCGGCAGTTGAAACGCAGTTGCTGGAAGTGCAGACCGATTCTGCGACGAAGGAGGCAGCACCTCCAGTGGGTTATCGCTCCGTGAAGACGCCGTGGGCTTGGCAATGAGCGGCGTATTCGTGACTGTGCTGCTTGGTGGGAGGTTCTTGGAGACCTTGACAAACCTGTCAAGAGCTCCTATGGCCATACCCCCGAGTCTTGCAGTCTGTTTCGGTGCCTTTGTCGTCCTCTTCTTGGACGCTTTAGCACGCTGCGTTTCTTCCCAGTCTTCGACCATCAGAGGTATTCCAAGCTTGGCGATTGTCTCCGGCATCCAGAATAAGTCCGGCTCATTGGGACTGAATGGCTTCTTGGGTCCAAGTTTAGCGACGGCTCCCGTTCCATCTTCGTCGGCCAGGGCCTCAAACTCATCATCGCTATTCAACGCAAGTCCATCTCGGCCATATTCGATCTCTTCTTCCGGCTCTTCCTCAAAATTGTAACCAACGATTTCTGTGGGTGTGAAGCATATTCGGAGTTCGGGTGTGGCGTCTGTGCTGAAGTGTTCACGTCGGCTTTTGATAGAGTTCACAAGACTTTGCTCCTCTTCTTGTATTTGCTCGAGACTGCGAGCGTGGTCGGTACCCGCAGCACTTAGTTGCATGATCCTCTTGACAAGCAGACATGGTGCCAGGACCCGAATGAACTTGATCGCGCCACCCCTGTAGTTCCAGTCAAACGTCTCGCGGACGAATTCTCGTAATCCCAGAATGTCGATTGGCTTATCCCAAGGCTGGTTTCGCAATCTCTCCAGCACCGAGGGGGGCGAAACTACTGGATGAGTGTAATACCTCAGCACCTCTAGACTGGGAAAGTCCTCCGGAACCACGAGAGCCTTATGTTTAGTCCGGAAAAACCGACTCTCGTTCGTCCGCAGCTCGTGCATGAGGTTATCTCTCCAATCGTTGAGACCAGAGGCGTCCGAGCTTTTGAAACGGCAAAGGGTCTTGCCAAAGCCTGCTCTGGCCGCCTCGCAGGCCAGCTTGACACCAGCCCCTGGAATCCCTTCGGGTAGGTAGTCGCCGCCACTCATAAGAGCAACCAGCACCATCCCCTCACGGTCAAGTCCTGACTCGCTCTGACGCAGGTCCTTAGTGTCGAAAAGTGACATATGCGTCGGTGTCTTGCCCTTGCCCTCGGCTGACCAATTCCTCAGAGTCCGGGTGCAGCCAAACATGATGGTGTCGACATCCTCGCTGAGCACGGCATCCACGATGCCATTTAATTGCAACAATGCACACTCGGCTTCGGCCTCGCCGGGGGCGTCATGGACCTGAAAACCAAAGAGGCGGATCAACCGTTTGGCCATGGAAGTAGCGACACCATCTCCGCGGCCCGAGCGCTTGTTTCGCTTGAATACAGGCTTGTTCGGTCCATCAAAAACAAAGATGGGCTGGATGGAGAGGCTGAGCAAGCGAAGCAAGCGGTAGAACAACGTGCGGATAGCCGGGTTTGAGCCACCTCTCGCTGCTTGCACCTGGAATTGCCAGATAGAGATATCGATTGCGAGGCGCAGTGGCCTGCCCGTCTGCTCGAGCTGGTCAACAGCTAGTTTGGTGAGCGATATGCGCTTTCCGGGGCCAATTTCTTTGTATATCCTGAGTCGGGTCAGTCTGGGCTCGATGGCCGAGATAGCCTGTGAGAAATGGTCAAACGCACCCTTTGATACCCATCTCGAAGCTCCTACGAGATTGGAGGCCCAACAGCCGTGCAAATCATCCGGAAGCAAAATCACAAGCAAAAGTTATGGGGTATGGACTACGAGCTGTTCATGGTCGATAATGGGCGTTCACGTGTAGTCGTCATTGAGTTGAGGTCATCGATGGCTCTGAGCCCGCGCCGGTGGTTGTTGACTTTGGTTTCCACAGGGATGGCGGGGCAGCCATTAATGGGATACTTGCGCCACAAGTCCCTGACTTTTCATCGAGCCCAGCCAGCAAGCTTGATGAGATTCATAGAGACAATGAAAGACAAAAATCCAATACAAATCGGTCTAGAATCTCTATAATAGCTCATAGAGCATATTCCATATTCCTGTATGTAGGTCTGTGGTATGGAAGAGCACTGGTGTAGACTTTAGTGGAATGTCGCCAATACGCCAGGGGGTCGAGCTCCAAGACCCTTGCTGGACCGACCGACATCATTTCTTCGTTTGCCGACCGCAACGCGAACGAGACGTGCCGCCCGCCCGATAACTCCTAGCTTTTCTCTTGGCCATGTGAACTCCTGGTCAATAACGTAGTCTCAAGCGTAGCTGCGTCGTTCCACCATGTCGTCCAGCGCTGCCGCCAGCCTGCCCCATCGCAGCGTCGCTAGCATCCGCGCCGGGGGTCAATCGACCAGGGAGGCCACATCAGGAAGCCCGCACACGCCTACCCGCCCCTTATCGTCCTCCGTCTTGGGGTCTCCCGGCGGTGGTGGCCGTGTCGAAGATGAATCCATTGTGATCGAGCTTGGTTGTCGAAAGATCCGCGTAGGGTTTGCGGGGGATGCGGCCCCCAAACGGATCATCTCCTTCGACACCGAACAGGACCGACGAACTGGGGACTTAAGAGCTTGGGAGGCGGGATACGATGACGACTGGAGAAGGAGGACATCGGGGCGACCGTGGGGACACCAGCAGGAGCTGTTCCAGCTTGAATGCAGAGGACAGGACCTCGGCCTGGTCGGGGACAAGATCGAACGCGGTCTACGGGACGCCTTTACGAAATACCTCCTGATCGACTCGAAACCGAGAAAGATATCATTGGTCCTGCCACCCGCCATGCCGCTACCTATACTATCCTCTGTTCTCGATACTCTATTCAACCGCTTTCAGTCACCCTCGATTTCTCTGCTGTCATCCCCGGTTGCCACCACATTCGCAGCTGGCGTTCGGTCGGCGTTGGTGGTTGACCTTGGCTGGCATGAGACAACCGTCACAGGAGTCTATGAATACCGGGAAGTCAATACATGGCGGTCGACAAGGGCAGGAAAGATGCTTCTCGAAGAGACGCGGGATTTCCTAGTTGACGCTCTGGAGGGCCGAGAAGTCGGGTCCCAGGAGAGCCGACCACCGGCCCCGAACGATGTGGTCAGCTTTGAGGACTGCGAAGAGGTCGCAACACGGGTGCTCTGGTGCAAGAATGCCCACAGGAAACCTTCTGAGGATACCTCCGAAGGCCTACCTACCCTACATGAGCAAGACGAGTCAGAGACGTTGGACCCCTCCGAGGATCCCACACCTACACCAATAACACTCCCATCCTGCAAAACTACAAAGATGATACAGATACCGTTTTCTCGGCTGGCAGAACCATGCGAGACGGCCTTCTTCCAGACCTCATATGGGCCGGCAAACTTCGATGACGAGGAACTACCTCTTCACTTGCTTGTGTACCTAAGCCTCCTCAAGCTTCCGATTGACGTTCGCGCAGTCTGCATGTCGCGAATCATCTTCACCGGCGGCTGCTCCAACATACTCGGGCTCAGGGGCCGTATCTTCGACGAGGTGCGACTCCTCGCCGAGGAGCGGGGCTGGGATCCCATCCAAGGCCGCGGCGTCGTGGCATACAAAAACAACCCCAAGCTCAAGCGTCGAGGCGCCAACGGCGTGGCGACCGGCCAGCAAACGAACGGTGGCACTACGCCGACCATTCACACAACTCCACCTGATCCAGAGGAGGGAGAGGAACCAGCACCTAGCACACATCCAGCGCACGTCTCCCTGGATGACGACCCGGTGGAGAGCATGATCCGCAAGGAGAAAGAATACAAGCCGCCTGTGCAGGGCGCGCTGCGCGCCGTCGACTCGATGGGCCCCTGGGCCGGGGCCAGCCTGGCCACGCAGCTCAAGATCCCGGCCATCGCCATGGTCGACCGGGAGCTGTGGCTGTCGCAGGGCCTGGGCGGCGCGAGCCGGCCCAACGAGATCGACGTCCAGGCGCAGCAGAAGCCGTCTAGGCAGAGCATGGGACCCGGCGGGCTGATGAGAGGACAGGGTGCCCAGGCGAGCAATTGGACGCTGGGTGTCTGGGGCGCGGTGTAAGAGAGCGAGCGAGGGAGGGAGAGGCGTGAGGGACGGAATACCCATGGATGCTGTACAGCAATAGACGAGATATGATCTTCCAAAGATGAATTTATCGCAATCGATCACTCCAAAGTCGTCTAGTGAAATTGACTTTGGTTCTACCTAGAACAGCTCGGGAAGCTGTATCTACTGGCCAGTCTTCCCTAGCACTATGCCATCAATTCAGAGGTCGACCTTGTCTTTGAGGCTCGACGCAGGTAGATGCGATGGTATATTTACTACAACGCCGCTGAGGTACCGGTCCACTCAGAAGGGCAGGTTATTCTACAATGCTTTACAATCTCCCATGATTCCCAATAAGAGAGACTGGGGGTGGTGTACAGTATGCCACTTGCACCAACCAGAATGCTGGCTTCTATCACCAGAAACCCTATGCACAGAAATCAATCAGTACAGCTTCTTCAGCTGGTGCTTGAGGCCGATATACTCCTTGCCCATGGATTCCCACAGGCATTCCGGCAGCTTGACACGCATCTCGTTCTCGTCCCAACCGTTCTCGAGCACGGCAGCGAGCACCCGGGGCACGGCCAGCGCCGTGCCGTTCACGGTCCATGGGTAGAGCATCTTTCCGTTGGACTTGAACCTCGTCGCCAGCCTCCGGGTCTGGTAGTCGGTGCAGATGCTGGCGCTGGTCACCTCACCCCAGCCGTCATTCTTCTGCCTTCGTGACGGGAAGAAGGCCTCGATGTCGTTCTTCCTCACGGCCGAGGCGCCAAGGTCCGTGGATGGCATCTCGAGGATGCGACAGTGCAGCCCGAGCGTATGGAGGATATCGGTCTGGATGTCGACCATCTCGTCGAAGATCTCGGTTGCGGACGAGAGGTTCGGCTCGGACCACGCGAACATCTCGACCTTGTTGAACTCGTGTACTCTGTACAGGCCCTTGGTATCGACGCCGCGGGCGCCAGCTTCGGCTCTGTAGCACCTGGAAACGCCTACCCGTTTCAGGGGCAGTTCGCTCTCGTCAATGACGGTGTCTGCCTTCATGCCCGCGAGCGGGATCTCGGCTGTCCCTGCGAGCACGAGCTCGGGCTTGCCGCGGTCTCGGTCCGCTGCCGACTGCGCTAGAGAATAGATCTGTGTCTCCCCATTCTGGTCGCGCGGCTGGAACCCGCAGGCTGCGGCAATGTGACCGTAGACGATACTGGGCGGCGTGACCTGCCGCCATCCATGCTTGGTCACCACGTTCAGGGCAAAATTAATCAGAGCCTGCTCCAGCTGTGCGCCCTCATCCAGCAGATAATACCACCCCCAGCCGGACGACGTGGCTGCGCCGGCAAAATCCAGCAGCCCCAGCTCGGACCCGATGTGCACATGTGACCGCCACACGCGATCCGACTCAGCGGGACGAGGCTCCGGGTGGTCGTTAATGTACGACAAGACTTGGGCCTCGTCGCCGCGGGGCGTCTGCTCGCTCGTCAGGTTGGGTATCTGTAGTGCGAGGTGGTCGATCTCGGCAGTTAGGCGGTCTTCGCTCTGCTCGATGGTGGAAAGCTTCTCTTTCAGCATCTTTGCCTCGTCCAGTAGCTGCTCTCTGCTCATATTCCTGATATCTAGGGCGGCAGGATCTTCATCGCCCTGTGTAGTGGCCGAGTTGGCGATCTGCTTGCGCAGCAGGTTGTTGCGCTCGCGCAGGTGCCGCCCTTCTTTCTGGTGCTCCTGCCATTGCTGATGCAGCTCGTTGATTCGGTCTGGATAGGTGCTCTGGAGCTTGTAGTTGCGGTCCAGGCAGTTCTGCTCATGCAGGAAGGGGTTTTGTCGGATGTGCTTGATGTCGATGTTCGGCCTGGGAGCTATTGTCGGCCGGGTTGGGATGGGTTCTGACGAGCTCGGAGCTGAGTTGGAGAGACGCGCAAAGGCATGAAAGAAGCGCGTCTTTGAGGGCTGTAGACGGCATTGCCGACACACGAAGGACCTCGGAGACAGCTTCATATCGACGCAATGCGAGATCCTCGACTTCACGAGACTTGAAGGGTGTGCTTGTCGTGCTGCTCACAACTGCACGAGGTGGGAGGTCCACCAGGGCACCAAGAATTTGGGGGTCCTCCGGTTAGGTAACGCCGATTCCTGCTAAATCGACGGGTAGCTCCCCGCAAATCACAGGGGTAGCTTATTAGCCTCTGCTGCCTTGGAACTTAAGTTAGTCGACGGCAATACTTCAGGCGCTAAAGTTTCCATAGGTAGTCAACTTGTTAGCGTTAAGCAGGTATGAATGCCGACAACTATGTTGTGCTCTATTAGTCTGTATAGACCATCCAGTGCACACCATGGAAACCCCATTACTATCGTCTTGGCCCCGCTGAGCTGTTGTCATCAGGGCTACCTTTGTCAATCTCTCAATACTGATGACCTTACAGTTGTGCTGCGAGAAAAGCCTGTTCCTGCCCTCTTATATTCAGTTGCTCATGAAGAACCAAGAGTAACGTGTAGGTCCTGTTTTACATTGTCGCTTCAGCGACCCCTCCCCCAGACATAATTTGTTCTTCCAAAGCATCCAGCATTGGTACACTTATGGAGGCTTGTACAATAGCCCGTCTTAGCAGGCAAGTCCGCACCGAACTGAATTTGTTTACCAGCTCTACCGCCCTCAAATCTGTAGGGGGTCATTTTTGACCAGTCCCTATCTTCTACTGCTACAATGAACGCTTCGAGGTGTTGATTCACGTGAACGGAGCAGTGCGAAAGATTGATCAACTGTAAACAACTGTTTCACGGTGTTGGTACCAGCACCCGCTGCTTTTGGACTTGAGGCCTTCTGAAGTATGGAGAAACGTCTCCAATAGATTTGTGCAGTGGGAAAACCAATTCATAATACTCGTTCCTCGGCATGCGCTCTAGTAGACACTGGGTCCTACTCGATAAGCGAGCTGTTGATATACCAGTCCGGGTGATACAAGTTCTGGGACTATATACGAATAATTTCCATCTGGTAGACCTCTTCCACTTGTTTAGACCATATAATGGCAATGACACGAGCGATATTAGCAATAATCTGCTTGATTGCGATGTACGCAGCGACGAAGATCACTATGCTACTCTCGTCCACATCCAAGAACGCCTTCGGGTCATCCAGATCCGTGGTTGGTCAGAGCCTTCTTTGCTTTTCTTGAGGTGAATCGTCGGGGTCTCGCGCAAAACACAGTATCTTTGCAAATTCCATCACTCCTGACAGACAAGCCTCGAGAGAAGTACGTACTGGGTCGTCGAAACGTGGCACGCATCTGGGCCTAGCGTCCATGGCCCACAAGCAAGCCCAATGAGCTTGCAGATTTAGCTCCGAGAGACGAACCCATTTGTGAGGCGTAGTGCTGGGGGAAGGGGTCGGATTTCCCTATGCAGGTGTTTCGCTGGTCCCTCTCTACCAATCAAGCGAGCGCGGGCTTGAGCTATCGCCTAACGGTGTGGCTAGACGGACGAGAAAAGGTGGCTGTGAACAAGAACTCTCATTCGCACCCGCAACGAAGTGATGAAGGCTGACTTGTCATAAATATGCCCATGAGACCCGCTGTGCTCTGTCTTGCTTTAAATATCAAAACCAAAAGTCACAGGATCAAGTCTGTTAGGATGACCCGTAGACTTCACGTATAAAACCTACTATATTTGGAGGCACTCAAGCTCTATCCTGACATCGCATCGTCATCTATATTGTGACGGACAAAAACAATAAATAGTACGGACAAAGCAACGACTTCAAGAGGCAACAAGTTATCTACACACAATCTCGACATGGCAAACGGGTAAGATATGGTAGCCCTCTCACACTGAAGTTGATATCTAGAACAGCCAAGCTAGTGGCAACCTCACACAGCTTGCCATGATGACATCGGCTTGGCCCCCGCGATGTAGAGCCATGCACTGACGAATCCTTCTGCAGGAAAACAACACTCCGAAGCAAAGTGGCGAGCACCTACATGTGGCCGCTGACATCTGCACTCCTGCTTTTTGCCATTGTGCCATGCTGTTTGACGCTCGTCGTCCACGATGAGTGGCTTGAGGGAGTCTTACGAGCTTTCGGCACGTTCTTCAATGCCACGCTTTCGATTTATCTTGGTCTTGTGCCGGTGTTCGAAAAGAAGCAAAGGTGCACCTCGTTCTTCGCCATTGCCCTGGCCCTATGCTTCGTAGCCGCCATATCAGCGGTCACTCTCACTTTCTACAATAACGTTACCATGAACACGGCATCCAGACTCACACAAGCTCTCATAGGGCCGATGTTGAATTATATATTTGCATCTGTCATCAGTGCATACAAAAGTAGCGAGGGCGTAGGGCGATCCGAGCGCGCCTTTATGTATAGCTGAAGGATTGTGTAAAGCAGGAAGTTAAAGCTGTAACAGAGCAGGAGTTGGCTGTCCTTGGATACTTCGCGCGGCCAGTCGCTGATTCATTTCCAACATTGCCAATTGCATAGTCATAGAAAAATCGTGGAGTATTCTGGACAATGGTTTGTCGGGAAGGAGTGTAGGAAAAAGGACAGCGAGACACACAGAAAATTTGCGGCCCTCTCTTTCTTTTGTCAGTTCTAATTTTACTGAACAATCCAATTCAAGACTCTTTCATGTGGCAGAACAAGCTGACAGGTTTATCCGAATGACTCGCTCCTTGTGCTGAGATTTGTGCATGCGGCTATAGACTCTCTTTTCCGCATCCATGGCTCAATTTTTCCTCTACACGAGGTGACGGTTGCTGAATACACTTTCTTATACACGACCTGATTATTGGCATTTATTGTGAGACCGGGTGTCATACTTTCTCGGAACCCTGTGGAAGCTATTCCACGTGTCCAGTACCGCCACTATTATGTTTAGTCGCGAATATCAGCGTACTTGGCATTAATTCTAGGAACTTGTAATACTCATACATGCAGCCAATACACTCTAGAAAGACAGCGGTCGATATCGCTAGGGGAGCCTTGATTATTTTTCCTACAGCTCTTTCAGGTGCATATTTAATGGGTATCTTCATGAACAGGTTGATAGCAGCGAGCTAGTGACTTATCATTACTACTGCTCCCGAAGTTAGGTCCAAGGGCGAATATGATTTGGTAACGGCTATCCACCTTGATTGTGATACCTTGATTACTAGTGACTTCGCAGAGTATGAAAATCCATACTGTCAGTTGAGTTCTGTTTAGAATGAGTCAGTATCCATATCAATGGAACTGATGTGTGTTGTGTCTACAATGGAACGTGTCTTGTGCGGTTGTTTGGTGCATTTAGTGTTTGTGGTTGAACACATTTTCATTCCCTACCATCTATAACTAGCGGCATCGCCTAGATCCGCATCATATGCTGGGGTTTCATGACCCGCAGCGCAAGCAATCAAGGACGGCACTCAGGTGCCGCCCTTCTTTTTCTTTTCTCATCATTTTCCACCGTGGCGCCCAAACTCCAAATCATGCAGTCCCTCTAAGGTTCACCGTCGTACACATCTCTATACGTTCAGCTGAGCCGTTCCAGCCTGCTGGATGTAAGACTGGTAAGGCTTGAGCTTCTTCTCCAAGACACCGCCAGTGCTGCAGAAGCGGTCGACGATCTCGACAGAGCGGCCGATATACAGGCTGGGGTCCAGCATCTCATCGATCTCGTTCCAGACGGGCTAGTAGGCCTATTAGTGCAGTGTTCGAATAAAGGTCTGGAGTTGCTTGATCTTACCTTGAAGTACTCAGTGGCCTTGATTCTCTCGATGAGGTCGTTCTGGCCACCCTGGTTCTTGACGACATCCGAAGCTTGGTGGGAAAGGACACGAATCTCCTCATGAGCATCTTGACGGCTCCCGCCCTTCGCTACGATGCGCATGATAATCTGTAAATTGATGTTAGCGCCGATACATGTTGATTACGTGGTACTCTCGCGGTCCGTCTCGCACAAGCTCGGCAGCACACCCATCCCCACCATACTTAATGGGCCGTGCCGGTCTCCGGTCTTATTGGAAGGTGGTTGTTTGGGCAGCGGCGTTGGCTGGAACATGGATGATGATGTCACATTTGGAACAAAGACTTACATTCTCGGTCGCCATGAAGGGGAGCTCCTCCCGGGTTCGGGCCTCAATGCGCTTGGGGTAGATGACGAGGCCATCAGTCACGTTGTCCATGCCAATCAGGATGGCATCTGCGAGGAGGAACATTTCGGGGATATCGATACGACGGATGGCGGAATCGTCCAGAGTTCGCTCCATCCACTGGACAGAAAAGGTATCCTTGAAGTTGACCGGTAGGTTGGACAACTTGCGGCCCAGAGATGCAATGCGCTCCGATCTCATGGGGTTACGCTTGCTGGGAAAGGGGTCAGTAAATGCTGTCTGGGAGGTTGGCGTGTACTCACTATGCCATGGCCGAAGAACCAATCTGGTCCTTCTCGAAAGGCTCCTCAACCTCCTTCACTAAAAGCATATATTAGCTACCCGATTACAACGACCTTCGTCAAGAACTTTGTTCGATTTGACGGTAGAGCCCTTGAAAACTTCTCCATGCTATCGAGTGGGAGCACAAGGTACTTACAGTTAGCAAGGTGACGGATATCCGAGGTGATCTGCTGGACAGTGGCACCAAGACCAGCGATGGCGTTGGCGACTCTGAGATCGACCTTTCTTGTGTATGTCTGCGTGGAGACATCATAGCAGTCTTCAAAGCCGGCCTTGGCGCACAGGAGAACGTTCAGACGATCAATCTTGGCACCGTCGCCGTGGAAAATCTCGAGGAAGGAGGCTTGGGTTCCGGTAGTTCCTTGAGCACCGCGGACTATCAAGGTCAGCCTTAAGACACAAAAATCTTATGTGCAAGACAGTAGGCGGTTACAAAGCTCAGCTCACAGCCAAGATTTCCCAGGAAGTTGAATGATGCCACCTGACCTTACACTGACGGAGCTTGGGATTTTTACTTACATTTGAGGTTCTTTCTGACGTACTCGATGTCCTCCAGGTCCATCATCAAAGCTTGTGCCCACTGGGCAGCTCGCTTTCCAACCGTGATCAGCTGAGCAGGCTGGTAGTGGGTGAAGCCGAGAGTGGGCACAGCCTTGTGCTTCTCAGCGAACTGGGCAAGGTTGCTGATGACCTTGGCCAGCTTCGGCAGCAGCAGGTCGATAGCATTCTTCATGACTACACTCTATTGTCAGGAGAGCCCATGGATAACACGCGTCGGACAGGCACTTACGGATCAGTTCCGCATTGTCAGTAACATACTGTCATAAGGAGTCAGCCAAATCCAAGACATTTGACAATGGAGGAGAACAGAGGTAAGGGCCTTGATCGACAGAGCCGCCTCTCGACAAGCTCAATGCCTTTCATGACCTCCTCCGAATGAGACGAGACTTGGAAAGTGTCTTACGCAAGAAGTAGCTCCGTAGTGAATGATACCAGCGGCAGCCGGGGCGACCTGGCCGAAGGCGTGGACGTGCGCCATGACATCGTGTCGGCGTCTCTTCTCCTCGACGGCGGCGACGCCGAAGTCGTCGTCGGTCACGGTGAGGTGGGCCCGCATCTGGGCGAGGGCCTCGTCCGTGATGGAGTCGATGCCCAGCTCCTTCTCGCTCTCGGCGAGGTACAGCCAGAGCTTCCGCCACGTGCTGTGGCGCGAGCGCTGGCTGAACAGCTGCTTCATCTCATCGCTGGAGTAGCGCGAGTCGAGCTATCAGACACAGGTTAGCCTCATCGTGATACCGAACAAGGGTGAACATGTGGGATGAGTGAATTTCTGCTGGCCGGCATATTCAGGTGAACAAAAATCCAGCCGCGATGACCAGGACGTTGACAGGTCACTTGCGCGACTTGAGGACCACAGTATCAGTGTTTTTCTTGCAGACAATACTCACAGGCGTCTTGTAAGTATCGAAACCAGCCATGACGAACGATGGAGGGGTAGTAGTGGAGCAGCGATATTGGCGCGCAAAGACACGGATGGAGGGGTGGTTTGAGGGGTGAGGTTCTGCAAACGCTGGGGGAGTGGGATCCCAAGGGCAATGGAGGAACGTGAGGAACGACACGGAGGTTTCTCGAGGGTGTGTTTGCACGCGGCCACGATGTCGGACTATGATGTCGCTCGATCAGCCGGCCCAAAAATTTCTGTGCAAGCCCAATCGGCCGGTGAATGCTAGGCGCACAATCCAATTGAGTTCGCGATTCTTTGCGGATTCGGAGAAAAGTGGGACTTGCCGGCAACGGCGAGAAGGAAAAAATAGGGAAGACCATGCACAGAAACCCAGCACCTGGTTGGTTTACTATTTTTTTCTTTTGTTTACTTTTGAGTTCACTTTGCCGACAGACCGAAGAGAGGATATTACATGCAGCATTCCAAATCTTCTATCCCACCCGACCAAGTCAGCGACGCCAGATCCTCACCACCATAGATAAAATATGTACTGGACCGGCTCACGGCTACGGGAGGTTTTTGGCGGCTGGCATCTGAGCGGCTAACACGGGGCCAAGTTGGACCCCCTTTTTCTATGCATGGTTGACGATACCGTTCGGCTTCGAGTTATAGAGCACGTCAAGTCTAATTGGGCAATGAGTGAAAAGTATACATACGAATTTCCTGTGTCTGATCTGATCTGAATAAACAATTTGGACGCCTCCCATCATTTCAAAACGCTTGCTGACTTCCGACTTGGTCGTGAATCATGATTCCCTGCGTCCCGACTCTGAAAAGCAAAATACTCATATCTATCCATCGACAAAACCCCCCTCTCGAACAATAATAAGACACTTTCCCACGCGCGCTCGTACGCTTACATCAGTTAATAATAGTGCGGATCGTCAACATGGTCCGTTCCCTCTAAGCAGCATGCAACACCAGCTCCCCTCCCTCGCTGAGCGCGGAATCTGCAATGCTCTCAGTGTCGGCTATGCTTTCAGTGCCCAGTGCACTTTCCGTCCAGTCGCTCTGTCCATCGTAACTCTCGTCATCGTAATCCGTGTAACCGCCTTCGGTCTCCGTAGAAGTAATGACGGTCGTGCCCAGACTTGACCTCCTCAACGTGCCTGCATCGCTGGCATCGTCTTCACCTTGGTCCTCTTCTGCCTCGTCGCCTTCTGTTGACACCTCAGAGGCTGGCTGGGCTAATTCTAGTTGTGTCTCAGGCTCCAACGGTGTCTCAGGGGGAGTTGGAACTGGTTCAGGCTCATGTTCAGCCTCGCTCTCTGGTGGTTCATCGATTTCGCGAACGGAATCAATGGGTTCGTTTTCCTTGTTCACCCCAAGTTCACCATACTTTTTCCCCAGGCCTCCGCCCCAGCTACTCTTGCGGAGGGGCCCAGCACCGGCTGCCGCCCGAACGCTTTGGCTGCGCTTTATACCGCCCGTGGGAGAGTTGTTCGTGATCTGGCTAAGACTCAGGATACGCCTCGAGGCACCGGCGGGGTTTGGAGGAATGAGGCTGGCCCTGTTACCATTGACAGCGAGGTTGACTGCTTTCCGCTGAGCCGTTGGCGACTGGACGTTGAGCGCTGGAGCATCGAGGGGAGTTAGGCTGGACCTAGCAGCCGGTACGCGCTTCCGAGACATGGCATCTCGACCTTTCGCGCCGGACTTGGTCATAAGAAGAGCACGAGAATGGTCAAGTACCCCCTCCAAGATGCGGCGCTCCAGGCCTTCGGCCCGAGTCTCCATTGCATGCAGCTCCTCCCTGCGAATGTGCACAGCTGTCTCAACAGATGAGAGGTCGGCGGTGAGCCGGGTCTTTTGACGGGTCAGGAACTCTTGTTCCGTCCTCAAGGCCAAGATGCTTTCGCGAAGTTGCTCTTCTTCCGAGCGGAGAGCCTCCACATTCGCTTCAACGTGCTCCTTTTCTGCTTGGGCGACGGCTAGAGCTACGTTGGTTTCTTGAAGCTTATTCTTGGCGTCCTCGATGCTCTTTTCGTGATCCTCGCGAGCCTCGTCGATCTGCTTTGTCTGTGTTTCAAGGAAGTTCGAAATATCGGCCGCCGTCTGTACAACCTGCGCGTGCACCTTGTCGAGTGTGTCGAGCTGAGAGTAGGCTTTTCCTGCGGCGTGGCTGTGGTCGATCAACTTGTCCAGCTTGGTGTGCATCTCAGTATCGTCGTACTTCTCCACGGGGGGTAGTTGAGGTAGCTCCGGTTCCTTATCCTTGACATCTTCGATGGTCTTCTGCATTTCTGTGGTGGTTGTCTTGGAATGCTCGTAGTGCTGACCGACGATGAGGAGAACGTCTTTGATGCTCTCAAGGATCTTGGGCTGATACTCGACGACATGACCCTGGAGACCTTCGACCACAGTTACCGCAGCCTTGACCTGTTCGCGAGTCAAGGAATGCTCATTCTTATCGTCAGAATGGTTTTCCTCGGACTTTGTGGAGAGCTCCTCGACACGGGTGAACACCGTCTTTGAGGCTTCTTCCATCTTTTCCAAGGACTCCGTGACAGTGGAACCGAGTGTGTCGATCAACAACTTCAACTCTTCGGCCACTGCCTTGGTGCTAACCACTGCAGCCTCCATCTCCACATCCCTGGTTTCACCAGACTTGCTTCGCTCTTCCATGACAAGTTCAAAGGCATCGTACTTGGTGATGAGCTCTCCGACCTTTTCTTCAATCTTTGAGCCGAGTGTCTCGGTCGCAGCCTGGAGCTTCTCGTCGTTGTCAATCTTGGCGCCTACGACACCAGTCTTTGACTCCTCAAACTCTGTCTTCATCAGCTCAAACATCTCCTTCAGGTCGTCTGAGATGCTGGCATTCTTGTCCACAGTTTCGCTAAGGCCGCCCAAGGTTTTTCCGAGTGCCTCGAGTCCTGATGTCTCGTGCTCTAGCTTCTCCTTGACGAGCGTCTGGAACTCCTCGAAGAAAGTCTTGACCTCGGTCACACGCTCACTAACACCAACGATCTCAGCTTGGCGCTCTTCGAAGGCCTTGTTGTTAGTCTCAACTTGGGAGTCCAGAACAGCCTTGGCTTCCTTGACGACGTCTTCCAGGCTCTTGAGATCTTCTTTGGATGGCAGAGCTGCAATGTCGGTCTTCAACATCCCGTCCACAACGGACTTCATGTCTAGACAGACGGCCTCGACGGCATCGACGTCCGTCTTGGTGACACGCTCCGGGTCCTCGAGCGACTTCTCTGCGCGCTCTTTCATTTCGTCGAGTGCAGCATTGACTTGCGTGACAAGAGACTCAACAGCATTGATGTCCTCCTTCTTCGAGACTCCTTCCAACTGAGTTGTGAGAGAACCAAGCGATTCCTTGGTTTCAAGCACCAGAGCCTCGATGGTATCAATGTGGTCTTTCCTTACGGCCTGCTCGCCGTCCATAAGATCATCTAGACGGCCTTTTGTATTTCGGAGAATAGTCTCAATTGCCACCACATCCTCCTTCGTGGCCGCATCCTCCAGATTGACTGCTGGCTCTTCACCTTCGCCAGCCTCCTTAGGAGCATCCTTGGCACCCAGTCCAGCAACTGACTCCTGAACATTTCGGAGCATCTCTTCCATCTCGGAAAGGTCGCTCTTGGAAATATTGCTGCGGAGAAGTTCCTGCATCTCCGTCACGTCATCCTTCAATGAGTTGTTGCGAATTAGCTCTTCCATCTCCGCGAGGTCGCTCTTGGACAGGTGGTCGTGCTCAGCGGGTGCCGATGGCTCCATGGCTTCGACCTTAATGCGCAGTTGCGTAAGCATGACCTCGAGATTCTTAATGTCGTCCTGCTTCAGCGTGTCCGCGGGGATAATGGCATCCGAAACTGCAGCTCCAACCGGCGCAACCGCCTTGTCATTCTGGTGGTTCTCACGGAGGGAATCAATATCAGCTTTGAGGCTATCGATCCCAGACTGAAGAGCGTCCAGTCGACTCTGTTCGCGGAGTGAGTCGATTTCCCCACGCAGGCTGTCAAGTCCTGACCTGAGAGCGTCAAGGACTTCGTCGTTCGCAGTGAGGTCAGTGGGCTTGTTACCGATCTTCTCAATACTGGCACCAAGGTCAGTAAAGCCCTCATGCATTGCGTCAAGAATATCGGTAGTGCCTGCGTGTGGTCGAAGTAATTCGACACGCACACGCTCCAGACCTTCTCGCAAGGCTTCAAGCACCTCCTTATTGTCGGCGCCCGCGGGCGTGTGCGGTACCATAGACGAATTGACTGTGTCTCGCAGCGACTCCACCTCTTCCTTCAATACGCTCCTGGATCCATCAGTTGCTTTTACGACAAGCTCTGATATTTCGTCCCGGAACCCATCCAGACTCCGAACGAGGGTCTCCATGAGCTCCTCTTGATTCGTTACACCACTGGCACGGTTGACGTAACTTTCCATATGAACGCGGAGCTGATCAAAGCCATCCTTCGTGGCATCGAGAACCTGCTCAGTATCCCTCCCATTGGCTGCCACATTCTGCTTGGCTTCCTCGGACACAGCTTTGAACTCACGCTGCATGAATTGCATTATGTCGTGAAGGCGTTCTACAACGTCCGAGTTGTCGACGTTGCCGCTGTGGGGTACAATGGCGTTGGCAGTACTGGGGAAGTCGAACGTCTCGAGCCCCTGCTTGACAGCTTCCACCATATCGTCTCGCGTGAGCTCATTGTTGATGGCTGAGGGAGCAACAGGGAACTCAAACTCTTCCAGACATTCTCTGACGGCCTCGAGGACTTCATCCCTGGAAAGACTGGCTGGTGTATCAATGGGAGGTGGCGTGAAGTGCTTCAAGCCTTCCACGACAGCCTTGAACACCTCTTCTCTGGTTGCGCCCTCGTGGGCGTCCTGCGGAGCGAACTCCTGAAGTCCCTCTTTCAGACAGGCGAGGACCTCGTCACGCTCTAGGCCGATCTGTTCGACATGAATCTCGGGCTTGTAGGTCTCCCAAGCGTCTTTCACGGCCTGTACGACATCATCCCTGGTCAAGTCGGGCTCGCGTATGTGACTAGCTTCAGAGTCCTGGAGCGCTGCCTTCATGGCATTATAGATCTCTTGATAGTCAATTGCGGACTTTTCTGAGCCTGACGACTCTCGGCGGTGTTCTCTCAGGAGCTGTGTCATACGCTGTCGCATCTGATCCAGGCCTTCGACAACGATCTTTTCCATCTGAATTTTGGTTGCTGGTTCGACGTTGCCTTCGGCCACATCGGAAGCTGGGCTTACGGCGACCTTCGCATTGACTTCATCGATGCGGCGGCCGATTTCGCGTCCCATCCCAAGAACCTCGCCACGTAATTCTCGGACGAGAGCCTTGACCTCGGCGGTAAGACCGCCTCCTTGAGCAACGCTGTCTTTGACGCCTCGAATGATCTTGATCAAGTCCTCATTGAGAACCTCATTTCCTCGCGTGGATGATACCGAAGACCGGTGCCCGTCCTTGTCCTGAATAAAGGCATTGACGCGTTGTGACATGGCACCGGGTCCGTTCTGGTTCCAGTTGATCTCCTGCAGACTTCGTTCGTCATCGTCGTCAAAGCTGAAGTTGCGCGAGCGTGTCGTGTTATTACCACCGCCTCCCCGACCTCCGCCTGCAGGGACAAGAGAGAGCTGTTGACTCGTAGACTTCAGCTCAGTGATGAGCTCCTCCACCTTGGCAGATGAGGCCATGCCGGCCAGCTTGGCTGAGAGCTCCGACAGCTGCTCAATAACGGTATCCTGCCCATCCTTTGTGCCCATTTCTCGAATGATCTTCTCGATGAGGGCAAGGGTGGCAGGTGAATCTCCTATCAAGGAAGGTGTGCTTAGTACAGAGTCACGCTCTATGGAGGCGGCAAAGCTGGTAGGCGATGGAATGCGTGGCAGTGAGAATGGCCTCATAGCTTTCGATTGGGTTGGGCTACCGTGGGGCCCATTCTCAAGATAATAGCCGCCGTATGGATCACGGTCTTTCTTTGCATGGTCGGCATTGATGATAATCTCGCGAAGACTCTTGCGGATGTCCTCGTCTCTTGCATGGGTAGCCTCTTTGAGACTCATCAAGTCGGTAGCGTTGTCTCTACTACGCCTGCTGAGCAGGCCCATCTCTTTCTGCAACGCTGTGGCGATGTTGGTCAGGGTGAGAATTTGGACCGATAGATTTTCGACCGAGGAGTGTGCCTTTGGCACCGCAGTCGAATTGTTGGTGACAGTTGCCAGCGGCTTTGGGGATTCCACGGGCGGGGTCTCCCTGGAAGATGTCTGAGGCATGTTCTGTAGTGCTAACATGGTGGCCGACTGTGGTGGAGTGTTCTCGCCCAGGATACTCTGGGGCGTCTTCCGCATGGAGGAGCGTAATACGGGGGTCAGGCTGGACGACATTGGGGTCGGAGTGTTCTCTCGGTCGACTGATTGCTCCCTCTCATTTTCTCGTCCACGAACGGGAGTCGAGGGGCGGGTGTGTTTCTCGGGCGATCTTGCAGAGCTGACAGAGTCGCGTCTCGGAGAGCCTTCCAGCATCATGCTGAGATCCCGCACGCTGGCTGGTTGCAGTGACTGCATGCGTTTGTGGGCGCTTCCCCTGGGCACCAGTGCCCGTTCCGGGGAGGTGTCGGTCATACGCTTGGTCAGGACCGGCATCATCGCATTCTCTCGTGCCTTCTCGTTAAGTGCGGCATGTGCTGATTGAATGGCGGCCGAGGTGCCTATACGTGATGTGCCGACGCTGGGTGATTGTGGGTTGAGCGGCAAAGGGGGCGGCGCCCTCTCGGGATCCGAGCTGTCCCACCTGGGTTTCTGTTAGTTGACACGGCCGCGAGGTGGCAAGCATGGACGTGTTTGGGACGTACATTGGGATGAGTGCTCGTCCGTGGTCGATTGAGCCAGAATGTGAGTGTCTTAGTTGCCGGTCGGCCGGGGCGTCACGCTCGACCGGTGGCATCTTGTGGGCGGAGAAGAGGAGACAGGAATATGAGGCGGAATGGGGTGTCTGAGAGGATGGAGTCGAGTACGTAAGCTTCACTGTGAGAGCGCAGTCGGACACATGCCCGAGTCTCGCGCCTGTTCTGGTGATCCAAGGTCTCGGAGGGACTTGGTGTTGTAGGCAATAAGCGCCCAATGCGAGAAGCAGGTATGGATGATGGTGCCAAAAACAGCCTCGAATTCAGAAAAACGGAAGCAAGGTTACCATCGATGCCCTTGTAATATGTGGCGATCTAAGAGAGACTCGGTGTGCGACAGCGCATCCCGCAACACAACAAACGCTGATGCCGTCCAATCTGCTCGGCTGCCGCTGTGCTGAAAACAAAGCTAGCCCGGTATCCCAGCAACCGTGGAGGATCGCCGGCCCTATCTTCTATCGCCCATCGGCCCACCGCCCGTTCCATGGGGGGGGAGGGGGGAAAGCTTGGGCCAACCGCCCCCACGTCATACCTAAAAATTAGTGTCCGTGACGGAGGCGGTAGGGAACACCCCAGCACTCAAGTCAAGAAACGACGCTCTAGAATAAATAAATTGGAGGCTTTCCCCAGCACTGTAGGGGGCTGATATTTGCATTGGCAATTCCCACTAACAATCACATAAGTTAGTTAACTCAAGGGCATGGAAACCCGCCGGAGCACGCCCAGAGAGGTGTGATGTACCGCCTGCTCGTCTAAGAAATATTCTTACTTGCCGGGGATGTTTCCGCTTTGCTCTTGACAGTCTCTCCGGGTCGGCACCAGCTTGAACCAGCACGGGCGAGCCTCCAAGTAGCTGCTGCTTCCCACCAACACCCGGTGCAAGAAGCAGCTTGGTTAAGAGGAACGCGGGCAAGCGAAAACAGGGTCCAAGCATCTCTATATAAAATTTACCACTGGAAGAGGAGAGGAAAATTGGCCCCTCAAACCTTGACCATACTGACCGCTTGCACCAGTCGGTCCCTTTATACCTATACATATTCTGTGCCCTTGTTCGGCTCCCCAGTGGAGAGTTCTTCCTATGTGGTTTTGCTCAGACCCCTAGTGTAGAGTTCCTTCGTAGCCTATCCGTACTCCGTGGTGCAATTAATAAAACGGCAGAGCACCCAAGACTTGGTACCTTCTAGGACAAGACGCGTTGCACATTGACGATTGCAAGGCATCGTTGTCCGATTCAGGCAGTGGCTTCACACAGCGTCTGAGGCTGTGTCAACGTCGCTTGCAGACTCGATATCGGATTCGAGCTGCTTCTCGAGTTCAGCCTCTAGCTCTCTCGTCAGAGCTTCTAGCTCTGGGTCTTCCTCTGTGGCAGGGGAGCCCTGAGCATTGCTAGCAACGGGTTCGCCGGGATCCGGAGGTCTGTCGGCGTGAGTGGCGGAGCTAGTAGCGAATTCCACATTCTTGCAAGTCCTTAGCCGTTTCTCGCTATCTTCATGGTCTCCTTCTAAGAGATCCTGCCAAGGCGTGCTTCTACTGCCACCGGTTTCGGCTTCATCTGGGTCGGTAGAAGCCCGCGGACGGGGCCTTTTCTTTGAACCTGGATATGCTTGGATGGTGCAACGCCGATCAGAAATGTTCGGTACTTTACACGCTGGTTTTCTTATGTTCCTGGCCTTGATACTACGCAGACTGGCTTCGTCAGCCTTGTCGTCAACCTCCTAGGTCGATTCTGAAGGCGACGTCTGTTGAATCAGTGTGGTACCGTCGAGACCATACTGTGCAAGAGACCTGGGTCCTGCATCGTTGCCGGCACACTTCGCTCGGATGAAGCGCCGTTTTCGAGGAGGTCCGTTGAGTTGGCGGACAACTTCGGCAGGAGGTGTGACCTTGACCAGAGAGGATGGCCTATCTTCTATACGAACAGCCGGTGCCGTGTTCGCAGGCCGCACAACGGCTCTTTGGGTAGAGGGAGGTTGGAATTCTGGCTGGAACCGTTTTTTCAGTAAAGATCATAGATCAATCGCGCGAGTGACAGCAGCAGGCGGTAGAGGGGAGATAATCAAGGTACCCTTTGGAGAATGTTTTTCGTGTCTGTGGTTTATCTTTACCTTTTTCAGCCAGTCGTATGTCCTTTTCTTACCCACCATCTGGTCCAACGCATGGTCGAGGGACCGAGCACGCTGTTCGTCAGTACACCCTGTGTTGTGCTTCGTCCGCATGATCTTTCTGCGGCGACGTGCTTCTCTCTCTTCCTCGGTAATTTGACCCATCGTCGCAGTAGGAGATATCTACTATTTCGGGCTAGGCTCAGGTGATTGGACTTTATCAGAAGAAAAGGGGAGTGCAATAGGATGTCGGCTGGTAACTAGCTTCCAGGTTTGTGCAAGATCTGCCACCAAGGTAGTTCTGCTTGGTGTGATGTGCAAGATTCTGGATGGATGTGCAATGACTACCCGCAATTAGAAGTGACAAGAGGAGAGAATAAAAAAAAAGAAGACCAGGTCAGGTTGAACCCACCTGGCGCAGTATAAATACTCGTTGAGCAACAATCATAAGTTCCGTCGATGCAAGAACAATTGACGTCGCCATGTGAATAGAGAACAATGCCTACTGGTCATAAATCTGAGCATAATCTGATTATATGATTGGTATTCATTGGATGATGGGAGATTGGTGAATGAGCTCGTATTCCCTGACATTTGAAGCTAGGTGGCTCATTCATCGTGGTGAATATACAGGCTATTGAAAGATTGGATCCCGTATATTGCTAGCAATGCGGGAAGCTTGGTTGATACCCAGCATCGCTTGATGCTCAACGTTAAGCATTCACTAGCAGTCTATATACCAGAGTATCAATATCTTCTAGCAAGCTATGGCGCATTTATCGATGTCTATGGGAGGTACAGGCTCAAGCCCAACCAAAACATTAAGTTTGTGTCCTAACCAACTTCGAAGATGGCACCGTATATTACTACTCACTGACAATGGCTATCCATTGCCCAACAGTGCTTGAATGATGAAATGGGGTTTAGGTCATTGTGAACCGGGGGATAGCACCTACCCAAATCACTCCGTAACTTATATCAGCAACGTTGCGAACACGACAGGACCAAATGGCCAGACGTGTCATGGCCTTTCATTCACACAATATGCCCATAGCAGCACCCACGCAACCCACGTCTAACTGCGAAGAGTATCTTATCGTGAATTCAATCGAACGCACAGTATAGGGTCAGGGTTTAGTCTAGGATACACATGCATGTGATAATACGGTACAAGGCAGTCTATTGTTGAAATGAGTAATCAGGACACTTCTTCAACCATCTTCCCGCTCTTAAGCCCACCCGGGATGAAGACCTTGCCTGTGGGACCAGCTAGCATCTCATCAGGAACCGCCACGCGAGCGCCGTCCTTGTTGCTCACCCATCTGACGAAGATCGGGTTTGGCTTTTGTGCACCGCCTCCTGGGGTCTCATCCCCACCCAGCTGGCCTTTGCCTTTGGTTTTTGGTGCTTGCTTCTTGAGGAGCTTGTCGATAGTTTCACGCTGTATGCCCGTCAGTAATGCTGCTGTGCAGCAAAAGGGTGCTGCTCCTTACCTTGACTTCCTCGTTGCGCTTCTCACTCAAGTTTCTTCTTCGTCGAGCCATTTCGGCACGCCTCATTGACAGTTCTTCAGCGGTGAAGTGTTTCTTAGCTTGGACCTCTGATGTATTGTTAGTGTCCTGTCTTGAGAAGGGACTTTCCTCAGGCTCACCATCTGACAGCTTCATCAAGCCAACATCTTCGTCCTCGAACCTCGCACGTTGGCGTTTGGTCATTTTCGTGAGATCGGGAGTTCCGGCACGACTACCGTCTTCGTCACTGTCCAGCTCGTCGTCGTTCTGACCAGTAGCGTCCGCAGCCTCAATCTCGTCATCATCTTCACCTTCTGCGTCTTCCTCCTCGTCCTCCTCGTCGTCATCATCGCCTCCGCCAACTTTCACAGTGTCCTGTATTTCATCCTCATCGCTGTCCAACTCGCTCAGCTCGTCGTCGCTGTCCTTATCTTCGGCAACCTGCTTCATTGCTGACTTGAGAGGAGCCTTTGCCTTTGAGGTGGCGGCAGACTTGGGCTTTGATACCTTGATGGTCGGAGCAGTGGGTGCTGTGTCGAGGACCATGTCGTCCTCATCGCCATCCGCATCTTCATCGCCCAAGCCATCATCATCTTCGCCCTCAGCATCGAGGTCCAAGTCCATAGAATCGTCAACAACGATCTCACCCTCGGCATCCTCATCGCCCAGATCCATCAAGTCGTCATCTTCGCCTTCCGCATCCTCGTCGTCATCGCCTTCAGCATCCTCATCATTATCATCGTCATCGTCGCTTGAATCTACGACATAACTCTTCTTCTGGCTACGATTCCTTTTGCCCTGGAGGATCTCGCCGCCTTCAAAACTCTCCCTGGTGCCGAGTGAGGCTTGGCGGCTGGAATGGCCTGTGCGACTTGACGTGGCCTGGCGAAGCTTGCTGGCCGGAAGCTTGACTGTAACATGAATGTGCTGGTTAGAATCCGAGGATGATGAATGTGGGCCGCGTGTGGTGGTGGCTTCGGCAGTCTTACCCTCAGATCGGCGTGCTTGCGCCCTGGACGACATGATCTTCCCAGTCCGGCTGCTGATGATATTGTCGCTGTCGACCATGTCAGTAATTGCAGTGTTTGCCTTTTGCGCGGCTGCGCGGCGAGGGCGGGATGCCATGGCAGCGATGCGGCCGCAGAAACGCGTCGAGCGACTGGGAGCAGATGTGCCAAGGGCGAGGTGGAAGCTGAGGGTTGAGGGCCAGGTATCGGCGGCTCGGGCAGAAAGGTGACTGTGCTAGGTGGCAGGATTGATTGCTGATTGGGGTTGAGGAATTTTGGAGGTCGCATATGCAAGGGCAGAGACGTTGAATTAAGCTTGCGGCGTCAGATAGCCGTGGCACGTCGTTGCACCAAGGAACCGATGAGGCGAAGGCCCAGATTAGGATCGCAATCGATTGGATGTCTGAGATGCCGGCCAACACCATAAGCCCCCCATTGACTATGGAAGGTATTCAGGACTTCTGGAGCCAAAAAGCCGCCGGCCTCAAACGACAAGACCAATCAGGCGCTTTTTACCATGCTGGCTAACTTGGGAGCATCGATTGCCTTTGTTCACTTGAAAGCAATAGACTACATGGGTATTTGGCCCTTTCCGCAGATGCAAATACCATGCATGAAGGGAGATGTGAATGAGGACGAACACGAACCAGGCAGAAGGCAGTGACACCGATACTTACAGGACTCTGTAGCGAACTGGGTTGGATGAGATGTTCTGGAGCTCTGGTAATTGGGCCCGATGGGGTTTAGAGATTCGTCAAATGAGTGGTCGCGGGCTTCTGTGTACCTCGTTTAGCTTGCCGAATCAAGCGCGAAATGTCCGGTATCTAGGAGGGCCACATGAGATGTGCCTGTTGCTTGCCTTTTGTTGTGCAGGTGGTGATAGATCGGATTCGCTGGAATCCAGTGGTCGACCACACCGATCGCCGTGGCACGTCCGTCGGTGGAGGGTGCAGAGGTCAACGCTTGCTCCTTCAACCAAGCGAGATCGATGGGGGTCAGCTGCCGGGTATGAAACGAGCCCTAGAGAGCAAATGAAGACGTTAATCCACGAACAATCAACTGTCGACAACGAGCCAGCACGATTGAGTCAATCCCCAGCGTCGTCGTCCAAGCTGTTGGGTAGTCACGTGGGGCGCGCAGCGCAGAAACCGTCGCGCTCGGTGAGTTCGGTGTGGAGGTTAACTGTGAGCTAGTTAAACTTGGGCGCCTGTACTGAACGGGGTTAGTCGGACATGTCCATACGTGAAATGCGCAGTTTGCTAGAGTACACAATTAGGAGCAAGACGGCCCTCCTGATGTGAGCAGACTACGGAGTCTATATTCTGTAGTTACGCGTGTGCGACTAGATGCAGTTATCTCTGGCCAGGTTGATGGACAGCAGATGTCATCCGACTGTCTGCTATGCGTCGAGCGAGATATGGGGGAGCAGACTACTTGCTCTGGTCAGCGTGGAGGACCAACTCCCTGCCTTCTCGAGCTAATCTTCACCCTCGCGTGGATATAGCAGGCAATTCTCATAGACTGAGATGTAGAAAACAAGGCCACATGCTGGCATGAGACCATAGGGCGGAAACTACGCAATGCACGAAGTCTTACCATCACTACGCTTTCTCTATACCAACTTACGCTGGTCTGGCCTTTGAGTGAATCGATGCGTCGTGGTGGAGCGCCGTCACCGTCCCGCGGCCCTGTTCAGTGGGCTAGTGGGCCCGCGCACCCAGCGGCACTGTATCTGCCCCAAGCCGACGTACTAGGGTAGCTCGGTTGCTGGTCGCGTCAGCCGAGGCATATGACATGTTCCAACCTTGTGCCTCTGTGCTTCCACATCTCTTCACCCGTGCATTGAGCCCCAGCAGCCTTGCCAGTTATCATCCAATTCTCACGTTGCCCAGAAGAAGAGAGGACAATGGCCGAATCAGAGAAACCCGATGTGCCAGCCTGGCAGCGACAAGCTGGGTCGGAGACAACCACTGACCCAGCTCCCAGCACGACGCTCGAGCAAGCCCGCAGATTCCTTAGCGATGACAACGTCCGGTCGTCCAGCGCCGAGAAGAAGACCGAGTTCCTCAAGAGCAAGGGAATATCTGACGAGGATATCCAAAAGCTCCTGGCTGAGGAGGCGCAACAAGAGACAGAGCCCGAGCCCAGGGAATCACCCGTAGAACAGGAGATTCCTGATGCGAAGCAGACTTCCCACCAGCACACACAGGACCCAGCTTCAACGTCTGCATCAGCACAACGCCCAAGCGATACGCCACCGATCATCACTTACCCGGAGTTCCTGACGCACTCGCCACGTCCGCCGCCTCTGCTGACGCCGAGTCGTCTGCTCAATGTCCTGACCATCTCGGGTACGGCTTGGACTCTCCTGTACGGAGCTGCGCGCTTCGTGGTCAGCCCTATGGTAGACAGCCTTACCGAGTCTCGGTCGGATTACTATAACCACGTCAACACGAAGATGTCCTCTCTTGTTGAGAAGCTTGAGGGCGTTGTGAGCGAAGTTCCCTACAAGAACGGCAAACCTCTCAAGTCGGAGATGGATATCGACGACAACAGTAGCTACGGCGACCCGACAGAGATGTTTCATCGTGATTTCGGAACGCAGACATCACCACAGACGTCTCCACTGCCAACGTCCGAGGCAGACACAAAGCCCATCGACGAACAGGCGCAGCGTCTCGCCCAGCTAACCTCTTCATTGAAGGAGCTGACGGATGCATATACAAACCAGGCAGAGAACTCTGAGGACCTGCGCTCGATTCTTCGCGAATTTCGCGACGACGTGGACAAGTTGGCATATCCGAGCGTGCCAGATTACACATACAGCGGGTCGGGCTTTGGCCTTGGTCGATCGACAGAACCAGACGACGAGATCAGAAAAACAAAGGATGCCATTCGAAGTGTCAAGGGCATGTTCTTGTCATCAAGAATGTTCCCAGCTGCGGCTGCAAGATAGAACAGTGCTGCAGTAGTGGAAGCAGGCACAGTCGTCGACAATTTTGCAGAATCACGACCAACCTCTCCGATTGGCGAAGGTCCCCTGGAAGCTTGTCTTGACACAGTCGAATCAATGAAGCAAATTTCTGGCATCATACGGAATACGGATACGCAACAGACCAACACGACCTATATACAGGCAGATAAACCTGCAGTCGATATCTCCAAGCGGGTCGGTCTGCGCAATCGATTACTAGGCAAAAGTGGGACAGGCAAGTTTCGGCATCATAGTATGCTTCAGCATAGAGCCGAAACATGTCGACAGTGCATGGATGTTGCAAGTATCCGATCCCTCAGCACCAATTCTACTTTCTCCGCGAGGAATCCTCAGTATGCCGTCGACCTACAAGGCCGGTGCAACTACCAAATCCCTCGATATGGCAACAGCCCACAGGCACAAGTCTCGACAACGCAGCAGTCCGTGTGGTTCCCAACACAAGTCCGTGGACGGGCGCTCTTTGAACCTTCTTCATCTCTTGAATCCCTGTACTCACAGCGCCCCATCCCGCCGCGGCGAAACTCACAACCTGATGTTGTGTATGCAAGATATCTGTATCCGGCACCGAAAGATACTGCACATGCCATGCCGCGCGTGACATCGCTGTCGGGGGTTACTCGTTGTGGCAGGCGGTCCACTGTGATCAGTTAGGAGCCATATCCAAAACAAACGCCTGCGATGGTGATTCATACCAAGGGTACAAAGGCAAGGCCCCGCCTGTGAGTGCGAGTTTGACCGTTCAGTCACCTGGACTGTCTGGGCAATTGGGCATGGTGCAACGACTTATATTGAAGCTTACGGACAGCGTGTTCAAAATGTACGATAGAGGATAGCGGTGCATTTCAGTAGCGGCTTCTAGTTTTGAAATCATGATTTCTTGCAAACCTCTGCCAATACCGCGTTAGACCAGGCAGGAGAATTTCCGCTGGGCTATAAGCATTTCGAATACTCAGAATCAAATGACACTACAAAAGACAACCTTGAAAGTTGCAATTACTGTCAGGATCGGTTCCCAAATCCCAGGAGACGTTTCAAGGACCAATGAGTGTAGCCATGCGATATATATCATTTAGGTAGTACCTGATATCCTAAAAGTCCATCTACATCAGAAGAAGTATGCAGTCTGGGTTCAATGCCACTCCCTCTTCAAACCGACGACGACAACGCAATGGCTACCTCCCCATCATCCATGCTTGAATGCTTCCTGTCCTTCTTTTTTTTTCTCTCTCTTTTTTCTGGTATTGTCTACTGGGCTTCGAAATGTCCAATTTGGCGATGAAAAGAAGAAAAAGAAGAGTGCATGAAGACCCACTCAAGCAGCAAGAACCAAAAATTACCAAATAACGCTCTCTATCTCTTCGCTCGTGGCCTCAAGCCTGGATATCATCATAGTTGCCATTCTGGAGGAGGCGCGCGCTGCCGAGAGCGGTACGTCCCAAGAACCAACAGCAAAAAGCAGAAAAATGCGAATGAAGCGCCAAGGGGTGACCCTAGCCTCCGAATGCCAACCGAACGCCGTCTATGACCCTTGTTGGAGTGCCAAATACCCGCATAGGAGCCAGTCCTGGCCGGGGGATCTTTTTTTTTTGGACAGGAACGAGGGTCATGCCCAAAAGCGTTCCTCTATTATTTTTGCCCGGTCAACCGAGTCGCGGTCATACTATGACCTCTTCTCCGAATAGGCAAAGGCGCCGCTTCCGAAGACATTCTCCTCCTTGTTGAGCGCGGAATCGTCTCTCGAGAACATGCCACCCTCATCTTGTCTCCTGCGGCCGATGGGGGCCTCGCTGTAGGATCTGCCAGACGAAGACGGCCGAGGGCTGGAGAGGTGCTTCATGGCGACGCTGCGGTTCTGCCGGTCTTCGGGGCCTGCGGGCGTCATCATGCCCACCAGCGTCCGAACGACGCCGATCAAGACGACGAGGACGTAGACCAGGAGCAGCCCGGTCGAGATCAGCGCCTCCTGAATGATGTTGTTGCGGATCGAGTTGGTGACGTGGATCACTGCGCCCGTCACCTCGTCGGTGGTGACTGTGCTGGGCGTGGCGAGGAACGATGTCAGGTCCGAGTCGCCGTCGATCGACTTGGCCGCGCCGGCCGAGAAGGTGTCGTTGGGAAAGAGCGGAAAGCTGACCTTTGCGTGGTCGTGGACCCAGGTCAGGCCCTTTTGGACAGCTTCGACCTTTAGGCCAATCAGGCAGTACACGACTTCCTTGATCGGGTCCATCAGGATGGTATCTTTGAAGGCTGTTGTCAGACCCTTGTCCATCTCATCGGTGAAGACGTTGAGTGTGTCATTGACGGCATCGGTGGCGTTCGTAACATAGCCGAGGACATCGTTGTTGATCTCATCGTTGTACTTCAACATGACGCCGTTGGCGTCATTGGCCCAGTCTACTGAGACGTTGTCTAGAGTGGTGACGACTTCATTGGCGAAGTCGCCCACTTGGTCGGCAAGAGCAGGCACCTGCTTCTCAATCTCCACGAGGATGATGTACTGGCAGAGGCAGGAGAAGAGACCAGCGATCGCGAGCGACAAGACGAACAGCGCTGGCAGGGAAGTTCCATACGCAACAGACCACCGGACCAAGGCTTTCCGTCGATCGTCCTTAGTGATACTGTTGGCGATTCTGACCGCGACCTTGGAGGTGAAGGGGCGGCCGCTCATCAGGTACATGTCCATCTCATCCTGCTTCTCTTTGACAAAGGTTTGGTGATAACCATAGGCTCGGCGCCAGGTTCGGATTTCCCACCAAGCCATAGGTACACAGACCAGAATGGCAAGGACGGAGAGGACCACGATAAATGCGATTTTGGCATGGGCTGCGATTTCGAAGAGATTCTCAAAAAAGTCATTGATGACCGAATTGTCCGAACAGAAAGACAGAGCTTCTTTCTGAGCCACAGGGAAGATCGAGTCATCAAATTTCCAGTCTCCATAACTATCGTTCAATGCTTCCTTGACAAGATTGAACGGTATGGACACTGCAGTCCTGGTAAAGTTCTGTACGTCTTGGAACGTTGGTAACTCCTTATTCAGATTGTCAAGATCGGAGACGAAGCCAGATGAGTCGATCTTGACATCTTTGAGCTTGTCAACCGCGCCTGAGAGGTCTACTTTCGGCGTGCTCGGAAGGTTGATGCTTCCAAGAAGTGGAACCTTGCCGATCTCACTCGTTATTTTACCCCAAGTATCGTCGATTGCCTTCTGAATATCGTTACCAGCGTCGGTGATACCGCCCGCGATGCCCTGAATGGCATCGTTCATTGCATCCGTCGTCTTGGTGACCACCAGAGCCGACACGTTGAGGCCACCATGAACAGCGGCAGCGATTAGGCAGGTGTAGGTTGATGTCATCATGTTAATGACAAATAGGATAAGTTCTTGGACACCGGTCAGGATCATGTCCAATACTTTCATCATCGCATGCACTGCGTCAGTTATGCCAGATGCCGCGAGTCGGTTCACGCCCACGGACAGGTAATGCGGCATCGAAGCCATCGCGCTTCCAATGTCTTCAACCTTGGTACATGCTGATAGCGCCTTGACTTTCGCGTCACCAAGATTGTCGTTCAGGCTCCCCAGGAGTAGTAACACGCGGACCAAAACCAGAATGAGCAAGACTGTCCACCGGTTGAACCAGACCTGTGAGAGTCGGGCCTGAAGTCCAAGATAGGGTGTCGTTCCCGGCTTGCGGAACTCTTCGGGTCTTAATGAATGCGAATAAACGGGATCCGTACTCAGGGTTGCCGCCGGTGGCGGCGGATTGCGATTCCAAAAACCCATGGTGGCAATATGCTATGCTGTAACGATCCTTAGCTTTCGTGAAAAGTCGGTTGAGGCTCAACTTGTTACACGAGCTTTGAGAATGGAAAAAAGGTTAATTATCGAAAATGAAAAAGGTTGCGTTGCGTATGTGTTCGACTTTGGTGTACACAAGCCGCAGGCTCGAATGGGGCAGGTGTGCAAGTAGATGCTCCTCAAGAACAATGAAAGAAACAGAACCCCTCGAGTGAATGATATTCTATTGTCCCCGTGACTCCATGAATGAGAAAGGAAAGTAATAACAAAATTGGTTGTATGCACAGATAGCAGGTGATCAAAGAAACGGTTGAGCAATACACACACGATGCAGTGGGTGATGGACGTTAAAAGGGAAGTTTTGAGTCAAGTAGACGCAACATACCTTGTAGTAACCGGGGGCCAGTCAGACACCAGCGGACCCGAGATCGACTGGATTTCAAGCAATGGAAAATTGGCACTTTCTTTGTTTCGGCTACACAGAGGCAGCGCGTTCTTTGTCGGTTCCCTCGTCGAATGTGTGCGCGGGTCTCGTGAGCGACTGTAAGCGCCTGTGGGCAGCTCTCAGCCAGTCGATTTCCTTGTCCGGGTTTACCAGGCGACTAGACGGAGGTCTTGGCTCACTTCAGGGATCTGAGGGGTTGTGTGTCGAATCTGGAGCCGCGGTTGTTCTAAAAGAAGAGACTCAGAACAATGTATGCGCCAGATGCGACTTGATATTTGGGTATCGCTCCTTTCGTTACGTTTCTTGCACTTGGGCTAGATATTGAGGCGTTCCATGCGGCTCTAATGAAGTAGAGCGAGCCAGGGTGAGGCCGCCTGATATATCCACGGTTGACGGACTGTGCAAGGGGACACCACGGAGCGATAGGTGAATGGTGCCCATCTTTCTAGTAATTCGCCATCGCGGAGGGGCAGCCCGGCTGGCATTTTATCGTGGTCTCAGTCTTAGACCGGTGGACTACCATTCCCGAGGGCAGATGTGACGACATTGGTCTAGGTGGTGAGAACCTGCCGAATAGATAGCGACTGCGCCGCCGAATTTCCAGGGTCCTAATGCAGCTCGAAAATCATTTCTGAACCTGCACCGATGGCCGTAGGCCAAAGTAGCCCACCTCCAGGCACGTGCTGGGTTCCTGCCAGGGCCACTAAGCCTGTCAAAAGTGAGGTTATCTTGAATAGAGTCACTAAAACCCCAGCCATTGACGTTGATGGTGGGTCGAGTCAGAACAGCGTTGGCCCCGGGCGATGGCCGGCAAAACGGTAGCAGCCAATCGCTGTGCCAGAAACGTGAGCCTACCCTACTCACTAACTAACTGAGACCCTGTGCCGACGATCTCTGCAGGGCCTTCACCCGCCCCGCAACCATTTGAAGGGAAAACCTGTTTCGACCGACAAACAGTTCATCGCCATACGACGGACGACGCCCCGACTGCCCGACTGATGGGACGGGCAGTGTCCAGGCACATCGAGAGCGCGTGAGCCACTCGGATCTCGCGAGTTGCACCGGATTGGCCGATCAAGTTCGTAGGCAACCGTCAAATCTGCGGGCGGGAGGTAGAAGTCATCGCAGCAATGATCCAGGGTCTTCACGCAGGATTCAGTTTCCAGGTAGTTCCCCCGAGACCGATTGATTGGTTAAGGTTGAAAACTACAGGCGCGGTAACGCCCGGCGGTGGGTCGCAGTTAGCGCTGATACCTTTTGAACCTCTGGTGCGAACCACTCATGTCGTCGGCGCCTATACATTCGAGACGAGCTTATTTTAAGCAGGCGCCTAGTATTCCTCCCCGAACAGATCGAATGCTATGCTCGATATAAAGCTAGATGGTGATAAGTGAAATTTCATCTTTTTATTTGCCTACTTCTTATTTTGTTGATTGACCAGGACGTAGTGCTCTGTTGAAAGGTTGGCGCTGCTAATCATCGTGGAGCTTTGTGCTTGAATCCATTACTATCTTCGTAAAATGTTGTCCACCGCTTGTATTCCTGCCTCAATCCCCGTATCTTCGCTTGTACGTTCCACGGATAATGCAAATTCCATGATTACTTCCATATAACTTCCCTGGAAAAAATCGAGCAATTCACGCATTATCTGAGCCCCTTACGGTATGGTTGCTGGTTCAAGTCTACTTTAGGTTATTCATAGATGAATACTTATATTTTTGCCGGCATGGGCCATGCTCCCAGTTGCCGTGTCACCTATGGAACTTCTATAGGTATCTCACATCACTTCATCTCCATTATGATAACCAGCATGGAAGTGTTAAATCAAGTAAACAGAAAGCCCGTTATGGCACCTTGCTGTTGCTCCGTAGCACTTCATTCTACCATTAAAGCAACACTTTGGTTCTCTGTTTGAAAACAAAGGACTTCCACACAATTACGCAAGGACTCGGACTATGGCTATCTGCAGAACCACGAGATGTGATTAAACATGAAGCTTCACCAAATGGGGATCCCGAGTGACTGTTGGGTACTCGACATGGGGACTAGTGGATAGCATTCGTAATCCTTTGCGTGCTACTTTGAAAGATCTAATTGTGACTCGATTCGGGATCGATATGTCACGGTCAAGTGCGTTGTACATTTTTCGGTCTGATCTATCTCCCACGACTCCAATCACTTTTGATGGTCCAATTTCAGTCACTAGGAGAATGCAAGCAATATGGTAACGGGGAAAATACATCGAAAGCGAATGGTAGATATTGGCAGAGATTCTGCGAATAACATGTCAAGCTGGGGTTTATGTACCACTGATTACTGTTGGGTAGCCCTTGACGTTTGACTGCGATAGTGTTTGGTCTTGGGCTTTGCCACCTTAATAACTGTATAGTTAACGCTGAAGGAGAACTCAGTACCCTGCGTAAATGCGATCTCTGCATAGGCTACGAATGGTCGCTGTGCTGATGCTAGGCAGGTCCATGCTTGCTGTTCCATGGAGGCTTGTTGCTCCTTAGACAGAGTTGGTTCTTGATCACACGGTAACCCAACAGGACCGAAGGCTAGATACACGGCAATGTGCACACACATCGAGTTTCGCCGAAGTAAACGGAGTACGTAAGCAAGAATGAGACGTTTTCAGATACCTCCCTGGCCACGCTGAGCGTGCCAATCTTAGAGCGCCAGTCATCGCAGCAGTCTCCGGTAGCGATACGTCCCTGTTGGCAGATAGAAATGCCAAACACGGGCTGACGATTCGTTACATCACGAAAACTTGACGCCTATCTCGCTGCTCGTATCGTCGTTGACAGAGAAAGAGAGTCCTAACATGGGCTTGGAGGCTCGTCCATTCCGACTTAGGGCAGCGACCACTCAGCGACAGCTGGAGGAGGGCCATTAGGTAAAACAAAGTAGGTAAAATAAGGTGGAGGCCCAGCCTCCCCCGAAACAGATTAGCGTTTGAAAAAGCCTGTGCAACTCTTGCCCTTGGCCCAAAGTTTGCGGCAGGACAGAGCCTGGAGCTGTCTGAAAATGCAAGGGCCGACCGACCTGGCCGCTGGCCACTGGGCGCTGGGCGCATCAAATCTTATGCACACGTCAACTTCATCATCTCCAGCAACCATCTTGCCGTCCCTCCTCTTCTCTTCCTCCCACCCTCACTTCCTCCCCATCAACGCGACCGCCAGCGACGACATCTCCACCAAGGCCATCAGGACTGGTCTTCTTCATCTCCTGGATCTTTGTCTGTAATAAAACCCATCGCCTTGACCCACGGGCATACTCTCGGCATCCGCGTGCAAATTTGGCCCGCTGGACTCTGGAGTGGTAGAAAGTGACTTGGTTTTTCTGCGTTGAGGACGCGCCGAAATTTTTTTCTTTCTGCCGGCACAAAACCTCATCACACCAGAATACCTCGTGTGAATTTTCTGACGCGGTTGGCATCACTGCTTTGACCTCCACTCATTCACAATCATCAATCTACCTGATTTCTTGATTTGCGACATTCGAGTCTATTGATTCTTGACATATCTTGACCCCACGTCTAGTCGTCGCCTGTCACCTCGTGTGCCATTTGCATCGCCGCCTGCAACTACTTTGCATCCGCCTAGCATCTGCGTACATACTGAACAAGGATCCTGGACTTGTCCTTTGTCTGCTTTGACTGATCATCGCGTCGCTCGACTTCGTTGATCCTTGCCTCCAACACGTATACTCTTGCGTCCTTGGTGACCGACTGAATTCTGCCCCTGCGCAGCGCACACACTACAGCCATGGCCGAGGCTAACAGAAGCATCGAGTCGATCCTGGCTGCCCTTGGTAGGTACCGCCTTGCAATCCTCCTGAAGAAAAAAAAAACCTTTGACCGTCGCGTCGACGTGAACAATGCGACTGACCTGCCTTTCTCGTGCCTCAGCAGCTCAGAGACCCCCAGCTGCAGCGACGCCGAATCCTGCGCAGCCGCCCTACCAGCAGACCCCGACTCCCACCGCATACCCGCCCACAATGCCCCCCGGGGTCCCGCCGCCTGCATATGGTGCAGCGCCGTATTCCCTTCCTCAGCCCTCGTCCAGTGGTGCCCTTGACTTGAGTGCAATCAAACCCGTCAATTCTGGTACCGTCAGTATTGCCGATGCTATCGCCCAGGCCAAGGCTTTCGCAACTGAGAAGGGCATCCCCTCGTATGATATCGCGCGGGCCCCTCCTACATACCAATCGCATGACCCTCGCGCTGGTGATGCTAGACACTATAGATCTCGCTCGCGGTCGCCACCTGCTCGTCGTGATGCCTATCGTGACAATTTCAACCCCTACCGGGATGAACGCCGTGAAGACAGCCGCGGAGGCTATGGTCGCGAACGCTCTGCGTCCCCTGGTGCCAATAGAGCCCGCTATGGCAACCGCTCCCCTCGTGGTGGCGCCAATGGCCGAGGTGGCGATGATGACAGCGAGACTATCCAGATTGAGTCGAGCTTAGTTGGTCTGATCATCGGAAGACAAGGCGAGAATCTGCGTCGCGTTGAATCCTCAACTGGCTGCCGTGTGCAATTCATCACTGGTCCTGATAACCAAGGCCCCTACCGTCAGTGCAGAATAAGTGGTCCACGTGCTAGTCGCGCCGAGGCCAAGGCTGCCATCAACAGAATCATTGAAGACTCCGGCATGGGAGCAGTAGCTCGTGCCGATGCGCCGCATAATGGCGGCGGACGTGGTTCCAGTGCTGGTGCTCCCGCTCCGGCACCCACTCAACTCCGCGAGGGTGAGGATGTCATGCAAATCATGGTGCCTGATCGAACCGTTGGCTTAATCATTGGTCGTGGTGGTGAGACTATCCGGGATCTGCAGGAACGCAGCGGATGCCACATCAACATCACTAGTGAGTCTAAGAGTGTCAATGGCCTTCGACCCGTCAACCTTATTGGTACGCGTGAAGCCGCTGCCCAAGCCAAGGAGCAGATCATGGAGATCGTGGATAGTGACAGCCGCAATGTCAACGGTGGTGGTGCTGGTGGCGGTGGCGGCGGTGCTAAGCCAGACCGTCACCCCAAGCCCGACCATGGCCGTGATTCCATGCCAGGCGGCGGTGGTGATAAGATTAACGACGCCATCTTTGTTCCCTCTGAGGCCGTTGGCATGATTATTGGCAAGGGCGGTGAAACCATCCGTGAAATGCAGAACACCACGGGCTGCAAGATCAACGTTTCTCAATCATCTGGCCCTGGTGAGACGGAACGAGAGATTGGCCTGGTGGGATCTCGTGATGCCATTAACAGAGCCAAGATTGCCATCGAAGACAAGGTTGAAGCAGTGGTAAGAGATGTTCCCCCGTCTACTTGTATGTTTGAGGAGTATACTAACCAGATTATTTAGCGCCAGAAGAACAGTAGTGGTGGAGGAGGAGGCCGCGGCGGTCGTGGTGGTGGTGGTGGCGGTCAGAACCGCCGCGATTACGACAACACTGGCTACTCGCAACAGGGCTCTGGCAACCAGAGCAACCCTGCTGCTGGTGGACAGCCTCCCGCTGCCGCCAATGGCGCGGATCCCTACGCTGCTTGTAAGTGAATCAGTATACGTTACATCGACCTACCTGTACTAATCCGTTGTCTAGATGGCGGTTACCAAAACTACGTTGCCCTATGGTATCAGGCCTTGGCTTCGCAAGGACAAGCCCCGGGCCAACCTGGTGGCGCGCCCCCTGGACCGTAATTTTGTGATCGTCTTCTGATGGCGCGTCGTCGTGTACATGCACTGGCCTGAACGCGACCACTGAAAAGACAGTTGGACTTGCACATACGTAATGAACTAATAGGGCACGGCATGACCCGGAACCTGTTGGGGGTTCTTTTCACACTATATATCTACTCGAGGCCATTTCTCAGCACTCTTGGAACGATCGATCGCGGCGCTTCGGACTGTACAGTACGGAACTTTCTACTTCAGTATACCCCTTGATTGACGGATCTTACTCCGTCGTTTCGCTTGCGCCCTGGTACTGTCCTCATGGAACTGGGGGGTTTGGAGGAAAACGAAAAACTCGGGTCTGGCCTGTATATTTGCCGAGGACTTACGGACACGGAACGGTTGCGAAAAAGTTGCTCTATGCATAAACAATTTGATTTTCCTGCACTGATTTGCAAAACTGCAGCATTGCTTGTGATACTGTTTTGAAGACTTGACTTGATCGTTTCTGTGACTTGTTCATTCATATTCATGTGGTATGCTTGGTTGTACCAAGATGTCTGTCTCGTTGAGCTCCTATATACTCAAAAATGTGACCCTCATCTTTTTGACCCCCCGCCCGCCCGCCTTGCTGCAAACCCCGTCGCCATGCTACGCCACCCCAATGCTTTTGTTGAATAAGGCATATATGTTCCATACCATACGATACCATCCCAAACTGTCCCACGCAGCCTACACTGCGCGGCCCATCCTGTTGAAAACAAGTTTTTTTTTTAAATGCTTTCCCTAAATATATATATATTGTTTACACGCTCAGGTCGTCGCCCCAGACCTCCTTGGCGATCTCGACCTCGAGGCGGATCTTGGCCCACTGCTCGTCCTCGCTGAGCTCGTTGCCCTCGGCGGTGCTGGAGAAGCCGCACTGGTGGCTGAGGCACAGCTGCTTGAGGCCGCGGGGGCAGTAGGCGGCGGCCTCGTTGAGGCGCTTGATGATGTCGGCCTTGTCGTCGAGGGCGGCGACCTTGCTGCTCATGACGCCGAGCACGACGATCTTGTTCTCGGGCAGGTGGCGCAGGGGCGAGAAGTCGCCCGAGCGCGCGTCGTCGTACTCGAGGAAGTAGACGTCGACGTCGAGGTCGCGGAACAGCACCTCGGCCACGGGCTCGTAGCCGCCCTGCGCGAACCACTGCGACCGGTGGTTGCCGCGGCACAGGTGGATGCCGATGGTCATGTCGCGCGGGCGCTTGGAGATAGCCTTGTTGATCAGGGCCGCGTACTGCTTGGCCAGCACGTTGGCGTCGCCGTGGCGCTTCTCGGCCTCGGCCCGCATGCCCGGGTCGCACAGGTACGCCAGGTTGGTGTCGTCGAGCTGGACGAACCGAGTGCCAGCGGCGTAGAGGTCGGCGAGCTCCTCCTGGTACACGCGTGCCAGGTCGTCGAAGAAGGGCTCCAGCGTCGGGTAGGCCTTCTCGTCGATGGTCTCGCGGCTGTTGCGGAAGTGGATCATGGTCGGCGAGGGGATGGCGACCTTGGTCGTGACCTTGCCCTGTGCCCCGGCGGCAGCGATCTGCGTCTCCAGGTAGTTGAAGTCATCGACCTGGATGGGCTTGGGGTGGCTGATCTTGTCGACCACGACCAGACGAGGCGGCATGGTGCCGCCCTTGGAGATGTTGGTTGACTGGAGGGCGCCGCGCTTCTCGACACCGGCCAGGTTCACCAGGTAGTCGATATGGAACCATTGGCGTCTGAACTCTCCGTCCGTCACGGCACGGAGCCCGGAGCTGATCTGCTTGCGGACAACATCTGCGATGTGCTTGTCCTCGAGCTCCTTGAGTTCCTTAGGATCCGCCTGGCCATTTGCCACCTTCTCGCGGAGGGCGAGAATATCCTTAGGCCGGAGCAGGGAGCCGACTTGGTCGGCACGGTAGACGCCTGTAGGCAATGACATTGTGTCGCTTTGTGGCGGTATATCTACACTTGTAGGAGGAAGGGGTGTGATAGGGTAGCTATCACTATATTGCTTGACTATAGAGGGGTTCAAGTTCAGCCTTGCCCGCTCTGGATAGACGCTGAAGAGGGTAATAGGGAAGATAAGACAGAGAGGAAACCACACCAAGGAGAAGACGATATGAGCTTGAGAATGCCCCTCACTGAACCCTCATGTGACGAGGACGCCGCCGAGGGGCAACCTACCCACTTGCCGGTAAATGAGGATTGGTACGTGGGTGGGTATTGCCGTGATCTCCACAGGGTCGGCGGAGTAGATGGTGATGCGAGGCCGCGGCTAAAACTGAACAAGGTCGCGTTAGGGTCCATTTAGGGGTCTTTGTGAAGGGGACCTCACGAAATGGGCAACGATCCCGTGAACTGTTTCCCCATGCATTCGTCGAATTGGGCGCAAGGAGGTCATCCTTCGCATGCAATGACATGGCCAGAGAGCCAGTCGAATGGATGACGGAGGCGGCACTGAACAGCAGCGGCTTCCCACGATCCAACGGCTCGGTTCCATGCACGCCTTGGCGGACCTATCCACGCGATCCCTCTTGGCCTTTGCTTGGTGCTCTGCTGCAGGCCAGCCACATCGGGTGGAAGTATTGCCGCCACGGCAATTGGGGTTCGGTGTGTCGACGAGGCTCTAGTTCAAAGGTAACTTTGGGTCTTGATCCAAACTAGGCAACGCTTGCCAGATCTTGGATCTCAAGTTCAGGCCTTGCCCATGGTCAGTACCTAGTTACTGTAGGTGTGTGGATATGACTACACAAACATAGGATTTCGGACCTGGGAGTATGTGAGGGACACAATTCTCTTCTGGGCTGCTTGATAGTGATCAACCAGGCCCAGACATACACCCATCTCGCCGTTGAGCGGTCCGACACTCCGCTAGCAGGGGTTACATCCGTACAAGAGGTGTCTCCGGCTAACGCCATGGCAAGGCCTTTCGACTCTTCGAGGACTGATTATGCTTAACTTCCATATTGTGATCGAGCGAATCCTTCATCCGTCGTCATCCACCAAGCGCTTCAGCCTTACTGGCGCTTTGAATACGCTGCCACGTGTTGATGGCTGGGCAGATGTCTGGGGGGCTCTCGATATTGCTCCACAGAGACACTGTCAGAGAGAACCAAGAAAGCGCCAGACTGGCTTGCTTGATAGATGAAAAAAGAATTATGCGACTGTTTGTATGCTACTTATATGATGGCGTCTGGAAGGAGTCAGCGGCTGGGCGGCGCAGGTGGTGAATGGCTTGGTAGACGTTGGCGGCGAAGGATCAATGGATGGTGTCTTGCTTTCTCGCTCAGCCAAGTTCGTTACAAGCGATGTGCATTGACGTAGCGGCAGCCTAAGCGCCGCTTTTGTCTCACCTCCCGCAACGTCAATAGCGAAGCGCACCAACGGTCAAGACTTATCAACATCGACACCGCAGAATCCATTCGCCATTGTGCAACTAGGGCGTCATTTGCTCTACTGAGCTTCCATCTGTCCTATACACCAGCCGATCCACCCGCCCCTCCGACGCGGGTTGGCCGCCATGTCCAGCGCGAACCAGCTGTTCCTGCTGGCCGACCACATCAAGTTATCACTGCTCGAACGGCAACGGGCGCAGAGCCTTAATCTCGATGCGGAGTCAAATGACGGACACATTTCGCGGTCGCTAGACCAATTCAAAGATGGACTTACCGCGTTGGAACAGGAGCAGACGCGGCTCGAGGAGGCCGGGGATGAGGAGTACGTTCCAGCTCGACTTTGCAGCCACCGGCATGATGGCATCAAGTGATCAGTCTCGCTGGGGTCCATCTGCATCTGCGCTGAAAGCCACCGCTCGCTCACCCATACTAACGCATCTTCCAGTGGTGCCTTGACGATCGGCGATAATCTGCCCGGTCTGCGCAAACAGTACGATGACCTGACCTCACAGTTCCACGGCTTCTCCACGCCGTCGACAACCTCAACGCTCACGCATCCGAACGACCCCGCCCTGGCGGCCGACTTCGACCATGCCACCACCTCCCCCAAGGACCTCGCCGCCTCGTCCTCGTCCCTGCGCCCCAAGGGCCAGCGCAGCGGGTCCAAGACGGTCCGCTTCTCCGACAACCCGTCCGACGGGCGGGATCCGGATCTCGAGGCCCAGCTCTTCGGGTCGCGGTATCGGGACAACCCGAACGACGACAACGCGGGCTACCGCGACGAGATCGAGGCCCAGGGCATGGACAACCAGCAGATCCACACGTACCATCAGCAGATCCTGGACCAGCAGGATGCGCAGCTCGACGCGCTGGGCGTCTCCATCTCCCGCCAGCGCGAGCTGAGCATGCAGATCGGTGACGAACTCGACGACCAGGTCGCTATGCTGGACGACGTGGACGGCGCCGTCGATCGGCACCAGGGGCGTCTTGACCGCGCCCGGCGACAGGTGACCAAGATCTCGCGGAGTGCCAGTGACAATAAGCAAATGGTCGCTATCATCGTCCTGATTGTCATCCTGATTTTGTTGATTGCGCTCCTGAAATAGGAGCCCTCTGACCTCGAGGAACGGGGCAACGAGCGACTGGATTATGTAGCATTGGTTTGGCGTTTCGGAGTTGGCTGCGACCTTGACTTGAGCATATTGTAAATATACATCTATATATAAGACGATCACTTCAGAACCAACCATATGACAACATACAGTTGACCAAAGTAAACACGGCCGTGAGCTGCAAGCAGAACAAAGAGGAGCCCTCATGCAGATAATCTGCGATTCTGCATGTCACTTGCACTTCTGTCACTGGATGAGCTAGTTCCGTAATGCATTCATATTCCATTTGCTCGTTCGAATCCCTATAAATTTACACGCAAACAGCCGCTCCAGCCATCAATGCCCCGTTCAACCGAGCCATGCAGCGCCATATCTCGCTGCCTAGCTTGCGTATTATGCTTTTGTGCTTCACACTTTACAACGTACTCTTTGATATCATTAAGACCCGTTCGTGCTCTGGTTCGACAGAAGACGAGTTCGGGTGAGAAACGTTTGGTCGCAGGTTATCGCGGCGACGCATTGGGAGATGCCACTGCCTTATAGACCGTCCCGCATGCTGGTGCCTGCCTTGCTGGTCTCCTCGGCAGTACCCTTTGTTCGCTTCTGCAGCGTCTCGATGTCCTCGGTGTTGCGATCCGCCTTGACGGCCTCCTCGCTGCTCGACGCCAGCTCCGGCTTCCAGTGGCCCTTGCCCTCCTTGTGCTTCTTCAGCAGGTCCTGCTTGTGATGCTCCTCCTTGCCCGGGTTCTCCTGGGTGTCGTCTGAGAGATCTTCGTGAGTTGAGAATGTCAATAACTGGGTTGCTAGGGTTGCGGTATGCCGCAAGCCCCCGCGCGCGCGACAGTGCTGGAAGCGGGAGGGACAGAGCTGGGGATAGGGATACATACGAATCGAGTCCTCCTTGTGTCTCAGGATGGAGGTGCTGGCGATGCCTCGCTGAGCAATGCTTTGTCTGCTTGCCATGACGGCAGCGGGGCGGAAAGCCGCGGCGGATTGCAAGAAGGTGCGGGATGCCATTGTGATGTTTGGGAGTTGGGTGGGAGTATAGCGAGGCTTCAGGGTTCGTGTCTTGCGAGTGAGGTTGTAGTCGGGTGAGTGCTCCTTGTGAATTGGTGAGCTGGATTATGTTTTTGAGGTAATTTATCTTCTGGTCTTTATGGTCCTAGAGAATGAATGACTGGCAGGTCTGCTTTCTCTGCTTTACCCGAGGAACAGAAACAGAGAGCTACTGATTGGAGCAATGGAGGTGACGTCACTATATCGAAACTCCACTGCTGAGCTTTCTGTGTCTTTAGCGGGCCTCACCCACTGACGCTAGCACATTAGAGCCTGGGGGTACCTGAAAAGCAGGACGTAAGATGATGCACAAGCCAGTACTCCGTACATTCATTGGGCCCATCCCTCGGCTCTAGGAGAGCAGTAGCGTAACTGAGTCCCGAGCCGGGTTTTCCTCCGTGCTCCTGCATCGTTCATGATCCCATGGGGTTGCTGCGAGGCGCCACCTGCCCCCGGATAAGTGATAAGCTATACTCTGCCATCTGCCATAAGCCAGTCACTCCAAGATCCAGATGGTTTCCTAATTCCATAGCTATGTCCCTTGGTGCCAGCGATTTCTGAACTGAGAAACTCTGAGTGGCAGGAATACTGGAGTCCCAATGGTCAGCCAACAGTTCAGCGAAGATCATTCAGTAGGATAGACCTAGATTAGCCCTGCGCTCTCTGAGCTGGGCTACTTTGCCGGACATGTACCATGTATGTGTCGCTTCAGAATTTTCTTCACCAGACGCTGGCCACCGAATTGGCTCACTTGCGTGCAGATGTATCAATAGTTCGCCTTTGGGATACTACCCAACTGTCGACTTCCTTTGGAGATCTTCTCATTCATCAGCGTCAGCGGGTGGGCCTTGTCACTCGATGCTGGGTGCGCTATACCTTCCCCACCAATCACCAATACTTCTACTACTAGCTGGCAACCTCGTTTGATACAGGCTCTCCTTCGATGGTCAAAGTGCATTCAGACCAAGGATTCGAGTATAAACGTACCGAAACTGATCCTAAAAGATCTGGAGCCAGTCGATTTTGCACAAAATTCAGCAGTGTTGCCGGGTTCTGCACTACCTGAACCAATGAGAGGCGAATCAGTCCACTAGAAACAGTCTACACCCCCTGTCAGACATGGCACAACGCACGTCTCATCACCCTGCCATTCTCTCCACAAACACTGTTCAGACGACCTGGCACTCAGCCTCACGGCAAGCACGGAGTTCCATCCCAAGTTTCGGCCGCGTCTGGGCTCGCATCTGGGATCACCCTCTGATCTCCAGGTCGGCCGTCAATCCTACCACCGGGTTCGCTTTCCGAGCTCAGGGCCAATTCATTGGCGCACGTCTTGGCTAAGAGCGCATGTGCTGACCAAATCCGGGAGCGCTTGTCACATCGATCCTGGAGATCGCCTGAGACCCTCCGCGGTACTCACCTTAGGTTGCAATGTTCGACATTGCTCGAATCTGCAACCATAGCAGGTAGGTGCGCTTGGTCCAGTCTCCGTTCATACATAAACCAGGGCCAAGGCAGCCGCAAAAGCCCAGCTTGCTTTCTTGGTAGTCTTGCCTGGTTCTATTATTCGCGTCTTATTCGTTCATTTGCTCGATCTGTGATCGATTTCCGTTCTTTTACTACCGACAAGCAATATACCGTCTTATCGTATATTCACACATCTTAATTCAGCGAAAATGGTTTCAAGCAGTCTTCTTCAGGCGGTGCTGCTCATGGCAGGCTGTGCTACTACCTTAGCGACACCTTTCGTTCCTCGATATGCCCTGACTCAGGAGCACCTCGAGGTTCTGGCCATGCGTGCCTCGACAAGCGTGGACCCCAATGCGGTTTCTAACACGCAATGCATTGACCCAAATGTGTAAGAACCTATCATTCCTTGACCCCAGTCCTGCCGAGTGGTTCACGTATTGACCATGTACCACCACAGCAACATCGATTTCCACGACCAAAACGTAGCGGAGCTTGGAATCTGTGGAGGAATTGCAGGCTCAATCACTAAGTGCGGCGGCGCACCACAGAGCACGACGGGCAAGTCGGGAACGGCACTCTTCACGCTCAATGCCGCCACCAGCGGTGCCACTATCAACATCTCGAAGGGTCGCTGGGAGGGCTGCATTCGAGCGGCCAGGGCTGTTTGCCCTACTGGAAGTGTAAGTGGCACATGCACGGGAGGCGCCAGTACGGGCAACGTGGACTTCACTCTGGACAACCCTTGAGTTGGAGCTCGCCGGTCGACTGGAAGAGGGTGGCGGGTTAGAGAGACGGATATCTAAGCATTTGAAGCCGGCATCGAGAAGGCATGAGCGGTCTCTTGCGGATTGACAGAAACCAGGCAAATCTTTGGCAATTGGTTATCGTGGTTGAACTAAACTCACTCGATTGGCGGCAAGTTAGATACCCTCAATATAACAGTCGCACTTGACCAGGCGACTATATCAAAACCTGTTTTACTCATTTGGTTTCTACAAGTGTATCGGCCGGCACTAACGATCTAGAAGGAAAAGGTTGCCATCCTTGGTTGAAACGTTCACCGTGAAATTGGGATGAGGGAAAGTAGTCCCTTACCCAGGGAGCAAGATGCAAAACTCACTCGATGTCGGTTATCGCCGGAAATGATGTCAGTGAACAGAGTCGCAGTCTATCAGCGCAGCTTTCCCCATCGTACGATACGATCCCTAATTAGGCGCTGTTAATATCTCTCAACTGGCTAGAATATCGTAGCAGGTTCTGCTAGACTGTCAGAATGATACATATCGTGGCCCAGGTGCCATCAAGGCCAAGACTTCTTGCGCAATTCTCGTGGCCTATAAAGACTCTGTGCCAAGCCTAATGAGAAGCGATGTTGAGTTCAAAACTTGTTGCACTACCCACTGATCAGGTTAACTTAGCCAGCTTGGTCCTCTGAGTAGAGTTGATGAATGAGCGGGGAAAGCTGTGAAGGCCACTTTAGTCACTAAAGCTGCCCGCCTATAAATATCCTATGTCACATGTCGCTCGAAAGGTATAGGATCACCAGGACCCAGCTTGAAGAACTTCTCTCCCCCCCTGCAGTGTAATGACGACGATGTGTCCCAAGAAATGTAGATCAACTACTCTGTAGTCCACGCGTGGGCCATTTGAAGATAAGATTAAGCTCCGAAGCGGTCGGGTCGGCAGTTTACGGTGCGGCAGGAGGAGGGCCGTAGACCGGGATGGTGAGCAATTGGAGGTGGATTGCGTGATCGAGCTACGGACGAGCGCCGAGCGCAACCCCTCGCCTGCAGCAAGCTGCACATGCGACAGACACGGGTATGCGAAAGCTTGCCCCAGAATTGGAAGGAACATGAGCTAGCTGATAGGTAATAGATTAACTATTGCGTGATGATGCAATAATGTGTGACCACCGATGCTCCGGTTGCTTTAAAGCGATGAGGCCCTCGTGCTTAGATCTTTTAGTTTCACTTCCTCCAGGTTAAGTGCTGTTTGTACCATAGTAATCTCGAGCTACCTATCCTGTATCTTTAGACTTCCAAGATGGCTCCCAGTGCACTAGACGCAGAGTCGCGGTCTGATTTGATCCAGCAACTCAAAACGAAAGCTAAGAACGTCGACAAGAGTATCTTTCCAGATGGCTTTAAGACCTCAGGTAGGCACCTCCAATATATGCGCAGTACAGGAAGAACTTGAAACTCACATGTCCTGCATCAGGTCAACATCCTCCCTTGTATGATCAGTTATATCCCTACAGTGCTTTCCCCAAGCGCATTGAGGGTCCAACCGTCTGGAAGCCTGAAGACTACTCCAACAACCCCGAGAGATGGGTGCATCAATTTTCGGAGGAGGAAATCGCTGAGCTGTCCGGCGCAGCGGACAAGTTCATGGAACTTGGATTGCCATTGACAGGCATCGACAAGGACAATTTCCCGCTGCCCGGCCTTGCGCCATCTCTTGCTTCCATGCGCCGTGAGATGCTGAATGGAAAGGGCTTTATACTATACAAGGGCTTCCCCGTGGACCAATGGGGTAACCACAAATCCGCTGTGGCGTACATGGGCCTGGGGGCCTACATTGGTTATCCCGTCTCTCAGAACGGCAAGGGCCACATCCTGGGACATGTCAAGGACCTCGGCGAGGATAGCACACAGATCGACAAGGTCCGCATCTACAGGACCAACGCACGACAATACTTCCACGCCGATGACTGTGACGTCGTCGGCCTGCTCTGCATTGCAAGAGCCGAGTTTGGCGGAGAGTCGGATGTCTCGTCCATCCACCATGTTTGGAACATCCTGCAAGAGGAGCGTCCTGACATTGCCGAGTTGCTCACTAAGCCCGTCTGGTACTTTGACAGAAAAGGTGAAGTATCAGAGGGCGAGGAACCCTATATCAGGACTGCGGTCTACTACCTTGAAACACCTGACCCAGCAAACCCCGACGCCGAGCAGAGAGTATACTGCAAGTGGGACCCGTACTTTGTGCGCAGCTTGAAGCGGTTCTCCGATGCCGGCATCATTCCTCCCTTGTCGCCCGAGCAGGTTGAGGCAACAGAGGTGCTAGAGGCCGTCTGCGACAGAGTGAAACTTCACATGATCCTGCAAGTTGGCGACATTCAGTTCGTTGCGAACACCCACACATTGCACGCCAGAACGGCATACAGAGACTTTGGTCCCGACTCTGGGAAGCCCAGGCGGCATCTGATGAGGTTATGGCTGAGCGTGCCCCAGGACGAGGGCGGCTGGAGACTCCCGTTCTGGGACTCTGACGAGAAGAAGAGAGGTGGAATCCAGGTCGATGACACGGCCCCGGTAGCCCGACTCGATGCTGATTAAGCGCCTCAGAGTGATAGATAAAATAGCGACGACTGATTTCGAAATGAATGTACAATGAGCCTTGAAGAGATTTGATGCTTGTATAGCCTACATGTCTCAGGTATGGCGAATTGGTGACTGATTAGAACCTTAGTGACGTACACACGACAGCCATTTATAGAAACAGGCACGAAGAACAATATAGACAGACCTTGTGAACGAATATTCCTTTGAACTGCCGATTCATGCTGAAGCAAGACTACTTCACCAATGTCACATACATGTGCACGCAAAGATGGCTGGATACCTAGGTACATTGGTGTTGATAAAGACATTCGAGGACCCGTGTAAGTCCCCCAACTGTTTCCGGCCAGACCTCTAAACCCCACCAAAACAAGTCACTGGAGCGGTAGCGCACCGCCACACTAACTTACTGAGCTAGCTAGCTCCCTAGCCTCGGCGCCGGTGACGACAAGCAAGGCTGCCATTGCTTCCATCGTAGCGGCCGCCAGCGATCCAGTTGTCGCAAACACTATGTTGCTTGCATAGGCCTTCGATCGTTCAGCAAGCGACCATGGCTTTGCTTATGGTAAGTCGAGTTCACTTTCATTAGCCATAAACTTGCGACAAGTGCACCAAGGCTAATACTAGTATCACCCGGTCGCAGTGGAAAGCATTCGACTTCTTCGAGGTCAGCCAGGTCAAGCTTGGCGACGACGAGACGCGGTCCTTCTTCGAGAACAACGAGATATCGAGCGTGTGCTCCGGATCCGACAGCCTGTTCCTCGGCAGCTTCGATGGATACGTACGCATCATCGCGGCCAGCTGGAAGGTCTGCCGGAGCTTCCAGGCGCACGAGACGGGCCGCATTACCCACATGCGCCAGATCGAGGGTACGAGCCTCCTGGTCACGGTCGCCGAGGATCTGAGCAACGAGCCGGTCTTGAAGGTCTGGGCCCTCGACAAGCCGGTCAAGAAGACGGGGCTGCCCACCTGCCTGAGCACAATCAATATCCAGAACGGCCGAAAGCAGTTTCCCATCTCGGCCTTCACAGCGCTCGACGATCTATCGCAGCTGGCCGTTGGATTTGCGAATGGCTCGGTCACCGTAGTTCGCGGCGACCTGATCCATGATCGAGGCACGAAGCAACGGGTGGTCCACGAGTCGGAGGAGCCCATCACCGGAATCGAGTTTGTCACGGATGCCAAGGTTACCACACTGTTCGTGGCGACCACTGCTAGACTCCTGAGGCTTGTAGTGACTGGTAAGGGCCAAGGGCAGCCCCCGAGGACAGTAGAGGACTCCGGCTGTGCAGTCGGCTGCATGACGCTCAACAAGACAACGGGCGACATCATCGTCGTTCGGGACGATGCCGTGTACTACTACAACCTGGACGGCAGAGGTCTATGCTTTGCGAATGATGGGACCACATCACTTGCTTCAACCTACCAGGACTACGTCGTTCTCGTATCCCCTCCAGCTCAGCCCAGTAATGGCGATTCCGAAAACATTCGGCGACGCTTCGGTGGCGGAAGCGCTGAAACACTGTTCAACGCGTCGACGTTTACCATGATAGACCCCAATCTGCAGATAGTTGCACACACCGAGTCTCTGATCTCCAAAGTCCAAGCTCTGTTTGAAATTTGGGGAGATTTGTTCATCCTGACTCAAGATGGAAAGGTTAGTCGCTATAACCTAGAACCCCTTGCTAATGCCCCGAACTGTTTTGGCTCATGGGTCTCCAGATCAACCGATACCATGAGAAATCCCTCCAACAGAGACTTGATCTCCTCTATCAGCGCAATTTGTACCCTCTGGCAATCAGTTTGGCCCTGAAGTCTGGTATGGACGATCAACAAAAGAACGTCATATACCGGAAATATGGTGATCATCTCTACCAGAAGGGTGATTACGACAGCGCGATGGCCCAGTATATCAAGGCCATTGATAGTACAGAACCGTCGCAGGTCATTCGCAAAGTAATCTTTCATTCTCCATCTCCGCCGATTAAATTACTGACAGCAGAAGTTCCTTGATACCCAACGTATACATAACCTTATCGAGTATCTCGAAGAATTACACGAACACCACAAGGCCACCGCTGACCACACAACTTTACTTCTCAACTGCTACGCCAAATTGAAAGATGTTGAAAAGCTTGAGAAGTTCATCAAGTCGGAAGGCGATCTCAAATTCGACACAGATACCGCGATCACCATGTGCAGACAAGGTGGTTATTACGAACAAGCGGCATACTTAGCTATGAAACATGGTGAGAGCGATTTGGTCGTCGATATCTTGATTGAGGACTCGAAAAACTATAGTGATGCTCTCAATTTCATATGGCATCTGGAACCTGAAATCGTGAGTTACCACCTCGTTCCGAGAAAACCCAGGCTAAACAGAACAGGCATATCCTGCATTGATGAGATATGCTCGAGTACTACTGGAGCACTGTCCATCAGAAACGACTCAGATCTTCATAGATTACTACACGGGTAGTTACAAGCCAAAAGTTCAGCTGGCATCCGTAGAAGAGGTACCGGCAGTCTCCGGCAGCGCTCTAGGAGGACTGGCCGCAGGCACTGCAAATGCGGTACAGAACTTGACCAGTCTGATCCCCCTACCGTACATGAATACCTCTTCTATTGCCAGCCCATCAACTGTAGGAGACAGCAAGCAGCCTCCTGAAGCATCTCGAGCGACAATAGACCCCGACTTGGTCGAGGCACCAAAGTACACAGCTCCCGCCCCAAGGACTGCGTTTTCATCTTTCATCGACCACCCTGATGAGTTCATCGTCTTTCTTGAAGCGTGTCTTAAGGAGGAATCACTCAAGGAGTCCGACAAATCAGACTTGCACACAACATTATTCGAGATGTATCTTCACAAAGCCAGCGAGAAGAGGGATGAGGACCGCGAGGAGTGGGAACAGAAAGCGAAACGTTTGATTTCTGGCAACGAACTTCCCATTGAAAACTCCAATGTTTTACTTCTATCACACCTATCGGACTTCCGAGATGGAACAACTCTGGTCAAAGAGCAGTCTGGCCTTCTCTTCGACATCTTCCGCTCGTACACAAGCGCCAAAGACACGCGTGGTGCAATTAAAGCTCTTCGCAAATATGGGCTCGAGGAACCCCAGCTTTATCCCGCCGCGCTGGCGTACTTCACTTCTGACCCCAAGATCCTGGAAGAGGCTGGGCCAGAAGAACTTGCAAATGTGCTGAGACGCATTGACGAGGACAGCCTTATGGCACCTCTTCAAGTCATTCAGACTCTGGGGGCAAATGCCGTTGCTACAATGGGTATGATCAAGCCCTACCTACAAGAGACCATCTCGCGCGAACGCCGCGAGATCGCCGCCAACCGCCGGCAGATCAACTCGTTTCGTAAAGAGACAGAACAGAAACGCGCTGAGATCACTGAGTTGGGCTCGAAGCCAGCTGTCTTCCAATCACAACGCTGCCCCGGGTGTGGCGGCGCTCCGGAGCTTCCAGCTGTGCATTTCTTATGCAAGCACAGCTTCCATCAGCGATGTCTAAAGCAGAGCGCCAATGGCTCTGAAACCGAGTGTCCTATGTGCGCAAGCAACAACATGGCAGTTCGAGCTATGAAGCGCAGCCAGGAGGAACGAGCCGATCGACACGATTTGTTCAAGGATGCACTCGACAAAGGAAAGGGGGACGAGAGATTCAAGACCGTGGCACAGTGGTTTGGGCAGGGCGTCATGAGTGCTGGCGCTGGTGTTTTAGAGTAGAGTATGATGGGGTTATATAAGTGGTGGAAATACTCAACATTGTCTCAGCATAGCGGTGACAGCCCGGCGCTTTTAGTTGGAAGAGCTGTTGGCATTCATTCGGGTACATCCCCATTCACACGTACATGCTGGTGATACAATAAGAACAGTAAGGACCAGCCAAATTAAGCACACTAATCTTGGGAAGCGTGAGCATTTCATATTCGACTGTATAGTGTCAGAGATCGTGATCTAAAATATTAAATTTTCAAAGGCCTTCTACGGAGATGAGTGCTCCAAAGGCAATGCAAGGGATGAGGACATTCAGCCCAACCACGCTTGTGGCGGCAGACATTCCACTACTCCACCATTGAACATCGAGGAAAGCCTAGCCACCAGAATTGCATATCGATAATGGCACTTGGCGTAGTGATTACTTCCATATTGGTCAATTTGAGAATACAATCCTCGGCAAGTCGGGAGCCGGATAGGCTACGGCTAGGCCCGATTCATCACATCCCATTGGAGACTGCACCCGAGATAACCTCAGCTCTAGATGCGGCTGAGTCTCTGGTGCACACACAAAATGTCTTCTGAGACTCATAAGACTAGCCAAGCACGATGAATCATGATTGTCTGTTAGACACAAAACGTGACCCAACTACACATCTCTAGCTATGCAGCTTTGAGTGAGACACTTGACCACTGTACTGGGATTGTGGCTTCCACGATGGATATTCCTCCACCGATTCCACCTCGGCCTCCCGGATACGAGCTACGGGTGCCCGTCAACCCAGCTGTTCCTCCTCGACCAAGCCCACAACATTGGCAGCAGCAGTCTATACCACCGCCGCCTCCCCCTCCCCCTCCTCCATCATCTCAGATTTTCCAATCAGGGCTGCATCAGGGGGCATATGGCGCGTATCCAGCGGCAACGCCCCAGTCTCGGGGTGCGCAAGGAGAGCCAACTGAGTGGTCTGCATTGCACTATGCAGACGGAACGCACACTCCACTGTTTGAGGCGCTCATGGCGGCCATCTTTCCCCATCTAGATCCCCAGCGGACCGGCTACATCAGACCCGAAGTCTTGTCAGACTTCCTAGCCTTAAACGGGTTCCCGAAGGAAGAAGACCTCTGTACGTGGTAGCCCTGTACCTCCTGAACCCCTATTTTCTTCGACCCTTACTCTACGTCGTGCCCGCGTGGCAGCAGAGGCTCTAGCAGCACTATGATAAGAAGATGCCTACTCACATTTGACTTGCAACAGGGAAGTCCAACCTCACGGGCAACATCATGTTCGCCCCGGAGGACATTGCGGACGCTGAGCTCAAGGCGGCCTGCGAGGCGTGGCCATTCGACCACCGGGTCGCGGTGCGGAACCCAGGGCGGCCGCAGCTGCCCTTCGGCGGGATGCCGCTGCCCTCGCTGCGCGGGCTGACGGACATGATGGCGGTCGAGCACGCGGCGGAGCCCGAGCGCGGGCAGCGCGGCCTCAACGCCGTGCTGGCCCGGTACGGCATCTGGCCGCACCTCGGGCCCCTGCCCCGGTCCGCGCTGCCGCCCGCCCGCCCCGTCCAGGTCCAGCGCCGCTGCGACGAGGTCCGCGCCCGCAGCCTCCGCGCCGCCCAGGACAAGCTGCAGGCCAACCAGGCCCGCCTGATGCTCGAGGCCCAGGGCAGGCAGCACGCGCTGGACCTGATCGACTACCCGCACTACGTGAGACGGTATTATTGATCAGGTGGGCGGCCGGCAGAGAGGAAACAAGGGGCAGGGTTCGAGGAAAAGGAGCACCCGTATCTTGCTCGGTTACGGAACAATGTGTGGCGATGGGGGGAGTGTCGGGGGCAACGAGGTGGCTTGGACACTCATGATAGGTAGGCTGGACGGCCATGCTGCTGTAGGTTTGACAGACGCAGCAAAGGGGGTGTGCGGCTGGCATGCCACAAGCTTAATACGGGACACTCGCAGTGAAAAAAAGTGGGATGTTGCTTGTATTCACCTGGTGCACGTGGGTTGTCACTGTGTTTCAAAGGGTATCAGGAGATCACCATGCATATGTCTCTTGGATTTCTCCGAGGAATGAGTATAAGCTTTGGAGGGAGAGGTGCAGATCGGGTATGGGGACCGAGTCGCCCGAGTATAGTTCTCTGGCGGTCTTCAGAGATCATCCTTTCGCAGTCACACAAGCATAGTCATACCCAAGAATCATTGGCCGTAAAATAGATAAGCGGAAAGGATTCTTGAGACACTGCAGAGTGCGGGACTCTCGATACCCGAAGCTCTATCTTGCATCAGTCTTCTGCCTCATGACGAGCCCGAGGCCAATAAAGGAGCCTTGATACCCTTAGCCGAACAACTTCGGGATGACAACACCGGCATACGAAGTCCAAGATGGAGTTGCACTAGATGATACCATCATGACGAAGTGATGTAGCATGACTATAAGTGTGGCTTGTCGGGGGCTCAGCATATGTGAGCTCATGACTCAAGTGACCATCTTCCCCCCCTGACTACATGGGGTAGCTTGCAAGTGCTAGCTCCACGAGGATCACTACGCAGTACGATATCCTCCGACTAGAGATGTGGCTAGGTGGTGGAGGCTGACTGCAAGGACAGGATGTGCCTGTCAAATCAGGAGTTTTACCACAGCCAAGAGGAAGCCGGCGCGAGTGTGGTGGGCACAATAGGGGGCCCCAAATCAGGATTGGGGCTTCCCAAGTGTTTCATCACATGCTGGAGGGACCACAACCAACCCTTCAGGAGATGGACACTCACAACATTACTGTTATAGCGGACAAGATGGAGGGTTTTTTGAGACTTCGACTCACTCCCCTCATCGCGGGCACGTTCCCCCCCGGAGGCCTGTCTCGCTGATTCAGGAAGGAGGGTCTCCGAATTTCTCCGCCTCCGCATTCATGGACATGCAGGAGACGGCGATGCACACATACTTCGGCCAATGTGAGATGACGTGCAGTGCCGCACGGATAAGTGCCTATGCCTGGAGACGGCATACGTTGGGTGCTTCCCGCTGAGTGCAGAGATAATGAGAGGTACCGCCGACTTTGGCCAGCAGACAGCCCGCTGGTCGCGATTATACTTTGCCAAAACCCGCTTTCATCAACGTTGGCAAACTCAGGAGCGTACATGCCGCAAGATGCAACGCGGGACCAATTTGCGTTGCATACAGTCAAACTTAAACTTGAGATGAACTTCACAGTACGATAAAGCAGCATGTCGAGTGGTATGTATGATGTCGAACCTGTAGATGTTGGGGGAACGGGGCAGACAGAGGCTCACTCAGTTGCTGTGGTGGCGGTGATAGGAAATAGAGTCGATGAAGTTGCTCAACCTATCATAAGAGTACAGTACATGCAGTCAGAGATAATACTTGCTTACCATTAGAGGTGATATAAATTAATAGTCGGGTACAGCTGGCTTATTGATAACGGATGCAATCTATGCATGTAGAAAGCCGCGACCTGATATGTTAGATGATGCAGCATATCAATGGCTTGAGGGATTATATTGGCAATCGGGGATCGTGCCAGATTAATCGTTCGTTTCCGACTGGCCTTCCCTTGATCCTGCATATCTGGGGCCCCATGGGAAGAACTGTGGGCATCCAGCAGTATGGTCGGAAAGCCGTGGACTATAATCCAGCCGCGCGGCAGACGGATATCGGGCATGGAAACGAGGACGGTCTTTATGTGGCCTCATATCTAAGAGGATGGCGCTGTAAGACTTGCGATCAGATTCCTCGAATTGGGATAGTTCCCTTGCCTCTCATCATATTACCCACTCCATATTGTGATGGGATCGTAGCCTGGCGATCGAGAGTGGGCAATAAAAGCCGTAAGCAAGTAGTCTATTCTGGGGGTTTGTACGTCGTTGGTAGCAACACTCGGCGTCAAGTCCCATAAATGCTTATGAGCGAAACGCATTGGATCCGGGGGATTCGCGATCAGACATGCATCCCAAATGACCTATCATTTTCAAGTCCTGTGCCAATGGGTGACAGGTCGCCACACATATTACCCTGCCAAATCCATGTTAATAGAATTGGGGAAGAGCCTGCTCAACTTCGGCCAATATCTGTCACCAGGTTGCATACCCCTTTGGCTCAGCGCTCTCTTAAGCGACTCAAGAGTATTCACTACGATGAAACCTCATGCGGTAGCATGTACGAGTAAGTATCGTCTCTGTCGTCGAGATGCGCTTGCAGCGGGAAACCTTCTCGCTTGAGGTCGCGGGAAGTGGAACCACTCGGCTGGAAAGTCCCAGTGAGTGGGCTAAATAGGAAGATCCCGCCGGCTTCACAACCGGACCTTCGTTTGAGGAAAGACGTGATGGGGCCAGGACCGGGGTGCGGTTGTGACGTCGATAATAGTTCGGTGGAGGCTGAAGCGGAGTGCCCAGTATCATGTAGATCTTGGTGTGATTTCGCGATTTGCAAGGTACCCGGGGTACGAAGCCAGCAGCGTGAGCTTGAGAACGAGCATGCAATGCGGGTGCGAACTTCGAAGATGTGTGGCAGAGTGTAATCTTACGCAGGGTGGTGTCTCGGCCGATTACAAGCCAGGAATCGCCTAGCATGCATCGTGAGCGCCGAGGGAAGAGGCGCCTATCAGCGCAGTGATACCTCCCAGGTACGGTATTGTAGTATCGTGATCATCAACCGAGTTCTCGTATGAACGTATGAACGGTGGAGGAAGAGACCGGGCCGTCGTTGGCCCTGCCGCAGTCCTGAGGAACAGGTTGGTGTGACCCAGCGCCCGTGTACAGCAAGATCTAACGCGGTTGGGCCTAGCCGGCTGCAAGAAGGTTTGGAATAGGCAAAGCGTATAGTAGGAGTAAAATCAGACCAGACCTCCAACACCCGTAGCTCTGTCTCGGCTTGGACGTATCCCGTTCTGGGTTTTTGTTTCTTTCTTGTCTCAACCACTGGCGAATTTTGCTTTTGAGCTTTGTTCCTACTTATCAGGGGCCTCACATCGCCCTGCGGTTGCCCAGGCGATTGCGCTTGCCAGAGGAGGCTTGCATGGCTCGGTCTTGTCGCTGGTGTTGCTCGCTTGACCTGCGTCTCTTGGCGAGCAACCTACGAGCCCAGAGGGCATGCCGCTTCCGGGTTCAATGCGGACTGGCGCCCATTGTCGGCGAACCACCTCACGATGTCACGATAACGGCCACACCGGATTCAGTCATCGTGGACGCGGCACCTCGGCTGCTTCTGGTAACCCGGACTACGTAGTCTCGGGGCCTAGACCAAGGCCCATGCATTGTTGTATAGGACTGGAACATCGTGAACTCTCGAAACCTGCTAGCCCGTAGGCCTGTAGTGTGAGAGCTAGCGAGGTATTATTGATCTTGGGCTCTGGTGCATCGTGACTATTGCGCTTGATCAAGCGCTTCGACTGCAGACTGCATGTTCTCATGAGACCTGGACAACAGGCTCTAGCCAACCCCAGGAGGGAGTGTTGGCAGCAAAATGATTCCTGAAGTCAACTGCCGGCCGCTTCTTGCACTCGGCTTTTTTCACTGGGTATTTCAGAGTATAATCTACGTGGATAACGCATATTGAAGACGATAGCATTTACCATATCGCGGTCTGACGAATCATGGAGATGAAAACCCCAGGTTTTTGCCCTTGAGAAGATGCACCCCGCAAGTCTCTCCAGATACCCACAGAGCTGAGGTCGGTTTTCCGTGAGGGACACGGCTCCTTGCCGAGGGGGGCTTCAGCCGAGACAAACCCATCCTGCATTGCAAGGGGCCAAAGGAGTGATGCAGGCTATGTACATAGTACAGAAGGTACTCCGTAGTTTCAAAGATATCAGAATCCAAAAGATAGTACCAATTCTTTGGTCATTATGCTGAGAACGGCATTGCCTCGCATCATTCCGTCATTCTTATCGTCCTAATAAAGATTAGCAAATGGTCGGCGCTGATAGTAGTGTTCCCATGAAGGCATGGATGTCAACCATGGACCGAGCCGCCTTGAGTCAAAGCTTCACAGGGATCCGCCGGCTACGTATCTTGGGAGACAAGGGAGAAGACAGGCTGCGCATTGATCACGAATCAATCAACACGGCCGCAGTGTGACAGCTAACCGTTGTGAGGCATGAGTCGGATTTGTCTTCGACGATGGCTTCAGGTCATGTCTGCATGCAGTAACAGCGTGGCCGTGGGTCTTTCTTAGCAGCTTCGAATCGATACCCAATCATTACAAGGCGACCAACTAGCTACATCTGCTGTGCATCAGTGATTCATGTTTCGACCGTAGGTCCTTAGCTGTTCGTACGACGTGAGTTGTCAGATCCCTGTGGTCAAAGGAGAGAACCGCAGCCGACTGGTCGCTCCAAGGATGGAAATCTTTGCAGTTTGACGCTGGATGGGACCCCTGATAGGTTTCCTGCTGGGCGGAAAACTGCGCACCCAGACTTGTGCCCGAATTCTCCAGGGCGTGAGGTATATCGCGCTTGCAATGTCTTCCAGCCTGAAAGTCAAAAACCATAGACGATCCAGCCCTCTGCTGCATCTGCACAAAACCGTGCTGAACCTGCAGACCCTGCAGCCAATAATCGCTGCAGAGGATAACCAGCAGCTATGCATGCATGTGTTAATCTCTACTAGAGCTGCATACGGTCACGTAGGTACGGATTGTCTCTGTCGCAAAGAAAACTTTTTTTAATTGTCTCTCTCATGGGATCTGCCATGCTGTTGTCGTCACTGGGCTCCATTGGGTGCCGAGAATGGTCAAGGAAAGTGTGTGTACCCAACAGCGTTGAGAAATGATCCATCTGCCACGAGCCAATGCAACACAATTGGGTTATTGAAACCAGGCTGGCCAGCGCTGCTGAGAGGATCCCTCTGGCCTTGGACTTACGTACACGGTAGTACTCTGTACCTAGCTAGTCGGCTTACACCCTGGTCCCAGGCAGACCCTAGTTCTCCGATAAGCTACACCCTTGCTCCCTGTTGCTGCAACGCTCGCGCGATGCTCTAAGGGACGTTTCCCTCCTGTCCAACGAGATTGACGAGCTTCTGGGGGGAAGCTCGGGGCATTGCTGGGCTCCGTCGTCCCGTGGCAAGATGGACGGGCCATCTATCGGTCATTCACCTACTGTGATGCATTGGTGGTTCAAGCATGCGGTTGAGGAGATATGACGAAAGCTTTGCAAGAGTGGTGTCGCCTGTTGGCTGCCACCAACTGCAGCAAGATAGCACAAAAAAGATTGAATCGATGGGGCTCAACACCGCTCTGAGCCGCGGAGGCGAAATAGGATGGACAATGGTCATCAATGTCGCTATTGGCCATCGGACGCAGGGTGAACGTGCGTCCGTTCTCGCAACTGCACAGGAGAAACGTAAGTTACCAGGCAAACTCGAGGCGACAATGTGCGCCAACGTCAGATCTGCCAGGGCTGAGGCTGTTGCACTGAACTCCAATGCTCTAGCCCGTGAATTTAGCGGGCTCTTGGCCTCACTCTGATCGTCTTATCATCGTCTACCGTTCATGGTTGTTCCTGGCGCCTTTGAGTGGTCGCTCATAGTACGTACAGTGCCAACTGTGGCAGTCAGGCGATCTGATCGACCATACCAACTCTCAGGTTTTGATGCAAACACAACTCGGATTGGCGAATTGACGGGGCTCGAGAATGCGTGCTTGTGAATGTTCACAGCAAGACGATAGCTTTGGGAGGGGTCCTGATGAATAAGCACCGTTTGACGGTGAAGTTTCAGCGTAACGCGATGTTGCTTTCTATCCAATGTTCCATGTGATGAACGGCATGACGGTAGCTTACCGCATTTCATGTTTCCTCGGCCAGAGACGGCAGTCCCAGAGCCAGGTACTTCGCTTGGTGTTTTTATTTTCTTTTGGTGCCACACTGTATCTCCTGGATACTTGAAGTACTTTTTGGGGGGAGTTGCAGGGTGAAGCAGCCTCTGCGCTACGCAGACATGTCAAGTGTATTGACGAAAAACACTTACACAAGTCAAGAACACGTGGGCACCACCACACACCGCGGCCTCAAGCCCGAGCATTTTCCCTTTCGCTATATACCACAAGGATTGATAGCGAGCAATCATCTTTGCTGGGACTAGCAGCCTCAATGCTAAGCAGCGAGAAAGTGTCCCGGGGCTATAGGTCTGCTAGGCCAACGACAAGCGGATAGAGCAAATGGCCACCACCAACACTTGAGCAGCTTGCAAGTTTTTTTTTTTTTTTCTTTCTTTGTTTTCGCACTCAACAAGTCACCACCTGGGGCACTCACCAACGCGCACGCACATAATGCACAGTGCCGTATGCTAGCCTGAACGCAGCCAAGACCACCCCCCGGCCTAGGTCTGCCTGGGTCCCGCACAGGCGAAGACGTCCTAAATGTTCCGGTACAGGGGCTGAGGGGCTGCTACCCACTGCATCATTCGACATTTCGATTGGCATCGACGCTCCCATTGGCAGAGAGCCAGCGAGCCCGGGCTTCGTCCAGCGCAGAGTACGTACCCAGTACCCCAAAGTCAACCCCCGGAAGAAGCGCTGTGTGCTGGGTCTTGGCCGCGCCGTCGCGGGCTCTGGCCCCCCCTGGGTGCAGGTGGGTGCAGACGCACAGTAGTGGGCTGGGCTTGTGGGCGGCCGGAAAGCCACTCCACCACCCCTCCACCACCACCACACCACACCACACCACTACCTTTCCCAGCAGAGCCGGCGGGCTTAGGTTGGCTGTTTGGCGGGGACGTCTCGCTCGCTCGCCCGTTCGTCGCTCTTGGCTCCTGGTCGAGTCCCCCTCTGCCTGGCGGCTTTGTGAGGTTGGGTGCAAGTCTGGTGTGGGTGCAGGTGGTGCCCATGCTCGTGCTCACGCTCATGCTCCCAACCAGGCCCCCAGGCCCCCAGGCCCCAGGTGTCCCCCCAGTGCGTAGCGCCCAGTGTTCTCCCCGTCTCCAGACGGAAGAGCGAACTGAACCCAAGTACCTTGAGTTCGTACCGTCCTGGGCCCTGCCCGCCGGTGGTGCTGCTCGCTCCCGTCCTCCCCGTCTTGTCCTGTCCTGTCTCGTCTTTCATGCTCTGCTCTGCTGCTGTACCTCGAAATTCATTCGTCACACCACACACACACATACTTCAACAAACTTCCACTTCCACTTCCCACATCCACTCCTGCAGTCACCGTTCCTCGGCCGCCTGGTCTGGCTCCGGCCTCAAGAAAACACACTTCGACGCCGGTCTGGTTCGATCCCTGGGCTCCCGCTTTTCCCGTCAACGCATTTTCCAACATCCCACAATGGCTTCCTGAGCGCCCGCACCGCCCTCGTTCGTCATTCTGCTCCCCTCCATGCGTCCGCTCCCCTCGGCCTCGCACTCGACAGCATCGCTACCATGAACCCTTGACCCTCAGCATGACGAACACAACACTCTCGCACAGAGGAATCAGATCACTTCTCCGCCGCCGCCCTGGCTGCCCCCGCCACTGCCATGGACCGAGACAAGTCGCCCACGCACCCTCACCAAATCCACACCGAAATCCCTCCCGCCCCCTACGGCTACTACTCGCGCACTGCCAATAGTACGCCCATCTCCTCGCCCGGGCTCTTCAGCCCTTCGAATCCGCGCCCGCAGATGGCCTTTCCCGTCACCTCGGCCTCCGATGCGTCCACCCCAGTGGCCGGGTCTCTCGTCAGTCCCTTCTTGCATCCGCTGCAGAACCACAGAGTGCGAGAGTGAGTATAGCCGCACCCTCCCCAAGCTTTGACTTTCAAGACGTTTTGTGATGTGTTGGGCCCTTTGCCGGTGCCGTTTCCGCACTTCTCTCCATCTGTCAAGTGTGCTTGGCCTGACCGTGATTCTCTCGTAGGACCAACAAAGCCCTCGTGGACCTAGATCTTATGACCGGACGAAAGATTATCAACCAGTACGAAGTCATCGAGGAGATCGGCCGCGGTGTGCATGGCAAGGTCAAGCTGGCTCGCAATCTGGAGAACGGGGAGAATGTCGCCATCAAGATCGTCGCCCGCTTTTCCAAGAAGCGGCGTCTGGGCAAGGTTACGACTGCCCTCTCCCCCCAAGACAAGACGAAGCGCGAGATTGCCATCCTGAAAAAGATTCGACATCCCAACGTGGTCGCCCTGCTGGAGATCATTGACGACCCAGAGCTTAAGAAGATCTACATGGTTCTGGAGCATGTCGAGCTAGGCGAGGTTGTATGGCGCAAGAAGGGCCTTCCGTGGGTGTGTGCATTCGAGCGCCGCCGTGTAGAGAAGGAGATGCGCGGCGAGGTAAACACCGAGGAGGAAGAGCAGTACTTGCAGCTCATGGACAGACGACACGCGATCAACGAGCTGAAGAGGGCAAAGATGCAGCAGAAGCAGGCAGGCGCCGACGACTTCTGGAGCATCGAATATGGTGCCGCCAACGACGAACCCGGCTCACTGCCCCGTACTCTTTCCGGCGACGACTACGCCCTGCTTCGCCAGCAGCAACAAGATATGCCCCTTTCCGGATCCTACGAAGGGTCCCGAGCGACGTCCCGAGCGCCGTCGCGGAAAGCCTCCATGAAGGAGCTCTCGCCCTCCTCCAGGCCACATCCTATCGACTCCGAGGTCTCCTCCGTGGATGCCGAGTACTCTAGTGATTTGGAAACGCCTGGTCCGCTGCACTCTCAGCCCGGCTCGTCGACCAACTTGGACACCATCTTACCTGAGGACGCCATGTTTCGCGGGAGATCACCCAGTATGGCCGACTCAATTATCTCGCACATGTCGTCGGTTGACTTCAACAATCAATCTCACGACCCCTTTGCCGATGACTACTCCTACGTCCCGTGCTTCGCCATCGAGGATGCCCGGTCCCTTTTCAGGGAGACAGTCTTGGGCCTCGAGTATCTTCACTATGAAGGAATTGTGCACCGGGATATCAAGCCCGCGAACCTCTTGTGGACCAAGGATCACCGTGTCAAAATTGCCGACTTCGGCGTCTCCTATTTCGGCCGCCCGATTCGTGATGGCGAAACAGACGAATTTGTTTCCGAGTCAGAGGCCCGTGACTTTGACGACGACCTGGAGTTGGCCAAGACGGTTGGCACGCCAGCTTTCTTTGCCCCCGAGTTGTGCTACACCGACTTGGACGACGGTGAGAAACAGCCGAAAATCTCCGAACAAATCGACGTGTGGTCCTTGGGCGTCACGCTTTACTGTCTCATATACGCACGCATCCCCTTCATGGCTGAAGATGAGTTCCGAATGTTTCAGAAGATCGCCAAAGAGGATGCCTACATTCCTCGCAGGCGCCTGAAGCCCGTCGATCCTCAAACCAACCCTTCGTCCACGTCGCTCTACAAGCGTACAAACAGTGCGCCATATCGCGACGATAATGAGCTGATTTACGAAGAAGTTGACGACCTTCTATATGATCTGCTACGAAGGATGTTGACGAAGAACCCCGACAAACGCATTAGGCTGCGCGAGGTGAAGCGACATCCATGGGTAGTAGAGGGCATCACTGACCTCATGGCCTGGATTGACGACACGGACCCATCCCGGCAGACATCAGGTCGGAAGATCCAGGTCGACGAGCGTGAAATTACACGTGCCGTTGTTCCGCTCACCTTCCTCGAGAGGGCTCGTTCAGCCGTCAAGAAGGCTGTCGGCAAGGTCATTCCTCATCGGCCAGCTGAGAGCCAGACCAGAAGACGCGCCAACAGCAGTGCGGCCAGCTCGGCAGGCGAAAGTGTGACGACAGCTTCGTCTCACCCGAACCTCCGTGATGCCCGCAGGAAGAGTCTGCGCGGGGACGATTACTTTGTGGCTAGCGAACACCCCCTTACCCAGAGTGTGACGGCTAGCCCACTGGGATCGCCAATGGAGGAGGAGGCATCAAAAGAGTACAACGATGTGTCACAAGAATCGACTATGGTAGGAGGAAACTTGAGCAGCCGAACAAACAGATCTGCCACCGATTTTAACGCACACCCAGATCTCACGAATCGGCCGCCGTCGCGGATGTCAACTTCATCTAGCAAAGCGGTTTTCACGCAGCAAAGTCACTTGCGCACCCGTTCGATCACCAACCACTTCTTAGCATTGACACCTTCTTTGCACACATCACACACAACGCCGCCTACACCAGCCGCCGACGCTCCTTGCAGTGATCCCATGGCTTCTCTCCTGAGGAAATCCCGTGATATTGGACCACTTGACGACAGTTCGCGCTCACGTTCCGTGGACCGAGGGCTCTTCGCCAGTCAGGACAAACGTGCCGAGGCCAAAGTTTCCCTAAGCACCGCTGTCGCTCCGGGCAACGTGGAATTGCCACCTCGGAGGCCTACTCCCCTCCGACCGGCAGAAGACGGCTCTAAAGTTGACCAGACTACGCTACCTTCTCCAATGTTCTTCTCACCCAAGGCTGTGCGGACTTATCATCAACATGATGAGCCAAAACCAGATTTGATTAGCCTTCACGAGCGGCAATATTCACTTCCTGACCTTGACGATCGTCCTCTTACTGCGCAGCGCGTGCTCCTCATGGAAGGCAAGACACCACCACCGAGGATCTACAAGCCTTCGACCCCTGAGTCTTTTGCTCGCGCACAAGAGCAAAATTTGCGTCGCCAGCAGCGTCAAGATGACGAACAAGCCAAAAGACAACAGCTTATTGCGTCACGTACTGAAGAGGCGGTGGATCCAGCCCATATCCCATGTCCACCGTCGCCTGACGATGAGATTGCACTGGAGAAAGAAAAGCCGCCAGCACCGTCACGGCGTGATACCTCTGGCACCGTCATTACCTGGAGCTCATCTGTTGGAAACCTCACGACGCCTTTGACAAGCCCGAGTGATGTGACAAGTCCGGTCAACATCAACCTCGAAGGGAGGAAGGGAAGTTCTCAGATATTCCGGTCAGATCCTTCGCTGCCCGCTTTGCTCAGTGGTGCCAGCTCGGTCTCAGCTGACGCGGAAGGTGACTTTCTCTTACGTCCTGGCTCCATTGACAGACCCTCTCTGATTGAGACTACGGATTCTCTTACACCCCCAGCGTTTGAAAAGGAGCCCATCGCAGGGTTCCCGCTTGAAGCATTGGAGAACGACGACAGCGCAGTCCAGCTACATCTAGCCTCCGCTCTTCACGGCCAGAACGCGTCTGCGATGTACTCCTCGAGGGCAATCGAAGACGATGACAGCAGTGACAGCGACGAAGGTTTGGTCATGGCGAAGTCCAAAAGAAAGGCGCCACTCAAAGATCAGACGGGCCAGACGCTTGGCAGAATCGGCACTGTTGCTAAGCGCAGAGACACGCAGACCAGCGTTGGAAGCACTGAGACTGCAAAGAAAATTATGGTACATGGCGAATAAGAGTTATAAATCCACTGCGGGTCCACAGATGAGCTTTGGCATCCGTGTACCCACATATACCAACAACCAAAACGAACACAAAGGACGCCTGAGGCAACAAATCTCCGGGCACACAAACATGACATCGGCGTGGCATTCGGCTTATGCATGCATTTACAAGGCATTTCATTTACATTCTACCCGCCGCGGTGAACCGAAAGACGCAAAGACGAAGACGGTATGCAATCGAGTTGCAGAACTCGGAGCAGTTTCCCATTTCTCTTGAATTCACCACCCGATATGCGTATCTGGAGCGAGGGACAGTCCTCGGAATTTCAGTACCAGTTTCTGTTTTTCAGAACAAAGATTGCATTGTTTCTTTACCAGAAGCTCCCCTCTTCTGTAGGAGTACATTATGTAGCTTTGCAGGCCAAACCTGTATGGCGAATTCGGAACGGCGTGATGTTTTAGCGGAAACGTATTTTTGTCGAACGAGATGACGATGGGATGAGGAATGGTGCAACGTACTGATACCCTGGGGTGGGACGGTGATTGCAGGAGAGATCAGGGATCGCAGTCTTTTGAGCAAGATCCCCAGGTCATCTGTGGGAACCACCGTCAGTGTTTCTCGACTCCACCAACCATTACAAAGGTTCTAGACCTCTTGGTCTCCACACAGAACGCGAAGTGGGCATTAGTCGGCTACCTTCTCATGAGTTGGGACGATGGAAAAGCCTGGAAGGCTTGGCAGGACGGTTCAGAGGGAGGGAGGCAATTTGTATTAGCGAAGCGCGCGGTATATCCCGCTGATAGACAACTACTTGCATATGGTGGAGTTTTATTGCCGACATCATTAATTTTAGTTACTTTCCCCTCTACTTCCTTTGTACATATAGTTACCAGGAACAAGTGTCATACACGCAAACAGATGCCAGTTGTTGACTATGTAAATCTCCATGCAAGACCCGTTCAGATTCCGCTATGTAGTGAGTGTAGTCTCCAGTCAATGTCTGTCTTCTCTTAGCGTCCTACTATATCTCCCAAGACCGCCTAGAAGACCTATGGCAAACGTGAGACACAATTCCATGGCAGCGATCTCTTACAGAGCTATAAGAACTCCTCCGAGGCCAATAATGGCAGCTGCAGCCGCTCCAGCCATCGTCTCCCTCGGCGCAACATTCCGAGCCGTGGCGCTCCCCGCCGTCGCCGAAGCACTCAGGTATTCGGACGCCGAGACCCCCGTGGCGGCAGCTGTAGCCGTGGCCGAGGCCGAGGCCGCAGCACCACCGGTGGCGCCGCCGCTGCCACCACACCCCTGGGCCGCGAAGCTCGAGTAGGCCGTCAGCACGGCGCCGAGCTCGCTCGTCTGCTCGTCGACCGACCCGTAGGCGGCCGTGCTGGGGCAGTGCGTGACCAGGGCCGCCCAGGGCGACCGCGACGCCGAGTACCACGAGTAGTAGGCCCGGTTGAAGGCCGAGTAGCCCGCCTGCTGGCCGGCCGGCACCGCCGTCTGCCCGAAGCCGCAGATCTCGCCCAGCGCCGTGAAGAACCGGTACTGCCCGGCCGTCGTCGTGTGCGCCGCGGCCCAGGCGCTTGAGATGTCTGACGGCGGCGTTGGCAGGTCGCGCTCCAGCGAGTTCCAGGCCGCGTCGCAGTCGATGGTTGTTGTCGTTGTTGTGATCCGTGGGTTGCTGTTGCTCGTTGTCTTGTCCGCGGGCGAGGTCGAGTTCTGCGCTTGGGTGACGCCCGCCGCAAGGGCGAGGACTGAGAAGGTGAGGATTTGGATGTACTTCATGGTGAGTCACTTCTTATGGAAGGTCATGTAAAGCAATATTCAGCGGCGTGTGGATCATGGATTGAAGGCTGGGATGTCCTCGAGAACTTATACATGCTGTCTATCAACGAGTTCCCATTAGGAAGACAATGAAGGCAGGGCTGAACAGAGGCGACGCGCCATGAGAAGCCATCGGACTGTCCGTCTTATACGTGGATATCTTAGCTCATGCTTGGTCACATAGTGTGGTGCCTTATATATAGATTCTCGGACTGCGCAGTACGCAGTGGTAAGCGGGCAAGTCGTTGTTGCGGCGCCTGAACCTGACAACGCAAGCTGCTCTTTGATCGACATGAAAGAGTCAACACACACTCACTTTGTGTAACATCGCAGTGCATTTTTCAATCGTTCAAGTAAATATACCTAAGTATGATTTTATTTTCGGGACGAAGCAATCTTAGCGCGAGTCCCCCTGAGCCACGGTGCTGGGTCAAGTCTGTCTGGTCCAGAGCTGTGTTATTCCAATTTCGGAAATCATCGAACGGACGTCCATTCAGATGAACAAACTTTGAGATCAGATATTCTGGCTATCGTCGATTTTATATAGTTCGGTTGATGGCCCTGAATTACAACTTAAGCCACCTCACGCCTGTCAGCACCGGCGTTGTGGCTAGTAGCGACAATTTCCGGGCGTCTGGTCTGAGAACCTTACTTACCGTCAGACCTCCCGAAATGAAGCTTTGAACTCGACCCTATGCACAGTAAGCTGAGTACTAGTGTGGTTACTCTATGGTAGACTGGGTGCTCTGCCGGCGTGTGGTCGGTTATGGCGGTATGTTCATAACTTCGAATTCATCCTGTGAATCCGCTATGTTTCGCTTGGTCTATGGGAACTTTCAGTAAAAAATGGCCATTCCACGTGTTCAAAGAACAGATCTTGGTGACTTAGGGATAGATCAGACAGACTCCCAAGTGTTACGCTCTAAAGGCGGTACATCACATTACTCGGCGTCGGTCTAAACTCACAGTAGCCTGCAGTCCCAGAGACTACGGGGGCTACAGCCGGGCTTTCCCCTGTGCTCTTTTGATCAAGCCGATGTCCGGCACTGTTGGCTTCGGGGTGATCCAACCCCTGGCTGATAACCTTAAGTTCAGGGTAGCTAACAGTATCTTCTCACAGCGTCTTCAACGAAGTCAGGGTATGGCTCTCTATCTAAGCCGTTCTTCTCATGACATTGTGTGGTAAAATAAAGTCGATTTCCAGGTGTTCTCTAGAAATATGCGTTGTGTTGTTGTCCACCCACCCTAGTGGCGAAATGCAGCACCTTCCGCCGAACAAGGCGGGTCTTCGAGGTACTGAAAGCGCCATGAGAATGATATTTGGACACTGATCAAACGACGTAGACTTGTGTCATGGCAAAGATGGATGTTACGTCTAGGTCGAAGACAGCTCCGCGATGGCAACTCACGCCCGAAATCGAGTCAGAGACACCGACAGACCCTTGTACCAGACCCTCGCAACGGACCTTCTCCATGCCCCAACTACGAGTTCCCTGCATGTCCAATACGGGGATGTAATGTCATCGAGAAAGGTGGTCTGGTTAACCCCACACTCAGGGGCAACCTTACTACATGCTCGAACCTTTCATAACACACGCGATCGGACGATTCAGGGAGCCCTTCGCCTGACGATGTGGGATCAGTGCCTCTTAGCACCTTGAGAGATGGCATACTTGTGAAAAAGTTCGCAGCCGACTGTCATGACTTTCGGTGAGGCAATGCGGGCGACAGCACAAACTTGAAAGCCTCTAGATCCATTAACGGCGACGAGTTGGCAGCATTTTTCGTTGGCACAATGCAACAACTATCCTCGGAACTCGGCTCTAGGCGAGACAGTACGTATTTGCCACAACGATTTCGAGTAAGCCGTTCGATCTGCTACATATACGTCCGTCAGCCTAAATTAGTGCTTGAGTCCTCCTTAGGCGACGGAGAACGAGGTCAATCTTTTCTGGACACACTTCATGAACTCAAGTCCTCTCAAGCCCTGTAATCCCGCTACTGAGGTAACTCAAACTGGGGAACTTCTACCGACAAGTCTAGACAGTTTGCTACAACTTGAAGGCATGACACGACCATTCGGTCATCAACACACAAAGTTGATCAGATGGGACCTTCCGACCGAAGATCGACACACAAAGCCAACCAAGCCATGTGGCCTTCTTTCGGTAGAGGATTACACAAACACAGGTTGATCCAGCTACGGGTTTCACCGCATCTTAACCTTCAGGTCGCCTGTCAACATCGATCGGGTTCTCAGCCTTTCTACCTGAGCTCGCACAGTGGTAGATATTAATTTCCAACTCCCGTTGACACAGCGGGTCCCCATACTACATTGGCTTTAAGGACAAGCCCTTGGAGACGTATCTGACGAGTGTGGTTTCCCGCAATATCTTCCGATGTGTATCCAATATGAAATCGTGATAAGAGTACTCGGCTTTTCGTCCTTGGTTAGTCTCTTGAATCTCTAGTAATCTTCGGCTGGTCCACCCAGGCGATTCATGAGATACTAATGTGATTCAGCAGCCCTGAAGCGACCCAGTTTAGTCATGATCCGTTACACATACACACACGAATGATTACCGGATATACTGGTCCAATTTATTTGAATCATGAGTACTAATGGTCGTTTGAGGACGAGCTTGGCTCCTATAGCCACCATTCAGGGGAATGTCTCCAATGATCCACCTAGCTTTCAAGACTTGTTCGCACGCTTGTGCTATGGAATGGTCTCGATTCCTTCACTACAATGGGACTCTAGAAGCTCCTGTGCAACTTCGTACGAGGAGAGAGAAGCCGAACGCCTCAGTCAGTCATACCAGGTTCCGGTGGTATCATTTCCCCCCACCAGCGGGTCGTTACTGTCAATCGCCATATAAAGAGTGCGTGGAAGAATATAAGATATCAGATACTGCTATTAAACTTTCATGAAATAGTCTAAGCCCCTGTGTCCGTATTGCTGTAATGTATTCCAAAATTGCCCTCGCTGCCTCGGCGCTGCTCGTCACTGGCTCAACAGCCATTGACATTCCAGCAAATATCAAGACATTCTACAACAATGTAGTAGCTCAGGGTGACTGCAAGACAAAGCTGGCTTCTGGTCTGTATAGCTACAAGGACGGCCCTCCCGGTAGGTTTCCAGGTATCTGTGCCCTTTGCCACTTTCCCAGGGCTGACTCTTGACAACAGATTGGTCATACTGCGGCGATCACCTTCAGGACTACGGGATCATCTACATACAAGGCCAACAGGGCCAGCTCGCCAATATGGATATCGACTGCGACGGACAGCAGCGGGAGCCGAACAATGGCCGCTGCGGTCATAATCCATCCGACCAGTCCATGACCGCCATGCGAGACTACTTACAGGCGTACCAGATTCCGGGCATTACAGATCTTAACACGTATGTGCACCCGTATATTGTGTTTGGGAATTCGGGCACAAATCCTCACAACGTACCATTCGACCCTCGAGATCATGGGGTGCAGCCCTTGAGTATCGTACTAGTCGTTACGCCTGACAATTTGGTACGTCGCAATGCCTTCCTACTGCATGATTGTAGACCGGTAGAAAAGAGCGATGAAAGCTAATGCGGTCTCCAGGTTTGCGGAATATGGGGAGACACCAACGGCGGCGAACGCGATGCTTCCTTCGTGGGCGAATCCGCGCTCGCCACCGGCGAGCTCGCCTTCGGCGATGAGGTCAACGGTACCGTCAGCCACGAGGCGAACGATGTGCTGTATATCGCGTTCACGGGCGCGGACGCCGTCCCGGGAAAGAACGGCGCCGACTGGGCCGCGGACACGAAAGAAGACTTTGCTGCTAGCATAGCAACCCAGTGCGCGACCCTGGTGAGTAAGATTCAACCTTCCGGCGGAGGTGGTGGGGCTGGATCGGGGTCAGGAGGCAGCTCAGGAGGCAGCTCAGGAGGTAGTTCAGGGACATGCTCCTGGGTAGGGCACTGCGCTGGTGAGTATCCTGTCCGGTATATGTAAAGTCCGAAAGCGGCAATTGTTGATCTCCTCTATAGGCGCGTCGTGCCAACGGAACAGTGATTGTTCGGATTCTCTCTCTTGTCAGGCTGGGAAGTGTGCACAACCGCAAGATTGTAGCTGGGCCGGCCATTGCACAGGTATGCGGCAATAGCAGTCAACTACAACATACTTTTGCGCATCCGCTGACAGCAGGGATCAGGAGCCTCTTGCAAGACGAATGCTGATTGCGGTGACAACCTGGTTTGCAAGCGTGGAAATTGCGGGAAGACTAAATAACGGACGGCAGTCTATGAAGTAAGGATGTTCGTTCCGCTCAAACTAGGGGGCAAAGAATCTGGGAGGGAACATTCCACTTGTATCTATCTATACAACAACATGTAGTTGATAAGGGTAACATGCTATCATGTACTTGGCTTTGGAATTTGTTGTTCATCTCACTAAGAGTTTACTATGTAGTTTGTAAATTTTTTTTCCTGACCTCAATACTAGACCTGGGTATATACAAAGATCCCAAGCCCAAATAGACCGGCGATGGTTATGAACCCAAGTATCGGAAGGGCCCGAGCACAATCATCCTTGCTCGAGCTATAAACCAGAAAGCCTGAACTCCCCATAGCCCCATCTTTCCTAGATATGCAATATATCAATATTGGAGGATATCCAATCGTACTGCTTGCTTCTAAAGTTATCATTTGCTTTGAAACTTGCAATGTTTGTAAACTGCATCAGTTGCTTTTTCTCGCTCCACTGCGGCCAGTCAGGCAGAATGCCACTCCCGTTATTCGGGTTAAGGTTGTACACGAAAGACAGGTAGTAACTAGCGAAAGCAACACTGGCATAATTCGGCAAGATGCCGTAGAAGACTTGCAGGATATCGGATCCGTGGAAAGTGCCGAGAATTGGTGTGCCATAGTCGTAACTGGAGAGGTATGACCAAGACGGTACCTTCGGGTTGACAGCAGATGTGCCGGCTAGGAACAGCCGACGACTCAGAGTAAAGACCAAATCTCCTAGTATCGCGGCGAGGCGCTTGAACTCGGGGTAGGGGTTGTTGAGTATGCCCGTATTGAAGGGACTTCCGGCTGTGATATCGTCTGGGTAGGTGTCAACAAGGGCAGCGATCTGCTCGCGAGTCGCGCCTCGGAAGAAGACATCGTTAAGGTAATCAACGAGGCGATCCGTATTGGTGATATTTGATTGGAACAAGGCGAAGAGCGTCCCTTCGTCTTCCTGGTCTCCAATAATCATCGGAACAGCCGCGTATTTGCCTTGTTCCACCAAGATATCGGGGCTGGCAGTCAAGGCTGTTCCGTCCGGTCGAGGGACATAGGACAAGGCGACAGACGTATAACTGAGAAGACCTGGAACGCTGTTCGCAGCCTTGACGTAGATATCGTAATCGACTCCTCGAAGGCATTCCAGGGTATCGGCAGCCCCTGAACAGCCGGCATTCTCAACGACGGTATCGTAAACGTCTTGGCACCTTTCGCAATCAACAAAATCAGCGGGTACGACACTACCACTGTTCATGATGGCTCCCCGGAACAGGGCCTTTCCGTTATATTTGTTGTTGCCATCATACAATGCCATCTGGTCAAAGACACTAATAGCACCCGCACTTTCACCCCAGATGGTGACCTTGTCAGGATCACCACCGAAAGCAGCGATATTATCGGCAACCCATTCCAGACCAAGTCTCTGGTCAAGGAGCCCCAGGTTAGCAGACCCATCGGCAAGAATCTCCTTGCCCGGCAGGAAGCCGAAGCCACCGACGCGGTAGTTGACAGTGACAAATATGAATGGTTTGCCCATTGCGAGGCCGTTGAGTATCAGGCTGGTGCCATCATACATTTGCGGACTTCCCAGCTCAAAACCACCTCCAAAGATGTAGAGCAGAACGGGGAGTTTTGCTCCCGCCTTTGTGCCGACCGGTCGCTGGACCCTCATGGTCAGACAGTCTTCCGTTTGGCCGGTCACAGTCTGGAACAGAGGCGTGTTCAGCAGGTTTCCCAGGACCGATGTCAATAGATCGCCGTCCGTGGAGAAGAACATCTGTGGGCAGGACGGCCCCGAACCCGTTGCATCGAGCGTTCCGTACGAGGACGTCAGCTTCTGCGGTGGCTTCAATCGCAAAGGGCCAACAGGAGCCTGAGCGAATGGTATTCCGCCAAAGTTTTCGACAAGGCCAACAGATCCCACAACAGTGCCATCAGCAATTGTGACTTGGGTCTTTAGTAAGTCGGCCCGGGGAGACGTGTTGGGAGCTGCGTTGGGAGCCGGCAGAGCAGCAGCGGGGCCGCTCATGGCCATTGCCAAGAGGCAACGAAAGAGCGTACTCTTCATGTTGACTCCTTCAAAAGCCAGGGAACCGGAAGAAACTTGACAAAATACAACTGGCTCTTGGAGGTCTTTCCAGAAGGAACGACTTCACAAATTGGGCATGAGGCTGACTGCTTGCTCCTGACCACCAACAAAAGCTTGCTTCTGACGAGGTGGGTTCTGTCGATCTTTATAGCCTTGCCATGGGAAAGCTGCTTTTTCTGGCCCCCAGCTTGAGACTCACCGTCGTGGATCCGCAGATCTGGGGTGGAATGTACATCGTGATAGGCCTCGGCAGCCGCTCGTGTTGGTGGTGACCAGGTGACTGCTGCATGCCACGAGGGCCAAGACCGGATACGACCTCAAGCTGAGGCCTTTATCGCGAAGAGTGCCCGCTTCGGCGCAGATCTTGGTTCTTGCGCTTGAAATCTGGTTTGGTACTACATAACCTAGGATTGCAAAGAGCTGGCGCCAATTTCCCCACGGGGTACCTGGTCAGATCTCCGCAACTAGTTTGCCAGGGAGACTCATTCAAGTCACGAAGCCTTCTGGACAGTCAAGCAAATCTGCTCTTCCACGTGAAATTTTTTATAACAAATTATTTGGAGCATACGAATAGCGCCCCCAAGCCGAGGCAGCTGGTGTTGGGGGTTGCAGCACGCCTGCATGTCTAGTGCGGTGTTGGGCGCGAAGGAGCAGGGTACCTGAACTGGGGGCGCGGCATATGCGAGCGCCGGCGGCTAGTGTTTGCCTCCAAAATTGGAGAATGAAGGTGGTCTGAGGGAAGTTGGATGGAAACTCAATCAGCAATATTGAGATAGGCGGGCCCGTCGGCTTGGCTCATGGTTGGTGGACTGGACGGGGCGGTGGGAAGCAAATAGGCAAGCGGTCCTGGCGGTGTCAGTCAGTGGCAGGCAGGGAATCCAAGGAATCCAAGGAATCCAATGAGAGCTGACGTGAGGTGGTCCTCCCCACATTCCCCGGATCTCGTCCAGCATCACTGGGCTCGGTATTTAGATTCCGTCATAGCGCAGACGGTGTTTGGCAGATGCCCGAAACCGCGGGGAAATCCTACCTATAGCAGCGCTCCTTATGGTACCCCAACCCTGACCCCACACCACGGTCGACACGCGGCCGTGCTTGCAGGACAGGCATTCGTCTTCGTCTTCGTTCTCGCATGATCGCGCCTCCAGTCTCCTGGAACTCGGCCGGCCAACGGTGGACATTGTAGAATTAGCTGCCCCCCTCTCGGAACTTTATCTGATCTCGGTCGAGGTGCGGCGTGCTGCCGTATACCTCTTTCGGCGTTGACTCATCATGCATAGTATTAGACAGGGCAGATCTCCACGCACACTTGCTTTTTGATACTTGCATGGTATTCTCTGGCAAAAGGCAAAGTTGCATGTGAATATCCATGGTTCTAAGGCTGCTATTGTCAGAATCTGAGAGCTAGTCCCATAGCTCTCCAACAAGAATGTCTGATCATGGGATAATTAAGCCTTCACCAAAACCGGAAGGACCGACAGGCTCTTGGAAATTGGACAATATTTTCCGAGTCACAATAGGATGATAGAAACTTCGCCTTGCTCGAATAAGTGTGCAATGTAGAGTGAGGTCCAGGTTCCACGTCCGCTTTCTGCGGGTGGGAACTCTGAATTCGACTGACCACCCGATCACTTCGAGGCTACATTTCCGCAAAATGCCAACTAGCCACGCCTCTGCTCCATAAGGGAGAACAGAGTGACACGGGAGCTTTAGCAACAGATGTGATTTCTATGACATGTAGCATCTATGACCTGGTGCTTTTTGATCTGAGGCTCAGTCTGACGAATTTTGCGCAAACTGCTAACAAGCAGCTGTATCCACATCCTCTACCTTGTTTTCGCTATCCGTAGCACGACAAGTCATTTCCAATAACCATAAGCTTTCCATTGTATGTGGATGGTTCTCTCCAAGCACTTCCCGCCGAAGCTGTATAACTTGAACATTAATTGCCCCCGCCTCGTTATATCTCTTTTGTGCGTGGTACGTTGCCGCAAGGTTCGCCATACTTTGAATCGTATTTGGATGCTTCTCTCCTAATATTTCCCGTTGTAATTGTAACACCTCTATTGTTATCGGTTCTGCCTCGTTATATCTCCCTTGTGCGTGGTACGTTGTCGCGAGGTTCGCTATACTCCGAATCGTATCTGGATGCTTCTCTCCTAATATTTCCCGTTGTAATTGTAACACCTCCATTTCTATTGTTTCTGCCTCGTTATATCTCCCTTGTTCGTGGTACGTTGTCGCGAGGTCTGCCATACTCCGAATCGTATCTGGATGCTTCTCTCCTAATATTTCCCGTTGTAATTGTAACACCTCCATTTCTATCGTTTCTGCCTCGTTATATCTCCCTTGTGCGTGGTACGTTGTCGCGAGGTTCGCTATACTTTGAATCGTATTTGGATGCTTCTCTCCTAATATTTCCCGTTGTAATTGTAACACCTCCATTTCTATCGTTTCTGCCTCGTTATATCTCCCTTGTTCGTGGTACGTTGCCGCGAGGTTTGCCATACTCCGAATCGTTTCTAGATGCTTCTCTCCAAATATTTCCCGTTGTAATTGTAATGCCTCTATTGTTATCGTTTCTGCCTCGTTATATCTCCCTTGTGCGTGGTACGTTGTCGCGAGGTTCGCTATACTCCGAATCGTTTCTGGATGCTTCTCTCCTAGCACCTCTTGCTGTGCTCTCAATACCTGTGCTATGAGTATTGCCGACTCTTCGGACCTCCCTTGTTGAATCAATGTGTTAGCAAGCGTTGCTTGACTCCTCATCGTATCAGGGTGCCTATCTCCAAAAACCTGTGTTTGGATCTTGATAATTGTCAAGTCCACTCCCTCCTTTTCCCTCCACCTACCCATGTCGTGCAAGTAGTGCGATACTCTTATTAGCAGCGACGCAACACTCTTCTCTCTCCTATGAGCTTGTGCCCACTCCACGGTCCGTTGTGTGTGCCCGAGGTATTGCTCACATTTACCCCAAGTATCGCGGTGCCCCTTTCGGGGAAACAAGTCGTCTATTACCTCGAATGCAATCCTTGTCAATTGTGTCTCTGTGCTAACATCCCGCACATGCAGATTGAACGAGATGGCCTCTTGCACAAGCTTGTGCATATCATAGACACGGAAAGCATGAGTTGCTAACGCTTTCCCCTCGACTCGGGGCGTCAAAAATGAGAACTCTTCGAGTCGAATGACCGCCTCCACCACGTCTTCATCCTCGTCGTCTCCGCTATCAGTATCACTGCTCGGGGAATTACCAGCAGAAGTAACATCGTCTCTCTGATGGCTCATTTCGGTGCCATTGACCTTTCTGTCCTCGTACATAGGTGCTTGCGCTATCCTTTTGATCATCGCAAACGGGATATTCTGGTTATCCACATATGCGAGCACGCTTAGGATGTCATACGCCATTTTGTTCTGTTGCTGGATATAGTCCATCGAGATGTTCCACGTCTCCATTACGCTATTCGACGCTTCCGGCCGGCGATGAGGATCGTGTGCTGAAGTTTTGAGTGCCTTCCACCGCTTCTTCCTCTGCCGGATTTTTTCAAGGTACTCGCCTATTGATATCCTTGTCCGACGAATATACGCAGCAACCTGCGTGATAGCGAGTGGAAGACAATCCAGCTCGGTAAGTAGCTGTGTCATATCATCGTGCGCTGCATCTACTTCACTGATATCGACGACCGCAACCGCTCGGAATAGGGTCTCGGCCTCAATACTTGTCATCTGAACTGCGTTGATGCCACGTCGAGGTCCTACGAGACTGCCGACAATCTGCTTATCCCGGCTCGTCCACAATACTGTGCCAACTGGACCACGAGGAACATAAACGGACAAATCGGGAGCACCTTGTTTCGTCGCATCTTGTGAGCGTCCCACGCCGAATAGGGTCAAATCGTCCGCGTTATCTAAGATGAGTACCCATTGTGGCAGAGTCTGGATATGATTTCGCACAGCTGTGAGAAGCGTATCACCGTCGAGGTTATCAGGTAACCCAAGCTTGACCGCAATGTCTTTATAGTCTTGCGCAAAGGACGTCTTAGTATCGGCGTGGACCCAGAACACAGAGCAGGTGGGGTCGCTACACCGGCTATACGCGTAGTCGAGCGCGATCTGCGTCTTTCCTGATCCTCCGAGCCCCCATATCGCCGCGCTTTGGCACTCGGTCTTGGGCGGAAGCAGTTGTGCGATATGTTCGGAAACAAGGGCTCGCTGGACGAACTCGTCGTTACGGGGGAAGTGGATCGACTGGCAGACTCGTGGCTTATGGGGAGGATCTTCTTCCATTAGCTTGCTCCCACTTTAGAGGGACATGCTGTGATACCTTTCTGATTTCCGATACTGATGTTTGAGTTATGGAAATGGTTTGCAGCCAAAACAGTATGGCCGTTAATGGGATCGAATGAGGTTGACGCAGCCATCGTGTGACTTGGCCGACTTACTGCCGGGCGGGGCTGGAGGGCCAATATCTGTTGTATACTATTTTGTCCGCGACAACAACCTGAAATCTAAGCAACGAAAGGGTGAGATTGCACTCGTGTAGGAACAATGAGACGGGAGAAATGTGTCTGATGTCTAGGAGAGGAATGAAGTTGCCAGAAGACTCTACCAGGCATCGTAAACGCCAGCCTGATGTCCAGCTGAAGCCCCCGCCCCACCCGCAATGCTCAGTTGCCCAATCACGATCAGCAACTATATCAGCCCTAGTATACGTTACACAGGGGGGCAATACCATATAAGCAGGAGACAGCCTTGTCACGACTTCGCATTTTCAACGCCGATTTCTGGACCTATTCAAGCCAGCGACTGAAATGCCTCCAAGTCCACCCTCTGATCGTGACGGCTTTGGCATCGCCCTAATATGTGCCCTCCCCACCGAGTATGACGCTGTCTCCCTTACATTCGACGAATTCTGGGATGACGACGAGGACAAGTACGGCAAGGCTGACGGAGACCCGAATCACTACACAATGGGTTGCATAGGCAACCACAATGTCGTCTTGGCCCTGTTGCCGCACATGGGAAAAGTGAACGCCGCAAGCGCAGCCGCAAGCATGAAATCTAGCTACCCTTTTCTAAAGCTAGCCCTCCTCGTCGGCATCTGCGGCGGTGTGCCTACAAGTGAGAACGGAGAAGTTCTGCTAGGCGATGTGATCATTAGTAACTCAGTCGTCCAGTACGACTTTGGACGACAGTACCCTAACAAATTTGAACGCAAGGACACGGTTGCAGATAACCTTGGCCGCCCGAACAAGGATATTCGCAGCCTTCTTGGCTTGCTTGGAACGCATCGTGGTATAGAAAGAATGGAGGAGCGGACTGCTCGGTATTTGGAAGAATTACAAGCCGAAGCAGCCAAGAAGAAGCGAATAGGCAAGGACAAGTACAAATACCCAGGAACCGCCCAAGACAAGCTTTTTGAACCTAGCTATCGCCATAAGCACCACGTCGCAGCTAATTGTATCTGCCGTGAGTGTACCGGCGATATGGATCCCATATGCGATCCTGCCACGAAACTATCATGCGCCGAACTGAAATGCGACGAGAATCATATTGTTCGGCGGGACAGACTTGCAGAAAAGGAGCTGCTCGAGAAGAAGAGTGATCCAGCTGCTCAGGAGCCTGCCGTCCACATTGGTGCCATCGCGTCCGGGGATACCGTGTTCAAATCGGGAGTACATCGAGACAGAATCGCCAAGCAGGAGAATGTCATCGCCTTTGAAATGGAGGGCGCTGGAGTCTGGGACGAGGTACCCTGTATCGTGGTGAAAGGTGTGTGTGACTATGCCGACTGCCACAAGCACAAAGACTGGCAGAACTTTGCTGCGGCGACTGCTGCGGCGGCAGCGAAGGCCGTCCTCGGGCGCTACACGCAGACGGATTCAGACAAGTCCAATGCAGCACGGACAGCGGCTCTCGAAGACGAGCATGTCTCGAAACATAAGGCATTACCGGAGAGTACCTGGAACCCGGTGTTCAATGGGGAAATCAAAGGTCGCAATGTCATCGCAGGCTCGTCTTTGACTGGCGGGAACTTTACCTTTGGGTAGCTTGTATGAGTTCGCGTCCAGTATCAGGACTAACCATGTTTGACTCATTTCTTTCTACCATAGTTCATAGTGTGTTATCGATTCGATATAAAATTTGGATAATCAGGAGGACGAGCTAAATCTATCCATGTAGGCCTCATATAACAACTCCTCGCTTTGTCCACCCATCTCTGCCTTTCCATGCCCAGAGTATCATGAAACAACCAACCCAGATACTTGCGGTCATGGCCCAGAACGTGGACGAGTAGCACTGCTGTCCGTAGCAGAAGACATCATCGTCAGCACCATCTGTTACTGATGGTGAGTTTCTCGCTCCATTCTGATAGTCAGCGGAGTAAATCAGCCCCCACATGGTAGATCCGATCGCAGGGAAGACGGCAACGATCCCAAAGTTCGTGCCGAAATTCTCTACGCCCCAAATAATGGTAACAAGGATCGGAGTCAAACTGAAGACGGCGCCGTAGCCTGCGCCAATGAACCCCGAAACCAGCCAGAACCGGTCTCCATGGCCCTGGATGAACCCGGAGGCCAGGATGAGGGTTCCAATGGACAGGAGCAGTCCAGCGATGAGCATAAGTATGGCACGTGATACGGTGCATCGCCGTCTGGGTGGTAGGATCTGGGAGTTCATTCCCGTCTGAGGATACTGATTCTGGGGGGTCGGCGATACCAGGTCACTGAGAGAGCCAGTGAGCAGGCGGGCGACAGTGCTGGTAGCAGCAACGATAGAGACATGCGTCGCGGCAGTGGTGTTGTCATCGGTGGCCCCCGGAGAGTATAATGTTCCAATGATTGTACCCAAGTTGTTGATGAAAGCCTCTCCCGGCCCGATGATCAGCCAAAAGCCGAGAGCAAACCACCACATTGTATGGTCAGTGAGGAATCGTCGCGTTTCGGCATTCAGTAACCATGTCTTTTTGAGCAACGCATTATCTTCATCATCCTCGTCATCTTTCAGCGGGCCAAGGATGCCAGCATCCTCCGCATTGTCGATAGCACCATCAATGGCACCATAGGTACGGCCAGAGGTAGTCCTTCGAAACAGCTCACTTCCATCAAGAAGTCCACTCCTCTCCAACTCCTCAACAGCTCCATCAATAAGGTCATCCTCGTCGATGATGCGCAAGGCGACCGAGCCAAACAGGCCTGCCACGGAGAGCAGAATGGCCAAGAAGATGAAGAAATAGAAGACATTGACTTCGCCTCTCGAGCCGTCAGGAAGCACTTCATATAGGAAGTGACTACCAAATTGACTGACCAAAATGCCACTCAACCCGAAAGAAGCCATCGGAGCCGTCAATATGAGGCCCCGATACTTGCTCTTTCCGAAGTTCTTGGCGCACGTCGTGATAGAGCCCAGGTACATAGAGGCGGTGCCTACTCCTATGAGCACAAATGCTACAATCATGTACGGAACCAACCCCTGGCTGCTGTCTGGCCCAGCGGTGCGTGACGCAACCTCGCCTTTGTGGTACAACGCAGCGGCAGACCCGTATCCGCCGGCAAGAAGCACGACCGCCAGTAGCGACAGCGGGCCCGGACCGACGCGGTCGCACAGGTATCCGATCAAGGGTACCGGGATGTACATTGATAGACTCATGGCCGAGGCAATCCCGTTGATTTGGAACTGGGAGAAATGAAGCCGCGACTGGAATCGCGGCGCATATAGAGAGAATACTGTGATAGAGCCGGCGCACAGCGCCGAGAGCACCGCGGACACGAACGACAGGCTCTGTAGGAACCGCGTCTTGCGCCGGCGCATCGGATCGGGGGAGGCATCGCGTAGGGAGTTTGTCGAGCTCGCTGGGCCTAGGGTCGAGGTAGACGGAGACCGGAGCAACGGTACCAGCGTTTGGTCGGAGGGTGAAGCTGTCGCCATGTTGGTGGAGTGTAAGCAAGTTCCGACCCAGGCTCCCAGCGGTGGAGAGGATCAACGTCGAGGAATCCGCAGCGTCAAAAGCGGCATCGATGAAGCTATTCTGAAGCCGGACTCGGTGCAATACTCATCAGGGGTCGACCGCGATCACTTGGGCATGGTCAAAGGCGAGATTTCGCGGACAGTGCTGGATCATGTCGTCGGTCGGCAGCAACGGAGCATGAGACCCAGATGACGAAGCGTCAGCCAATCGCCTTGGCTACACGTACACGTCAGGCGGAAGCAATGGTGACTCTGGCGCTAACCAGGACGTTGCACCTGCCGAAACCGCACTGGAGCACGCCAAACCTTAGCGCTGCGGCCCGCGTGGTGCCAGCCATGCCAGCAGCTGCATCAGGCAGCCCCAAGGAGCCCAGGCGCCAGGAGCGTTTAAGCCACAGCGCCGTCTGTACAAGGTAGAACATGCACAAGTCAAGCTGCACAACCCCGCCAGAAGCACGCTGGTGGCCAACCCAATCAACGCAGTCGACTGGAGTTTCTCAGCTGATGCTTTCTTCTCAGACATAGATAGCAGACAAGAGTCTTCACATAGCATACTGTGCAAATGCGTTCTTTCTTCGGCACGTTCTCACCTGAGTGTGCCTGCTTCCACCACTGAGATGAAGAATGTTTCTTGTTTGTGTGTGATTCGTGAACCACTTCAAGCAGAACGGTCTTCGCAAAAGTGTAGAACCTCGCATGCCTGTATACCCGTGTACCCCTGGTTAGTTGCCTTCATCACCAACTAGCGCCACCTCTAATACTGAATCTCAGGTAGCCCTGGCCCCATCATCGATGAGATATTGACATGAGCGACGGACTGAGCCAGGTCTTGGATAGTCTGAGACTACCAGACGGCAAGCCTGACCTTCAGGCACGTCACGCCAACCTTGTATCGCTGATACACGGTGGCCATCTCGATGTGAATGAGATACGCCTCCTGAAAGACCTTCTCGGCAAGGTTGCCCTGCAGAAGGACATAATATCGAACCTTCCTGTCGAACTTGTCATCCTGACCATCCAATATCTGACCGAGAAAGACATACTTGCTTGCCTAGGTGTCTCGAGATCTTGGAAGGCAACGTTCACGGGCGGTCAAGTCATCTTCAACCTCGCAGATCGATTCTTCCCATGGCTCATTTGGGAGGGTCCAAGTACCGATATTCGGAATCCAGAATGCGCTGCTCTGCTTCGCTCGTGTTTCCTTGCATCGCTTCAGAAGAGGGTGAACCTTGCAAGGCGATCGGCGGAAGGCGCACCTCCCATGATTGAGAAGCAGTATCTCTGGGACACAGAAACCGAATTCATTCTCCAGTCACAGCAATATGCCGATTATCCAAACCCCAATCTACCTTCTAATTGTCGTGCCATCTACTCCTATGGTCGAGTAGCTTGGCAACGGGAAACTCATACTCTCGTCATAGACTGCCTACAGACCAAGACTCGCAAAATACTTACTTTTCCTGGTGGGAAGCTTCTCGGACCGGAAATGGAACTTGCCGCCCTTGGGGACAAGCTTGCCGTTGCGATAATGGGCAGAAACCTCCTCGCATGGGATATAGAAACGGCTTCATTCCAGCGAGCTACTCTGCCCAGTCTAGCGACGAGTTGCACGACCTCCGGAGACCGTGTTGCAGTTCTCACAGGCACAGAGGTCTTTGTATGGAGCTTCGGCGGTAGATTACTGGCTGCGAAGCTCCCCACACTGGATACCGAACCACTCGAGTCGAAGCGGTATTCGAAAGCGTTTGTCCATCCATTCCTTGAGGACGTCATCTATGTACGCCAGGTGTTCAAGAGAACGCAATATCTACTGTTCGTGATCCACAAACTATCCAACGGCAAACACGACCGCACTTTCAAGTTCAATATCAAAACGCGCTACCTGGCAAACCAAAAGCTCTCCAGTGCCTTACTAGGTTTCATACCGCTCACCTCTCGGTGGATGCCGGATATGGCTGAGCACCCAGATGGCTACTGTCTCTTAGAATTTGACTGCTACCACGAAAAACTAGCCGTACGCGATATTTCACATTGTGGAAAGCGTATGTCTCATTCTTACTCCTTCACTGTGGACGACGACTTTGCAGTTGAGCTGAACGACAAATCGTATTGCGTCTTTTAAAGGACCAACCAGGGAATATTGAACGACGAAAAGTTGGTGCAAAGCCCAGAATCCAGCATGTGTAGCTGATGTTTTTGGCTCTTCAAGTCTTTCTTCGGAGCTTGATCAAGAGGCTTTGCCTGCCCTCGGGAAACTCCCCTTACGGGGAGGCTGCCGACATATTTGAGATGTCGCTTTACTTCGCTACATATGGATGACATATTCGATATCGAGGAAGAGAAGGACGATCCGAGAGCCTACTCCACCTTGATACGACGTAGATGGCTAAAACGACCAACATTCTTCTCCACGTGGGTAAGCCCGGTGACCAAGGATGAGGCTTGAGGATGGCCTTGCGGGGTGATATATAATCTTCTGCCCTTTCTGGTGGTGGCTGGCCGTCGCCTGACGTGGCAAATATCAACTTGGTCGACAAGTCTATCAGATAAGGGAGCAACTTCAATCCCCATTCTGCCCGGTGAATCAGATCGAATACTTTGCCAATGTTCGAAGTTCTGCTGACTGATATCATGGGCTACCCCGGCGACTCAGCTATACCTGCGGGTTGTGAAGTTAGCTGGGTTAGTTCTGGCCTGTTCAATCATGTTGACTGCAGTCATCCAGCCAAGATCCAAACTGATTGTCCGCTGCAGGCCAACTCTTCCGACCCATAGGATGTGGGTAGTCGTATTCTTGCAGCTGTATGATGACTTACGACGCTCTGGATGGCGGTAGCATAAGGCCCTGTTCTTGGCTATATATTAGCAATCTCATCACACCACCAGCAATGTCATGGATGCATTACGGCTTTGACAAAAAGCTCACGATGCAGAGACGTGTGGAATGCGAGAGGCAGCATTTACCCATTATTGCGATTGCACACGAAAGGATCTCACAGCTTCAGGAAACCGAGGGATCGTGGACAACATACGTTGGCGCTAAATCCCAAGAGGCAGTATGACTTACCTGGATCTATCCGATGAGTACATCGTTTCCCCAAATACAAAAGGCTTTGCCGTGACACACGAGAGATATGTTACCATGTCACGCATAGAATGCGACACATGACATGGCCGGTGGTATCCGCGCATGCAAGATCCATGGCATTGCATGCATGGATCTGCAGTCGTTACACCAAGACGTAGTAACGTCCAAAGATTTCACAACTGGGCATCGCGGGGTCTGTTGGAGAACGAAGACTTCAGACCTTTAATATAATGAACTAAATTATACCCTGTTCTTCAGTCCCCTGACGGGACTATTCACCCACGTATGAGGACTCCAAGACGTCATTCGAAATCGGGTTCTCCCTTCCGTGCCTACATTCGGCTTATCCACAAACCCATCTGCCGGTCGGGGAGCTCCCGGCGCCGGTAGGTGGGCAGATGAGAGAAAAACGTCAATGGCGAAGCTTTCTTGTGGGAACTTTCCTTGAAGAGAGTTGGGAATGTGACGTTGCTTTGAAACTACGTTACGCATCAACTCAGAAATATACAGCATCTTCACGCTACAATCGACCTAAACTCCTTTGCTCTGGAAATCGAGGTGAGCTTATCAGTCACCTGGAAAACGGTACGTCAGGACAACTGCTGGCTGGTTCTAGGGGATCAGCGGCAACTCGCAGGATTTATATTGGACGGCCGCAACGGTGCCTACCACGAACAGTTGTAGTATGTTAGACATGGTCACATCGCCAGATCATGAGACGGCTAGCTCTCCTTTGAGCGATCTTATAGTCAATCAATTGCCCCATAGTGACCGATCGCTCAAGCTTCCACGGCGCTGCCAATGGAAGTTGAGACTCTACAGCTGTAGCAGTCCCCGCACAACACCAGTTACCTATAGTCCGTGAGCGCTATAGGGCGGATATATTGAACGCACGTTCCCGGTACCCACCATGCAGTTGTGGGGAAGCTGCAGGTTCATCTGGAATACGAGCTTGGCGGAGGCGATCCTATTCGCAAGCCGCGTCTCCCTCGCGGAGCTCCACGGTCTAGAGCGGCAATGACGTTAGAGTTGGAACTGCGATGGAACATTGATCATATGGTATAGGCAGGTGCGGTGCTCGCTCGTGCCATTGCAACGGTGATGGAATACGAGATGGTTGGATGCAAGCTTTTCGCGATCTTTCAATTGAGTGGCTTCCAAGATGAATTCCTCATATATAAGACAGCAGGTGGTAGGTTTTCCAGATGTCGATATACGTAAACGTCGAAACCCTATAATCCACAATTTTCTTAACCAACGGAATTCCCGTAATCTTCCAATCCAAATACTGCATACCAAACGAGAGAAAAGAAGTTGCCCCCAGAAACAAAGCATTGCTGCAAAACTTGGCATAGTCAACATGAAGCTCACCGCCTCAGTCCTCCCCATGCTCCTCTCCGCCCCAGCGCTCAGCGCGCCCGTCTCCATGGCCGCCGACGCCTCCTGGACGCTGGTGGCGGTGACGCGGACGTGCAACCCGGGCGACACGACGTGCTTCTGGCAGTTCAGCATCGAGACGGGGGCTCCCGGGGCCACGCCGTGCCCGTACACGGTCAACGCGACGGCGTCGGCGCCCGCTTCGCAGGCCAACGGCGGGCCGACGGCGTGCGGCAACTTCACCGTCACCAGCGGCTGGAGCGGGCAGTTCGGCCCCGGCGAGGGCTTCACCACCTTCTCCGTCATCGACAGGGCCGCCAAGCTGATCGCCTACCCGGCCTACACGGACAAGGAGCTGGTCAATGGCACGGCGGTCAGCCCGGACCGCAGCTACCCCGTGCAGACACTGCCCTCATAGATGTCGTACTGCCGGGTACACGGTTGTGAGCTTGGTGGGAAAAGTTAGAAAGCTGAAAGGGGGTTTGGCCAAGTTGCCTGAGTTTCGGATTAAATGTCATGTCTAAGAGGCAGTCAGTGTGTTAATAGCGCCAACAACAAAAGTAATGAGTAATACGTGATAATGACTGTGGCTTCTGTTCACCCTAAGTAGAAGCGATACAACGTCTTCGTCTCTATGATATCACAAGGCTTAACAGTGCAAGGCATCTTGATGGTTATAGTACACTGATCTAGAATCGAGTATATTATGTGGTATTTTCATGCGAATTTTGTAGGCCTCTGTAAAGCCCAGCTATGTTTTATAAAGCTAGATCTCAAGGCTCCCTTTTTTTCTAAGCCCAGAACCCACCTCGGCTCCTGTCTAGTGTGCAGCGCCTTGAAGCTCCTCCTCAACCTGCTTCTTGACCAGCTCGCGCACGACTTTCCAGTCGTTATCTACATCCGACACCCTCTTCTCCTTGCTCTCTAAGCCGACGAGCTCTGGGGGCAGAACGTTCTCTTCGAAATTGAATCCTTGCTCATCTTTCAGGGCAAGGTCGACGGCACCTGCAAACTTGGCCGGGTGGGCAGTAGACAAGGAGATATGCGGGACTTGTCCTGCACGCTCCATCGATCGTACGGAGGCGGCGACTCCAACAGCCGAGTGGGGGTCCAGCACGTAGCCGAGCTTGTTGAAGTAGGCCTTGATGGTCTCAACAGTCTGAGAGTCGCTCACCCGCTCGCTCTCAAAATCACGCTTGGCGGCTTCGTGGACGTCCTTGTACACAGGGCCAAAGCCACCACTGGACTTGAGCTGCTTCAGCCACGCCGAGACCTCTTGGCCGGCTTGTCTCTTGTTCCACTCGTCGTCCATCTTTGCCGACTCTGCAAACTCGTAGGCCAAGAACCACAAAAGGCGCTCGAAGTTGCTCGACACGAGGATGTCCATGGCCGGGCTCAGGGTTTCCTTCACACCATCCTCGTGGGCCTTGACACCATCCACAGCCAGTCCACCTTGAGCCTCGGGGCCATGCGCAGGCTGCTTCTCGTATTTGCCAGTCTTCCAGAAGCGATCCAGAATATCGTTCTCGTTGGTAGCCACGACAAGCTTGTCGACTGGCAGACCCATTCTGTGGGCGAAGTAGCCGGCAAGGATGTCGCCGAAGTTGCCAGTGGGCACGACGTATCGTACCTTGTCGCCAACCTTGAAGTCCGAATTGGCCTTGGCCATTGAGAAGTATGAGTGGAAGTAGTAAACAATCTGTGCGAGAATGCGGGCCCAGTTTATCGAGTTCACAGCTCCCAGGTTGAGAGTCGAATTGATATCAGGATCTGCGAACAGGGCCTTGACAATGTCCTGGCAATCATCGAACGTGCCGGTGACTGCCAAGTTGTGAACGTTGGCATCCAAGACTGTGGTCATCTGCGCCTCCTGGATGGGGCTGACACGGCCCTTGGGGTGCAGGATGAAGACGGAAACATCCTTCTTTCCCCTCAGGCCGTAAATGGCGGCGGAACCAGTGTCACCACTCGTGGCACCAACCACGGAAAGATGATGCCTGTCTGTAGATACGTCAGACCTAGGCTCTTCACGCAGCCATCAGAGGACTTACCCCGGCCTGTCTTTCCAACGTTCTTCCTCACCAAGAAGTATTCGAACAGGTTGCCCAGAAATTGCAGGGCAACATCCTTGAAGGCAAAGGTTGGCCCGTGGAACAATTCGAGTAGGTATAGGTTGTCGTGCAAGTGCTTCAGCGGCGTGGTCTCTGGAGCGCGGAAGGTCGAGTAACTGCGGTCAATGATGCCCTTGAGGTCTTCCCGGGGGATCTCGGTGGGCGAAATGTAGAGCGAGAGAACCTCGAGCGCAAGGTCGGGGAAGGACAGGTCCTTCCAACTTTGCCATTGACTGGCGTCGGGAATCTGCTCGGGGATGTAAAGGCCGCCGTCGGAGGCAAGGCCTTTCAGGACGACCTCTTCGAAAGACAGCTTCGGGATGCGTCAGTACTTCAGCCCTCGGAATGGGGTCAGAGACGAAGAGCGGGCCTCATACATCGTAGTCATCGCCGCGGGTGCTGAGATATTTCTGGGGCGAGCCAGCGCTGGCCGTGCCGTTGGTAGAGCCGTTCGACATTGCTGCTAAGGTTGGGACTGTCCCGAAACGAACACGCTGAATGGTAGACTCTGGAAGCAGCAACAACGAACTTGTTGACGATGTCGCCGGCGCGCGCACTGGGTTGGGCCCTTTGAATGGTGGGGGTTCTCCCTAGAAAAATTGCGAAGTGTCACCGGCTGCAGCGATTCATTGCCCAGTCCGAAGTCGGTCAGACGCCAGTGCCCCGCACTAAACCGACTTGATGTTAGCGGCTACTCACGCTGGAGATCCAGATCCGGCCCCCTGGAATTCGCTGCAATCCATCGACCTATCCCCCATGCACCTGGCGCCCAGGCAGAGCCTAGATCCTCTACTACGGACAAGGTACAGAACGCTTCATCTGAGAGCGAGTGAGCAGTGCACAGTGTATACCAAGCATTTGTTCTCATTGGGGTGCTGTTCTATACCGACTTGACCGATAGTTCCACGTTCAAAGCTCTACACGTGCCGCACATTTCATGCAACACACGACCCTCTATTTTCAAAATCTCAGACACCGACCAGCCGTCCAGAATGCAGTAAATCAAACCTCCAACCTCGAGACAATCACATTACCCAGAATACAAACAGTGAACAGCGGACCCCTTGCCATCTCCTATTATCCTACGATCGCCCATTAGATTTCGGTCACGAATCTCCGCATGCGCCCTTTGTTCAGGACTACAGTCAAGTCTATGCCGACGTGGCGCTTCCTGCACACTTCTGGACAACGCCGAATTACGCTTCGCCTCATTGACCCGAGACTTTCCGTCCGCTCTGAACCTCTGCTCGTTTCTCGGGATTCTGCGTGGGGTCGTTGATTGGATCACCATCGGCACCGGGATTGGCCATCTATAGCTCCAATTAGTTCCAATCTGGGGTGAAAGGGTATATCTGGACGTGGCAAGACTGACCTCATACTCAAGCGTCTTGATAAATCGATAGAAAACGACTGCAATCAAGGCTCCTACCAAGGGTCCAACCCAGTAGATCCAATGCTCTTCGTCAAAAGTTGCGGTGACAACACAAGGCCCGAAGCTCCTCGCCGGGTTGAGACTTCCACCCGTGAACTGTACACCCACCATCTCAGCTATAAAGAGAGCGAGACCGATACCGACGGGCGCTATAAAAGTCGCTTTATGCTTTTCCATGGCCAGCATAAATATGGTAAAGACTAGCTCTGCGGTGAGTATTGCTTCGATGAAGACGCCCTGCACAAGCGTGGCGCCACCGCTGAGGGTTGTCCTGACGTTGAAGCTCTCTGGGAACAAGAAGCGGACAACCACTGAAGCCAAGAGAGAACCGCAAATTTGAGCGACGAACAGGCAGACAGCTCGGAATGGCGGTATAGCCTTGACCATAACCATTGCGAACGTCACTGCCGGGTTGAACAGACCTCCACTGATGCGGAAGAAGATCCAGACGTTGACCATGAGAGAGAAACCAAAAATCAGGGAGATGTATAACAGCACCGAAACATCAAATCCCGTAGCACCACCGGTTGTCGTGTTACTGTCACTGGCCGAGTCCCCTGCCTTTGACTGGATATTGGCAACTTCTGTACCTGCGAAGGCAAAAAGCAAGAAGAGGGTTGTCCCGATGAACTCGCCCAGACTGGCGACAAAGTGGTTCTTGAAGTTGGAGTTCATCCATTCAGTCCAGGGCAGACGAAGAACCTCGGCCTTCTCTTCGCGGCTCAGTGTATTCCACTTCAGGCGACCGTTCGTGCTTTCACCCATCTCTTCATCTTGGATACGCATCTGTCGTTGGGATTGCGTCTCATCACTGAAGAAGGCTTTTGATGGTGGCATGGCAGACTCGAAGTCATCTGCGTAAGGTCGGTGACGCCAGGCAGGGGGCGGACGGCTCTGCTCGCGAAAGGGACGTCTTGTGTATCTGTCTGAGTGTCGCATATCATCTCGCTCACGCCACAGGTCGCGCTCGCGCTCGCGCTCATAATAGTAATCTTCATCATCCCATTCGTCTCGGTCATCATATCGAAGGGGTCTATTCGACCGCGTGGACCTCGTGGATCTCATAGATCGACCCGACATCGGGCCCTCGTAGTCGGTAGAGTAACCTCCACGAAACGGAGCGCCCCTGCTCTGTGGCCGGTATTCACTAAGTCTTTGATCTCGAGAGCTTGAGCGCCGCTTCGGAGGCGGAAATGGGACTGCGTGGGGAGGGCTTTCTTCACCAGACGCATAGTTCCCTCCTGTGCCCATTGGTTTCACAGGCGACATGGGAGATGCTTCGGCTGATAGCGGATTTTCAGCGTGTGCGGGAGTAGCCATGGTGTTCGTTTTCCAGCTGCAATATATCTCACTGACTGATCGGGATAAGAGTGGTAAAGAAAGTGACTTGAATCGAGGTGTCAAGGTTCGGAGGGAAGATGTGCTTTTCGAAGGAATACACTTTGGGCATTATAGCAGTAGACCATGAATAGGTCTCACACAAACTCCATTTCAGCCCCATTGATGACCACACCCCTTGGACCATCCAAACCCCATACCAGAGTCAATCCATTTCGTCCCTGATTTTTCTTCTTGCTTTAATTAACTTTCACATCGATGTCATTATCAGCCGACATATCCTTTGATGCCTCAAAAGCTGACTAGGTGGTCGTTGCCATCTGAATTGCCCGAGGGTCCGTCTTGGCGATCATTTACCCAAGCATTGGCTCACATCTTCAACGTGGTGGCCCATTTACATGGATAGACCCTTGAGTTATTGTGCAGAGACCAACGTGTCGCTGGGACCCGCCTGCTTGATTCTTGCGCAAATCACATCTCAAACAGGTGACCAGGGAAACCAAAGAAGCAAAATGACGTCGATTTTTGGCCCTTGTAAACGGAAGACGAGGACGAATAAAAGAGATTTTATGAAACGTGCTATTCTTAAAACACCAGTGCGTGGATGGGCCCGAGTGGCTGGGTTGAGGCTATAAAACCATTTCGTATTCCACTGTTTACTGGGATGATCGTTGTTGTGTCGAAGAAGCAACGGAGCACCTAGTGCCCAAAGACAAGTCAACCTGGTCACGATAGCCGCGATCGAGGTTGCATCGCCAGGATCTTGATAGATCGGGATAGATAATTAGGTTTGAATCTGTTCGAAGATTGATAATTGCGCTGGCCTTGTCGCGGAGTATGGAGGCTTGTCGAGGAATTGTGGGGAGACGTACCAGGGTAATTGAGATTATACCAAGCGCGCAACAAAGTTACCTACGCACAACTGCCCATCTCGCGCTTCGCTATTAATCCGGGATATATCTCGGTTCGAAGCTGAAAATGCTGAACCTCGGCAACTGCGGCCTGGATAAAAGGTATTCTCGTAAGACGCAAGTCACTAGAATCTTGTCTTCCGGGATCTTCCTTCATCACAGCCAACTCGGCCAGCAGAACAACCTGCTCTCCGGTGCGATGTGTTCTCATCTTGCCATTCTTCCAAAGCTGAAGAAATCCCTTCGGCTGACTTCTGTAAATGGGTGAGAAATCTAACTTTGGCCAGGACTGCGCGACAACTAGCCCGGTGTTGAGCTGTTCATTGCTATATATGTCTTGCTTCACATGTTGATCAAACCATTCTGCCTACAGTCGCGGTTCTTGCACCCGAAGGCTCGTGTCACACAAATCATTTGGCGACAGCATAGCCCTGCTAGAATAGTTGGTCAAACCAGACTACATAGTACATTGATGCCACATGGGGTGATGAAAAACCTGACTACTAGGCCTGTTATCGCGCTTTGGCCTTCACCTAGACGAGTTGAAGAAAATTAGCTGCAGCGAGCTTCCCAATCGTCACTTGACACGCTACTAGATCTTCGGCAGCCACGCGTCACGCCCTAACTATCTATCGGCGACCGTCACGACTGCATTGTGCCATGGTATCTATACCTGATGCAAGAGTGTTGCGCCTCCTAAAGCAAAGGTAAGTTGAGAACCAACTGAAGATTTGTGCGTGCTCTAAACTGGATACCCGTTTCTGCAAGATTCCACCTCGTCGGGTAGTACACAATATCCATCGATTTCCATGGGCGTGAGTAACCCCTTTAAGATTATTATCGCGTCTAGACAAACTCCGCAATTGTCTAGTCGAAGGATCGATGCCCAAGCCTGCGGGTAACCACATCCCGTCCTGTGTCCGGAACATTGCATATATAATCGTTGTGGAGGTCATGTCAATTTTTTGGCCACCAGAAGGAACAGGTCTTGGTTGAAAGTGCGTTGCTGGAAATTTTATAGATAACGTAGGAGTGCCTCCAGGATCCAAGTATTTGTCCTCGCTTGCCATCACTCCTCATAGCTGGCAAGGTCATAGGTCCAGACCACGATCTCTACTTGTAATTTCATGGGTATCAAGTTCAAAACATACAGTATACTCTATTTATTTACCGTCACCTCTTCTCCCAAGCCACCATGGCTCGCTCGCAGACGCAGATGACCCTGGAGGCGGCTGCTCGCATCCAAGCAACACAGGTAGGCGCTTCTCAGCGACCTTTACCCAAGATCAGCTTCTCATATGGATTCGAACAGCGTCGGGAAGGGAGAGAACCTGGTTTTGCCACCCGTGCAAAGGCCGCAGCCATCCGCAACACCCGAGCAGGTCAGAATAGCAGTACTCAACCACGGCAGTTTACGCAAACCAAGTCAGGGTCTACGAGGCAGCATACGTCGAACTAGACAGCCACAGGCTACCATCCAATCTTAGATCACTGTAAATACAGAAGAGTTGCGATGCAGAGAATCAAGGGTAAATATAGGACGATAATATCGCCCTGAGTTTGAAACCCATAATCACATGGCTGCATGGCCACAATGATACGAAGCTCTTGACGACGACTTCAGTCTCGCATAAACCTCATTTCATTCCATAGTCCTTGACCTTTAGGTCAGATGCGTGGCCTCTGTTTGAGCGTCAGTCACAGCTAAGCATCAAACGCGACTAACTTACCAAGGCACTGACTAACGCTCTGACACAACTATTTTTTGATGCAAGGGTCCAGTTTATGATTCAATAAGATAGGTGCCCGCTGCGACACCTGCAAGCAAGAGCTGTGCCTCAAGGAGCCTTGCCTAAAACGTTCGTAGCTTTCGCTGATGCATCGGTCCGGTCTTACGACCTGCCGAACCGATCAGATCTGCAATTATGCTTAACAAGCCATTCAGCGAGTCCTTCGTCCTTCAAATCTCATTCTACCACGTTGAATCAATTTTCTCCCTTGCTGGAGAACGGCATTGCGCGCAACATGTCAGGTGTCCCAATTATCCTCTGCGGTAAGACCGAGCAAATCGGCACTGGAGTTATCGAAAATCTCAAGCCTGAGTACGAGGGTATGTAGACAGAGTTCTGGTGTTTAATCGCCTCGATACTGAACATTACAGTCATACACTTCGTCCTCACGGCCGAGGCTGGCGCAGAGGAGATCCCCTGCGTTCTGCGGGGCCAGGCACCACCTACAAAGAGCAGTGGCCTGGGAAGCGGCGTTTATGATTCTCGTCCAAAGGCAATCGTATTTGGTGGTGGATACGACGACGCTGCGGTTGACTTTGTCGCCCAAAGCGTAGCCGATACAAGCATTCCACTACTGAAGGCGGATCTGAGTATACCAGTGCCGCCTGTGGGGCCTGAATATGGAAAAAGGATCCTAGAGAGATGTAAGCACAAGCTGGAAGAACTCGAGAAGGAAGGAAAGCTCAACGGGTCTGAGAGCGGTATATTTCTTTACTAGGTGACTACTGGTTCTACACTTCAGGAAACCCAACTATCTTGGATTAATAGATTGCATACTCGGCCCATATTGAGAGACCTGGTTTAAATTTGTGTCAAAAAATGTGCACGGGGCTTGGTGTCCAGACAACTTAATCAAGAGAGGATATCCACGACACATACTGATAAGCAAGTCATTGATGCATCCAGGCCACGCCCATCTGCAAGCCGCGGGCTGCTTTCCGGACACTTCCAAGAACACTTCTCAATGGTAATATTCAACTTTCACACGACCTCTGCTTTTCAATTAGTGAAAAAGCAGAAAGACCGAGTCACGGGATAAGAGACTGCTTTCTTGTGATCCTTTCGCTACCTTGGAAATAACTGCACCGTATAGGTACGTGAAGTTATCCGACATAGAACACAGAAGGTACTGATGAGAAGTGTTGGGCTTTTTTTGTCCCTCTGCGCGCGTAACATATTTCAAATGAGACAAAGGCGCTGGTGCCTAATACAAGAACTTCAAATATATAGACATCAGTCCCAGACATCTCAACCAGCGTTATGAACAATAATACCATTCTTATTCTATTGGGTCGGAAGCTCGTGCGTAGTGTGAATTACGAACTGAGGTCTGCTTGGTGTTCTACATATGCGAGGAGTATAATCATGAAGTCCTTGTCGGTAGCTAGGCTGAATAAGTATAAAAACTCGGGAGGTATCATATGTAGTCAGACTGGTATACCTGCAATATTGTCTTGATGATACTCACTCAAAAGCCGTGCGGCGAACGGTTTAACTATCAAAAGCTTCCCGTCGCCGGTATGCATGCTGAACCATCAAACAATTGGGCACTCACTCCTACTGGCACGCCAGGTGGCATCATCATCCTGCTCGACGGTTGCTACGTGCATCCCACCAATCTGTGGCGAATCAAGACATTGGTCTGTCCACGTGGTCAAAGACAGTCAAAGCTTGATTAGAAACCTCCAATCTGTCTCGTCGCATAGTCCGGGGAATCTTATCAGGTTGTGGAATTCGAGATGGAGGTTGAGTGAGTTGATTGGCACAATCACAGAGGTCGCCACAGCGGTACTCCGCACTGAACGGGCACACTCCAGCGTGCTAGCTAAGACAGTTAATGTGGGCCATAGGAGCAAACCCGCCGGGCACCGCACAACAGCCACTGAGTGGAGCATATGGTACTGCAGACATTCTCATCGATTGCAATTGGGTTGAGTGAGTGCCCCGGGTGCCCCGAGTGCCCCGAGTGCCCATGCACACCACGACCTCGGGAGGGGTCTCGCGAGAATCTAGAAGTCCTGCTATGCAGTAGGTATGCAGCTTGTACAGTGCCTTCGAAAGTGATCGGCAGCCAATCTGCAACTCACCCTGGACTTTTCCCTTCGGCTGCTGCATGTTCAACGCCTCTGGCCATAGAGAAGCCGCCCTAGTTATTGTGGGAATGGTACCGACGATGGTTTTCGACGTCCGAATCTGAACCACCGCAGACTGTCGCTCTCGACACCGCAACGCTATGTATATCATCATGACCGCTCGCCCTTGAGCATGCTTGCAACATGTGAGCAAAGTACGTAGCAAAAGTCGGCCACCTATGTCGCTATCTGAAACTCCGAAAGTCCATGCACTGGGGTTTGTATCGGACGCACTTCTCCATAACAAGATGTTGGGCTTCGAAACAATCGACTGAGCAACGACAGCACGACGTCCTCGTCCCGGGCCGAAGAACGCCTGAGTAGTGACTTGTTATTGGCCTACCAGCATGGTGATAAATAGCGCTCCATACGTGAAGTGCAAGTGGGCTCGCCATCGTTCTAGGCCGCCGACTGTTCTCTCCATCATACATGAAAGACAAGTGAACTTGGCCTGGCCACTTCTTCTCCAAATGAGAGCTATCCTGTCTTCACAGGGACCTCTAAGGAGCCTGATGGAGCCTGTCACTGCATTCGTGTCCCAGACTCGGCGTTGATCAGTTTGTCTGGAGCTGCTGTCGGCGACTAGCTCTCCTCTAAGTGAGACAGAAGGCAAGGGAGGGAAATATCTAGACCCGTCCCAAGTGCCCTAGTCTTCTACTGCACGTACCTATAACCGAACGATATAAGATATGCGGAACAGCATTCATCAGCCTTGTCCAGATCCCAGTGATGCGGCTTAACCGCACGGAGCCAGCCGCGCAGTCTGTGCAACAGGTATAAGTTATACTGTTGTCTACAATTCTCAAGAACTCGATACACTGGCTAATTCACTCCAGATTTCTATCGCTCTTGAATGTCGTCGAGGTGGTTCGTGATGGCAGAAGACAGATTTCCAAATCGCTTCACGCGCTTGGGCAATCCCGCCTTTGCTCAACTCTACGGAGCAGCCTCCGGTGCCAATCAACACGCAAGTCGGCCTGGGGTCCACAAGACAACCAAAGTGACAAAAATTGAACAGCAGGTCGCCGTCAAAGCATCGTCGCGTTTGCATGCTTCCTGGACACTGCACGATGAGGGCCACGGCGAGAGCCGCCAGAGACAGAGCGATCGTGATCAGCATCGCCATCCAAGAAACCACCTTTTTACGTCCCTCTTCAGGCTGGGGACGTGTAAAAGGTCATAGATGCCTTGCTCCTCGCGTTTATTCACACAACTCACCATTTCCAACGATTCCCGACAGCAGACTGCCCCGTACCGAATGGGACCTGTGCCACCAACCCGGACGAACCCCTCGATAGATCTTCCCGCCGACCACGGCCCATCGCACTTGAGTTTCCCTGCGCCGTGAACGTAACAGATACACAAAGGCCCTGACGGGTATCTGAATCCACCGCCGAGCCGAGATTGCTTGCCTAGCGCTGCAATCTCAACGATTCGCCCCCAAGGCGCAGCCCTAGGAGTTGAGCGCATACTCAGGCGCAACCAGCTGGGCCCCAAGTCGATTCCCCAATCAGGACACTGGGATCTCAACTAGGGAGGCTCTTCCATGCATGGACTGTTCTCGGCCTGTCCAACATACAGTATAAAATCTGTGTGAGACCTATACAACCGTACTCAGCTAGGGGATATCCCTGCATAGTTCTCCTGTGTATGTATATAAACAGACCGTGTCAGTCGCGCCCCTGGCCATCAAAATCGATCACCCACCGCGAAGTGATCGAGGCCATAAGCCGGCCTTGTGAACACAAGCATCCGGATGTCGCACTCTCTCCGCCCGTTGCTCCCGGCTACAAATAACAGTGGATCTCGCGACACCGCAGACTCACCCCCAGCCGGCAGTCGTCCAGCCAAACGGGCCCCTACCAAGGCTGCCTGCGAAGCCTGTCGGAGGAGGAAATCAAAGGTAAGTCATGGCCCGACAGAGCATCATTCATTAGCTTGATACGTTGGTCTAAGTTCGACTTCAGTGTAGCGCCGAGCGACCACGATGCACAATCTGCGTCGAGAGAAACACCATATGCGAATACAGTACCCTCCCAGCAGAGACTCATTTGACAGCGCAGAAACGCCGCTTCAATGATCTCCAATCCAAGTGTGAATCTTATGAAAGTCTGGTTGACCTCTTCCGGACGAGACAGGAGGATGAAGCATTAGGGGTATTCCAACGCATCCGTGCTGGCGTCGATGTCGAGGCCATAGTGAGGAACATTCAAGACGGCGACCTACTTCTTCAACTATCACTCCGTCCAGAATGCCGATCCCGATACGAGTTCCCATACAAACGAAGATTACCTGCTTATCTGATCGATAACTCCAACAGCTCGTTGCGCAATCCATATCTGGAGTCGACGTTATATGTAAAAACGAGTGTCCTTCCTTCGCATGCCGAAGTACCAATGGAAGTCGGTCCCCAGATTGAAGGCGATGATGGGCATTGGGTTTATACAACACCCTACCATGCCGCGGAGTTGCTGGAACCAAGGCTGAGCTCGATCGATGTCACTAGGTGGACTGCTGTACCGGCCAGCAACTCGGTGCTGCGTACCCTTCTTGAAATTTATTTCATTTTTGAATATCCATCCAACACATATTTCCATAAGGACCTGTTCCTGGACGACATGGCGGATGGCAACCAGAGATTCTGCTCACCCCTGCTGGTAAATGCCATCCTAGCAGCAGCATGGGTAGGTAGCCCATGGCACACCTATAATATCACCGCTGACAGATTCTAGCATGGCTATTACGCAAACAAGACACGTGCAGATTTCTGGCGTCCTGAGAGCCTGGGGTACCGCTTTTCTGCTGAAGCACACCGGCTACTCCATCGCGAGAGGGATATGGCAAAGATCACGACGGCGCAGGCTATGACTGTCATGAAGCTGACCCACAACAGCAATGGTACTGATGACCTCGGCTGGCCTCTTTTGCACGGAGCTATAGAAATGGCTCAGGAACTTGATCTGTTCAGTCTATCTCGGGAATCAGATGCTGCCTGGCAGAGAGCAGCCGCGATTACGTCTTGGGGCATCTTCAACTTACAAACGTATGTCACAAATCTGCGTCCACGTTGATACAGCTGTCACTGAAACATTGAGAAGTTTACTCTGTTATCATACATTCCGCCCCCCGATCTTAAGAAGGCACCCGGCACACCACTTGCCTGATCCGGATGCTGCTCCCGCTTTCTATGGAGAGATCCTGGTCAAGTATCCCGCTCCTGCCACAGCCATCAGTATAAGTCATGGCCACGTTTTCAGGGCGATATCAGAATACCGTGTTATTCTAAATACGGTCTGTCTGGAGATCCACAGTAATGAAGCAAAGCGTATCCCCCTAGAAGCAGCCTTTCGGGTACGGCTCAGCCTGAGAGATTGGTATGAGGGCCTTCCAGGCTGTTTAGAACCTGACAATATAGCTCTGCCAAGTCACCTGATGATACAGTGAGTTATTTTCCTTGCACCCATCTCCACAATTCGGAAAGATCCTAGTGGGATAGAGGCTCATGGTCGCAGTATGCATCTACATGTCCTTCTGATAGGTACCTTTGAGCCACATGAGTATCATGTGGCCTCATTACTTGCAAACGATAGCCCAACCCCAACCCAAGTCATTGCTCAGGCGAAAGGCTGTCTCGAAACTATCGTACGCCTGTATTACTTACGGCACGGCTTCGAGTCTTATGATCCAGCTTTGATCTTGTACGCAGATCTGTTGGCCTGGAGCTCACTCCGAGATTACCTCCAGATGAAGGCCAACGGGTCGGCTCATGCGGATGCAATGTTTTCAACGTTGGTGCTCTGTGCAAAGGCATTGTGGGACCAAGGCAAGAATTGCATCATGTCGGAGGCCATTTTCTGGTTCCTGAGGAGTTCCCTTCCCGGAAAGGAGGAGGTACGACTATTTCGCGAGGTTGCCGAAGTAGACGAGGAAATCAACGGGATCAGTCGATTCATATCGGAGATCCGGTCATCGTGGCCGGTCGGCATCTTCAGCAACGTGAAGTCGAACGTAGAGGCTGTCAGGCTTGGGCGCTTTGTCTCGTGGTATGAGAAGACGATTGAGGAGCAATCTCAGCAGCTATCTACACAGGGTTCGGACCAAGCTGACAGCCCTGACGCCGATTGGCTTCCATATCCATGATTATCGGTAATTATTGGCAAACCCTGTTCTGGCTACGGGCCTCTAATGAGAAGGATCTTTGGTGTGCACTGTGTTGCCTCGCAAGCGTGCCGGACTGACAGAAGTCAATTGCAAACAGGTCGTTGTAAAGACAGCCACCTTGGTGCTTCATCTCAGCCACCCACTGAAGAACAAGTTTGCTGGTGCTTGCGTCGTTGGATTAAGCTTGTGTTTTCGTTATTTAGGGACTAGTCAATGGGGCCATCCACCCCGATCTCGATGACATGGAGACAAGGGGCAGGTCTTGCATCATACACGGTCAAGCCACTTGGGCGTTCACGTCTCTGCATTAATTGGACGCTCGGCATTTTGCATAAATTGGACGCTTGACATTCCGTCTAAACGCTGGATATTCCCAAATGAGTTAGAAAACCATTGGTCTGCCTTTATGTACAAGGAGTGCTATGCAGCAAGTTGGAGTATAACATAATACAATTCGCAGATCACAATCAGAGAGCACTTCCCGCTGATTTTGGCTTCAACACCAGAGACCAATGAGAGAAAAACACCTTCCGCATGGTGACATCGGGCAATGGGGGCTCCCTACGCGCCTGCCCGCGGCTTGCCGCAGGTTGGAAAACATTATCGGACCGAACCGGACCGGGCCGAGTCTCAAGTCCCACAACCGCGACCGGGACGCGTTTCCCAGTAGATAACTTAGACCCTGTCACTTTCTTGTCAACCCATGCTCGTTGCGAGAAAAAGCAAACCTAGAAAACGCCATGGGCAATGTGTGAGAGCAGGAGCTCATGACGACATCTCCACCCAGTTCCCAAGAATCCACCGACGTAGTCTGCATCGCGTCGGAACCCTTCTCGGCCAAGCCCCTCATCGCGGAGATCTTGCGGACGCGTTATTGCATCCCAGGCTCGGTCTTTCTCGTAGAAGGGGTCGACGTCTTTCACGCCTCCAGGTCAAAAAGATGGCGTGCTGTTCGTCTCATTCTTGGGGATGGCGAATTCTGCGTGCAGGCGCTCCTGTCGGGTGAAATGCACCGATATCTCGATGGCGGAGATTTGGCTGTCGGGTCATACGTCAAGCTCGAGGCGTTTAGGCTGGAGCATATACACTCGAAAACACACTCCGACCAAAAGAGCAGACGATCAGACAAAACTGGCCGCGGAGCAGCCAGGAACCCGGCGTATCTCATTGTGGATAACTTGATTGTGGTTGGTTGGAATAAGAGGCTGCTCAGCATGCTCGAAGATAAAGAGACTACTCGTGCTGCTGGAAATGCTGCTCAGAATGCCGGACCTGAAAAGGAAGAGATGGACGACACCGTTGATATTGTCGGGCGCTCTGCAGCAGCGCCTAGCATCCATCCTCAGCATGAGATACACGATTTGAAGGTTCTTGAAGAACTTGCTGGCGCAGACGATGACTTTGAGACTTTGGACGTCCCTGAACAGAAGACAAGTCAAGGACGGGCTGAAGTTGCAGCGCAACCTTTTGCGTCTGACTACTCTGTTCCCGTGGACGTCAACAATCTTCCGTGGTCCAGTACGGATCCTTCAAAGCCCCTGAAGCTTACTACTTTGCGCTCTATACCGACTTTGCCGTATAAGCAGAACTGGTCCACAAATATCTTGGCAGTCATATCGTCGCTATCGGATGTGGAACCCTGTACAATGCCCCCTTTCAAACAACGAGTAGCTCGTCTATCACATCCCTCAACGCCAAAACAAGTGCATCTGACTGTGTTCTTGGATCCTGAGGAGTTTGCTCCCCAGGTGGGCAGTGTCGTGCTTCTGCTTGGGGTGAAGAATCATCGGTTCGATGGAGGGAGCCTGAAAAAGTATGCGAGTGATCGGATGAAGGACAGAGGAAGATGGTGGTATGAAAACCCATATCAGTTCACATGGTGTGATGTGGCAGCGCTCAAGCGATGGTGGGATCATCAACAAACTTGAATGAAACGGCGTATAGGGGTATCAAGTATTGGTGTATATATTTCGAACGGCAGCCAACCCCTTATTGAGACCCAATCCAAGTAAACAACATTGGATGCCATTGGTCCGCCACATATCATGAATCTACGATTCAAGATGTCCAGTGAGGTGCTGGCCCATCGTCGCGTGAACCAATATCCCGCATCGATCGCCGACACTCGGTCAATGCTCCGTTTTAAGGCTCTCGGCAGGGCAACATCGTGAGACCCACGACAATGCCTATCTAGGTAATAGCACGAACGTGGAAATCTGTCCCAGCCTTCAAGAGCTCGAGAATTGACCTGAGCTGCAACTTTGGCCTCACCCCCCTCGATGTTATTTCCCAGTGAGGGAGTTCAGTCATTGCGTCGTTCGCACAAATACTTGTCTCTTCTGTTCACCAGTCTGTCTTTCTATCGAACCTTTGTTCCGTTCGCCTGTCTGATTCTTGGATCGAAGTGACTTCACAATGCCATCACATGCTCAGATCCACGGTGAGAAGCCCTGGTTCACCTTCCCAGGCTTCTTGGACGCAAGGAACGGAGACAGAAACGTCGAACGTGAAGTTCAAAACGCCCTTTCCTCAACGTACCATTTTCGTACCTTGGATCATGTGGACGCCAACAAATACGATGAGAAGCTGCGCAGCCTGGCAAACCTGTGCTTGCTCTTCGAGACTTTGCTCTACCATCAGGCATTCACCAGTCTTCCTGAATTCTGGCAAATCGTGTGCAGCCGATGGGGCCTGACGGCTAACTACAATGTCATGAGAAGCATCAGTCGTGTCTACTATGCAGCGAGAGTCAAGTTCGTGGCTGAGGGTAGAGCCCAAAACTCTGTACCTAAGACGGGCTTGGGAGGGCTCAGCCACAAACTTGCTTGCCTTGTTGACGAGTGGAGAGATGACCACGAGGTGGTCTACGTAATTCCTCGTATCATGGCATATGAAGATCCAATCAACCCTGTTGTTGAGTTGCGAGAAGAGTTAGAGGATACGGAAGACGATTGGGAAGCACATGTCGAAGGCTTCATGGGTAGGATGATCCATTATTTGGATATGGCACAGTGGGAACTCAATGAGGGAGTCTCCTCTAGCTCAGACAGTGGCCTGTCTCCCAATGATGTCGGTTGCCCGGTCAATTCCTGATCCATCGGTATCCCAAGCTAACATCTACCTTGAAGTTCTCGCCGGGAAGCGATACTGGTGACGGTGATAGCGACGAAAACTTTGCGCTGCAAATCTTCCCCTCGCGGCTTCGCCACCAGTCCACCACCACGCCAATGGAGATCAACGCTGTCGAAGAGCAGCAGACCTCTTCACCCCACGGCAACGAATCTGCGAGCCACCTTGAGGCATCCGCTGGATACATCGCAGCAGATATGCCTCAGAACGAAAACGAGGCAAGCCCGGCGTCATCTCCTGCTGCTTCGTCGTGGGCTCAGGCATCACTCACTCCACCCAGTGTATCGCCTCTAACATCCCCGGCCCAGGGCCCGGCTGGCATCGTTGCAGCATCGAATATGTCAACAGCTTCCTCGACCTGCCCTCCTGGTGAACTCGTCTCACGTCCTAAGGCAGATCAATGCGAAGCAAAACAACAGGCTGTCACGTCAGGAAAGATGCCGGAATTCAGTCAGACCAACGCGTGCGAACGACTCTTCCCCAGCTTTTCCGACAACAGAGTTGGCGGGGGCCGTTCCAGCGGTGAAGATGATGTGAGAAAGCTGGTCTGGGGCACGGAATACACAGTACTAACAATGACTTAGGTCCCGATGAGTGGCAGCCAAGAGCATGGCAACGCCGGCAACTCTTCAACTTCGAACTGTGATGATGTTCCGGAGTGGAATATGATGAACGGCAAGCGACTCATTGGGCCCCTCGATCTCGCGGGAATGATCCGCCAGTACATGGCCAAAGAGAAAGAGGAGAGAGAGGAGGCGGAACGAAGAGCGATGGAGAAGGATTTGGCTGGTTCTTCTTAAGGTTCCTGGAGATTGAGCTTCATGCGTGGAGCAACTGCGTTTCCCTTTCGCTGTCATATTTCCACGATTGTTTCCCGAAATTCATTCGTAGTACTGAGGAAACAACAGGCTCAGGATGAGGTTGGTTTGGTACCAAGTCTTGGCAGCCTAGAGTGGACAAAAGATACATAGAGGGATCAGTTTCTTGCAGACAACATCATGACTGTTTTCTAAGACCACATACTCCCTGACCGTTCATACTTTCACAATATTGGACTTCGGCGGTCATGCCTCGCTCTTCCCCATTCGCTCTAGATCATGACATGCTACAGCGCGGTCAAATGACATGAGAAGTCTGAGTATTCCCTCAAGGCAGAATTCGAGGTTCTTAAGCGGCAGAAATCTACTTATTACCCTCTAATCTATGACTACTATTCTCTCAGAGTGTTCTCGCGCTTGTCGATATTTGCTCCCTGTGGCTGCCACGGCACGATTGAAGCCAAACTACAGATCAATCCCAGGAGAACCCATCGGCCAAGGGGGCCAAGATAGCATTGGCCTAACTTGCAGGTAATACATATGGCAATGAGAAGGCCTCGGAGGCATCACATATCTTTGAATACTGGATATATATCGTAGCTTTCCGATGCTGACATCCTTGTATTTAGCATCTTCATCATAGGGTAATGTACAAATTATATTATTATATCTGCAGTTTCTCAAGCCCACCGTCATTACACACCAGTCTAGTGGTACTTGCACAGGTTGAGCTTCGCAACACTCGGGTCGTGATCCGAGACCTGGTCGTCATAGGGTACCCAAGTGTTGACATGAATGTGCTCGAATTTGGACTTGGCACACTTGCTCGCCAATGCAGGGCTGACAAACATGTGGTCGAGCTCCTGGTGGTTCATGTCAAAGACGTAAGTGTAACGCTCCACCTCAGGAATGCCCGCCACGACGTCGAGATCTTTGAGGCCAGATAGGGACAAGAAGTCCTCAATCGGCTTGACAACAGGGTATTCGTTGAAGTCACCCGCTACGATGACCTTGGCGTGAGAGTCCTCGGCAAGGATCTGGGCCACGAATTTCTGAGAACGTGTTAGTTTTGATTGCACCAGAAAATGTGGTATCATGTACTTACGGCAGTAGCTTCGGCCTGGGCCAGGCGGGCAGCCAAGGCACCGTTCACAGGAGGACGGGCATCACCTTGAATCGACGAGCTGCCGCCTTTAGAAGCCCAGTGCACGTTGACCGTGAAAAAGGTGTTGTTACCGTCAAGAGTCTCCCAAGCAGCCGCCAGAGGCTTGCGACTGCTGTCCCACGCGGCATTGGTGGGATCAATACGACCTGGGTTGTATTTGAGCTCGGGCCCCGCGAGAACCTCGTTGGCGGTTGTGGAACTGCCCGGGTTGGGATTACGAAGCTGCAGAACATCGGGACGGAAAAGGTAGGCAACACGAATGTTGCCACCTGGGGCACCACCATCCTTGTCGTTGACGGGAACGATGTAGGTATAGTTGTACGTCACGCCACTCAAGGTTGCGATGGCTGCTGCTAGAGTAGACAGAGTAATGTCAGAATCGACGACTCCATCGTCGGTCTCGCCATCGTTATCCTGAACCTCTTGGAGGAAGACCAGGTCAGGTGTCTGCATGTAGTCGACAATGTGATGAGCGATGTCCTGGACATGTTTGGTGTCGTTTGGCGCAAAGTTCTCGATGTTGTAGTCACCCACAGTGAGGCCAGAGCATTTGCCGTCACTGGTAAGGGACACAGCATTGGGTAGAGCTGGTGCCAGCGGCTCAACAACCGAGATGTTTGTCAAAGGCAGAATGGAATAGAATCCAAACGCATATGTAACAACACCGGTGATGGTCTCCAGTTTTGCACCGATAGCCGTGTCTTTGGGGTTCTTTGACCCGTCAAGAGGGTCTCCAATGATGATAGCCTCGGGGTTACCGTCTGTATTGGTCAGCACTGATCAGCACGACATCATTTCTGGGGAAAATGAGGGTGAATTACCCTTGCTGGTCAGCGTGAGGCCATATCGGTCATTGGCACCTGTAGTAGCCCACGACCCAACTACCCATTGGTTGCCATACTGGTTCGGCTTCGCGATTGCGCGGGGGCTTTCTACCGTGACCAATTTGCCCACGAGACTCTCCCAGAAGTCCAACCCGTAGTTCTCAGGATCCAATACTGGGTTGACTTTTGAGATCAATGATTGGTTGTTAGGAACACCGAAAACATCGCCGTTGTCGAGGCTGCTGTACTGCTTGGTCGGCGGGCTGAGGGTGTCTTTTCCAATGACAAGTGGCAGAACTGCTTTTCCATGCCCAAGAACGGCAGTCACCTTCGGCGAGATGATCTCGGTAAGGTATAAATATGCGCTGCTGGATCTATATTCGCTGACCTTTCCGCTAAGGACAAGAACGTCACCAGTAGCGATAGAGGTATTCTTGGCAAGAGTACTGCTAAAGACGTAGATACCGTCTGAAGTTCCGTTCCCAGTGGATTGAATCCAGATACCGCTCGGGCCCTTGGCCGTCACAACGCCGGTGACGCCAGTAACATTCTTGTTATTGTACGACGAGAGGAACTTGTCGCCGTTGATTTCACCAATCGACACAGCTGTGGCGACGCCGGCAAGAAGAGATGTGGCAAGCCACCTCATGGAAGAAGCACTTTTCATTTTGTCGACTCACACTGCTCAGGCGCGCTGAAAAGGAAACCAAAGGCGAGCTCTTCCTGGCAGCAGCGGCGATGTCACCATTATATGCAAAGTCATCTCAGCCGCATCACTAGTCATCGCGGAGATGAAAAGTGGACGAGTATGCAATCCCAGCTATCGCGGCTTGACAGGCACTCTCCAAGACGTGCGGAACGTGGTCGAGAACAGATATTGGACGCCGGCTGAGATTAATGCTGACCCCTGCCGCGATTGGGATAACCAGTCGAATTGGCCAATCCACGGCACGTTGCCAACAGGACCGTTACCAGATTGCGAAGGTGGTCCACCATGGCAGAAACCTAATGGTCGGATCTGGGCCGGGGCGATCTTGGCATGCCGCTTGCCTGCAGCATACCCCTGAAATGGTAGTGCGGCTTTCCCCATGTGTGACGGTCGGCCGGATAGCGACAACTATTCTTCTTATTGCTGCTTATGTGCCATTTGCAAGGCATGAACCACGTGGAGAAGAAGACACCAAGTTTCACTGGAGGAATACTACCTATTTAGGCCGGGCCAGACTAACAAGGCGATCTATTGAATCCAAGCTTCTTGAGCTGGGCTCACAGTTCGAATACCTCAACTGCGCGGCTGCCTTGAAAGCCACAGACATAAGTGGAGCGGCGGAAACCGCCGGCGCCATCTTTTTTCCATACTCTAAGTTGACGACAAGCTTATCTCCGAATGAAAGTATTGAATTGAAAGGGAACTAAATAGGCTGTGTGTCACTATCGTCTTTCTGAGAAGATGGAGTTCTCAGGCGAGACCCTACAGCTAGAATGGTGTCGTGACCACCATTCCCCGGCAACCGACGGCAACGTTCACGATGGATTCCACTAGTCAACTTGACATCAACACGCTAGTGGTAGGGTGTAGGGGATGGTTGAGGTCATATCAGTCTAGAGAAACATGCTTGGGAGGGGCGCTAAGTTGATCCAACCAGGGCGTTCTCAAGCAGCCGACTTCATCCATATCTGTGCTTTTCTGTGGACCGACAGTTGATTCTGCCCTTCCAAGCGAACTGACGGTCATAATTGGCAATCTCAAACCTGTATCATTTGTGCCGCCACTAGAGCCATGAAGGAGATGCGGTGTTTGTTTTCCTACATATGAAATGACTCAGGTCTGCGCAATCCTTCGAGTTCTACACGCTTCTACTAGGTCGATTGCCAAGCTGAAGTGTCTGGGATGATAACTTGTAAATCCAACTTTATAAGAGGTGAATGAAGTTCGCATCGGTCTCATGGACGATCTTTCCGTTCCGGGTGCAGTGGAATAATTTCTCTCTAGACGAAGCCTCGTTATTGGATGCCGTCTTGGCTCAATAGTATTTATGTATTGATTAGGGACTTTGGCAATTCCAAGGCTGGGTAGGTCTGCCAGGAAACCTATCTGAATATGGACCAATGCGGTTCTTCGAATTAGGATGCTCCCATGGATCCTATAAACGTTGAACCTTTTGAATTAGGATTGACGAATTCCAGCAGGATGAGATGCCGAAGGGTCTCGGTGGAGTCACCATGGCTTCTGTTGATCAAGCTGTGGTGTGTGTTGCGTTCATAGTAGAAATTCGTTCTGAGTTGAATAATCCCAAGAATTCATGCCATCGATAACAGTCACCCAGCTGCCAAACGCGGTTGCCTCGTCAATACCTAAGTGCAAGCCGCTTGACCATTTAAGAACCCGCCAGGACTTTCATCACTTCATTAGAACCACATCAAGTTTTGACTTCTCCCCTTTCACCGAGCTGGTTTTAATCGCACTTTGTTTGATCGCTTCGTCGCATCCACTCGATCACAGCGGATGCTTGATGCTACACGCAAGGCACCTGTCCTTCATAGCCGTTGATGAACATTAGTGCTTGCTTATATGAGACTAAATACAACACATTGCCATCACATACGACCATACCTCCTAGAGAACTCGGGATCCCGTCCGCTCTCCCCGTAGATAAACTGGGAAGGGCCAGATTAGTAGTTGGGTGGGTGACCACCAGCGAATACCTGGTGTTGTATGTTTTATATTTCTTTTTCTTTTGCTCTTTCTGTTTCCAAGTTGGCCGCCAGCACGCCACCTCCTGATTGCATCTGATCTGCGTCTGAAACAGGCTTCAGGTTCGTCATTGGGTGTACTTGGGCGGACTCTGCATCGTCACGGTGCAATCGGCGATAGGGGCTTGCAGAAAGAGTTTGGCTTATAGATCGAAAGAAACCTATCGCGACTCTTTCATCAGTCAGACAATGTGACGCAATGTCATGCAATAAACTGGTATGCGCTCCGCTTTGGCATGTACTTGATCGGAAGACGTGAGCGAAGCGATTGTTAGTAGGGCGCGTGAACTACAGCATACATAATTCCCTCAAGACAAATACGCCAATTTTTGACGCAACGAAGGCCTTTCAATGAGTACCAGAGTGTCGAAACTACATGGATTTGGCATGAAGCTGCTTATAAAAGTGGTAGAGGAAAGGGGCGTAACCATCGTTAGACCTACACCACGATCTCCCGATGCTGCAGGGTGTCAGTCCCGCTTGCTTGAATACATTTTCAATGGGACTTTTTCATGGTTCGTGCAATATTTTGCCTCTGGAAACTTTCATTAGTACCGATGGCATCTTAAGCAAAGGTCATTCAGTCATGAGTTGGTCGAAGACATAGCAACTCTCCCTCCAAAAAAACCCTGGCCAGGGTTTTTTTGGAGGGAGCTTCAAGTTGGGAAAGGCTTACACGGAGTACTAGGTACCTTGCCATGGTAGTACCCATGCTTACCCCACAATTGGAGTTACAGGCAGGTAAACGGCGGGGTCCAGAGCAAGCAACTTTATTTCGACCCTCTCTGTGGTACATCTCCAAAAATTTTGCTCCAGCTTCACACAGCGGTAGCCGGGACAGACTGCGCCCAAGATGCACTCCCTGGTCCAACCCGACGCCTGGGTCGCCCTCAAGTTGCCCAATGGGACCCTCAGAGTCCTCCAGGTCACACCAAACACGTAAGGTGTTCGCCGGCGGCCGTCTTGCAAGCAATTACTAACCACTCGCATCGCAGTACCGTGTCCCTCGGAAAGTATGGGTCGTTTCCCAGTAACTTGATCATCCACCGCCCGTACCACCTTACCTACGAGCTCCAGGACAAGCGCGAGGGCGAGAACTTTAGCCGTCTGCGCATTGTGCCTGCTTCGGAACTCTACGCCGACATCCTCACCTCCAGCGCCTCATCTTCTGCGCCCGGCTCCCCCACGCTCGCCCCGGAAGACGATGATGCGGACGCCGAGCTGCCCACGGGCGTCGAATACTCCCTCGTCGACGCCACTTCGGGCGCCGTAGTCGCCAAGACCGACCGCGCTGCCGTGCTGGACGAGGCTTCGGCCCTGCGCCAGACGCTGAGCGTGGAGGAGATCGAGGCGCTGAAGCAGGATGGCACCAACGCCGGCAAGGACCTGATCGCCAAGCTCATGCTGTCGCATACAGCTCTCGACCAGAAGACGGAGTACTCGCTCGCCAAGTACAAGCTGCTCAAGACCAAGAAGTACATCCGGCGCTTCTGCGTGACGCCGCTAGACGTCCCCATGTTTGACCACTGGTTACTGGAGGAGAAGGACCCCATCAAGATCCTCGACATGCGTGAAGAGATGATTGCACTGTTGGGGTGCTGGGCAAATGTGCACTATGGCGGCGTGGACCGTTGCGAGAATGCCACGGACGAGGAGCCCCAGGCGGAAAGTACAGCATTAGATCACTCAGCCGGACGATGGCTGGTAGTCGACGACACTGGCGGGCTGCTGGTAGCTGCCATGGCTGAGAGACTAGGTGTTCTCTACCCACCTGAAAAAGAGGAGACGTTGGAAACCTACCTTGAATCGCAAAAGCCACCACAACAGAAAGAAGCAGCAAGCGGGCCGAAATCGTCCAAGGATGAGCCCGATGCTGAGGCTCCCGAGGAGGCAACTGAAGATGCGAGCATGCAGGAGGAGGCCAAAGTCGAAGCCCAGATTGATGAGACCAAGGAGACGGACGTCAAAGCAGAATCAGCCCAGGACCCAGGTTCGCATGGGATAAATCCCAAGAAATATCCGACTGGCGGACCGCGGCATCGCTCGAACGACCTGGCTGTGCCGTACGCTCAGTCCAATACCTTGACCCTCCTCCATCACAACTCTCAAGCGAATCTCAGTTTCCTGCGATATTACGACTTTGACAACACGAACCCAGCGCAACCACTCACACACCCCCTCGCCACGAATCTCATGACCCTTACGTGGCTGCAACTGCTAGATCCGACCGCCGACACGGCGTACATGGCAGAGCCGCCGGCCGTCACACCCGAGGAACTGAGAGGTTGGAAGACGAATCGCCGCGGCAACTACCACCGCAAGCGTCGCAGATGGGCACGCGTTCGACACGTCGTGGACACAACCCGAGCAGGCGGGTTCTCGGGCCTTGTGGTGGCGAGCACCATGGATCCGATTTCGGTCATGAAACACGCCGTGCCGCTGCTTGCCGGCGGCGCTCCCATCGCCATCTACTCCCAGTCGGTAGAGGCCCTCACCGCGCTGGTCGATTGCTATAGCATCGCAAGGCGCACAGCGTGGATCTCGAACCCGCCCGAGGGCGCAGCTGGGAAGACCCCGGAGGAGCTGGAGACGTGGGAAGGAAACGACGAGTTCCCTCTGAACCCTACGCTTGTTCTCGGCGCTGCGTTGCAGACGAGCAGGGTGCGCAAGTGGCAGGTCCTGCCCGGTCGGACGCACCCGCTGATGACGAGCAAGGGAGGCGCCGAGGGTTACATCTTTACGGCTTGGAGAGTCAAGCCTGCTGAGGGCAAGATAGAGGCGCGCGGAAAAGGCCGGCATTCCAAGCGGCGCAAGGTTGGCGAATAGAGTGTTGCCTGGTCCATTGTGAACAGCATCCAGACGTCACGATTGCAGAATTCGAGAGTCTAATTGATCGAGTTCACGATGTGGCCTCTATGTTCAAGGTGGTCACAGTCAGGCTCAGCCAGCGGGGAATCAATGGCTGGCAGCAACGAATAGATACAACAGGCGTAAGGGTGGGGAATAGATGAAGCATACCACCGCGTATCGGAAGAGGCTGGTGTCGGCATTTGCAATGGGTTCGGTTCCAATGATACCCCTAAACAGAGCTTTTCTATCATCCGCGAGCCGCCCGCTCTCTAATCTTGTGAAGTTTCCGTCATCCATCGCTGCCCCTTTCTGCCATAAGCGACCCAAATCTTTCTCTGCGCCGGCATCTACAGGCTCTTGCCCATGAACTTCCTCTTTGTGAAGCTTAACCACCACTTGCTGGGCTTGCCGTCTCCGCCTTCCTCGTATACCCTCGCTAATAACCTGCTCGCCAGTTCCTGTCGTACCTGGGACAGGTATTGCCGTAGCTGCTCGGCGTCCTGTCGGTCTCTCGGGGGCTCGTACATCTAGCATCAAACATCTTTAGCACCTTGAAACTCGGCGACCATTCGCGGGTCTTGGTCCAGAATCCTATCCCACATACCTGGTTCAGGGGGAAGGCCGGGTCGCCGGGGATGGCAAAGTTGAGGTCGAGGGCGGTGTTGAGGACCTCCTTCTGGGCGTCGCGGACGCCGTGGTGGGGGCGGATCTTGCCGAGCACCTCGCTGGTGAAGAGGATGCCGTAGATGAGGAGGCGGTCGGCGGGGCCCTGGATCTCGAAGTTGCGGAAGAAGGTGTTGGCGCGGAACAGCGACAGCACCTCGTCCAGGATGTCGTACGACTCCGAGTCCGGGTCCGGCGACTCGCTGGCCGCCAGCGCCTCCGCCGGCGCCGGCAGCACGTACGCCGGCCCCCGCGTCTTGGTGCGCAGCGGCAGCAGCGGGAAGTTGCCCACCAGCCGCGGCGGGTTCGGGTCGTCGTTGAACATGGAGTTGTAGGCCTGCGCGCGTGGTGGTGTTCAGCATTTGGATGGGCATGGCACGGCACGGGGATGGATGGGAGGGTGCAGGTGGTGGTGGTGGTGGTGGTGGGTGCTTGGGCGATGGCGAGCAGTGCTCTGCCCTCAGACGGCTGAGCTCGGGGGTGGACATACCGGCATGGTGACGATTGCTCACCGAGAGAGTCGGTGCTGCTCCGTCTTCTAGGTGTGGTGTTCAATGTCGATGCGCGAGGGGAGTATCGTGAGGTATCGTGGCTTTGGTGGAGGGGAAGCTCGTGCTGCTGGTCGCCCGAACCGTCTGGGGTGCCGTTGTGGAGGGGCTGCGTGCTGCGCCCGCTGCGCCTATCGCCCAAGGCTGACGTCTGGATGGAAATTGTTAGGGAGGGACGTCACTGGTGGCTGCTGGGCTTTGGGTCGGCGAGTGGGTCTAAGCCTAGCCTCCAGGCGGGCAGCTACATAGTACAGCCTGAGCGGTCAACATTGAGGTCTGCCTGTTGAAGATCCACGAGTAGGTGTCAGACAGTAATTGTCTTGAATCCTGGCAGTGGTGAAGAGTCATCTACTCAACCCTTAAACATTTATACTGTTTAGATATGAGTAAGCTTGGAATCATTGGCCGCTGCTCATATCATTAGCCAGGTCGGGTCGCCTATCACCAGAGTGGCGGTAACTCGGTCGTGCTTCACAATGACAGGCTGTACAAGAATTTATGAAGATCGTATTCATTTGATGGCCTTTTTCTGAGCTTCAGCGGCTGTAAGCCGTTATCTCTTCTCATTATTGTCCCGGCGAATCTGCGATACATTTGGCATGTAGGTGTGTAATACACCGAGAAGGCTCAAGGCACGAGCTGTGACAATCTACGGACTTGCAGACAAGGGAGATGGCTGATGCCAACCGGTGGGTCGAGTAACTCATCAAGAAGTACCGGTTTGTGCCGGGAGGTATGGGACGGCATACGCGTTCATCGTTTGAGATTAAGCTTTCGAGGCATTACATTGAGAACGACTGCAGCCCATTCATCCCTGGCGTTCAGTCGCCGTCGCCAAAATGTAACACGCGGGTACATACGAGTATTCTATAGTCCTACTGGAAAAGTAATTTCTATCATTCCGGCATTTTGGTCTTTAGCAGATCCGTCCGCGCACATAGAGTAGTTTATTATTGGTGTACTAGATACGTAGCATTCCGAGTCCAGTAGGGTTTTGTCTACTGCTTCGTTCGTCGTGCGAGATACTCCTGCCACACCTTGCCTAGGTCAGCAGGCATGATCGGAGCGAACATGTTTCCCAGCCAGCCCTTCTTTCGATGCGATGTAACGCCGATTTCGTCCAAGAGCCTATCGACGTACGGAACGCTGTCAAAAGCAGCGAAATGCCCAAGCTCGCCGTTCGACAGATAGCGCCGCTTGTTCCACGCAACCATGTGTGCAATGTCATCTTCCCTCTCGGCTACAGAGGGAAGCGTAAACGCCTTGTCCCAGTAAGCCACTGCCCAGATCGCCTGGGCCTCGGCAGCAAACAGTTTTGCTCCCGCGACTACATGATTCATGAAGAGGATAGAGTCGTCGTGTACAGGGGCCATTGTGTGATATAGTCGATACGGCGTGCGTGTTTCGTGCTTATGGTAGTGCTTTGGTGGGTTTCTGAGCATGACAAACCGTCTGAGGACTTGTTCATCTGCCTTATTGACGAGCTTCTCCCATTTAGCAGCCTCCTCCTGTGGCTCGATATTTTTGGGGTATGGCAATCCTAGCTCCATGAGCGTGCTGTTTTCGAACATGTCAAGCCCGCGTTTCCAGCCAGTCCCGCACAGAATAGCGTCACAAGGGAAATGGGTGCCGTTCTCGTCGTTGAGATACAGCTCATTTCCGTTCAAAAGCTTTACGTCGGCCCGATGAACATAAACCTGATCCGCGACGAGAGGCCAGAAATCTGCGAAGTGGCAGCCTCCTGCGGTTCCATTCTGCCAGATTATACTAGGAAGTCTTAGTTCCTGCCGTGGACTCAAGAAGACAGTAACTGCCAAGAGATAAACTCACTCATTGTCGTATTCCAGTTTTTCAAAGCCTTTGTCACTCTTCCTCTCCCGATACCCAGCATACTTACGAATCGAGTTATCCAGGATTGAAAAGATCTTACCCACGAGCTTTGCACCCAGATGGGTGCTATGAAGAAGCCATGTCCACCAGGATCGGTAGGGAATCAGGTAGCACGGCTGTAGCGATGCCATGATCCTTGCCTGTGAGGCTTCAACCCCGTTTCTATATAGCGTAGGCAAGTCGATAGGTGCAAAGGCTGCAGCTCCGAGCGAGCCGTTCCCGGTTTTGCGGATAATCCATGATACAGTTTTGCCCGCCTTGACGGCCTCATACACCATATCGGCGGCCGACTTGCCTGCACCAATTACGGCAATGTGCTGGATCGACTTGTCCTGGGCGATGTCAGATTGGCCAAAGTCGATTGAGTGTATTATTTTCCCGTGGAAATACTCCTCGCCAGGAAAACTAGGCACATTAGGGAGCGAAGATTGGCCATTTGCCATCATGAGCCTCGAAGAGAACATTGGTTGCTGTGACTTGCTGGTCATGTCGACGCACAGGAGTTGCCATTTGTGGTTGATCTTCCTGATAGACTGAACGTGAATGTTGAAGTGTATCCTATCTCGTAACGTCTGCCCACCGTGACTCATGTTGTCGACATAGTCTTCAAGGTACTTTGTAGTATACTTGGCACGGAACAAGTCGTGTATGCAATCTTCGGGTGGTGGCCGCTCCATAGGCATATCAGAGAACTCGGCAATGCCATGTGTCCATTGCGTCCAAAAGCTGGGATAGATTCGTCCTGTTAGAGAGTCAGTCAGGGAATAGTACGGACCAAAGTTTCCAAGCTCTTACGCTCACTCCATACCCCTCCCACGCAGTAGTCGCGCTCCAGGATGGCGAGCCGTGTCTCTGGATGCGCTTGAAGCAGACGCTGCGCTGCAATGATTCCCGTGAGGCCCAGAGAGAATTGTTAGTCGTTTGTAACACGGACCAGAACTAGAGACAAACCTGCGCCTACAATGATAACGTCGAAATGATCTGTCTCCTCTGCCGGAGGCATAGTAGCGGTGGTCGTGTGCGTTGTGAATAGTAAGTCAAAAGGCAGCCGTGTGAAGAGGCGGGAATCAAGTGTAGGGGGCAAGCGACTCGGGCCGACGGCAGCCAAGCCAATATGTTACACCAAGCCGTGCCCCTACTCGGCATACACAAACACAAGAAGTTGTGCATTGAAAAGCCATGATTGGATACGTCGTACTGGTCGGGTAATTTCACGCGTGTGTGTAATGTCTTCTCATGGGGAAGGATGCGTGATAACCCCTGCAAGATGCAAGCAAGGGAACAAGATGCCAACCCACTGATGGTTAGCGACCGTGGCTTTGGGGAAACGATCGCGATTTGTCGATTTGCACACACAACTTCAATCGAGTCCTTTTTGCACAGGACAACATCGCCTTGCTGGCTCTCCGCACTATGTCTAAGGAAACAGTTGTGGTAGATGGCGAGGCCGGCGCATTCGACTCCATCGAGGAGCACGAGTATCCAGGTGGGCTGCGCCTGACAGCTATTGTCGCTGCTCTTGTTCTCAGCATCTTCCTCGCATCCCTCGATACGGTGCGTCGAGATAAGATGGCCCACTCAAGTTCTAGCTCTCTAATTGTGGGCAGACTATTATCACGACCGCCATCCCTTCTATTACCAATGACTTCCACAGCCTCGAAGACGTGGGCTGGTATGGCTCAGCCATGTTCTTCCCCTTGGCAGCCACACAATCGGTATGGGGGAAAGCGTACAAGTATTTCCCCGTGAAGCTCGTCTTCCTCATAGGCATCGTCATCTTCGAAGTGGGCAGTCTGATATGCGGTGAGCGCCTAAACGCCGAACCAGATCACGCGTGACTTGCTAACAAACTGGAAGCACTTGCACCAAACAGCAGTGCTTTCATTGCTGGGCGGGCCATTACAGGAACAGGCTGCGCTAGTATCTTTGCAGGATGCTTTATCATCATTTCTCTGTCTTCGAGACCGCGAATAAGACCAGCGATGACGAGTTCACTATCTGCTACGTTTGCAGTCGCCTCCGTGGTAGGACCATTGATTGGAGGCGCATTTACGCAGAACGTAACTTGGCGCTGGTGGTAAGAGGATATCCCCATATCGTACGTGCTCACAGATACATTGACCTCGATCAGCTTCTACATCAATCTACCTTGTGGGGGCATCGCAGCCATAGCCATGCTCTTCGCATTTCGTACCCCAAAGGCTGCATCGCCAACACCAGCGACTACGAAAGAAAAACTGCTGCAAATGGACTTTCCTGGTGCCGCTCTCATTTGTGCCTGCATTGTCTGCTTTACTCTTGCTTTGCGATGGGCTGGTGTAGAGAAGCCGTGGTCAGACTCAAGCGTTGTGGGTACTTTGGTCGCGACGCCGACGTTTCTTATCTTGTTTGGCATCGACCAATGGATCCAAGGAGAAAGGGCGCTCATCGTGCCAAGTTTCTGGAGGAATCAGGTCCTAGTCGTTGGTGCTGTCTTCGAGTTCTTGTAAGCCATCATAACCCCCCAAAGCGAGGCTACGAACTGACGTTTCTTTTAAAGCATTGCAGGCTGTTTCAACCTCGCTCTGTTCTGGCTCCCCATTTACTTCCAGGCAGTCCGAGGTGTCTCGGCTATCTCCTCTGGTATCCGGCTCATCCCAGTCATTCTGGGCTTGACCATTACCCAGATTGTCGTCGGTGGTCTCATTACCGCCACAGGTATCCACAACCCCTTTCTGATCTTGGGACCTGCGATCGCGGCTGTTGGATCAGGTTTGTTCATGCTTCTTGACGAGAAATCTAGCGCAGGCCAATGGATTGGATTCCAGATCGTACTTGGAGTCGGAGTTGGCTTTTGTCTCACAATTCCGCTCATGCTATCGCAAGTCGTTGTCAAGACAAAAGATGTGTCTACAGCCACGCCCATCATCATCTGTACGTCTCACGCCCGTTTCCCTGGTCTTAGAGTGCTAATGATACCCCCAGTTTCTCAATCAATGGGCAGCGCCTTCCTACTCCCCACAGCGCAAGCAGTTTTTCAGAACGAGCTAATGAAGGCACTCCGTCAATTTGCTCCTAATATCGATCCAGTACTGGTTTTGTCTGCGGGTGCAAATAGTGAAGCAATTTTGGGTCTCCCTAGAGGGAACCTAGGAGGTATCATCCGGAGTTACAACAGCGCATTGCGGTCTGCGTTCGCGATTGGTATTCCATTCGCCGGTATAGCACTGCTAGTTAGCCTGTTTATGCCCTGGTTCAGATATCATAGTGCAGCGGAAAAGCCAACCGCCAGAACAGCGTTGACCCAATCGGAGAGTGGCAAAGTAGTGGAAAATTGAAAGAGTCAAGAGGACTAGACTAAGGAACAAGCGAGACTGATTCCAAAATGCCGTAGGTCAAGGTAAATATACTAGAAAGTTTCGTAAGAAGAAATTGGCGTGACAGGAACTAACCTATTCTCTCATGCGACAATCTCACACGCAATCCAAGCGTTCCTTCATAGAGCACACCTGCTACATATTGTGCCTGCTACTACCTCGACCCCTGGTAGTTACGTGAAAAGTATAGGTTTAGCTGCCTCTCTATATACTCCCTCCCCATCATGTGGTTCTCCTATATACTCAATGTGGTGACTATGGCATACCGTTCCGATCATCAGCGCCTTAAAACCACACAGATCGACGGAGTGAGTCATAGATGCAGAAAGGGGACGTTTGATTAACCAGTTGTAGTGTTCGTTCGTCGTGCGCGAAAGTCTGACAGATCTTATACCTCCTTGCCAGCCTTGATCCTTGGCCTGATCTTCGCTTCACAGTCATTCCGCAACGATGTGGCAATACTACAAACCCATGATCTCACCACCTTTGTTCATTCCTCTAGCTTTGTATTACGATACCTTCAACGTGATCCTCAATATGTTACCCCATCTCCACTGGCATTATTTCATGATAGCTGTTTTGATTATGTCCGTCATCACCTGCATTCCAAGATGTGTTTTTAGTACCCTTCATGGCCCGCTCATTACCAGATATCTCCAAAGGCGAGCTGGGATACCTCAATTCAGCTCTTCTGGCCCTCCCAGCTACCTCGCCAATTCATTCTTGGGGTACTCTTGATCTATGAAGCCCCATCGGAACACCACAGCCAATCTCAAGAATATCCTGTCCCCTTGTTTCGAACGCGTGACTCGGGTAACTGAAGAAGTTTGCTGAGGGTATGGCGTGGATTTTTCAGGTGAACTCCGTCTTTTTTTACGATAGTGCCTCACGCACCGGAACAGAAGACCGAGACTACCATTAAGGGAGAATACAGCACCTATACTACTGATCGTATGACGTTTCCAGAGTGTGACATGGTATGTAATATCTTGTAAGAACCCCCACTGAAGAAAGACTGTTGGGTTGCTAAGAACAGAATGTACTACGTAGGCAACGCAACAACTGATTGGTCCAAGAACCACACACTGCATATATCACGAGGTCGAGGAAGTAGTACGGAACAGACTTCGGATACGATACGAGCGTGTAAAACCTCGACGCTTTCATAGTTCAGTCTTTGTTACACAAATAGCAGGTATTAATGCGCAGTAGCTTTTTGGTAATGATATGGTAATAGTGTTTAATATATTAGTTGTGACAAGCACATTTACAGTTGACTACTGGACAGGAAGAAACCCTTTGTCTTTTGACTGGAAGGGTGTCAGCATAATCCTCTAGCAATTGAGCTAACTCATTGTCTCAGAGGGTTGCTAGCTTCCGTGGCATCCAGCTTACCAACTTTCGTTGCCGCATCAATATCCATGGCCTCCGACGTCGTGTCTCTCTTCTTGGAATCCACAGCAATTCCAGATTGACCATTCTTGGTGGACGTAGCTGATCGAGTCTGAGGCTTGCCCTGCTTCGAGTCCACCGTGCTGGATACACTAGCTCCGCTTTGAGACCCTAAACCCTTCTCGAAGTCGGCCATAGAGATAGCTGGGGCAACCTTAGCCTCGTGGTGCTTGTCATTAAGATGCTCGGTCTCGTGAATATGGTTCGTAGTGTGGATGATCTTGTCTTGGAGTGTTTCTCTCTCAATTACAGGTTGGACAGTCTCGTGAATGTGGCTGTTGGAAAGTCATGATTAGTGAGCTGTGTGAAATGTTCAACACGTCAGTGCTTACTGGTGGATGTGCTCTTCCTTCTTAGTAGGCGCGCGCTCTTTAGAATGTGTGGTATCCTCAACAATCTTCTCGTTGTGGAACTTGGCAGCCTCTCGCTTGGCCTGCTCCTTCGCCTTGTTGTCTCGATGGTCGATGTCCCGCTCGGCCTCATTCTCTCTGTATTCGTGCTTCGTAGCGAGGACATTCTTGTCCTGAATGGGCTGGATGGTGGTGCGGTAGTGATCCTGGTGTACGTCTTTGTCGACTACGGTATCAACCTTCTCATGTTCATGGGCCTTCACGTCCTCGTGGACGACAGCTGCCGCCTTCTCCTTCTGAACAGTTGTGCCATCATGGTGAGATTCCACGGTCTGGTGCACTTTCTTGGCAGCTGGTGCCTTGGATGCATCGACTTCGGTCTCCTCAGGCTGGCCAGTGACAATGTTCTTGACTGAGCTGGCCAAGTTGCTCAAGACGCCTGACGGTAATTCGGATGCCATATTGGGATGATGATAGATTATCAGGTAGAAATGGAAAGGTAGTGCGAAGATGTAATGGATCGTCAAACAAATAGCTAGAATGTAAGGGTCGAGTCGAGGATATATAGATTATACGATTTTAACGCCACAGATGGCCATGAAAGCACTATGTCATTATATTCTCAGCCCCGAGCCTGGCAGGGGATGTGGCTAGTGAATCTCATTATACGTCATTTAGCTCTGCAAGACAACATTACGCGCGGGTGCATTACCGGTTTCTGCTCGCATAGGTATATCATCCAAGTGTAAGAACTACAGAGTCGATCGAGATCGCAATTCCTGCATCATCGTTGGTCATTGCTAGCATTTACCTAATTTACCCTTGGCAGGTGTTCCAGGCGTCAGCGCCACAGGTGTCATTTAACCTGTGTGGCTCGCGTGACGGAGAACCGAGAACCTTGTACTGCTATTGTGGGCACTTTTAATTCAAGGAGCCAGTGTCTCAGTGAGAGCCCTCCCCTCAAAGATGACGGTGGTGATGAATTGTTATCCACCGAGCGGGGTCGCTGGAAAGCAAGAGCACTACTTCTGCTTTAAGCGCCTATTACTGCGTAGTAGTGTTCTTAACATTGTCAAATCCGGATTCCGAAAGCCAGTCATTTCACGGCAACGCATCGTCACCGTTGCCGATGGTATGAGGTCACTTATAATTGTCTCCATGAGTGTTCAACCCTGCGTTAGTAGCACCGGAGCGCTCTACCGTGTTCAGCCACTTGAAAATAAACCTCGAACCTGATATGAGTCTCATCCCTGTAATAGGTACTAGTGGCATAATTTCAAACAACTAGAATTGACCCTCTAGCGATGCAGTGTCGAATTCACTGTGTAACTGAGCATCGTAGCTATGTATCTTGCTGTCCCACTTGTTTTGTGCGCTCAGCCTTGCTGCGGTACTTGATTGTCGTTGCATATGTATAGAGTGTTGAATTTTTGTCCATACTCTAGCACACGCCCCAGGTACTTCGCCCTTAGAGCTCATCTAGAAGTCAAAGGGCTGTCCGATCGACAGTAAACATGAGCTGTTCTTGTATCATAGTGGATGTGACGATTTCAGATCCGCGACTAGAACAGTCGAGTTAGCGGCAGCAAGTTCCACGGGTCTTCTTCGTTTGAATACACGAGAACAGAGCCCAGGTTACAGAAATATAATCCGTTTTCAGTATGTATCGGCCAGTCACAGATTTGATATTTGGTTCTAAACTATGATGCTTTCCTCGCATATGGTTATTTCCTATGTTGTGTCTTTTGGGCTCTGGGAAATCACTCTGTGACCTGGCCGTTGCATCAACCTACGGCCCGATTGGCCTCCCCATAGTCTTGCAATAGCATTCGTTCTCTGAGACGATTGGTTCATGTCGATTCCTTACTGCAGGTAGTATTCGGCTTCCCTAAACGAATCGGGGTTTTCATCAGCGCTGGTGGTCTAGAACTTGATGACTGTGAAGCCTGCGACACGCCATTGGCCATAACGACCATTCTGGAGCTGACGAACACTGCCCTAGTGTGGAAGGAGGCTGTTTCTTCTCAATGCCTTCCCTCTGTTAGTAATATAGTCGTCCAGAACAGGTCGTTTGAGAGGTAGAGTGTCTGGTTGTCGCGCATGCTCTTCAACATTCCCAAATTGTGGACGTTGGCATTGTTGAACTTAACCATATTTCAGGGGTAAATATTACACTTCCATTGGGGATGTCTCAAGATTGAATGTCCCACTGCCACCATGATAGACATCTTCTTAGTCGTTTACTTGTGAAGGTCTCTCTTTGTACGCTTTCCGAAATTGTGGTCCATGGCGTACTGGGAGTGTTATAACTCACGATTAGGAAAACCAACGGCTCAACAGATTTCTCCCTCTTTCAACGTCTAAGAAGCATCCTATTCACCATTTGTTTCCCAAATAGGTGTTTTCCAGTCGTAAATGTATCAGACATCCCCTGGCGGTATCCAGCTCCTCGATTTCTTCTCACCAGCGTTCCGTTGTAAGAAATCGCGCATTGAAGTCGTAGTATTATTGCGACTTGGCGAACAGTAGTACATTGCCGTACTTTCTGTCACTGTCCTTCACCTTTAGATACATTATTGGGTGAATTTATGTTGAATGCGTTTGAAGGCATGCGCATACTTTACGGTCAACATCTGCGAGACCGAGTTTGGCTGCTGACGAGAAAATCCGGCTCCTCTCAGTTCTTTCGACTGGGTGGGTGCCCATCGAAGTTGTCATGATATTTACTCTATCGACCCGGGCATCGAGATATTTGACAAAGTGACCATTTCCACGCCACCGTTGGAGCTCCCCATATAAGTTTCATGTACTGCCCCATTATCGTTTCTCTCTATAGTTAACTAAGCGTGGTGGTTGGGCTATCAATGAACGACGAGAATATGGTGCAAAGCCTTGATTGTCGTGTCGACTGCAAGATGAACCGGAGATGTGTCTCTCGGCCCTTAAAACCCTCGCTCTGATCGCTCTGTATTGTCTCTCTGTCATCAGAGCACGGCTTTAGACACATCTTCTACCACACACGAAGAGCTTGTTATGTAGCTGGGTGAAGCCAAGTCACCGCCTTAGAGCGTGGCAAAGGATCAGCAAGCCGTCAATTATACCATAAACAAGAAGGCTTTGGGCAACTCGTGTTAACCTTGTCCGATAGCCAATCGCCTCAGTTGATATGAAGCATCCGAGTTATCTGTACGCCCAGCTCGCAGGTCTCCTTGGGTCTGTCAATTACGCCAGCGGATGGTGAGAAGGGAGAGACTACCAGGGACTGCTTTTCAAACAAAGGCTTCACCGGCTGGCATCCAGATATGGAGCCTCAAATGAAACTGCCAGGGTTGAGAAACGCTGAGAAGCAGCGCCGGCCCGAGGGGTTGTTCGTATTGTTGATATGGCTGAGAAGTTTCAAGTTCGTAAACGTTGAGAACGTTGTGAGAGTGACTCTGCGCTCAGGCCAACTGCGCGACGTAGACCATTGCGAAGTTGATCAAGCTGCTCTGAGCCGGCGTTGGTCGCCTGGTCGAAGTTCGATGAGCGCAATGAGAATGAGATGGCCCTGGTGGTCTAACACCAGCATACTAAATATATAATAAAATCATTCTACTATTGAACGAGCGACTCTTGTGGTATTCGTTGGATGCTTAATGTTGAGGACTAATTGCCAGTTTCTCGTTTGTAGGCTCCTTTCTATGCGTCACCAATCTTGTCCATGATTACTCGTCGGCATTAGTCCTTCCGGGTGAGTTAGGGAGGAAACAATAATGGGTTCAACCTGGAGTCTCAGCTTCAAGGGCTACTTGATTCCAGCAATTGAGAGTGGCCGTTACCACACGGGTTGATCGTTTTAGTGATCACCAGGAAGACTGCTCATCCACGGGCTTTCTTTAGCTCGACCAAAGACCACAAAGAAGAACACGAAGCTCATGCTACAGTGATGGGACTTTGTCCCTTGAGCCGAACTCCTAGCATTCAGGGCTCCAGGTGTAATGAAAGTCAATTTGCGTTCTGATATGGTTCTACAGCAGCAGACACCCGATTATCATATTAGACCGCCTTAGACCGCCGTGGTCCAAGGAATGGAAGCCAACGTCGATACAGCATCGACAGTAGCGAGCAGACCGCACAGGCTATGAACCAGCCTCCGCCTGTTACTTTGCACCCCCCCCATTGGACAGGCAGTGAGTGTCGACAATAGCCATGCCTGCATCAATCTTAACTACCCAGTGCTATGCGCAACCTTGTAGCACAATTTCTCAGCAGACACTCTTTAGGTTCTCACGGGTGATGGCCTGTCCCTGGACGGGGCGATTTGATCCCCTGGCGTCGAAGAACAGGTTCACGAGAAATCGTTCGACTCCAACTCGTATCTCAAGATCGAAGGTCCAGTGGCAATTGGTTGATCGCAACGTTGCATGAACTATCGCACATCGTCAAGTGAGCGAACTAAAAGCTGTCAAGGGCACAACTCGCCCTGACGCTTTAGACAATGTCCTCTTCCCAGCTAGCACATCCAAGGAAACGGCCCTTTCTAGATATCGTGTTCGGTCAAAGTTGAGTGAAGAGCGCACGCAATCTTGATCCATGATACGCCATAAGTAGAGCCCGGCTTGACTTACTGTTCCTACCTCGAAACAACCCGGACATCGCGGGGTGGAGATCAAATTTGTGAGGAGTCTTATCTGTGACCTCGTTCCTGTAATTTACTCGTATTAGTTTATGAGGCTCAAAAGCCTCGTGAAAACGGGTTTCCCGATTCGGGTATTGATGACGAAGAAGTGTAGTCGCTCGCGAGATGCACGGGCGGTGCCTCAACTTAGCTTGATGATCTGCGGCTTGACCTGTCTCTTCCTGGCACCTGGCTTGCCTGGGCTGTTGAGGCGGGTACCGAACTCGTCTAGACCATGAGATCAGCAGAGGCTTGGCCGTGGAGCTGGTGCCACCAACCGCCCTGAGTTGACCATGATTTCCCGGTCCGTCGTTCCCTCTCTTCAACTTGCCGTGCTTCTCCAGCGCGTCGGTCCAGCCCCCCCAGCGGCGATCAAACCTCCGAACCAGGGGCATATCCCTGCAGGGCATCAAAAACGGTGTTGAGGGATGCGCTCAGCTCTTTCAGCTGCGAAGCCCAAGAAGTAAATACAACGACAGCGGGTAGTAATCAAAATGAGCCCTGCGGTGTGCAGAACTGGTTCGGCCGACACTGTGGCGTTGGGCTGTCTAGGGAGGGGTACGTCGCATTTTCTTTTGATGAAAGGGGCCGCGCTCGTTACGTTCGAAAGAGGTAACGACCCGGAAATGCATGGGAGGGGACCTGGTCGTTGGGAGAATCGAATTGAGTTAGGACTGGCGCGTTGAGGGCCCGTCATCTGCGAGATCGCAAGCGAGCCGGGAGGGGTGTACTGCACTGCACCATGGTAGTGAGAACAAGGCCACTGTGGCGATGGTGGCTTGCGATTTTTGACCCGAAGGCCTT